CCCCCCCCACCTCCTTTTCTATCTTTTCCCAGCTGATCCCGACTATGTGGTTGTCAGATCTGCGAGGCTTCTTGCGAACTATAGGCTGCATTTCGGGACGCCCTTCCGCTGAACAAAAGGTCGTCCACTCTGTCGGGTGTGGAAGTTCCCCGGGTTTGCCTATCATCCGCTACGGATCTGTTCTTCCGTGACGTACTCCGTACATGTAAACCGTGTTCAATGCATTGTGTTCGCTTCCCTCAGCAGACTGTTTTGTAGAATTAAGTTTCTGTCTGTGGATCAAGGTCTGATTACCGCCGTATGTGATGACCCATCATCATTCTCGCAACCTTAGAGCCTAGTCGTTTCGCTTTAATGAAGGTCAAGTGGTAATGTGAGATGCCGATTGCCAACTAAGACCCTTGGCCTGCGTGGCAACCCCGGATGTACCACTCTGTCTGCCTTTACAGTTACTTGTTCTCTTTCGGTCACTTATGGCTTGATCTCAATATGCCACTCCATGTCTTGTTGCCAAGTCATCATTGATGGCCCGCGGAAGTCAAATTTAGCGAGCATATGGTGGCATCGCTTGGGCTGATCGAAGAGTGTTTGGAATAAAGGAAAATCGGCCTTGGTAAGGCTGGTTTAGGGCTAACTGCTTAATCCACCAGTCTGGTCAGGAGGGAATACATTGCATGTGATGCTAATTATATTCCAAGTACGACGACCGGATCGTCCACAAGGAAGACACTTGTCTCGCGTGGGTAAGGCACTCTTACACCACGAACCAGGGCATCCGGAGTCTCTCGGTGAAACTCTGATACCCCTATAGCTCGTCTTTACTAGGACGATGAAGAGATCGTCGTACTGCAACACCTCCAATCTAAACATAAAACCTACAACGATCACCTGACACGATCGATCTGTACGACGCGATAATCTAAGCTTCAACAACGCTGGTCGTGAATCGCCATAAGAAACAGTGCCATCACGGCCAAAACAAAGCCAATGCAATCTTTCGAGTGATATGAATGACATCAAGATTAAACATTTTTCTGTATCAGAGATGTACGATATAGTCGGAGATTCTTTACCTTATGAAATAGAGGCAGTTTGCCCATTTAGCAGTCTTAAACTATTCATTATCAAGTCTTCCATGTCCATTGATACAGAAGACTGAATATTTCTGCTAATATTCTATTGACTGGCTGCATTACATTCTTAATTGCTCTTGTTCATACAGTATTCTAATAAGGCAAGCCACATACAGAATAGAAGTTATGTTGATTTATTCCTGTGATACATGTAATATAATTTCAAAACACCACAACTACTACTCATATCTTGAGCGCAAGAACTCCAGATGATAACTCATTGAGGAAAGCTCGTCGGCTCGGTCAGGATCCTCCCTGCCCTCGAGCGTGTGATGTAGACAACAAAAACAGGGTACGTCTGAGTCGCGTGCATAGAGCGATCTCGCTTCTCTCTTTCGTGAATCGCATCGAGCGCCGCGAGCTGAAGGACGTCTTGCACTAGCCGAGTCACCTCAACACTGCCTGTCTGCAGCTGTGCCGGGGTCGAGCTCAGGGAAAATATTCCGCAGCTTACGGATTCGTGTCTCAACGTCGTCGAGGAAGCTGTACGCAGTCTCGCCATCTCCTATGTGAAGTGTGACCTCACCGATCTGCTCGCGCACTTGCTCTGTGGCTCCGCTGCGGCAGAAGGTGGTGGTGGAAGATGGGGTTGTGAGGCCGAAGCGTTCGATGGTGCCGTCTTCGGGTAGGAGATGAAGAACATGGATTGTGGCCCCAAACTTGCCAATAACAAGGAGCGCAGAAGGAGTGGTGGAGGCGGTGAATACGTTTCTCACATGGGCAAGCATGATTACGGGAGTTGAAGATTGTTAAAAGAAGAGATGTTGATTCCTGATTTACTTGTAACATTGCCAAAGGTCATGAAAGAAACCTACACTCTCAAACGGCGGTTCAAGACTAGCAGACAAAATTATGTAAGTGGGATTTATGTCTGACAGCAGAAGGTATTCTTGATTTCTTTAATCCGAGAAAATAAAAAATAAAAAAAATATACCTGCCCCAGCACAACCATAATTTCAATGTCTTTGGCAAGCTTTTTTTGTGTCTCCCTCGTTTATTCCGGCGCAAGTCGCCCGTCGGACGAGGGCGGCTACAAGAACTACACTTGATCTGATTTCATGATCTATCGGTGATGTGCACAACGGCCTTGAAGAGAAGGAATATGTTAGTTATGCCAACAAGCACAATATGAAGAGTCCCAGGAAAATGCATATCGTTCTTAAAGAGGTGTAGCTATTATTGCTGATGTTGATTGACGTGGATGCAAACGTTATGTGACACCACCTCATGCGATTGGGTGTTTGGAACCAGGATACTTAACTGGTAACCTTCAATATCGCCCGATACTCTGAACTGCTCTCACGCATCCCCGCTCACCATGACACCACACGATGAGAGCTCTCAGGAGCCAGAGCAGCTTCCTCGGGAGACATGGGCCTCTCTCCCCAGCCTCCCTCTGTTCTCAGGGCCAACCATTCCAACCGTCGGACGCCGGTTTTTCATCCATTCTCCCTCCACAATCCTCAAGCTGGGCACTGAGGTTGGTGAAGGCGACATGACTGCGCTCGCCCATTCTATCCTGGGCCCCTGGGCCCCTGTGTCCCACGTGTCGTTTGCGTCGTCACGCTTCCGATTATAACCTCCGACGCCTCGACCCCTAACCGTGCTCAAGAGGGCCTCGTTCTCACTCTCCAGCCGGGCACGCCGCTAGTGGAGCTCTGGCCCTTACTCACCCCTCCGCAGCGCCAGACTGTGAAGGCAGAGCTCTGCCGTCTCCTCGTGCGCATGCGTACGCACCACTTCTCCTACTACGGCCGGACCTCGCGGCAGCCGTACCTCCTCTTCTCCGAGTTCGGCACAGAGACGCACGTATATTGCGCCTCCCGCTTAGAGTGGGATGACTCGCGCGTCCGCGCACTGCAGGCCTCTGCCCCAGATGCGGAACGTACAGTTGCCCTAGAGCGAGTACAGCGTGGCACCACGGGCACCGGTGATTGGGACCGTCCTGTCCTCACGCATGGGGATTTGTCTGACCGAAACATCCTCGTGGACCCCTCTACGCTCGCGGTGACGGGTTTCCTGGACTGGGAGATGGCCAATATCATGCCCGCGTACTTTGGGTATGCCGCGGCACGGCTGTCTGGGGGCCATCAGCCCGAGTGGAGGAGGGAGCTGTTAGATGTGCTGAGGTCTGTTCTGCGCCGCGAGTGCGATGCTGGGCGCGGGGAAGACCTGGAAGCTGTCAATGTCGAAGAAGGAGAGGAAAGATACAGGAGGAAGTTGGCGGCGTGGGATGCTGTCGTCAATGTTGAGAGAATTGCGCAGGGATACGACGATGCCTGCTACTGGACTTTTGAAACCGGTGTACCAGATGTTTCACAAAGGACTGGCTCTGCCTTATAATTCAATGAGTATGAGAAGCAGCAGCAAATACATGGGAGTTGGAGGGCATTCGTCCGAGAACCAGGGTGTGAACCTCTAAAAGTGATCATTGAAGCCCACAACACTGTGACCGAGTCCCACAACAAGATCATCATAGGGTGGCCACGATTACTAGTGATTTACATTGACGGGAATGTATTTGAGGGCAAGATTGCTGCAGCTGCAATGATCGACGTTGGTGAAGAAGACTGCTGCTTGATGAGCCAAACAAGCAGCCATATCAACTGAGCCCTCCTAAAAGGACCGACTCATCAAGCTTGCTGCAGCCGCCAAAGGCCAAATCCGTGCTAAGGCAAAGGCCGAATGGGAACGGTCATGGAACCAGACCAAGGTAGCCAGGCGAACTAAGCGTCCGATTGAAGCCCACTCAAAGAAGGCACTCAATTACTGGCAAGGGATGCGAAAGACCACCACTTCGATTATGATCCAATTGCGCATAAGGAAGATCGGCCTGGCTGGCTATCTGGCCAAAACTAATATGCGAGACTCCCTCCAGTGTCCAAATAGGTTTGACTATAACAGCCGAAGATTCTACCCAGTAAAACTCACCACCCAAAACCTCCCACACACATGATACACCCACTCAAGTAAATATACTATTGAATAAAATACTAAACTATCAATTCTGGCAAGACACATTGCCCTACCTCCAACTATCCCCTTTCTACCTATATTCTCTGTCTCCTAGGAACTGGCTAGTGTCGTAGCCTATTTCAAATACGGAGGTTATATTATTTGCCACTGTTTATGAGGAGAGGCTTTTCGTATGGTAGAATTAGCGCTGCTCTGCTGATAATCTCATGTTATGAATTGTTGGGTCCCGGCGATCGACTCCCCAGGAGCGAGAGGAGTAAGCTCACATCCGCTGCTTTCTTGTTCGTTTTCCCTTTTGTTATCTCGAACCTACAACAGTTTTGGGTGAAATTAAAGGGATTAGATCCCGGTGATCCGGGATGGGCACTGACCACCTTCTTTTTGGTTCGTCTCTGCTGCTTGGAACTTGGAACGAACCATCCTCCGTCCATTTAGGTTGTGGGATTTTTAATGGACTGGGTCCGCTGACAGGTTGTGCGTTGGGCGGTCAAGTGTCTTCAATATAACTCGCGTAATGAGTCGTGTTTACTCTTACGTATACTTTGCTGTTCTACCGAGTACTTGAGAAATACTTCTCATCATCCACGATGATTTGGATACCACCTCCGACGGGCGATAGGCCGACGGCGCATCGAATCCCTGTTAGCCACCACAGTCATTATCTCAAATCACCTCGCCACACGCCTACCAGGGCCATTTTCCTTTGGGCTTCGCTTTAATTGCGTGACGGTTACGCTACCAGGAGCCCCCACTATGACAGGGGCGCTCGTCAAGGGAGGCCGGGAGAAACTTCACTCTGGCTGTCACCGATCACTACAGTACAAGTTCATGTAGGATAAATTAGCACTTTCACTCTAGAGATTTTTCGAAGAATTACCCCCACCAACATGCTTCCACGCAGCACGCAGCGACAGCTTTGGACAACAACGAACGTACTGATATACCTATCCCTCCAATCTGGCAAGAAGGGCCAACGTCATCTTCATCCCGCAGTTCCGCGGAGCGCACGTCTCTTAGCTCCGCAGTAGTTCCCCCGTAGTCCTACCGCCGGCCAAAGTCAGATCCTACCGATCGATCCGCCCGTCAAATGGCAACCCCCTCGGTCTACAAGGATCACGCTCTGAATGGGACTTTGCCTTTACTGCTAGGCCGGACTCGGTTTGGCTTGTTCTTACTAGAATAATGTGCCCCGTACCGGGAAGCGTAGTAGAACTTTGAATTGCTAAACAGTGTACAGCACTGTAAATTAGTCACTGCATTAGCGAGGACGGTCGCGTTGGGGTACGAACGCCTCTTATGTCGCCTCGCCCCCGACAGTGTCATGCATCATGCATGGAACGGTGGGCTTGGAAGTGGCTGCTGGGGGAGGGTGGTTGCGTGATTGTGATTGAGGGGATTTTATTAGCGTTTCGGAGGTTATGTTCTTTGCTACTGTTGATGAGGAGAGGCTTGTCATATGGTAGGATTAGCGCTGGTCTCTGCTTATAATGTCATGGTATGAATTGCTGGAACACGCAGACGTGGCTATGATTGATTCATCGGGATGATCGTGGCGAGGGCAATTTTCCTGCCAGAGGTTGATCGTGGTGGAAATTGCACGTGAAGGCCACTTTATTTTCAATTAGGCACGATATTTCCTAGGCATATTCGGTAGACATATGTAGGATTTAGAATACTACCCAGTGAACGGCCCTTGTGAGGCGTGTGGATATCTTGAGACAAAGGAAAGTCAAATGCAAAGTCTCGGCCTTTTGACACGAACTCGACACCGTTCAAGGCCGAGAGGTCGGCACCGAAGTCTCCTTGGCAATGGGTTTGACTCCGAAGCAATCACTACTCGGGTCCGAATACAATAATGGGATTGTTGTAAACTTCGTGACCTGAAGAAAACTTCGAGTATCCAAAAAAGCCCAACAGGAACAGTATCACTAGACTATGCAAAATTGATAATCAGGGGGGATACTTGAAGAAATAAGAAACCACCTAACCGACAGAAGATCATCGATTTCCATCTCTTCGGCAAATCGTTAATAAACCCACTCAGCTCCTATTTCCTCCCCAAGGCTGATCATCGCCATCGCCCCCGTTTCACGAACTCCAAGGCCCAGTCCTCGATCCGCGCTTATGGAAAGTAGCTGTTTATGGAAATGTAGCCGAGTAGTGAGCGGGTGCGTCCGTGTGGTTCAGACCGCTAGCCTAGGGGTGCACTCCACCCTCATCCCACCATCGGGCGATCGATTGAGACCAGACGTAGGAAGATGTACGACAGTAGGAACTCATACCGAGATACTCACTGAACGAGCAAGGCCAGCACCGCGAGTCCTGCGTCATCCATACATAGCTCCGCATCGCCTCCTGCTAAAAGTGTGCACCAGGACGCGCTGAGGAAAAGCACTCGGGAACCAATCGTAAAGCTGAGACGCTGACGCCCATTCCCACCCCCCTCGAGAAGCCCAAGTCATTGGGGATGACTCCATACGGACTGGTCCCAGAGGTCTGGGAGACTTTCCGCCCCAGCAAGCCGCACAGCCAAAAGGTTAGACATCTCTAACGGGGGCGGGTGATCAATGCCGGGGAGGCTGTGATGGACGAACTGGGCAGGAGTCTCTTCAGGAGGTGTTCCGAATGGGTAGTTGGTCTAACACGGCAGTGCGCATGGCGTTGGTGGGAGAAGCATAGTTTTGACACGGCACTTAGTTCCAGTAGTGGTCACATCACTTTCCCCCGAGGACCTATGAATAATCATTGATAATCGCCCATAAGTTAGAGAACTAACTAGCACTACCCAAAGGCCCGGCCAGGACGGACGGACCATGTCGAGCTCGGGTTTGGTTCCAGGAGGAGTAGGAGTGGGGGGGAAGGAACGGAGACCGATGGGGGATGGTCACCATTGGCGTCCGGAGGGTTGACCCACCTGCTAGGTGTAGAAATGACCACGGATGCTGAAGCGATGCTAAAGTGATGCGTTTGGGAGGGGATGCTCTAGCTCTAGGCTCCCGGGTGGTCTATCGGTCGTTACCTGGTGGTCGGTAACTGTCCTGCAGATTGGCCCATACGGCACCGGTGCATACACGCAGTCTATCCCGTAGACTGTACACTACGTATACAACTGTATACGCATGGTCAAGGGTCGATGAGAATCATACAGTACATACTAGCGTAAGAGTCCAAAGGTACGGAGTACTACGTATTATACGACTCTATCAATTATTATTACTATGTTGCCATAGTATAGGATCATCATCACCATCTTCCCAGGTTGATCCTTCTTATTTGTTTTTATTTTTCTTCTAAATTTTGCCCAGATTGCACGGGCAAGCGTCCTCCTCGCTGTACGCTGGTACATACCAGCCCACTTGGGGACCCGAACTGTCGGGTTTGGCCGAAACTTTGTAAGCGGTACGGACTGTAACTATATGTACAAACTCAGTGAACTATACGGTATACCATTAACACTATGTAAACTTGGTACATACTATAACCCCTGCCAAACTGCTGCAGCCCCATGTGCTCGGGTCCGAAGCTTTGCCTCCGTATACCCCGTCCCCTGGGAAATAAAGGAAATTCGAATTAAAACTCCCATCGCATCCTCATACTACCGTACATTCAAGTCTCCTGGTACTCGTATTGTAATCTTCCCCTTCCCTTTCCCTTGCCCTTTCGGTTGCCTCCAGAAGAGAGTGCTCTTGGGTCGTGGCCTGTTCGGCTTTGGATTCGTATTCTTATATTATTGCTCTTCCCTCATCCGTCTTCTTTCTTTTCTCTGTCCCTCCCCATCTGTCCAACTCCGACTCCTCACACTCATCCAACCCGCCCTCCCCGGGTGTTCCCTGTAAAACCAGACCCTCCGCGCCGGGTCCGAATCCCAACTCCACGGCTTGGGTTTTTCTGACGACTCCAATACCGATTCTCATTTCCCGCCCAATTCGACCACCACTTGAGAAGCTTTGAAATTGAGATTCCCCTCCCAAAGTCCCGACGATTCTGAATATTCTGGATGGAATGATCTGATCGCCCAACCGTTCCTCAATCGATATTGATATCGAGCTGCGACCGAGCATTCGCCAGTGCATTCTTGAAGCCCACTCGCAAATCGCATCAAAACCGGGCCCGAAATTCCCCTCCCGTCATGGCACCGCAAGACACTGCCGGCCGCCCCAGTGAGGACAAACCGGAGGGCTTTTCCAAGTATATCAAGCGCATGAAAACTGTTCTGCGCGCACGCTCTAGTTCGAAGCGCCAATCCGTGGTGGCCGCCCCCGAACCCGCCGAGGCATCATCAAGTACACCAGCGTATGCTTATACCTTTCCCCGCCACTCTCACTTCTTGGCTGGTCTCGTTATATGAGATACCCGAACGAGACACGATCAACTAACTAACGATCTCTTTTTTTTTTTAATTGCAATAGTCCTCCAGCTACAACCGCGCTCACCTCTCAGCCCGAACCAAACGTCCCCGCGGAACCAACGCTGGTCACCGATTACAGCGCCCTCCAACAAGAGAAAGCGCGCGCCATCTTCGCCAAATACGGCCTCACCCTCGAACCGGGTGAATGGAAATCTCCAACGGACATCCAATTCGCCCGAGTCACCAAGCCAATCCGCATGCGCGTCCACCGGACCTGCCACCGCTGCGAAACCACCTTCGGCCCGGAAAAGGTCTGCGTCAACTGCCAACACCCCCGATGCAAGAAATGCCCTCGCTTCCCACCAACCTGCGAAACGGGCGACAATGAGCAACCGCGCGTGCCCCGGCCTCGCGTCGCCGAAATTCGCGCCCGGCAACCGGGCACGCTCCCTATTACGCCGCATCTCAAGTTGACGGGTAACCCGGCGGCGCCGTTGGTGATGCCCTCGCGCACGGGCGGCCAGGATCTGGTTCGGAAACAGGTCGTTCAGCGTGTGCGCAGGCGGTGCCACTCGTGCGAGACGGTGTTTGCGCCTGGTTTGAAAGTGTGCTCGTCGTGTAGCCATGTGCGGTGCAAGAAATGCCCGCGCGATCCGCATAAGCCGGACAAGTACCCCGATGGATATCCCGGAGATGTGGAGCCTCCGAGACTGAAGCCTGAGCGAACGTACAGGAGGCCACGGCAGAGAGTGCATTACATTTGCCACGTTTGTAGAGCGGATTACAATGAGGGTGCAAATATGTGTGGGAAGTGTGGGCAGTCAAAGTGTGCGGAAACCATACGGATTCCGTAAGTTTTCGCCGTTTCCCGTTCTATGTGATGATGGATGCTGACTATTATTTTGCAGGCCGAAGAAGGTGAAACGAGAACCGGACCCCGAAGTCGTTCGGAGCGTTGAAGAGAAGATAGCATCCTTACGGATTGCACAGTGATGCCCTTGTCTGGTACAGCGCCTTCAATGCCCGTGCAAATCAATTTCAAATATCGTTCATAAAATTGCTACTATTGCATTGGAAATGATACTCCTCCATTTTCTTCCGGTTCCCTCCAGTCTAATTTCTGTATGGCAGTGATGAATACATCACATGTTCGTCGGTATGCCTTGATCCAAGGTACAACTTCGTACACCCATTACATCACCATTGTAATCACCATCTTGACCGTACTCCTCGAAATCATCCCCGGTTCAAGTTACACACAATTCTTGCATCCGCGTTCTCCCACGGTCTATCTATCTTCAAACAAAATCACTCGGCCAAAGGCCAGATCTCACAATCTTACCAACCCCGTTCGGGCCGAATACCAGCTAACTTCTAGCTACCCCGGCGAGTATTCCCAACAAGGCAGGAATCATAAGATCCACATTCGGGGGGAACGCGGTCCCGGCATCTCCACAAGGTCTCTATGGTCTCCAGATGGTCACTGCGTTATGATCAGGTTCCCACATTAAATCCTTGGGTAGATTACTCACTAGCTACGGAAATAGTAGCGTAGAACCCAGATTGTGCCATTTTGGGTGGGACGTACAGTCCTTACGTTATCGAAGATCCGTTTGATGACTTGGTTGAATGGTCTCCCCACTTTCCAACTGTTAATTCATTTCCCATCTCGTCAGGCTGCGACCGTTATTTCCATGCGATTGTAGCTCAGTTGAACTTGTAAACTCTATCACATAGCATAGGTATACCTACCCCATCAAGAGTAAAAAGAGCCGATCGGCTCGGGAGAAAAGGTAAGCTATACATCATAGATCCAATAAAATGCAGAAAGATGTACCACTTTCAGAAACAACTCTTTTGTTTATGTGATATGGGCAACAGAACACAATAGTAGTCGGTACGTGGCCGCCATGAATAACCTCCCCACGGTCGGAGCCGAGTGCCATTACGGGAATAGAACGGACCGAGCCGTTTAAAATGTGGGCTGGTTGGGACCCAGTGTGGTACCAGAGTTGGGAAAAAACAAGATAGAGGAGATCAGATTGTTCATTGTTCCATGGATGACTCCGTAAATACCCATAGGTATGGGCAAGAGACAACATGATTCAATATAATTGCCACTCTCGATGGACCTGAATCAGGAGCTGCATAGTTGTGGCAATGACCGTAAACTACTGTAGATCCACAGTACGGTACAGAGTACGCTATACGGAGTACCCAGACCTTTGTAACGAATTCCGTACGGTTACCGACCCGACAGACGGGACAAGACAAACATAAAGGCCGTACCGTACCAAGTGGAGTCGATCCACAATCGCATTTACATTGACAGCACGTTTTCACATTGTTTATTGGACGGGAGCTAGTCCCCGCTGCACTGGGATTTGCCCGCTCGTGAGTCCCGACAGTTTGGCACCGGCGCTTTGGCCTCGAAAAGACTGTTGCCTTATTTGGTATAGATCTGGTGAAGAGTATGCGGGCTTGTTGTGCTGGGAGGGTTCGACGATTCTTTTTTCCAGCGGAGTTCTGTGGGCGGGCCTGTCGGCGGATGTGGATTCTGATTGGTGTTGCTGGTGGTTGGAGATATATGGAAGGGTAGGATATTGGCAATTGGCTTTGTTTGCTTATGGTGTAAAGGTCAGAATGTATCCATCATGCAATAGTCGGTCAATTCCAGTCATTGACCTTTGAAGATGACATATGCTGCCGGCCTACCTTTTGAATTGGCCCGCGATTAGTTGCACAAAAGAACACATTCCCCCTCCTCAACCTCGCGGTTTGTCTCGCACTATGTTCTCGTTTACGTCTAGGCTACATCACTACTGCATCCTATGCTGCTGGTTACATCGATAGTCCCCTTCCTAGAAATTCAAGTCATAACATCAACCCCTGCGGACTGAAGGATCTAAGGGCGCCGGTCGCTGGGATGGCGGAATCCCTTGACAGGACGGCCGCGATGTTATCCACACTGAAAATGTACTATAATATGCTATGTTTGAGCTATTTTCTTTTGGCTTTTATGTGTAACTAACCTACACTATCTCTTTGGTAGCCACTGCGATACTTCCGGTACATCAAGTGCCATCCGGCATCCCTACCTGCTCTATTCTTGTTAAGCTCGAATAGCGCCGGATGCTTTGCAAGGTTCATTGTAGGCTGTCGCGCAAGGGGGAGCAGGTCCGCTCCGAAGCGCTGGGAATTTTCTTGATGTCCGGTTGGTCAGTCCGGATTGCAATGGTGGCTGGGATTGTGACTGATATCTTGAAGGTATTTTTGTTTCTTTGACGGGCGACGGGAGGGTCCTCCCAGGCTCCCGGGAGGACCAATATCGATGGATCCTAACGGTCGACTAACTTAATCAAGGAGATCCGACATGGGTCTAATTTAGCTTGAGTTTCTCCAATAGTCCCAGCGAGACTCCCTCGAGTCAGGAGCTGAGTGAGAGGGGTTTGAATCGTTCAAGTTGGTAATTTGGTTACTCGGACTATACTTGCTGTGGTACTGGCCCATTGTTGCGTCCTGTTTGACAACAGATGCGGAACTTGTCCACGCTGGTTCCAGGCAATCGGGCCATCCCTTGAATGCACCCGCCTGCAGATATGCAAAGGACCCTCGAATAGGATCATTCTACAAACGTGGAATCTCCGATTGGCGTGTCAGATACTCCTTGGATAATCAAAGTATGTATTTTTGACCATCTAAGATCAGCCACCCGTGACGCCATTTTTGAGACTCCTCCCGGAGCTTGGCACGTCAATCCATGATTTTGGAATCCACTAGGATTTTTACCCTCGGAGGCCTGTCACATAGAAAATTACTGTGGCCACTGCGTTGTATTGAATCTCAGCATCAACATGCTTTGTCTAAAATCTAGAGGCGCGGGGCACGGACTGTCTGAACCAAGCGGCTGGATCCGATAATTGGATCTATCAAGCCCTTCCGGCGAGCTTTAACCGTCAGTTTGCAGAGGCCACCGTACTTGCCTTCAACCCATTAGAGTCTAGCACTTTAGTCCGGGCCGTAGGGAGCTACTAGTAGCAAGACTCTCCTACTAGAATAGGTAAGGTGAAGGGGTTAAAGTTGTGCGTCTGACAGCCGCTGATACCGGCGATCAACCGGATTCACCGTAACACGGTGGACCTTGAGGAGAACCGAGAATTCACTCGGGACATGTGACATGTACATATCGTGATTGCAACGAGCAAACATCACATTGGAACGAGGGTAGTTTCCCGAGGTCGAGAATGTGGAAGAAAATAATTGAAGGCCTCTGCATGTGTCAGATGCCTTGAAAATCTAACTGACATCGGTCTCTTGTAGATTTGAGTCCAGAACCTGACATAGCTCGGTCAAGATCCTTGGAAGTTACCGTATTGTGAAATTCGGTCGGTTTATACACAACAATGCTCAAATGCTCAAATGCTCAAATGCTCTCAGTAAGAACACCCATTCACCAGTCAACATCTACATACAAATCTAAACTTCAGTTCTCTCTTGTGATACCGAGGCTCGGTTTGGATTGAAGTTGATATTGGTCTCCTACACTTAGATATGCCTCTTCTCACTTTCTTCAAACCTTGATCCTTCGGCTCATCTGCTCTGTTCCGGCAGATTTCTCAAAATCAATATTCTTGACAAGATCTACACGACGTCCCAGAGCCCGACGGATAATCCAATCCTTACTATTGATCTCTTCCTCAGCCTGATCATCCTCAATAGGAGGAATAAGCTCCGACCCATCCAGTCGTCGAAGCATAACATCATCCTCCGGCCGCGCAAAATACACCAAACTATATCTTGTTGAGTTCCCCTGGGCCCCCGGTGGTGCCGTGACCCGATGAATATTCGATCGAAACAAGCCATTAGTAAACTTTACCATTGCATCCCCGAGATTGACAATTGCATGACCCGGAAGTGGTCTAACGTATACCCATTCTGCATCAGCGCCGGGAGGAAGCACCTGTAATCCGCCCAGGCGGTTGAAGAGGACTGTCACGCTGCCGAAATCGGTATGCTGCCCTAGTGCAGTGCGCCGGTCATCCACTGGCTGTGGCGGCGCTTTAATAAAGCGCACTTGGTCGCCGCTGACGGCTTGCAGCCGATGGAGGTTTGAAAGTGTGCCCTCGGGCAGGGATAATTTGTCGTTGAGGATTTTCAGTATCAGGCTAACGATGGCATGGGAGCCTTGCATAAAGGATTTTGCCAGGTCACGGCTTTGGTGCAAGACCTCCGGCGCTGGAAGTGTATCGGTAATGCCCATGATGTCGTCTTTGGATATCTGAGATGGATGTCTTAGTCTATGCATGTCTCAAGTTGTCGACTTGGGCGTGTTGTAGGCACTCACATTGTAAAATTCATTTCTGTCCAGGTTCCCTTGACTGTCAACTACGGCAGCCCCTTGGCCCTTATACCCGAAGTACGAGTTCTGCGCACTAAAGTCGTACTTCTTCTTCTCTTCAAGACTCAATTCGAAGAGCCTTTCGCCAATGTGGAACAGACCATCTGCATCCCCGAGGAGCAATTTCCCATGTTCACAGTCTTGGAGATCCAGGTAAAAGAACCCGATGTCGACGGATGCTTCGTAGAGCCGTTCGAGCTCGGCTTTGTCCCCGGCCAACAGCTTGCTCAACGACAGCCGAAGAAGTGGCGCCGTGGGGACATCGTCCGGGAAAGGCGGGAGTCCGGGGAAATTATTGACGATATCAGTAAAGTTCGCTTGGGGATCCATGTTTGGAGGACTTGGAAGTTCAAGATAAGACAAGACGGGTACGTTTTCTATTTCAACCATCAAAGACAAGAGTAGAAACCTACAATAAAATGTTCGGTGACATATCCGAAATCTGTGACGATATCCTTTTGCGGGGAAGCGGTTGTGAGCCGAGGGATAGACCAAACCCAGAGTTCGGGGGTAGGACGCTTTCAACGTCCGAGCGAAAGAGTTCTGGACAAATGAAGAGGTCAAGATGCTGTTTATGTTATTCTATTACAAACCTATATCTCAATAGGCTCTGATCTTGCATTTCTGCTCCTGTGATCCAGTCACATCCGATACCCATATTTGGTGACGTAGATTTAGGAACCGGGCAACTAAACTACGGAGACGTCCATTTGAGATAAGAGCATTAAAGTCACTCAGACATCATCTTGCTCTATAGATTCGAACCGATGCCAACAATATCACCTGTAAGGCGCAGGGCGCACACCTCCAGTGGAGACTAACCCCGCTCAAAGATTTGGAGATACAGAGTGAGATCCTCCGCAAAACCACTATTTTGCACCGGGAACAGCTGTTCAGAATGGAGGCTGAAAAGATTTTGTGTATAGCAGATCTTGAAGCAGCAGCTTCAAAGATCCTTCCAGCTTCGACTCGAGGTAAACGAGCCCACTCTTACCAGATCATTCTCTCCAGGGTCCAGTGAGGGGTAACAAAATCTACAGACTTCTTCAATTCAGGTGCAACAAACCAGGTCACCATTCGTGAGAACTCCACCGCATACAGCAAGTATCGCATTCTACCTCGGGTCCTCAGAGATGTCTCCAAAGTCAACACCCAGATCAATCTATTCAATCGAGAAATAACTTTTCCTCTATGCGTGTCTCCTGCGGGTCTCCAAGGCATGGCCCATCCGGACGGGGAGCTAGCGACGAGCAGAGCATGTGCCAGTATGGGCATCAACATGGGTATATCATCTTATGCCAACCACTCGGTTGAACAAATTACCTCGGTTGGGACGGAGATCGGGCCTGTCCATCATGTCATGCAATTATACTCCATGACCGACCGTGAGAAAGAGGCACGCATCGTTCGCCGCGCAGAAGCCTCCGGCTGCAAAGCAATCTTCCTTACTGCTGATAGTCCGGTGCTAGGAGTTCGGTATAACGAATGGAGGAGTGGCTTTCTGCCCCCGCCGGGATTGGGCTATCCTATGGTCGAGAAGACGTCTGAACAGATTCAAAAGGAGTCGCATGATGATGGCTTCAGCTCATTTAACTCCAATTCACACTCTTGGGCAAGAGAGATTCCATGGCTTCGGAATATCACCAATATGGAGATTTGGATCAAAGGGGTCTTGACGCCGGAAGACGTTGAGACAGCGATTGAATATGGCTGCGACGGTGTTATCATAAGCAACCACGGAGGTCGACAGCTTGATGAGACACCTGCAACTATCGATGCGCTTCCTGCTTGTGCAAAGGCTGCTAGGGGTCGAATCAGGATTCATATTGACGGAGGTATTAGGTCTGGCACTGATATATTCAAAGCCTTGGCATTGGGAGCGGAATGCTGCTGGGTCGGGCGACCTATGCTTTGGGGCTTAGCAGTGAGTGTTTTCCTTTATATTCCTAAGCAATGACTAATGTGTTATATTCAAGTACAATGGCCAGAAAGGTGTCGAGTTGATGCTTGAAATTCTCTATAACGAATTCAAACGATGCATGCAGTTGGCCGGATGCAAGTCTGTATCCGAGATTAGCTCCTCGAGCCTTGCAATTGTACGACCAGACGGACCACTTGCACGACTTTGAGCCTTGAATTAGAATAACATCATAAAAATTTCGGTTAATTAGTCATATTTTTCAAGTGCATTCCATATACTACAGAGTCGTTCATCTCTACAGTAAGCTCTCGTGAGTAGCGGCCCTATCTTATCAGCGCAGGTGACATCAATTTTTCTCCAACTCCAACCCTCCAAATTTCAACTTCACCCACTTCAAGAGCTCTCGCGGCCACCAACACCCTCCCTTCACTATAGTCTACGGGCTCACAAACAACCAAAATGGCATCCTCACCGGCTCCACCAACCCATATAGCGCATACCCTCCTCGCACGCGCCCACTCTCCCGATACCGCATCCCAACAATTCACCGAGCGCATCAAACAAAAACCACTCTTCCTCCGCCCAACATCCCCCTCTGCAGCCGACAACCGCTCTCGCCGACGCCACCAGCGTCTTCGCAAGAAAGAATACTTCCTCAAACACCAGCGCCCGCAGCCCCTGTCCGCGCGCAAGAAGCGCTCCTCGGGTCTTTACGATTTGCCCAAGGAGGAATGCAAGCACTCTATCTTCCAGGGCTTGCATGCGCTCTGGGTTGGATATATGCAGGAGATACTAGACCTTAAGGTCAGTGGGCGCAGTGGTCTGGTTACGCCGGCGTCGCATGGGGCAAAGCTTGTTAGCGCGGATTATCATGGTGCGGAGGTGGAGGTTGTTCGGAGTCAGTGTGCGAGTCGGGTGGGGGTGAAGGGGATTGTGGTGCGAGATACGAAATTCACGTTTGTAATTATTACGGAGAAGGATGAAGTGAAGAGTGAGTTTTCAACGATGTCTACGAGCGGATGGAGAATGTCGACGCTGACGTTTTACCACAGCGATACCCAAGGAACATACGGTCTTTCGGTTTACAGTACCTCTGCCAGGCGGTGCGGAAGCTGAGGCAGAGGGAAAAGGAAATAACCAGGAAAAATCTATACCGGAAAGTTCGAAACCACTGGTCTTTGAGCTACATGGAAGTCAGTTTGAGAATCGACCTGTTGATCGGGCAAACAAGAAGTTTAAGTGGAGGAACATCGACTATGTATAGGCAGGCCTATATTTATTGAATCAATGACCCATGAATATTTATCTTGCATACCATTAATGTCAACGACTTGGTTAGATGCGGCCTTTGAAAATTTGAAGCCTGAGTACAGGATGATGATATTGAGAGTCTTGCTAGTATGTGACAGCTGAGGCAAGCGCCGTGAAGGAGAGATTGCATATGTTGATATCATTTAGTATGTGGACCTAGATGTCATATGTAGATGTTGGTATCTCTGATGTCACAGATTTAGAGCATGGCGTTTTCCAGCCACGGTATGTGGTCGGCGAATGATATCAGCCGTCGAGGGGATATGCATGTCGGCATCGTTCTCGGCGGTATCAGACCATGGTTCCAAGAGCGTAGAGTTGAGAATCCATTGGGCATTAAGCGTTAACAGGACGCTTATCTCGAGGTGAAGATGAAACATGGTCAAAGGTGACCTGACATCGCTCCTTGGAAGAGGGTGCGCGACTGTGTGAAACAAATGGCAGTCGCTGAACAATATCCCGTGAGATTTCAAGCAGCTTGTACTCGATGGGGATTGGTTGTCTCAGTCGAATTGAGTCAATAAGACGATCGGGCCCCAAAAAAGTGGATGAGCACTTTCTTCGAAATCGCTCACATGCCAGCCCATTCGATGCTGAAAGTGCGGACAGTGTCGATGCGATCGGCATCAGACTTGACCTCATCCCGTCCCATCTGGGGTCCACCCAAAAGGAAACCTTTCTTGACACCGGTTCCCAATCGGCCACCATTGACGATGTCCATCAAGTCCATTTCCTGGTCCCACTCCGCGGAGACGACGACGAAATGGGAATGGAATCGAAGCGGATCTCCTGGATACGCAACGTATTGACATCCGAAGCGTAGACCAGGCGAAAGGAAATAGCCTCGTGAATGCAGGTGGGCAAAGAGCGGATATGACAGCGGCACTTCGGGCTTGGAGAGATATTGACCAGACGAGGAGACGGGATGAGGCAATGGCGGATAGGAAGTAGTAGGTGTGACGCCCATGGCTTGCTGAGGTGCTGGTGTGCTTGTGCCAGTGGTGCGAGACAGAGACGATGTCTCATCCTCTGCGGCAAAGACCGAGTTCGATTCGTCTTTCTCGTTCGAAGCAGGGACTAATGAAGCGGCGGATTGAGCATCGGCGGCGGCCTTTGCAGCCTTGGCGGCTTTGGCTGCCAGACCTTTGGCCTTCTTCTCGTCTATCTCCTTCAAGGATTGTTCTCTTAGCTGGTCCTTGCGATCGGCCAAGATACGCATGGCAAGCTGGCCTTGGGATTCTAGGTCGCGGAGATACTGTCGACGATCCTCCTCTAGGAGCGATCGCATGCCATCGTGTGCTTTGGCTTCGTCTACAATGCAAGCTACACCCTGGTCCACCAACACTCGTGCCTCCTCGGGCATCAATTCCAGCGGCAACCCCAGGAACACATTCTGTTGCGGGATTTGAGGAAGGGTCCCGATCAACACGCCGCAAATATTGTGCTCGCGTCGCAGATAAGTGACGGCGTCAATGGAGAAGAGCAGGTATCTACCAGATACATAGGATATCGGGATGGGAAGAGTAGGTGTGGACTCCATGGTCAAGGATTCATTCGATTCATGTGAAGCTGAAGAGAGGCTTTATGTTAGCCATGGCTCAAGAACAGTGAAAAACTGATCAAAATGAAAAAAAGAAGTTTTTTCAAGGCAAGTCATTTTCAATACGTTTCTCGTCACCGGTGCTCTTTTGAGATATTAAATCGAGCTTCAGGGGATTGACAGATTTGTAGATATATAATCATGCAAGGTGGAAGTGGGAAAAGGGTATTGCGAGGGAAAGCTTACCATTAAGAAAGGCGAGTCCGTGGTTTGACCAGCAAAGCCAGAGACTCGAAAAGTGGGAAGAAGCCAAAGAGGGAAGAAAAAGAAAACGCGAAGCGAGTTTTATGAAGAGCTCGGCCGCGCTTATCCCCTTTGGGAACCTCTGGTCTTGGCGTTCCTCTGTAGCGGGAAGACGCGGCCAAACGTCCATACCACGCTGCTTCTTGTCGCAAATCACCGTCAATATGAACTTCCTGCTCTTGCTGTTCTTAGTCTTTTTCGCGCCCTTGTTGCTTTTTGTCGGTAAGATTCATGCCCTCGGGTCCCTTGCCATTGTGAGGACTCAGAGACGAGTATGGTCGCTGACATTCTACCAGTATGGCTGGCAGCTTCCTCGTGTCTAGGAAATCGCCTTCGCACTCGAGGCGGCAGATTATCAGTACGACCAGTCCTGGACACGTATGGACAGAGCTACCTTCGAACCATGGCCAACTCTGGGGCCGCAATGTCAGAGCAAATTGAACTCGACGACATGCTAGCCGAACCAGGAACTCGCCGCCACTTCGACGAGGAGGATTGATTGCTGATTCAACCAAGCAATTGACCTCTTAGAACTCGAGGTCTGATTTCTTCGGCATACCGCTGGATGCTGATGCATCTTGCGCTTCCGTATCGCCTTCGGCGGGCGGCAAGCTAAACGGCTTGATCTCGAACCGCCGACGGCTGAGAATAAATGCCCAGTCTTGTCCCACATTCTGGTCGCTCCCACCGCCACGCTCATGCAATACCGGAAGTCTGTGTGTCTTCAGCATGCCTTGCGGAGGCTCCTCCACAGATGTCGCCGCGCCCGAGGTAGCGACCGCATCCGCCGAATGAGGGAAGGGGCAGAGCTCGATCACGCCGTCACTCAGCAGCTCAATCCAGCGGACCAGACCCGACGAACGTGGAAACAATGAAAGAGGGAGCGTGATCATGGCCGTCACTCGCGTGGCATATGCGCTCATCAATGCCTTCAATGAGTGGAAGAATTGTAGGACATATTCGGGCTGGCAGGCGTTTGGCGGGTACATGGTGGGGTTCAGTAAGGTTGGAATCACGATGCGGTGGATGGTGTTCGAGGCACTCGAGCTGATCGTGGTCTGAAGCTGCTTCAGAATAGAGGCGAATGGTGAATCTCTCGAAGGCACGATCGGGACAAAGGACATGTTGGTGATGGCGGGGTGGGTAAGGCGCTTTGTGAGGTCAAAGGCATGGCAAAAGGCTGGCTTCGCAGCGGCATCGTTCTCGCTAGTTGACATAGGAGTGGGCGCTGTATTTTATGAGCATTTTGGGAGCTAAAGTCAGACCTCAAGACATAGTTACTCACCATCTCGCGAGCCTGCGACGCCCGCACCAAACTCGCCTAGCCGTTCGTATCGCCACGCAATCTTCATCTTCTCATCCTTGCGTCTATCCGATCTTTTCTCCTGCAATGATTCCGCCGTCCCGATCAAACCTGGCAGACTACGACCCCACTGCTCAGGAACCCCGACCACGTGAAGCTTTTGCTCTTGAACGACTCCCTCTGCCGCATAATATCGGAGCAATGCGCCAGCAAAATCCGTAGTCCCATTCTCCTCAATCAATAGTATTTTCCCCATAGGAAGTCCTGCATGGCCAGCAAGCAGATTGTCGAGCGATGGCGCTCCTGTAGAGGTGGTTGGCCGTCCATCGTCTGGTGAGGGGCGTATGCCTGGACTGGTTTCAGGCGCAGCTGGCTGAGAGGCATTGGGAGCCGCTGCACGGTCGACACCTGCAGACAGCCCAAGATTTCGCTTGCGAAAGGACATGCTGACCGAATATCAATGTGCGACGAGACTGTAAACTGAATGAAGTTGTGGAAGCTCCGCCGCAGTGGAAATCGTTATCGGCGGGGAACCAAAAGCGGCAGAAAAAAAGAAAAGCTTCAAACTCCGCCGCAACTCGACCGATTCCTCTCCACTCCTTCAACTACCAACATCCCAACCCCAATTCGCCCACTGCGGACCTTCAAGTCACTGGTATCTTGCAGTTCTTTACATCGCGAAACGCACCATCTCCCCTTCGCCATTCGACAAGCCGCCGCGGCGCAGTAAAAGCTCAAAATGTCCGACCCAGTCCTGTTCGAAGACACCTTTACGATCAACTCGATCAACGCCCAAAAATACGATCGCGTCTCGCGTCTTGAATGCGAGAACCGTGACAAGTCCATCACTTTCACCCTCGATGTGAACACCGAGCTCTACCCATGCGCCGTCGGTGAATCGGTGTCTATGGCTATTGCCTCTACGCTTTCCCTCGATGGCAAGGAGGACAACCGCACAAGCTGGCGCGAGGTCAGCAATGGCGAGCCCAGTCTCGCCGATGATTACGACTATGTCTGCCACGGCAAGGTTTACCGGTTTGCGGAGGGTCAAGAGAAGGATACCATGTGGGTTCTTGCCCGCAGACATGCTTGATTCGCAAGAAAACTATACTGACAACTGCTATTTAGGGCTGTTTTTGCCTCATTTGGCGGTCTTCTTCTCTACCTCGTTGGGCCTTACAACAAGACTAACCCCCTGCGGATCGATCACGTCTACCTGCTCCTGAAGAAATAAGTGAGCAGTGGTCGACTTTTTCCGTCCTTGTTGCATTGGTGTGAAGCTGCCGGGTCTCGAGCTATCTTACGCTCGGGATCAAACGAAATTCTCTGAGATTTACTCAATCTGGGGCAAATCTCCTTCTGTTATTTATCTCTTTATCGGGTTGTGCAGCGCTGGCGTTTTTTCTTGCATTCTGATTCGGGTGTACCAATAGATGATCGTTAATAAAATTCGATCTTCACTTGAGTATTACTTTTCGCTCTTATTCGAACACAGATGGTTACGGGTATCAAGACTTGCTCTCAAAAGTCGTTGGGTGTTTCCTGGGCTTTCAGCTATGAACGGATCGATGATGCAAAATGGAAATCCATAGCATCAATCGCTCAATATACACTGGATGGCGCATATTATGCGACTTGAAATTCCTGCTCTAAGGACTATTTGACTCAATTTTGCTCTTTGGACAGCCTTGAGTTCAAAAGAGTTCAGGTTGCAGAAATACCAAGTCCATCGCCATACCAAAAGCTATTGCTATCAGGAATCCCATTGATGATGACTTGACAGTATCAAAGTTTGCTTTGGAAGTGCTTGAAGCTGAGGCTGACTCTTGCAGTGTAGAGTTAGTTGAAGTAGCCGTCATGCGGCTTTGCTGCGACGCGGTTGCCCCTAAGGACGTCGCAGCCTGCGTTGCACTCGAGCTTGAAGATATCGTGTTGAGAGCAGCGACGACCGAGAAATCCAGTGCGTCTTAATTATATACTGCTTTCTTGAGCATCGTCGATTGTACCTCAGCAAAGACTCGCTGATGGGGCAACATATGCAGTAACTGGACAGTCTTTGCATGGCGTCCATTAGGTCGAGGGAACAGGATGTCAACCTCCATAGATGTTGGTGCTCAAACTAAGCAACGTTAACCGAAGCACTGATTAGCATTATCAATCAGGAGATCGCCTTGATCGTGAACATATAGCTCCAAAAGAGTTTCACGCTGACTGCACAATCTCAATTGCTAGGCGTTGGACTGACATGATTGAGCATTACTTGCTTATGATCTCGATTTCTACTGCCAACTGCGTAAAGCTCAGGAGGCCGGTGGCCATAACACCTGCCGGATTAGATTGATAATTTATTTTTTTTACCAAGAACTTTGCTAGGCGCTGCGGCACTTTTGAGGCCTGCGTCATTCAAGATGCGATTCATATGGTCGAAGCTATCGCGTAATATGATATCAACTTGACAGGTACCGAATTCCACATTTCTCCACTACTCCAAAACCATAAGACCTCGACGAGGTCTAGTCTTGTGTACGAAATTGACCAAACTTGTCAAGCACCTCCTGAATCTGCTATGGACTCATGCCCGCCTGGTCTCTCACCCACAACGACGGCTGCTCGTATGAGTCCCATTGCCACCCAAATCCAGCTACTGTTCCTTTATCTTCGTCTCTGACAAATTCAAGGATGCCCATTTTGTAATGATGCCAAGCAAGCATACCTCGAGAAAGCAATGTTTCCAGATCCAGAGGTAGAAAGCTCAACATATCTGCATTGTAGGGCTCCAGAGCACATTGCGAGGCAGGATTGTCACCAAATTGTACAGCCAACTGGGCGGGCTCGTTGCTACTGTCATCGCTCTGAGTAGCCAAGATGCTGATGCGTACTGTATTCAGGCCGACGTATGTCCCTATGAAGTCTTTCAAAGCGCCAGTGAAACGCGATGTATCACGGCCCCGCCCCCAGTCGCCTATCATGGATGCATGGCTCCGGAGGCAGCGGTCTCGAGAGTCTCGCAACGGCTGAAGTGAACTGACTCGTGGCTTCAGGTTAAACAGAGCCTGCAACATGATGCGAGATGCTGTTTCTGCTGCGTCTCCCGCACTGGCAGCATTGCTCAGAGCAACGATAGCGGTGCGATCGTCGGGGAAAACGTAAGCTGTCGCGACAAAGCCGTTGGAATTACCATTATCGCCATACAGAGTGTGTTTGGTAGAGTCTTTGCCGAGAATTTTACTCGCATGAAGGTAAGTCCTCTGTAGATCTCCAGATCGGTTGTAGGAGCAAATGCCCAGGGCAGCAGTGGGCATCGTGGTACGGTACCAGCCCAGGGTGTAAGCAGAGTTGTTCTCAAAGCCGTCATCTACTGGCCGTGTCCACCAGTAGTTCCACATGGGTCCTATCTGCTGCAACGGATTTGTCGATCTGGAATTGACAAGGGGCTGCAGGGTGTCCAGTCCGCGCTCCTCATCGAACTGGCTCATGACAGCCGCCATGAAAGCAAGCATATCGTTTACTGAGCTGCGCATTGCAATACTGGCAAGTACTGGCCCGTGAGCTTGAGCCGCCATGTTGGTTGCTACCTTAGACCATCTACCATCAGACAGACGAACGTAGGGAAAGGCGATATTTGCGTTGGCTTCTGACACGCTTTCCATGACATTCGTGTGGGACATTCGCAGCGGCTGAAAGATGCGCTTCTGTAAGAACTCAGAGAGTGGCATCCCAGAGACCTTTTCGATTATTTGTGCCAGCAATCCGAAAGCAACGTTGCTGTACCACCAGTCCTTTTGGAATCTTTGACCGGAGTCGTTCGCGGTAGGAAGAGCATTGACGAGGGAGATATGGTCCTCTGTCTTGTTGGAGATCATGCCTCCAGGTCCAGCAATAATTGTGGAGGCATCACCAAGACCGGGAGAGTGCCGGCATAGGTCGATGATGGTTGCCTTTTCCCCGATGGTTGGATCTCCGAGTGGGTCAAACGTAGGAAGGTGGTTGCGAATGGGGTCACTCCATGCCAGTCGATTGTCGCCGACGAGGATTCCGATTGCTGTACAGGTGATCATTTTCGAGCAGCTGCCAATAACGTATGAAGTGTCTTCGTCGGCTGTGAGCTCGGCTTCGCAGTTCCGCAGACCGTAGCTCTTTCGAAAGATTGGAATATTTTCAAGGCCATGAATGATACCAACAGATATGGACGGAGAATTGGCAATTTTTGTCGCTTCCTCCACATCCTTCCAAGCAATTTCCAAACGATCACGACTTCATATACCTCGTTAGTAATACCCAGAGCACTGAAAGAATGATACTGACATTTTCGACCGAGCCTCAGACCTTTCCATTGTGCAAAGCTTTCTTAGAATAGTCGAAGTCCAATAGTGAAGGGTTAATTTGCCGATCCTCTGGGCAGCGAGTGTTAGATAGAAGTGAAGAAAGTCGGGCGTATGAGAAATGGCAAACAACGTTGGAGGGCTGCTGGGCGAAAGGTTAAACTAGAACGTTGAAGGAGATTTCCGGGAAACTCACAAACAAAACCAAAGGATTTGTGGTACTTTCCCTCTTTTATTCTTTTCTATCAAAGAGGACGAATGGGATTCTGGAGAGTGGCCGAAGTAAACAGCAGGCAAGCAAATGTGTACAACGTAGAGAAAACAGCTTGCTTGCTGGGAGGCTCTGTACTAACTGGTGATATTCCTTTGTATAATGATTGTATGAGCTCTCTACCATCGTCCTTTCTCGCTTTCTCTCTCTGGATGTTTTCATTTCTTTTGAGACACTGCTTAACGCAATACAATGCATACCTTTTGCTTTATCTTCCGTGCTGCCAAAAGTGCTTGATCCCCCTGAAATTTTCAGGCATCGCTCTAGCTAACATCCGCTGACCTAGCGGCCCTTGGAAGGGCGTATTGCTGCTGCATTCAACTGGGTTAGGACTATGGTCATTCCACAGCTCTGTAATTACCTTCAGAAAGATCCTGACTAGTACTTCTGTAGCCTAGAGATTAATGAGGTCTCTTTCTCCCAAAGCTGAGTATCATCGCCGCAATTATTTTAAACTTGGCTTTTGACACTGTACCCGGAACACGTTATTACGAGGGTCATTACAGTAAACAATAGCTTTGACGCACTATTTTCGGACAGCAATCAAGTGCTGCGCCTAATCTAGCATCCATACAACATGAAGCGCCACCCTAGGTAACCATACATTCTTTCGATACATCAACATTGACCCATTATGTATAGAGTAGTCGATTCTGTAGATCCCTCAGACTCTACCAACTCTGAAAGACATGATTTATATGCTTCTTAGTAATATGTATTTGACAGAGAAATCTTGAACGCTGGGCCCAGCTTGTACAGAGACTGTACATAAAAAATCATCATGCAATATTCAAGGCGCACGAAATAATGGTCGATAACAAGACCGGACTTATATGCAGGCTCTATTTCATGCAATGCGAAGCGGTTGGGTGTTCCATACGACGATGTAAGCTCGCCATAATATCCAGATAATCCGGCTCATTCTCGGCGGTCAAGATACCATGGCGAATGAAGAAGTCAAGAATGACGATCGCGCAGTTTGGCTTGAACTCACCGCGAGCCATTGCCTCTTTGACCTCATCGACCGAGAGCAGGTTGAATTCTTCGACCTCGTTATCGCAGGGTTTGGGAATAACCGAAGCATCGAGCTTCAGGTCATAAACATATTCCACCTCTGGTTGCAAGAGGCCAATCTCTCCGCCAGCACGAGGGTCCCTTACATGAGTATATGTGACACAGCCCACTGGGACGATGGAAGCGCGAACGACTGACTCGGGAAGGGAGGCTTCCTCCATGGCCTCGCGGACGATGCATTCGAATGGCTTCTCGCCAGTGCACATTCCTCCGGCAACGGTGTTGTCCAGCATACTGGGGTAGGTCTGCTTGTTCTTTGCACGGCGGGGAATCCAGAACTTTAAGCCCGTCGCATCCTCAACGTATCCGGTCATGTGGGCGCCGTAGGAGACGATACCGAACAGCGGTGTCGCACTGCGCTCCATCTCCAGCAGGTATTCACCACCAGGGCCATAGACGGGATACTTCTCATTACGCCATCCTCGGAGAACCTCGAAGCAGTCCGCTTTGACAGCTTCGGCGATGCTCTGGGCAACCAGCTCACTCCGATGTGCGGGATCGGCGTCTGCCGACGTGAGCAGGGTGACTGTCTGGGCCGCAGAGTCGACTTCCCAGATCGCCTTTGGCCAGGGGAATTTCTCCACAACTGTGTTCAGGATATACCCCAGCGTGACATCGTAGCCAGACACGTGGAACGCATAGTATTTTTTGAGATTCTCCGTGTAAGCGACACGGTTATCCTCGTAATAGGGAAAGCTGAGCGTTACATAAGAAAACAGAACGGCAAGCGGGATAAATATAAAGACGGGTTCAGTACTTATCGCATTCGCGAATCAGATCCAGGTTGGACTTGGCCATCTTGTTAATATTCAGCCAATGCAGCTTGTATGCACTTATTTACACAGGATAATGTCTGCCCGATGGGGCTTTCCTATCTCGGCTGCCGCTGCTTCCAAAATCAGCACGGGCTCAGCCTCAGTGATAGTCATGTGATGAATGACTAATGCCAGTTGTCTGTTAGTGGCCAATCAGTGCTTGCTGTCGGAACCCAGACGAATAAGCCATATGGCCGCACCAATAGACATCATAATGAGTCTAAACTGTTATGAGGCTCTTAAGACTCCCCCACATAAAGAATAAGCTGGATCAACAAAGCGACATTGGTTAGCGCGTTGCTTGAGATCCTCCATCCACCAAGAGGGGAATGGATGTCACATGACGATAGGTCGAGGCTAACCCTTTCCTTCCCCGACTACTGTATACCTTCCTCCCGTAACTCGAACTACACGGTGCTATCATCTTGGCCATGGTGACTACGATATCCATCTTTTCGAAATGATAACTCAGGGAATACAGACGTTGGTCGATATTCAGTTGGATGCACTTGAGAAGCTCCTCTATTACAGACCAACCTCTATAGTCGGTTGGTTGGGTGATATCAGTGACCCTGACCCCGCGCTCGAAAGTTGGAATATATCACGGTCCACTAGGCTAGGTAGGGATGTGTATTTTGGTCTTTTTGGGTCAACAACTTCAAAAGTGATCTGCGGACTACCTCAAGACTTGGTCCATCAGATAAGACAGAGGTTAAGCCAAAGCAGCGGAGAATCTCCGTCCCGCGCATGCCAAGCCCTTATCGTCGCGATAAGGGCAGCTTCCCCCTCCTTATGTCACCGGCATCATCCATTCTGCATTCCGCCGAAGGCTTTACTCGAACCTGCTAGAAAGAAGGCGTTGCTACTTTTGCCAAGGCCAACTCCTCAATTCATCTGAAAGACCTACCATACAGCTCAATATCACCAATTGAATCGACCTGCCACCCATGTTTTCCGTCGTCATCCCCGGCCGGCCGTGTCTGACAGATATCATCGCCGTCGACAGCCAGCCCAATGGCCAAGCAACCAAATTTGCCTTCACAATTCCCGTCAGCCCTTCCTTCTCCGAGCTCGTTGTCTTCTTCCTCCCCGGCACAGTCCTCCCACCAAACACCGGCGCTGCCATCTACATCCAGCTCCCAGACCCTAACACGGGCAACCCAACCGACTTCCGATTCATTGGCGCGCTAGCAAACGAGAAACCCTCCGGCATCTTCAAGATCGAGGCACCATCACAAGCAAACAATGGCGCCGGCCGCAGTGAGGCCGAACAAGAAGACGCAATGCTCGACGAGGGCTCCACCGGCAGCGCAATCTCGTCAAACGGCGTCGCAACACTAGGAATCTCAATCGAGCCCGTCCAGAACATCGCGCCACAGCTCTCCGCGCTAGAAGCAGAGCGCCCATCCACCTCCACCGCGCTAGTCCCACAAAACCCCGAGCAGCGCCAACAAAAGCAGATCTCAACCAAGATGCTAGCGCAGCGGATCATCGGTAGCGCATTCAATTTCCTCGCCAGCTTTGCCGAGAGCGATCCGGCTAATAAGGGCCACGAGGTAGTCCCTTTGAAAAGCTTCCGGGATTGGTGGACCAAATTCGAGCGACGCATTGATATGGATCCCACGTTCTTGGAGCGAGAAGATCCCAATGCAACGTAAATTGAGCAACGCCCAACGCGCAACGCGGTGAGCCGAGCCAAGCCGAGTATATTAAGTGTGCTGCGTGGGCGCGGCTGAAAGATCCGCCCGTTCCCTTTCGTTTCGCCATCGACATCCCTGCTTGTGGGGTTTTCGTGCATGTGGCTGTGTTTCAGGAGTAGCTGATTTTTGCATTGAGCGATTGGCATTTGATTTCTCAGATCTCTTTTTGGTCTCTTTGGTCTAATTCTGTGTCCTTGTTCAGACATGACAAAAAATGACTATCGTCATTATACGCTAATTGAGAAGAGCTTGTGTATCACTAAAAAATAAGTTTCAATCACGTCGAATTACTTGCATATTGAGATCTCGGAGCTGAAGGTAATTTTTTTTATCATATACAAAAGGGGTAGTTGGTATTATATACAAGCCCTTCCATTCCAAAAGACAGGCCAATTGCGCTGGCAGAATGCGTACACGTAACGGCATAAGGAAATCAAAAATAGCGAGCCTTATGCAACCAGCCTGGGTTTTTCACATCCACCAACGCCTGCAAATGAAATCAAAATAGGAGATATAGAATCAAGACAGATCAGACTTCTGAGCCGCTGTCATTGCGTGCAATGACGAATCCGGCCGCAGGCGGATGCCCGGTGCGTAGCAAAGACTATACAATTCATCGACATACGTCGCGGGAGTAGTAATAGCGTCTCCGGCAGCAATGACTGCATCATGAGAATGTCCCATGTTTTGCGCTGCATTTTCATTGAGCCGAGTGACGTCGACGCGAACCTCTTTCTGGACTGTGATATCGCCCAAAACGGGGGCCTCAACGAGTGATTCTCGGGAGTGACCCGAAGCAGCAGATGTAAAGTGCTTGCGTGAGGGCCACAATTTCAGAATCGTCGAGCGCGTTGTCGACATCACGTCTGATTCAGTAACGGACGAATTCGAGCGGACATCCGTGCAGAAGAACTCCTGGTTTAACTCGCGAGAGAACCCGTCTCGATCGGCGATAACGTCGTTGACTTGCTGCTGTACGCGGAATAGACGGAACGGAGTGAAACAAAAATCGGGATTGGGTACCTGGGTGTCGAGAGGGGCGACGACACAGAATGAAAGGAGGGTACATTGGGGCGCTTGCTGCCTCTCTTCGGATTGTCGGAGGGCAGTGCGGCAGGGGGCAAGGAGAGGTCTAGCCGAGAATGAAGCAGCTGAGCGCATATCTTCTGGGAATGATTTGGCGAGCGTCATGATGCCGTGCAACAGATTCTCGCGGAATGTTTCCATGTTGGCATCGGTTTGTTGGGCGGCTTTTGATTGCAGGTATTTCAGACATGTAATCATGGACCAGCCTTCCATGTGGGAAATAAGGTCGAGATGTTCAACGGAGAGACGCTTCATGGGAAGCGTTGAGGAAGGGAGTGGGTTTCCGGTTCCCTTGGTGGTGAGAATTTCAAAGTGATCTTGAACGGTAGGTCGCATCACGTAAGAGATGAGGTGCACACCTTCTCCAAAGCCACGGCTCGAGCTGGCATAATCGCGCATATCACGGAGATGCTCCGCGAGACTCGCTTCGGGAACGTGAATACGGCGGGACAGAGTCGCTGTAACGTGTTCGATAGTTGCGAATCGGAATCCCAGCGAGGAGAAACGGTTGGCTTCATGCTTTTGCAATTGCCGAACGCTGAAGATCAATTGACCTTTGCCAGTTCGCAGCGATGAGCGGCCCATGGCGCGTGACAGTCGAGAGACCGGGATGGCAGTGGACAGAACATTGTCATACAAGGTTCCCAGATCAGAAAGCGGTTGGCGAAGTTCGTCCGACAGTTCCTGGGCGGTTACACAGAAGAGGTGCTTAAAGAGGGTATCGAAGTCGGTTTGCAGTTCGGTCTCCTTGTCCATGACAACTCCACGAGATAAGACATGTTTTTGAATGGCTTGTTCTTCGGATTCAAGACGGTTTCGCATGAAGGGGATAAGGTCTTTGACGACAGGCCAGTTACGGCTAGCCCTGAAAGCCCATAAGAAGGTAGGGTGAGTGCGAGTGAGATCGTCATCTTTGAAGGTCTAGAATCACGTTAGATGAATATCGTTGCAGTCTGATAGAGAGAAAAGGAAGCATACTCGGCCGATGTAGTGATCGACAATCTTTCGTGTCGGTAGAAGGGCCTGAGGTGTAACCATCACACGTCCAGCTGGATCGAAATAAGCACAGGCGAGAACAAGTTGGTGCGCACGAGTAGTCGATCGTCGTCGATTACCCCCAGCAATGATTGCACAGGCAGATAGAATCACGCAAGAGCAGCAGGCCTAAGAAAGACGGTTAGTTCCAATTCGTACCTCCTCCTCATGTCACTTAGATCCAGTGAGAACTCACCAGCACGGCGCAGATAATAACAACCTGACTGCGGGACAGTTGAGTGCCATGCTGAATCTGCTCGTTGCGCTCTCGATAGGAAGTTCCAACGGCGGCTGTCCAATGCATTCCCGACACGGCAGCCGAAAGGAAACAAGCACAAATCCCCCGTCGCCACCAGCTATCCGTCCAAGTCGCCCTCCATCGGAAAAAGATGCCCAGAGCCACGGTGCTGGAGAATACGGCAATGATGGCAGACCCAACCACGTTGGCGACAGCATAAGAGCACTTGTAGTTCGCGATACCGAGCTGCCCCACGTAGTGCATGCCACACACGGAACTTCCAGTCAACAATCCGCCCAGCATGATACGCCAGTAACCGGCTTTCTCTTCGACGCCGACGGAATAGAAAGCCGTCAGCAGCACGATGACGGGTAGCACAAACGATGTTGCCGTGAAAGCGACGTTGTAAAGAATTTGGACTTCCTGCGCTCCATTACCGAGGACAATGGCTCTGTTTCCAATAAAATGCATGCACCAGATTCCAATACCGCCCATTGTAATAGATGAGGTTAACAGTAGATACCTTCCATTGCTGTCAGCTATGGCAGGTCATTTGTGCGAAAGCGAGGCATGTCATACCAGTTATAGAATCCGGATCTTGACGTCCTTCGATGGAGAAGCTCCAGTGTCGTCGCACATCCCATCGAACTAATTACGTAGGACAGGAATATATATCCCGCGAGGTACGAGACGTGCATAGCGGTCGCATTATGACCCGACATATTGGATAACGGTGTCGCGAAATGAGCTACAACGCCAGCATTGGCTGAAGAGGGTCACCGTTGTTCTAGCAGCACGACAAGGGGAAATAGTCGCAGTGGACCGTTGGGGGAGAGAGTGTGTGTGTGTGAGAGAGAGAGAGAGAGAGAGGAATTGTACTAGAACATGAAGGAGACAATTCGCGGTGAACTATCAAGGATAGCGATGATAGTGGGAGTAAACAAATCAAAGAAAGGAGCGACGAGCATGCGGCACCATAAAGCCGGGTTTCCTTCGACCCAACAGCCTGGCCGGTGGTATCTTATAACATAAATGACTTGGAAGCACTCTTCCCAATCGCAGGCCCTTCACTAGGCTGACCGGGGTCATCTTTGCATCGCAAGCCTGGACCCAGCGCCAAAAGTCAAAGCTAGTGCATGCAAAAATCGGACAAATAACTTGCCCCGTGGGCCACTGATATCCGATCCTAACCCAGATTGGTCTCCACATCTTGATTGGTGGCCTGCAGGCAGTGTCCCTGTGAGACCTTTCGCGTGGCACTACGGAAGTACTGACGCAGACATTAGTATATCCACACATGCCTATCGTGCTTGTTGGCAGAGAACCGAGCCCTGTCCAACGAGCACCATCAATAGGTTTGCCAGGTGGAATGGAAGAGTAAACAGAGTGAACAGAGTAAACAGAGTGAACAGAGTAAACAGAGTTTCAGATTGATCGATGTGATCTCCCATGCCGAAAGAATATCGTTTACGACGGGCCAAGAGGTCCTTTGGGCCTTTGGGGGTGGGGACTTTCCAAGCGAGGACGAGTTCCGTGGTGCATGAAGCAGTTCATTATTCGCGGAACTGGGAAGGCTGTCTGATCTAGATCGGATCGTAGAGGGCAAGGAACGATGGGGCGGGGCCTGGTCAATGGGCGTATCAGAAGCCCCCTCGGTATTAAATGGACCCAGTGCTCAAGATGCAGTGTCCGTGCATCATCGGCCATTCGACAAGAGAGGGTTTCTCCGGCGCCATAATGGGATTGTTGCATTTGGGCAATCTTGCTCAATCAATCAAATAACCCAGGCAGCGCGAGCTAGCAGGGACCTCCTTTTGGATGAGGATAGTTTGTTTTTTGGGGGGGGGGGGGGTCGACTCCTAAGCGATGAGCACACTCCGTGTTCTGTCCGGCCCCTCCGATGAATTGATTAAATGGGGCGGCTGGTCGGGGGCAACTAAGGTACCAACGCCTCAGCTTCAGCTGCGCCGTGCTCCCACTCGCTCATCACGTCGATGCAGAGCGGATCCATGCAAAGATGAGGGGAGGAGGCGCTCGAATGAGAAGACTGTTTTCTGTCAAGGATGATGTGCCCTTGGAAACGACCCATGGTGTTGTTCTCTATCGTCTGCATCGTTCATCCGGCTATGCAAGTCAAGGCTGCCCGTCAAGGCCGCCCGCGACGATCAGTCACAATGCTGGTAAAGCTCCCGTTTAGCGTGTCAAACTGGTGCATAGAAATGGAACATGTCGATCGGGATTTTTCTTCCTGAGCGTGGAAGCCTTCCGACCGGGCCCTAGAGCCCCAGACACGAACATCACGGGCACGAATCGATGTGGGTTACCGATCTCGCGAATCCACCAAAAGGGACGGAGCCTGGGTCATGTCTCGGTCATTCCTAGGCACAAAGGTCAACCCGGCGAAGCACATTTTCACGCGCCAGGTCTTAATCAATCAGGACCCATTAGTTAATCAATTCACTTGGCAGGCTCTCCACTCTAAGTCGAGAGTTTCCATCCACAAAACAAGGCCTGGAAGAGATCACTCTGGTGGCGCAGGGTTCTCTTTCTTAGCCATCGATCTCACCTCGCGAGCGGGGACTGGCTGGAAGTTGGTGGTGGTAGATTTTTTGGCTGGTCCATGGCTTGACGCCCAATACTTCGGGCTTGGTTTCCCATTTTATCAACGTGATGGACTCAGCTGGTTCGCTCGGATCTGACCCGTCGTGTCGGTCTGCTCCTCTGATAAACAAGTCCTCTCACTTTTGAGCTCTCGAGCCATCCGATATGAATGAGACCATTGACCGAGTATGTGGTGCTCTCGGCTCAAGCCGAAAACCCAAAACCCACTCGACCGGGTCGCAGGTTCGCAACCTGTCGGTTCTTCGGATGATTGTTGGTGTCCGTGATTCCCCCTTCCCCCTTTCAAGCGCGTTCCGCTCTCCAAATTTCAGTCTGTCGATAAGTGAAATTCCGCCGAGGCACGGGTGGGGATCTGGATGAGTGGAAGCGAGAAACGCCGGCGTGTCAACCACATGGCAACTGGCTCTCGGATGGACTTGCTCCACGATGTTCACTCCTGCGGGACTTGGTTGGCACATTTGAGATGTGTCAAGTGCAGTTTTGAATCTCTTGGCTCTCTCTTAGGAACACGCGATCGGTGGCCTGTGCTTTTGTCTGCAGGAAACTCGATAGGACCCATTTTTTGGCCGGTGGCCGCCACCGAAGTTTTGGTCAGATTCTTACTTGATAGATCATGAATTCTAAATCCCACCCAGCGTTGGCAATTGTTCTACGGGCCTAGGTCGGCCACTTTTGCCTTTGCAGGCTATTCTACAGTTTGATTCTATCTAGAGGCTTCTATCTCTCCGATTTGGTCGTGACTCGTTACTGGAGAGGATACTTGATGTACAGTGGCCGTTCATAAGTATTTGGAACACAGTACTTCCGCCCACGCGCAAAGAGATAAGAGTGGCAGGTACCATGTTCCAAATACTTATGAACGCTGACTGTAGACCAGATCTATGTTACTATTAGACCTAGTGATTTAATACGCTACATAAGTCCATAAATTCCCGTCATTATCACTGTACGTCGAACACTGCTGTATCATGCATCATTCAACTGCCATGCCGCCAAGTGGTCTCTGCTTTGTTCTGTAGACCATGTGCATGTCCTCCATCAGACAGAAAACGGTCAAAGTGTAATTCGAGAAGCCCTTGCACTTTTGACTTTGTCAAAATTTAGGCAACTGGGCAGCCCTGGACTCGAGGCGACTCGGAAATTTTAATCTCGTGGCAAGCCTAAGCTCCATGTCATCATTGGACCTAAGCTTATTCGATAGCTCACATTCCATGCGTTCGAGACACATGTCATCTCACCACTCAGCGATGTTTGTCTCCCGCCAAGATTGACACAGAACATGCGGAGAACATGTCAAAAAGACCCGGTGGGGATTGTGATATCCGCCTGCAGGATGCAAGCCATCGCCTGTGCGACGTAATGCTCCGCATAGAGGCAACTATACCGAGTCTACTCGCTACGATCAATCTACGTCTAGTTACCACCAAGATGAGCCAGAGGAGCCAAGTATGATCAACGTCCAAAAAGAAAAAATTAATTGAGAAATCTTTAGGATACAAAGAGGGGCCCCAGGCCGGATATCACTTCCTTTATTTCTTCATATCAAGCAGAATGCGAGGTCGAATCATTTCATATCCCAATTTATGCGGAGATCTCAGCGACAGCCTTCTGGATAGCGGGGGGGTTGGCGCCGCGAACGGTCAGGGCATCAACCTTCGCGCCATCTTTGTAGAACAGGAAGGTGGGCATGGCGGAGATGCCGTTGTTGGCAGCAACACTGGCGAGCTCGTCAACGTCGACCTTGTAGAACTTGACGGAGGTGACGCTGTCGCTCAGCTTCTCGACGATGGGAGAGATGGCCTTGCAGGGACCGCACCAGGTGGCGAAGAAGTCGACAACGACGGGCTCCTGGCTGTTCTCAACGAGCTCCTTCCACTGCTGCTCGCTATAGGCAGAAAAACAATCGGTTAGCATATATTCTCATACTCGTTTGTAGTGCAACTTCGATATCTGGAGCCCGGGGAATGTGGAAGAGCGGCTAGACTCACCTCTCGATCTTGGTGACGCCCATTTTGAAGGTTGAGTTAGAGAAACGGGAGATTGGAGAGGATGAAAATGTACGCTGAGCGATAGGCAAGCGAGATAGAGGGGCCGAAAGGCGAGTCAAGGTGGAAGTTTTCTAGAAGAGGGAAATGTTGTAAGCTTTAAATTTCAAGGAGGGGCAAGCCGAAGAGGGGCGTTCGGATTTTATAGGGCGATGACGTTCCCGCCGGCCGAGCCAAACTAGCTTAGCTAAGAGGCAACACGGCTGAATAAACTGCCCATGGAGCCCTCTAGCAGTGTCTAACATGGCGAGGGAGGCGGTAAGTGTAGACTCACAAGAAGCATGCTGGATTTGTCACGGTCCGATGTACCTTTTCGATGCAATTTGTCCAATTGCAGTGCTGTTTGAGGGTCGGGGGAGAAAGGAGGTTGGGCGGGCGAGAGTGGCAGAATGTGGATGGCGTGCTTGCTTACGAATTGGATTGGTTCTGGATCGGCACGGATCCCGTGAGCTGATGGATATCTAGATTATCAATCATCAACTGTACAGTACAGTAGTTATGGTAGGACTTGAATCGTTGGTAGATCAAACTTCGATCTGATAAGCAGAAATCATGGTTTTATCTACAGAATAAACCTCCAAATCGTCATTCCATATGGTTCATAAAATGATGCCATCGCCTTGGTCATACATACAATCCTCGGCTTCCCAGATGCCGAGATATCAGTTCAAACACCGAAGCTCAAAAATGAATACGATCCGGTACGATAATAGGCTCAACATGAACATTCATATGAGCTAAAAATAAACTAAGATGGGCCACAGAAATACACTGCTTTTTTGATCGTGATATAACGATGAACCCGTCTAGAATAACTACACGAATAAAGATGACCGTAGGGTCTCGCTCCAGGAGGTGTTTGATCAGCGAGGATGCCAGCAACATTCGAGCAATTCCTTGATCGGGTCTTTAGATATGCTGCGTACGTGGAGTTCTTCTTGAGGCAGACATGACTAGGCCAACTTGCCCAATTTTCTTCGTCGTTGGGCAAGCACAGATGCAAGGACTGGAAATACTCATCTTGGACAAGGAATCTGCAAGTCGAAAACTGATAAGTCACCAGAACGAAGACCAAAAAGGCTCGGCCAACAGTCATTACCGCCTTTAGAAGGGTTTACATACCCTTGTATCATTCAAATGCTAGTTGAAGCAATGAGCAACCACGTTATGGGCCGTTGGCATTGATATGACCGGATTCGAGACCGTTTATGTGCTCCTTCTCAGACTCTTTAAATGCATTGCGCGCAAGCTTTGGGACAATGAAGTCTAAGGATCAGATCAGTCTCGATTCAATGGAACAGAATATAATAGGTAGTGTAATATAGGCTCTTTGTCTCTAGCGAGAAGACACTTTACGTATATGCTCGATATGGTTAAGATCCATGTTACGGGGCACAAGGTCCACCACTGTCGACAAAGTATAAAGCTAGTGCATACTCGTCCTCTTGAAATTTCGTAAAGCGAAGCCCTCCAGGCCCCTTGACGGAAAGCGTAATTCGGCCTGGAGCCATTGTCGACGAGGAATCTCGTAAGTCTATACATGCGGTGGAAGCTGGTCTTGCGTGGTTGCTATATAGAATGGTACCAGCGTCCATACTAAAAAGACACCATGTTGTCGTCCGGCGGAGTATCATCCAGAAAGAAGATATCAGACGGCTTCAGCCCCCCTGCAGAAAACTCCCGCTCTGATCTGAGTAAAGCCGGTGGTGGTATCCTTGTAGCGTGCTCTTGTAGAGTGATGCGCGATCTATCCAACCAGCCTTGTACCTTACCCAAAATGCCGGGGTAGATAAACATACATCTGCTGCACTTCTCCAAGAATCGCCTCCTGGACCAACCCCGACTTATGCACCTCCTGCGTCGAATGTATACGAGCCCTACTAGCCCATACCTTCTGCCAACTAAGCCACCCTGGTATACACTCACATGCTCAACGTAGTCTGCAAAGCGTTCTGAATGCCATTCAAGCCGTGAAACATCTCCCCCAATCCTACCCATCCTTCCGAAAAGGTTAAACAACCCTCTTCAACTACTTCTTCCCCCCCCCCCCCCCCGAGGGGATTTCGCCAGAATAACCGGTAAGTATCCATCAATCGCCGTCTTAAGCCCACTCACCATCCTGTGCAACCCCAACGCCTTCTCCGAAAGATCAGCACAAGCTCCGGGTTCAACGCCTGCGCATCCTCGATGACCTCGTACAAGCCGCGAAGTGGTTGGCGGAGACTTTCGGCCCTTTGGATTCCATTTTCAGTGTATCTTCGTTATAGCTTCGGTAGGCTTGACAGAATGTTACTAAGTTAGTGGACTATTCGAAAGGCGAGGGAGACGGGATCAGCCGTGGTCTGGTTATTGATGTATACCAGAGATGTAATGAGAGCTGAAAGCCTCTTCCTGGGAAGGGGAAATAGTGCTCTACTTATATTGGAAATCTTGGTTTAGCTGCTCAAGTTGCACTGCCTAGCAAAACGAAGTGCATATAGACCGGATTTTGTGGCGCTCCTCCTCCGTTCTGGTGCTCACCCTCTGGCCGCTTTTGTTCACTGGGTAGAACTGAGCACCCCCCTGATCAACCTGAGCTGCTCACAGCAGCTTTTAACTTAACGTAAATTCCTGGCCGATCGGGCCACCCCAAAACACCATACTATTTCACAACTTCATACTTCAACGCTTAAGGCTAGTACTTATATGGTCTTGGGGTATCTCGGTATTGAATATATCATACTGGGTATTTTTTTAAGCTCGTGAAATATATTTTAGGTCGTGACAATGCAGATATATATTCTACGTCACTCGATCGGAGCGTATTTTTGATTATGTAAGTCACTCATTGTTTTCCAAATATTTCAGTTATACTATACTGTTTCTAATGCTAAGAAACCATAGCCTAGGAATAATTAAGTTAAAAAATCTTCTCGTTGTTGACATATCATGACATGAGAAATCGCATTTAGTATGTATGGTGTTTAGGGTGGCCCGGTCGGCCAGGAATTATGTTAGTTAACGTATTTCATAGGCGAGCGGGCCATCCATCCGAGCGGGCCACCCCAAAAGGCCATACTAAATGTAATTCTTCATAACTTAGTATTTCAACGCTCAAAACTGATCATCTGATTTTAAGATATCTTGCTATTTGTTACACCATAACACGCATTCGTCTTAATATAAGAAATATTCTAGGGTGTGACAGTGTAGATTTATATGTCTACATCAGTCTATGGTAGCGTATTTTTGGTATTACGTATAAATAATTATCTTATGAACATATCAGTTGTGCTCTACTATTTATAGTGCTCAGAAAACATTCTCTACCAAGATTCAAGTAGGGGTAACTTATCGTTGTTGATATATAACGACCTAGAAACTCGTCTTTAGTATGGTGTTTTGGGGTGGCCCGCTCGTATGGGTGGCCCGCTCGCCTGTGAAATACGTTAGTTAACGTAGTTCACGGTCGACCAGGTCACACGGTTGAGCGGGTCACCCAAAACACCATACTAAATGGAATATTTCACCACTTCAAATTTCAACGCTTAAGGCTGATTATATGATCTTATGGTACCCAAGTATTAAATATATCCTACTAGATATTTTTATATGCTCCAGAAATATTTTACGGTGTGATATTATGGATATATATATCTACATCGCTCGATCGGAGCGTATTTTTGGTAATACAGGTAAATAATCAGTTTTTGAATATATAAGCCGTACTATACTAATTCTTGTGCTAGGAGATCATAGCATACGTAAAATCAGGCAAAATTATATTCTCGTTGTTGATATATTATGACTTAAAAAATCGCGTTTAGTATGGTGCTTTAGGGTGACCCGCTCAACCGTGTGACCCGGTCAGCCGTGAATTACGTTAACGTATTGGATAAGCGAGCGGGCCACCCAGGCGAGCGGGCCACCCACCCCCATTAGGAAATTTCAAAATCGAATATCTCTACCAAAACGCATTGAATTTTCTAATACTAAAGATTAATACATCGATTGATTTTGTGGCCAATCTGCCCACACCCACTGCACCTAGGCGGCGCCCTAGGTCGTGGTTGAATTACCTGATTAGGTAATTCGCCCTGCTCATGCGATCCTACCCCATCACCTTCCACTGGCTGATTTAGCTGCTCAACTAGCTGTATAGCCTCTTTAACAGATAGGCCCTCTTCGCAGGGTATCTGCCTAGTTGACCGCTGGCGTTTCTGGCGCTTCTTCTCATTGGCTGCGCGTAGATTGGCGTTCTCCTGGCTAAGCAGAGCAGCGCTATGTAAAGCTAGATAGCCACCCTTAATCATCTGATCCACCACGGTTTTGATTGGGCTTGGAGGGCTTTGCGACCGCTGACCTAATAGATCTTTTAATAAAGAAGCTTGCTTGAATAGCTGGGTGACGGTCCTAGGCGTTTTTGGTGTGAATTGGCTAGATCTACTGCTTGGCCGGCTGTTTGGTGGCGTAGGCGTTCGCAGAGAGATATTCAGCTTTGAAAGGACCCTTTCTGCATCGATTGGTACTAGGCCAGTGGCTGCGAAGCTATTTTGAATAGTTGATAGTTTTTGGAAGGCCTCTAGCCGCGCGCGTTGGTAGTCCTCTAAGAAATCGATTTTATCGATATGGTTATATCCTTGACGGGCAAGATCGCTTATAAAGCGACCGTATGCCTTTTTAACCACTGCAAAACAGCCAACATCTAGTGGCTGTAATAGATGTGACGCATGCGCAGGCATACAAAGAGGTATAATGTCGTTTTCTGTGCAGATTCGATCGAATTGAGGTGTGAGATGGCTACCATGACCATTAAGGATCAATAGCCGAAATCGGCCGCGTACGCGCGAATTCGTTGATGGGATAAAGAGCTTTTGTAGCCAACGTAGGCCAATCTCATCACTAGTCCAGCCGTTGGTAGAGACCTCGATTCGCCAATCTTTTGGAAGCTTTTCAAACCAACCAGCGATGGCAACCTTAGCTTTGAAAATCACGCATGGCGGAAGCGAATAGCCATCAGCGCCAATTGCCTCGATCGCAGTAACCCATTCGCGATTTCCTGGTTGAAGAAGGCGACGGCCATTGCCATACATTTCTGCCCGGGTCACTACCTTTTGCTTAGATATAAGACCCATTGCAAAGCCAGTCTCATCAAAGTTGTAGATATCCTCCGGTTGTATACCGTTCTCATCGATAACGCGTTGAACAGTAAGAAACCACTCTCGCAGAAGCTTAGGATCTTCATTCAACGCGCGTTGGTAGTCGTATCGAATTGATGCGCGTATGCGAAGGTCAGGGCGACGATTAATAAGATTATCTACCCATTTCACGCCAACGGTAGGCGGAGGGTGGCTACCGCGCGCAGCTAGTAGGATATTGGCCATCTCGCGTATAGTATCCTTTCTAGGCGCTGCTCCACGCTTATCTATAGAGAATATCCATTCAACAAGCGAATCCTCTTCTAATTGAGTAAGCTTCCGCCCATTTGGTGGTGTGTCAACGCGTGATAGCCGGCCATCAGCGCGCTTCTGCAGAGTAGAGCGAGGTATATCGTATAGCTTAGCTGCCGCGCGAACTGATTGGATACGACCTTCTTGTAAATCAGATAAAGCTAATAAGATCTTGCCCTCTTGTTTGGCTAGTTTCTGCGTGTATTCAGAGCGAATTGGTGGCATGGTAGGTTGTTGAAGTTGGTGGGTTAGTGGGAAGACGCGATTTTGGATGGGGTGGCCCGCTCGCCTGGGTGGCCCGCTCGCCTGGGTGGCCCGCTCGCTTATCCAATACGTTATGTGATGCGAGTATTACGTAACTTGCTGTGCGGCTAACTAACTAGTTAGTTAACTAATGTTACTTTAAAGCTGTGGTGTGTGTAACAAATCCCGGTGTCCGGCTAGGGGTGTTAGTACTTATGCGTAGTCGCTGTAGATTGTCAAGTCACGATGCGAAAACAGTATGCGTATGTCCCAGGATTTCAATATTCGGGTCGGCGCATAACTTAACTCATATTTGTGGCGGCATTAAACGCACGAACCTCATCTTTTGGTCGAACATCTCCAAGTTTAGCATTGTCGGTGCTTTTATGAGCGCAGGCTGATACAGTATTGGCCAGTATACATATTGACGAATGATATCAAATCGAGCCAACATGAAATGAATAAGATGGTTGATAGCTTCGAAGTAGAAAATGCAATGGGAAAGGTTGCAAAATCCACCTTCAATGTCTGGTACTCGGGGTTACAGCAGCTGATTTACGGGGAGAGGAAATGTAGATCAATCTGTACTGTAAGCACTCTATCCTACTTCACTCCTTCGACATAATTCCATGCATATCTTCACGTGCATAACTTTACATGCATGTCTCTAAGTGCATATTTTGGGACACTCATTGATGACCGGAACTAAGCAAGGGATGGAGTTCTCACGTTTAAATCCGAGGTAAATCCGATACGTCCACCCACATAAAAGGCATGAAAACGAGCAAAACAGACTAATACCAGAGCATTGAAGTACTCCCTCTTACCCAGAAGTTCTGTTTTATCCTCAAAAATCAAACTTCTCAAGATGGCGCCCCTCAAGCATCGTCCGTTGGGCAAAGATGGCCCCGAGGTTCCGCGTCTAGGGTTCGGCACTATGGGCTTAAGTACATTTTATGGTCCCCCTAAGTCAGATGAAGAGCGATTAGCAGTGCTCGAAAAGGCGCACCAGATCGGTGAGACATTTTGGGATACAGGTAAAGTTTCATGATATGCATTTCGGTGAAACGGCAGATACTGAGAATCAGTTGCGTAGCTGCTTTGTATGGAGACAGCGAGGAACTTCTTGGGAAGTGGTTTGCTGCGAATCCTGAAAAGCGCAATGACATCTTTCTTGCCACCAAGTTCGGTATCGATTTTGTCGATGGGAAAATGGAAATCAACAGTTCCAGGGCATCTTGTATGGAATCATGCGAACGGAGCCTAAAGAGACTCGGTCTACAGTGCATCGATCTCTTCTATGCGCACCGCCTTAATCCACAGACCCCAGTCGAGGAGACAGTGCAGGCCATGGTGGAGCTCAAGCAGCAAGGAAAGATCAAGTACTTAGGCCTCAGTGAAGTCAGCAGCGACACCCTACGACGTGCATGCAAGCTCCATCATATCACCGCGGTACAGATCGAGTATTCTCCTTTTTCCCTGGATATCGAATCTGATCAGGTCCGTCTCCTCGAAACCGCTCGGGAACTAGGAGTTGCAATTGTTGCATACTCTCCCCTCAGTCGTGGAATTCTATCCGGCCAGATACTATCTCCGGATGATTTTGCAGAAAGTGACTTTCGGAGATATCTCCCTAGGTACAGCAAGGAGAACTTCCCCAAGAATCTGGAGCTGGTGAACAAATTGAACCAGATAGCTTCAGTAAGAGGATGTACCACGAGCCAGTTAACCTTAGCGTGGTTATTGGCTCAGGGGGATGATATTTTCCCTATTCCAGGGACGACGAAGATTCCAACTCTCGTGGAGAACTTTGAGTCTCTTAATGTGGATCTCTCCCCTGAGGAGGTCAAACAAATTAGAGACTTTATTGAGGAAACTGAAGTTCAGGGATCACGGTATCCAGAGGCGTCAGCTGCAACACTCTTTGTCGACACGGTGCTGCCGCAATAACTTGGCCAGCTTTACCATTACGAATATCGACGCCAATATCAGTTTTCTTGTGGAAATATGTCGTTGGGAAAGTCTACAGTAATCAGTCTTGCTCTACTTACTCTACGGTAATTCACTCTTTTTGCCGCCGTACCGGAGTGAGGAAGGGAGGGGAGGGGGAGGGAGACAGGAGAAGAGAGTGTGTGTACGGAAAACAACAGTATTGAGTTACCGGAAATAAATGTTTAGGATCACTAGGCGAGTGGTAAACATATTTATTTCTGGTCTTTACTCTTCATTTGGCCCTGGATATGGCATAACACTCAACTTCTAGTTTATCTAATCCCATTTTCCTTTTTCTGTTTATGCGGACCGATTCCGATGTGGTTGAGTGCATGCATGATTTTGGCGAATGAAAAGATTGTGGAGGTAGGATCCAACACATTATGTGGAAGGTACAATGAGGACACTGATCATGAGCCCGTGCTGATATTGACTCAGTGAGCCTGAGCCTGATCGCCCATATTAAAGCGGCGGCTACCCAGATAGGAAAGTCCCATCCGGCGGACAAAATCCGGTGTATATCACCACGAAGTGAGCTGCAGACGGCAGCTACGAAAAAAAAATAACTTTTGAGAAAATCTCTGCGTAGAGGAGACAAGCAAATATAACAAGTAAAGCTGAGAGAGAGAGCAAAACTTATCAATCTATCGATCTGTGGACCTGAAAAAAAAAAAAAAAAAAAAAAAAACAGGAAAGCAGGAGGTAGCTATTCAGCCATCGACGATCCAAAGAAGACCCTGCTAATCGACAGAACAGGATGGAGACTTACTTTACATTACTCTACAACAAACAAAACCGAGAAGGCAGAAGGCCACCGTCTGTACGCAACATAGGAAGACGGAAAGACACCGAGACAGTTAGACGGAAGGGCACTGGGCGCTGGTCTTGGAAGCAAGACCGGACGAGACAAGGGGAGGAAACTCCATCATTCTTGGTTCTGGCTGTACACAAGGCTTTTGGCTCAATAAGAACTCAGATGGACAGAGCGGCTCTGCCAAACTAAGATCGCCATGTCTACGCAGAATCTAACATGAAGTATGAAACAGCAACAAAATCTATGAGGCTCTGCCTAGGTACATAAGACCGGGGACTCGTCCAGCAAATATGCAATCCAATCCAGATATAAAACTGTATTAAAAACATCACCAACCGGAGCCAATGGTGTAGACACGAGTGGACACGAGGGGGAGGACACCCGCCCATCAATCAAAACACGCAGGCTGTGCTAGACCAAGATATATGCATACGAGCAATAATCAAGACCATTCGGCAAGGCAGAAAGAACAAGGAGTATGCGCAGCCGTCAAACAAGAACAGGCGCATCCCGGGGGCTATGGAAACACGGAAGATTGGATTGATGCATCTGATACAGACTCGAAGCAGAACGAACAGGGTGGGGCAAGTTGGGGGTATCAACAAAAATCGAAGTGTAATGGTAACAACAACGGTGCAGATTGACAAGCTCAGCACGTCAAATGGGCATTTGGAGGGGTAGGGGGTACGGGGAGGAGATTGGGGTAATGGGATGGGGAAAATGAAGTGGGAGGGATCAATCACAAGAACAGCGGGGGTAAGGTGATCGATGAACTCGGCGTTGCGTCGTAGATAAGGGCGGTCGCTGCGCCGGGATCAAATCACAAAGCCGTAGTAGTCTTGGAACAAAAGAAAATCAACAAGTAAAATGACTAAAGGAGTGTACGCTATGCGCGAGGCACGCAAAATTGGTGGGCTTAAAAGACCCGGATCTAGACCCGGATCTCCAAGTGGAGAGAAGGTGATCCAGAACAATCACAGATATCAATCATCCTCGGCATTGCAGATAATACCGTGGACACTAGCCACGCGCTGCGGTGGAGGACGATTGGTCACCTTGTCCTCGGCTTCAGCCTCCTCGATATAGTCCTCCTCGGGAGATATGGGAGACAATGAAGGGAAGGTCTTGAGCATGGCAGCCGTAGACTTGGGACGAGAGCTGGGATTGACCAAGACTGGCCGGCGGCCGACCTCGCTGTGGTGCCAGGTCTCCGCCGTCTTGGTGGCATCAGTCGCCGAAACAACCTCGTTTTCCAGTAGCTCCGGCTCGCCCATGACATTGCTGCTGGCTCTACGAGAGTCGATGGAGTCACGGGCATCATCGAGCGCGTCGACTGGGCTGTCCATTGCGGCGCCGAACGATGTCATGGTACGGACAGGGCTGCTCGGAGCCTTCTGGGACATCCGGCGGAAGAACTGTCCCGACATCCATGATCCTTCCGAGTCGATAGATGCCAAGGACTGAGAAAGGGGAACATTGTCAGACTCGGCGTCGAAGCTATCACCAGAAGAGAGATGGCGGCGATTCTTCGGGTTCACAATATTAACGCCCACAAAGGTAGGAGTTGGGCCGTGCAAGAAAGTGCTGCCTTCTTGATTTTCAAGCGAAGACTCCGGCACTTCCTCGGGGATATCAGGGGACTGGAGACGCGAGTCCGGAGGGGACATGGGCTCATCGCCAAAGTGCTCCGTGAATTTGGAGTGCGAACGTTTCACAGTGCCGGTAGGAATGAAAGCTCGGGGAGGGACAAGAGAGGGTGGTGGAGGCGAGGACTGAGTTTGAATCCGATAGAAAGATTCATGCGAGGCAATAGAGACATCGGGGCTAGAATCGTGGAAACGCTCCTTGTACCGTCGCTTGATACGGGAAGAACCACGTCGGAAGAGAGAGGTGATGGTGTTGCCTCCCCGGGGACCACTAGTATCGGACGGACGGCGCTCAGAGAGGTCGGAGGTAGAACCAAGGCCAAAGGTTTGCGAGTGACTAGGGCTGCTGATTCCGTGTCGAAGGGATGACTGAGATGGAGAGAGGGTAGTTCGAGACATGCCCATCTCATGCGAGGGAGCAAAGCTAGATCGCGCGGCCAGCTTGGGCTCACGAATCGAGCTGTCATCGATATTTCCAATAACATGGACGCTTTCAAGCGACTCACGCCCGGCATCCTCACTGGCCTTGGACTCATCCTGCAGCCATGTACCAGAGTGTTCTGCGAGTGCTGCGTCTTCGGGCTCCTCAGCGATGGCCTCCTCCATAATGACATCCTGACTGTCAACAACATTAGGAGCTTCGACGGCCGTGGCTAATTCGGGCTCCACCTCCTGGGCCTTCCGGGTCTCTTCGATCGCTCGCTGGCGCTCTTCCGCGGCTTGCGCATCGGCACGTTCCTGCAGCTTGCGACGTAGCCTTTCTTGGTCTTCGATTTGTTTCTTCTCCCGACGACGACGATCACGCTCGAGCAATTCTCGCAGAGTACTGGCATCCAGAGAATCCGCCAGTTCATTCACACGTCGCCTGGAGTAGTACAAATCGTCCCCAGAGGCAGTCCGAGTCGGCTGTCTATCCCCATCGGGTCGGCCCGCGGCTGCCGAGGGATTATTGCTTCGCGCAGTGGGCACACGGGGTGTTTCGACATAACGTACGACGGGACGAGGTGTCAACGCAGCAAATGCGTTGACCTTGTAGGTAAAAGGATCGGAAATGTCTGAGATGGAGGATGCTGCCGAGTCCCGTATCGACAGACTCACATCGGACATGTAGCGATCAGCGCGTCCATTTGCCCTCCGTCGTCGGTTTTCTAGCGCATAGTCGCCGCCCGGGGGCTGAGTTGATCGGCGTGGGATATCGATGGGAGTTGATGACAATAGCTTAATCTCGCGTTCGCGGAGGATCTCATGGGTCTGTCGCTTGCTTTTGCGAAGTTTGTTGGGTCCGGTTTGATTCTGCCGTCTCTTCAATAACGACCCTGTCCTTGACAGCGGTCGCGGGTAGGTCTGTTCTGGTCCAGCGCGGTCATGTTCTACCTCAGATAGGCGGCGGTGATCGATCGAGGAGATCGGACGCTGCGATGAGGTCGTCTGCCCTTGGCTATCAGAGCCATCACCACTACGCGACCACCGTCTATTGTGGCGAATGGAAACCCGGCGGGAAGGTTTACGACCCAAGGTTGGTTCGGCGACGGGAACGGGCGCATCGGGCTCATGCTCATCCAGAGCATGCCGGAGCACGCTGGCCTCGTCGGCGCTCACCTGAATGGTGTGGCGCTTGTTTTTGCGACCGAACGGCCAGATCGCCATGGCGCGAGGTGGTGCAGCTCGCGGCCGCAGGGCGAATTAATGATCGCAGTCGCGGGATCGATGTCGGTCGGAGAGATCTTGCAGGGCGGGATTCATCGAGGACACGAGGGAGTCGAGCAGGCCCGAGGGCAGTTTAGTGGATTCTGAGAGGTGCAGGCTGAATGGGGGTGGCAGAACAGCAGATGCAGAGCCACCGGCGTCATCAGTGGGTTCCAGCTGGGGTTTGAGAGATTGAAAAGGGCGAAAAAGGCAGCGATCGTAGACGGTGTGATGACCGGAGTCTAGGCGAAAGGGGGGGAGAAGTGTACTAGCTGGGTGATAGTCCGTACTACCTGAGGGGGTCGAAACTAGCACGATTCGATAGAAGAAAGTTTAAACTCATGGGAAAGGAAGAAAGGAAAGAAGAAAACACAAAGAGGAGCGGGTTGGTATGCAGGAGTCGATTAAGCCTTTTTGGGCTTTGAAGATGGGGGCTTTGGTGACCGAATGAGTGGCGGCCAGGCTTCCTACCAAGTTGGGTAGGAATGGTGGCAAAGGGGGCAAGGAGGCAAAAGACAAGAAGATGAGTGAGGAGGAGGAGGAGGAGGAGGAGGAGGAGAGAGAAATAATGACAATATCCCAAAGAAGATGATTGGATTCGGGCATGGACTCGTCGAGCAAGTGAATCAATCTACTCCGCCCTATACTACCGTACTAATTGACCAAGTAAATCAAAATCAAAAACATTATTTTTCCAGTACGTGGCCAGACCGTCTTGTTTTGGTTTTTCCTAAAAATAAAACCCACTTAGGCTCATTCTTCCCCTTCCACACAAAACCAAAACAAAATAATTATTCATCCTCCTCCGTCATCACATCAGATTGGCCTCTCGTCACTCGGGTACCTGGTTACCTGCTCTATCTATGCACGCCGTTTCGACACGTCTCTCCTACTGAAATCGACTCGAGCGATCCAATGTGTTGCACCGGGAACGCAGCTGTGATCGATACTCGGTCCAAGGAAGAAGAAAAAGTTCATGGAAAAAAAATACAATAAAAGAGCATTACCGGGCCCGAGGATCACCGTCAACATCACCGTGGGAAATTTGCGGTCTCCAGGACCCATTTTCATCCTGTGGGGGATATCCACTCCCAACACACATCCAGTGACCGTTCACTTTGATTATGGGTCCTCCTGTTTTCCGTTAGTGGCCAGTGACTGACCCCTATGGCCTATGCAGACACTGTGATATCTTGCAGACCGCAAAAAGGATAAAAGGAAACAAACTGAATCCGATGCAACTCCGATCAGCCCAGGGCCGATCCGATCGCTGCAAGTTCTAACCTCCAAGTTCTCTCGGGTCTACATCTATACACCAGAACCTGCCATACATGGCACGGTAATCCTCAGTCCGCTTCTTCCCTTTCCTCTCCCGTCCCGATTGATATAATTACTGTACATTCCTCCGTCCTTGTCTCTCTTCAGGCGGCCTCCTCCACAATACCACTCTGGGGCCGCGGCAAAGCCCCGTTCAAAGGTGGGCAGGGTTGGATCTCGTGCCATGCGCGCGTGCCCTCTGTGACGGCCAAGGACACACCGTTGAGCGCCCGGTGGAGCCCTGGCCCCTTCCGTAAAGTTCCACCGCCAGTCCAGAAGCCCGCATTCCGTGGGTTGACACGCGGGAATGGAGTCGATCTTACGCATGCCCCTAATAAAACTGCCAATAACTGTCTTGGGTTGGGTACTTGAGTGTACCTGTCTCTACCCGCCGAGACGGTTCAGAGCGGGAGTAAAAACCGTACCGTGGGGGGGGGGTGGAGAGAGAGAAGGTCGGTGATCACTTGACGGGCTTGATGGGTATATTTGGATATTACAATTTCGGGTATCTGTATCCAGATCACTGGCCTAATTGTTGAGGACAGTATCAACTTCCGGGTTTGTCCCCAGTTTAGAGGCGAGTGCTGTACATCTGCAGGCACTGACCTGACTACTGCAGCGCCAGCGTCCCGCTGGGATCTTGCAGGGGCGGGGGGCTGTATGGCACCTGAGAGGCCGGTCGTTATAAAGTGGACCCGATCAGCGGAAATTGGCCACACTGGTCAAAGCTAACGGCCGGGCTAGCGAGGATGGTGAAGTCGTCGGAATGGTCCGTGTGCTCTTCGTCCCCTCCACTTCTTCGGTCATTCCATCATTCAGAGGGTGACGGACCATATTCTCCGCCAAGATTGACTGGCCCAATGTATCGAGTCGTCCACGGCAGATCATCATGCAGGGAGATCGGCAAAACCATCTATCTATTCAACGTTTTTTTTGGGTCCAGCCCAATGCGGAGGAGATCAAGATCATCGATCAAGATATCGACTCGGCATAATGGGAGCCCGCCGAGATAGGCAATCTGCGAGCGGCAAAACTAACCCGTGGCTTAACGGAGGCGCGAGAGATTTTCTGCCGCCACTAAAAGCGAAAATCATGTAGCGAACGCGATGGTGCTACGGAGAACAGAACTACAGAGATTGCGACCTGGGGACCGATTGGCCTGTCTGTCGGCAATTTCCAATGGCGGCGCACTACTGTGCGGCGTCAATACCCTCACACTCATCGATAAAAAAATGGAGCTGTCTATTCCGTAATAGCACATTTCGTACCTCCGTACTGCACCTTCCCTAGGGAGAAGTCGACCACGAGTCGTTCGCTGATGGACACTGCCACGATGCGGAGGCTCTCAGGGCCCTCTGACTATTTTAACTGAGCGTATGGACGGCTAAAACGAGATAATTCTGTGGTTGGTGTCATCGGATCTGTAAAGTCTCTTGTCTTTCTAACGAAACCCGTTCCAACCCCCACGTCTGTCATTTGATCCAAAGCAGCACCCGACCTTACCAATCTACCGACGAGAAACCTTGAGCATGCAGGGCTCTCGGATCAGTAAAAACATCCAGTGGAACTAACCCCCCAGTCTGTGCCGAAGTACCCGGTACGTCGTTCTCCTGACCCATTTAGGCATTGGCGTCAATAGCGCGGACACTCACCGACCGTTACCTCAATCAAGCTATCTTATCTTGCCGCGGGGGAGGCAAATCGGCCGTTAAAAACTTGCAGTAGGGGGATGTCCGTAAACAGGGTACGGACAGTTAGGGTAGACGTGGACAAACGGGGGCGTTCTGATCGGCAGCCCACTGCATGATCCCATTTTCCAGATCGCGAACCATGGCAGCGTGGACAGGGATTATGGAAATCTAAGCCATAGGGCGCTTGCCACGATTATTGATAAATGTGAGATGCGGAGTCGGTCGAGTTGGGGGAGGGCCAAGGATGAGCGGTCATGATTGTTTGTTGGAGAGGTAAATGCTTTGGGAGTATCGACAATAGGATGGTATACAGTACCCCACCAGGTACTGTAGAATACGGTTGAGTTGCACATACAGAGACCTTGTAAATGCTTAGATAGGAGAGAGATAGCCAACTATGACAGATGCCCTTCGCGTCAACCACCCCGCCTCAACACCCTCTAAATAGAAACGCCGTTCAGTATGCAGTCCCGTCGACAATAGGTCTGATGGATACCTAGCCAAAGTACCATTCACCGAAATTCAAAGGCAAAGGCAGAGAAGAAGAAGGCAAAGTAAGCCACCACGCCAACTTCCAATAAACCCTTCCCCCCCCTAAGCTTACCCTTCATCGTCCAGAGAAGACGCCCATCCAATAGGACCGATACAGCCGATAGTGCCCACGAATTTAGCTAGACTGTGGTCTATCCCTCCCAATGAAGATATAACAAACCCAGTCCCATCAGCAAGACTCGACATATAGCCTATCCATCTCAAACCTCCCACGCGCCATTGCTGCACGCCAATTCGAGACAAAATCCTCATTCCTATCCACACCCCCTCCCTCACGCAGCAACACGTTTCCGCAACCGATTCGGCTCCCGCTCCAACACACGATATTGGCGGCTCCCGCGCCCGCTGAGCAACCTCTTGAGCGACCACGACCGGCGGATTTGGGGTTCGGGCTCGGAACGATGCGAGGCCTGCTCGTGGGTTGTCAGGAGGGCGGTGGGTGAGTTGGAGCGGGGGAGGGTCGACGTGGTGAGTGGTTGGGCATCCATTATGCTGATGTGGTGCAGTGAGGCGGGGAGGATGTCTCGGATAAGTTTCGTTTGTCTGAGGAGGATGCGGTATACCTGGGCAGCGTGTACAGGGGATGTGATCCTTTAGTCGTATGTATGGTACGGAGTAGATGAGGGCGGTAATATGGTAGGACCAGCGGATAGGCCTCGATGCGGTTTTGATGGCGTTGGCAGAGAGCTATCTTTGCTCTAATGATCTGTTTCTTGCGTGGGTATTGTAGGTACAGTAGACCGGAGGCCGACAGTGGTACTCCGTTGTGCAGACTGCTATGTTACTCATCTTCCCTCCGTACCCATCCGGAGATCCTGGAGTTGGGTCAGGAACCGGGGAGCGGGGTTGAAATGGTGGGGCTCATCAGGAGTGCCCGTTCCTCGAGTCAGGTTGGAGTGATCATCTTGTCAGCTTCCATCTTTGATTCTTGCGGAATCGTGCGGCTGCTCGAGGTCATGGGCCAAAGTTGGTCAGGTGCTTCGTGGCTGATCCTGGACTTCCAACATGGTCCTACCGAAAGGTGAAGAGGCTAATCTTTGTATCAATTCCCTCGAGATCATGGGGTGGCAGGGACATTATGGCACAGACCGATAAATGATCTATAGAAGGTCTGTCTCTCGTCGAATCAAAGATTTCGTCCTCCCGTCGCAGTAGTTGGTGACTAGGTATTAAGACGATAATTTTCTACAACTATCTCAGCAGACCTCGTTTGGGCATATCGAGACCGAGGTATATATCGTGGATACCAAGTCCCCTACTGACGGTGGTGTCACTAAAAGATAAACCTCAAAGCCATAGACAGTTGAACTATTATACCATGGCATCTAACAAGGCACAAAGACAGGAGACGACTCTCCCATCGACAAGGTTCTCAACCTCATTCACATTGACGGTACTCTGGACCCTGATTGATGGAGGTTTCGAATATCCCGGTCCACATTGATCCCACCTCACGCGACCGACCGCGGGGGAGGCGATCTATACCCCAGTTGAAACGGTCTTTGGCACATCGCTTAGTTATAGCCCATCACAAGAAGTGACCGTTCTCCATAGTAAACTTTTCAACCTGAACCCTAGAGGGCACAGACGGAGGCCCGAGTAGGGTCGCAGAAAAAGCACAAAAGTAGGTGCTCATCCCGGAAAGCCCCCACATGAGTCTGAATTTTAGGAGCGCGCAATGGCTGGGCAGGATACCCGGCGCATTATCTCGTCTTCTCTATTGGGTGGATCATCTCGGAGATGATGGTCCTCCAGCCCTGTCACTTGAGGTCTCGACTTGTCGGTCTGGTTGATTTTTAAACCCCCGGATAGAATCGCTTCGTATGGAATGCGCTGGGATCCTTTTGTCTTTCTCATCAACCTTTTTCTACCCAAGGCACTGCCGCTGGCAATCTGGTACTGTCCTACACATCTCGAAGTTTTGGAAAAAAACTAGTATTATTGCTAGCTCGGAAAAGTTTTGATCTGTCGGCAAATTCTGACTTTTCCTCTCGACATCGCTCCAGTATATACTTCGGCCCACCCCACTATTCGTTCCCACACAGCAACTTTGGGTCTACACCGACATACTGCAGGTTGAATGTGATCCCGACTCGTCGAGCAAAACTCCCACTTTTGCTGAAATGGATATGGCTCCATTGTGGATTTTTGTGGCCCTCGGATATTTACTTCTTTATGCCTTTGCTATACTGCAAACGCAAGAATGGCGCCTTATCATCGCGAACCGGTTAACGCCCTGATGAAAGTTCGAGGCCTTCGATGAGCTTAACTGGGCGAAGAAGACTTATAACGAACCAGTTTTGAGAGGCAGTTACGCATTCTACAATCAATGCAATGAGGAGATTGGGCTTTCTGTAGATGGATCGTGTTTCCATCTCCGGAACCGGGTCCGTTGACGAGGATTTCTCGACTTGATCCGGACCTCACATGAATTATGACGATTTGATTTTACGATACCCAAACGAAACTCATGAAAATATCTTGCAAGTGTGGAATTATTTGTTCTGTTCGCTAGGTCTGTGAGTTTGGAATCGAGCTGGGTCTTGTTGTCTGGTGCGACTACCTCGGTTGGATAACTGGACAAGAAATACGGCCTATTGCATGTCTATGATCGAAGAAGCTTCCAAAGAATGACAGAAACTTTCTCATGGTGTCTTCAAGGACCGCTATTGAGCTGAGCGCTTTCTCATCTCCCTGCTACATAGCTCGATGTTGCCTACTCACGTATGTTTTGCGGTGCAATTGTACAAAAGCCAACCGGGTGGAGATAGGACTGAGGACTTCCTAGGTCAAAGTTAATTCTAACAATGCAAAACAGAGTGCATCTCATTCTCATTTCCATTTTTTGGACTGGCTCTGAAAATTGGGGCAAGAGAAAGGGCGATTTAATCATCATGGCCTGGAGATCGAACTCTTTGGGTGTAGATGTAAGGCAAGGAGAGGAACTTCCTTTCGCCCCTGGCAGTTGGTTCTTTGATTCGAGCTATGACGGCATCTACAAAACTACGCCTGAAATATTTGACCCGGGCCGTACAGTGCGTCCCGAAGCTGGTGCAACCACCTATGCTAATTGTATTGGCGATCCAGGGAAACTAGAATTTTTGACGGAACGACAGAAGCCCGATATATCGCTAGATTAAAAATGCACTAAATTTGTTGCGACACTTACGAGCCAGATTTGTGCGCTTTTTATTTTCAACTGAAGAGTATTCTCGCGTGAGACTAGACCGTCTACGCGCGCTTACCTTCTCCTACGCTGGTTTCGAGCAGTAGCCCCAGTTCAAATACGACAGTCCCCGATTCTCCTCACCAAACATAAACATCTTCCATAGCAAACGCGATATTTCAGGTAGCTAAATATCAACAAAACCGACACAATCTCTCTTAAATCTTGGTATATTAGTTCCTGATAACGTATAGATCAGTCTAAGTTTGTCGATGAATTAACCACGTAGTTATTTACATATTTTACCAAAGATACACGCCGATAAGGTGATGCATGTTTATATATGTGAATTGAATTCCTACATAATAATTTTTGGCCTTGTAAATAGGCTTAATGTAAAACATTCAATACTAGAGTGTTAGATCAACTTATATAAATGATGGTATTAACGACACGACAGAAAAGTTCATGGCACGACAAGTCTAGTCCGAACGAGGAACCCCCCCTTTCAATACAAAATGCTACAATCGAATACACAAGTTACCTACCAAATCCTTCTGTATAATCACATCAATACTTCTCGCTAATAACGTTAGCGACTGTGAACGTGACCTCTACATATCTATTTATCCCTATAATCGACTAAATTAATATTCTACTCCCACTCCGACTACGTTGCCCGGTCATTTCAATAGTCATTTCAATGGTCTTTTTAATGGTCTTTTTAATGGTCTTTTTAATGGTCTTTTCTAAAGGTAGGGCTATACATCCATATGGACTCGGTAGGTAACTCGTGTATTTCGAATGTAGTATTCTGTATTGAAGGGGGCGCATTCCTCATTTGGACTAGCCTTGTCGTGCAATGAACTTTTCTGTAGTGTCGTTAATGCCATCCTATATAAACCCACAAGAAATGTCACAATCCAAGATATGGGATGTACTATGGTGTACGAATCGGCCAGGAAATACGTTAACGATATGTTAGTCAGAGCGAGGTAAATGAACGGATTGCTTTGCCTCTTTTGAGTCAGGAGAATGATAGTATTGATGACTATTGATGGTAAAATTGGATGAGGGCGCTGTTGAATCCCCCTCGGGGCAGTGGGACGGTACTCGGCGATCACAACACCAAGATCTCAGCTAAACCCAGAATTACTTACAACTTATATGGGAATGTGGTCAGAAGTGCAACCAATTAGATGATAGCGGTAATTTAACATTGTATATCTTCACATGTAGGTTTGCGGTAGACTGAATTCAGGGAGTGACTTAAGAGTCGGGGCCGAGGCAAGTCCCTTCGAGGATCTGCTAGGAATCGCGACAAGGACTCTGAGTGTCCTTGGGTATGCCAGTCTCCGCACAAACTCTCTCCACGGTCGCAGAGAGTTCTTTCAGCTTCCGCGCGTTCCATTCCTCAAATACAACCTCCAGTTCCAGCTCGTCGAAGATCTCCTTAAGTCTTTTGATATCTTCCTTGTTCTGACTTCCGTAACAACTCTTCAAAAAACTTCTTTGACGCTCATCGCTTCTTTTTATCGCTTCAACCGCAAGCCAAGTACATTTATTTTCCGTGATATCAGTCCCTATCTTTCCAGTCGTCTTCGCATTCCCCATAGACATCCAGAAAGTCATCACGGGCTTGGAAGATAAGCCCAAACAACATCCTAATTTGATAAATTCCCTCAAGTTTCTTCGGCGTAGCAAGCCCAAGATAGATAAAAGGGATTGCAAAGGGAACATAGAATGTATAATACGCAGTCTTGTGCTCGATGATCCATTGATATCTGTCATCCGTGAACTGCTCCAGCGAAACCAGTTTCTCGGCAGCCATGAGGTCGATGTTCTGCCCTAGCTCAGTTCGTAGCGAGGCATCGTTAAGGAGTTCTAGGAGCGGGAAGTAGATGGGGTGGCTCTTGAAGTGCTTAGTGACCATGAGGGAAATCATGGATTTCAGTAGACAGCCGTCATTAACCGCCATCAGGCCAACACGATCCCGTCGATACCAGCATAGAAGGCCGCGTCGGGTAGTCGAGTTGTCCATAATTTCGTCCCGGACGCAGTATGCGGCGTTTTCGAAATCGATAAGACTGCCCAGGATTTGCAGGTCTTCGACTTGCTGGGGGGTGCAGTCGTGGTTGCTTAGCATGAGACCGGTTTGGACCACTGTCCGGCTGCGGAACATCTTTCCACTTTGGGTGTTGAAGAGGAAACACTATAGCCACTGTCAGTATAGGGACTAGCTATATAGTAGATTTGGATTCAGTCTACGGACTCTTGATCCTTTCTGTAGCTTCAGTGGAAACACCCATCTGCAAGAAGTGGTCTGCTGCCTCCACAGTGAGGCGTTCCAGGGTTTCGTTAATCATTGCATGGCTTGAGGCGGACATATTGACAGTGTTTGGAGGAAAGTATAGATGAAAGTGCCAAGCGAATAGTTAGAATTCCTCAAGAGTAAACTTGACACGCCTTTTAATATAATTCTTGGGCAGAGGAGGTCTGTGAGTTTTGTACTACAGTAACGCATAGGGAGTGTTTCCTATCACAAACCTTATATAGCTAAATGCAACATTTGATTGGTTAGCTTGAGGCTCCTTACCATTTATTGCAGTATATGGAGAGGCCATCAGCAATCCTCCTACATAGGTCAATCATTGTATTGTGAAATGTTCTCCACCGCTCGTCCTCACCGCTAGTCCCTCAAGTTACCAAATGCATCAGTCGTCATCAACGGATTTTCCTATCATGCTATCATGCTGCAGGTTAGGCAGCACAGCTGTCAGGAGGCTGGTTACTACCACATTATGACTAGTAATATTTCTAGGTGTGTAGGTTTTGTGGTCGGTTGTTTGCTGGGAAGGTAAGGATGGACTCAAGAATTCAGTATGGCGTTTGCTACTGCCATTTCCAGTGGATACAGCCATTCTCGAAATCGGCTTAACCGATTAACACTTTAATCAATCGTCGCCCAATCCCATAAATGAGCGAAGGATGGAACTCCATGAAAGGGTCGAGACAACAGGATGATCACGAATCGGACGATCCAGTATGGTGCGAAAGAGGGTCGTATGCTTCTCAATCATAATCCTTGAAAGGCCAACGTTAGCTTATTAGGAGAGCTAGATTTTGATGGAGACTAGGAACGAATTAAAACTCGCAATTGATCGTGCAAGCCATGGAAATAGAAAAGTATCTTTGCGTACCAGGGTTAGCTCTCTACAATATAACCACAGCCTTCTGTTGTATGAGGCGGGCGCAGTACGAGGGCTGCGATGGGATCCATTCAAGAAGCCTAAGCCTGAGCTTGAGGGTGATTTCCATCATTTCATCAACTTCGTGAAGACTGTGAGCCTAAATCTAAAAACGCACAAAAAATTGAACAGTATACCCTGCAGACAGGCAAGGGTGAATGCAACTCCTTTAGAAACGGCGCTCCTAATAAAGAACTTTTTTGTTTCCTTTAGAACCAGATCTTGATCAACTCCTCACTGACAGCGCTAGGAGTCAAGACACCACTATCAGTGATCAGAGCAGAGATCAAGTGCGGTGGCGTGAAGTCCACCGAATCGGAGAGTGGTAGCTCAATAGGCCTATCTCCATTGGCGTCACCCGAAGGGTTCTGCTGCTTCTTCTTATCCTCGGCAATGTCATCCGCGGACTTGAAGTCAACAACGTGCTGTTCAATAGGTAGGTCGTACTGTCCCAACGGAAAGAGACGAACAAACTTGTGGCTCTCGGCCACTACGTAGAACGGCTTTCCAATCGCCTTGGCAAGAAGGCCAATCTGATAAGTGCCCATACGGGAGACGATTCCTCCATTCTCCACAACACCTTCTGCACCAACGATGACCATATCAGCCTTTCCAAGGGCATATGCTACCGCCGACTCGGGAATAGTGGAAACCGGTACACCTTTAGCTCGCAAGGCGCGTACCGTCTCCATACCCTCGGGCTCTCCAGACGGCTCCTCGATGTTCTGGCTAATTGAAGACAAGACATAAATGACCCGGAAACGAACCGCAGAGGGACCACCCTCCTCATCTGCGGCCTTCTGAAGTAGCGATGCAACCGCTCTGGAACCACCGTTAGTGAGTACCGTGCAGCCATCGCGAATGAAGCCGCGGCCGAAAGCGGCAATCTTTTGTCGGCTCTCCTTCGCACGCCGGATGAATAATCGCCCATTCGACAAAAGGTGTGTACGAATAGCCTTGAAGTCCCCGGCTGGACCCAGTTGGCCCGGCCGTTGTAGTGTGGTAATCAAGTAGCGCTGGAAGAGATCGGTACCCGCTGAAAGACCAATGGGGTTGGGAATGGAGCGTTTCAGGTGGGCGGTGGATTTTTCTAGCAAGTCTAGAGTTTCGGAGATCGTCGAGGAAGGGGAGTGTGTGAGGACATGCACGAGTGCTTCGATAGCAGCGATGGGCATGGTGATGTCGGGGTCGGAGCGTAGGAGCTCATTATATGTCGCAACGATGCTGGGAACGATAGGGTCAGCAGGAGGACTTGGGATCTCGCATATTTCGAATACTTACTCAAATGGCTTCGAGCCAGCCGTAGCCGTCCCCTCTGTAGTCGTCGCCATGATGTTGCGCGGAGCTATGGATTGAGTCGAGTCTCGAAAGAGTCACGATTTCTTTGATTGATGGGTAGTGTTTGTCTTGTTTGCTTTGTGCCCCTCAGCGTTGCACTAACCAAAAGCGGTCGGGTGTGCGGGCTCGTCTCCAAAGTAAACAATCGGTCGCAAATCATAACATCGCTCAACCTCGACACCTGACGACGTCGCTTCTGGACAGGCTTTTCGTTACCCAGGGTATACTGACCGCTGTGGCCTTTCGTTACTATGGCGTACAATAACCGGATGAGCATGGCTGGCTCCCAACAGCACCACAATCGAGGCCGCAAGAAGGAAGACGATAATGACGCATTGATGCGCCTGGTAAGTATGGCATTTGATCTCGAGGCTGAGTGTGAAAATCGATTACCGGAGTCAGGGCTGATGAATTCATAGCCCGACAAAGAGATTGCAGGATGTATCAACGATATCGGAATCCCTTTCACCGCGGCCGACCTGATGAAACCCAATGCCCAACAAATTCAAATGGTATTCGAATGGTTCGCAGAGCTTCTCATGAACATTACGCGCGAGACGGTAGAACCGGCGATGCATGCAGCCGCCGAAGATCTATGCGGCGATTACCCAGACATCATCCCCAACGATACGCGCAACCTCATGGGATTCTTCATGAGCATTCGGATGTTACTGGCAGAGGTAAATGGTCAATCCCTTACCCGAAAAGCAAACCTGGAGCTAACAGTACATGGCTTTGTCTAGTGTGGAGTTAATGACTTTACATTCACCGATCTGACAAGACCGACCCACGATCGACTAGTCAAAATCTTCTCCTACCTTATCAACTTCGTCCGTTTCCGCGAGTCACAAACCCCGGTAATCGACGAACATTTCAACAAGACCGAGAAAACCAAGGCGCGAATCGATCAGCTGCTGGCAGAGAACCAAGAGATGGAGCAACGCTTGGCCGAGATGCGACGAGGTCAACAGGCCAATGAGATTCAAGTGCGAGAGAAAGTCGCCCGCAATGATGCGCTCAAGGCACGGCTTAGGGAATTGGGAGCCGAGCAGTCACGCGTGGCTGAGACGCTCGATCGAGTCAAGGGTGACAGGGCGCGGCGGCAACAGCAGTTGGAAGAGAAGACTGAGAGGACGGTCAGGAGTCGACAAGAAGCAGAAAAGCTTAGACCCTACGTGCTCGAGTCGCCCGCCACCCTGCAGTCTTCCCTGACTGAGCTGGCCGAGAATTTGATGCGCGAGAAAGCACAGATTGACGCCATGGAACGGCGCGCTCGGGCTCTACAGACATCTTCGGATACGTTCACCGTGGTTTCCAACGACGTGCAGGCATGCGTCAAGCTGCTAGATGATATTTCCACCGAGCTACAGAAAGAGGAGGAGGAAGAAGCTCGTGCCGCGCGTAACAAGGATGCTATCTCAGATAAGGGAAATACCGTCCGAGAAGTCGAGCAGACAGAAAAGCTCCTGCAGCGTCAATTGGTACGGTGGCAGGAACGAATCGAAGCGCTGCGCAAGTCGGCGCAGGAGAAAGCAGAGGTGGCGCAGATCCGGATGGAGGAACTTCGAAATGTGCAGAAACAGCTTCGAGAAGAGCGTGCGGAGAAGCAACGAGACATGGAACGAAGACGCATTCGAATCGAGCAGACAGAGAAGAAGGTGAGCCTCACGCGCACACCAGCAAACATAATTAACATACTAACTCATCCTCTAGATGGTCGATCTCAAAGAGAACATCGAGAGCGAGATTCAAGCGGCTCACGACCAATATCTCAAACTGGAGTCCCACATCAAGCTCTACATCACCGAGATGGAGAAATCGTTGTGAGTCCTCAATTTTCGTGGCTTTTACGTATAGATCAGGAGTTCAGCGGTCGGCACCAGGATACCCGGACAGTGCAGATTCATATTTTTTCCATGGAGTTTCATCACACTTGCAGCTTTCGCTTGTATTTTTGTCCTCATCGATCTATGTCATGACTTCTTCACGCATACCTCCCTTCGTCAAATTCAAACCAGCGTTGGGCAACTTGCTTTATTGATATACCGCGTCCACCCCAGTTTCCTTCTTCGCCTCGTATCCGGACTGAGCCGTTCAGTAGAGGGACTTGCGTATCCCATAGTTTGCCTCCCCAGTCGGCGCTCATAGTGTCCACGGCATTGGTACATTCGCACAGCATCAGGTCCATTTTGGCTCGTGAAGCAGACTCAACGGAAGTAGCAAATGTCTGCGACAGTCCCTGTGCAGAGAACTCTGTAGTTGTAACGTGCAAGGCTATCATATCCAGAATGACAAGCATCGGGTTGTGTCGGTGACCTGGGGTTTCGGGTCCATCAGTCTTCGTATCAACCGGCCTCAGGACTGCAAGATATGCCCGAAGACTCTCCAAAGATGGACAAAAGGCCAGCTGAATTTTGCTGGAGTTTGCGAGTAGCCCAATAGCCTTTGTGAGCAGATCATGATGAGTTGCGGCATTTGGATCAGCACGCTGTGACCGTATAGCGCAGGATAATTGTATGAGAAACTCGGTTTTGGTCCCACAGACGATCAGGTGAGTATATGCACCAGTATCGAGGAGTTGTTGAAGTAGATCGGTCACCAAGCCGCAAGAAGCGACGGATCGCGTCAAGCCCATGACGTGATGAACCAGCTATAGCAGGTCGGCGAGAATCTGCAGGCCACCGGTCTCGAGAAGCGACCCTTTCGGCCCGAAATCATGGTTTGCTGATATCCGTCGCCATACAGACGTACTCTCGTGTGTGTGGACTGGGTCGACTGAGGACTTGAGACCAAAGGTGTGTGTGGCAAGACTTGAGTCTAGTCTCCGTGCCGCGGAGGTCATGCTCTCCTCCGCCTTTGGAACCCCCCCCACCTCTCTTTCTCCAACCTCACGCAGCCAATTCTCGCATTGTTGGGACTAGGTCCCTCGGAGGCTGAAATCAGAATGGAGACTATTTCCAGAATATCCTCGATGCTGGAAACAGGTGAGTCTAGCTTATTCCCGTCCTAAACGCCTGTCGCCGAACTGGAGAGCTGACCGTGGCATGTCACTGTGCGCATAGCTCGAGAGCTCACCCTGGAGGCCGCCCAGTCCGCCGCAAGCAATCGCGGCACAAGTATCGACTATAATTCACGCACATACAGTGTGCCTCATATCAAGAAGCTCCTGGATAGTCGCAATGAGCGTGAGGTGCTGGATGGGATGCGAAAGGTCATTTCGGTATGATGATAGCTGGCGATCGGGAGGATCACCTACATGAGGATGTATTCGCTAACTCAATAATCTTTACGGTATTCCAGCTCATGTACCGCTCCGAACCCTCTCTCACGTTCTTCTCCGCTGTGGTCAAGAATGCCGCGAGCGCCAATCTCGAAGTCAAAAAACTGGTTTACATATATCTAGTCCATCATGCGGAGGCCGAGCCGGACCTGGCGTTGCTATCCATCAACGCAATCCAAAAGTCGCTGACGGACCAGAACCCACAAGTCCGAACAATGGCCTTGCGGACCATGTCAGGTATTCGAGTTCCGGTCATCAGCCAGATTGTTTCGCTGGCTATCAAGCGAGGATGCGGTGATATGAGTCCACATGTGCGGAAGGCAGCGGCGTTGGCTATTCCCAAATGCTACCGTTTGGATCCGAACACGCTGCCTCAGTTGACAGGATACATCTCCACTCTTCTAGGAGACCCTCAGTATTTCGTTGTAGGCCCCGCGGTCTCTGCATTTTTGGAAGTCTGCCCGGAGCAAATCGACTTGATCCACAAGCACTATCGGAGCTTGGTGAAGAAACTTGTGGATATGGATGAATGGGGTCAACTTGCGACGCTGCGCCTCCTTACCATCTATGCACGTAAATGCTTCCCCCGTCGGACTCAAAAGATCAAACAGGCCGTCACCAGCAAATCATTCTACGGTGATGAGGAGCAGGACAAGACCGACCAGGGTGACGGGCCCGAGTACGAAGTCCAAATCGTTGACCCTGATCTCGAGCTTCTACTAAGGGCGTGCAAGCTGCTCTTGCAGAATCGCAATTCTGCCGTCATTGTCAGCGTCGTACGCTGTTTCTTCTACCTAGGAACGCCCGAATATCTCAATTCCGCCATCGGTCCCCTGGTGGCTCTTCTCAGAAGCCCCCAGGATATGCAACTTATTGCTCTCTACAACATTGTGACGGTTGCACTGAGAGAACCTCAGCCGTTTACAAAGTATATTGCCCGTTTCCTAGTTCATGCGAACGACCCACCGCACATCTGGCGTTTGAAACTGGAAATTTTGACTATCATCTTCCCGTACTGCGGCAAGCATTGGAAGGGGGTCGTTATCAGCGAACTAGAGCATTTTTCCAAAGGCACCGACCCCGACCTCGTTCGAGAAAGTGTGCGGGCCATTGGACGCTGTGCCCAAGGGGACGCCACCACAGCAGACATGTGTCTGCGCATTCTCCTCAATCAGATCTCCAGTTTGGACGGTAACTTGGTTTCCGAGTCTCTTACAGTGATCCGTCACCTCATCCAGCAAGATCCATCCTCGCATAAGCAGACTGTCATTAGACTCGTCACACACCTTGGCACAACTACTAATCCTGACGCTCGGGCTACTATCATCTGGCTGGTGGGAGAGTTTGCAGGAGTGGATCCAGGACATAACATTGCACCTGATGTGCTCCGCATTTTGATCCAGGGATTCGCCGATGAGACCGAGGTTGTGAAGCAACAGATTGTGCTCCTCGGCGCAAAGGTTTACCTTCATCATATTCTTCAGAATTCCTCTCCAGAATCATTAGAACCTGTTACCTCGAACCCGGAGGCTGCAGCCAACCTCGGACAGGCAATTCAAAATGAGTGGACAGAGGAACAGAATGAAGAGAATAAGAGTTCGAACGAGCCTCAACAGGCCGAGGATGCCGCAGAAGAAAGCGAAGACCGCATTACTCTTCTTTGGCGCTACATCCTGCTTCTCGCAAGATACGACACGTCATACGATCTCCGCGATCGTGCCCGTTTGTACAAGGCGCTTCTCGCCACCCCATCTTCCACCCAGCTAGCCAACCTGCTACTCTTAGCTCCTAAGCCCGTCCCGCATGCCCCGAGTCCCTCAGAAACACGCAAGGATCTACTCATCGGGAGTGCCACGCTTGTTGTCGGTCAAGATGCGGGCTATCATGGTCTCCGAGGCTACGCAAACCTTCCCGACTGGGTCGAGCTAGGCCAAGAGCCCAGTGCGAGCCTTAGAACCGAAGATATCAAGCCAGAGACGACAACTCTCCAGAGCTCAATGACTGCCGGCGCGCGACTCGATAAGGCGCTCCGTGAACACGAGACTATCGTACCACCGCGGAGGAATGGTGCTGCGGCGGCAGGAGGGTCATCTGGCAAGAAGACTTTGGACCAGTGGCTGGACGAGGAGGAAGAGGAGACCGAATCCGAGTCAGAGACAGATGGCGATACCGACTCGGAGGAAGAGACTGACTCTGAAGAGGACTCTGATGGAGATTCGGAGGACGATGATTCGGAGGATGAGGATGGGGAAGAAGAAGATGATGATGATGAAGAAGAAGAAACCGATTCCGAGACCGAGGCTGTGCACAATGAGGCTCAGCAGCTGCTTGGATAGGCTGCACCAAGTGACCGGGAGGAATTTTGATTTCTTGATGCATAGCAGTGGCCTTGGTTGGTTTAGTTTGGATGCATTAGACTTGATATCATATCTAGATCTTGAACAATGTCTCACATATTTGACATATTTCAGTGTGAATTGGGCATGTCTCAGGTTATGATTGCTTCTGGAACTTGTTCAACAGCGAAGATGATGTAATGGACTTGACATGTATTCTGGTGAAACCAGAGCAAGATCATTTATATTTCTCATATCCTCGGTTAATCTTTTGTACGGTAATCGCTCTGTCTGGCATCTTCATCTCACAAAGCCGGGGTCATCTAGACAGGAACTATGTAATAGGAAGCCGATCACGTTTACGAAAGGCGGTGATCGCAAGCAGAACTCGCTAGACGATCAGCACCGAGGGCCGCCTACATGTTGACGGTATCTCTGATCAGAGCAGATTGAGCGCAATTGTTGCAGAGGTGAATTTGCTCCGTGGCCATGATGCATGTTGTCCACCTTCCGGTTACATCTATTTCTCGTTGATCCCACTCTTTACGATCACCCATTTCGTCTCTGCTCGGCCTCCCCTCTCTTCGGGCCCGGCAGAGCATCCGCCTGATTCGTTCGACTTTGCTGCTGCGTTCTGGAAACCCACGCGACTTGACGAATTTGGCACCGGAGCTAAGGTCTCGTTTAATTCGATATTTGTTTGGGTTGTGCGCTTAGTATCCCGCCACAATGCCCGGTCTACCTAGTAAGTGCGACGGAGGGGGAGTAATGCGGAACCGGCCCGAGGTCAGGAGGTTACGGATTCTAACCTCGTTTTCAGCTAGTATTGACCTGGACGAGTGCATTTCACGGCTTTACCGGAAAGAGTTGCTGGCCGAGTCGGTAATCGAGGCTGTTTGCGCCAAGACGAAGGAGCTGTTGATGAAGGAGAGCAATGTGGTTCATATTAAAGCCCCGGTTACCGTCGTGGGAGACATTCATGGGCAATTTTTTGATTTGCTGGAGATATTCCGGATCGGTGGATTCTGCCCTGATACAAATTATCTTTTTCTTGGTTAGCATTCATGGCCCCGCATTCCTTTTGCTGGTTCAGAGTGTTAGGCGAGATTGCTAACGGACCGCCCTGTTTAGGAGACTACGTGGACCGCGGTCTTTTCAGCGTCGAAACTATATCCCTCCTTGTTTGTTTGAAGCTCCGATACCCGGATCGAGTTCATCTTATACGTGGTAACCATGAATCTCGGGGTGTCACCCAGTCCTACGGCTTCTATACAGAGTGTGCCCGCAAGTACGGCAATGCCAATGTATGGCATTACTTCACCGACATGTTCGACTACCTGACACTAAGCGTGGTGATCAACGACGAGATATTTTGCGTACACGGTGGACTCTCTCCTTCCATCCACTCTATCGATCAAATCAAGATTATCGATCGATTCCGTGAAATCCCCCACGAGGGACCTATGGCCGACTTGGTCTGGTCTGATCCAGACCCCGAGCGTGATGAATTCTCACTATCACCTCGAGGCGCTGGCTATACTTTCGGAGCACAGGTTGTTCGCAAATTCTTGGAGGTTAACAACATGTCGCATATCCTGCGGGCGCACCAGCTCTGTAACGAGGGGTACCAAGTCCTCTTCGATGACCGTTTGAGTACGGTCTGGAGTGCGCCTAATTACTGCTACCGCTGTGGTAACTTGGCAAGTGTGCTCGAGGTGGGCGATAACATGGAGCGTTTCTTCAATATCTTTGATGCTGCCCCGGAGAATGATATTCACCGCAATGAGCAACAGGCACAGCAAAGCAGAGATTCTCAGCCAGTGATTGACTATTTCTTGTGATACCCCTGGGTTTTTGTTTGTTTCATTTCCTTAGTTTGGTATTTATTCCCTGCTTGGCTGCATATGGGTTTCTTGCACCGTACAGGAGTTTGGGGGAAATAGAAAATTTGATTGACTGCACGCTGACAGATGTTAAGATTTTGCTATTTCATATTTGAAGTAACATAGAAGATATCATGGAGACATATCAGGCGACATGTCAGATCGCAGACATGACATTCTTGGATAAATGAAAACAGACGCAGAACAAGAAGAGAAAAACCAGCCCGACACCCTGCAAGGATCAGAGCGTGCGTTGTAGAAAAAAAACTATGCAGTATCAAAGACCAGGCCCACCGAGCTCGGGGCCATCTCTACCAGGCTTTTGGTATCAAGGAAATTCGTCACGCTTGGAAAAAAAAACAATGGGCCGCTCAAGAACTCAAAGGCAGTTTGACATTCCAAGAGATGGAGATGAGAAGTCCTGATTTACCAATCCTTGGCGATATCGAAAGACCACTCGAACAGCAGGTGAGTGTGTTCATCGTCGTCGACAAACTTGGAGACGGCATTGTAGTGACCGCGAGCAAGCATGCCCGAGGGGGCCTCTTCCTCAGCGACTAGAATGAACAAATTAGCGGGGGGTGCTCTTCGGAACTCGGTGAAATGCCACATCTGTTTTACTTACACTCCTTGGTGTAGGAAGTCTTGTGGGTGGTGCTGGGAGCATAGCTGCCGAGCATCTCCTGGTCCTTGCTGACACGGATACCCTTGCGCTTGACGACCTGGATGTACTTGAGGCCACTGAGGACTTCGTGATTGACCTGGAAAACGACCTTGATGTGGAACTTGGCACCTTCCTTGATCGTGAAAGGCTTGTCCTTGAGGCTGTTGACGGCCTCGGGGGTAGATAGCTCGATCACGACGTCGGGGCGACCCTGGGTGACCAAAGCCAGGGACTTGATCACACACTTGGGGTCGTTGGGCTGACCGATGGGTTCACCGGAGTTCAGGCCCAGAGAGGCCTTCCAGCGGTTCATGGCTTCATCGTCCTTGTCTAGAAAGAGAGAAGATGAGAGTTAGTACGGAGGGCCAGGCGGGACACCGTGGAAGGAATCGAAAGTCCCGATCGCTCAGGGCAATTGGGCAGTTAGGGAGAGCACGACTCACCGAGCTCCTGGTACTCCTGCAGGGTCTTCTTCTCGCCAACCTTGAAGCCCTCGGTCTTCTGGGCGGCGAGATCGTCGTCGTGGTGGTCGGTCATTTTGTAGATTGATAGAGGGGCGGGGTACGGGACCCAAACAATGGATGCGGAGAGAGAGGTAAGGGAGGGGGAAGAGGGGGGATTCGCTGTTAACGATGGAGATTGAACAGCGGAAGAGGGTGGAAAAGGAAGAATTATGGAGAGAGGGAAGAAAGACAAACAACCAGGGGAAAAGAAAATGAAAGACTGTTTAAGGAGGCTTGTCTCCTGATTGCGGTGGTGGGGTCATTGGAAAGGCGGTGGGCGAGGAAAGAAAGGAGGGGCGAGGCTATTCGGATCGTCGTGACTTGACGGTGGAACTCTGGAGGGGCGTTATGTACCGATATGCAGATACGGAGTACTCCGTACGAGAGATGCAGTAACGTTTCTTGCTATGCGAGGTTATTTCTACTGTACGGTAGCATCGACCATAGACCGTCGACTATGAAGAGAAATCAAGATCAGACTTTCCGTAAACAAGCCCCTCTATACTGTAGTATAACCCATTGGAAAAAGGGCTCCATAACCAACGTATAGTACCACAATAGACTACCCTATCAACCCAGCTGTACACGTAGGTGTTGACTGCCACTCCGATCTAGGCCCCATAACCACCAATTTTGGGGATGCAGACTCGGTTGTGGTCATTGGATTGTGGCCAATGGCTCCACTTGGCCACATCGAGGCAGAGAGGGGCGCAAAGAACGAGACATACCGCAAGAATTTTATGAAATAGAAATCTGGAGCATGAATCACTAATATCTATAATATCGCGTTCAATGATCTGTCCTCGGTGAATCTACGAATCACTAGGTATATAGTTCATTGTGGACTATATTCTGACACGATGACAGATCTGAAACGATCGCGATACGATGAGGAATAGTTGCATATCAACACAAATCGAGTCTTAAAATCTGATGTGTGATATAGTATATGTATAGGCTACTGATTATGCACATAGTTGTTGGTTGAACTGTAGCAATTATTGCTACTCACTCTGGCACCTAGTCTACTATATCTCTTACAGTCGAGAAAACAAATTTCTGCCTGAGATGAATGACCTGTTGCCTGAGGAATGAGGGTTTCAATTTGGGGTCACGGGGCCAACGCCCCGCCCAACAAGTGTGTAAAAGGGAATACGCGGGATGGACTGCATTGTCCAATCAGAACCTTTCGTTGCCGCAAATACAATACTCGTACCATCCTCGAACCGGCTCTTACCGTAAGCAGCCAAGGGCCAAATACCGCTGGAGAGAGCGCTCCATTCCCGGTGTCCCGTCGCGAAGAGCGCCTTTTCTCCCCTGACTAGTGTCCTCTCTTCTTTATTCCATTATCGTGATCTTTTTGGGTGTCTCGGTCATCTCATCGTTCGAGTTGGTCGTGGCGCGTTGAACTCCAGCCTCCCGCATCCATCTGTCTCGGTGGACGGCTCCGAACTCATCTTAATTCCCCTCCAGCGACGCGCCTGCTACGTGGCCGCCGTAGGCGCATAATCTCCTCCTCGTTCGCATCCCACCCGTCCCCCTCCCACCTCACCAAGCCGAGCAAACAGTTTTCATTCTGTTCACCATGTCGCGATCTCTACCAAAGAAGAACAACCCGCTGATCCTCACCGATGTGGCTCCGCCCTGTAAGTCTTAACTAGAGGCGCGTGTGGTCGCGCGACCGCGCATGTCCCCATCAGCCCCGTCCTGTCGTGCACCCGAAACCCCATCACCACGGTCGCTAACCCATCACCTTTGTTGCTTGCGACCGCAGATGAGGATCTGCTTGCGCGCCGCCGTCTCGGCAAGACCAACCTGTCCGTCAAGCCTACTCAAATCGGCACTTCGAATGCGACCAAGCCCGAAAACCTAGGGCTGTTCGAGTACGCCCACCTCCGGGCACCTCTGCCCAAGGACTTGCAGGGCTCGGAGATCTTCCCATCACACACTCCCGCACAGCACCCAGAGACTTACTTTTTGATGGTAAGAAGCGCCCCGTTCGCCCATGCCGAGTCGCACATCAAATTTCGCCGCTAACATTCTGTCTGGGGTAAAGCGGAGGAGTAAGGATGGTTTCGTTAGCGCAACGGGAATGTTCAAGATTGCCTTCCCTTGGGCCAAGACTGAAGAGGAGAAGATTGAGAGAGAGTACCTGAAGGCGCGCGAGCACACAAGCCAAGAAGAGGTTGCTGGCAATGTCTGGATTTCTCCTGAATTTGGTAAGCTACTCTGTACGTCATCAGCCGTCACACATCTCTCTAATCAAGCTTTCCCCCTTTCAGCGCTGGAGCTTTCTAGGGAATACAAGATGTACGATTGGGTCCGAGCCTTGCTGGATCCGACCGATATTGTCCAGAGCCCGACGAGCGCGAAGAAGCAGATCACTCCTCCACCCAAGTTTGAACTGCCCATGGATGAGCCAACTTCGACCCGCCGGAGCCGCCGGTCAGTCTCACCGAGCAAGAAGTCTACTTCTCCTCGCAAGTCCCGGACAGTCCGCTCTGCCAAGGACGTCTTGAGCACACCCTCCACAGCCGCTGCCAACAGCAACCTACAAGAGGCTCTTGAGATCACCGCTTCCATGGAGGCTGCGGCAAACAGCCCTATTCGTCCTGTTGCGGTCGAAGAGGTTGAAGTGACGGAAGTCATTGTGCAGGGATCACCGGAGAAGAAGAAGGGACGCAAGCCTAAGAAGGCCGCTGCGGAGACGGAGGAGGCCAAGGAAGAGGAAGGAGAGGAGCAGAAGGACAAGAAGGCTGAAAAGAAGGAGAAGAAGAAGACCGAGAAGACCGAGAAGAAAAACAAGGACATCAAGGAAGATACGGAGATTCAAGTCTCGCCTGCCGCTCCGATTACGGACGACACCCCAAAGACCACTCTTACTCTCGACATGCCCATTCTTCTTCCAGAGGTGCCATCTGCTGCCGAGACCCAGGAAATGATTGCCAAGGCCAAGGAAATGGTGGAGGATGCCATTATGAGCCAGGCTGACAGCTCGGCCGCAGGATCCTCATCTGTCAAGGTGACCAAGAAACGCAAGCCCGTCGAAGAAGATGAGGACGAGGAGACCGCGGCCGAAGCTGCTCAACGGGCCAAAAAGGCCAAGGTGCTAGAGGAGAAGTTGAAGCGCGAGCGTGTGCGCAACCGCGCTCTCTTCGGTGTCTCGGCAGCCTTTGCTCTTGCGTACGTGTTGAGTTCTCTAATCCGTTGACTGAACAATTCTTTGCTAACTGAGCGTCTAGTGCATCCATTCCTTATTTCTTCTAGATCAATAGATCTATCATGTACCCTCCGGCCTGGATCAGCCGGCTTGCTTTGATTACAGTTTCTCGAGCTTTCACTCTTGAATTTTCCTTTTTTGAGTTCGGACTTCCCCTGCGTTGTCTTCCTCTGAATGAGATGCAACTTGCATTCATTCGCACCCTTCTCTCCCCGCTTGTTCTGCTCGCTATGCGCTGATCAGCGACCCTTTCTCATCTCCCCCATTCCCCTATTTCAGATTTCCTTTTTCATTCCCCGTGTCGTTATGAAAATATACTCCTTTCTAGTCATGATGGATTGTGCTAGTCCAGAGCCCATTACATTTCCTAATATGCTCCCCTCCACTTACCCGGCGAAACCCCGATCCTGCCCTTGACAGCGCCTGAAATACACAAGAGAATTACTCGATTCAGTCTCTGTGGCTGTCGATCCCCTACCCTACACTATACGACGAGTGGCTCCCTCGATACCACCCCCCTGATCAAAGCCTGCGCTCTTTGTCCCCGGGCTGCCTCTGCACGCGGCTCTAGTCAATAAATGTTAGCTTTGTTGTAGCTTAAAGTTTGTTCAAAGACAACCATATTCCATCAATATTCAGCTTCAATTTAGACTGAATGTAGGCTGTACCTGGAGATGTCAACCCAACCCTGGAAGCGCTGCTTGAGTAGCAAACGAAGCAACTGACTCAAACGTGTGTGAGAGGCCTTTGCGGGCGAGGGCCGCCAGTGCAAACAGTCAAAACAAGCGGAGTCGGCCATGAGAGCTCCATGATCTTTGTACATCTCTCCGCAATTCCAGTTGAAACCAATTTGTGACAACTTCTTCTACTGCCTCTTCGACTTTTTGTTTAGCTTGCGCAAGGAGAAATCTGGTGAGAAAATGTCTCTCCCGGGCTTGGAGCTGATGCAGCCCTCGGAGGAGAGGCACTTGGCCGTCGCACCGCCGTCGCAAATCACCTTGAAGGCTGGCTCTGAATGGCGCTTTGAAGTTGCTTTCGGTCATATCGTGCGGGTCAAGGTATGTGATGCTTCTCATGTCCCACATTATTGCGAGCAAGCGATTTCGGGCGAATGTGGGATTGCTAACTTCCGCCTTGCTAGCTTCTCACCGGCACCGCCGAACTGTTCGGCACTGAGCTCGCCGAATCGCAAACGTATACTTTCATTGGCACCAAGGCCGCAATCTACACGTGGTATGGATGTGAATTGGAGGTCAGCGCCGGTGAGACTGGTGCCGGTACGTCCGATGGAATGACGCCCGTAGCCGGCCATGGCGCAGGCGGCTGTCAAAGCGAGTACACCGCGGAGGATACGCCCATGATCGAATACGCCAATTTCCACTTCGCATTGGAGACGATGCGCCAGGAAGCGCAAGGATCGGGGAAGGACGGCCCTCGGGTCTTGCTACTCGGACCGGATGATGTTGGCAAGACGAGCCTCGCGAAGATCTTAACGGCCTATGCGACGAAAAGTGGCCGACAGCCATTGGTTGTGAACCTGGACCCGACTGAGGGCATGCTCAGTGTGCCCGGCACTCTCACTGCAACCGCCTTTCGAACGATGCTGGACGTCGAGGATGGCTGGGGTAGCAGTCCCATGTCTGGCCCGAGTCCAGTCCCCGTGAAGCTTCCGCTAGTCTACAGCTACCCGCTTGCTAACCCTCTGGACGCCGAGGCCTCAGTCTACCGACCCATCGTATCACGTCTGGCCCTTTCAGTCACCGGCCGTTTAGCCGAGGACGAAGAAGCCCGCGAGACGGGTATCATCGTTGATACCCCCGGCATTCTCAGCAGCGGCAAACCGGGTAGTCTGGAGCTCATCAACCACATCGTGACCGAATTCGCCATCACAACCATCGTTGTCCTCGGATCAGAGCGCCTCTACAGTACAATGGTCAAACAATACGACAACAAACCCAGCGCCAGCGCCTCCGCCACCATCTTCGACGAGCGTATCTCCGTCCTGAAACTCTCCAAATCAGGAGGCTGCGTTGATCGCGACAGCGCCTTTCGCCGGGCTACCCGTGAATCGCAAATTCGGTCTTATTTCTTCGGCAATCCCATGCCCTCCACTGTATCGGCGGCCCTCTCCCTTTCAGCATCCACATCCGGCGTGACTCTCTCCCCACACGCACAGGTAATGGACTTTGCCTCACTATCGATCTTCAACTACACCGTAATCTCGACCGAAGACGAAGACGAGGATGAATACGACCCTTCTACCCTCGGCATGGGTGGCTCATTCCTGCCTACGGGTACAGACGGTTCCACGACTCAGCATCAAGAACCAGATCGCGCCGCTCCGCTACCGGGTATTATCGGCCTCTCGAATGATGTACATAACCACACTACCTCCAACGCCTCGAGTAACGTCCCGCTAAAGAAAGTCCTACCACCTGCACCCTCGGCACTGGCCAATACCCTGATTGCAGTTACCCACGCCTCGACCACCGCTTCGCCCGCCCAGGTCCGCGATGCGAGTATTATGGGGTTCCTCTACGTTGCGGATGTTGATGCGGAGAAGGGGAAGATCAGGGTTCTTGCTCCCGTCGGTGGGAGACTCCCGCCACGAGCCATGATCTGGGCTAAGCGTTGGCCTACGGAGGTTGTTGGGTTGGTTGGCTGATTCCGCCCTCCACCTTGGATCGGGGAGGGTGATGAACTTGTTTTGCATTGAGGAGCTCCGGTTTCCTGGGGCCGGCGTTATGGGGTTCCATTCGAGGGGGATGGTCTGCATATTCGAGCAGGTGTCTATAAGCGGCTGTATCTAGAGCATCAAAATTCCTACTTTTGCATTAACCGTCGGTCTTGTTTGGCCAACATTTATTTCTGGTGTAGCCTAATTGTCGCCAGTGGGTCGTAACTGTCTGTAGACCTTGCAAGTTAAAGGTCAGTTACTTCGATCTAAGGTCGACTAGGTTAGTATTTCGGCAGGTAGTTTTCAAAGCCCATGCCGTCATTCTTTACAATCTTCTTTATTGTGATAAGGGACTGTGGCATATTCAGCCAAGCGTGGTCAGGTCTAATGGTTATTTATATACAAGAAAGTGGCGTGAATCAGACAATCTATCTAATGTATTCAAAACAAATGACCGGTATAGCTCAAGACGCGATTGTATGAACACATCAAGAATACAAAGGTATAAAACAACCAAGGAAGATACTACTTTTAAACCCCACTCCATCAATATAAACACAATTTTGACGTACAACACACCAACCATCCCTCCCTCACTCCCACCGCCTCCACTCCTCAACGGCCTTCTTCATCTCAACATCACAATCATATCCCTTGCCCTCCGCAACGAGCAACTCATCCCTCCGATCCCGGAACCGCCTCTCAGCCTCAAACCTACGCAACGCGAAATCCCTTAAACCGGGGAAATCATCCCTGATCACCGCGTCCTTGAACCGTGCACGCATCCGACCCGAGTATAACTGGCAACTCGCCTCGCGGCAGCGGTTCGGCCCGTCACCGGGTAGATACCGCATAGAGGTTGAGAAGGATCGGGCAAGAGAGTGGTGTGCTTTTGCGAGGGGCCAGACGACTTCGTCGTAGCAGTCTTCGCAGACACTTAGTTCGGGTAGTTCGGGCATGTAGTGCCAGCTGCCGAGGACGGGTCTGTCGCGGAGACAGTCGTGGAGGACGACTTTGCGCTTTGCGTAGGCGAGGAACTCGCGTGGGTCCGGACGGCGCGAGGGGTCTGAGTCTGCGCGGGAGGAGGCGTCGTCCAGGAGGTCGATGTATTTGACGAAGCGGGGGCTGCTAGTGACGAGGTCGCACGCGCGCTCTTGGACTTCTGGGCTGTGTTGGAAGGTATCACGGTGTGCGGGCATGAGGACGCGGACGTTGCGCGTGCAGCTGCCGCAGATGTGGAAGCTGGGGAGGTATGAGCCCGTGTCTGGGTTGACAACGCGGTACCAGGTTTGTTCTGAGGCGGCACGGCCAGGACAGGGACGGGTTCCTGGAGGTGGACGGGTCATCTGGTAGAGCATTTCAAGGCTATCGTGTTGTTGTTTGATCATCTGAGTCCAGGCGAGCCGGTTCCAGGCGTAGCTGAACGCGCAACGGGTTTTTTGGGTCGGGGGTTTGGCCAAGCTGGGGATGAAAAAGTCGCGGAAGCGCGAGTGTCCGATTTGCTTCATGCAGCTGGGGCAGATGTCGAGATGCGTAAGACCCTTGAGGGTGTACCAGTCGTTGTGGCCGGCAACGGGGATGGACCGTGGGCATGGACTGATGCATAGACCAGAAGGGTTGGAGGGCCGCTGTGACAGATTGGTCTGTTTGGTAGCAGGGACTCTTTGAGGACTCTGCCTTTCCGCGGGTTGATCTTGAAACTTGACAGAGGTTGCAGGCCGTGATGGTCTGGCATCATCGGACGAGATAGATCTCGAGTGGCCCCGGGTTTTGGATTTCGATCGAGCTAAGGATGATACGAGGGCGGGCACGAGGGTGGGTGCCGATGTCCGTGGGTTCGTGGGAGCCACGGACGGTTCACGAGAACGGTGGCTCAGGGTGCGATGAACCTCTTTTGAAGGCGAATGAGGGACGGATGACGGAACTGATGGGTTCAAAGTCGTACTGAGAGGCCTCAACTTTTCGGTCTTCAAACGTGTCTCGGTATCAGACAAAGAGGCTGCCTCGCGAAGCTCCTGGCGTTGACGCAGTTTCTCTTCAATCCTCTCGGCAAGTGTTCGACCGTTTGCCGCGTTCCCAATGGGAGCTTTTGCCGGCACAATAGAGGGGGGAGCATAAGAGGCAGGCCTGGGTCGAGCAGTCACCGTGTCTGATTGATAGCCCGGTGGTGACTCCTGACGTGGTCGGGGCCGAACAGGTCTCGAAGTAACATACTTTGCGCTGTTCGACCGGGAAATGGATGAGATGGGTGCCTCCATATGATTTCTATCATGGCCGGGGCCTCGAGAGCGAGACCGTGCCGAGCCATAGGAGCTATGAGGAATGATATGAATAGGGCCCTCGTGTCTGATGGGATCTGGACGTTGCGGTGAATGTGAGGATGGACGAGGATGTCCAGGAGTGACCAGTTCGCGGTTGGGTTGCTGGAAGACCTGTGGCGGTTGTAGTCGACCACGAGGCCGGCTCGAAGTCCCCAAATGATCATCACGTACCGGCGAAGGTGGACGTGATGGCTGGCGTGGTGCTCTAGTCTCACGCATAGGCTGTTGGGCGACGTCCACTGATGCCCAATCACGGCCCCTGCAGTTTCCATCTCGTGTGATTGACGGTGGACGCGACTGACGAACGGTTCTCATCTCGCGCATAGGTTGAGGAGGGTAAAGTTCCGAATACGATCGGCCACGACCACGGACGGGCACGTCATCATCTCGTGCGCGGGACCGTGGACGAGGCTGTCGGGGCGCGACAGTCTCTGGAGCCAACTGTGGCTGAGTCGCTGGTGATGGTCGTTCTCGAGGCCTACTCGAAGAGGCCGACACGAATGGTGGAGGAGGTCCAGGGCGGACAGTGGCTTGAGATTCAGATCTTGGGCGACCACTAGGCTCCACCATCCTGGGAGGAGGTGTGGCAGGTCCGCTGCTATCGTCCGAAGAGAAATTGCCCATGCCAGGCATGTTGTTGACACTCAGAGGAGCCTCAGGTGAAGACGTATTCATATTCATAATGACCGGGTATTGGTCGACAGTGCCTCTCACGCGAGCACCCTCGACGCCGGGCTTTTCACTCAAATTCGAGAGGCCATGCAACTCTCGAGCAAGCGAGGCTGGCTCCTCTTCGACACAAGGTGGTGGCGGATACCGGGACCGCATAGTTCGCAACGACCCGGTAGACGGCATTATGTTGGTGAGATTTGTGGTCGCATGCACAGTCAATCTGTGATGTGGTAGTTGTAATTCAGTATGCTAGCCGGCTGCAATGACTTCTCGTGGTGAAGGTTGTCGAAGCGAATAGCTCATAGTCTTAAGAAAAGAAGACACCGTGGGGTAGTTAAGAGAGAAGATGCAAGAGGACCGTCGTACAACGAGTCTCCACTGAAAATTTTTTTCTCAATCGAGTCAACAAAGATATGCAGCAGGCCAAGGGGTGTGCGAGTATCTGGGTGGAAGGGTATATAACTGTTGGTCAATCGGGCATCATCCTGGAGACCCGACGACTCTGATAGGGCCGCCATTGGGGGGGGGAGTCGGGGCTTTGGGCGAAGAAGGGGCGAATCACCCCGGCCCCTGGAATAGCATCAGGCCCAAAATAACCAGAATCACGAGTGCCCCACGTCATTGAAACCAGGGGATGCAGTCAGGGGACTGGTCTGGAGTTGGAGGGGCCATTTAGTACCACGCCACTTGAGCAAAAGAAAAAAAGAAGGGAGTCCATGGACTTGACTTGGAGGATGCAGGGAAGCCCTTGGTCGACCGTTGAACGTTGGGCACTCAGGGCATACAAAGGACGGATGGGGCGCAGCGTCTTTGTTTCAGCGTGGATTTTCACCGACCCAATATGTGTATAACCCGTAGTCAATTAACAGTGACCCCTTGAAGAAAATGACTAACTTAGACATCTCATGTTGACTGTTGGCTTCCTCTTAGGGATATTGTTTGAGGATCCTGCGGCGGATGATCGACCGAAAGCCAACTGTGGGCCACTGCAGTGTGTCAATTGCCGCACTTGGGGTCAGCAAATGCATGCAGAGAGCGCCACTATGTCTCTGGACCCAACGGAGATCGCAGCGTGCAGGACCCTAGTCTCGATGAGTTTCGATTCTGCCCAGCCATCAACTCGGGGACCAGAGGGGGCCCAGTGTTGTGGCGTGGCCTTGCATGGACTCGTCTCGATGTCCGGACGGGGCGGCTCAACGGTCAATGCAGGCGCCAGCTCTGACCACCGGGCAACCAAAGAGGGCAAAGGGAGCCACTGTTTGCCCGGTACGTAATGGGTCTGATATTGTTTGAAGCTATAGTCAGCGGCTGTGATGGTTGGAGATGCTTTGTTGATGTGGTCATGGAGGCCTCGAGAGCAAGCGGGGCCCAATTCGATCACTCCCACGAACATGTCTCGTCAAGCGCCGTATCATCAATTATTTTGGGGGCCTCGCTGTATCTGGAACATGATCTCGAAAGACCATCTCAGTCGCGGCATGTGCGTGTCAAAGTAAACAACCCAGAGTGTATGGAGTAAATGCCGGAAGAGAAATACTTCGGCACGGCTCCGACGCTCCGACGGGTGGCCCAACCCGACGGAATGGCGGCAACCCCCACACTCGGATGGCCCGAACGAGTCGGCATGGAATCCGTGAGAAAACAGTAGGAACAGAGGCAATTGAAGGAATATGATGATGGAGTCAAGCTGTAGAACCGAAGCAGAGAATAGTAGAGGCAGTCAGATATCACTTTGATCAACCGAAAGTGGGATAAACATCGTTCCGCCCTCGGACAATGCGGGGAACGCGATGACAAATTAAAGCAAACGCAATCGGGGTATTTCTTCATGGTTGACCAGCTCCTCGCTTTCAAATAGTTCTCATGTCCCTCCCAACTCTCCGCCGAACTACTCTCCGTCTCGCTTCTCTACGCAACCACATCATCCATCCTCAACCCCTCGCCAACCCCCGCCTATTCCAATTCCACTTTCAATCCCAAGTCCACACCATGTCCCTCCCAACCACCATGAGAGCCGTTATAGTCGAACAAACCGGTGGCCCAGAAGTCCTCCAATTCAAAACCGATCACCCGGTCCCGACACCCGGGGAAGGTCAACTCCTCGTCCACAACAACATCTCCGGCGTCAACTATATCGACACCTACTTCCGCACGGGTCTCTACGCCTCTCCCAAGCCCGAGATTCTCGGCCGGGAGGGCGCCGGTATCGTCGCAGCCATTGGCCCTAATACCTCCGGCTTCAATGTCGGAGATCGTGTTGCCTGGCTGGCCACGGGTGGGTACGCAGAGTACACTGCCGTGCCAGCGGCCAAGACCGTCAAGATCCCCGAGGGAGTCAGTGACGAGGACGTCGTGGCCTCGTTCTTGAGTGGTCTGACCGTTTTGTCCTTTGCGAAGGAGACGTATCCCGTGCAGAAGGGCGATTGGGTACTTTTGCATGCTGCGGCTGGTGGAGCCGGGTTCTTGATGACGCAGATTCTCAAGTCGATTGGGGCTAAGGTTATTGGTACCGCTGGTGGTGCAGAGAAGTGTGCCCTCGTCAAGAGCTTGGGGGCAGACGTGGTGATTGATTATCGCAGTGAGGAGGGTAAGGATTGGGTGAAATTGGTCAAGGAGGCCACCGGAGGGAGGGGTGTCGATGTTGTTTATGACTCCGTCGGCAAAGATACGTGGGAGGGTAGCTTGGAGGCTGTCAAGCGCAAGGGTACGATTGTCTGGTTTGGTAATGCCAGTGGTCCCGTGCCTCCTATTCCTCTGCCGTACGTGTCGCTTTTCCTTCGAAGTGTGCTGGATCAACAGACTGACTGATTTTGTACAGCAAACTCTCGCCCAAGAATGTCAAGATTGCTCGCCCTACTCTCTTTGGCTACATCGAGACCCGCGAGGAGTTTGAATACTACACCAACGAGCTGTTTAGTCTGCTCCAGTCTGGCCAGTTGAAGACCAAGATCCACAAGGTTTACCCTCTCGAGGACATCGCTCAGGTCCACAAGGTGAGCAGCATGTTAACATTCTGCATTCGTACGTAAATTTGCTAACACTGGCATTACAGGACCTGGAGGGTCGCAAGACCATGGGTAAGTCTCTTCTGAAGCCTTAGATTAGGTATGGATATGCGAATGAGTACATATTTCGAACGTTACGACTACTTTATCGAATACCATGATTATATCCATGATTATATTTGCTATGGGAATGTCATCCATTTACCATTTGACTATCTGGTCAACCTATTGCGCACAACCCAGGCCCCCTTTGGAATCATAATCGCGTAAGAACAAGAAACAAAAAAGAACATTGTAGGGGGAAAACTACCAAGCTCACTCTTTGCCAACCTCTTCTGCCTCCTTTTCAAGACCAGTGGCCCTCAAATCTTCCTTCAAAGCTTCCATGATATGATTTGGCTTCTTGTCATTCTCTTGGTCATCATCTGCTCCCGACGGAGGCACAGCCTCAAACTGCATCTCCAGAAATTTTGGTTTCTCATCAATGATTTCACTGGGGGTCTTCCAGCGCATCATCAAGTCATTCCCAAGAACCGTATGGAAGGACGGATACGCCGAGACGACCTCATCAAAGTAATAGACTCCGCAGTTGATTTCCCAGATGTCAGAAATGATCCTCAACCCTGCGTAACAATGCTGCAGAAGCTCTTCCTCGAGGAAGAACTCAAAGTCATACTTTGGTGCTTTGCCGTCTTGCCAAGATTGACGCTCTTCGGGGGTCATATCGATGTCCGGCTTGGCAGGGTTTCGAAACGATTTCGCCTTGATTTTGCCGACGACGGGCAGATCTGGAGCAAATTCATGGTAAAAGTCATGAAGATCATCGTCGGGCTGGCTAATGGAGATGACCTCGAAGCCATCAATATCCAAGATCTGTTTGGCTGCGAGGTTGCCCTGTGTCGCCAACTCCTGGAACCGGCAAGTCAGTTCGTGAGACGCGGTACCTGCAATTGCAAACTTGACGACCTTGCGGGCAGCGTCGGGGGTGAGATGACCGTCTGAACAACACGGTGCTGGGAACCAGTCGTTGGTATCTTGGCTGCTTCCATAGTATCTGCCGCCGAAAAGCATTGAGCAGCTTCTGTTGAAGCTTCCAGGCTCTTTTTGAATCAGCTGGACATTCTTCCAAAGCTCTACCGAGGCGATGTCGCAGATCCGCCGCGCTTTGTCAATGTTGTCCTTGTACTCGGGACACACATCATGGTAGAGCAGATATGTGAGGAAGTTTCGGATGGTCCCAGTCGCAATGCTGATGCTTTCTTGACTATCTGGGTTATAGTGATTGACGTAATATGAGCTCCTGCGGCATAGTTAGCCTACCTCCTTGCAAAAAGGCTCCCTTTCGATACATACAAGAAACCTCGCGCCACTTCCTCAAAGTTGACCTCTAGTTCCTTCCGTTCCTGTGGGATCATAGTCTGACTACAAGCTTGGCGCCCTTCTTCACTCGACATTTGCTTGAGCTCTCTGGGAAAGATTCCGGTTTCGTAATTCTGGCTGGCATCTACGCCGCCGTACTGCAGGTACTTGAAGAAAATGGCACGTCTGTCATTTTCCATGCGCCGTTTGCATTGATACCGGGTTAGAGCTTCCTGTATACGCCTTCAGCAAGAAATGGTTAGCATAGACAGGCCAATTTTCTAACGGGTAGCATGGCAATACTTACTGTTCAAATGGATAGGACCTGGCGAAGGAGTGGTTAGTGTTTTCTGCAAGACGACTAGTCAAAAATGCACATACGGGTCATAAATCCGGCGAGATTCTTCATGCTCTGCTGGCGTCATGGGACCATCGGCATAATACTCTTCGAATCCAGTGGGCTTTCCGAGTCCACGCTTGCTCTTTGGCCTTCTGCGTCTGGGCTTGCGGACTACGGATGCCATGATCTCACCCGATCTGAGGGCGACCCGAGGCTTGGGTTTGGTTGTATCGTCTTCTGGGACTCTATCCATCGTTGCAGGCTTGGATGGGGGTGGAGCCTCTTCCGAGGGGAGATTCTCAGTCTTTGCAGGGGTTGGAGGCTTCATCGGCTTGCCGGGGCGGAAGGAAAAGTCCCCAGAGATGGCGGTGGAGTGACTTTGCGGATTCGAATGCATAGTGCAATGAGGAGGAGCCGGTGATGAGATGAGCTGGATGAAGGGTTGATTTGGAAGGAAGGTGAAGAGGTATGAAGTGGGTTCAATAGGCGAGGTTAAAGAGTAAAGAAAACCAAGGAGCGGTAGATTCCTCTACAAGTAGGCAGAGTTTTGTAGTTGCAGTATTTACCATTCTGGGAAGTATAGACGTTGACTGTCTACTTATAGTAGTACAGTAGATGAAGACTGACCGTTTTGGGTTTTAAGGTTTAAGGACTAAATAAACTCAAGGGTCTTTCACATGCAGCGTTCAAAAAGGCAAATTCAAAAGGTAATTGACTGCCAGATATACCACATATGCCACCATCCTGGTATTTCTTCTTGATTCGTGAGGCTCGTACTTTGTCACCTTCCATGGTTGACTCCACCTTTCAAAAATGGCCCCAGTTTTTGGCTTACGCCGGCCCAGTTGGCTTCGAGCTTCGCTGGCTCCAGCTGGCCCCTGCACACGTCTCAAAGCCGATCATGATGTTATTTGCTTTTGCTCCCCCGGACCCTTTTCCCTTCCCCTGCTTTCGTTCCTTTTTCTTACCCCAGTCTTTCTTGCTTCCTCTCCTTCTCTCATCGTGCCAAAACACCGAGCTCTCTCCTGGACTCGGTCCTCATCAGGATTCATCGGTGGTCGATCGGGGTTTCCTCGTTGAGTCATAGGGAATGCTCTGAGCGATACCCAGTCATCACCATTTCTCCCAATCAACAATGCCCTCCTCCAAACCCGATAACCGGAAAACGCCACAACTAGGCAGTGATGACCTAGTTCCCTTTGATCATGTCGCCGCAGGACAGTAAGTTCACTCTCCGATTCCCGAAAAGTTTCCTTCCTTTCTGCGCCGAGCCCGTCGGGCGCCCATCTGCAGGTGGTCGCGTGGGGTGCGAATCGAAGGGGAACCCAAGCATGCTCTGACCTCATGGTCTTCGGAATGTCGCTGACAATCGTGCGCTACTCTTTAGCGACGGGGTCCGCTGTACCCTGTCCGGCTCGCTAATCGCCAAACCGTGTACGCGCCAGGAAGTCGAATTCTACGAATCGAGCGCCCTCCATCCCGGTTTCCAGGAGTTTATGCCCTTGTTCATCGGTTCCCTCTCATCTGCCGAGCAACAGCAACCGCTGGCGATTGCTGCCGCTCAACAGTCCGGTGCGGCTTTTCTACCTGCCCTCGGAGACGCGACAACGACGGACCCCGTCCCGGAGGCACCAGCTTCACAAACAAGCACCGTGATTCAGGAACCAGAGGCTGCCAAATCGACGGAATCGGCCTGGGTGCCATCCGGTGGCAAGAAGCTAGATACGGGGCTATCTATCGTGCTTGAAAATGTCGCTTCTGGCTTTCGGCGACCAAATGTCTTGGACGTAAAGCTCGGCGCGCGGCTCTGGGCTGATGATGCGCCACCCACAAAGCGCAGCAAACTGGATGCCGTGGCCAAAGAGACGACCAGCTCAAGCTTGGGCTACCGTATCGCTGGGATGAAAGTGTGGACGGGCAAGAATGGTGATACGGTTGAAGGCTCCCTTACGGATCCATATGCCACCAAACACGAAGGCAAAGAGGGTGCAAAGGGCGAGGTGATTGAAAAGGATGGCTATCGTCGTTATGACAAGTGGTACGGGCGATCTTTCACAGACGAGAGCATCAAGCAAGGCTTTGAGACGTTTCTCGCGGGCGCCAAGGCGGGCACGGTTGACCGTTCGAGAATGATCGCCCAACGGCTTGTGGAGGAATTACGAAATGTACAACAAGTACTCGAGTCCGAGGAGAGTCGTATGTATTCCTCGAGCGTCTTGATTGTCTACGAAGGCGATCCGGAGGCAATGGAGCATGCCTTGGAGGAGGAAAAGAAGATCGCCGATCTGAGGGATCAAAACGGCGAGGAAGAAGACGATCAGGACGACGACGAAGAAGAAGAACTCGAATTCGAGATCAACGAAGAATCTCTCGAGCTCGTTGATGTTCAATTAGGGGACGGGCTTCCCCAAAAAGCCATTAACATCAACATCGACCCGTCAACGGCGCAATTCCCGACGTTGGGTGATGATGACGAGGACGAGGAAGATGCTCCCAAAGTCCACGATCTCCGTCTAATCGACTTTGCCCATGCTACATGGACGCCAGGTGCCGGGCCGGATGAGAACGTTCTCATGGGTATCCGAAGTCTGATCAAAATGTTCCAGGAACTGGCTGCATGAGTCAGGAACCGGTATAGATCCTTCACGATGATTATTACCATTGCGAGCCTCGGGATAGTTGCAGGCAACTACCAAGACCGAGTTCTTTTTCATGGTTCCCGAAAAAGGCCATTTCATAGTTACGATTCAGCATGAATTAGCCTGGTCAATGCATTTACATCATTTCATATTTTAAGTGCGAATATCATCTTTTCCTGGTAATACCACTCGGGGACTGTAAATATTCACAGCTATGACCCCGCTGTGATACATAATAATCATCAATTATCAATAATTTGGCAACTATTTACCCTTTCATGCAGGATATCAAAGAGGTCAAATCTACTCGATGATGCTCAGGTCCGGGGCCGCATACAAAATGCTGACTCATCCACCGAATGCTGGGCCATCTTTTCAACTTCCCCGAACGAAAGCTTCAGAGAGCCGCACGCCATCATGTTTCCCACGCGCACCCTGCTAGGCCGCTCGGTCTGGAAAGGTAAGCTCACATGCTACACTCATGCACAATGGGACCATCCATTGGAAAGGAATCCACAGCTAACAAGCCCTCACAGGCCCCAACATCGTCCCGTACGTGAAACCCACCTCGAAGCCAAGCACAGAATCCCTACGCCCCATGACGCCGCCGTTCCTCCGCCAGATAACGCATTTGTAGCACGAAATACTGATTATCTTGGATGTCACAGTCTCCCCCTTCCACGGACGTTCCCTCCCCCCGCCAATACGCCGCCGATTCGGACGCAGAAGCGCGCCGCAACTATTCTGCCCAACTTTGTCGGTCTGCGCTTCGCAGTACACAACGGCAAGACGTATCAGGAGATTCAGATTACCGAGGAGATGGTCGGTCGGAAACTTGGGGAATACGTTGCGTATGTGATTTCAATTTCTATGGGCATCGCGGAAATACCGGGATGAAGGGATCGAATGCTAATATGGTGGTTCTACAACAGCACTCGCAAGCGTTTCACCTACAAGCAGTCTAAGAACAAATAGTCGAATTATGTGACTGCATATTCGATACGGATTGAAGATGGGGGGGGGGGGGGTGGTATATTCATTGATATCGTTCAATCCGGTTGGGGCGTCCTCGACTTTTCTTCCTTTGAATTATCTCTCCGGCAGACGGCTGTCTTCTTACCATCCTGGTCCTCGATCCGCGCGCTATCCGGGATGGAATTGAGGAAAGGTCTGCATATACCCTGGAGAGGCGGAGGCGGCCGAGGATGTCCCCGTGCTTCTATTGAAGCATTTATCCCTCCGTTTGATTTGGCCCTGTTGCCGTGTACAGATACATCAATGGTTTCCCTTGTGACATTAGCTACGTGTGGGATGGAGTTAGCCATGGAATTTATTCAATATCATTCAGATCTGGTCTTCACAAATGCTCAAGACCCTCTAGCATCTGGAATGGCAAGTCCTATGGTTGAGCAACCGGAGATAGCCGTACATGGGCACGAGTCAACCCCATACTTTCAAACCACGCAACAACCAAACTTTCATGTGGGAACTTCCATTTTCTTGAAGGTAAAAAAAAAATCTCCCTCCCAACCCATTTGGATATGTGCACAAGGGCCTCTTGTGTCTGTCATGGTACGCCCAGCGCCATAAGCCCGATCCCTAAAGAAGAAAAATGTCGAAAACACCCAAAAGAAGACCAAGCTCCTCGAAAACGCAAGCCCAGTACTTCCAATCCCCATGCAAAATCATTTACCGATAGAACTCGCCCCGCTTCACGGTAACTCCGTACTCGGAGACAGCCATGCCCAGATCCTCCATAGTAAGCACGGTCCGTCCCTGTCCCGAACCGCCAGAGCCACCACCGCCGAATCCAGGACGCTGGACACCCAAATGGGTACTTCCCTTGCTACCCTTCGCACCGTCGCCACCTGCAGCACCGCCAGGCGCGGCGCCTGCACCGGCCGGACCACCCACGGCGGTGGTCAAACTGCCCATGGGGTTGTTGGCAGAGGAACTGTTGGAGGCCCGGATGCGGGCAAATTGATACGAATCCGCAGCGATATCAGAAACGAACTTTTGCGTTGCGAGGGCGAGGAGGCGGGCGAGATGAGGGGGTGTTTGGTTTGGGCCCGTGCCGGGGGGTGGTAAGCCGGCGAGAGTGAGGTAATGCGCAGTGACAGCGTCGGGGATCTGGAAGATTCAATTAGCTCTTGGTTTTCATCGACCACCGAAAGGGGGTTTAGATCGCTTGAGCATGTTTGCGATTTATCAGATCCCTCTCAGGCAAGCCGAGGCTGCAGCACTGAAGGTGGCGCAAACAGCCAGACGTGACAAAAAGAAAGAAAAAAAGGAAGTCAAAGAGATGAAACTCGGGGGATCACTTACGATCGGCGCGTATTCATCCATTTTACCCAGGAATTCGCGCAGACTCGTCTCTTTCTTGCTAGGCTGGGACGACTCTGCTAGCTGATCGACCTCCGTCGCAAGTGCGCCGGCGCCGCTCTCATCGGCACCCGCGCCAGATTGTTCGGCATTCATATCGATGTCCTGCTCGATGGAGGCGTCCAAATCTGGCTCGGGCTTGATAGCCGTCTCTGTCGTTTCTATAGATGTTTGTGTTTGCGTAGAGGGTGGAGGGATGGAAGATTGGTGCTCTTGTGAGCCGTTCGCGTTTGCGGATTGCTGAGAGGTGGAAGAAGGTTGAGGTTCGGTCATGGTGGGCAAGTCATTCGAGGGTCGGCCTTGTTACTATTCTGTTCTGCCGAGATTCGTTGGTCTCAAAATGGATTGGGCTGCAGGTGTGACAGGAAAGGCCCAATCACTGCGATTGGGAGAGGAGGATTGAATTGGTCGGATTATCGAGGGGTGCGAGAGGTCAAGCTCTTTGGGTTGCAGCCAGTCATGCGCGGAGGTTTCGGTGCACAGACCACTTTGGGGTGCCAGTCGGGCTTGACAGTTGTATACTTCAGCTTGGAGAACGGAAATTTAGGAACTCAGTAAATCATTGACACCCGATTTTGTTTCTTGCGACTACATGGCTCGTGATGATACATCGCACTGGAAGGTTCATACAGAAATTTTCATTTCAAATAGCTATGTACTCATACAGGTGTGCGGGAAATCCGCCGTCATCAGATCGTGCTTTTGGAACTCGACCGTCCCCATATTTGCAATTTCCATAGTACAGACCCTGGACTCCGAGCAAAATGGCGCAGAAAACTATTAGAAGAATAGCAAAGCAGATCCGGCTAAACTCCGTCAATGTGAAAATGTTATGAGGCAAAGAATGTGTTGTCAAGCGTAGTTACGAAGTAGCTTTTGATCGTATCTACTGTCCCAGTTGCATGTGGGGATCAATATGATGGTCTTGAGTGGGCGGAGGGTGTTGCTGGGGGTATTGGCTGCCATGGACCTCCTGGCTTAGAGTCTGCATCAGATTCTGCTCCGCGGTCTGGTCAAACATGGACTGGGCATTGGCATCCGGAGGCAAGCTGGGTGAAGCGGACATCTCGTGACCTCCAACGGGCGACGCGTGAGCCCCAGCCAGGGCCATCATGCCCTTGATACCCTCAACGTGAGCCTTGTCTTCCTCGCCTTGCTTCTTCTGTCGCTCACGAGCCTCGCGCTTGGCAGCTTGGGCAGGGGCCCGAGTCTTGAGCTCGCCAGTAACGAACTTGAGATAGTAGGGCACCTCGATCCCGCTCTTCAAGAAGAAAAGCTTCAGGTTTCGAGCCTTGTCCTTGAGTTGGACTTGGTTGCGGTCCTTCAAAGCTTCGCTAATTGTTCCCCCAGGGCCGAACATGGCTAGAATCTGGCTCCAATGGGGACCCTTCACGCGGTCCAAACCCGCCATCAAGGCATTTTCCTCCTCGGTGGTCCAAGGGCGACGCTGGCTAGGTAGGCCAGTTTTCCGACTAGTGGGGGAGGACTTTGCAGATGCCGCCATGCGGGCTCTCTCATAGAGAACTTGGGTGGGTTGGGATTGAGAATAGTGGGGAATTCCGGGCATGTATCCATGATTACCCGGTGACATCCCATTGGCACGCGCCTGCATGACCTGTGCGGCATTAGGATTGTACTGCTGGAAATTGGCCTGCAGTGGACTCTGTTGGAACGACAAGCCTTGGGGGGACTGTTGGTATCCTCCCGGTGGGGTAGGGCTGTGATGATACTGCTGCTGTTGGGGAGCCTGTCCGGTATGCTGCGCGGCAGTATATCCGTGAAGATACTGGTTATCACCCTGAGCAGTATGCTGGGGCTGAGGCTGAGATTGAGGCGGAGGAGGCTGCTGATGTTGTTGTTGCGGTTGCTGTTGCTGCTGCTGGTGAATTGGCAGAGCGGGAGGCTGGGAAGGTGAGGGGCTCGCTTGAGATTGAGGCTGAGGCTGTTGGTGTTGATGTTGCATCTGCGATTGTTGTTGGGAGCGCCGAAGGCCATGGCCCTGGAGAGCAATCTGGGCAGCACGGGCAGCACGAGCTACCAGATCACCGTGCATATTGCGGTCTACGGGGACCTCAACCGGCTGATTGACAGGGAATTGACTCTGATGGGTAGTGCTAGAAGTCTCCTGTGCATCACCATTGGAACTGGAAGGCCGACGGCCCTTGACAGGCTTCTTTCCCTAGGAGAGTTATTAGCAGCGATACCTAATTTGAGCTGGAGGGGTGCAGTCAAACCTGTTGGGTATTGATCGCGTCAAAATTCTTCGCGATGTAGGAACTCAGATCCCGGAGGAAATCCTCCCAGTGATACTTGTCCGGGAGTGCCTTCAAAGCTTCCTCATTATTGATGTCATTGAGGAGAATGTCTCGGCGAGAGGTTAGACGGTTGACGAAATCACTTTCACTAGGCGCTAGCTGGCGAGTGCCGGGACGTCTTGCTAGCAATCGCTGTTCCATATCATCTGGGAACAGTTCATACAAAAGCTGGGTGCGAGTGCGCGTCTTGGTGTTCATGGCAGCGATGAATGCCTGGGTTTTCAGCTCCAGGTACAAAGCAGCCTGAACCTTCAACAAACGGCCACCTTCGGGGACAAAGACGTCCAAAAAGTGCTCATTCAACTCCGCAAAACCAATTTCCTGGGAACCAAAGATGCTTGACACAAAGGATGCCAGATTCGCCTTACGAAGAACATCCAGTTGAGACGAATCGGTAATTTCGATATCGGTGGGTTGCAGGAAAGAGCGCTTGATTGTGTAGACTCTCTTCGTGTGATCAAACAAGGAGCGCATGGTAGCATAAGCCTGACCGTTCTCGGAGTCGGGCTCGGACACCATTGCAGTTAGGTCCTGGTAGCTATTTTTCGACAGAAAGGAAAGGATTTGAGTAGACTAGGAAAAATTCAAGGTCAGAACATGCGCTAATTGACATGAAATAACGCGCGCCTACCAGGTTGTCCAAGATAGGTAGACTCTGGATCTTCAGGTGAGAGTTGGCCTTGAGATTCAAAAACGCGTAGCCTTTGGCGCCCGGGAAGTCTCCGGACGGAGGGATCTCCTGGGGACCCATCGCGACAGTTTCCTCCTGGCGGTCGGTATGGTCAAGGATGTCTGTGATCATCGAATTCACGTCGGCATTAGGGGTAGGAGTCGCGTCTTGAACGACCGCAGAAGTTGCCGAGAGATCCGATCCGAGGTTCAAATGAGTACCGTTTGTTGATGGCAGATCATTGGCATTACCCTCAGCGAGAGCATTCGCAAGCTCTTCTTCAATCTTGTGGCCCGGGCCATGCTGGTCGGAGCCGGGGAATTGAGGGTCGATGGAGATCTCCTCGTCAGTCCCGGCGGCGTCCATCCGGCGCTTTTTCGCAGCAGGAGGAGAGCCATGCTCATCCTCGTCGAGTAGGTGAGCCGGCTTGTGATCTATTGTATTCATATTCAAGCTATGTCAGTAACTTCTTCAGCAAGTTTGAGAGCAATCGCCGAGTGTTGGCTTTCGTTGCGAAGTTTGTTGCGGGTCGCTGCTGGCGGCAACAGCAAGACAGAACGACAGGACCGGATTTGCGCAACTGACCAAAGGGACTTCCATCGTCAGGGAAAGGGGGAAGAGCAGAGGCCTCGTCAAAAGACGGGCGCTCATCTTGAGATTCGGCCATCTAGGGCGCCAGATAAAGGGTCGAGCTGGCCTGTCAACTTCCAAGAGCAGAAATGAGGGCTTAGGGGTAGGGCGCAAGTGTAGGGCTTTGCTGGAGGTGAGAGAATTAGCCCCGGCTGGATGATTTTTCTGCCGAGTGGCCTTGGCGGTGATTGGTCAGGACTCAATACCGCCCTTTCTCGAACGAGCATCAAGATCGCATTAAAGATTGATTCACATACAATTGTGGGGACTTTAAGGCATTGTTTGTCATATTCGCGTATTTTATTCTATAGTAAAGGGGGTTTCGAACCATTATGCAATTCTTCATGTTGTAAATCTTCATTGATTGTGGCATTGGTAGGTTTTGACTCAATTCCCTGCGGGGCTCCGCGGCGACCGAATTTGTTGCCTGAGGCCAAAATGTCTATTTCAAGTTTCCTATTCCCGCTTTGGGAATATCCGACCTGGACAAATGGAAGACAACAAGTACATACTTGACATAAAAGAGATCACCAAGTTGGCTTCAAAATTACGACAGATATTTGGTCAGACGCAGTAGAATAATGCCGACGTGGTAGCAGATCTGCCCACTCCCTTGAAGCCTCACGACAGGAGCATACAGAACATATGGATACTGTGCGCGTCATTGACCTTCTGATCTATGGAACTGCCCCTCTCCATGCGTGTAACCTCCCACCTCAGATACGCTGTTACGTAGAGACTCAACCTGAAGGAAACTATCTTTCCATTACACAAAGATCCCAATTCTCTCAAAGTAAGACGATTTTGTTGAATAGTAATTCTTGGCTTGGGAGACTAGGGCTGCGAGCATATATACCCTTCAGCTTCCATCATCTCTCGTTTTTGACAAGCTACATCTGATTATGGGCGAATGATAACCCACACATAGCAGCTCAAAATCAGATGACCGGTTATAAGCTTAGGACATCCATGGATTGTCTCAACGTTGTAAGCTGTGTCCAAGCTTTTTTCGCCGGTGGATCCGAGCCCTAACAACTTATAAGCTTAAACCGGACATCACTGCCATAGATCTCATACTTGTCCAATTCTTTCCTAGCATGACAGCTTTCCGAAAGCAGCCATTTCCTTGGATAAGTTACCTGGCATCCTTGAATTTATTGAACATACGCCAGGGGTCCGGCCCATACATTGGGCCTCTCCAGAATTGGAGCTCTCGAGTTCCCTTTAATTGCGACTTGCCCCTCCCAATCTTTCGTAGTCTATATTTTTTGTCAAATAGCCTACTAGTATTCAAGGGAGCTCTATAGGACATACTCCGATAGTCCTTGCTCGGTGCTATACGACTCTTGATATTTCAGACGCCGTCATGCTCAATCGCCGCTACCTCTCCTTGATTCCGCTCTGGCTGCAGGCTTCCCTCCCTGTAACAGCCCAGGCGTACACGGAGAAAGTCTGGGGTGTGTTTGCGTACACTGTACACGGAGATAGTACTCCCAATGTTCTAGCAGAGGCCCGCCCCAGATTCTTATCAGACTATGGAGCGAATCAGCTCGCGGCAGCCGGGGCAGCCTTTCGTGACCGCTACTTATCGTCTGGGGAAGGCTTCACTGTCTCCGATTCGGCGATTCAATACATCTCAGCAAGTGTCCTAGACTCGAAAGATGTGGGCATATTCTCGACGACGGACCAATTCAATATTGCATCGGCACAAGCGTTCATGCAAGGTCTATACCCGCCACTTGGGCAATCGGGCATGGCTCCCTCGGATACCGGGGGTAATAGCTCCTTTGATGTATCCCCACTTGACGGATACCAGTATCCTCAGATTGTTACGCTCGGAAATGGCGATCCGCAGTCTGTCATGGTGGCTGGACAAGCGGATTGTAGCATGCATCAAGTGGCCGAATCCGAGTATCGAAACGGGGACTATGCACGGGAGATCACAGAAATAACGGATGCATTCTACGTGAGGCTCTGGCATGAGGTCTTGTCCGGAGTCTACGCCGAATCATCGGCAACCTACAGTAATGCAGTTGATATCTCCGACTACATCGAGTACGAGGCGGTGCACAACAGTACAGTCCAAACCCAACTCACCGAGAACGAGATCAGACAGGCACGTTGGTGGGCCGACCACTATACCTACGCTACGAATGGCCAGAGTGACTCCAACAGTCAATCGACAATTAGTGCCGTCAGCCCCATTGCAGGTCAAACCCTAGCGACCAGCATTCTGCGTGCATTTGACCTGAACATCGAGAAATTTGGCACGGCACAGAAGATGACCTTGCTGTTCGGTGGTGCCGAGCCCGCTGTAGCCCTGGCGTCCCTGCTGGGTCTAGCGGCAGAGCAACGTCCCAACTTCTATTCCCGTCCGGTTCGCGGCGCCTCCTTGGTCTTTGAGCTGTACAGCTATGAGGCTGACGAGGTGTATCCAACGTACCCGGGCATTGACAACTTGTATGTGCGTTTCTTCATGCACAATGGCACAAACGACACCGATTTCACATCGTATTCGCTCTTTGGATATGGTCCCAGCCACGAGTACATCCCGTACTCGGAATTCCGATCTGAGGTAGAAACGTTTGCCGTACAGTCAACGCAAGAGTGGTGTCTTAGGTGCAATTCAGCGGCCGTCTTTTGCACGGGGGTCTTGGACAGCAACGGATCCGACTCCTCCAAGAAGAACAAAGGAATGGCCCCAGCCGTGGCTGGTGTGATTGGAGCTGTGGTAACGCTCGCGGTGATCGGTTTGCTCGTTGCCTTGGGATACTTCATCTGGAGTAGGCGCAAGCGTCAGGGTAATCACAAACCAAGTCTTGGAGGTTTCAAAGGAACTGACAAGCTTGCGAGTGACACTGATCTGACGTTCAAAAGCCCTATCTGGGACGCTTCCAAATCTGTACACGCGGAGCAGAACAATGACATCGCTAGCGGTGTTGCCGTACGTGGGCACGAGCGATTGGGTAGCTGGGAGATGGGCCAGCAAAAGAAGGAGATTGATGATGTCGAGTCGGCGAGTCACCGGCACATGTCGACTCTCGAGGACGAAAACGAAGACGAATGGCGCATCCATAGCGGCCTTCAACCTGTGAAGATTCGGGAGAGTGTTTGATATCTTGCTGGTAGCAATTGATAGCGGAGCGCAATAATCATTTTTATTTTCTTACTCATTGCCTGCCCAGGATAGCATCTCATAGGATAATTGCCCTCACTCTGGAGAGGGTCGTCGAGATTCGATAGGCGGTATCGTGCCTGCTGGCTTTGTGAGACTGAAATATCGGAGATCCTGCCGAAAAGCCTCGACTTCCTGCCGACCAGCTTCGCCTTCCCTCTCACATCGCTCTTCCTTTTCCTGTCCTTTTCCTTTCCTTTCCCCATCGTCCTTTCCGTCTCCATCTCGACATTGCCGGAAGTTTTCTCATCTCGTTCAAGCCCTTCGTCCTTTCGTTTCGGTAAGTTCTCCATCGCCGACTCATCAAGATGAAGTACACCATTCCAACGCTGATGGCTTTGAGCCAGGTGACGGACGTTGTCTGTAACTGGACTCCCAACGCTCGAGACTGTAAGTATCTCATTGCCCCGCACTCAGACGCGAGAAGAACGCGAAGAAGAGCCCGCGTCCTTCTCATCCCCGGCCATCAAGTTTTCTCTCCACTCAATCATGGTCATCAGTTGGGCCTTGCAGAGAGTAATCCTGTACTCTGTACTTGTTCGTTGAGCGTGGACAGAGTCTGGACACAATTCAACAGGCCCGATCGATGTATCTCACGAGGACAAACGGTGCATCGACCCGATGCCCGGATTGTCACTCATCCATCCTGGACTGTGATTCGTGCATCCATTTCGGAAAGAACTGGTGTCGTTCCAGGACCTCTTCTGGTGTATTTCACACACCTCATGAATGGGTTTCACATGATCGAAAAGGCCCTTCGAGGTGCTAACCGTGTATGTAGGCAAGCTGCTTCGTCCCGGTCTGGACCTGAGACCGACACTCAGAGAGAATTCTCCAAACATCGCCGCTGTCAGCTCGGCTGTAGCCCATCGGGCAGGCAAAGACGGTCGCTCCAAAGTCAAGTCGCACTGTCGACCAATAACGCCCACACATACATCTTTGAAAGTCTCATCCATCCCGATGGATGCAGGCTTTTCTCGCTTTTTGCAAGAACATTCTTCACCCACTCACCAGCGAGTCACAGCGGGAGGTCGTATCGTCCCAATGTTGCCTGAACAGCAAGTCCCAGCTGGAGGTCGCGTCGTTCCACCGGTGACTCCACCCAAACGGCCGAGACCTGCTCAGAGGCCCGGCAAAGCCAAGGTCCCTGGAAGGGTCGTGGAGGTCGAAATAATCGACTACAGCGGGGCACACAGCGCACACGATGCACTTGCAGATGTGATTGCAAACGCACCTAATGCACCTGAACATACACCTGCACCCGCTGGGCTTTTACCTGCATTTGAACGTGCCCCTGCAGCTGCGCTTGCACCCGCTGCACCATCTTTAAATCCCAAGGCTCCTGTTTTCGTACCCCATGGCCCTCGGATACCCACCACCAACGTAGCTCGCATGAACTCCGCGCACATTCAGAATGGAGCAGGAAACGCTATCCGAAATTTCAACGAGTCAATCGGTGCGGCGGCCCCAGTACCTGAAAAATGGGCTCATATTTGGCCACCTTTCGCTCGGTCCAACAGGAAAGAAGGCGAACTTCAAGCATTCGTGCAGGTCCGCATGCATCTTGCAGCGCAATTCACCGTATCGCCTGTTCATGTGTATGACCTACCGCCAGGCTTTATCCTGCGAGGCAATCCAGCTCTGAGTTTCCAGCCACACCAGCCCCTCCCTCTTGTCTTCCATGGGGCTTGGATCTTTCGTCCGCAAGTCATTGGTCCCTTGGGAATGTATTGGACCTTCCTCACTGAGATCTTCCGTGTGACCAACGAGGGTCACTTTCAAGCTCAGAAAGACTATGGCACAAACCTGGGCCACCTGATCCGATTTGTGAAGAGGCCACTAGATCAATATGAGGCATTTATCTTGATTCACGCCACCGAATGGCTCAAGTACCATTGCCGATTGTTCGACGATCTGATTGCATCGGTGGACTATCGCCGGGCGCCTCTCCCAGGTCCCGATCCCGGTCTCACGGCTGAGCGGGTGTTTTACGTGAACAAGAGGGCCTATGCCACGGAAGCCATCAAGGAACTTGAGCAGGCGTTGGCATTCGTCCACCTCCACATGGACAGTCCTTTCTGGCGTGAGCTGATTTGCCTGACCTTGAATGGTCGTGTGTTGGAGGACGCACATCACAGTCCTACCCGTGACGGCAAGAGTGACGTGTCGTCTGAAGACGATGACCGTCACGAGGGCGCAGAGGACGTGTTCTCTGGCGACGAAGAAGCTTCGGTATATGCGGAGCATTTGGAGTTCGCACACCCCCACGACAGTTTGGCACCGGGAGGTGGCCCCGTCGGTGCAATTGGCCAGGCGGACGAATCAGTGGTGGGCCACACCGAAAGCGGCTCCCTCGTCGACATCGGGTCCTCTGAGTCTTCCCTGACCGAGAGGCAGCCTGCTCGGGGACAAGATGAGGATGGCCTGGAGGGTGGCGGCGGCGGCGGCGAATCCTCGTCGCAATCGGCAGGTGTTGAGGTTGGGCCCAGCAAGGGCAAGCAGATTGTCAACCTCGGACATTTGAGGTAAGAATGAGAATAGCTTCCAAATTGTCTGAAGGGAAATCTGATGAGATTTGATAGGGAGTTGAGCGTTAGGCGCGGCGCTCACGTCGCCCTGCAGGAGCCCGCGGGCTCGAAGACAATTTCGGACTGTCTGAGCAAGTCAGTGATCACTCAGACCAAGACTACGGCGGCCGTGAGCCGTAGCCATGCCCATGCCGACAAGGGCAAATTGTCGGATGTCGAGACGATGCTGGCCCGGATGCGGGTTTGAATTGAGGGGGAAGGGGAGTTCGGGAAGGGGGTAGTAGTCTGGGGGATCTCGAGAGACGGTTGTATGATTAGTAGCCTCGACTAAAATGAAAACCCCCGTCCGATTCCCAATTTGTTGAGTTACTGATCGTGGGTGCATTGGTTTCTGTGTTGTATGGAATGCGATACTTCGATGTCGATAAGAGTGGCTTGTCACGTGGATTCAATGGGCATTCCACAGGGCCTAACTAAACGGTTTACCGGCGGAGTCCAACCAAGTCCCGAGCACTACGCCGTAGTGTCTCACCAATGGAAGTAGATTAAAGATTTCCGAGTATGGTAAATCCCGCCACACTGTTCCTGAAAACTCTAGAGCCGGGGATTCTTGGGTCGAGTGATTTCCTAGCCATAGAGATAAACTCGTCAGTCCTACACTTGAGTCCATATTGGTTAGAGACGATGCTCATACTCTGTGCCCCAAAGTAGAACGCATATATCTCTTATTGCTCCTATTTTTGGTAGTCCTCTCATCACTTTCTTCCATGATATGGATACTAATTATTCGCAGTAGTCTTGATAGTCGCTCTGATAGTTCTTGGAGTAACAAGAATGCGACCTAGTTATCGGGGCCGCCCTGACTAAGCGTGGCCTCCTCGCCCTTCTCCACTCGTAGGCCCGACTGCCCTTCGTCTCCCTCGCTCGTCTCCAGCCTGCCCTGGATATTCTGAAAAAAAGCCCCTGCCTCTCTTTTTCGTCGAATTCTTCGATGATGCAGATACTTTCATGAACACTGCTATCGTCATCTTTGTCTTTCCCTTCTTCCTGGGTGGATAGCCCTCGTTTGCCGAATACTGATTGCTTGCTAATCACTCCCCATCCCCTCCCCGCGGTTCCCAGTCTCCATCGATAACACTGGGCCTTGCACGCCGCTCCATCGCCTTCGCCTTTCATTGCGCAATTGTCCCCTCCCAAGGGAAGCCAATTCTTCTCCGTGTAGAAGAGTTCGCACGCCGATTCGACTCTTCCGATCCCTTCAGACATGACGCAGCTCTTTGCGTCCAGTCCGTCGGCCATGGCAAATAACGAGAAGCGTGGCAATTTCCCCGGCCTGTCGCTGCCGTCCAGAAAACATTCCAACGATTCAGGCCACCTACCCACGAAGATCAAGAACTTTTTCCGGATCAACAGCTCCAGCAGTCACTCCTCTTCTCATAGCGGGAGCCCGGTTAGCAATGACCGCGAGCGCGAGAAGGACAACTCTTCGAAGAATGAAAAGACCCCCTTCCGACAATCTCGGTTCCTACCTACGATCGGTCGGAACCGTTCGACGACCGTTGCAAGTGAAGGAAACCCTCTAGATGATGGTGTCTCTCCTACCGCCTCTGCCAACCCTTACTTTGCCCACCAGGGCCAGCCCGCATTGCGACATCGGAATGACGGGTCCGTCCCTTCATCTCCTCCCGATACCCCCGAGTTGCAGGTCACCGGGGTCTCCGCAGTGGAACAGGCTACGACTGCCAACAAGGAGGAGCTTGCTCGCAAACTCCGCCGTGTGGCATCTGCTCCTAATGCCCAGGGTCTATTCTCCGGGCAGGGTGACGGTCGTCCCCAGACGGCTGAAATGGGCAAGGAGCCTCTTATAGAGGTTCCTGGCCCCGATGGGTCGGTGGGTCTAGCCAGCTCTGCGACTGAAAAAGACTCCGCGCTCTCGGTACCTTCGATTGGTCTTGGCAACAATGTCGATGGCAGTAATGCCTCCTTCCGTCGCACGTACAGCTCCAATTCGATCAAGGTTCGCAACGTGGAAGTTGGCCCTGCTAGTTTCGATAAGATCAAGTTAATCGGTAAGGGTGATGTGGGTAAGGTCTACTTGGTTCGTGAGAAAAAGTCAAGTCGTCTCTATGCCATGAAGGGTGAGTTTTACCATGCCTGTGGTTCAACCGTAAGATACTAACTCGGCTATTAGTCCTGAGTAAGAAGGAAATGATCAAACGTAACAAAATCAAGCGCGCTCTGGCTGAGCAGGAGATTTTGGCCACAAGCAACCACCCATTCATCGTGACCCTTTACCATTCCTTCCAGTCTGAGGACTACCTTTACCTGTGTATGGAATACTGCAGTGGTGGTGAATTCTTCCGAAGTACGTACTGCCTTCACGAAATTCTGGGGGTTTGACTCCCGCTGACTGCTTACTCATTACAGCATTGCAAACCCGACCTGGGAAATGCATATCCGAGGATGCTGCCCGGTTCTATGCCGCTGAAGTGACTGCTGCCTTGGAGTACCTTCACCTCATGGGCTTCATCTACCGAGACCTCAAACCAGAGAGTATGTATTCCGGTGGATCGCAATTGACCCCCTTGTCATGGTGGATAGAGTACTAACGTTGCACCGCCAGATATTCTCCTTCATCAATCTGGTCATATCATGCTTTCGGACTTTGATCTGTCCAAGCAGTCTGGACCTGGTGGTGCTCCAACTATGATTCCCGGACGAAGTGGGGGTACCTCCATGGCAGCCCTCCCGACTATTGATACCAAGTCTTGCATTGCCGATTTCCGTACCAACTCGTTCGTAGGAACCGAGGAGTACATTGCCCCCGAGGTGATCAAGGGTTGCGGTCACACTAGTGCGGTTGATTGGTGGACGCTCGGTATCCTGATCTACGAGATGCTTCACGGAACTACCCCGTTCAAGGGCAAGAACCGTAACGCAACCTTTGCCAGCATCTTGCGGGATGAGGTATCATTCCCTGAGCACTCTGGTGCCCAACAGACTTCCACCATGTGCAAGTCTTTGATTCGCAAGCTTTTGATCAAGGACGAAACGAAACGACTCGGAGCTCGTGCAGGCGCATCGGATGTCAAGACTCATCCCTTCTTCCGGACGACCCAGTGGGCGCTCATCCGCCACATGAAACCGCCCATGATCCCCCACCAGGGTCGTGCGGGCACCGACACTGTGAACTTCCGCAATGTCAAGGAGAGTGCCAGTGTGGATATTGGTGGCACCAACCCGAACAAGATGAAGGGTGTTCCAATGGACTCTGGCCTGTCCACCCCGAATGGCGAATTGAACGACCCTTTCGAGGAGTTCAACAGCGTCACTCTCCACCACGAGGGTGACCACTAAACTTGTGGTCTTCCCAGCTCTGCCCAACTTGTACTTTTGTTGTCTTCTCCCTTTTACTTCCGTTCCTCTCCCTACATACGAGAGAGGCAGCCGCCTGGGCATCGGCTCCTTGACGACCATGATGCATTGACGACTGCATTCCAATTTTTTTTCACCTCAAACCTCCATCACAGTTCGCACACCTGGTGTACGGAGAGTCTCAAGGCATTTTGTACCAATTTTAGTACGCTTCTGCTTGATACGGGTTATTGCTTTTGACTTGGTCATCTCATGGCTTGCATTTTGCATTCTCCATCATTCGCTGAAGGCCCGAATCACGTCTCGGGTTCGTTGCACGAGTACCTCATTCTTCGTTGCGTGTATCACTCCTTATGTCACGATCAAATGCGCGCTTTCCCTTCTTGTTTCTCGTTCGAAACTGCGATATACATTTGGTTCACTTCCTCTTTTTTTGTAGCGGGCGGCGTTCATGGTTCTTCTATCTTGTTTTTCTTCGGGGGCTTCTGGCACTTCTTGGATTCACTGGCTTTTCAATCATTTCTTCTTCGCAATTGACCAGTGTTTGTCATTCTTGCGTCTTTTGATTCATGGCGTGGTACTATCTATTTAACGAAGCTCGGTCCCATTCTGATCTCTGTATACTGTGCATGCCTCGGCTTGAGGCTTGCTAGTAAGCCAAATCTGGTAGCATTTCCAAACAAGTATGAATTGTGAGTATATGTGTTTTTTGAAACTTGCCAGTCTCTTATTTTATTAGAATCTAGTCAATATGGGTGTGTACGTATTTCTTTGGTCGTCATAGGGTGGGACACTTCCGCCCAAAAAATCCACGCGCCCGCCAAATCAACAAACCATCGCGTCCAACTCCGCACTTTCTTGCGGCTGCTCTACCACCTCCAGCAAACGAGTCAATTCCTGTGTCCAGTCACAAAATATGTCTGCCTTTGCAGCCTCTGATGATCCCGACGCCCTCGACTACTCTTACATGGAGCCCGACCCCGCGACCACCACCCCTCCCATCGGTCCCCCATCGCAATCAATGAGCTCCGACCCCGAAGCCTCCCACAGCCGCAGCCGCTCGAACAATCCCTTGCTCGGTGATGACAACCCGCTCGTGTCCGAGCTCGAGCAGGAAGTGCTGGACGAATATTCTCGCTTACTCCGGAATGTGAACCAGGTTAGTCGGCCCGATCAGCAACCCACGCTTCGCACAGCCGAAAGAACCCATCCTTATCATAACTCATCTCTTCAATCTGAAACTGACCTACCCTGCTACATGTCTAGCTCTCCGAGAAGATTGGTGATCTCGCCGGCTCCCCGGCCTCAATGACGCTTGACGGTCTACGTTTGCTCGAGCGGAAAACTGCTACTGTCTGCACGTTGCTCAAGGCTAGTGTGTATAGCATCGTGTTGCAGCAGCAGATTTGGAATGAAAGTGAGGAGCAGCAACAGCAGCAGCAGCAGACTGAGCAAGAGCAGCAATTTCAGGACCAGGAGTATCAGCTTGGCGGGGGTTATGAGGGGGAGGGTGATGTTACCTTCCAGTGATTGTCTATGGTCCATGTCATGATGAGTTTCATTTTGCTTCTGTGTTCTGGCTCTGGAGGCTTTGGCACTGCGCAGGGGTTTCTTTAGTTTTCTTTTTGTTTTACACAGATACCCATTGTTATTGCGTTTTTATGGACTGGCGTGATATTGGAGATCTGGAATCGGATTGTTGTTGGGAGAATAATAGAAATTCAGGGTTTAAGGGCGATATTTCTCTGTATCTACTGTTAAACCTGTGGCCTTCACCATAGAGCCTTGTCAAGTTGGCTATCTTTGTAAGGTATTTCCTGTATGGGGACAAGCTACCTAACGTGTTCCATTCATGAGAGAAATTGTTTGATTGATCCTTTTGAAAGATGACCGTAGGAGTACAGATACAAATACATGCAAAAGACACAAGGAGAAGAGCAAGAGAAAAAAAGACACCCATTATATACACGCCGAGAGAAAATGCCCGGCTCGATCAGCTGTCAAGCCACACATCTAGGCCTTTCCAGCGTAGTAGACCTTGCGCACGTCGACCATCTTCCGGCCACGAGCGCGGGCAACTTCCTCGGGGTCACGTTGGCTCATGAGAGCTTCGTAGGCAGCCTTGACAGTGTTCATCTTGTTACGGGAGCGGCTGACTCGTGCAGCAAGGTCGTGGATACCGGCGGCACGGCACATTTCGTAGATCAGGTACTGGACACGAAGACCGAAGCCTAGATTTTTGTTAGTGTTGAGTTGCGCGGGTAAAAAAATGCTGCTTCAAACATACCTGGGGGACGGTGCATCAACTGCAACTCCACAGCTCCAACCTTGCCATTCACATCGCCAAAGATGGTACGGTTCTCATATCGGGGAATCGGCTGCATGTTGCGGATGGCGCGGTACTGAGACTGGGTCTTCGCATCGGCGGCTTCTTCGGATTTGCCCTCGCCAATACCCAACAGACCATTGCCGTTACCGGCGATAGATAGGCGATAAGCACGACGGACCTTACCGAGACGAGTCTGGTTCACGACCGAGTGGGAAACCAGAGTCTTGAGGCGGAAATCGCGAATCTGGTTGGCAGTATAACCCGTGGCGAGGAGCAGGCTCTTCAGAGCATCGGTCATCTCCTCAGCCTGCAAAGAACGTTCCTTCTCACCCTTCTCAGCGGCAGTCTTTCGCTCCTCCACACGGGGCTCATCGATGGTCTCTCCAGGGCCGAATAGGTCGGGAACGAGAGCACTGTGGGGGTTCAGCTCATTCTCCTCCTTGCCATGTGTCAAGCGCAGCTCGTCCGTAAACCGAACAAAGTCTGCAGCTGTCGCATCCTCTGGCATCTCCGCGAAGAAACGGCCAAAGTCCTTGACAAAGTCATCCTCGCTCTTGAGCTTGAAGCTATAGTCCGAGTTCGACTCGGGGGCGCGTACGTGTCGGTCGATACCGGGCTCAATGACGGAAAAGTCATCAACGTAGTTGAATTTCAAAGGGTCGTCACGTTCATTCAACTGCGCAGCCAGATCTTTGGGGTCAATGGCAGCCTCGCCGGCCTTGACGGCTTCCAATTGGGCGGCCGAGTACTCCTTGGCAAGGTGCGCCTTCTCCTCTTCCGTGTAAGGCTTGAAGTCCTCTGGCTTAGGACCCGATGCAATGGAAGCCTCCGGAGCCTTGATGTTCGGGAATTTGGGTTTCCGGTTCGTCAACTGCGCTGGCGATGGGTGGAATTGGCGACGGGGCACTCGCGTGCTTTGCGTGGCAGCACGGGAGAAGCTGCAGAACAGGCATCTTGCTGGCCTAGCAAGACTCATTGTGAAAGAGGAATTGGCTCAAGGACTAGCAACTCCGCTAGCCACGAGCTCTGCAAATAAAGGAACGAAATCAACAAAATGACGGGCAAAGCGACGCGGGCAAAGAAACGGGCGGAGGTCAACTTCGGGAGGAATTTCTTGCTCGCCGGGCGGTCAGCACGGAGCCAATCAGCGACTCTGCAGATGCGTTTCTAATAAATTTCCAGAATTTCGATCTCCAACTTTCGCGAAATCATCGCTACTTTGCGTTCCGAATTTACATGTTTGCAGTGCGGTCGCCGGTTTACCGATTGTCCTGTATCCGGTCTGTCTTGGCTGGTCCTCATTGTCGAGCCCAGCCTACATCAATCGCCTCCTTCCAGCGCTATTCAATCACTGCAACTACGCCCGCTGCAAGAATGCCGAACAATCCAAAGAAGCAGTTTGGGGGCAACTTTCGCAAGAAAGCCAAGTTTGACAAAAAGAAGAAGAGCATTGAACATGACGAGGTCCTGCTAGCGGACGTCGACGATTTGATCAAGCGCAATCGTCCCGAAGAAGAACAATCCAATGGCGACGACACCCCGCCTCCCACTCTTCCCGAGACTTTCACCGAAATCGAATTGACAGTATCTGATCTTTCCTCGACTGGAGATGGTCTTGCGCTCTCCGAAAATAAAGACCATGTCTACGTTGTGCCCTTTACGGTTCCCGGCGACAAGGTGCGCGTAAAGGTCATCCGACACTGTCCCGCGCAGTCGTACACTGTCACCGATTTCCTGAGCGTGATTGAGCCAGGACCGAAACGAAACGATGCGCTTATCAAGTGCCAATACTTTGCAAAGTGTTCTGGGTGTCAATTACAAATGATGTCGTACGAGGACCAGCTGGCGCATAAGCGGCGCATTGTGGAGAAGGCCTACGCCAACTTCTCTGGCTTGGTGCCAGAGCTAGTTCCTTCTATCGGCGAAACATTTCCTTCGCCCATGCAATACGGATATCGCACGAAGCTTACGCCACACTTCGCCCAAGGAGGTGCGAAGAAGCGGTCAAATGCCGATCAAGAAAAATCGCCTGAAGTCAAGGTGCCGCCAATTGGCTTCTGCTATAAGAACCGCAGGGCGGACATGGATATCGAGGATTGCCCATTGGGCACAGACATTGTACGACGCGGTCTCAAGAGCGAGCGGAAGCGTGTTGCCGAGAACATTCGTTCGTATAAGAGGGGCGCAACTCTCCTCATGCGGGAATCTACCTCCCGCATCGCCAAGGATGAGTCTGGGGCCGAGACTGATGTTAAAGACGTGAACGGACTCACATCAACCCCTGGTGCCGACACAGGTGATGTGATTCGCACTGATCGCGGCAGCTATATCGAGGAAAAGCGCTGTATTACCGACAACAACGCTACGACGGTCGAGTACGTCGATGATTTCATTTTCAGCAACAAGGCGGGCGCATTTTTCCAAAACAACAATTCCATTCTCTCTGGATTCACCGAGTTCATCCGTTCCCACGCTCTTCCTCCCAACAACGACCAAGACCCCACCCCCATCAAGTATCTCCTCGACGCCTACTCGGGCTCCGGTCTATTCACAATCACCCTGTCAACGATTTTCAAGTCCAGTCTCGGTGTGGATGTCGCTGGCGACTCAATCGTCTCTGCTCGCGAGAACGCCAAGGCCAACAACCTGCCCAATACGGGCTTTGCCGCCGCCGATGCAGCTGTTCTTTTCAAGGACGTGCCCTACCCGCCTGACCAGACTCTGCTTGTTATCGATCCACCTCGCAAGGGCTGCTCGGAGGACTTCCTCCAGCAACTTCTTGCATTCAAGCCTCGTCGTGTTGTCTATGTTAGTTGCAATGTGCACACCCAGGCTCGGGATGTGGCCGTCATGGTGCAAGGTGACGAGAAGCAAGATGTGCGATACGAGATTGAGAGCATTCGTGGATTCGACTTCTTCCCTCAAACCGGCCATGTGGAGGGTGTGGCTATCTTGAACCGTACTAATTTCCCTAACAAGGACTCCGTTTAATGTCGAAAATTTCGATATACTTCTTTGGTATTCGTCGTCATAGGGTTGGCTCCCAATTCATCTCTACTTGTCTGATACTGCATATTGTTCCTGGCGTTGGATACGAAGGCAAATACAAAAAAAGCAACTCTGGGCGAAAGAGATTTTGGCGGTTGTTTTTTTCTTCCAAATACGCTTCTGATAATATCAAAAAATTCCACAACCAATCTCCTTCTATCTACTTGGGAACCAGATAGAGCAAGCTGAGGACCCAGCGCCATGCCGCCCGCTTTGGATACAAAAAGGAAGAAGCACCAAAAAAGCATGCAGAAGGAAAAAGAAATGAAGAACTAACGGACTATGAACAAGAGCGTCCAGCTACACCGGCTGACAAAGAACATGATAAAAGAAGAGGAGACTACCATACCCAACCCTACGAGCTTCCGGGTCCACCAAGCAGAGCGAATCTCCGCACGATGCTGGGACCAATCTCGTCGTACTCGGCCTTGGTGTGGCAGTAGCTACGGAACTCGGGCGTCTGACCCAGCAGGCTGCCTCCGAACCAGGGGCCGTGCCGCTGACGCTTGTGTGTGACGACTGCAACATCCAAACCACCGCTGCGGGCACCGCCACTGCGAGCCTCGGACGCACGAATGCGGGCATCCACCAGATGACGGATATCACGCTGTAGACGACGGCCAAAGTCCTTGTACAGAGTGGAACCACCAGACAGCACAATGTTCTTGTAGAGACCTCGTCGCACATCGATGGGAGAAGACTGAATAACGCCGTCGACGACGTTGGGGAGTGGGGTCAGGAAGTCGGACGAGTAAATTTCGGGGTTGAAGAAGATCTCGGGGGCCAGGAAACGCTCGTAGCCAACGTCGATGGACACACTGCGGCCGTTTGGCGAGGTAACGGTGTGCTTCAGGAAGCGATCGGGCTCGCGGTCGTAGCGCGCAAATTCCTTGACAATATCCGGGCTGACGTAACAGTACTCCTCCTTGACCTTCTCGGCGGTCTTCAAGCTGCTGTCGGGCTCGCCGCGATCACGCAGCAAGCTTTGCACGAAATATGTGATGTCTCGACCGGCAATTGGGATACTCTTAATAGAAGATCCAATGACGTAGCCCTCGGCCACAGGGATAACGTGGGTGACACCGTCACCAGAATCAATCACGGTACCGGTAAGCGATCGATCAGTGACCTTGGAGGACGTCCAGGACGCAGCGAGAGCAAGTACGGCTTGCACGGCAATGTAAAGACCAGCGCAGTTGAAGGACTCGAACATAATCTCGGCGGTGTTTTCACGGTTCTCGGGGGGGTTCAGTGGCTAGATATCCATTCCCTGTTAGCGGCTCTGCTTTCATTTGTGTATTGCATGCGGGGAAAGCCCCAGATAAACAATCCATCTCTTACCGGCTCAGTCAGGAGAAAATAGTGGTCTTCCGGTTCAACACGGAGGTATTTGAAAATCGAGTTTGACCAGAATCGCTCCATGTGGTCCCAGTTCTCGATCTGACCATGACGGATGGGGTAGTTGACACCATAGCCAGGTCCGTTGCCCGCTGCCAGAGCCTCATCACCGATGAAGAAGTCCAGATCCTCCGTACCACGTTTTCCAGACAAGTGGGAGCTTGCACCACCGCTGCCGCCCAGGAAAGATGGCTTGTTCGCGACAGCAGGCCGCGAACCGGCGGAGCTTCCAGCGCTCCCGGCACCAGCCTTGGTCGCAATTGCAGTCGGGAAGACGAAGGAGGGTGAATCGTTACCGGCAAAACCTAGAATTCAGGACGGGAGAATTGTCAGTCTCCAGCTGCAAGGACAAGTCCTCGCAATATGATAACAGGCTCCCGCGTGAGACACCTACCAAGCTTGGAGTAACCGGTACCGCTGGAGGGTGTGTGGTTAGCAGAGAGTCAATTCTGGCATGTTGGCCCAACTTACTTGTCCATGACAACGGCGGGAGTTTGGGACGCCATGGCGAATACTGAATCGCAATGCCAATCCGGTCACAAAGAGTGCGTATGCCGGTCACTTAAGAAAGAGGGGGGGGGGATGAGGTCAACCGTGGCGGAGCTCAGGCAGACAAGGCGGGGAGGTGATTTACGTAAGCCTCAGTCTGTCGCCCCAACCAGATCATGTGCTTTCCAGATATGGAGTTTGATATAGAGAAACTATACATTCGATGCGATATGCGGTGATTAAGTGCGCAGCTGCATGGATTTACTCGTATGGAAAGAAATACCTGTAATACTGTGTCTCTCATACGGTTATCACCTCACCGTTGCCGCGGTGTACATGCCAACTTGGATGCGATGAAAGTAGAAGGCGCAAATAACAGTACACCAGTGATATATTTTCTGGGGAAAATTCCGGAATTACCAATGGGCTCTTGACCAATTCTTTACAATCGCAAACTCTTCTATTCCTTATGAAGATCTTCCTATGACACGTTCTTTATCCTCTATCTGTTACTCCTGCTCCTGCGGTATCTTTATTTTCTTTCCATCGCAAACGCCCCTCCGTTTCGTCGGATCTTCTCTCGCTTCATCCCCATCGACCAAGACGCTCGTGTCTCTACGGTACTAGGTGCCTAGTACAATAGGGCCATACATATTCACAAAGCCCCTCAATCGTGCTCAATCGCTCTTCAACTCACGTAACTGGGGTCGTTCAACTCGGCCAGGCGATTGTCCTCACTTGGCTCTGCCGGTGAGCTTCGTTCAGCGGAAACACCATTCCCTTTCCTGACCCCTGAATACGATCTGAATACCCAATCGCTCGTCAAAGCTCCAAAATGGGGGACGAGAAGCAGAAGAAAGGCATGTATGCCATATTTGTGCATGCTGGTGCCGGTTACCATTCTCGCGAGCACGAGGATCAGCATCTCGATGCTTGTCGGCTGTATGTTTATCCAATTCTATCTCCAACAAGCTTTAAATTAATTGTTGTTTTACACAGTGCTGCTATGGCGGGAATGAATTTCCTTCGCAATGGTGGAACCGCAGTGGACGCCGTGGAAGTGGCCATCGCCATGATGGAGAATGCGGTGATCACCAACGCTGGCTACGGCAGCAATCTGAATGCGAAGGGTACAGTTGAGTGTGATGCCTCCATCGTTGACCATTTTGGTCGCAGCGGTGCTTGCGGAGCTGTTCCATGTAAGAATCTTTTGCTTTACACAAAGTCCTGAGTTTCTCGACCTTGACTAATTCTTTAATCTAGCTATCAAGAACCCGATCATGCTTGCTCGCAAGATCTATGACCAGGCTTACAAGGCTCCTGGTCTGCAACGCGTCCCACCCAATCTCCTTGCGGGAGAAGGGGCTGCAGACTTTGCCTGGAACCATGGGCTCGTTCTTGTTCCAGATGAGCTTCTCGTTTCGCCTAGTGCAAAGGCCCGCTGGGAGTCTTGGTGCAAAGAGATTGTTGAATGGGAAAAGGAGTGGCCTGAGGAAGCTGCCAAAGATCCATTTGGTGCCTGGATTCGTACCCCGGAGGCCTCCAAGGCGACTCGTCTCTCTCAAATTGAAATGGAACTACAGGCTGAGATCCAAGGCGCAATGCGCCGTGCTCCTGGACCCAGCAAGAACCCCGAAGTTTCCAACCCGCTGAAGGTTGGAAATTCGTTGCATTCGGATGGCTCTCGCTCGATGACACAGTCTGATGCTGCATTGCAGGCGGGTTCCATGTCCAACGAAATTGGTTCCATCAGCCTCGATCAATCGGCGCCTACCGGAACCTTCGAAGCACCGTCCCAAGACGCAGATGAACCTATGGATGACCCTCGCGAGGGAGAGGATATGATCACAGATACTGTGGGCGCCATTGCCATTGACATGTTCGGCAACATCGCCGCGGGATCCTCATCGGGAGGTATTGGTATGAAGCATCAAGGCAGAGTGGGACCTGCGGCACTGATCGGTATCGGCACTCATGTCATCCCAGTTGATCCAACCGATCCTGAGGAGACTGCCGTCGCTGCTGTCACCTCTGGAACTGGCGAGCACATTGCCTCCTCCTTCGGCGCCAGTACCTGTGCCAACCGTGTCTACTTCAGCCAGAGGAAGGATCGTGCTGGCAGTTTCGCCCATGTGAGCGACGAAGAGGCCATCAGCGCAATGATCAAGAAGGAATTTGCAGGTAAGAAGCCCTTCCTTATTGTGTAGTTCTGCCGTGATAGACACTGATCAAAGTGTCCCCAGATCACCCTGCAGTGGTCAACAGCGAGTTCTCTGGCTCGATTGGTATCTTATGTGCCAAGAAGACTGTCGACAGCATCGCATTCCACTTCGCTCACAACACCGAGTCCTTTGTGAGTTTTCTGACAGTCCCTGCACTTGAATTTCCAGCTAACCTTTCATTCCAGGCTGTCGGATCGATGTCCTGTTACGACCAAGCGCCCTCTTGTCTCATGTCTCGCAGCCCTCGTCGTGGTGCTGTCGCCCAGGGAGGAGTCATGATTCGACCTCCAAAGTAGGATATGTCTGCGCTACGTTTCCCTTTCGCTGTGGCTACTAATACTGTCCCTTCACTATCAACCAGATCGACGGACAGTGGAGAGTACAAGAAGAGGAAGCGAAAGGGGGATAGGGACTCCTAGAGTGCTTGAGAAGTCAATCCTCAAAAGCATGCCTGCTGGATCCTATGCTACGGGGGGTCTCTTGAATACGTCCGCTTCATTCAGTGCTTTTACAATTGCCTAGCAGATCTGACTATTGCCCGCCCTTCATCCCATTGAATCTGTCTTTGCGTTTCGGCCTCTACGAGTTCTCGGCATTTTCTTCCTGCATAGTGACCAGGATTGACCCTTTTGCACAGGTGGCATTGTCCTTTCTTTGCCATGCTTATGTTCTGGTCCGTTCTCGTTTCGCCTTCCCTTTGCAGGCAGTGAATACATTGGCTGGTGGTTAGTGTGTTTGTGGATCAAGTTTAGGGGCTCTGGGCATTAGGTCAATTTGGCTTTGATTTCCTCGATACCCTAGAAAATTCGATTCATCTGCTCAGGCAAATTCTCGTTGTCGTATTGCAGCGTATGTTTGGCATCTCGAGTCCAGCGAGAATGGCAGCTATCTAAATTATTTCGGTTTTTCTTTCTTTAGATTCTAGATACTTCCAGTTTTTTTTTATCATCCAGGGCCTGGCGTCGGGGTCCCCGTTGACATGGGAGTCCCAACCGTTGAAGTCCCATTAGCTCGCTTTTTCTTTTTCTTCTTTCTGGGAATAAGAGCCGGCTTGGAGCCAAAGTCACCCACGTCTAGCTGAGTACCGCAGGTCAAACACTCATTTCCAGGAGGTGGTTCACAGAAGATACTGAGACAGATGGAGCAGACGTAACCAATATCCACCACCCGCCGGTGACAAAAGCAAGCCGCGCGGAAATCCACATCTACTCGTGTCGGAAGAACCAGGTGTCTGCGTGAGCGCTGGTCCGGCAAAAACGCCATCATCAGATACTGCAGGAGCCCGCGCGGCTCGGAGAGAGCCATGTACACTCCCTTGGTAGCGTCGCAGGCCTGTTGTAGGAACACCGCATCGCCACTGAGTTTACACACGTCGATGGGGATGTGGAGGCGCTGGCAGGCGAAGATACTGTTCATAACGGGAATGTATTGGTGTGCCGAGTCGCTGGACCCGCTAACGGAGACGATCAGAATTCGGCTTTGGAGGCGCTCGTCGTCGTTTGAAGCGGAGTACCGGCCGGGTCCGGTTCCTGTTGCTGCACCTGCGGCCCCGCGGCCGCCATCGCCAGCGGCGTCTTCCAAGTCTGCGCCACCATGTTCCTCGGCCCAGGCGATGGTTCGACGGTTTATATTGCTCAGTGCTAATGTCAGAGCACCGGCGAGCATGGTTGATGTATTACCGCGGAGATCATCGCTGGTTGTCGAGTCCATGAGTTCTTTCAGTTTCCTCGTGACTTGCTCCTCCACCATGCGGAATGGGCGGTATTTGTTGGTCTGTGTTGCTGCTCCGTTGTCTCCATTCATTGAAACGTCTCCGTCTAGATCTGCGGATGCTGGCGAGGGGGTGCCATTATGGACTGGATATAGCCATGTTGCCTTTGTAGTGTGGGAAGCGACCACGGCGACCTCGTTTGCGTAGTTACAAGCGAGGTGAGCGTTGATGAAGACGAGGATGTTGGCGACGGCTTTTGAAAGTGGGAGCGAGTTTTCCAGCGCTGCCCAGGCATGCGGGTTCGTATCAAGGACGACGGTGAGAAGAGAGGGTGCGAGATCTGAGTGATCTATTAGGCTATGACTTCAGACAGAAAGATAGTTGTGAAGGTTATACCTGTCGCGCCGAGCTCGTAATGCTCGGAAGCATCGACGGAATTCATGGTGCTAGGTGAATCAATGGGGGCGTGAGTTCATGGTGATGTTGCCGAAGCCGTTGGGAATTCAATGAGTGTTGAAGTGAGTAAGGAATGAATATGTCTGTTAGCTTGTTGAACCCTTGACTGGGGATTCTGGACAGCGGATTTAGTCCAACAGCTGGGCGACAAAGAACCAGCTCTGCGATAAGACTGTCATGTGATGATAACGCCGATCGTAGATTAGAAAGCTGGGGTATCCATGAGATGCTTGGTTCTCTGCACGAGTGGTCGATGACCAGCTTCCAAAATTAAAGCTTGAGAGCTAATTTAAGATATTTTCAGTCTACTAGATGTTTCCATATGTTAAACCAGGGTCCTCCCCCTCGATGAATATGTGGGCAAACTTGGTAGCTTTTTGTGGTGGTCCTAGCGTCATACAGCCTTCGAAGTATATATTTCTTCCTTGACATGGGTTGAATTTGGGAGTAATCATTCACCCGGACTGATAACGATAACTAATCTGTACATGCGCCGCTGACATGCTACACATAGCCCATAAGCTCTGCTTTTACTTTCCCCGAGCCTCTAGGATCTTCCGGAGTGGGCGGCGATGATCTCGGGAACCCACCGTAGCTATGATAGCGTATACTCAGTATGCAAGAGACTGGATTCACGGATAGCGCTTCGCTTCAAGCTTCCTCGAATCAGCAGCGAAATAGAACGAGAGATATGTCCCACATGCTCGGCCTTCGCAGATTCCCGGCTTTTGTACCGCGTTTAGTTCATCCTGTTGGGATGCAGAATCTCAAACCCCCTTTTTGGCACGTCCCCTTGATCTATTGATAGTCCGGTAACTTTCAAACGGGACAAAGAGCTCAGGATGGAACCGAACAGGGCGGCTGCATCAATGAGCATGGCTTCGCCGAGTATCTGCAAAGCGTCAGATTCAGGGTTATCAGCAACGTGATGGCATTCGTCGCTGTGGTTGGTCTTATCAGGACGATTGATAATGAGCATTCGTGGCCGAAATGGCGTTACACAGGCATTGATACGCCGATACGCGGGATAAGCCCTGCATACCCTGGCGAGTGCCCCGCGGAGCATAGTGGGGGGACGACACGCCGGTAATCAGTGGTAATGGCAATACGGTATAGAGCAACCATAATACTGTAGTATGCTTTCTGCACGTCCAAGCCAAGCGGGCCAAGAGCAAATAATTCAATGATCGCCGAGAGCCTCCACGACTCCTCCGTGTTGCTTTTTCTTCTCCTCATTATCTTGTTGACGTGGCTCTTACACTCTCATATTTAATTCGGCACTCGTTGCGCCGTGGATCTGATAAATCCGCGGCCCTCCCACTTATCTCCTTCCCTCCGCCTGCTCCGCCTATCCGCCGTCTCCCCCCCTCCACTCCAAAAAAAGAAAAAAAAAGCTCCCACCGCCGGCTTTCGCTTCTCCTCCCTCTCTACGACTGTACTCGATAACCAATCTATCGACACTCGGAATTTATTACTTGCCTTCTGCAGCGTGCTGCTCTTCGGCATCCCTGCAATGGTCCAAGCAACGGGCGAAGAGCGCGCTGTTCACCTGGCACGGGAGGCTGTCGAGCTATTTGACGCTGGCCACCGCGAGGTAAGTAATACCGCCGATTCGATACTCCGCGATCCCAGAAAACCATGAGGTTAATTATGTGACTCTCTATCAGGCTGCGTCTCGTAATCTTAGAGAAGCGCTCTCTATTACAAGGGACAACCCCGACGTGAAAGCCGCTTTTCTTAAAATCCAGCAAGAAGAAGAAAGTGGCCACCCGCTCCTCGACCTCTGCCGTCGTTACACAACCCGCAAGGATGAGACTGCCGGAAAGGAGGCCGCCGCATATCTCCGCACAGATGGCTTGAAGCCTCCAGAGAATGTGGCGCTGGAGTCGCTGAAACTTCTATTGGACCAGCGGGCGCATGCCTTGTCAGAGCTTCAGGATGAAATCATCTCGGGGCTCGTACGCCAGAACGCCAGCGTGCGCCAATACTTTTCCAATCAACTCCAGATATCCGTGACGACTTTTTTTGACGAGATCTACGACCGCGGTGATGGTGCAGCAGTATGTCTGGACACGGTGGTTTTGGACCCCAAAGTGTGGCCGTCCGAGGACACACGTTTACACTGCGAGAGTGAGCTTTTCCAGCTTTTCTTGGCTAAGCTGATGGAATCTGGCCATGATCTGGATGGCCGTGCTTTGAAAGGCATCACCCGATTACTCGCGGTCGATGCGGGTCGCCTGAAACATCTAGTTGATGACGATGTATTCGAAGTCATCCTGACGTCGCTCGACAACCGACTCCCGCTCGAGCTGCGTAGCCAAGCGACTTTGGCTACCGCAAAGTACCTAGAGGTCTCGAAGGAATCCGGCGAAACGCAATTCTCGGCATTGATCTCTGCAATGATCGGCAAGGGTCGTTTGAACGATCTGATCATTGCGTTCTCTGCGGTGGCTGCTGTCTTCCCAGTGGTTCCCACTGCAGCGGCGAACGTCTTCTTGTCCGAGGATTTCATGAATGCATTGGCTCCTCTGGCGACTCGAGATGCGACGCGCAAGAAGGTGGAGGTCTCTATCTTGGAGCTGCTGAACGCAGCATGCATCAACCGTCCCTGCCGGGAAGCGGTAGCTAAAAGATTCTCGGAATGGCTTTCACACACCTTGACCAACGGCAGTGACGAAGGCTCAGAGCTGGCAGCGGTGGTTTTGGCGAAGATTCGTGCTTCGGAAACCATCCAGTCCTCTACCAAGAACGGTGAGGCCCAGGAGGAGAAAACGGGAGTCACCGACTTGGTGCAACGATTCAAGGGACTAATGTCTGAACCCAAGGTTGAAAATATTTCGCATGCCATCGAGGGCTTGGCCTACTCGTCGGTGCAGCCTTCCGTCAAGGAGCAGCTGGCCAAAGACCCTACCTTTATGCGCGACCTGATTAGCGTTCTGAAACAACACACGACCGACTCCTCCGTGCTCTACGGTGGCTTGATGATCACTCTGAACCTCACCAAATTCCTTCCCAATCTTTCCGACGAGCAAAAAAAGATGTCACAGCTGAAGAATTACGCGGACGCTTCTACCGGCAAGGCGCGAGCTTCTACCGATCCGCGAGATGCCGATGATGTGGTATTGGAACGTTGCGGTATTGTTATTGATAATGGAGTCATGGCCCTCCTGGTGGACTGTGGCCGGGTTGCTTTGCCTTCGACCAACGACCTCACTGCTAAGATACTGTTGGCCCTGGCACGGCGGCCGAAGTCACGAGGAACTTTGGCCCAACAGGGTGCCATCAAACTCCTGCTGGGTCTGTCGATTCCTCAGCAAGGCCAGCCCGTCGGCCACACCGAAACGACCCACAATGCATCGCATGCGCTGGCCCGGATCCTCATCTCAGTCGACCCTTCACATGTCTTCCCGTCGACTGGCTTCCCTCAGGCGACCTCCCCCGTACGTCCTTTGCTTTCCCTCCTGGCCGCTCCGGAGGGTGCTACGATCTCTGTGGACCAACCCCGCGACCTCTTACCCGTGTTTGAAAGCTTGCTTGCTCTGACCAACCTTGCTTCTTATCCACGGGATGATGCCCCAGCCGAATTGATCGTGCGCGAAGGCTGGTCGGTCATCGAAGAACTGCTCTTGTCTAGTAACTCTCGTGTGCAGCGGGCTGCCTGCGAACTGGTTTGCAACCTGATGACCTGTGAATCAGGCATCATCAAATTCGCCGATGCTACCAAGCGGGCCTCGCAGCGACTTCACATCATGCTTGCGCTTACCGATGCGGACGACATGGCCACCCGGCGAGCAGCAGGTGGCGCGATCGCCATGCTTACCGAGTACGATGCGGCAGTGGCGGCAGTGTTGGAGCGCCCGCGGGGAGTGGAATTGTTGCTGGGCCTGTGCCAGGAGGAGGATGACGCTCTGGTTCACCGGGGGGTGGTTTGCGTGCACAACCTCACCACGGCATCCGGTGACATTGGAGCTCGCGCCAAAACCGCCGTTCAAGCTGCCGGGGGTATTGATATTTTGACCACGTGCCTCAAGAAAACGTCCAACCCCGCAGTGTTGCAGACCGGCGTGGAGGCATTGAAGCCGCTTGTGCAACCGCAAGCGTAATGATCCTTCCATGACCGTTTTCTTTTCTTCTTGCACCCGGGGCTCTCTGGCAGAGCGTTGAAGGCGCTAGCACTTGCATTAACAATTCGCATATACAGGGAATTTGGGATCTGGGGTCCGACCAAGGGAATGCCCGCTGGAGTTCATCTTTTTTTTTTGCTGGGATTTTTGTTCTGGCCTTTTGGGAGGGGGTCGATACCCATCCCCACTACTTCAACCCACGAGCACTATTACCGAGTTAAGCGATCGGTTTCTTCTTCCGTCCTTCCGTTTTGCTTCTTTGGTTTTTCCTTAATATTTCTTTTTTGATCTCTCCGGGACTATGCCGGATATGAGAGGCGTTGGGAATTGGGTCGTTACGCGACATCTTTGCTTTGATCCATTACGGCAGCCATAGAGAGTATGAACCGCCAGATCCATTCTGGTTTTATGAGCTATATACAAAGTACACTATCCTTACAGTCGTAGATCTGCTGATGTGCAGAATCTTACTGTTGCATCAGTTGTTTGCAGGGAGTCCTTGCCAAGGGAACTATAATTTGTAAGGGTATGGAGGAGTATGCAAGTTAGTTACCCCGTACCTGGGTCCTTTTGGGCAGGACAATGATTTCTTGTTCCCCCCTTGAGTCGGGTCTTATTTCCCCGCTCTTTGATCTGCTTTTTGATGGGAGATGACTATGCGCCATCGTGTTGAGACAGGGCGTGCGCTATTGAATCCAACGGTCCCGTTACGACAGCGAGCTCCAAGGTTCGGGCTAGGAATGTGAACTGTATAGCCCCAGCACACAACCTCGATGGTCCTCGATGGTCACATGAGCTGGGTGATAGAGTTTACCCTCCGTTGAGTGCATTCGACTTTTTTTTATGATAGGAATCCAGGGATCCTCGTCAACATGATGGGGGCTGATTTGCCTGGCCATCCTTTTCGGCCGTGTACGGAGGATGACTCCGAGCAAAGTATGGAGTACATGAGCGACGATCGGCTGGTCACGGGGAAGCCACTGCGGATCCCCGCGAGGTATGGGATTGGGAGGGATAGGGAAAAGAACAAATTGGAAAAAGAATGGGACTCTTTCCAACTACCCAATAGCACGAGACTAGGGGCGCATGATCTGTATGCCCGGAAGTACGAATGATAATCTCGGAGACGATCATGATTTTATCTCTGACATATAAGAAGGCAGGCCGGAACCATGGGGCTCACCGCCGCGGATCGACAAATCAACGCCGGTGCAGCACGCACACCTCCCTCCCGTTCGACCTCGTGCTTCTCCTCTGCTTCCACTCCTTCGATATCGGGATCACTCCTTTTTTCTCGACTGACTTCCCTCTTTCACCTCCTCGTGGCCATCACCTGTGCTCTCTGTGGCATCCAGAATTAAGTCGACGTAATCAATCGTTCAGCTTGTTCTTTATAGCTCCACCGGCTAGCCCGCCCCACCCACATTAACCAGGTACCGTTGGGGTCTTTGAGCTCCCTCCTCCGTACTCTCTCTCTTTCTATACCTGTGTTTCCTTTCCACCTTCTCTCTTTATCACCTCTCACCAATTCTCTTCCTCCTTCCTTATGGCGCCTTCATGCTTCTTCGTCTGTGTGCGTCCGCTCACCTGATCCCTTCCCCCGATCCTCAAGTTCGATAAGTCCCTTTTCAGAAATACATCGCATCGACGTCGGTGTGGGGACTTTCTGTGCCTCGGTGGCAAAATAATCTCCGGGCGGTGGATTATTGACGAGACCACGAAACACGACACTCGGATCAGATTTTGAATCTCTGGAAAGGATCGATTTCCCGGACACGATCAGTCCGGCGTCGCCAATATGAAGTTTGGCCGCAATCTACCACAATTCACCGTGCCCGAATGGAGCGCCTCATATATCAAGTACAAAGCCCTGAAGAAACTTATCAAGTCTGCGGCTGAGAAAGTGAAGGCCGGTCAAGAGGCTGATTTGGCTGGTAAGTGCGACAGCACTGTTTCTTGTGAAACGTCCCTGGCGATGGTCGCCCCGTCGATTTCCTCTCTGACCAGGATCCCGCGGGTTTGGTCGTTTCCGCACGATTAGGTTTCTTCTACTCCCTTGACCGAAATGTCGAGGACGTCGATTACTTTTACAACAAGAAATATGCCGAATATGCGCGCCGCTTGAAACTACTGGAGGATCGATATGGCTATTCAATGGAAGGTCACCATCCGCTGGAACCCGAGGACCGTCATGACCTCCACGAGGCTCTCCTAGATTTGCGCTATCACCTGCGACGCTTACAATGGTATGGAGAGGTCAATCGCCGTGGCTTCGTCAAGATTACCAAGAAATTGGACAAAAAGGTCGGGGCTCAGGCCCAGAAGCGCTATTTAGAGACCAAGGTGGACCCGTCTCCGTTCGCCTCGAATGCGCGGGCAATCAAGGCTCAGGACCGCATCAATTCGTGGATGGCGGTTATCACGGAACAGTCCAAGGCGGAGGACGAGCTGACGGACGATGCCAGCTCGACACGCTCTTTGCCGCTGAAACGCGGTCCTGCTCGGCCATACCTGAACTTGCCTACGAGCGTCGTGACGGCAGTGGACGATGCTCTGCGAAAGGATGACATCCATGTTTTGCTCGAACTCCTCGAGGAACTAAAGACTGCTGCGGATGAGGCAGGTGGAGGAGTCTTTCCCAAAGTGCTCAAGACCCTCATCCAGCGAGCGATCCTTCACCGTGCTCGGCTATGTCTGTCCGCGCTTCTGCCTCGAGTCGACACTCTCGAGGAGGACGATGACATCAACCGACGCAACTGCTTGCACCGCCTGATCATTTCAATTGGCCGTGTACAATCGACCAGCGACTCGGAGTCCTCGGCGTCTCTAGTACTAGACTTCCCTCCAGAGACAACCCGCTACATCACTCCGGCGGCCCCTCCGACTCTGCAACCTCCGCGGTCTGTAATTAAGGAAGCGAATCTGCCTCAACCGCTCGGCCGTGATGATCCGGCGGTAGCTCTCTTGCAGCACCTGCTTGATGAACTGCGGCCCAATCAGCGTGAGGCGTTGATGGCCAAGGATCTTTCTGGACGCACGCCACTGCACTATGCTGCCCAGTATGGGTTCAAGGACGTCTGCGAAGTCATCATTGAGCATCTTAAAGCGTGGGGAATGTTTGACGTCAGCGAGGGAATTGACGGTGCTTTATGGCAAGACAATGACGGTTGGGCTCCACTGCATCTCAGCGTGGTCGGAGGACACCCTAGGACAACTCGCTGCCTGCTGGACGCTGAAAATTGGAAAGAAACGCACAGCTTTGGTGACCGGGTCCGAAAGCAGGTGTCCAAATCCTCCGCGGTGCTTGCCCTTGCCACAAAGGCCAACTTTGTGGATATCGTCCAGCTACTGGTGGAGGCTGGTGTCGACATCAACTACCAGGATGATCAGGGAGAGACTGCGTTGCACGTTGCAGCCCGCTTTGGTCATGATGAATGTGCCCGGATACTTTTGGAGGGCACTGAGGATCAAAAGGCCAACACGGAACTGGCTGAGAACACCTATGCGTGGACTCCGCTGTTCATTGCCTGCGTCGACGGCACTCTGAGCGTGGCTAAACTGTTGGTGGAGGCTGGCGCTGATGTGGAGCGCTTTGACTCGTCTGGCTGGACAGCAAAGGAACATGCTGCCCTGCGTGGACATCTAGCTATCGCTCGGTGTCTTGCTGAGGTCAGTCCCGGACCCCCCGCACCTGAACCAGAGCCAATTCCTGTTCCCACCGACAGGACTTCCCCATCGGCTTCGTCGCCGCCGGGCCAGTCATCCTTGACTGATCGGCGGTCGAATACTCCTGGGCCTACATCGGGGAGTTATGTCCGTAACTCAGAACCTATCAAGACTTTTGGACATCGGTATCTTACCGATGAGACCATGATCCTGGTCAGTTTGGGCACGATGGACATGCGAAAGCCTTTGGAAACAGTCAACTTGGATCGTATCCCTATGGAGAATGCGCACGCGACAGAGCTGGACACAGCTTTGTCTATGGTGGTCAGTGCCAGCGGTGCACATGGCGAGCCGGAAGTCATTGACTTGCCCGTGCAAGAGAACATCTCCACCGAGCCGATCGTCTTCCATTCCACCGACATAAGTAAGGTCCGTCTTCTCTTTGACCTGGTGCCTACCTACTCGGGATCCAAGGATCGGATTTTCGGTCGAGGTGTCGCCCTTTTGTCCAGCATCAGGCAGGAAGTCGGCTCCCATCGTATCAACCTCAAGGGTGATTCCACCATCCCCATCGTTGCTGCGAACACCTTGGAAGTGATTGGCTCGGTGACTTTTAATTTTCTCATCATTACCCCTTTCAAGCACCCAAACATGTCGATTACCGGTAACCAGACCTACTGGCGATCCATGAGCTCTACAATGGTTATTGGTCACCGTGGCCTGGGCAAAAATATGGCCAGCCGTAGGTCTCTACAGCTCGGTGAAAACACTGTCCAGTCATTTATTGCTGCGGCAAATTTGGGTGCTTCCTACGTTGAATTCGACGTCCAGCTTACTAAGGACCATGTTCCGGTCATTTACCATGACTTCTTGGTCAGTGAGACTGGTATTGACGCACCAGTACACACCCTTACTCTGGACCAGTTCCTGGAACTGGGCAAGGGCCGACACAGGAATGTTTTGCCCCAGAGCGTAGACGTCCATGGAGCGACTACCCTCGGTCCTCGCCAGCGGTCCATGTCTGTCGGTGGCTCCGAGTACGACCCAACTGAATTGACGGAAAGAATCAAGCACACACGCGACTTTAAAAAGAAGGGATTCAAGGGCAATACCCGTGGCGAGCACATTCAAGCCCCGTTCGCTACCCTGGAGGAATTGTTTAAGAAGATTCCCAAGCCCGTCGGCTTCAACATTGAACTGAGTGAGTAACCGCCGCTTCCCAAAGAACAGCTACCTTTCGACGATCTAACCAAGATCGCCAGAGTACCCTATGCTCCACGAGAGCGAGGAGGAGGAGATGGATACCTATGCCGTTGAATTGAACTCGTTCGTCGATACCGTCCTCACCAAGGTCTATGACTTGGGCCGTGGCCGTGACGTGCTCTTCTCCAGTTTCAACCCGGATATCTGCCTCCTTCTATCCTTCAAGCAGCCCTCTATTCCGGTACTTTTTCTGACCGACGCGGGAGCCTCCCCGGTTGGTGATATCCGCGCCAGCAGTTTGCAGGAAGCCATCCGATTTGCTTCGCGGTGGCACCTGCTCGGTATCGTCACCCAGGCAGAGCCCCTGGTCCTCTGCCCGCGTCTTGTGCGAATTGTCAAGGAATCCGGTCTGGTTTGCGTATCCTACGGTGCCCTCAACAATGAAGGCGCTAACGTGGACGTAAGTCCTCTTCTCTTTCAACTTTCCACTTTCATTCTTGATTCACCAATCTAACTTTGTCACAGTACCAAGTCGCAGAAGGCATCGATGCCGTCATCGTCGACTCCGTCCTCGGTATTACCAACGGTCTCATCCAGCGTCAAAACAAGGGCGAGCGCACGCCCGGCCCCTCGCCTCTCCCGGCGCCCGTCGCTGACAAGGCTGCTATTCGCGTGCCAGTTCTCGAGCAAATGAAACCTAACAGTACCGCCCCGAACCCAGATCCGGCTACCAACCTTTAGACTTGGTTCATGAATCTTTCCTTTTTTCCCCCTCTTCAGGTGGCTTTAGTGTTGGTTCCGGGCTAGGTTGGGGAGGCTTATGCTTTGTTCATTTACCCACTCATGGCTCTGTCGACTGACTTGATTTGTCGGTGCTACATACATCAATTCATTCCATGTCCATAAATGTCCTGGCCCTCTCAGCCTGTTTCAACAGTAAAAACTTGCTCCTCTGCTATGCAAGCAGGATTTTTTTACCACACATGTCCAATATCAATCTATAGGAAAAGTACACGCTGGTGTCTCAACCTTGAAGTTACCTACAAATGGTAGAATTTTGTCCTTAATTACCAGTTAAAAGCACAGCATAGACTCTGACAAGGTACGGTAGTCAAGTATGTATCGTTGAAGGGATTCTCTGGACTACATTCGGGATTTGGACTGCAAATGTATCCTCTCTCGCTTATAGGGCTCTACACGCAGCACTGTGCATACACCCTGGCGTCACGATGGAGATGGAACTGCCTCTGAGTACCGGTGAGGTTGACCCAGACGGAAAGTTCTAGCTTTTAACTCTGTATAAAGCATTCTTTGAGCGGTCCTTCTTCTGCCCCGCGACCATTCTACCCCCACACGAGCTCAGTTTTCCTCATCGTCGACGACAAAATGGTCGAGAGCCTGGCTTCCGTTCGGGCTTTGGATTTAAATTACTGAGAACATCTTCGACCCCATTTCACTCCCTCTCTTTCCGACTCGTCAATCATGATTGGGATGATATTGCTTCCAAATAGACTAAGATATCATTCTACTCCCCTCCTACTATCACCCTTTTTGTAGGTCTTCTCTATAGTCTTTTCTGAGGTCTTTTTGTAAGGGTTTAAGCAGCTATCCGCTTCACTTAACCACGCAGAGATTTTAGTGTAGATAAATAAATAGAGGTCACATAATACTAGCTTAAATAGTTGCTGACGATATTAGCGAGAAGCGTTATTATGTAGGATTTTACATATATGGACTCGGTAGCCACTATGTAAATGTTAAATGTAGTATTTTGCATTAAAGGAGGCGGCGTTTCTAATTAAGACTAGCCTTGTCGTGCCATAAACTTCTCTGTCGTTTCGTTTTCTTGATGTGACCCAGTTGTAAAGTAAGCACAAGACGCCAGACAAGAAACCACATAGAGGGCAAGCCTCTCAATCATCACCGCTACTCTGCTTGTCCTTGGCTGACAAGTAAGGCCTGACCCAGCCAAATGGAACCACAACCAATTTGACATCGCCCTTGACGATGTTCTCCGCGGTCGTTTTCTCGTCGGTGTTTACCCATACTAATGGCAGGGTCTCAAGCTCTACACACATTGACTGGTTAGTAAAGGACCTGCAAATCCACAAGCCCCATGCCCCCAGACAGTGTGACTTACTTCTTTCCTGAAGAAGATAAGCTAGATTCAGAGAGCGCTGGAAGGACTTGCTTGCCATGGTAAAGGCATTCAATTTCATTTCCTTTATCTTGACGTAGTCGTGACTTCTGTATATTGATTTCTTGTTAGCACTGCATTGTTAGATAGTTTGAACATGCCAGTGGAACACGGCATCTCTAGCAGTGTGTAGTGTTCCAATTTCGTACTGGTTTGAAAGCGGTACCGGCACACGTCCCAAGATACTTACAGGGTGGTCAAAAGGTACACTAAATACGCAGCAAGACCAAGCCAAAACAAATTGTTGCCGGCATTGTTACCGGCATTGCTACCCAAGTCGTGCAGCCAGGCAGGGTCGAGCGACCAGGAGCCTGGGGGCGCAGGAGTACGAGGGCAAGGATGAGGAGGAGGTCTCGGCGGCAGAGGTGGCAGGAGAAGAAGCGTTTGCGAGCATTGTGGTGAATGTGTCTGGAATACACATCATCTTCGAGGGCGGGTGTATAGAACTTAAAGAAAAGACCTCAGAAAAGACCTCAGAAAAGTATTCTAGATGACCATCACCATGCGCCATCGCGAAGATCTCGTTTTTCATACTGTCTGGGACGCACAGCCAATACTCCCCGTTTGATTGGATGGAGTACAGCAGGCCATCATCCGTTTCGTAAGAAAGACGAGGCTTCACTGGGTCAGGGTTATCTCTAGGGCTAAAGAGATTTCTATATGGTAACATCAAAAACATGACAGAAAAGCTTATGGCACTTTTTAGGGTGGACGGGGGGTTTAGGTGTTCTTTTATGTGTCCTATTCTTATCTTGAATAACTAATTTCCGAACTAAGTCAATGGTCGAACCAGCAGTATCAGCAATCCATTTGCTGTCCCTTTCCAGAATTCTAGTAAGCTACCTCAACCCACTACGCGCATCCAAGCCCACCATGATTTCGACTTCGATGTAGTGTAGACCGCCAGACCAGGAACACCCAAAAAAGCCTCCGTCATCCTCAACAGAAAGGACGAATTCTCATTTTGGAGGTTATTCATTTTGGAGGTTATCACGAAGCCTTCCCGAAATTTCTGCTTTTTCATCCGCTGAAAGTTCCGCATCTCGGTAGATGGAACAGCAACTGCACCCCAGCGTACAGTGGCCGATGCCTCTCTTCCCCTCAGAATTCAAATGACGCCGACCACAGCATCCACAACTTCGACTACAGCAGACCCCTCGGTCCGCGCAGTCTTTAGCAAGCTCCTTTCGCATATACCATGCCCTGCTCTCTCTTAGCAGATCGTAACTCTGTTTCAAGGGCCACTCAGGGATCATCTGCTCGAGTTCATAGAGCTTTAAATCTTGTTTCCAGCACTTCCGCTGAAGCTGGTCTAGTTCTTTCTCCCAGTCGACAAGCTGAGTTTTGTTATTCTCAATAGTTGCAGCTTTTTCAAGAGCTTTAACTTTCTTCTTCACCATATCAACCCTCGGAGACTGTCCTCGGCGCAGATAATTTGAACGAATACATCGCGATGGCACTTGAGACTGGGGCCAAATTCAATACAGTACCAGTCATCCTCAGGCCGGCCATTTCTGTCGTGTCTCGGTGGGTTTGCGTAGTCAGCTACAGGTTTTGATGTTTGTGTTTGACTCGATCTTTTGTCCTCGTTGTCGGTTGGTAATATCGAATACATTATCAGAACATCCGCCGAGCCGCTTTGGTTTGGTATGTGATAGGAAAGACTCGTTGGACAAGATGTTAGGAAGCGGCAAGAAAAGTTTTTCGAAGAAGATAAAGTATCGCTATGACTAAGGAATGACTCTTCGATTTGCTGCTCAAGTCTTTCAGCCGCCGCTTCAAATAACTAGTGTAACGTAATCCGCAGCCAACCTGGCTGAATCGCGTCTGCTTAGGCACCTACCGTGCCACAGGATCTTCGCAAAAATTGGCTTACCAGGAGGGCAACATCCTTTGGCCCTTTCAAACTCAACAGATAGCCGCACCAGATCTATCCGTACGGCAGCAAAGCTGTACGAAACACGTCGTTCTACCTTACAGACACGCGTCCATAGATAGACCTCATGCTATGATTAGCCTATCTAGTCTTAAAGCGAATGATATCGAGAAGATTTGCTCGTTGACTCGATTGTCTCTATGGGTACGCGTGGCACAGAGCCTAGGCCCGCTACTATATGAGAAATAGCTAATATCCATCCTCGTGGCTAGTATATCGGGCTAAAAGTGGAGGCGCAGTGTGGTGGGGCTAGAGTCAAAAGAAAGGGGCACCAATAATCATGATGTAGAGGAGATAAGAGGGACGGAGATGGCGAGGTTGGGTCTTTTGTGTCGGGGTGATTTGGGGAGGAGAATGACCGAATAGTGTATTCGTGAGAGGTCAGAACTAACCAGATCTAGTCATCTACAGGTTTTTTATTACACCACAATGCTAGGTAACGGTAAATTCGGCGCCGAAAACGGCTAATTTTCGACGCTGTTTTAAGCGTCCTTTTTACCCACAATATTAGTCACCGGGCTTTCACGTGATCTGTTTCTGCCCACCATTTCCGTATGCTCCTTGAGTGATCATGAATTGCTCCCTGAGCACTCATGGTGGCTCAGGGTTGCTCAGGGATTAGCTCACTCTTCACTCAGGATGCTTAGGGTAGGTAGTCAGGCATGTCGTTATGTCTATTTGTTTATGTTATCCGATTGTAGCCGCCAATTGCAAAAACAGGAAAGGTCCTTCTGTTATACGCTGGGCCATGCTTAAGTCCTCTCTTTCAATACTTAAAGAGGCTGCCCCCCATCAACCGTAGCTCCTATTCACTGCACTCCTCCTCGTTTGAAGGCAGTCTATTTGTTGTCTCTTTCACTGCCAGATTTTCTCTGGGCTTCGGTCTTCACCGCTTCTTTTATTGTTCGTTCCTTCTCTTGACATCATTTCGGTGACGAACATGGACGGCAGGATCCCTAAGGCTGGTGATGGCAACTGGCGAATAGAGTGTTTGCTTGGAATGCTTCATGCTATTCCGAAAGGGGAAGTTCCCTGAGCGGATGCCTCAGGCAGGAGGGGGTATAAAGTGTCGGCATGTGTGTGCCCTTACCCCGCTATTAGCGTGGATGATTGATTCTATGCCACTAGCGCTTAGCGCTTACCGGATGCATAATGATGCATACCCGCCTGACCTCCACGATGATGAATATCAACTATCACATCGGACAGAAAAAGCAACGAATTTCCCAACACTCTCGTATGCCCCCATGATTATTTCGGATTCTTATCATTCTTTTCCTGCGTCACTCCACCATGTTCATAAGATATAAATACTGCCTGCATTCCATAGCTAAATTGAACAAGTTTAACACTCTTTTGATTCTCATATCAAGTTACTCTTCCACAATCGTGGATCCTCCCGATCGCACGATCCCTTACCCTATGATCCAGATAAGATCATAGAGTAACGCCCACAATCGTGGATCCCCTTTCCGATCGCACGATCCATCTACCTTATGATCCAGATAAGATCATAGAGTAGCGTTCCCCGACCGTGTACGAACGCTTCGTGCACGCAGAAGGATTTATGCCGACTGCTGTGTTGCCATAGTCCAACATTATCCTCTTCTTCTTACCTCCTTACTGTGATCCCGGATGGGTATCCTATCTATATATACCGTGACAGTTGAATTATTCCTATGGAATAATTCGGCTATGACCTTTTAGTCTTATAAAACTGTCACGTGGTTACGGACGGGCGGGATTTCATCACTCTAGCTACGTCCTTTAACCACTAGACGTTAGTGTATTTAGTGTATATAAGTACTAGCATAGCGAGTAGGTATATAACGCTACAGTGAGCGGCTATAAGAAGATTACTAAGGACGATTTCATAGGCGCAATCGCGTAGATCCGGCAGAAGACCTTTAAACCTTCTACGATTAAGCTTGGATTTCGATTAACTAGCCTCTGGCCTATTAATCCTACTATTATTATCGATTCTCTAGAGGATTTAGGGGATTTAATACGCGATTTCGGCTATAATACACTAAGCCCTCTATTATCCGTGGCTAGCTAGGATTCGTCAGATATTAGTACACCAAAGACTGCTAAGCGGGTGAAAAGGCTTAAAGAGCGGCTAGAAGATAAAATTAACCGTATATAACAACCCTCTCGTCGCCTAATCAAAAAGCTTTCGAAAGCTGCGACCGATCTCGCATATCTTGTGGTGGAACTGAAGCAGAACATCGAGAATTCAGAATATATACAAGAGTAGCGCTACGCACGCGAAAATCGATCGCGAAAAGCTTCTAAATTAACTAGGATAGTGCATTTAAGCTAGGTTAAGCGTATAAAGCGAATTATCAAGAGGGGTAACGACCTAAGGGCTCTCATAAAGTTACGACCGTACTACAAGCGCGAGGTTATGCCGGAGTTAAAGAGGGTTTACAAAGCGAAGGGGTATTTCATCAAAAAATAGGGTAGATTTCTATATTGGCCAATCAGAGGGCTTTATTTCGGTATATTAATTATCTTCTAAATCGCACTGCTTTGGTTGATTAAATCGTATTAAAATCGGGGTATTGAATATATGAAGATGCGATATCGTTGAGGTGGCGGACCCTCGAGGGTCCGTAAAATATGTAATATTTGTAAGGGGCCGGTTACGTTAAATATTCGCAAAACTTTTCAAAAACAGCGCTTTCCTTTTGAGCGACCGATTATTCCTAAAGCTTGATTAGGTTAGAGAGCGTCCTCTGTCCGTGCTGCGTCATAGCTCAATAGACACTCCAGCTAAAAAGAAGCTAAACTCTGTGACTGAATCAACGGAGCTGGCAGCAACTATACAGCCACATATTATCGGCTAGCTTTCTGAATAATATAGTAATAAGGCATTAAGTGCTTTCTATCTGTCCTCTTCCGTGTGACATAGCGCATTTGTGATTCGCTTTGTTGCTTGGTTAGTATGCTTCTCTCCTCATGATCGAGGATACTGATCGAATACTTCATTCACAAAATACCGACGCAAACATAGTACCCCAACCACAAGCCCGAACAATCGGTCCCAACCGTCGGATTCCAGGAATAGAAATCATCAAGCGTAATCCCCGCGTCGGACACAATGTCTGCACAAGTATCGCCGCTGACTACTAGGTGAAATTCATCGCAGTCATCTGTGATGCCAGACTCGTAGGGAGTTGGGGTTGTCACTCCATTCCCGGTCGATGTCGACGTCGTGGTCGCGGTGGTCATTGTGGGAGTAGTTGCAGTGGAAGATGTAGGTGATGACGAGGATGAGTCTGAATCTGCCGCGATACAGACATAGTAGCCCAACCAGAGGCCTGAGCAGTCGGAGCCCACATCCGGATTCCAGCTTACAAAGTCTGTCAGAGAGATTCCTGCATCTGCCGCGATGTCGGCGCACGTATCCCCGCTAACAACAAGGTGAAAGCCTGTGCAGCCTTCTACCATGCCAGGCTCGATTGGCGTTGGGGTCGCGATTGGTGATCCGGTTGTTGTGGTGGTTGTCGTCATCGCCGACACGACTGTTGTGGAAGAAGTCGTGCTGGTGGTTATGGTGATCGGATTCACCGAGCTCACAGATATGGTGGTGAAGTTGACTTGTACGCAGTAGTATAACCCTGGTAACAGCTCGCAGCCATCGCCGAGTTCAGTGACGATGGGATTCTGAGAGCACAAGAAGATGGTTAGCCCACAATACTCACTATCACACGCTAGGGTAGATGTATGTCCACGTTACCCATGCCTCGAATTCAGCCTCCGTCATCCCAAAGTACGTCTCCAACAGCGCGCAGGTTAGTCCAGTAGAATACTCGACCCATTGCGTGCAATCCTCAGTTGTCCCTGGAGCGGCGGTGCCCGCAGGGGAGACGAGATACGCCTCGGCGATGGAGGTCGCCAGGAAATGCCAGAAAAGGTGCGTGAGCTTCATTATGGAAGCAATAGAAGAGCGTTGTCCGGGATGGTATCGCAGTAGTGTGCGAATAGCCGCTTTTGAATGTTTACAGTAAGTTTGAACCTCGGTTGCGAGTAAGAGGGCGAGGCAAATGGCCTGTAAATGGCCTCACTATAACCGATACTAATGCGCCAAGGTCTCTCTAATATCGCTTATCTCAACTTGGAAACGGTTCCTGCATCGCACATGGTCGATGCATTTTGATTGTTCCACCACTCGGGAATTTGCCTCGTTGGATTAAACAAACTAATTGAACTATTTGACAAGGCGTCAATTTAGCTTGACTCGCTTCCCCCGCGCCTTGTCATAAGCTTGATCCTGACCTCCAATCTCCCCCACCCGCAGCCGACTCCTCGCACGCCAAACAGCAAACTACAGTTCCCAGTTGCATTTACCACTACAACAATGTCTTTTGAATCGCTTCCAACGGAGATACTTCATCAAATCGGGGAAAACATCACATCACTCTCGATCCTAAACGCCATATCCCGTGCCAGCCGCCGCTTCCATTTGATATTCGACCCGCTGCTCTATGCCCAGGATGCCCAGCGGACGCGCGGCCAGTCTGCTAGGGCCGGAGGAGGTGCGGCTGCAGTCCGCTGGGCGGCCCAACATGGCCTGATGCGAACGATGGAGAAATCTCTTGAAGGCGGGTCGGAGATTCCTCCGCGGGGCCCCTGGATGCACGTCGTCCATGAGCCTGCGGGACGGACCGTTTACGGGGTGAGAGTTGACTGGCGGTTTCGAGACCCGGTGCCACCGCCGCATCCGCTGTGCCTGGCGGTTCAGGGTGGGCATGTGGACATTGTCGAATTTCTTTTGGATGTGAAAGGGTGCGATGTCGATATGACTGATCAGCAGGGGTTGTCGCTGCTCGAGATAGCCGTTGTACATGGGCACGTGCAGCTTGCCGAGGGGTTACTTCGCAGGGGCGCGAATCAGCTGTCGGGGCGGCAGCTTACTGGAAGCCTAGCAAAGGTCGTTAGTTCCCCGATGCAGCTCGCAATGCTCCTCGGGAAATTGGATATGATGCGCCTTCTCTGGGAGTACGGGTCGTTTTTACTATGGCAAAGCCAGATTGAGCTCAGGGATACATTTGAGTGTGCGATCACGAAGCGAAATATGGAGGCTATACACGCTCTACTCAGCTACGGGGTGCGTGTGAACATAGGAGGGCCACATGGCAAGTCGACGGGGCCGCTAGAATTGGCGGCCAGAATGGGGGACGTGGAGCTCGTAGAGTTGTTCCTGAGTGCAGGAGCGCGCCCTCGCTATGCCGGATCTGCCACGGGGTGTGCGCTGGTGCAGGCAGTGAAGAGACGGGACGAAAGAATCGCGAGCCTTGTCATTAGCGACAGTACCTGCATACAGAAAACGATAGCTCTGACGTTAGCCGCGGAGCAGGAGGATGGGCAACTTGCTAGGTTTCTCTTAGCGCGTGGAACGCATCCGGACTTCGATGACCTGGAGGACTCAGACGTGCATCGTCCTAAGGGTTACGCGGACACTTGGCACTTTGCTTCACCTCTTGCTCATGCGGTGAATGCGGGCCACGCGCATTTGGTGCAGCTGCTAGTAATGAGCGGCGCAGATGTGAATGTTCCTTTCGCGGGGTTTGAGAAGAGCAAGTCGTCTAGACAGACAGGTTCAGTGCTCCAGCTCGCGATGGACTTGGGCAACAAAGAGATCGTGTCGTTTCTTCGCGAGTATGGGGCACAGGAAGAGGTTGAGAACTACGAACATAGATATTTCAGACTGCGGTGGGAAGAAGACAACTCGCCGAATGGAAACGAGATCAGAAGAAAGAGATTGCGGAGACACATGGGAGTCAACAGTTGTACGGGCTCTATATCAAGCTAGCGAAATTGTCTGTAACATTGATCTGCATTCACCCTCAGCATTCTCTACCCCCCGTATCATATACCGCTACCCAAACTATATCACATGGCGACATTTGGATCACGCCAGTATCCAACCAGGTGGCCCGAAAAATACAGGAGGCGTTGCTGTGGATGGACTATTCTGGAGAATATACGCACCCATGGAGAAGAAGACATAGGGCTCTGGAGCGTTAAGCAGCGCCTTCAAACGAGAATCCCAACTGATTCCCATAATGTCCGATGCGAGGTAATCTGCGAGAAAATGTCAGTTTTTTCCAAGCGTTTTGCATCTTTGTAAGAAGACAACGTCATAACGTACAGCCTAGACCCGGCCCATCGCTATCGGTGCCGTCAGAGTCGGTAAGGTGGAAGAGCTCATGGTATAAGGTAGCGCTGAGAGACGTGAACGCCGAAGGGTCCGTCTTTGCCCCCGCGGTAGGATAGTTGCTGGAGCTGACGACGTCTGCGAGGTTTTCATATCCATGCGGAGCACCTGGGTTGGCCACGAAGGCAGTATCGCAGAAGTATACATGGCGGTTGAACGTGGCATAGGTGAAGCCCTCGGGACTGCCAGCCTCGCTGCCCGCGTTCGTATCTGATCGGCTGGTGGCCGCGACACGTTTCGGCTTGGCACATAACTCGTCCTTCCCGGAAGCATCGAAGACATAACCGTTAAGCCGGCTAACCAGGAAGGGCGCAATGTTCTTGTTTGTATTTGTCGGGTCTGGATCATACTCTCCCTCCAGCTGCATCTGCTTCAGGTTCGGATAGACTTCTTGAATAGTGTAGTAGGAAGTTGGCTCTCCGTTGTCATCGCGCTCCTTGACCATTTCAGCGCCGGTGCCGTCGATGGCTGTGTACTCCCACTCTTGCTTTTGGGCGAAGCTGTCGCTGCAAAACAGGTACGGCAAATCGCCCGATCCACCCGTTATGCCGCCGCCACTGAGAAAGGTCGCGACTCCTGCTAACCGTGCTATTTTTCCCCATTCAAAGAGTCAGCGTTAGAACGATAAAAAACTTTGGCAAAATAAAGCAGGAATGGGGTGCGTCTTGTACTTCCGATCAGCTCCCAGTAGGCCTCGAAGAAGTCCGCTATCTCGTTGTCGTCCCAACTCATGGAGAGCCAGAGGCTGAACATAGTGCGGTATGTATAGCTGGTGGAATAGCTGTGGTACGCCGTGAGGGCTGCGTTTAGAATCTCGACACACTCTTTGAGCCAACCGTCGATGGTATCTATCTGGTCTGAGCTGCATGCACCGCCAGTGGTTGAGTCGCCTATCTGGAAGAGTTCGGATGTGGTGCGTTGCACGGTGACGCTCTGCGGGACAACAACTGCAGTAACTGGGTTGGAGCAGAAACTGAAGAGATAGAGGAGCAGCAGGAGCGCCCTCGAAGCCAACATCTTGACGTCGGTGCAATTGAACAAAGCAAAAGGAGTACTAAGCGATGCAGAAAGGCCGTACGGAAGGAAGAAAAAAATAATTCAGTCAGAGGGAAACCACTTGGGGAATCACCAAGGGCACATTTGAAGGTGCTCTACAAGGTGCAAAGTAGATCCTGAAATGCAACTAGATTACAGGTGGTAGTTCTCCGCGCGGAGAAGGCTAACTCGCACTAGTGCGCTGGAATAGTTCCAACGCTATAGAGTAGTGCCCTGCGTTAGCCCTGACATTCATTAACCGGAAATTTGGGACGCGTGTCTTCTTCCTTTTTCGCTACAATTAATATACAAGTTCAACGATCCAATAGAAGACGAGCAGGGTGTTGGATCGTTGGTAAATCCGGCATCTATATCTCATGTTCATGCCTATACTCAACGATACTCTACAACAGCAACCCCCCTTCTCTCTCCCTCCCTCGAGGGTATTTTATTTTCTTCGTGCTCCTCAACATTTCATGACATCTGCGTTTCCTCCACGAGCAGGATGTTTTCGAGACTTGCCGTACACACCGGCCTCGCTCTCCTGCTTCTATCCCCGGTTTCGGCATATGACCCTTCCATCACCAGGCCTCTCGATGCCTACCTCGCAGAGCACCCCATAGTCACGCGCTCTGCGTCGGCTAATACTTCACAGACCAGCTCTGTAGGCACCAAGCATGCCACTGTTGCTGCGACGATCCCAGAATGGACCCCTCCAATCTCTAATGTCAGCCGCAGGCGCTGTCCCTCAGCCTGTAGCACTACTGGCCTGGACTCGCAAGGATGGCCCGTCTACCACAGCGTGGACCGGCTGGGCTGGTGTGACCAGCCAATGCTGCTTGATTTTGTTTTGTTCAATCCCTTGGACGACGAGAAGACTCATGTGGGCATTGCGGCCTGTGCAGCGGATTTGTCTACTACCGTCTCCGCCGGGAATGGCAGCACCACGACAGGCTTATGCTTGCCGGATACCAACTCCAACAACATGGAACAAGTGACCGCGCAGCTGCAGCTGGTGTCGTCTTCAGCCAGTCAATCAGGCACTGCCGACAATGTGGTCGAAGCCCTAGGGCAGCTTCAGGCATTTGCCAGCCAGCAATCCGCCGGCTGCAACGAGACAATCCAGTTTGCCCTGTCCGGTGAGGTGGCAGTTGGGATCTACGTTGGCTCCGGTCTCAGCGGGCAGGGAGTTCTGCCAACAGTTCTTGAGCAATTAGTTGACTACGTACAAGACGAGAGATTCTCCGACAGCCTCCTCGTGCAGCTCTGTGATGCCAGTGACCGGTCCGCGCGGTATGCGCTGGGCGTCGTCGCGGTGACGGGGTCCAATCTAGCCTCGGCGCAGACAGCGGTGCAGACCTGGAAGAACAGTAGCTGCGTGTCAACTACATCCGACCAGATGGCGCAGACATGGCAGAACATCACATTCGCTGTCCCATCTTCACTGTCTGCGTCCTCCTCGAACTCTTCCAACTCTACTTCCGTAGCAGCAGGTTCTTCGAAGCTGCGCCGACGGGACGATGAATGCACTACGGTCCAAATTGTCTCCGGCGACAGCTGCACCACACTCGCAGAAGAATGCGGGGTGACCCTGACGGAGTTTGAGGGGTATAACGATGAATTATGCGATTCGCCGTTGGATCCGGGCGAGTATGTTTGCTGTTCCGAGGGGACACTGCCCGACTACTCTCCCCAACCAGATGATGATGACAATTGCTACGTGTATTTGGTGGAGACTGGTGACGACTGTAGCACCATTGCGGCTGCTTATGCTCTCACTGTAGACAAGATCGAAAGCTATAACAACGATACGTGGGGCTGGATGGGCTGCGATGACTTGCTGGCAAACATGAACATCTGCCTGAGTTCCGGCTGGCCTCCAATGCCGACGGCGATTGAGAACGCAGTCTGCGGACCTCAAGTTCCAGATACACCAGTTGCATCGCATGGCACGAATCTGAGTACATTGAACGAATGCCCACTCAATGCCTGCTGCGACATCTGGGGCCAGTGCGGAACTACAGCTGAGTTTTGCACCATCTCAAAGTCCCCAACAGGCGCACCTGGAACCGCCGCGATGGGCGAGAATGGGTGTATTTCCAACTGCGGTACGGACATTGTCATCGATGGCTCTCCATCGCAGATCTATTCCGTCGCATACTTTGAGGGCTTTTCCTGGTCACGACCGTGCCTGACCATGTCTATTAGCGAGGTCGATACCACCTCCTACACGCACATCCACTTCGCCTTCGCCACCATCAACACGGACTATACCCTGAACATCACCGGAATCGAAGCCCAACTACCGTTCTTCTCTGCACTCACGGGAGTAAAACGAATCCTGAGTATCGGCGGCTGGGACTTCTCCACGAGCCCATCCACATACAACATCTTTCGCGAAGCAGTCACATCCACGAACCGGGAAACTCTGATTCAAAGCGTCGCAGACGTGCTGGAAACATACAATCTGGACGGCGTCGATTGGGACTGGGAGTACCCCGACGAGCCTGATATCCCCGGGATCCCCGCGGGCACCGAAGCCGACAGCACGAACTACTATGTTACACTGGTGAAGCTGAAGGTCCTCCTGGATGGTACCGGCAGGACAATCTCAATCACGGCGCCGGCGTCCTTTTGGTACCTTCAGGCCTTTCCCATCAAGGCAATGAGCGCCATCGTCGATTATATCGTGTACATGACTTATGACTTGCATGGTCAGTGGGACTACGGCAATGCCTACGTGGATCCTGGATGCGAGGAGGGGAACTGTCTGCGCTCACATGTAAATCTCACGGAGACAATCAACTCGCTCTCGATGATTACGAAAGCCGGGGTTTCAAACACACAGCTTGTTGTTGGCGTGGCGAGTTACGGTCGGGCGTTCAAAATGACCACCGCCGGCTGCTGGACCGAGATGTGCACGTATACCGGACCGGACTCGGGGGCTCTTGCTGGGCAATGCACGGAGACCGCAGGGTATCTAGCGAACGCAGAGATCGACGCAGTTATTGCAGACAATCCCAGCGCAGAGGTATACTGGGACTCGGACGCGTTCAGCAACGTTCTTGTGTACAACGACACGGAGTGGGTCAGCTATATGAATGGCTCGAACAAAGCTGTCCGAATACTCCTCTACGAAGTATATGGGTTCTTGGGCTATGCTGACTGGGCGGTTGATCTACAGGAGGAGGGTGGAAGCGGGTCTGATTCATCATCCTCGAGCGATGACAGTAGTTTGTCTACAGGCTACATTGCGCCTTCGATCTGGAGTGAAGCCACTCCGGTTGTGACGGGATTGCCAGGCCAGACTCTTGTTTGGCCGCCTCTTCAGCTCTCAAGCACGACTACTATTAGCTTCGATCCGTGGACAACGTTGCTGTTCTACTCGACGTTGAGTACTACGACGTATGTCGGTGTTAACAGTGAAACGACCACTCAGCATGTATACGACGTTCTCACAATCCCGACTGTACTTACCATCGAGCCAGGTTTGTATTACCCCATCATATGCGCCTGGGTTCAGAGATATTCTGATCGTTTTTTTTCTTTTAGTTACAACAACCGAAATCGCAGTTTGGAACGTCATCCTCCCCACAGAGACGACGGACAGTATTATCTACCTGACAAGCTCCATCCAGCCGCCACCCTTCACCATCACTGTCACTCCGTAAGCCGACTCCATCCCTAGCCCCCTTTAGTACAGTCCACCTAACAGGAATCTAGGGTCTGGGAAGGCACGACATCCATCGAGGAGCCGACTACAACCACCGAAAACGCGACCGTCGTCGTCTGGTTAGACACCACATGGAGCTTCTCGGCTGTGACCGAAACCGTGGGCTCGAGCACGCACATCACAGGCGGAACCACGGGAACCCCCGTGCCTATTATTATCACACCACATCCGCACCCGACCACTGTTGACGATGATGAGAAAGATAAAAAGCTGAACTCAAAGACGACATCGTGGATATCTGGCAGTCCCGTATCGCCACCCTGCGCCACGGGCGAGGCGTGCGGTATTCCGTGTATGCTTCTCTTTTTTATTATCTTTTTTTCTCTCCCCCCAGTCGTGCCCCCGAGCACCCAGATGCTAACCCAAATTCCTTTCAATATAGGCATTTTGTGGTGTGACCCGGGCTGTCCGATCTGCCCGCCAGGGCTCATTGGAAGCTCCGGCAGCAGCAGCAGCAGCTCTGATCCGGACGATGACGATGATGACGATGATGATGATGATGATGATGATGATGATGATGACAATGATTCGTCTTCTACAACCACAACCACATCAACTACCACAAGCGTGTCGTACACGGCAGCAGGTTTCCACATTGACGCCGGGGACACATTCCCCACGACGACAGAAGCCTGGTCGATGATCGAATCTGTCCTCTCCGGACTCACAGGCTACTCCAGCGATGACGGCAGTGGCAGCAGCACTGATAGCGACAGCAACACCAGTATCGACTCTAATGGCAATGGCAATGGCGGGACTGCGACAACTACTACCACTTCCAAAGCCACGACTTCAACTAGCATGGTCTCAACACCGTCGGCTACGAGCGGTGCGAACGAAGTCACCTTCGGCCTTTTTGAGCTGTACAGCGGCTCCACCTGGATCTTCGAATGGATGTTAATGGACACCATCATTGGTGAGACATGGTACCCATGCGATACAAGCCCCGATATCACGACAACTGCGGATACCGTTGCGCCCAACCCGGCATTCCCGGATAAAGATATCGGACCCTTTGAGTCGCATGAGATCGAGGGGTGCCAGTATACTGCGGGTGACGATGACGATGATGTCGGGAGCATGACTTGTCCGGGGGTGGATAATATTGTCTGTGAGAAGGCGTATTATGGGTCGTCGTATTCGTGTGATGGCGGTGGACTTATTGTGCTTGTCATGCATTGTTATTGGTGATTGTCGTCTGTGAGATGAAAAGATATTCGTGTAATAAGACGTGAGAGGGCCGAAAATCGTTACACTAGATATTTAATAGTCCGAGGTTCGTAGAAGAAGTTGTGAATTAATTCTCCTTAGCGAGTTTATAGGACAGCACTCTTATAATTTACCTTCGTCGATAGGTATTGTGCTTTAGTGTCTAAGATACTTAAGGTGGATGTAAGGAGAAAGATAGATGAGGCCTAAGGCACCGGATGGGGTAGTGGACGATCCAATGACAAGGTCCGAGGTCTCAGGCAGAAGGAGATTGAATCGAATATAATTTGACAAAGGCAACTGGTTTACGGTTTGACGACTTTTTGCATACGAATCAATATCTGTTCTTATGAAGTTCAACACATCAATTGATTCTTGAGGATCATTCAAAGAGCCCAATTGAATGGGCCTTTTATCCTCAAGCCTCTCTGAATGCATGACGTATTATACATTGGCTGTGTGACCGCTTGATGTATTTTATGACAAACAAATACAACACTTTCATTCCAGAATTAATTACAATACTTCGATCCTTGCTGAAAAACATCACTTGGTTCCTGTTATGCAAAGACGCGCTCTCAAGTTAAACGCTATAAATAAGACTCTTTTCATTCATCCTCACATCACTTACTACTAACAAAAAGTAGCATCTGTGAGGCTATTGTCTCCGTGCATAAACCGACTAAATCAATACTGTTACCTTGTTAAACAAGAAAATAGACATAGATTGCTAAGCACAATTGTCGAAAACGGGCTTGTTAAACTCCTTTGACTATCGTGGGCTCACAGGTCGGAAATCGAGACTGAATCACTACATAACCGCCCTCACTTTGGAGACTGTCGTTTGCAGAAAAGGCGATTTAAGCTGTTTACAGCCCAGTCCAAGGTAATCGAAGGTCTATTAAGATGGGCTCCATAAAACAAAAGCTACGGCAAATTCAAGCTTGCTTCCCATTTAGCCTTAGATTAACAAAGGAGTTTATAAATAGGAAACTGTTTGCTAACGGAAGCTTTTTCGTCAAATCGAATCGCATATAATGCTGCTAAGGTGACTCGTGATAAAAGGGCTTATCAAAAATTTCAGCGTAGGAGAGAGGCTCTTTTTAAGAAGGCTTTCGAATATTCCGCTCAATGCGATGCTGATGTTCAGCTTGTCGTACGGATGAAGAAGTCAGGCCAGATTTTCACTTTGACCTCGAACACAAAAAGGTGGCCGCTCTCTGCAGAGCAGCTGGTATATCAGCCCCACCGACACTTTCTAGTGCCTACGTATTGGCCACTGACTGAGCAAGGATACAAACCGCCTAGTATCTATTCAAAAAACGATGGATGACCTTACAAGGCAATACACAAAAAAGCCCGTATCGATAAAGACAGCAAAATCAGACCGGATGGTAGTGGCAGGCAAAATATTGCATAAAACAGAAATACAAACTTAATAGTATAAAGCTGAATTCTCAATCTCTAATCCTTAAGTAGCCTCCAGAAAACCCTATACTTGTATCTATTAGGAAAATGCGAAAGAATCAATTCATCCAGAAGGAATCATCCGAGGAGCAATCAGGCTTGCTAGGAGCATTTCATTGCGGATATGAAGTTGTTATCAAGTACTCATAAATAAGAGCGGTTGATGAATGTGAGAGATATCCCTAGAATTGGCCATCTTCTTGCTAGGAAGTTCTCTAAGACATATAATGAACCGATGTACGGCCTGTAAAGCTGTCCTTAGATCTAACGAACTGTGATAATGTGCGCTTTAGCTTAGATTTCCTCAAGTTTAATAAGCACAGGCCATTTTAGATATTCGCTTTTTCCGGGGGTCTGTCAGAAAACTCACAGCCCTCGCGTAATCTAAACAACTCACAAGTTCCTTATATATTCGATAAAATTTGCTCAAGAGAGATCATCTACGGTTATCTAATAAATCCATGAAGACTAATCTTTTGACAGTGACGATAAAAAATCAGTCTATCTGTGTTAAGAAAGTTTTGCCACTCTTCTCTAAGAAGTTAAGGCTGCTCATCAGGAAATTGTAGTAAAGAAATCGAAGCCCAGCTAGAATCGGGAAGCACGGGGTCGATAATATCTATCTCCCGTGTATTTCGTTTATGAGGATGCTTCGTTGCACGTAAAGGGTACCTCTGATGGCGGCTGGCGTCGCTTCTCCTACCAGCAGCTTGATTGGGTCGTGCCGGCCTCTGGGTCCTTCAAGTGCCCGATATAAGAGTTGTATGACGACCAAGGAGGGCTGAGTGGTTTTCTTTGCTTGAGGACCTTCCCGGCGTCTTTAAGGTCTTCCGAATATAACGTTGTTTAACTACGACCAGAAGTTCTTCCGGGAAACGAATCGCGAATAGAGCTCCATGAGAGTTTTTGACAGTCTCTCATTTCTACCAATCGACGTTCATCCTCGACAGACTATTTCCTTCGCGTAATAGTTTACCGTGCTACCGTGCTGTTGTTGTTGTATGTTAATGAGCCGGATTATCTATTACTATAGTACTTATTATAATGATACTATATACGTGCTACAGTGTCTTTATTATAAGGTGAACAACCGTAAGATTCTCCTTGAAAGAGTCAGCATCAAGAGACTCATATAAGAGTCTAGCCTCGGTAGTGGTAAGATTCTGAAAACGTCTTAGGTATCCGATCACATTCAAAATTACAGCGAGATGGTTATCTCCGTGACTATCTTCGCCATAACATACGGAAGCTTTAGCTGTCGATTATCTCATCCATTTTCCTCGCGACCTAGCCACTTTTGTGGTTATTAGAGCGGGCCATCGGGATAGTTCAAGGGAGGTGATAAGCGAATTTCCCAAGACTAGGTCCTCGACGTTTGATAGAGGCTGCCTATGGTTATGCTCGCCGCTGTAGCTAGTATTTTCGTCTCTAAAGGCATCAAAAACTCGTGCCGACCCCCACCCCCCCCTCCCACCTATCTAATCTAGTCACAGAGGGAGTAATACTGACTCTAGAGGATGAATAAAGGGCGACCTCCTTAGGGTAATTAGGGTAAACATCCGTGGCTGATGTATCATTGTGATAGAGCTTAGGCGAACGATATCGAGAGTGATAGCCGGGTTCTAACGCTGAAGGCTTACAATTAATCAGAGAGATTCGCAGATGATCGCCCGAGATATAACTGACCAGAATCCATTACTCTATACTCCTCTCCTGGCGGATCATTCTCCGGGAGATATCCATTTGCTTTGCGGGTTCCCTTAAGGCTCGGTTGCTCCGCTAGAATAATAGTCCCCGATTCAAAATTATTTGAAGGGCGTCTTTGTAGATGATTCGACGGTGGCTGCCAGAAGTTTTGGTGATTCAGGGTTACCATTATGAAGTGTGGACTTTTGCTCTTAACTAGAAGATAATTGAAGTAGGAGAAACTAGTATTGATTTCGGCGCGATGAGGAAGGATTGCAAGGAGAAGATCCTTGGGCTGTTTGTATTTCCGACCTCTATACTTCTTCGATGGTCACACTATGAAGAGGGTGAGAAGACGCCATATCCGATCCATAGCCAACAAAACTCTTCATGGAACCAACTATGTAATTAACACGAGCTTCCGACTATTTGGTATATCTAATTAGGAATTCGTTCAAGCTTATAATAGGTCGACTGAAAGAAACGCTCCCAGGAACATGAGATCAATATAGAATCGCTTAGCGGGATACTTGTTCAAAGTAATATTCAGGCTGAGATTATGTCCGCCGTTGCACAGCCCAGTATTTTGATTTAGACAAAGCTTCTAGCAGGGCTTGAGAGATGTGCGGGTACGAAGCTATTCCCAGACTTTGAGAATAGAAAAAAAAGGGATAATATTGCTGGTTTGGAAAATGAAGTGTCGTTGATACAGCGTAAAGTTGGGAGGGCGGTCTCTTACACGGGCTGAAAAACCTACTAAGTCGACCACTAACTAGCAGGAAATGGTGAAAGGAGTTACCATAGCAACGTGAGAGTACGTCATATCCTAGCCTTCGCTCCCAGGAGCACCAGAAGAGACAATAAGCAGTGCGGCTAGCGACGGAGAGGCATAATGAGATTGAGGCCATCGGCCTGAGCATTGGGGGTGAGCGATCAGGTTGCTTAGGGAGCTGCTCATGTTCGCTCCGTGAGCTGCTCAGGGCGGCGAGGTGATTAACTCATTCTGTGCTCCGGGAGCCGATCATTTCCCGAGGCGGCAGTTTTACCGTCACCTAGATTACATCTACAATTGGTCATTTTTAAATAATCTTACATTAAACATCCCGAGCTTTAACCCAGCCTTGCCAAGCAAAATTGCGGACTTTCAAGAAATGACCGCGGTGTGACAAGGCTGATCTAGTGGCTCTTCGGCTATTTCTTAAGTATACTAAACAGTACGCGGAGGATAATTCTACTTCTGATTTTGCCGGGTATGTTGAAAATCTGCTGGGCCTCGTCACGCCACAAGATGATGAGTAGAGAACGCTACGTTAAGAAATGTATTATCAACGGAAGCGGGTTGTCCGGCGGGGTTTGAGATACTCTTGCTTCATCTCGTGGAGATTAAGGATTTGCGTTGGCCCAGTCAATATGTTTCCATGAATGTACGTGTCTAGCAGATATTCAAGTTTAGATAACATGAAGTAGCCTCTTCTATCTCTGACTGGGCAAAGCTTCATTTGGTTAACATTAAGATTCCTTTAGGATGCTATAGACCTTTCGTAAATTCACGTCTACCCTATGTTTCCAGTCATATCACACCCTCCACCGACTTTTCTCAAGATATTGACCATATTCTCTCTATCCATGAGATGTAAGGACGTTTGCTGTTCGCCATTTAGACCTCCGTTCGCTGGGAAAATGCCGCAATACGCTGAGCAAGGCGCGACTTACGCTCTTCCGCGGTCACATATCGTGTCTCGCTTGGAAGAACAGAGGCAAGATCGGAAAGAGCAACAACTTGAACATCAACAGCAACCGAGGTAGACGAAGAGGAAGAAGTCGGCAGGCCTTGCCAGCGAACCATAATCGTACCCTCGTGGAGACCAGTCGTGTTCAGCCAGTTATAGACTCCCGGATCCTCTACGGAAATCACAAAAGTGTAAGTACCGTTGGAATTTGCGACTGCTTGCTCATTGTTCAAACTGATTTGGCTGCCCGGATCGGTCGTAATCATCCACGGGTTCGTCAATGGGAAAACAAAGTAATCCGCATCACCCTGTGTGACAGTCGCAACAAGGGCCTCATCATCGGTTAGATTGAAGTGGCCAAAGGAGCTTGCTTGAGTAGTCAATGTACCAAGGGTACTCGATTGACTCGGCGTCGAGAGGGTGTTGACCTTGTTTAAAGAGGTTTTGATCCCCAAAGCGCCCACGCCGTAGTCCACGATGGATTCTTGCAAGTTCCATATCGCGGTGAGAATGATCTCGGCTTCGGTGAGAGCGGATTGACTCGAGTTATCGTCAACAAGCTCTACGGTCAGATTGTCGGGCTTCTGTGTTCCCCAGTTTCCGAGGTTATTTCGAATGAGAAGTTGTACGGCTGACGAAGTTGACTGGATATGATTTGTTTGGTTGTCTGCTGAGGTGCTATTGACTGTGATGGTAAATGAGCCATCAGCATCAATCACCAAATCACTGCCCGACAGATGCGCAACGGTGTTTTGGGAGTTTGGATCGCTGATCAGCGAGAAAGTTACATCGGCTGGTCCAGGCGTGTGTCGATAGCCAGTGATGATATAACTGAGGCTGCTGTCGATGGGGATAGTTCGATAGATGCAGTCCGGGTTGTCGTACGAATATCGTCCGCCCGGCACATCAAGTCCAAACCAATCCCGTGGACCGGCATCAAGCCAGTAGACCTTAGGGAAGTAGGTGTCGGTATTGACGGCCTTTTGAATGGCGCTAAATGCCAACTCGTCAATGGCTGCATCGATACTTGACGAGGCCTCATCACTGATGGGAAGGCCGTGGGCTGTCTTGTACGCGGCTTTAGCCTCTGCATTCAACAGGGTGAACTTGTGATCCTGGCTGATCTTGATTGAAAAAGCATCGAGTGTCTGCTGATCCGAAGTTGCCAGTGGGTTCCCATCCGATGCTGCATTCGTGCTCACTACCACAGCAGCAAGTGCAGGGATGAGAAGACCTTGGCGTTGTTGGCGGGAGAAGATTCTCATGGCGGAAAAGCGAGGTATAAAGTAGGGCAAGAGACCGGCCAATAATCTATAGTGAGTAGATCAACCATGGCTGCTTCCGTTGGACTTTAAATATTGTATTCTAGAATGATGTTTTCACCTGTCATAATGGCGCGAGACGATCGCGGCATGCCATGAGTGTCTTCTACGCGTTGTGCCTGAGCACAGATGTGCCAGTAGATCATTATTCAGGATAAAAACGGGTGATCATTGCCGTTTTGAGGAATTAAATCTAGGAATGGCGTCAGCAAGAGGCGCTCATAGGGGACGATCTACTCTAAGCGAGGGGACGGAAATTGATTGGAAACGGTTTTAATTGGCTCAAGCTAGCCGAGGGATAATGGCTGCATAGAACTACTACATTCATGGAACGACCATAATCAATTCCCCGTAAATCCTTAGCATTGTGAGCATCAAAACATCAAAACGGTTGTTGTATTCTCAAGGTGCAATAGATCTTCGTCACATAGCCTTGGTTTTGAACATGCTCGACGGCTTCTGTATCCTTAATTGGGTTCGACCAACCCAATAAAATTGTTCACCGAGGCAGCATGACTCGAAGTATTATTCTCCCGAACAACCTGGCCGATACTTTCAAGGAGACGGCGTAGTGCTGCAAGGTCACCTTCATCAGCTGCAGGGCGGGCCTTGCGCCTGCATCGTGGTCCCTGACGTAGGGCCCATGGGAAATTACCCTCACCATCTTTCATTTCGAGGTATCGATCCGGGCAATGGCCAAAGAGAAATTTGTTGGTATGGCCGAATTTCGGGCCCTCGGGAATCTCAGCTCGAAACACTGGGACTGGGCCAATTTCGCCCGGTGCTCGGACTCTGCTACTGCCGAATTGAAAAATTTGTAGACGGGGCAAACCATTCGCCATCGCCTGGAACCATGTTGCTCACAAGATCCGGTAGCGTTGGTTTACCTTACTTCCATTAAATTCGATAGACACATGAGCAGTTTCGGTTTCGGCTGGGCTCCATGCACCCAGCTCCATGGAGAAAATGATGGCACAGTCGTCGAGCTTCAATGGGCGCAATGTGCCTCTGTGGCGTAGGATCCATGACAACGTATTGTCGCTTGTAAATCCACAGCCGCGAAGCTCCAGACATTCCAGAACGGGAAGAATTAGATCACCTGCGATGGGCCTGGGAGGGTTTTTCATATAGAATCCCCAGTTAGAAATAGACAAATGTCGAAGTGTGAGTCGGACTTGGTAGATCAAAAGGTCAAATGTTGCACCTGGCCGTACAATTCTAGTCTAGAGGATTATGCTGGTTAGTCTGATACAGAAGTAGGCCATGAAGATAGCTTTCAGATGTCACTTACTGTCCGGTCCCCGGATGGCCATGTCTCTGGACCGACAAAGCCCAAAAGTAAAAATTTTAGACGATACTGGCTGCTGATTCGCCCCAAGGACAACATTCTTTCGCTGGGAACTGATGATACAGTTGAGAATCCAACGGGAATGTTCAGAATCGACATCTCATCTAGGCCACTCAGTCCGTACAGGGACATGAAAGCCATATTCAAGCCGTCTTCGAGATGGATAAGCTTCTCCCCGGGTAAACAAGTGAGGCAACGACCTTGAGGAACGGGAGGAGGGCGAATGTGGAAGGCTACGTGAGCCAAGTTAGGAAAGAGAAAACCCCCATTGTGTAAGGTGAGCCTCCTAAGATCAGCTATAAAAGCTCCCATACGTTGAATTGATTGCAAGAGTTCATCCAGTAGGGTCGGTCGATCAGAGATCAACTATATGGTTTGATGTTAGGGCTTGCTGTCTCACCGAGTATGCTGGAGGTCTAAATGAGATTTTGGGCACTTACACTAACAGCAGGCACAGCAGGCCGATCGGGAAAATTCCAGACGAGGGTTCGGACTTTGTCTCTGAGACCTTTGTTCTGGGTGACAAGGTCGAAGCGGTCCAGGTTCCTGTTCCGAAATATCCACGTACAGACGATGGTCGGGAAATTCGTCGACAGCTGCGCGCCAAATTCCATTCACTAGACGTAGGGCAAGCAGAGTTTCGACGTCAAATATGTAGGATACTATCATCCTTGTGATTTCGAAAGGGAGGTACGGAGACATGGTGTCGGCTGAAATTGAGGCATAATCGAAAGTGACGGGAGACGGGTAGCTTATCGAGATAGACGTACCTGCCTACATGGTTGGTCGATGTGGATGGATGCACGTGTTATTGAACAAGACCTTCACAGATCAGGCTCTACAGTTGGAGATAGATGAACTTTAGAACAGTCTCTCCGGGTATGGAACTATAGCCGAGGCCACTTCACTGTTATAAAGCCCGCCATAGATGATCATGCATCATGTACGATTGGCTTTCATAGAAGGTCATGGTCCCGATAAGTATGCATAGTGCATACATGACGAGGCAAGGCAGCGCCTTACAGGTTGTTGCTGTGAAACGCTTGGACAGGTCTGTCTGGAACAAAATTGTTTGGGACACAGTGACTTATCTTGTAGATGGAGAGTCGTTGACAAGGCTCAGTCATGTAAGAGCATCTAAGAGCTGAAGACGATCGAGGCTTGAGAGGTAAAATCTCCATTTTCGCTGGTAGATTCAATTTAATATCTGGGAACTGGAAATTAAGCACTGCATTTGAATGATAGAGCCTAAATCTCTACACAATGGCAGTATTCAGCCAGAGAGCCTATTGATGACATGATCACCTCTGCTGAAGCCCTCTTGTTCGATGTAAACCTAACGTGTCCAGAAGTTGCAGTCGCCTGGAGAGAAAGCTCCAAAAACGACAGAAGAGCCATCCGGATAGCAAAAGTCCCAGTCAGTAGCCGACTCAGATGTTGCTTTGGAACTATCATCCTCCGACGTGTGGGTTTCATCCGCTTTCACACGACCCATCAATTTCCGAACATATCCAGCATGATCCGAGTCGGCATCTTCCTGTACAACCTGCCCAATCTTCTGGAGTAGCCGGCGTAGGGCATCACGATCCGGATTATCCAAGATGAGTCCCTGTCTCTTTGGCAGCTGCTGTGGTTCGTTCTGGAGTACCCAAGAACAGCAATGACATCCCGAATCCTCCCCCAGTTTCACATAACGATCGGGAAAGAGGCCGAAGAGAAATTTTGACGGTACGTTGAACGAGGGCCCATCGTGCCTTTCTGATTGAAAGAAGGGTCCTTCTTCCCCAGCAGCGCGGACTCTGCTACTGCCAAACTCAAAGTGCTTGAGTTGTGGCAAATCCTCCTTCATCTTGTCAAAGTAGTGGGCCCACCGAGTGTTGTACAAGCGGACCTTTCCACCACGCCCGTTATCAACAACACGGAGAGATGCGAGAGAAACATCAATGCCGACTTCACCGGAAGATCTAGGCCATAGAACAAGACGATCCACGATTGCACAGTCATCGAGCTTCAAGGCACTCAGAGTTCGACCATGTCTGGTGATCCAACTAAGCTGGTAATCTGACGTGAAAGCACAGCCACGCAGCTCAAGGGATTCCAGGAATGGAAGGAATAGCCCTGTATGGAAGACTGCCCCTGCAATATTTCTTAGGTAGAATCCCCAGCAAGTGATAGACAGATTCTGCAGGGTCCGCATTGTTGGCTTAATCCACTCATAAGGTGGATCACCGACTTGCTGATTTGCCGAGATCTGATCATCCTTTGTCAGTTAATCTGCAAGGAAAGTGATGATATTGAACTTACACGATCAATAGCGTGGCTCCAAACAGTTGAACTCACTAAGCCTAGCTTCAGGGTCTTCAAGTGAAGCTTTGTGAGCACCCTCTTGCAATACTCCATTCCCCCACTTGGGATCTCATACAAACGAACTTGGACCGGCAGAGATTGAATGGACAGTTCCTCTAAGCTCTTCCCATTTCTAGACTTCACCGTGCCCAGTTTCTTGAGAGCCTTGAACAAGTCTGTCACTGCGTCCCGAAGTAAGTCTTCTTTATCCGCATAATAGTTGGGAACGGGAGTGTGGTCACGCGGTGGGCGAAAGTGCAAGGTAAAATAATCCAAGTTAGGAAATTGGTGAACCTTGGATCTCAAATAGAAGGACAGACGTTGGAAAACTTTGAATCGCTTATCTGTCTTAAACCCACGACTGTCGTGGTCCTCTAGATATTCCTGCCGGTTGTCAGCAGCTGAGCGTCCCTGGGCTGGGGATTTGTTTGGGAATGATGCATGCTCACTTACAATCCAGTAGTTGTCATCAGGGTGGTTGATGATGACACCCCGAGCCTTATAAAGTGCGCGCGGGTCCTTGCGTTTCTTTTCCATGATATCCAGGGTCAACTTATTCATGTTCAGAAGTAGGAAACTGCGATCCAACTGCCATTTTGCAGCGGCCGCCCAATCCTTGTTGACAAGCCTCAGCGACACCAGCGTAGCAGGGTCAAGGATATACGAGGTGACAATGGTGAGGATCTCCGGAGGAAGCCAAGGCATCTTGACAGGCGCATGGAACACACCCTCGTTGCTGGGGAGTGGCTTTGATGGGTCCAGATGGAGAGAGGGGAAAACGCGAAGGAGCGAAGGAGCGAAGGAGCCAAGGAGCGAAGAAAAGGAGAAAGTGAAGCCAAGCAGGAAGTCAAAGAGTAGAAAGATATAAAACAACCATTTGGGCGGCAAATCGTGAATGTGCGGGAATTTCCCGTTTTGGCAGGTACGCCAATCTCTTCGTGTATCGCGGTATTGCCGTATCGCTGTATCGCCATGGAAATATATGAGATGTTCATTGTCGTGTAATATATGGATTCGCGAATCTTAGGTCAGGGAAGAAGAAATGAATGAACTGGACAAGACACTGAATATTATATAACTAGATTGAGGGATTTGGGAAATATCCGCAAGACTTCTAACTGGGTTAGTCTGCAGGCTGAATTCGTGGCGGAAGACTCCATAGAATACTTACCATAGCATATTTGTTGTGTTACTGGCGGGAGTGAAGGTCTCCAAGGCCCTCAGAGTTTAATAACTAGCAAATGATAATCCTAGCGTTTGCTAAAGAAAAGTTAACCCCTGCCAGGCTTTCTGACCATCAAAAGCTGAGTGGTGAAATACCTTACGTAAAGAGATATCAAACACTTAACTAACACAATTTTATAAGTAATATTTCTGTATAAGTTATTGTTTATTGAACCCTGTAAGCTCCCTACTCGCTCTCCGCCAGTGCCTGTCTTCTGCTGATGCTCTTGGGGTCCAAATACGGCCGTTCTCCCAGCCCAACTGCGCGATGACCCGTTCGAGAACCAATCTCTTCATAGTCCCAAGTGGCGGCATGATAGACCGAGCGGTTGTCCCAGATGGCTATTCTCAATGTTAGCATATTGATTCGAACTGTCCTGAAACAGGGGAAATCTCACCAAGATCATTCGGGTTCTGCCATCGGAGGCGCACTTGCAAATCGTGATTCTCGACAACCAGATTCACGAACCACTTCAGCAAGTGGTCGCTCTCCTCTTGCGTGACTCCGTTTACTTTCTGGACGTGCGTTCCAACGGCGAATACGCTCTTCCAACCCGTGACTGGGTTAGTGCGTATAACCGGGTGCTCGGCGCGAAGCTCTTCCCCAACGTTCTCGGGAGCGCCGCGTGGGCCCGGGTGAATTTTGAAGTTGTTGTTCTGAGCAACCTCATTGAAGCGAGGTTGAGCATATGTTGCAGTAAGACCTTCCAGGAATTTCTGGTACGGCTCTGACAGGCGGTCGTACACTTCGTAGCCAGAAGCCCAGAGCGTGTCTACAATAAAGTGTTAAATGCATGATTCTGATCAGAAAAGATACTGGAAGAACACATACCTCCACCAGTCCTGGGAAGCTCCGTCAAACGGAGAATCGTGTAGTCACTGGGAATAGGCTCAAAGGTGATATCGCTATGCCACTCAGTGCGAGCGCTTTGCTTGCGCTCATTGCGCTGAATGTACAAAGTCTTGCGCTGCTGTGAGCTAATGACACTGATCTCGTCATCTGCAACACTATGCTCACGACCAGAGTTGGCGATTGGGTGAATGTGCAGTCCAGAAGTCTTTGGCTTTCCCGAAAGCTCCCCTAGTCGCTGGACAAGCTCCTTTTGCAGCTCGTCGTCTAGACCATCCTGCTTTCTGAAGAAAACCACGCCACGCTGCGAGACTAAGGTTAAGAGGATGAGCAAATGATTCCACTTAAAAATTTGGGGATGGTGTCTCACTGGTAAGAGCAAGATCCCGGAGCAGCTCATGAGAATTCGGAGCACGCAGAAAGTCCTTCAAGCTTGCATTAGGGAATTCACGGCCAATCACTGGCGTGACATCAAAGGACTCGAAGGCGTCGAGAGCACCGCTGGACTTTAGCGGTACCCTCTGTAGGCCCTTGAGGTTGATCTTGCCTTCCTCGATAGGAACAATAGGCTCGGTGGTGGATTCGACAAGCGATGGAGCCATGTTTGTGACGATAGATCGGGCAATGCTGAGTTATCCGTGGAAATAATCTTGATTTTGGATCTGAATTACTAAAGAGGCGGTATCTACTTTATATCCTAAAGCTGTCAACATGATGATGCCGATTACCCGGTCGTGAGTTCTTAAATTGCCAACACAACTGCGTATTTCGCAGCATAAATCGATGTCGCAATCGGATGCTCAAGCACGAATACAGCGTTGAACTGAAGGTTTCATGATATCTTTTACAAAGACTCCTAGCTCGCAATGCTCGTCCGTTATTGTGCCAGATTTAGTCATTCAGGGTCCGGTTTGGCTGTTGTGGGGTTATGGTTCAAGATATGCGGGGGGTTGCGCAACGGCGACGGGCGATGACGAATGAAGTGTCAAAGCGACGAATCGAAGCACACTACGATCATACAATTCAATTCTATGGACGGTAATTATTCTCCTATCAGTACCTCGTATCGAGATTTTGATCTTAAGCACGCAATGAGTGTTCTGGACCATTGTTATTGAAGTTATACGCGAGGGCCGGTCCCCGACTACCGAGCCTAGACAATAATAGAGCTGGTGATAGCAATGATACCCATAAATTCTCAAAGCTAGCTCGGCTAGAGTGCACCTCATCCGAATTCCCCCTCAGTGGGCAAATCGGAAATCCAGTCGGCCGCTTCCCTCATCCTTGGTAGTCGCCAAGTAGTTTACTTTCTCCTGTTGCGACATCGCATTCCATTTCTTATCGCGGCTGTTATTGCGCCAAACATAGTATGCCTTCGCCAACAAGTAGATAAAAATATTTGTCACAACTAGAGCCACAAGGGCTCGGTTGCCTCGTCGGTACCGCGGAGCATCATCTTGAAAGCGTTAGTGACAGAGAAAAAAACTCGGTTCCTTCGATTGATTCACAAACCGGCACGATATATGTTCGATGCAATAATTCCAGATGCCTGGACACACATGTTGTACATGGCAGCCGAGACAGTCCGAGATCGGACAGTGTTGGAATTACGCGAATTCCAACCGACTTGGATTGCATGTGCTATATTTCCCGTCAAAATAGATACGACGCGTCATCTTCGATGCACATACCGTTTGGAAAACCTAGTAGCAGACTGACGATCGCCCAAACAACCCATCTGTTTGCAGTGGTTGTATCCACAACATAGAGGTACACCACGAACGGCAATGTCCATATCTGGCCGAGAATGGACACCCAAGTCAACTGCCCAGTAACCTCTGCTAGATATGTGATAGAAAGCATGAGAATCATCGAAAGCACCGTATTAGGGATGGCAAGCAAGTTTGAAACAAAAGTATTGAAACCCATGTTTCGCAAGGTCAGAGTCAGATATTGCTTAGGTGTCATCATGGGTGTCTCGAAAGTCAGGCCAATAATGTAAAGAGGCCAAAGATCGAAATCACAGAGACTCTTCCAAAGCAGTTTCGGAGTGATTGGCTGCCGATTATGCATAGTACCCTTGCTAGGGTCGTCGCGGATCACGCGGTTAACAATGATTGTTTCCTCCCTGATCCCATATTAGCTGAGGTTTGAAAGAGGATACTCATTGGGTGTTTGTACCGAGGTGTAAACCAGCCTTTCTTTCCGCGCGCCCAGTTTGCAGTTTGACAGGGCCCGGCAGGCATGAGAATGTAAGCAGAAAGTCCGACAAGGAGAGTGATGAGACCCTTGTTTGGCTGGATGTCAGCTTTGAGAGAATCTCACAATATCAAGGCCAGGAGTGATTTACCTCGATCAGAAACAGCCATCGCCAACCGGATTGGCCTTGTACACCGCGTAAGTGCAAAAGCCCAAAAGCGAGGAAACCCGCAAGAATATCGGCTAAACTCATAGCAGTCCAAAAGAATCCCAGCCTCAGGGATAACTCATGGTGCTTATAAAAGTAAGAGAGATAGAGAACGACCTTCACACTTGTGATGAGCATGACTTCCTATCCAAGAGTGTGGGCTAATCGACTTACATCTGGAATGAATCCACCTTGCAGGATGCCGAGAAGCGCTCGACAGACAAGGAATCCCGTTCTATCACGGAGACTATACTGGCCCATGGCCACCGCAGACCAAAGAACCATCTGGGTGGGGATCCATCTGTCTGGGCCAACCCACTTACTGACCAATTGAGAGGGTAGTTCAGCGCAGAGAAATGAAAGTTTGAAGACCGTATTTCCAAGATTATAATCTAAGCGGTGTTAACGGATTGTCAGAGTCAGATAAGCCCGTAGATATGAATTACCATTTGTGTTCATGTGCAGGTCCTTGAGAAAATTGTCGGTCAGAGCCTGTTGCAGATTGGAACGATCTAGTTCCAAAGCCATGAACATCAAACATGCAAACACCATTATTCTCAAATCTATCTTGCGAATTAGACTGTACTCCTCGCCATATGTCCATCGTGCATTAGGGTCAAATCGATGGAGATTCTCCCAATCAGCCCGAGGTTGATATTCCTTCGCAGTATCTGGGTCGTCATAAACAGAGGGAAGTGTAGCAATCTCATCTGGATCATAGTTTCTTGTTCGCTGAAACCAGAACCGTCGCTCGTTTTGAGGCTTTCCGAGGGGTGGAATGTCAGTGTCGGAGGCATCTGTATCATGAAGAACCGAAGAAACCGAAAAATCGGCCGTCTTCTTGGAAAGCGAGTCAGAGATCACAGTAGACATTTTGGACAATTGAAACAACAAGGACTCTGAAATCCATTCCAATGCATACAGATCGTGAGTCCTATGTACAATTTATACGTCTTCCCGTCGGCAAATTTACACTCGCGCCGGCATACCTCGATCGCAATATCACTACAAAAAGTACGTGCCGTTGATTGACACCATCTGGCCAAGCATGGTATAATTGCCAAGTAATTCAGGACATCTCGTTTAGCTTACATACATTGGGCCGATAAGAAAATTTAAAAAGCAAGGCTTTTCTTGGTGAAAATGACATCTTGATCAATGGAGATCACATCATTTTGTCAAAGGAGGGGAAGGGCACCAAGTTTAACGCCACCGATTATATCACCTGATGCTTCCTATCAAATCACTCTGGAGCCTGGTCTGCAATTCTACCCGCCCGAGTTATTCTTGACCAAAGGTTACAACTGAAGTGTTGCTTAGTAAATCGCAGGGCGTAGGTCAAAGGCAAAACCAAGTTCTGCGTGTCTACACCAGGAAGGGGGCTTCTTGTCTTTTGGGCAGCAGTTGAAGTAGAGAACCCAGCTCACTATTCACTATGATGAACTTTCTAAACACCAGATTTAGCGGTGATTGGGACATCAGATTGGGTCTCCTGTTGATCTTACGAATGACTATGTACGGCGATAGTCAAACAATACCACACTGCAAACGAAAAGAATAAAATTCGGAACCGCCCAACCTCAACTCCTTGTTCAAGACGCCAATGCTCGGCGAATGGAAAATAGAAATGGTGCTGATGTCAGTTCAATTAAAGCCAACACCCGAAGAAGATATCAATGTGACGTTACAAGGTCAACAATCGCGCAGTACGTGGCCTGTCTTCAAACCAAGATCAATGCAAAGTGAGAGAGACTCTACGTTTCCGCGAAGAGTAAGGCCCGTATTACCATTCTTGCGTTAGGTCGAAAATCGCATCATTAAGAGCAGTCACTCAGGGTAACAAACCAGAATTCACTCCTCACACCAGCCGAATAAAGCCGGAGAAGAAAAATTCGCTAATCTTCAATATAAGAACAGAGATACCGACAAAGTTGGTGATAAACGGTCGATCAAAGACCGAATTCGATCTCCAGATTTGCGTTTATAATTTCACAGGCACCTTATACCTAGTGGTCTGAAAGCGCACATTCGATTCAATGAAATCACCTCAAAGGTCAAACCTTGCAAAAACTCGGAAAAAATCGAGCGAGCCTTCTACAGGCCGAAATTTAGAGGACCATAGTGACACACATTGTGTGATTCGTATGCTCAGGAGGGTATAATAGCGGAACAATTCTATTTCATGTTCGTCTACCCAGTGCTGTTTACAAATCAAACTAGGTACACATTAAAATGTAGTTAGGAGCTATATTCCGAATTCCTACGAGGAGACTCTAGAATACGCAAAAGTTGTCCCTGTCCATTAAAACCTCAAAGTTTGACAAAAGGAAGGATCACGCGACTAGGAGCGAAGCTCCAAAATGCAACACATTTCTACCCTTATTCTTCTCGCTTTCTGGTCTAAGGTTGGAGAAGGCCGAGGGTTCGTTGAAGCCAGGGTACTGACCCAGGATATCCAGACGGAGTGAGATCGTCCCCCAGCACGTCATGATACCGATAACTCTCCCAGAAATTCAACTCGTGCAACCTAATGTACTCTGGGAGGCACACGAGTGTGTTAATTATCAAAACCTTTATGATAATATCGCACTGTATAACCTCTGCGTGTTCCTATTTGGAAGGCGGTATGTTGCTATCCTAGGCGGTCTGGGAGTAGGTCTTGAAGGTGTGTCGAAACTTTTGCGTAATACACTGTATTGTTCGTTAGCTTCAGGATTCTTTCCTCCTGCAACCTCTCTCAATCTGAATTCGTTATACCCACACTTCTTCGCATTTCCAGTACCCAACTTCTTTTGTCAAAAATCATCAGTTGTCGGTGTTACATTACGGACCTCTTTGACTGGTGGCTCTACGCCACACCGTGCGATCCACTCGCCTCCGTTCTGATCATTTTCAAAACGAAGGATCATATGGGGCCGAAGGCCAGGGCTGTGTCCTCTCGTTCTCGCTTCTCGCCTCTCGCCTATGAAAATCAGATAATATTCTGATAAAGTTCATAAATATGTCACCGACAACAGCAGCAACAAACCTCGATCTTCTTCCTCCAGAGCTACTGCTTCTGATATCCCAATATCTCTCTACAGTGGATTCCACTTGCCTGGCACTTTGCAGTCATCGCTTCTTCACATTACCGTTTGGGGATTTTTTGTACAGGCCTTTTCCTCTGGGTGGCCTCGGAAGTCCAGCGGAGCGTATCGATCTGTTGACTAGACTCACTCGACATTTGCCAGAATACTATCTCTGCTATGCTTGTATGCGAATGCACCTCTGGCGACACGTCAACTTACCATGTCCGGATTTCAAACTCATGAAGTGCTACGATGACTTACCCTGGGATAAAAGGAAGAGCCTGTGCTTCTCAATTTTTCAGATTCAATTCCCCACTTTCTCAACCTATAGATTTTATTGGTTGCACCTCTACCTCACAATGCGGCGGTACTACCTGGGTCCTTCGTTTGGTATTCCTTTAGAGTCACTATTGTACACTGAGGTGACGCTAAAGAGCCTTCAATCGGCTTATTACTCCCAGGAACAGATGTCAGAAACCAATTTGCATCCTGGCAAGAGGACCGGCCTCAAATCCATCGAGGCACGAATTTGCCCGATATCCCCGAGCCTCTGTCTACGCATACAGGAACTTGCGATAGCCAGTCGACAAAGTGTATCACATCTTCTCCCTAGGAAAATTCATATCGAAGTCTGCCGGCATATTGGGACTTACTCGTCTAATTTCATTGAAATAATCAACTCGTTATTCGAATCCTATCGCCAGCAAGGACACAGTTTCGCCGGGCTCTCGAACAATGGGAAATGTCATGAATGCAATACAGCTTGGGATTTGGACTTACGAGAAGTGGAGGTCGACGACGTGTGTCTTACTCTCACACGCTGGAAGGACCTAGGGCCAGGACTAAGCCCAGACGATCCCCGGTGGAGAATTCATATTCCATGGGGGCCCTATGTGTCGCCAGTGGACACAAATGATCCGCGGATACGATTCGAGATGCATGCGCAAGATCCTCAGGGGTTGTCATTCGATGACATGTTGGCTCGGAATTTGGCGCTTCTGCAAGGTCGGCGTTATCGACGTATTATGAAGAAATGGGGGCCTGGATGGTGGATTCTACAGGGCCATGAAGACGAGACCAAGCGCTCCTGGTCGCAATGTGTTGTGATCTAAGTTCTTAAGCCTGCTTAATGATATCCACCCTACGTTCAGGCATGGACGTGGTTGGAAATTGAATTCAAGAATTTGACCTCAGGTTCTCTGCCCTAGGCGTACTATATAGCATACGTGACAGGTCCTATAGGCTATCCCTACACTGAGACAAGGCACTTCATCTCTCTCATCCTTTTGAGCACAGGGTTATATGCACGTATTAGATCTTTAAGCCCCGTCAGCTCAATGAAATCGATGGACACACTGGAAATCGGTAACGGCCATGATCGTGCCTTCCCATTTCGTCGTGATCCCCCATCCTGGCTTTTTTCTCCCACCACTTTATCCCCTCCTCGTTCTTCTCTCTTTTCTTCTCTTCTTTGCGCGCTGTCGCCATTCTTGTCCTGTTCGTTTACTCTGTGCTGCTCAAGATACGCCATGTCAGACGCCAAACCAAGCGGTTCAAGCCAAGTTGAGGTTGCCACTGCCATCATGACAGCCCTCGGGCCGATTCTTGGTTCCATCGTGAGCGTACTTCTCGGTTATTGGATCGAGCATAGGCGCAATTCACAAGCGCAACTTGACTTGGAGAACAACAACTCCAAGATTGCATCTATGCTGGTCCAAATGGGGGGAAGAGTAGCTGCACTGGAGAAATCTCAAGAGAGTATCCAGCAGTGTTGTTGTCGGGGAAGTGTCGAGGAGAACAAACCGAACGAATCTTCAGGAGACGGTGGCAGGTCTTCGGACTCGTAAGACCGCTTGGAACCCGTTGAGGAGGGAGGTGTCTTGTCAGTTTAAACTGGTCAGTTGCGGAGTTTAATTCATTCAATAATTAACACTTCGCTTCGGGCGCCTGCAAGATACATCCTCAGATAGATGTTGTCGTTTCGCCTTGTTCCGATTCCTCGCTGACATGCACACTTCAGGTCGTCACTACCAATCGCTCTCTCCTCGATCAACACAGATCATCGACCCTAGGCGACGGACCGAACACGCTTTCTTCCCGTGATAAGGCAGAGCAGGCATTCCTTGCAGAATTCCAATCCGGTGCAGCGCTCGCTTTCAATGAAGTGAAGTGACTGACTGGCTTCTCGTGGCCGATGGCTCTTTGCTGGATATCCTCCGTCATTGAGATGCCAGAACAAACCATGCAATGGTCTTCAAGTTCTTTTACTATGTCTGGGAACCCCCTCGGAATTCCTGCTATCATTAGCCTAGAATGATAAGCCAATCTCTCATGCATCATTCATACCATCCGCATCCAATACTGACCACCGTTTTACCTAGACATCTTTATCAAAACAAGAACCCGACCTTGAAACCTGAAGCCGACCTTGCGCTATGCCCGATCGACTCGCATCTGCTGAATATTTCCCATTTGATCGATTTTCTTCTTGACTTGGCGTCGACGGTATTTCAAATGCATGTTGTGCGTGATGGTGCGGATATACGCGCTCCCTGAGCGGAAGAAGAGGATTGAAGAAGATCTAGTAGTCAGCGGGATGATGGTTGTCAGGGGTTTGAGAATTGTCTGAAGCAAGGGCTTTCTTTACGATGATGGACAATCCCGCTGGACTGCATCTCCAACTCATTTCGGAGGGTTAGCGGTGACCGAGGAGGTGAGTTCAAGATGGAGGGGACCCAGATTTGTGGGAGCCCAGGGACAGCGTGATGCAGCTACCGAGTTTAGGTATTTTCGGCCACTTTCTCCGTTCTCCTGAGGGTGTAATTTACCCGCTAGCAGTTAGTGATCATTCGGTCTTGGATGCCGAAATTACGCAGCTTCGGAACAAAGCTGATCACTAGCGATCGCACTTTGACATCGTGGACAATCGCCTCCTCTCCCAGCTACCGGGTCAGCAGACAGGTGGACGAATGCTACTTTGCCGAAGCCCCGGGCGAACTTCACGCGATCCGTACGACAGCAACTTCCTTCGCATCGCAGACTAAGAACTGATCATGATGACGGTACTAGCCGCATCTTCAACAACGTCAGCCTGCGCCATCTCCGTTTGGACTCGGTTCTGGTCCATTTGAACTCGGCCTCTGCCTACGAATCAAAAGCAGCAATGTCAAATGGCTTCTGAGTCGCGTTTGATCCCCGTTTAGATTCTGATCACAGAGCAACTGGAATTATGCCGGGTTTTCTTTCTATATAAGCCCCAGATAGATCTGTCGTCAATCGGACAAACAGAATTCACACCAGTCACCTTATCGCGGAATGGTCTAGATGACATTGAGATTTACTTTTGAGTCCAACATGAGGGCTTGATTCCGATTGGAGCTTACGCCGTGACTAGTCATGGAGTGGCGTGTTCATGGATCAGCCCTGAAGATGTCATGATAGGTAATGCCTTTGATGATGGTATGGAAAGATCTTTTAAGGATTTTTAGCAGTACCGGCCACAGATCGTATCTCTGCTATAAGCTCTCTTTCCTCCTGTCGGAGATTGGGAATTCCTAGGTGTCGAGGGAAGTGAGGTAGTAAAATACACCCGAAGTAGTTTAGTTCCATTTGTGTCGTGATATCTCTGTTTGTACTAGGGGATTCTCGACACGCCGAGAATCGGGACTTTCAACCCCCTCCTACTCATGTGAACACTGACACTCTAACGTGTTCTCGCAGCATCCCTTCAAGGTTTCAGGACGAGGATGAGGTTAACTTAGAGGGATGGCTCATCGGGCTTGGCGGGTGCAGAATACCAGGTAGTGGTGGTCGAGATTGATGGGGCGGCCCCAGTTTGTGGTCCTTGAGCCGAGTGTTTGCAACCCGAGCTGGATAGTCACCTTCGTCGATTTGGGAATGCGAGAATGAACCTCTCTACCTGATTGCCTTTGTACTGAGTGCAAAGTGGGTCAACCTCGCGACAGATCGCCTTCAGGGAAAAGCTTTAAGCGGGCGTCGTATGGATTCACGATCCTTGCCATCTAGGGCCCTATCGAGCAGGTAGCACGTTCCTTGCCCCTTGGGCGCATTCGCTTAGGATAGCGCGTCGCGCTTGACTATCGCGCCCCCCGATGTGGGCCGATTCAAGTCCACCCGAGCCGTCGCAGATCACCCTCGAGGAAAAGGGAGGGTCCACCTTGTTGGCCAATCAGTAACACTATACCGTGGGCTCCACTTTGCATCTATGTACAGTACATACGCCAGGCTCGCCGGCAGCTCACGCTAACCGGGGCACAGTCAAAAATTGTCCCTGGCCTGAGCGCTACTCCGCCGCCTCGTTTGTGGTTGGCTACGTCTGAGAACTAATCTGCAAGCTCGGGCCTAGCTAGATGTACAGGCACATTCTACCCGTGTCCCCCGACGGCTTGCCATATGGATGGTTTAAGATATTACTGTGATTGTTTGAAGTTTGAGAGTATGTTGTCATGATATTCGAATTACCCTCTATATCGGATATTCATAGATTGGTCCATGTCGTAGAAGTTTACCCGCATCAGATCATCGGCGCCTTTTTCTCAGGTCACCTAAACTGGCAGCCATGATTGCCATCCAGGGTCGTTCGCCCGCCCGCATGCTCGTGAGGATCAATCGCCCCACCGTGCGCCTTTCGAAGGGAGTTTGGTCCATTTCTCTATCCCCAGTGTTGGACCGGACCGATCTTCTTGTGGTCTTAATTGCCCAAACTGAAGCCTCTTGCATCGATCAGAGAGACCGGAAGCTCAGTTAGACGTGGTGAACGACATGAGACTGGTAGAAGAGCTTCTCAAACGAGATCGCTGGTAGTTGGTTCCTCTCCGTTCCCAATTCTAGTGGCCAATTACCGGCTGGTCCGATAAGCTTTGTGCCTGAGCACCGCCTGTCTTGAATGGGATGTGGAGAATCCAACGGCGCTTGCTTTCAGGGATCATCCAACCCAACGTGCCCGACTTTTTGTGCTAGTGCAGAGACGGAAAGGGCCTTTGGAGGCTGTGGATGCCATTGATCAACTAGCATCTCCCCCGGCCGGGGGCTAATTTTTAGTCGATGTGCCTTGCGTGTTCCAGCTTTGCACTTATTATTATTCCAAATCTCTACTATTTGTATTCTCATTTCCCTCGGCCAATCCCATTACGGTCTGGCCCTTCCGTCTCGCAAGTCAGCCCATCTTTTGGATCCACCTAACTCCTCGGAGGATTTATAGAAGCCCCTATCCAGCCAAAGCGCCGTGGAAACACTGATAGTCTTTTTTCAGCTATCTCTCGAAGTTACAAGCTTTGACCTAGACTAATCCCGTACGATAGTCGCAACCTTTCCACCAGGCATACATCCAACGCCTCTAGGAACAAGGACCGACTGTCTTCCTCCCGTCTCCTCCAACAATCTTGCCCCTCATATAATACAAGGTTCTCGGCCATTATTCAAAGATGTCTATCAATTGCAGTCTACTCCAGTTTCCAAATGACCCCACGGCCTATGTGCCATCCTACTTGAGTTCGCCGCCACCACCAACGCAGCATCTTCCCCGAGCTTTGCCTTCGAGCACATTCACTGAAAACTGTCAAATCCTCGAATCTAAGTGCACAAATCGTCGGAGTGTTGGATCTTCTCCACCGTCCTCATCATGCACCGACAGTCGGGTCAGCAAAGCTAAGAAAGGAAAGCGCGTGCATGCGTGCGAATACCCAGGATGTACCAAAGTTTGTCGAGCACCCTGCGGCTCTCAGCTTCCTGCCCATTCTAACTTTGGATTCATCAGATCTTTACCCGAGCCGAGCATAGGCGACGCCATGAATTGAGTCACAAGAACAAAAAATCCCATTCCTGCACATACATCGGGTGCCATAAGTCATTTCATCGCGCGGACTACTTGGCGCAGCATATGGCACGACAGTAGGTCATTGACTATACCTAATAGAACTTCCAAACTAACTGTATTCTTTTGTAGTGGCGGGGAGCCGATTTCACCAAAAACAAAACACGCCTTGTTGATCAAGACCGAGCCGGCCCCATATTCCCTATCCGGCCCTTCACTCTCTCGGACCTATCCAGCAAAGTCGCCAATCACGAATAATGTTCTATCAATTGAAAGCTGCGGGAATGGGATATACAGATCAACCGCTCAATCTTCAATGCGGTGCTCACAGTGCTTCGGCTGCGGGAATAACCTACAATGTCATGGGCAAGGCCCACATATTAACAACTATTCAAACACTGTGAATTACAGCCCCATCTTCGCTGTGCCGAGTCCCTCGGGGCTTTGTGAAACCCACGACCCGAACACACCATTTTCCTCGGCAGGATCCGACTCGGTCATTGAGAATTACACGGGAAGTATACTTCGACCTGAAGCATTCATAACACCTCTACAAACCATGTCCCCACCTCCCCAAACGGAAGAATCGATGAACGCATCTTTCTGGGATGCCAATATTGACCCCAATCTCGCCCCAATGAGTCCCGCAGTAAGTAAGATCACCTCCTTTTAACGTGACGCAGCACGGTCACGGTACTGAATTACCAGCAGATCTTCAACAACGACACTCCATATCCCACTTAGTCCTCCGACAATGGCGATACATCGCCTAATGTACAGACATATCAGGCAAAACCCCCACCAGCTGCGGGCGCGAGTTCCCAGTTCTGATAAGTTGCCAATTGAATTACGTCCAAAATTAGCGCTCTCTTCTCGTTATCAGTGGCTCCATCATGCAAATTCAAATTTTCCAGTCTGTGCTTGACTTCCCAGTCGTTGATTCGCGGAATCCACAGTGAAGTTTGTGCTATACTACTTCTTTTGGATCAGGGCCACAGTTTCAATTACATACTTATGAAGTAGATGTACCCAAGAGAAGTTAATGTTGACATTAGCTTCAGATCGCGCTTGAGCAACTGGGGTTTAAGTTTCTCCGATGAGACATGAGCAATTGATAGCTAGTAGATCTCTAGGCCCAGATCTAAGTCTTCTAGCCCATTTAATGACGGAGTACAAGGCGGCTGTAAGGCTGTTCAGCGTCCCACATGTTGGTGTAGACTATGTTTGACCCACTCTCAGTCTTGAAATAGGAAAGTTGCTGCCCGGTGTCAATCACCGCAACCCTTGCAAGGGGTTGAAACGACGGGCTTGGAGTTAGATCCGAAGTGTCTCGGTGTTTTCTATTGGATGTCGTAACACATCTGTATGTCCGCGTCATGTGGAGAGTGTTGTGTTTCGTAACATAATTTGCACTCCAAATAGATTTCGGGTGCGTCCGCCCTTAGCTTCCCCGTCCAGAGCTATCAAGAGACAACTGTAGGCATGAGCAGCTCACGGCAACAATTACGCCTCCGCGGAAAGATCATTTTGGAGTCAATATTTGATGAAACCTGCTCAACGAGTTACGATAAAAAAAGCGCAGTGAAGTAAGTAGGCACATTCATCTCACTAGCCGCACCAAAGATTACTTAACCCGGTTTTATCTCTCCAGAGTGAAGGAAACGAGTGCACGTGAGACTAGAAAAAAGCAAGAAAAAACTCATACGATCTGAGAATAAGGAATCAACTTCGATTTGCACCCTTGTAAATGAATTACAGAAATACAGCTAGCGTAGGAAAGGACGCAGGATGAAGGTCAAAAAGTGTGAGATTAAATCCCACGAAAAGGGAGTATCTCATATTGCAATGGATTGCCTTCAAACCCCATCGGAATTCATTGAATATATACACTGATTCAATTCTAATTTCAGAATATTAACAAGAATACTATCATACAACCCCCCAAAGTAAGTAAATCTTTGCTGTCAACAAGATCTACTCAATTTCCACGATCGGGCCATCGTATATCTTTCTTGCTCGAATGGCGTAGTATACAAGGCTGAGGCAGATCACACCAGCGGTTCCTACTACGCTGAAGTTCATACTTTGGACAGTAACAGCCCAAGAGGGAGGCCAGAAGCTGAAGAAAACCGCAATAGTCATGTAGACGAGAGCAAAGGAATTGACCAAGATGCCCCAAATACCTGGCAGATGGAATGGGCCCCAAACAAGCTTCGCGCCGACGGTGTTGACAACTGCTGAGTCGCTGCTTCGGGCATTGCTAATTCCACCCGTGCAGCGTCTGTAGAGGAGCAGACCAGCCACGACCATGTACGATAGATAGAGACCGGAAATAGACATGGCGACAAGATCATTGAAGGCGACCGAGGATCCGATGGGGATAAGGGCAAGGAGGCAGACAACACAAGTTGTAAGAAGGACCGAGTAGATGGGGACACCGGTGCCTGCATGAACCTACGAAAACTTAAAACCAAAAAATCTTTAATCTTGAATTTGCTAGAATGAGCACATACCTGGCTCCAGATTCGCCAACCTGGAATGCCCCGATCGCGAGCGAAAGACCAAAATTGGCGGGATGCAGAAGCTAGCATACCGACAGAGGTAGTGATACCCATTGTGGTGACAATGGAGGACATGACTGCGGTCCCAGGAACAGACCCTGTCGCCTGCAAGAAAATTGCCATGAAAGGGTAGCCAGTGGGCGACCCGAGTGCGGCTTCGATGTCCCCCAGGCAGAAAAGCATCGCTAGCAGCATACCGAAACCTAGAGATCCATTGATCAAGACACTGAGCATTATTGATGTCGGAACTGCCGTTGAAGCGTTGGTAATTTCCTCGGACATCTGGTGGGACAGTAAATTGTTAGCCCTCCTCGGACCCAATATAGTCGTCGTAAAGTATCAACTTACGTGCACAGCGGCATCGCCACCAGCAAATGCAAATACACATCCAACCATACCAACGAAGAACGAAAGACCCTGAGATGGGAATTCGCCCATGTTCAAAAATTGTGTGAAAACGTCATGCGCCGATCCATGATCCGCCATGTAAGTAAGGGGAATCAGGATAGCGAAGAATCCGAGGACGTGCAGGATGAGGATGAACCCCTCGAATCTTGGTAGAAGTTTCCCACCGACCGAGTTGATAGCAACCGAAAATAGTGCGACAGCCCAGAAAAAAAATGTCGTATGCCAATTCTTTGGTTTGTAGCTGCTCCGCGTAAGAACGATCAATCCCTGGATAAGGGTTCCACATAGAAAGCAAGAGGTTGCATAAGTTGCTTGCCATCCGATAACGGTAAGCCAGCCTGGAGATGGTTAATTGGTTAATTTCAAGCAGAGAATATCCTTCATATGTCACCAATTCTTACCAGTTATATAGCTAAAGAGCTTCATGACGGACCGTGGGGCAAGCATCGAGCACCAGTGGTACTGACCGCCAGAGGTTGGAGCCCTTTTGTTGATTAGCCCGCAAGATCCGTTTGAACATGAAAAATCCAGTGATAAAATCCATACATCGAAGCTAACTCTGAAAGGACGACGAATGTGGACGCGACTCCGATCCAGACAAAGATAAAGCCGTAGACTGCACCAGCAGGGCCGCCACTGTACAGTGTTCGTCAGTTTCACTCTCCTAAAGGGAAAGGCGGGATGGGACGTAAGGAGATCTCATACTTTGAGTAGGCTTGAAGAAATAGCCTGCAGAGCAATAGACAGTCAGTTAAGGAAGAAAATACGAGCTTCGGTCGCGGGCACTACTCACACAACAATTCCCTCCCAAGTAATCAAAATCGTACAACTAAACCCCAATATCGACATCAATCCGAAGTTTCGCTAGGTCAAGTCAGTGAATAATTCATCTTGGGATACTTCAATCATAATGCCTCGGTTTGAGAATTTACCTTCAGGACTGGCAGTTTTCCCATACGTGCCAGATTGGCATCGTCGAGCTCAATGCTCGAGGGGCTACCGATCTCGTGCATACCGGTTGTGCTCATCTGCTTCGCCTGACGAGAAGACATAATGAGTGCAGCTGGATGCAGCTGGGAAAACAAAGAAAGAGAAAATCTGAGCACCAGAATTACCGTGGGGAGTACCTTTGTTTTGATTCAACGGGGGCAGAGGGGATGCGAAGAGCTAATGCAGCCAATGCCAGGACAATCGCATGTTCAGACACTTTCTTGTGCTTACCCACATACGCTAAGGCGCTAGGCGACGAGAGAAACCTATTTACTGTCTCTCAATATGCAAAGGTGGACTTAGAGGGCGGAAGTGACCGGAGGTGTTATTCCTTTTTCCAAGCATAGCGCCAAATTTCGACATCGGTCGGATCAGGGCGCCTGTCCATCCCAAAGGCATCTGGAACATCCCTAGCGGAGACAGGGCGTTGCCACTTCATGGTTAGCGGTGTCTCCACCCCCGAGTCTAAACTTTGTTGACTTTTCTTTGGTGGGTGTCCATTGTCTTGCGTTACAACGCTAAATATCAGCTCCACCCTCGGTTGACCTCGCGAGACCATTGAGTTTGTACAAGCCAATGCCTTGAAGCGGACAATGATAGACCCACTCGACTACTTTCAGTAGGTGGTATTCATAGTCTAATCTTATCCTTGCCCTCGGTTTATGTTGTTTCAGTATGCTATTTAGTGCTTCATCCAGCACCAACACTACGCAGACATAGCAGTCAATGATAACGTACATTTTGATCAATTTTGCTAAATATTGAGTAAGTAGATACTAATTCTAGCCATAATCCCGTCGGGTCTCTGTTACAGTCCATGTTCGAACCTCGCGAATAATTCGAGACTGACTGGTTTGGCTTTCGGCATCACAATCCGGTGAGTATGTCACAGTAGTCTGGTTGACGGTGTCTGCCGGCATAGTGACAAGCTCATGCGTCTCACTGGGTGTCTCTCCAGTGCGATGACCACGCGATACCTTGTAGGTAGTTCCAGCATAGGTTCTCTGTCGGCTCCCATAGCTTGATCCTCCCAAAATCATTCCCGAGGACCGAAGGCTGTCAAGGAACGGTTTGAACTGGGGCGAACAGGCAGTGACGATGCTCAGTGCCTGGGTCATCTGAGTAGAAACAACTACGGTCCATGTGTCCCATGTTGGATCTCCTGATCCTCTTGTATCCTTTGCGTAAGCCAGTTGACAAATGATCGCAACAACCACACTGTACAAGTCATGTTAGTTCAAATTGTCTCGGAGTCGAAAATCAGTGCGGATCACATACACCACTCGAAATAAGAAGACGCTGCCTAGAACGATCTTCTTGTGGACATCCGCCTGGACTCGAATAATTACCAATAGTGCCTGGGCAATGATTCCACCCTCGGATAAAATGTTCGTGATTCCAAGGTAATTCCACCATGCAACCTAGATCCGTATCAGCGACGTTTCTCGCGTTATTGGTATAAATTATGACCCACCAAATCAAAGCATTTTCCATTGATGTAATCCCAAGTATTCGGGACGTGGCACTGGAAAGCTGCCGTCAAAATGCCTGTAATCGCCCATAAGACGATGAATATCCCTAGCCCAAGAGCGAATTGCCGATCGAGAGAAGCGGGTGACAGGTTTCGGATGAACATCATTAGGGCGAGTTTGGAACAGCACATGCTGATAACGAAGAAGATATTTGCGGCGTATTGAGCCTAGGCATCGAGGAAATAGGCTTAGTATTGATTCCAGTGAACAGCAGAGGTAGATTGTCTGTCAAGATATCACCTTCATCATTTTTTCCACATCAGATGAATTCAATGGAAGAAAATGCTGGCCGAGCCCAGCTTCGGTAGCCAAGGAAACTGCGATGGACTGACCAACACAGGCCATCAGAGCAGTGATGCTCAGGACATCATCGACTGTTAATTTGCGAAAGATCCAATACTTTGTACCCAAACGAGTAAGGACACTCAGGATAGCAGTCACCAGCATGAACCAGGTGAGGACATTAATGGCGGGCGTCCAGGTCTCTCGCAACTCTGGCTTCATCGTGCCCAAAGGTCACAATCAAGAAGGCCAGGATGTATCGTCGACGACATATGTGACAAGAATCCGAAGATCGTAGAAAATCAGAGGCTCAAGGGCATGATTCTACCGCTATTTTTTATCGCGCTAGATGGTTCTCTGGCAGAACCATAGACCTAGCCTTGGGCTCCCGCTGTACAAATCGCGACTAGCCCCTTTGATGGTCACTTGCACCGTAATAATGCTTCAGGAAAGACTAAACACGGTAGGTGCCTCGCTTCAGCTCATTTCAGTGCATAGTCTGTACGGAACTTGCTCCGAATGGTTGGTTCCAGGTATTCACTGAATGCACAATGCAGCTTCAAGGGCCAAATGGGGATCCGAGAAGCGATCACCCTTTGCCTTGGCGTAAACACTGATCCCTGTACGTTTTCTTTGGTTGGCTGTATGGTCCCCTGCCCCACCGGGCCGAAGCCGGGCGATCCCGGTTCCCAGTCCCAGAAAGCAAACAAAACGGTATTTCCTAATTACTACATTGACCCCATCATCGAAAGCAACCAGCTGGCTGTTACATATCCGTAACAAAGGGCTTAGAAAAATGTCTCAGTACATCCAGCCTCGGGGCCACTCTAAATCCATACAAAATCGATTACCTAGCGACAATCCTACACTCCGAAGTGGGACCCCGGATGCTCGGACTTTTGATATAGAGCGAGCCCCGACGAATACCTTGAAATGTTCTCGAATCGCTTAGACCGAAGTATCTTGCCAAGACAGTCCTATGCAACATGATCCCTAGCGTTTCAAGCACATTATCCATCGAAACAGAACCAATCAGGCGATAGTCTCGGCGCAGTATGTAGTAATTGCTCGTTTCCTTCAGAATGAAGAAAGTCAAATACAAATTCACTTCGAAAATTCGAGATCAGCACAACACTACTTAATCCGCTGCGGGTGTTGCCGTTTCATTATGTTCATGGGGGCCGAACTCTGTCTCTCGTAGAAGTGTGATCCATTATTAAACAATCCTTTTCTTGTTTGTTACTTTATCGTATCCCTGAACGACCGGGTAAACAAGGCACACAGCCCCTTCTTCGATGGCCTGATAGACCAGGGGTTACAGCTTACCCAGGTCAAGCGCCGCACATGATGGATCTGATCAAAACCATCATCCCTGTTGCATGCTCAATACTGAGATCTCATGTTGAGGATCGGCAATCATAAGCTCGTATATCGGTAAATCTTTTCTTGGAGAACTCTTCGTTAGATGCCCTTTGTCTTTCAAGGAGAACGCAGCCAAGAACATAAAAAAGCAATAAAAATCACTCTTGGCTGCTTACAATTGACACCAATGCCCCTTTGGTAAATAGTTTTGTTGTTGAAAATATGACTTACTTAGAGACACTCCCTTTCCCTAGAATATGGGATAAATACCATCCAGTCCTAGAAGAAATATGGATGCTCTCTTCTTGTGCAGAATCATAGAGTCGCTCAGTATTTGATTGTGACATTAGAGTCATAGGGAAAGCTTCACAAAAAACAAGCTATGCAATCTGAGCGCAAGAATGGATCACCTAGGCGGTGTTGTGCTGACAGCCATGAAGGTCGAGCAAAGTGTATCTCGCGCTCAGTCAGTTAGTTATGCATTGTGAAACTGTCAGCAGAATTTCCAGCTTAACACGGGATAAGAGCTGGTTCCTGTCTAATCAGCATGATTTAGGGTAGCGTTTGCATGGAACTTTCCAAGTCAATTTCTGCTCTCGCCCTGCCCGGTACTGCATTTCCAATGCTCCCACGCCTTGACTATCTCGGATGTTCGGGCCAGTCCGCCCAGCAGTGGGTGGACTAAAGATATTGCCAAGCCTTCTTCCAAGGTAGACCAAGTCGATTTGGTCTCCTGGGTGCGGAGCACGGCAACTATCCATACCCCTGAAAGGATTTTTCATTGTTGTCGCAAAAACCCTACAATATATTAAGCCCTCTACATTAATCAATATCTTCACTGTTATGTCTCATAATTTGGATGATCGAACTCCGGCTCAACTAAACGGGCCGTTGTTCCAAGGAAATACATAATAGAAGGATGGTATTAACGACACGACAGAAAAGTTCATGGCATAATAAGGCTAGTCCTAATAAGGAATGCCCCCCTTCGATCTAGAATGCTTTAATTGAGACTTATAAAGTAGAGTCTATGTAGATATCTTTAGCCCTATCTTTGAAAAGACTCTTGAAAAGACTCTTGAAAAGACTGTCGAAAAGACTCTTGAAAAGACTGTCGAAAAGACTGTCGAAAAGACTGTCGAAAAGACTGTCGAAAAGACTGTCGAAAAGACTGTCGAAAAGACTGTCGAAAAGACTGTCGAAAAGACTGTCGAAAAGACTGTCGAAAAGACTGTCGAAAAGACTGTCGAAAAGACTGTCGGAAAGACCGTAAAAGATGGCGATATAGTAGGGGGGGGAGTAAAATATTAACTTAGTCTATTAAAGGGATAGATAGATAGAGGTCGCGTATATAGTCGCTAACGTTATTAGCGGGAAGTATTAATGTGAAGTATATAGAAGGACTCGGTAGGTAACTTATGTATTTCGAATGTAGCATTTTGTATTGAAAGGGGGGTTTCCTCATTAGGACTAGCCTCATCTTGTCGATAATGCCATCCTAATAGAAGTGACCTGTGAGAATGCACTTTTCATATCTGTACTTCTAGATAAGACGCGAGGAGTACCAATTTCTTCAGGGTGGCTAGTAAAACAACTATCTCCAGTGTTTATTTAAAATATATAATCCTCGAGCCAGGTCAGTGTCGAGGGCGGAGAAACGGAAGCGTTGTTTTTCAGATTGTTCTCAGACTAGGAGAAGCTCTCTAGTCTTGCCAGGGTTCTTAAAGTACTATGATCTTTGAAGGCATTGCCTGTGAAGAATTTAGATAAGAACCCGCCAGGGACCACTGGGATTGAAAGGTACGTGTATCCGAGACGGTTCTGGCTCCGACGACCAAGGTTGAAATCTTCCGATAATTTTGATCGTCTATCTAGTTCTCGCTACTAATTTTGGAAATGAGCGAGGCTATCATTGGGCCACAAACGCTACTGTCTCAAGATCTCCAAGAACCAAGAACCGGTAACTGACTGGATTGCACAGTTCTCATCTAAATATGCTTATCAATCTAATCTAATTAAAAGCGACAAAGGAGCGGAATTGGTCGGCGCGTTGATTTCGTTGTATTCTGAGTTCCTGCATGAGTGCGAGCGGAACATGCCGCACATTCAATAATATACAATCGATTAGAGCAGGAACATGCTGGCAATCAGAGCAGCAACGACGGTTCCAAGTGCAGAGTATGGCATGATCGCACCGGCAGCAGAATAACTCGCAGAAGCAGAAGCGCTGGCAGAGCTGGAGGCCGAGGACGCAGAACCCGACGAGCTGGAAGCAGCCTTGACGGAGCTAGAGGTGGAAGCCAAGTTGGTCGAGGTGGTGCCGTTGGTGGCCTTGATGCTGGTATAGGCACCAGTCTTGTCGGTGTATTTGTAGGCGGAGGCAGGGTTGTAGTTGATAACCTTGACGGATTCGACATACATGGTGAAGGGACCAGCAGTGTAGTCAGTTTCGCCGCCAGCCCACTCAATGGTACCCTCGCTGTTGTCAGGGTCACCACCAGCCCAGATACCGATCTTGATACGCATGGGAGTCTGAGGGTAATTCTCGCCGTTCAGGGCATCGGCATACTCTAGAGTGCGGACAACCTCGCCGTCCAGAATCCACTCAATGCGGCTGGACGTCCAATCGACAGTATAGGTGTGGAAGGTCTCTTCGGGGGTCGTCACATTCACGGTAGTGTCGCGGTCGTAGGAAGTGGTGTTGCCCTTGCCGAAGTAGTTGGTCTGGACATTATAGTCATAGGTGCTAATTTGCTCCTGTTCGAAGTTAGAAATGATCAAGTTCGGGTATGTCACCAAGTGGTATAAAGCTCACCCAGTCAATCTCGTCCAGGTCATCAGATTCCAACACGGTGGTGCTGATGATACCCGTGCCGTTGGCAGCTCTCATCTTAACCTCGACCCGGCCGAAGAAGATGTAGAAGTCACTCTCAATGGTGGGAGCATCGCCTTGCTCGGAGATGGTGAACTTGGCACCAAGGGAGGTGCTCTCGACAGTTCCAGAAGTGGTGTTCCATTTGCTGAATGCCGACGATCCCGAGGTAAAATCGGTGTCAAATTCCCATTTGGCAAGACCGGTATCGGCAGCGCAGGTCGCTAAATACTCCCGGTTAGCCACTGTGATCCCGAGCATCCCAATATCGGCATTAAAGGGATTGACCAACCATTCAGTGGATCGCAGCTAGTGTAGGTCTGAGCAGCACCGAGCTGAGCGTTGGCCAAAGTGAATGCAGCCCACTTGAGATATGAAGAGATGGCCATTTTGGATTGAAACTTAGGAGTAATGGATCGTGAAAGCAACAATGATCCCAACGAATGTGACTCCAAAATGAACGAAACAAGTTGACGAGACAACGGGAGCAGCCACCAGTGTTATAGATCCAAGCGAATGTATGGGGCTGAGGCCGCGAAGACAACAACCAGGTTCGTCTATTTATATTGGCTTGATCCATTTATTGTGAGTTTAGTACGCCATATTGCCCCAGCTTTAGGGCATTATCCCCACTGGAGGGCATTGAATCAGGTGGTTCCAAGGACATGAAGGTCATGATTGGCTCAATGGCGATAATTGTGGATGGGCTCAGCCCGGAAAAGATACACAAGTGCATAGAAATGAAGGTCAGTCAACATATGGCGGCTCCACTAGAAAGCTTGGGTTAGTTGATGACGGCAGCGCTTGCGTGGTTGGTTCCTTACTATGACGGATCTAGCCGGCCGACTACGTACACCCGTGTGAAACTTTTTCCCCGTCGCGGCACTCTTCCCCGAGCCGTATAAAGCCGATCAGAACACCTTACGGGGCCAGTTTATTTAAGGCTGGTGATGGGGACACCTGACGTATCCCAATCGTCGTAGCGGAGAAGTCAAGAACGTTGTGGGATTTGCAAAAATCCAGGTGTTCGATGCGATGCAGATCTAATCCACCCAGATCACGGCGATTGTCGAGAATCGACCCACTTGCCACGACGCGACTTTCTCGCCCAAGCCCGGTACCGAACATAGAAAAATGGCCCAGGTACGTTATCATTCAGCAAACAAATGTGCATCCAGGTTTTGGGATGGAAATCCTCTTCGGGTCTCTAGGAGAACCTCGGCTCTGCCTTTATTTATAGCACAAACAAACGAGTTGAGCTATCTCTGCTGTTGGCATCCCCCCAATAGACCTCAGCCCCATTTCGATCGAAGGGGCCCACTAGTCGGGAAGATTCTCTCCCAGCCACACACTTACAGTACTGTAGAAGCGTCGCCTCATTACGCCAGTTCCCTTTTTTCTCAAATGGAGGCTGTCCAAGCCACTGCTTCCACAAAAACTCTCAAGGCTACGGCAAACCCATCGGTAGCTCCATGATTCATGAGAACGGCAATTTTCGCGCCTCGCTCGGGCCATAGCAGCTGTGAATTGCATCAATCTTTTTTGTTCGCCCCAGCGGCTCTTTATACTGTTCCGGTAAAAACAGGGGCTTTTGTCTCACTTTGACCTTCCCGTCTACTATCTACTACATAGGTCCATGACATCGAACGGCCTTAATTCCTCACAGGCTTGTCGCCCTCAATACGGTGGATTTGAATCGCTTTCTCCTCAAGGGCAGCCAGACAAACGGGGCAGCGAGGCTGTGCGATTGGCTTAGAAATCAATCACACCCAAATACATAGTTAGCGCTGCGATGAAACAAATTTCTTCTCGATCTTCGAATTTGTCGTCATATATTATCGTCTTCATCAAATTCACTGCTTGAGATCATGCCAGGCGCTTCGAAACTATTACCATAATGGTGGCTATTCAGAACCAAGCTGCCTGGCTTCCATATGCCAAGGCGACCCCTCTACAAGGTGGACCAGCACCAAGACCCAACCTTTTGCCTGCAGACCTTGTTATCAAGGTCGCCTATGCTGCTATTAATCCGGTAGACTGCGGGGTATGACACGAATTAAGCGAGATCATTGATCCCAGTGGTTGAAACAGACCTCTAGATGCAATCAAGTCCGAATTGTCAGCCCTCGGATCTTTATATTCTAGGCAGGATGTTGCAGAAGCCATTGTTGAACTCAGTTCTAACGTCAGTACCCTCAAGATTGGCCAGAGAGTGATCAGGTATAAAGCACAACCAGTAAAAAAAACAAAGCACTGTCTGACCAAATCAAATAGACGTTACCCTGGTCTCCTCGGCGGGAAAGCTCCCAACAGTGGCTTTATAGCTCCTGTCTAGAGAATTTGGTCGCGACCATTTCAGGCTCTCTCCCTTCCTTCAATGCCGTTGTTCTTCCTCTGTCGATCTCCACTGCAGCCATTGCGCTCTATGTCCAGCCCCAGCTTCCGCTACCATCTCCTTCGCCTCGTGCCCCTGGGCTCCTTCCTTAGTACCTCGTTCCTACTATAAACCTAAATTCCCAAGGTCTTTCCGAAGGTCTTTTCAAAGGTTTTTTCTCATGTCTTCACAAGTCTTTTCTAGGGCCTTCAAAAGCTATTTACTTCATCTAAATACGCAGAGATCTTAGAGAAGATAAGAGAAATAAAGTTCGCGTGATATCTGGGTCAATAGTCGCTGACGACTCTGGCGCGAAGCGTTATGATATAGGATTATGCATACATAAGGACTCAGCAGGTACTATGTGAATCTCGAATATAGTGTTTTGTAATGAAGGGGGGCGTTCTCATAAGGGCTTGCCTTATCGTGCCATGGACCTTTTTGTCGTGATGTTCATCCCCTTCTGATTTGACCAAGCACACAGAGCAAACCCATGAAGGCTACATACCTGAGTTAGTGTATTATTCATGTTTCACGTTCATCGATTGGGGCAAAAATCAAGTCTGTTCGGTCGCTTAATTTTTGAAGCCATCCTCTTCCACTTCAAAAATAGAATTTGCTCTATCGATCATGCGGCCACCTTTCTCCGTAGCTTGACCAGATTTCTGCGCAGCCTGCTTCAAGCTGTCATCAAAATCTCTCCACACACCAAGCACCAAGTTGATGTGCTTCAGCTGGAGGGGGATCTTTTCGAACCGGGAAATTGTTCCTGCAGTATTGACCGCGTTGGCAATCTCTCTGCCGTTGATCTTGGCTGCCACAAAATGATCAATGGCATCCTCAATATCAATATCAATCTCTTCTTGAGGGATAGATTTGAGAATCTGCTCCCAGAGCTGCTGGCGTGTTTCAATGCCAGGAGGCGTATACTCGAGAGCAAGGTGAATCCGGGACTTCATGGCTCGGTCAAATGATTTGATCCGATTAGTAGTCAGGAAAACGACTCCACTGAAATATTCAAGTTCTTTCAAGAAAACTGAGAGAGTCATATGTTAGCCTAAGCCATTCACCGTGAGATTATGACCAACCAGCTACAAGGGCGTTCCGTGTGTTGCTGTCACCGTGGTCATTTCTTGCTTCAAGGAATATGTCAGCTTCATCCATCAGGACGACCGCTTTCCATAAGGTAGCATATCTCAGCAAGAGTCGTAAGCGGGTTTCAAAAGCCCAAGCACTATAAAAAAAGGCCCATTTAATTCAAGGTCAATATTGGGAAGCATGAGAATTACCTGTCTTCCTTGTTGAGCTCCCCAAGGGAAGTCATTATCAGAGCCTTTCGGGTGCCTTCAGCTGCCGTTTCAGCTGTCAACGTCTTGCCAGAGCCCGGAGTCCCGTAGAGGAGAACGACCAAGCCCTTGCCCTTCTGTCGCATTTGATCGCGAGCATCGTCTGGATACAAGTGCGAAGTGACTAGAGACTGAAGCACTAATTTTTGACGATCACCAACAATCAATGAATCCTAGGCATCTTCGGCCCAGGTTATCTCGTCGATACAATCGACCAGGAATTAAGCCCACTCTTTTCGAGCCAAAGAAAAGCCGTACTCATAAGGAGGGCAAAGTAGTGGGTCTATTTCTTGTGCCTGCACACTAACTGCATTTGAAATTTGTTCCTGCTGGAACAATTTGCGGTCGACAACAACTCGTCCGAGCTCGGTGTATGGCAACCAAACGCCAGGCCAGTCAGCCATGCCTGGATCATAAAATCGGTGATACGGCTCCTTCAGGTATTTGGCTGGCCCGTCGTATGCTTTGACTGACATTTCTGTCAAGGAAAGGAATTTCCGACCGGGTTTGATAAGTCGCTCTTCTAGTCCTTCCTGGCCCTGAACAAACCTCCGTGCATAAACGGGAAGATCAGTGATGATTGCAGGATTTCCAGCTCCAAAGCTCTCTTTCTGGTATATTTTGAAGACCTTTTTGGCTTGTCCTTCGACGGTACCATTATGATCGCAGAAAACGCAATGAACCTCCAGATACGGACCCCTTTTCACATTCTGCTCGTAGGCTGTTTTCTGGCATCTCAATAGCCAAGGATGTCCCATGAAGGAAGAGTAGACCAAATCTCCCGGACGGAAGATAGACCACGCGGTCTTGAATGTAATTTGATTCTTTCGCATCATGCCCAGTAATCGCTCTCTCTCAGAGCCAAGCTCATTGACCAGAAAATCAAATAAGAGATTCAGATGCATACGTTCCTCAGCATGTTGAGTAGCTTGGCGGCGTTCATCCAGATCTTCCCAGTGGTGAAGCAATATTTGGAAGGGGCTTTCAAGCTGGAAGGGCGTGCGAAAATCAGCAGGCACTGTAGGATAAGAGCCAATCACTTCTCTAAACACGCCGACAAGCCAACTCGAATTGATGTCTAGGGTCGTCTTCTCAAGTTGGCTCTTATCGCCAAAGTACCGGTTGATAACAAGAGCGTAGGGGCTATCGATTTCGTCGAGAGCCTGATCATCAAAGGGTTTGGAGAGAACTTCCACGACCCGTTTGCCTTCTTTCTTTGTATTATGGCGGTATACTTTAAACTCGCATTTTTCGCCGACGTAGTTATTGTCCGTGGTAGTGGCCATTTTTAACGTATTTCGGACTTCTATTGCAACCTGACAATTAGATAACCGGTTTCGAGTTGGCCAGAAGGGTGAGAATTCCGGGGGTATCTGGCTGGGCCTTTATACGTGGAATGAGCGCCTCATTCGAAACTTGTGGCTCAACAGGCTAGCATTATCCGCACAGCCTGCCTTGGTTGCCGGGCTATTTGGACCCCACTCAGCTCGCCTTTTGATCGTCGGCTTATTCTACAAGAAAGCCTGTCACAATCCATTATTACCGCCTCAACTCCCATGCTGCATAAATGAGGGCGGCTTGACCCTTCAATATGCAAAGCCCATTCCCCAGACGCCCAATCCGAACCGGCTCCAGTGGACTTTAACCCTGTGCCGATGCTACATTTGGAGTACATAGCCGGGGTTGTGCTCTTATGGAAAAGCACCATGCGCGGATCAGAACCAATTGTAGCTATCTGCGGAGGGCACGGCTTGGAGCAGGAATCCAGTTATGGTCCTCCGTCGCGGGTGATTGGGCGCTTGATCAACCTGCTGATGCCATGTGAGTGCAACTCTCGTAGCCACATAAAATGAATAAGCCTTCCTCACCCCCTCATTACCGTGAAGGGCATACCAAAATTCTCCGACACAAACGACCATTATGGGGTCCCCATCAAAGCCATGTAGCCCTTTGGCTAAGGCCATTGACGAGTTCCTGGAGGAAATGAAGGTTCGCGACCGAAAGGGGCGATTCTACGAAGAAGTCCTAAACTCCAGAGCTGTCATGGCGATTTCCGAAGGCCAAAGAGGAGTGGACGAATGCGCGGGGAGATTGACAGAATTCGTCAAACAGATCGAGCAGCGAGGATATTCCTCAAAGACCACCAGACTCCTTCGGGCGATCGACCCTTTCATGGATGGGATACAAAACCTGATGTCAGCTTGCCAGACTATCATACAAGCAAGTCCATCTGCAGTCGGCGTAGTGTTTACTGGCGCGCAGCTTGTCTTACAGGTCAGTCATGAATACCCAATTTACAACAAATGTAAGCTCACCGATTTTGCCTCTCTATAGCTGGCGCAGAAAATGGGCAAGGCGTTCGATGTCATAACCGAAGCGATGGCGGAGATCGGTGCTTCTCTCAAGTGCTATGCCAAGTTCGCAGTGGCTTATGAGACTTCTGGAGAAGTTTGCGAGAGGCTTGTGGCCTCATACAAAAACATTGTCGGTTTTTGGGCCACAGCAACGAAGCTTCTCGACCAAAACCGTACGTTTCTCTGTCTATAAGCCAGACTTTTCCTCCTTCTTATCTCTCTCTGATCCCCGTACAGTCATTATTGGCACACTTAAAAATATCCTGCATCCTCTCGCAGACGAGATTCAGAGTACACTGGACTCCATGCGTCGAGATTGTAGCAGGGTAGAATCAATAGCCCATGCTGAAGAAGCTCTGCGCGCCAACGAAGAGAGGAAAAGACTGAAAGTGGAGCATGAAGGTAACGATATCCACTCCGATGCTCAAAACATTCTCTATAGGTAAATACTAATTCAAAATGCAATCGATAGAGAAATTGAAAAATGGTATTCGCGACTGGATCAGCGGGGGGGGATGACCTTGACGTTCGCTGCGACCTTGAGTTTCACTCTGAGCGGAGGCATGGCACAACATGCTCCTGGATCTTTGAAGACAAGAAGTTTCTCCATTGGCGCGATAGTACTTCAGATCCAGTGCTCTGGTATAATGCACCTCCGGGATCAGGAAAGACCGTTCTGTCATCTGCTGTGGTCCAGCATCTTTCGGAGAGAGGTCTAGCTTCTGCATACTTTTTCTACTCGCTCAGCGACTTCATTGCTCCTTTGTTACTGACTGGCACGAGGTTCTTGCAACTCGACCTGGTGCATTGGAGCAATGTGTGCCGCTGAGTAACATGCAATCGAAGCTTGGAGATCATCTTCATCAATCCGAGCGAATCAAGGTCTGGAGAATCAATGACATGATAGACCCCGCAAATGTTGTGCAATTGCGGATCGCTTCGATCTCTGTCTCTGGTGGTAAGCTATGTGCCGACTTGGTCTGCAAGTATCGATCTGATCCTCCTGGGCGTTTTCACTGCCACCGCGTTTCCGTTTTTTCCAAGGGAACAAAGTTTCATGGCACTTTTGATACAGGGGCTGGGTTGATAGACCTGGAAAATAGTGGCACAGATTGTCAACTTGGTCACAACGACTTCCAGGCCCGAGTATTAAAGTTCGATGGGTCTCGCCTTCAAGTCGAGCGATCGATGGGTAGTCTGTCTCAAACATTCTCAGCGCCAGGCGCTTGGAAACCAACCGCTCCAAGTCAAATCTGGCACTTGAGATCTAAGTCTAATCGAATTACACCCCATGGAAACATCACCCTGCTCCACGTTGTTCAAAGCACAGACCAGCCAGTCAATCAAAAAAACGACGAATTAGATTCCTCTGAATCGGATAATGAGTCTAGCTCTGACTCCAGTTCAGATTCTGAGCTGGATGATGGTTCCATTGTTGATTCTCACTACGACTCTGGATACGAAGAAGGTTCCTCTGCCGAATCCAGATCCAGATCACTGGAGCAGGCACCGAATGAGTGTGCGATTGTGATATGCGAATCGTACCGACCACTGTGGATTCCTATCACTCTCAATAAGAGGATTCGCAAAGGGGTTCCATCTGCGGTCCATCCGTCTTTGCCTTTCATTGTGCTGAAAGATCTTCATGGCCATATTATAATTGCCAACATGAGCACTGGTATTTGGCGTATTGAAAACGAACCAATCGGATTAGATGAAACGGGGTGTCCAGGTACGCTCTCCCGATTTTTATCGACCCCCATCCCATTCGATACTCTAATTTCTGTAGCCTCCGAGATCCACTTCTCTTCATGCGGGCAGTTTCTCTATTCTTAACAGGCAACCCTCTGTGAAGAGCAGGGCCATGTGAAGTGTGCATTGTCGCTATCCTCAAGTCGATTCATTAAAAACGAAGCAGGTAGCACCTCGTTGGGTGATACAAGCGTCCACCAACAGATCACGTACAAGATGAAAGAGACCCTTGAGAATCTCCCGACAAATATTGTTCTTGTGCATTGGAGCGATAAAGAAGTCGTCGTTGCACTACCACCACTGACGTGTGAGCCGAAAATCGTGAAATTTGGTCTTTCTCGACCATCCGACAGTGGACCCGATACCCTCTGGAGTGTTGAAACACTACGGGCTCCCATCTACTTCCCCTCCTCGGCTATAGTTTCGAGTCCAGTCCTTCTGTACCGACATAGGTCTTCATCAAAAAGTCACGAAATCTTTTTAGCTCTGACCGGAAAGAATTCCACTTCCCACTCGACGAATACCGATGAGCAGACAACTTCCTCTGCCCCATCGCCTGTGGTGATTCGATGGAGAATCCCACATGAAGATGGATGGAGGGTTTGGGATTCGAAAATTGATGAGGAATCGGAAGACTTAAAGCGAGGTGGCGATGATCTTAGGATATTGCGTGGCGGTTTTGTTGATGACGAGAAGCGATTCTATGTTCCCATTCGAAGTGGATTGGACTGGACACGAACAGGGTATCTAACATGTTGCTAATGACCCTCAATGCTCTGTCGAACACTATATTCTACAGTTCTGGATCCGTACCTCATCTGTCAACTCGCAAAAAGCACAGAACAATAACATGGCTGTCTTTTTTATCACAATTTTAAAATCCGTACCTCGTGCTTGCCACAATTTGCTTCTCTCTTCTCTTGAAAATCTCTACCGGTATGTTCAATCTAGAAAGCAAAATGCATATTAAATTGATGAGTGTGGTCACATTGAAAAGATGTTTAAATTGCATTCGCGCGATCGCTCAATGTCTCCCCTGCATTTGGTCATAGAGCAGTCTCATAAATGTCACCGAGCGGTCAAGGCAGAATAGACTAAAGCTTTGCCTTTGTCTGGCTTGAGATATCTGCAATTTCTTTCAAAGACTTCCAATATTTGTCTTTCAACCGTAGGACTTCAAATGCTTGCTCAGCCCATCGATCTTCCCAGACTGGCAACTCATAAGCATCACTATTCTCTGCAGGGGGACCTGCCAAGTCATGCAGGAATCCAAAATACTCCTTGAAGTCGGGTTTTATCTCATGGAACAAAGCTGTCGGGCCTTTATACTTCAGCCTTTCGATCTCCCATAGATCCTGTTCCTGGGGGCTGGGCAATGGCTGGCCATTTCTTCCGGCGAAGTAGCGTGCCACCGCAACGGCCTGGTACTCATAGGCGCGGAAGCTGATTGCAGCTCGAATTTGTCCCACGAGTGCTAGTGACGGGTCGCCGATCTTAAAGATATGTTGATAAAAGCCCGCGACTCGGTTGTTAGGTGTGACAGGGTCTGGAGTGAGGAATGGGTAGGAGAGCCTGTAGCCAGTTGCAAATATAACCTTGTCCACATCCGCGACTTTTGTACCATCAGAGAACGCTACATTGACCCCCTGGGAAGTACTTTCGATACTCGAAATTACAGGCTTTGCTTGAACGTTGGGCAAGTCCCATACCGATTGCAGTACCTCGTTATGTCCTCTCTGGGAGAGATATAGAGGCCCTTTGACGATAGCATGCAGGTCAACGACAAGATCAGCAGATGAGATGTTCCCTCCAACTACAACGACCTTTTGATCCACATAATCATTCTGAGAGCGATAGGACTTGGAATGCTCAAATTTCCCTGGATGAGCTTCGAAGGCAACGTCTAGTCCCGGAATATCAGGAACCAAGGGCACACTGTAGTGTCCAGAGGCCACGATCACGGCATCAAATTCCTCCTGCCACCAATAGTCACTCGGCTCATTATCGCGGATATGGCCGGACTGACGGAGGGTCAAAATCCATTTTTTATCTTGCTTCTCAGTCATTTCAACAGTGGTGTTGAAGCTTGCGAGGTGGTAATGATCCCTGAAAAGGTCCTCCAGATACCCCGCGATAACGCGAAAGGGATGAGTTGGGTTCGAATGTCCAAATTGTTTGACAGACAGTGCAGAGTTTATTTTGGGGAAAGGCTTGTGCGTGAAAGCCATGGCTTTGGAGCCCACGTTGCTGTCAAGACTGTCGTAAATCCCGGTTCGTGCAGTTGTATCCTCGGGACGCGGTGATGTGAATTGAGGTAGCTTCTTGGGGATTCCATTTCGCGTCTCGCCTGAGTTTCTTGAGGTTGGGAATAAGTCTGGGATAGAATCATAGTGCCAGATACCTCCGGGCTTATCACGTCGCTCGAATAGTCGAATTCTTTCAAATATTTTCTCCTCGTGCAATGCTTTGACTGCCGAGATACCCGAGGGCCCAGCGCCTATGACAGCAATATTGCGATAGCGAGGGGCCATGACACGCGGTATTGTTGCCGAACCTTTTGGAAACTGCAAAATAAGTAGCGATAGAATTGATGTGTTATAAACACATCCCAAGACAAGGTAAAGGCGCTTATATAGACCGTTGAGCCAAAGGAGAACAACATCAATAAGCAATTCATGGCGTGAAGATGCCTCCAATTGTCGACATATGAGCTGCCAGCCCCGCAATGTTGTGTCAACTACTAATTTAGAACGTTTATGCCTGATTGGATGCACTTGAAATTTGCTTCCTTGATCGCGTCACCCTCGCCTCGACCAATGAAAGCGACATTTCACCTGGATGTCTATCTATGAGAGAGGACATCCTTATGCACTGCGGAAGATACACCAGTTTGGTCCGTTCTAATCTCCAAGCAATTATATCGCTTTTTTTTGGTTCCGGGATATTTCCATTAATCAACCTTGACCCTGCCCAACTTCAGTTTTCTTTTGTTTCAACTACCTCCGTTACATCAAGCAGCCTTCCTTGATGCTTGAATGCATCTCACTCATGCCTACGCGCACACGACGATAACCTGCCTGGTTTGAACTGCCACGTTGGGGTTTCTGGGCGTCCTCCTTGCCCTTTAAGCTATCCACACTGGGAGATCCTGAGCGGATACCAGTCATGGCAGGGGTAGTGAGCTTCGTTGCCGGAACAGAGACGCGTTCAAGTGCAAACACTTCCACCATCCATTCATACCAGACTTTGCGATCATCAGTTTGGCGGTACATGGTGATAACGACTTCGCCATTATCGGGAACATTGAGAGGAGTCTAGCGGGGTTTATATCAGTGTCTGAGGTGAAGGGGGGGGGGGGGGGGGTGGAAAATTAGAGGCGTTAGCCTTTCTGGTCGTGTCATACCTTGAGAGGGAAGTAGATAGGGAACCAGCTGATCATGGTGGCGCTCTTTGCATCCATTGTCACTGGATTGGTTGAGAGCTCAACATCTCCGTAAAGGACTGTTTCAAAGTACCCAGCCAAGCCGTGGCACACCCCTCTGTTCTGTGTAGGGAAGGAGAGACGAGTTTGGCGCACGTTGTGCGAATTGGAAATAGTGGACTGCATTGGAGATGGAGGTGGAATATTTCGGTTCGGGTGAGAGAAAGACCATGCGGTCTGAACGAAAGGCGTTGGGAACTCGGTGGCGAGAGTTGGCCCCGAGCTTCCGGAAATCCGATTTGTTGTGGTCTGATTGAGAGTTTCCATATTCCCAGTAGAGTCCGCGGTAGACAGAAAATCAATTGCGTGAAGCATCACCACATAGGGGGTCTCCGGTGCTGCAGGATTGGAGACAGTCTGGTTTACTACATCGCTGTGCAGCTTTGGAGCAGAAATGGGCGTCAGGTGGGCCGAGTATGATGCTGGAATTGAGATTCCGTGCACGGGGTTGATTAGATCATTGATACCATCAAGGCACTCCGGAGATAGTTCATTGTCAGCGAAAGAGCCAAGTAGCTCTGACACCACAATGTCAACGTAAGTGTGAGTACTGCCGGATGCGGTGGGGGCAGAGAAATCGGACGCCCGGCCGGGGTCGTTTGTGCTTTTTGTTGGTGTATAGAGCAAGGAGTCTTCAATACCTAGCGATTCACCAACTGCATCTTGGGCTCCGCTCTCGGTCGCCTGTCGTCGCACTCGAGGGCCCTTCCAGCTCCGCATGTCAGATTGAACGAGGGTGACTTGGCCATCCCAGATAGTCTCGTTATGACGTTGCAGCAACACAAATGCATTCTGATTCTTTTCGACAGCCCATAGATCAATATCCACTCCGGCTTCGGCACTAGCCTTCAACGCCCGAGTCACGAGAGGACCCCGACCCGCACCAACAACCGCAAGAATCACCTTTCCATCTGGGTGAGAAGTGGGCTTCTTCTGATCTGCCCAGTCTCTCAGAGCCTTGGTAATCGCGCGCTCATACCACTCATATTTAATGGGATCTTTCTCAAAGACCTCGTAGGTGATGCTCTCCAAGTTGACTGTCAGTGGTTGGAGAGGGGCCTGGAGGTAGTCTTGATATCCCGTGCCAAATCTTTCGATGGGGGTGCGTGGGGGTTGCCGTTGCTGCAAATTCCGAATATAGGAGAGATGCGGAGTGGGATCATGATGCTTCTTGGAGGCACTCAGACTGGGATAATCAGAGCTGGATAATTGAGACTGGGTTGCCTCAATTGTTTCTGCATTCTCAAGGCCCGGAATAGGCCCAACATTGCAAAGCAAAATCCATGGAGGGGTGCGAAGGCGCATCAATTTCGCGATCAAGGCTTGGTGGGCCTTTGACAAAACAGGGTATCCTTTCGGGTTCTTCAAGAACGATGAAGAATCGATTGTAAGGAGATGCACAGGTTCCGAGTGCCAGCGCGATTGAACAGAAAGAACAGGCAGCTGCTTCGGCATGGCCAAGGCTGTGATGCAGGTAAGTGAATACTCGTGACAAGAACAAAGAATAACACCACGAAAGAGGGTTCAACTCACCCACAAACAGCCGTGTATGGTATCTGCACGTCTTTCTTATCAAATCCCAGGCATCCCAGGTTCCGAATGGATCAATTTTTGGCAAATTATCCGTTTCGAGCTGCAAATACTCTTGCCTGGCCAATGGGGCCAAATCACCCATGCTATCAACCTCCAGCTCGGGGTTGTCCACCATCCGCAACCAAATATGGAACTGGATGTACGGACCGAGATTCAGGGCATCCTGAATAGCCCTGGCGTAGTAGACAACACCTTCCGAATGCATACCTCCGTGATGCAATTTAGGACTAGTAATCAAAAGATATCCAATACCACAGAAAGCAGCGTACGCTACTTCTAGCATCAGAACCTGACGAGACAGATCCGCAATTAACGGATCAGGAGAGCAAAGGTCAATCCAGCTGCTGGTGACACCAACCAGCTGGCTTGTTGCTTCGTTAGGAGTGAGATTCGAGTCCAGTTTGGTCAGTGGTGGGATAGTCAACGGCCGTGTGTTTTGCGAGGTGGCCATGGTGCCGATTCGATCGATCGATGACGGCTGCAGGGTAGAGAGATAAGAAGACAGCAGTCCCAGCACCCTAGAGTGGAAATGGGTCGTTGTAATTGGAACGGTCAACATATCATACTATTATTGGACATACAAGTCAGTTTATTGGAAAAGCGATTGACATCGATGGAGACGACAGAGCTTACATTACTCTCATGTGCCCGACTGACCACCTGAGGGGTCACCGATAGCGTTCGGTTCGGCTCATGATGGCCAATGCAGAACGTCACCCCAGGGTCGTCCGTAGCATCGTAATTATCCATGTTGACACGGAGCCCTTTTTTGTCAAAGTGGTGGGGTCCTGGAGGAGATGAAGGGCTGGTTCCAGGCCAATGGTGGTTTCAACACCACAAAGAAGCACACCACTACTGGGGTAGCAAGTAGCCACGGAGAGTAAACCCAACACTCAAAACCAGTATAGACGCGCCCGAGGACACCCCTTCGTGCTTGCAACCGCGTTCCCCTCGATCCCTTTGTGGGGGTCCGGCAGAATAACCCAGGCGGTGAGCCAGATAGGCATCGGGGGATCGCCGCTCGATTTGCCTATCCGAGTTTTTTTATCTACCGCTGAGTTTTGCACTCTCCAACTCTCTCACACTCCCTCAACCACCTCATTCAGCATGGTTGACCGTCGCTCAGACTCGGAAGATGGCGTCCGCGCAAAGCGTCAGAAGATGGACGCTGGCGACCCCAAGGATAATCCGTACCTGGCCCACATGTACGAGGATACAAACGGCGCAGACAACAACTCGGCCCTAGCCAAGTTCAAGCGCCATCAGACAACGGCAGCCTTGGCCAAGAAGGCTGAGGATGGCGAGGTCAACCCTTTCAGCGGCAAGCCCTTTTCCACGAGATATTTCACCATCTTGAAGTCTCGTCGGGACCTTCCTGTGCACGCGCAGCGGTAAGTTGGTCTTTTCTTTTAGCGCTCAACCATGGCATGCTAATAGGGTCCGTTCTACGTTAGCGATGAGTTCCTCCAGCTTTATCAGCAATCTCAAATCCTAGTCTTCGTTGGTGAGACTGGTTCCGGAAAGACCACGCAAATCCCGCAATTCGTCCTGTTCGATGACCTACCCCAGACCCAGCGCAAAATGGTTGCTTGTACGCAGCCCCGTCGTGTGGCCGCCATGTCCGTCGCCCAACGTGTCGCAGAGGAAATGGATGTGAAGCTTGGAGAAGAAGTCGGTTATAGCATTCGTTTTGAGGATAAGACGAGTTCGAAGACCATCTTGAAGTATATGACCGACGGTATGCTCTTGCGAGAAGCCATGCATGATCACAACCTGTCTCGCTACAGCACGATCATGCTTGACGAGGCTCACGAGAGAACGATGGCCACTGATGTCCTGATGGGTCTGCTGAAGGAGGTTGTGCAGCGCCGGCCGGACTTGAAGATTATCATCATGTCCGCTACTTTGGATGCGCAAAAGTTCCAACGCTACTTCATGGATGCGCCCCTTCTCGCTGTTCCCGGACGTACCCACCCTGTGGAAGTCTTCTACACCCCCGAACCGGAGCAAGACTATGTCGAGGCTGCCATTCGAACTGTTCTGCAGATTCATGCGACTGAAGACGAAGGAGATATCCTTGTGTTCCTGACTGGTGAGGAGGAAATTGAGGATGCGGCACGGAAAATCGCGATGGAGGGCGAAGAAATGGTTCGGGAAGCCGACGCCGGCCCGCTCAAGGTTTACCCTCTATACGGCAGTCTGCCACCCCATATGCAACAGCGCATCTTCGACCCTGCGCCGCCTCCTATCCGCAAGGGTGGCCGACCCGGTCGGAAGGTCATCATCTCCACCAACATTGCCGAAACCTCCCTGACCATTGACGGTATCGTCTATGTGGTGGATCCTGGATTCTCGAAGCAGAAGATCTACAATCCTCGTATCCGTGTGGAGTCTCTTCTGGTTTCCCCCATCTCCAAGGCTTCTGCCCAACAGCGAGCTGGTCGTGCTGGTCGTACACGCCCCGGAAAATGCTTCCGTCTGTATACTGAGGAGGCTTTCAAGAAGGAGTTGATTGAACAGACATACCCCGAGATTCTCCGATCAAACTTGTCATCAACTGTGCTTGAGTTGAAGAAGCTGGGAATCGACGATCTCGTTCATTTCGACTTGATGGATCCTCCCGCTCCTGAGACCCTGATGCGAGCTCTTGAGGAGCTCAACTACCTAGCTTGTTTGGATGACGATGGCAATTTGACCCAGCTCGGTCGTCTGGCGTCGGACTTCCCTCTTGACCCTGCCCTTGCCGTAATGTTGATCAGCTCTCCCGAGTTCTACTGCTCGAACGAGATTCTGTCTATCACAGCTCTCCTGTCCGTTCCGCAGCTATTTGTCCGCCCCAATTCCCAACGCAAGCGGGCGGATGAGATGAAAAACCTGTTTGCTCACCAGGATGGTGATCACCTGACGATGCTGAACGTTTACCACGCTTTCAAGAGCCCCGACGCCCAGGCTAACCCTAAGCAATGGTGCCACGACCACTTCCTCTCCTTGCGATCTCTCCAGTCGGCCGATAATGTTCGTATGCAGCTGTTGCGGATCATGGAGCGCTCCGAACTCGAGATGATCTCGACTCCTTTCGACGACAAGAAGTACTATGAGAACATTCGCCGTGCTCTCTGTGCTGGGTTCTTCATGCAAGTTGCCAAGAAGGAGTCACAAGGCAAGAGCGTTTACACCACCGTCAAGGATAACCAGAACGTCCTGCTGCATCCCTCCACTGTACTTGCCCATGATGCAGAGTGGGTCTTGTACAACGAGTTTGTTCTTACCACCAAGAACTATATTCGTACCGTGACCGCAGTCAAGCCCGAATGGCTTTTGGTACGTTCACTTGCTTATTCTTTTCACATTGATATATTTGCTAATTAGAACCAGGATATTGCACCTACATACTACGAGCCCTCTTCTTTCCCCAAGGGCGATATGCAGTCCGCCCTGCTCCGTGCCAGAGACAGACTCGCACGCAAGGAGAAAATGCGTGCTGAAAAGCGTCGGTAAATGGTATTGTTTCGGTTTAGAATTTTTATGCATCAATATTTCGTTTTAGATTCCCTTTTTGCGGGTCAAATGACCGTGCTCCAAAATAGAAGCTGCCTTGCATTGGATAGGGTATATCTGCGTGGTTTTACTGGGACTTTGCTTCTCTTCATCGGCTTTCTCTGTACTCCCTTCTTCCGAACTTCTACCGTCGGGAGTGTCCCTGAAGTGTAACTAATGGGCGATGTGTCATAAGAATAGACTCTAGATCAAGCGTGAATCACGCGCAGTGGAGTTGGCTGATTGGCCTTCTCCTCTCTACCAGGCTGCCCATGAAACATCTACCGAGTAGGCCAAGGCAAAAATTAAACGCTGAATGCAGATATCCCATTAATTGGCATTTCCTCCTCTGCGTGCAAGAGGGCAACTATATCATAATGTACAGATAATGTTCGGTTGTCACGAAAAACGAAAGAGATGCTCTCATGCCTGCCCAGCAGTGCGTTGAGAAGACGCAACGGCAACTTTCTTCCCCTTCTTCCGAGACCGATTCGAGTTCTTCGCCTGGCCCGTAGCTGGTCGTGGGATCTGATTCTCAGTTGTATCAACAGAATGGTCGTGTACCAGGGCGGGACCCATCATAGCTTGAGCGGGGCGGAAGGAAAGGTTCGCATGAGAGTGGTCATGCTCCTCTCGCTCTGTCGGGCTCGGTATTCGTTCAAATTCGACGCTCATCGAGGATTCTTGAGATTGCAGGTGCGAGTCTTGTGATGATGGGGTTGGATCGGTTGCTTGTGAGAGTTCATCCTCATACTCGAGGTCAGGGTGGATATCCTCTTTAAATGAGGCCTCAATGTGGTGCTTACGCAATTCAAAAACTAGTTGGCGAAGCTGAGAGACTTCGTCTTTCAGAACAGCTATATCTTCACTTTGGGCACTCTGCGTAGCACTTGCAGAGGCCGAGATCTCTGGCGAAGATTTTGAGTGCTCCGTGTATCGGGGAAGTGCGGCGGACAATGCACCGGTTGCATGCACAGCAGCAAAGCGATCAAACTTCCGCGACATTAGTTGATCTTCAGGCACTTCGAGCCTGCTCAGTTGCTGTCCAAATACATTTGCAAACTCATAGCACTTCTGCCATAGGGGACGGGTCAAGTTTTCACGTGGGGTCGTTTCGGCCGCCGTTTTCCATCGCTGACCTTCTTGGTCCACGATGGGTGCAATGTCGTTCTGTTGCAACGGAAGATTCGGGTTGAAGCCACTATGCACCGCTGCCGAAATCAAACTTTGGGACACGTCCTTTTGGCAGCAAGAGTCGCAGAGATGTACCATATATAGGATTAACCGGTCAACGAGTTTCGGTGATAGATCAGTCGACGATACGAGGTAAGTGACAGCTCGCTTCAAGGCATGCACTCCTTTTTCCCAGTCTTGGCGAATGCTGTAAAATCGGATGTAGGTAAAGAGGGTATTGAAGTTGTCAAAAAAGCCGTGTTTACGTGCAGCCTGAAGCCAAGCATCCGCACGGTCGGGCTGGTTAAATCGCAGAGCGGCCGAGATGAGCTCCGTATAAATGACGGTGCTGCTACTATACAAAGGTGGAACGACCGTATTCAGCCCATTGATCTTTCGACGTCGGAAAACACCGATGGCTCCCAGGTTGGCTGTGTAGCCTTCGCCACTGAGCATTTGCAAAAACAAATCAAAGTCCTTGAGGTTTTTGGACTTTCGGAAGAAGCAGATAATAGTGACGATAAGAGAGGTGCTCAGATAAAACCGATTGGGCAATAGTGACTGCAGGAGCAGATCGTTCAAGTCGTTCTGACGAGTTTGTGTGAAAACAATGAGTAATTCTCGGAACGCTGCAGTGCGATCCGGATCGGCCGACTTGATCAAGTTGCTAGATATCCGAAGGAGAAGTTCCTGCAAAGACATCTGCTGGCTCGTGAACGACTGGATGTACTCCCGGAGTTCATCATCAAGTCTCCGATCGTCTGCCCTCCCCTCTTCAGAGCGCATGGCATCAAAGTCGGCAATCACGTCAGTGAGGTCCATGTTTCTCTTATACAACAGCGAGTTCATCTGGCGTCGTACGACATTCAACTCATTCAGCAAGTTGTTCACATCGATCTGGGGAACATCAAAGTCTGCCCCGTAGTTCATAGGAACCCCTGAATATTTGTGTGCGATAGTCGGTCGCAGCAGAATTCGAATCGCGAATTGCTTCAACGCGAGTTTTTGAACGGCCTTGATGCGAGCAGTATCTCCAACGACCCAGTCCGGCAACGCTTCATTCATAGCAGCGCGCAGCGCACTAGCTTCGGCTTCCTGGAGATCAAGATGTCTAAACTCTTCCGTTGCTAAACTTTCGTCAATCTGCACACTCTGATTGCCATACGGCTGACGCTCCGTATGAAAGGACCTTGTTGGCTGGTGTCTGGGCGTGGTTCGCTGGCGGGTTCGGGGAGGGGTCGCAATGGTGCCGAAGCCTCTCTCTTGCAGCAATCGGTTGATCCCCCGACTTTTCCTTCTTGACTGTAGAGACTCAAGAATCCGATGCTCTTCATCCACTAGCTCGTTCACCTCGGCCTTGACTGCCGCAATTTTCTCTTCGAGATCATGTCGACGCTTGGTCTTGGCCTTCGCGTCTGCGAGGGCAGCGGCCGCAAAGATACTGGTGTAGAGCGCAGTGACCGAGTTTCCAATCCTCAATTTCTTTTTGCTGGCAGCCGTCGCTGATCGTGAAGTGACACCATTGGCAACCGTACTCAAACATGAGACGCACCGGCAGCTTGACTGCGTCGGGGCGGCGCGGGACCACATGCTTTGCATTATAGGAACATCGCTGGCGAGCGGCTCGAGGGGTTTCGATATCGAGAAAAGAACAATTGGACTCCCCACGGAGTCCGATGGGGCAGATTTCGTTGACAATGTTGAAATCAGATGATCCGACAGGATATCGTGAAATTCCGGCGCGGCCCAAATCTTCCGGTGCAAACACTGCAAACAAGCTCAGGTCTCCCCCGGTTGCGTCTCCTATTGTTCCTCGTCGAGAGCTGGGGATGCGCTAGCTTGTTTCTTCTCTTCACTTTCTATCTTCTACAATGATATCACGTTTAATCCTCGTTGTTGCCAGTGCGCTCGCTTTGAGCAGTGGCCTTGCCAGTGCCCATGGCTCACACTCAAATGACGGGCAACCCCCCTCCAACGACTGGGCCACGAGACACATGATGGGTAAGAGTGGCAGACAGCACTCAAAAGAGTGCATCGGTTCGCGCAAGTTCTAACACGTTACATAGAGGAGCACCATATTGAAGGCTTCGATGCTCTCTCATTCTTCACGCTGCACGACTACGACGCCTCTGGCGCATGGACTCCGGAAGAAGTACGCAAGACATACGGTCTCGACGATGAATCCAATAGAGGCGTAAGCGAGTCCAGCAAGGAGTCCGCTATACGCGCGGTGTTCGACCTCTTCGATCCATCGAATACGGGTACTATCAGCCGCGACGCCTGGTTGAAGACCATTGCTGCCGGGACACGGTTGCCCGACCTCGGCTACGGGCCGGGCCACCATGGTGACCTTGAGTATGAATACGAGATTCACCACTTTGAGAAATTCCACGGGGATGATGCTACCGAGGAGGAATTCAACCACCCCCAGGACATTGAGCATTTCCGTCTCCACGACGAGTTGGAGGCAGCTCAGTTGCGACTCGAGAAGCTGGAGGCTATGCAGGTTGTTGAAGCCAACATCCCTTCCAAATTCCGCCGTGCCGTTTAGACATTGGTTGACTTCGTGTTCTGTTCATTTCTTTTCCATGTAAATAGACACTCGCCCGATGGTTTTGGTGACGTTTTTATGTTCTAATAGCTGCTGACGATAACCCGAGTTGATGCTACCCGGGCAGGATATCTGGGATGTCTTCTGCCTTCTCTAATGATATGTTACCAGTGTGGCGCTCATCACCGCGATCTGGTCATTGATGTCGATGATCTCCACTCCTCGCAGGTTGCAAAACTCACAAGAGGAAAAAAGAAAAAAAAAAAGTAAAGAATGCATCGATTTAAGCATGCGCTCAACTCTGATGAGCGATACTGACTTGCGCGGCAACTTCCCGCTCATCCTCAGAAAGCTTCGATTCTGAGTTCTTTCAGAAATTCCCGTCTACACATGTGAGGTCCCGGTGGGCGCATTCCGAAGTAGACTCAAAACAAATACCACGATATAGATCCGAAGACAGATTGAGCGTTGCTCGAAACGGAATTACCATCCGCTAAATTCTTCGAGAGGTGAAGCCATATGGGGTGGATGGAAGTGCATTGATCCAGCGCCCAAAGTTGTTGATATATATCACGCCGCATGGCCGCAACCTGCCCTAGGCAGACCCCCCTCTCACCAATACCTACCTTCGTGGCGAGGTTATTCATAGATTCACGAATATTTACTCGTTGACCACAGAATTTTGATCACACGGGCAAGCCTGTTCTCAGAATGGGCAATTTCCTTGACTAATAGTAAATTGGGGTAACTCAGTAGTGGAGTGTGGGGTGCGACTATAGTGGACACTATACATAGTAACTAGTCAGAGGCAGCTGTGATTAATAAGAACGCAGAATGAGGATGGAATAGTTAGCGCAGATTATATTGGCACGGTGTATCACTTCGAGATATAAAGGGGATGAATCTTGTGTAGTATGAGCAATGGGATTGGGTAAGGATGCTTATCTGTGTGATCACGATCCTTGATGAGTGGTCCTTTCCATATCTAATTGACAGTAATTCGTGAAGTACACCAGGAAACGGATCTACGACTTGGAGTATCCTTCTTGAACATTTAACAATACGTAGTGGAATAAGTTGTCGCCCAAACGAATAAACAATGATCTTTGACTACTCCGTACAGGAAACTCGGTCACGTTACCATCTCGGCCAACGAGATTCAAGCGAACTCAATGCTGATTGGCTCGGCCAACTGAACTCGGCGCCACTCCTCCACAAGGAAATGTTTGCCCGGCTGAGTCATCATGTTCAGCCAATGATCATGCAGCTTGTTACGTTTCCGCAGATTCAGACACCCAAGGTTTGTGTCTCATCCTTGCCTAATCGCGTGCCTGAAAGTCAAAATTTGTCCACTATGGGGAAAGCTTATCTGCCACAGCACGAGCTTGATGCCAAGGATGATCATCCGTATCTACGACCGGCAATTGCCCCATTTGCCGGCCGGCTTGGAGGCAATCAGGACTTTATCGTCGATCGGAATGACCCGAGAAATTTGGAAGTCCTGGAGCATGTGCCCGATGCGGCTCCCTGCATGACGTTGGCCGAGATCTTCGATCTCAGGGGCTTTGCGAGTCTAGATCTATGGAAGTTTGCGATGCTGGAATGTGTTGGTAAGTAACGCACTTGAGTTGATCATACCGCCCCCGTGGATCTTGGAGGGGAGCAGGATTGCCCTAATACTGAGGACAGATTCTAACATTCTGTCCATATATAGCTAGTTTGATGAATGTCTTCATCTCCTGCTGGGTTACGACGCACCCTCTTTCCAAGACCACCTCTCCGACTACCGAGGCCGGAGTCTATGCCACCGTCACCTTTTTCTCCCCGCTATTCGGCGGTATCACCAATCTCCTATTGACCCCGCTCCTGATCTATACCTTCGCCCCATCCAGCGGAGGCCATATTAGCCCGACCATTACCTTTGCCACCTTCTTCGCCCGAATTATCTCCTTCCCACGCATGGCACTATACATAGGAGGGCAAACACTGGGTGGTGCATTGGCTGGCTTTGCCTTGAACAGTGCCTACGGCAATCGAGAGTTTACCGTAGGCGGATGCTATATTGATTCAACCATGGTGCCCACCAAGGATGGTCTGGTCATTGAATTTCTGGCGTGTCTGGTTCTCATTTTCCTTGCATTTGGCGTGGCTTTAGATCCGCGGCAGGCCAAGGTATTTGGCCATGCGACGTCGCCCTGGTTGGTAGGGATTGTCCTTCTGATTGTCAGCTGGGGAACCGCTTTCACCCGGGAGGGCTATATCGGAGCCAGTAAGTAACGTGTGACAAGGTGGAGGACCTCAGATCATAGACATGCTGGGGTTGTTGGTGGGTTTAATAATTGACTCCTTCTGCAGGCCTTAATCCGGCACGATGCTTAGGAGCTTATGTGGCCTCCTCATTTCCCACCTATCATTGGATCCACTGGGTGAGTTGGTTCTATGACAGCCCTCATTTACCGATGAGGGCGCTGCTTATCAGACCTTTGCTCATTTGATATAGGTTGGACCACTCGCGGCTGCTATCGGACACGGCTTGGTGTACTTTGTTGACCCACTTTGGACCGAGAGGCGGAGTTCGCCGTAAGAACAGCCACCTTATCGCCCGGAGGCGGCCCCTGAGATGGAGATATCGAAAACTGTACATGAGGTACCGACAGCACATAGACATAGACAGATAACATTAGCGTTACATAGACTTGCATATGGGATTCGCATATAGAAGAACAATCCATATTCCCCATGCGGGGGACTTTTTGCTCGACTGAAGAAATCCAATGCTAGTATGTTTCGAAGCATCAAACAGATCACCATTGCCTACATTGAGCCCGATCAAAAATACTCAGGGGGGGAGCATTACTCTAAAAATAAAGGATGACCACCTAATCGGACTTGATTTGCTCGTTCATAGAAGACAACGATCATTTACTAGGACTTAAGGCAGCGCAGCAATTGAATATTTGCCATGATCAAACAAGATTGCAATGCTATTCGGTCGCGTTATAGTGCAATAATACCAAAGGTGCAAGGCTACTTCCCATGAACTGAAAAACAACTTCTCCTCATCAGTGTCGGTTTACTCAGCATAAGTGATAAATTTCAAGTCTACAAAAATCATTCTCTCCCCAAATGGTCCATGAGGCTCGAGGTTGACCAACCATGTTCATCATGCGGACTATTTCAGAAGGTTTGTAAAATTTACCGTCGTCCCTATTAGAGCCCAGAGGATTTGTTCGATGTTTAAAGCTCGCTCATTCCATCGCTGGATTGCGGTTTATAAAAATTCGTCCTATCGGAATGAGAGATCGGGTTTCGGCTTTCAACTGGAAAGCCGACTGAAAAACTCCCATCAAGTATGATGTGGGTGGGCCACCCTATGGGTCTCGGGTTGCGAAGAAATCGGGAATCACGTACCACCAGTATCGGAATCAATGGCGCGTGTGAAAATTTTCCTAGCCTCAGAAGAATTGATTTAATTTTTATTTTGAAGCTGATTCTTGTTTCGTATAAAACCAATCCGTCGAAAACCGCGTGGAGGTGCCGTGGGCTATAACGAGGTACCGCCACAAAAGCTTTGTTTTGCACGGAACAGTCTTCACTACCGTTTTAGGTACGACGAACAACTTTGGGATTAACTAGATTGAGTTTGGGTAGGCTGACATCTAAAAGGTAGCTCAAACTTTGAACCATGTCATCGAATCTGCCGATGCCCTGTGCGATTCGCAACCTTTCAAGCTATCCATTACCTGGCAAACATGTGCCCCAAGTTGTAATTGAGATCAACGGAGAGAAGGATGGAGGGAAAAGGACATTCTCAACGCTGGACCTTGTAGAAGGCACTGCTGTTGTAACTGTGACTCAAGAAACTTATCTTGGTCATGTTGATATCACTTTTGAAGGTACATTAACGGCTGTTCTTTTCCATGATCTGAAATTGAACCATCGGCTAACGGCTTCAAGGTAGCTCTACAACATCCGCCAGTCGGGCAGTTTCATTTGTGCCCGGCCGGAGAAAGGCTTCACACAAGTTCCTTCGCCTCAGACAACCAATCGACAACTTTCAGGAAACACGTCTAGTACCTGGGCAATCGTACAAGTTCCCCTTCTCTTTTGAAGTTCCTGAGAGCATCAGCTCACAACAATGCGACCATTCAACCAAAGACGCCGAGGTGGAAGAAGCGCATACTCAACTACCGCCGACATTTGAGAGCCGTTCATCTAAATTTTGGCAGTCTACCGCCGGAGGTTGGGCCCCCAAGGCTTGCAGAATTTCCTACAAAATCCGAGTTGTGCTATCAGAAAAGTCTCAGCCTTTTACCGGCACGACAAGCAGCAAAGTTTGTGATGTTTCCCGATCTCTACGAATCATGCCAGCTGCAAAGATGGCAAAGGTCCTGGGCTGCCCACTTCATTACCTGGTTCACGAGAAGCAATCCGAATGTCGCTCTTTAGGAAGAAACTTGGGAAATCTCCAGGTAGCAGCCGAGGAGCCGAGGAAGATCCAGATTTCCGCTATGAGGACTGGCATGAACAAGATTTCAGCTTCTGCTGCTGAACTTCACATTACTTTCGACCCCAAGACAAACATACCGCCGCCCCAACTATGCAAGATTCGATCAAAACTCGAGGTAGCTACATACTATGGCACGACTCCATGGGAAGACTACCCGACGACGAAAGAAATGGAATGTGCCAGTACTGATCGCGAGGCATATGTCACGACCACCCCCCTTCAATCATTGGACTTGAGTTCGATCCAATGGGAAAGACTGCCTTCGTTCTATGCAGCGAAAGTGAAATTGGCAGACTCGGCTTCAGAGTATTCAGTCAGCTCATCTGGGACATCACCCGAGCATTCATACACCGTTTCCGTCACTGTCCCGATCAATATCCCAGAGGAGCAAGCCCTCGTGCCCACGTTTCACTCATGTCTCGTGTCCCGCACCTATGCCATTGATCTCGTTCTCTCCTACCAGGTACCATCGGCGATCTGCAAATCTACCATGAACATGCGTATCCCGATCGAAGTAGTATTTGGCAGATGGGAATCTTGAAACTTGGTAGATTACAGAAACCACGAGCGGGTAATAGGCTCAAGTTACTGGAGGCGGCCGCAGAAGGAGCATTCGATGAAATCTAACGATAGAAATACCCTTCGTGTCTGACTATACTAGCACATGGCTGACGTTGTAGATAGCAACATAAAATCATGATACATTATCAGAGAATAGTGCAAGATTCATCTCTTCCAGTGAAGGCCACCAATGAGACCACATGCCTTGCTCATGAGCATATGTGCTGACCTCATTCAGTAAATCATTAAGAGGAGCGTCAAGATCTAGTGATTCTGAAGCAGCAGTTGTTGCCGGGGTATCTTCAGATGTCGAGGGACCTGTGCCCCGCTCCGCTCCTTCAATCTCTTGAATATATTGTTGTGACCTGTCCACCACTCGGAATTCATGGATGGATTGATGCAAGATGTCAAAGTCCTTTCTGGACTTTCCTTGATATCGTGCTTTATCGGAGCTGGCTCGCTGGTAAAGAAGAGATGCATGCTTGATGGTGGTCATCTTTGTGCGAGGTTAGCATCACAAGACAGACAATAGATGTAGCGAAAGAAGCTAAACTCACCCAGCTCTCGCCGAGCTTCCATTCTTGCCTGAATCTTTCCAGGTATGCAAGGCAGTAGTTCAAATTTTCCTCAGCACGAGGACTCCGACCCAGATTCATTTGAGGAAAATGAGAGACATATAGGTTCATGTATGCCGCAGAAAAGGCGCAAAATCCAACAAATGGCGTTAAAATTTCAGCTCCGCACTCAGAAGATTCATGCAGGATTTGAGCAATATGTTCGGTTGCACTAAACATTTCGAGTGCGCTTGAATCCCACCAGCCGGGAGGGGCTTCTGCTTGAAGCTGGGGGTGATCGACTGGGCCCCTGGGAATAGTCTCTGATGTCGGCAAAAAAGGGAAATATTCGCGGTGAAGCATAAGAGTGCTGTATGACAGAGTTAATATCTTGAGCTTGCTGTTTTTCCGAGAATTAACACTTACCTAAGATAATATATCAAATTAATGTACGTAAAAGACTCCCCATAGGCTAGAGCTATGTGAGCCACGACAGAATTTTCCGGGTAGTGAAGTCTATGATGTTGGTTTGCACGCCATGCCTCCAGGCGGCTCCTGGTATTTGACCAGGGTGACCCGGGCACCCAGGGGCAATTTCGGGGTGCACACATTTCGGGCGCTCGCCGTCCGTCATTGAGCACAAATGTCATGACGTGTGTCCAGATGTCGAATCCTGCGACTATGACCTCAAATGCCTGAGTAATGTCCAAGAGATTGGAGTTCCTGTTTGGCAAAGTGGCGAGGCTTTGCTCCATGCTGCTTCTTTGTGATGCTGGATCTGTACCAAAGGCAAACTCGACAGCAGAGAATGGACGAAGTACTTTGATCTTTTCCATTTCTGACAATGGCAGCATTGGTGGATTATAAGTCCCTGAACTGATCAATCGTTCCATAATGAAGCATGCCCACATAGTTCGATTCTGCACTGCCGTGGTAATGGCGTCTTGGCTCGTATCTTGACTGCCAGAAGCTAGCGGATCAGCTGGATAAGGAGCAATCTGAAGGCTATTTATTGCCTGCATGATTCGAATTGCAATTCCTGTAGACTGTTAGTCCACAACTTCTTAGAATTCCCACTAAACAAGCCTTACCACAGTAGATCCAGGCTCGGTGGAATTCGCGGGATCCCCATTCAAAAAGACCCATGACAAGAAGAGCCTGGGCAACTTGAACCTTTGGGGCTTGAAATGAACTCTGTGACAGCATTTCCCGCGCATAGGACGCATATTGATCTCTTGATAACAGAGTTTCCAAGCCAGTAAAGTGAGACCGAGAGTGATAACAATGCGTCACCGACAAGATAGCTGCAAGTAGCGTTTTGGTTTCATTATGGCGTGAAGTCTGGAATTCTTGCATGAAGCTCGGCAGATGGAGAATTCCTAGCTCAGGAAACTTGTTCGTGAAAATGTTTAAAGCTTTCAGAACAATGTTCGGTGACAAGTTTGCAAGGTGACTGTGAACATTGGCCCTATCTTCACCATATATGGAGACATGAAGTGGTGAAGATCCAGGCGCTTCCGAATGTTGTACTGGAAGGACAGATCTATCCAACTCGTGTCCGGTGGTGGGTTGAGGGTTGGATGCTAGAGAATCCACCCTCTGCACGACACGACGAACAGAGTTCTTGAGAATTTTGCTTTGAGGCCTGCTCAGATTGCAATCCGGGATGCCACTCTTTTGACATTTTCGACAAGGCGCCTTTCCCGTGTTAACGCATTTGATTTTTGATCGCCTAAGATTGGGGAAAAAAACTCTGAGTGGACTGTTCGAGTGGTATGGAAAAGCAATTCTTACCGGCAGAAGTCACATGAAAGACTGGAGCGCATGATGCAGATAAGCTTCGACGGAGATCGACCCTTGATTGCGTACTTTTTTTGTGCAATCAATCTAATAGCATAATGAGACTCGGAACTCGTCGGGAATAAATCTGGGGTGGAGAGTGGACATTCTATCCATCCAAACCGGCGAGCTGACTCAGCCTATCATGGACGGCAAATGGATGTCGCTCCAACAGGCAAGCTTGGTTCGAATGGGTCATAGTCCGTGAAGAAAGTCACATTCTGAGGAGATCGGATTACTGGAAAGCACTTGAGATAAGCCCAACTGTCAGATACTTCACTATGGAGATTCAGACCAGCCAAATGAGGACCAAGTCGAACAATTGTGGATCTTCGACCCTGCGACCATCGGATATCGGTTCTGCACTCTCGTATCCACAAACCCGACTTACTTGCTGGATCGGAAAAGTCTAGTTGCATTTATCCCCTCCAGACAGTAGTGACCGAGGAGATCCAGGATATAATATATTCAGAAGATATCTCGAGTGACCATCTATGTTCTTTTGCTGCACCATTTCTGTTTCTTATTGAAGACCCTCTCGTCCTTTGAAAATGGCACCCTCCAAAATTGATATAACCCACTTGCCGTCAACAGATTGCCCGGTTATTGAGCGGCATCTTGAACAGCATCTTGATTCAAGCGATAAAGACCACTTGCTTCATCGCTCGTTCATCGACACGCCCGCTCTGGTAGAACGAGCGGAGGGTGTGAACTTATTCCTTGCCGATGGAAGGAGAATCATCGACGCCTGCGCAGGCGCAGCGGTAGCCTTAATCGGACATGGAAACAAGGAAGTTCATCAAGCCATCGTCAACCAACTACAAAAAGTCAGCTACGTGCATACACAGTCATACACTACCGAGTCCGCGGAAGATCTTGCAAATCTCATCTTGCGAGGGAGTCCACACGGTCTCGAAAAGGCCTTCTTCGTTGGAAGCGGCAGTGAAGCCGTTGAATCCGCCTTGAAACTCGCACGCCAATACTATTTTGAAATGAACGAGCCCGAGAGGCTACATATCGTCTCACGACGACAAGGTTATCATGGCAACACCATGGCTACCATGTCGATCTCTGGAAATCTTGCCCGCAAAGTCCCTTTCGAAGGCTTCTCGTATACGCATACATCGCAAGTCTCGCCCGCTTTTGCTTATCGGTATATGCAGGAAGGTGAAACGGAAGTTGAGTATACGGCACGACTTCTTCAAGAGCTTGAGGAGGAGTTCCTTCGCGTGGGCCCTCACAAAGTCATGGCCTTTATCGCAGAGCCAGTGGCTGGATCTGGCATTGGCTGTGTCGTTCCGCCGACCGGTTACCTTGCCGGAATTCGCGCCTTGTGTGACAAATACGGCATCCTGCTAATATTCGACGAGATCATGTGTGGTGTAGGCCGTACCGGCACATTCTTCGCCTTTGAGGAAGAGGGGGATGCTGTACCCGATATCATGACTATTGCAAAAGGCCTCGGAGGTGGATACGCTCCAATCTCGGGTGTTCTTGTCCACAAGCGAATTGTCGATGTCCTCCGCCACGGATCAAAGGCATTTAACCATGGCCATACATATCAAGCCCATCCCACATCTTGTGCAGCTGCATTGGCAGTCCAGAAAATTGTTGCGAGAGATGAACTGATTCCTAGATGTGCGACCATGGGAAAGATCTTGGAATCGAGGCTTCGGACCGAGCTGCAGGATTGTTGGTCCGTTGGAGACATCCGCGGAAGAGGATTATTTTGGACTGTAGAATTTGTTAAGAACAAGGAGACGAAGGAGCCATTCGACCCAGATATTCACTTTGGGGGGCGTGTTCAACAAGCTGCATTCGACAAAGGAGTCGCGCTCTACCCTTGTAGTGGAACGGTGGACGGTAAAAAGGGTGACCATCTAATGCTTGCGCCACCTTTCATTATTACCGAGGGGGAGCTAAGGACTGTCTGCAAAGTCCTGAGGGATGCTATTGAATCTCAACAACGGCTGTTATCATGAAAGTATTGAAGCTGGGTCAATGGTTGCCATCGAATTCAATAATTGCGGAGCGAGGCGGACTGATATATAAACTGTTAGTCTATCTGGTCTACCCGATCCAGTCGGGAGTGGTTCTACTAGGTCACAGGATAACCTACGTAGCTTGTCCCTCTGCCCTTAGCAGTGGAATCTCAATTTATATTCTAATTGATCCAATAGCATCCGGAACTGCACAGGTTACCTGTTTGTGGCTCAAGGAGAGTTCATCCCTGTCATGCCAAGAACAAGCATAAATCATCCGTTGATGGAACTTGATCGGTTCTCATATGAGAGGACAACCGCTGCATAGGCACAGTGAAAACCCCCCATTCATTTCGAGGTATCGGAATACAAGTAAAGTAACGCTACCAGCCTCAAAGAAAACACGCGACCGCCGAGGGCCAGATACCAGAAGATCAAAAGCTTCATTGATGACGCCATGATAGAGAATGTAGAACGCTAGCGCTTGCAAGGAGGGGAATAGTGACCGTAAATGAGAGTAAGAGCAGATAGTCGGAGCGATGCATGGATGAATGGTGATTCGGGATCCATGGGGGGAAGAAAATTGAATAAAAGTAGCGCATATTTGAGGCGAAAGCCCTCGTACTCAATAATCCACCGCAGGGTATCCCAGCCTATCGTTTGAATCGATAACCCTGCGTTTGATATTAGTACGATATGGAACGATCCAACGAGTGGTTTGGCAAACTTACGAGTACTGCTTGGTGAGAGTTCCCTCCCCACCTTTAGACAAGTCGATGTTGAAAACGTAGAAATTTCCATCACTGGTGACTACCATAACCTGAGGAGTATTGCTACTCATAGCAACGACACTCCTAAGCGGACCGGTATTGCCATTTCCACCTGCACTCTGATTTGACCGAGGCAGCTTGAACCATGCAAAGTCTCGTGCGGGCTCCCACATTTCGCTAACTCCCTTGGGAAGATACCCACCCACTCTTGCAGCAACGGCTCCACCGACGTTTTGAGATGTCCGGCGAAGCATGCCCATTATTGTGCCGTTGTGCTTTCTAGCTCCCAAATCGGGGTTGCTCTCGCCACCGTACTCATCCTCCTCCTGCTGTCCAAAAGGGCCAGCCCCGGAATGAGAGTCGCGACCAACTGGAGAATGCGCGGATGAGCCATCTGAAGAAGGGCCTTGTTGGGTCAGCTTGAAGAGATGGATTGTCTCAGTGGAAGAGGAGACGCAGAGCAAGGTGGATGTAGTGTTGAAGGACATGCTGTAGATGCGGGACGGCATAGATCCACGTCTGAACTGATATAGTTTGTGGCCATCCGGGACGGAGAAAACACGAATGATAGTCCCTTTGTCTGAGGCAGTTGCGAGCAGTGTACCATCGCTGTTCAAGGTGATGCAGGCGAGTGGGGAACGATGCGCTTCGATGACGTTGATTGCTTCTAGCTTTACTGCATCGAATATAAGGACGTCTCCGGTGGTGGGCGAGACATGCGATGTACCCGGAGGAGCATGCGCGGGTTGTTTGACTGTGGCGGGGGCCTTCTGAGGCAGAGGGTATGCCATGTAGCAGTTATCCGACGAAGGCGCCAGGGCACAGATAGCTGGACCGAATTAACAAGCATGTTATGATAACGGGTATCGAGGTATAGCATACCGTGCGGGTTCGGCGAGGTATCAATCGTGGACAATAGCCCCATAGTCTGAATGTCATAGAGGTAGATTTGATCCTCGAGCACGATGACCAGGCGTTTTCGATTAAGCTTCACAGAAAGGACTGTGGTCGGGAATGTCAATTCACATATTGTGCTTTGACGCTGCTCAAGAGACAAAAATACATCAGACCGACTGATTCAAGCTTTTCTTCCAATGGTACTTATGGCGTGGACGCAAGCTCCTAACGAACCTTGGTGTTCGTGATCTGTAATCGCCGAGGAGACAAAATAAGGGCGACAAGGGAGGTCGAGAAAAGCATCTCAATCACGGCTATATTTCCTTCTTTCGTTTCATAGCTCTTGGCGAAGGGGTCGGTCGTGAATATGCGGAAACCCTTGGAGGTGGCTGGCTGACGTCAGTGAAAGGCCCGAAGTTCGCACGATGCGCTCAGTTGGAGAGCCGTTCGGGGAGCTCACCAACAGCGAGGTAGCTGTAGTCCTGGTTGAAGGTAACAAAATTCATCGCCATCTTGACTAATAGTCGTGGTGCCGCCTGGGATTAGATATAAGAGCCGCTGAGGGGGGATATTGCACCCCACTTGGAGGAAGCGCGACGGAGAGATTGGTGGCCGTGCGAGATAGGAAAGGGTCGCCCGTCACCGATAAACGCGTAGCATCGCTCACAAGGGTTCGGGACTAGGCGCAGCGAGGATACCGAGGGAGACAGGTGTAGAGGACGGTTGGAGAAAGAACCTTTGTCGTCGCAAGCGAGTTGGCCGAGGCGCTTGGGCCACACCTTGATTCCCCACCGCTTCCAATGTCCTTATCGCTCTCGCCTTATCGTCACTCTTTGCTACATTGTCCATCAACCTACCGCAATCTGAAGGGTCAAAAGTAATCTGATCACTGCCAAGTCCAATCTCATGGGATACCTAGAAATTCAGGACGTGCACCCTATCAAAATTGAATGATGAAGGTCTTTGGTTTGGCTGTAAATGCTGTGTGATACAGAAATGAAGCACTTCTCATTGCCCTTGAATCTGACCCGTATTAGGGGCTATCGACTATTAGCCTGCGCGATAACTGTGTGCCCATTAAATATGCCATGATTGAAATATGCCATGAACAGACGGTTTGTTCACTGTTCACTTGCCATATGCGACTTTGAAGAGTGTGATATTCGGGTGTAAGCCCCAACGGCAAGAATCGTACCGATCGTATCGTAGAAGAAAATAAACCCAAACGTTGCTACACGTATGCAGTATCAGCTCAGGTAGATGGACCAAAAGCGATGAAATATCATGTCCACCGAATTATGTTCGAAGAAGAATTATCCCGTCTGGAGTCATGTTTTTTCAGAGAAGGCACTACCCAGGAGCTGTAGCTCAATGTATCATTCAGCCGACCGACCAGGATAAAATTGGGTCTCTATCGAGGTCATCTAGGCGTGCGCTTCTCGATAAATTGCCAGGACTAACGATATCGCTCCCCTAGTAAATTTGGGCAATACTCCGCAAACAACCCTTAAGCCTTAGCCACAAGGAATGACAATTACCACCATGTAAGAGGTATATAACCACCCTATTACGTCAAATACTGCGATTCTCTAATATAAACGCGTGATTGTTGTGTGATATCTCCACTCAAGCATGACATACTATCCTATCTTTCATACACGACGAATTCCGTGGTCTATTTGCCACATTATGCCAGGACGCCTGCTCTCGATAGCTGTTGCGTACACCAGTGATAGTGCCCGACATTCAGATCTGCTCTGTTCCCCCAGTCATGTTTCAGGTACGGCGACGCTGACGTCTCGCTTTGGTTGTTTCAGTATTTATTTATCCTGGAATGCGGAGGTGCAGAGGCATATTCAAACCCAACGTCGTCCTGATTCATACAAGGATTTGGACAGCCAATGATTTCATGAGATTATAAGTCTTCTAGTCCACTGGTATCAATCTTTGGGCTAATTTCTGGTACGTGATTGGCAAAGGCTGGCAAGAATCGAACCGGACGATGGAGTTATAGCACCTCACTCCCTGGACCCAGAATGGCAATCATGATACCAAATTGGGAGAGCCACCTTGGGTAATTGGAATCACGAGTGCTAAATATACAGCCTAAATGGGACAACTACCGTTTTACATAGGAGCGCCGTTATTAGCCCCAGACCATCCAGTTAATCAACGGCCACGTCGCTTGCACGACCGAAGGTGATCAGATGTTCATGCCGTGGAAAAGAAGGATCCGAAGCCGCTCTTCCTGTTGTACAATAAAACAATACATGGATCAAAAAAGATATAGACTCATAGCCAATAAGTCTAGGACCCGGGAAGGCGGGGACATCATAGGTTGGCAAAGACGGGCGACACGGCAGCTACCCATATCACACGACCGGGTCAGATATGCCGTGCTGCAAACAAGAGCCAGGAATGCTTGTAACAGGGTGTTTTCAAGACAAGATATCCGTCCAATTTGACCAGGGGAGCTTCCAATTTGCCGGATTTTGAGGGTAAAAGCAAAAATTCTTGACGCCATTTTGACGAGGTTCATGCAGGCGGTTGTTTGAGGACTTGGATCGGTCTCGTCGAAGCAGCCACCCATCGGGCCGCCAAATATGCAATGCAATCAGTCCAAGGGGGTGTAGTTCGTTGTTCGCGAGGATTTAATTGATCATGGATGGAGGATGGCGAATAGTTCGCCGCTATTATGACCTAGTCGTCTCGCTACCAATTCGCTCGCATGCTCTCCAATAATGAATTCGGAATAGATCAGCCACATCGCCACATCCCTTGTCAAGACAAAGCAACACTGTTGACCTGTCAACAAGTCGAGGATGCAATAGCCGCCCGAGACTAGATAGTTCGGTTCTGCGTGATGCGGCCAGGGTCTTCGGTCCAGTCGGATACAATCAATGAACGGGCTCCATATCCCGTTGCCAACGGCCTACAAATAGATGCGAGCAAGCGCGATATACATCACCGGGACCAAAAGTCGTACTATAACCGAGGATCGGCAGCGGGGTTGCCAGGTTTCTGACAGACCTCAACCAGGCAAGGCCGCCTATTGTGCTTGATGGCGCAGGGGTACAATGAGTGGGCCAATTATTCTGTGTAATTTAATACGTCTTTGGAACAAAGGTGATGTTTGGATGAAGAAGGGGAGGAGGAAGAGGGGGTGATGAATGCGCCTTGGCGGGGCTTGAGAGAGAGTACCTGAACTGTGGTTGGGATAGAAGCGTCATGGGAGGGGCGACGAGTCTTACATGATCATAGAACGGGATCATTACCTGGCAATTGGAAGAACCTTTACATATGCCAGAGTTGACCAGGTGTTTTAAATGGTGGATGGTGTTCTCGTTCAAGGTTGGCCCGGGTAAGCCCCCTCCAGGAGTACCACTCGGGACGACAGCTGTGGAATATACTTTGGGCACCAGTAGACACTCCCTCGTCGTATATCGCCTATTATTAGTGACAGGGGATCTTGCTGCGGATAGCTCCATCACGTTCTACCGTTCTCCCCCTCTCGTAGCCTCTGAGATCGTCCTCGTCCTCGTCAAGTCGAAACACCCGGTCGGAAAGGCACGGCAGACGTTGAAATAATTTCTCGCATAGCACGACCCCCACTTGGCGGAGTGTGGATCGCATTGGCGATCCGGGGGAAGCCCCAGCTCCTTGGTGCCATCTTGGAAACCGGTCTCGATCCCCAGTGTGGAGTTTGAGTTAAGAGGGTTTTGCGAATTGCCTTCGATGGTCATGTTACGTCGTAACGGTGGGAGTATTTCCACCTCGATTTCCCCGGTCGCAGGAAGCATAACGCCTCGAGAATGTGCGTACCAGCACTCCACCCAATCCATTATTAGTGTTCCGATATCATATTTGTTATCACCGTTGTTATCCGGTGAATCAGAAAGCACGAGCGTAAATTGAGTTTGAGCTTCCAACCACGGTTCTTGGCCGGGGGGTGGTGGTGTGGAAAGTATGTCCGCCAGAGTTGTAAAGTAGGATGTATATTATGTAGTCAGGCCCGAGGCGTGAGATATCCAAGTCGGGTAGATCTCTTGGTGGTGGATGCCAATCCAGTGACCAACAGCGGTGGCAGAACTAGCGCGAGGCTAGCAGTTGTGCGGGGGGGGGGGGGCTCGCTTTCTCGCTTTCCTTTGTTTGGCGCCACGAGTTGATCAAAAAGAAGAGGAGGGGAAGGGGGGAGCAGAAAAAGTGGAGGCAAGCTGGAGTAGTGCCCCGGACGCACAGACGGGACAAGCAGGGCCGAGAACGAAGGAGGGGGGAACGGATAGGGACTGGATCGGGGGAGGAGGGAGAAAGGCCGAAAGCTAGCAATCTCAGCGTCATCGGAAAGGGAAGGCAGATGGTGGGCGGGGAATGATTGGCTAAGCCGGGGGCGGGGGGGCGGCGCATGGGACAATCGGAGGGGAAAAAGACGAAGCAGTAGATTGGAGAGGGTACTTTTGGTACTTTTGGTCCGCGTCCCACCGAGCAGTTTGACCGTGAGAGAGTTGTGTTGGAACATCGAAGTCTGGAAAGTAGACCGTACTATTGGCTACGATACCAATCGATCTGGGGAATGACTTGGCTATGATTCTCTAAATGGTAACTTTGTATTCTTATCTTATTCCTTCTAGCAAGAACTATGGCCGGCTAGCTATCATACTTTATGCAGCAGTATCCGTACGGTAGGTAAGACTCGTAGAGTATGTGGAGAGGAGTGGGGACCTCTCCATCGAGCCATGGGCGGGACCCGGGGCAGACAATGACGACGATGATAAGTGATGATGATGATGATGATGATAATCAGAGGCGGAGGAGGAGGTAGTCAGCGAGACCCAGAAGCTATAGGGAGGAGTAGATATAGACCCAATCTGATCTAGGAGATCATGAGAAGTGATTGGACCACCCGTAGGATCGATAATCAAGTATTAGATTTGTATGCAATACACCTTGCCGGTATTATCATCTCCACCTGCGAGTGGAACTTTGGAGGTACATCCCGCCGATGTATCTTTGTACCTCATCACACACTTCCTCTCCCACTCCGGCACCTTGCCATCTTGCGTCTTGCTGCTTGCTATCCTCCCCTCCTCCTGTCCTCGCTCTATCTTCTATACTATTAAATCCACCCCCTTCTTTGGATGTCCTTTTTTTTCACACAATATTCTCCTCACCCTGGTGCTCTCTTCATTGTCCTCGCCTTCCGATCCATTCCTGCCCCCTTGCTGGTCCGTCCCTTATCTCTTGACCTCGTATGACTGTGACCTGTATGGACCACCCTCCCTTCACATCCTCACCTGATACCTCCTCCTCCTCCATCTCGTTCAATACTCCTAGTCGTCCCTAACAGATTTCCGTCGCAGATTTGACCCCATTCTGCGCGACTGAACGGAGGGCATCATCTCTCCCACTCGTTCACCCTCCAAGACCCAGCATCCACAAGAGATGTGATCGGTGATCCACCCGATCTCTGGCTGCCGAATCCTGATACAACGAGACTCCCCACCTATTTGCGATCATCCACTGTGCGCCCTCGGCCAGCCCATTCATCATGGCGACCGTCGTGGTTCAGCAGCAGCATACATTGCAGCATTCGACCCCGCCGCCTTCACCTATTCCCACTGCGCTCGCCATCCCCCACCGAGTTAGCCCAATCCCGAACAAGCATCTGCCCGTCTGCCCAACTGGGCCCTCCCCATCGGGGCCTGCCTCCCAAGAGTCCCCGGGGCTCCGATCGGCCAATGACCAGACGTCCTCTCTCCTGTATCCCCCAGAGGGCTTCGTACGTCTGTCGCGCCCGCCATCACCAACGGTCTATGCCCTTGATGGCGAGAAACTGGCTGCTGCATTGAATCACTTGGCAGCACAGCCTCTGCCAGATCCATCGCAAATGTTCCCCTGGCTGCACGGTCTGCATCCGGACAACCATCTGCAGTTGGGCTTCTTCTCCAGTCGCAAGCGCTCGCTGCGTCGAACCCCGAAATGCTGGCGCGGCATCACTGTGATCAAGCTCGGTGGAGATCTGAGCAAGGCACGCATCAAGGGTGCTGTGACCGCCCAAGAGGTGATAACTCCCTCGGCACGCTTCTTGATGTGCGATCCACCCGAGGGATTTTCGGTTCGGAACTTCCAGATCCAGACGGCCAAACTGGCTGCAATGTCAGATATTGTGGTCTATGCCGAAGATGGATCTAGTAGATCCGAGTTGCTTGCGTTGGCGGAGGATTTCGCAACGGCCCAGCAGGCCTGGAGACTGAAGCATGATCCCGCCCAGGAGCGTCCGGCATACAACACCTTTGTCCTGACTAGTGAGTTGCCCCGCGTCTGTGATAGAAAAGCTTCTTTCAACTCACACCCGATCTAGGTAGCCTTGCCGAGTTCGAAAAGAAATGTCCCGATATGGTGGCGATCGACTCTCATGGCCATGCCACGGGTCAAGTTATGGACTTTTGTAAGTTTCACTCCCACAACACGAACTCAAAAGGGTCACTCACTTACCATCTGCCAGTTCAATGGGAGCGAATTGAGATGTGCAGTATGTCCCGAGCATCAGAAATTTCCGCCAATGTCTTCCTTGGACCTACCCCAGAGTATATCCTGAGACCAGGCACTTGCCAGCCGCCCAAAGAGGAGGCCTATGATCTTTTGATCGAAGCCAGCGATTTGGCCAACATCCCCGGTCCTCGACTTCTCGGCATGATTGACAAGCAACTCGAAGGCGGCACTCAGCGTATGGAGTTTCCCTCGTCGGGTTCGATCGTTCTTCCCTCCGGCAATACCCGTGAAGTGGAAGACATCGTCAATACGATCCGTTGGATCTATTACTTGGCAAACCCAGAACAGCCTGCCGAGGTAGTTGACCACGAAGGTGATGTGGCCATGACCCAAGCTGGAAAAAAGCCCTGCCGAGTGTTGATTCACTGTGCCGATGGATACACTGAGAGCTCGCTGCTCGCCGTCGCATATTATATGTTTGCCGAGGGAGTTCCTGCCCCGGAGGCATGGCTTCAGCTGCATTGTAACAAAAAGCGCAACTTCTTTACCTACCCGACAGACGTTGCATTCCTGAGCCACATTCAGCCGCGTCTGTTGCAAGAGAGTCCTTCCTCGCAATCTATAGATACATCGTGTATCTGGGATCCCGACTGGTTCTTGAAGATGGATGGATCTCTCCCTAGCCGGATTTTGCCGTATCTGTATCTGGGTAATCTCAACCATGCGAATAACCCGGACTTGTTGCGGGAGCTCGGCATTCGACGTGTCTTGAGCATCGGCGAGCCTGTCAATTGGAGTCACGAGGAACGCCATAAATGGGGCGGTGACCACCTGATGTTCATTGACAATGTGCAAGATAATGGCATCGACCCTTTATCAGAGGAGATTGACCGGTGTCTGGAGTTCATCGGTATGTTGACATGAGCGTCCCAACGTTCTGGAACCTGCCCCGTGTGGGTTATTTGTTCTGTGTGTTTGATCACTAACGATGTCACAGGCAAGGGAAAGAGCGATGGAACCGCAACCTTGGTTCATTGTCGCGTGGGTGTTTCCAGATCGGCCAGTATTTGCATCGCTGAGGTGATGGCCTCTCAGGGCCTGTCCTTTCCTCGTGCCTAGTATGTCAACCTTTCCCTTTTCTCGTGAAGAGCTTCCCATCTGACATCACTCCCACCCAGTTGCTTTGTCCGGGCTAGACGGTTGAACGTGATTATTCAGCCCCATCTTCGATTTGTGTAAGTTGTCTATCTCCATCTTTCGCTTTCCCGTCGCTGACGAATACACAAAAGCTACGAGCTTCTACAGTGGGAACAACTGCAAAAGCAAAAGCGAGGCACCCCTTCAAAACGCGAGTTAGAATGGGCGACCGTCTCGCGTGAGATCGCTCTCCTGAACAAACCGTACTCGAGAACCTGATTTACAGCACAATGCTACCCTCATACCGTCAGCCTCTTCTTCGAAACCCTGCATACACTTCTCGAAGCTCCGACTTGATAGGCCCGCTTTCGATATTCTTAATATTTGTTCGTTCACTTTGGTGAATTTCACCGTTACCTTGCGCATGGCCGATTTTCATCATACCGGCTCCTTTTTGATTTCTCTCCGGCCATGCAGGACTTTTGGTTCTTTTCCTATTATATTCGGACGATTTGACACACGACTTTTTGAACGAGGGATGACTTGTTGATTGATTTGTATTTGAGTTTGGCGCTGGGCGTTGCGAGAATTCCCCCGATGGATCGATGGCAATGATCCAACCACATGGATTGACGATGCAACGCTACATCTTACCTTGACAATTTCCTACCACACTTTTCCGTTTCGACTTTGCAACCATGGCAGGTCAATTTCCCTTTCTTCCATGTCTCCGGGTTACGCACCGCTTTTACCTTTTTATTTCTTCCGGGGACTTTCCGATGCCTCATTGTCCACACCATCAGGCTGCAGAATATGGATAATTTGTGTTCCTTATTGTACTTCATCATCTCTGAGGTCAGGAATATCGAGCGATCATCCCTACTGATACAGGGTTTGTGGGCAGATTTTTCGCGGTTCATGGATCTTATGTGCCAAACTGACACCGCATTTCTTTTTTTCTTTCTTATCTTTTTTATACCTTCAGGCTGTACTGGATCAAGGCCATGTGTTACAGGGTATGGGCAAGGACGGGCATGGTCAATCGTCAGGACTACGGGATCTACAGTATCTTATTTTGAATGCTATCCAGGGGTCTGGAGTTTTTCTTTGTCTTTGTAACTTGTATCCTATATTCGTAACTGATAAGTCTACGGTTCGTGCCGGGTTGTTTGGGACGCTTAGCATCGCTCAAATACTCTGTAAAGACCCTTTAGATCGGCAACCTCGACTACTCCCTTAAGCATTCGGGATGTAGCAACCAATCGCGAGCGAATGGCCGGGAAGACAGCATGCTCCAACATTCTCATCATCTGCGCACGGCGCGCCTGGATTAATGGATCTTCGTTCCATTCTACTGGGTCCTCTGCGTTGGGTTGGGGGCGTTCCTGCCCGGCCTCCGTAATGGGATTCGCTGAAAGATCCCTCGACGGCGGTGACGGGAGAACTGGGAGTTGCTCTGGTGTATAAAAGGCAGCCAGCTCACGCAAGAAAGTACGGAAGCACTCCTCCTCGCCCGTCCAGTCCACGTACGGACCAAGACGAAGTAGGAAGCGCGGTAGCTTCGCTAGCGATGGGACATACCCCTTCAAGAGCAGCGGGAGCGTAAGCAACTCCCCGTCTTCACTGACTTTCATCGAAAAGTACTCGTCAAGCATCTCCCGTCGCTCGACCAGGGTCCGGGAGATTGATTCCGCGGCCTTGACCAGAATGCTGGCAGCTTCCGGTTTATTTCCGTCTGCTTGTTCCTCTGTCTCGGCATCAACTGCAATTTTCAGTAGATCGACCAGCTTCGGCGGTGGATCTAGGGTGATCACACCGAAGTTTCCAAAATCTGTTAGGCCGACTTGGTAGAATAATTCGTTGCATGCGAGTCCATAGTCTACCAGGTAGAGTTTCACGCCAGATTGAATGGCGACGAGACGGCGTCGCTCGTCTACCAGGCCGACGTATGTGTGTGACGCAAACATCTCGGTCAATGTGTTGTGCATGGTGGCACGAACGGCGCTGCGGAGATTTTTGACAGATGTCAGGGCGATTCGGAGTGGCTGGCGATCTGTGATCTCGTACTGTAGTCCGTCATCTTGAATGGCGGGTGGTGGGATGCCGGGCTCGGTAGATATACCCTGGCCAGACGGTGATGGTACGGGTGCGGGAGTGAGCATCGAGGTGATTTTGCGGATTTTGGAGTCCGTTCGGACTAGATTATTTTCGTATGGGCGTTTCATTGGTGCCGGTGTCTTGGGAGTAGCCGCTGCTTTCCCATCCGCGGCATCATCTTTAGATGATGGTTGAAGTGTTTCGATGGTCTGTACGCCCGGAAGGAGACTTTGAGTGAGAAAGGTACGACTCGAGTCGACTTGAGCTAATTTGGACCTGATCTCGTCGCAGACCATCTCGATGATCTCGTCTTCGTTCAAAAAGTTGACCTCCCTCTTCGTCGGGTGGACATTGACATCGACGCGATTGGGTTCGATCTCTAGGTCGAGATACAGGAAAGGATGGCCACCTTTAGGCAAGAAGGCTGAGTAGGTCTGTTCCACGGCCCGTTTGATTGCGGTCGATTCGACGGCGCGATGGTTGATGAAGAGGAGGATAGCGGTCTTCTTAACATGGTAGTTGGCGTTTGTCGCAAGACCCGAAGCACGAAAACCAAGCTTATCTTCAGAGACTTTGAACTCGACCAACTCGTTGGCGACCGCGCTACCGTGAATTTGGCGAATCCGGTCAATTGTATTGGCAACTGACGGGGTCGAGATACTGACCCCTGAATCGCCATGCTTGCGACATGAGAAAGCGACTCCAGCACAGTGTACCGCATACCTGCCGACCACGTCGAGGATCTTGGCATACTCTTCACTTGCTGAGCGAAAGGCGCGACGACGAGTGGGAACATTGTAGAACAAATCCTCCACCTATTATCTTTGTCAGGACCATTTAGTTCTCTGCGCCAGCACGGCCAATACTCACGGTTATCTGTGTCCCTCCTCGTCCAGCCGTAGCCTTCGGCGCAGCAGGTTGACCTGGCTTAGCCGGGACAAGCTTGCCATCACCGTAGTGCGCTCGCCAGGCACAGCTGGATCCCGCGGTCTTTGTTGTCACCGTCAAGTGAGCAATATGACTGATACTTGCCAACGCTTCGCCACGGAAACCGTATGTTCCGATAGAAGAGAGGTCTTCGAATTCTTTCAGTTTGGACGTTGTAAATCGCTCGCAGAGGATGGGAAGATCATCACGCTAGATACTATCAGCAACCATGGCCCTTTTATTATATCCATCATATCAAGTCTTGGCCAACTTACGTCAATGCCATGTCCATTGTCCGTAATTTGTAGTAGCTTCAGCCCACCATCTTTGACGAGAACCTCAATCGATGTGGATCCCGCATCCACGGCGTTTTCAATCAGCTCCTTGAGTGCGTGCATCGGCGCGACAATGATTTCTCCAGCGGCAATTTTATTAACAACATCGGGATCTAGGGCCTTTGGAGCTCGATTAGCTCATCGATGATCTGGTAAAGCGATGGCAGCGTTATGGCTCGACGATTTCTCCTACCTTGATCCGCTTCGGCTTAGGAGGTTCAGAAACATCCTTCTCCTCCACTGGGCGCTTCGTGCCCCGCAACTCAGGTACATCGACATCCATCTCGCCCTCCATGTCGAGCTAGGCAGTGCGTCGCGTGTTGGCGTCGTGGCGTGGAGAGGAAACACGAACGGCGACGAGGCGATAAGCCGATAAGCCGATAAGCCGATAAGCGCTGCTGATATCATTGTTGGTGGATCCGTTCACTTGGTTAGACCTCTCCCTATCTCCCGACCTGCTCAGTCCGTCGGTATCCTGAGCATTGAACGAGGAAATATTTGTTTTCAATGCTACATTCAAGGACACAGGATAGTAAGGCGCCTGTGTATACATACTATGGCGCCCACAAAGATGCCCTTGCGGGCCGATGAAGAACTGGGCAAGAAGGACGATGATCACCGAATCCCCGATCCAACAGGGTTTCGTCTCCTTCAAAATTCAAGAATCCATCGCCCCCGGCGTCTTATAGCAGTGCTGGCTACACTTCTCCTTCTCTACGAGTTTTTCAAGCACATGCCCACAGACTTGACACCTGCGGCCGAACGATACAATCCGAAGATCGCGGCGCTTAAAAAGCAGAATCCCACGCCTCCTCTGGCATCGGTACACTCGCCCACGCCACCAAAGGTTTACATTTCACAAGAGGTAAACATAGACCACAAGGAACAAGCGGAACAGGCCTCTTATGATGGCAAGATTCATTTCTACGAATTGGCTCAATCGCTGCCCCGCACACAATGGCCTGCGACGTTGGCTAGCGAGGTAGTATTATTTGCCGCTGCAAGTCTTCGTAGTGTATCAGATATGCTGCCATTGGCTTGTGGAATGGCTGCCAAGCGTGTGAATCATGTTCATTTTGTCTTGATGGGGAAGGAGGAGGTGTCCATTGATGGCATTAAACAGGTGAACGGGATCAGCGACCACGAGTGCCCAATAACCTGGCATGGTACGCTGTTCATCACCACTCAATAATTATCTAGTTTTCTTGATATTAACACCTTGTGACAGACAGCCGACCAGACCACGCACCCGAATCTACCCATGACCGACTGGAAAGGTCGGTGGCAGGGGGGTTTGAGATCCTCCAGGCGTTCATTGTTCCAGAAGTCATGATCACGCAGAGTCGAGACTGGGAAACATCTTTCTTCTGGAACGGTATCAATACACATAAGAGAGCGTCAAATACTCCTCATATTGCACTTCCTGCCCCTTCGATCAATCTCATGTGGATGGCGCATATTGATAGCACTGCTCTTCGAGGCAAGTCTCTTGGTATCACCATGATTGCAATCCTTTCGCAATACTGACTTTCTACCAGTCTGGAACGATGTCCATGTCGACCTGGTAGTCCATGCATCTGAGTCATCAAGCTCCCTAATTCGGCTAATCCGGTCATTGGATGCTGCCGATTATCTAGGTATCGAGCCCCGTTTGACCATCGAACTACCTCCCTGGGTCGGCGCAGATTTGTTAGAGAGCTTGCAAAGTCTGAACGGGCTGTCTCAATTGAAGGGACGCATTACCCTGCGGCGACGTATCCAACCCCACGACATGGACCCGGTCGAGTCTTCCCTTCGCACTGTGGAAAGCTTTTACCCTTTAGATCCGAAAGTGTCACACTTGCTCTTGTTGTCTCCCCAGACGGAGCTGGCCCCGTCATTCTATCATTATCTCATATATAGCCTGCTGTCTCATAAGCATTCTGCTCGTGCACAGCGGGGGGCATCGAGACTCTTAGGCATTTCGCTAGAATTGCCATCTGTGAAACCAACTTCCGAGAGCGAGGCATTTACTCCACCGGCGCAGCAGTCTGCTGATCCGACTCGAGATTCCAAGCAAGAAAATATTCCATCCTTCCTCTGGCAAATGCCTAACAGCAATGCAGCACTTTACTTTGGAGACAAATGGGCCGAATTCCACTCGTTTCTTTCTAGTCGTTTGGCTATCCCAGAGACAACTGTCGACATTGCCTCGCGAGACAAGCTCCTGTCCAATAAATATCCCGCTTTTATGGAATATCTACTGGAGATGATAAGAGCCAAAGGATACTACATGATTTACACCTCGTTTCCAGGACATACGGCCGCACTTCTGGCCACGATACATACAGACCTGTATCATCCTCCCGAGGAATCCGCACATGGAACTCACCCCAAACTGCCTAACGTGATTGGAGGATTGTCAGCCGAAAAGCCGCTTGACCGTGCGCATACCCTGATGCCTCTGCTTGACACGTTCGAACTTGGGCAGCCTCTCCTTGAGTCGATTCCTTTGCTTTCCTACGATGCAGAACCCTTGACAGAAGAAATGTTTCAAATGCAGACCATGGACTATGCGAATGACTTCAGAACTCGATATGGAAATTGCTCTCAAGGCGAGGACTTCGTCGATGATCCTTCTGCACACCTGTTCTGTCTCGAAGTATGATCTGTTGAAGTCTAGAGGATCTTTCCATCCTACAAGTGGGCGGCGTTGTGAAGAAACAAGAATCTCTGACGGCAATTTTGAAGATGATCGAAATTTGAAATTAACACCCAACTTGAGTTCCAAATCCCTTTGACAATTATGTCAGTAATCTAGGTGACGATAAAACTGTCGCCTCGGGAAAAGATCAACTCCCGCAGCACAGGGTGAGTTAGCCACCTCGCCGCCCTGAGCAGCTCACGGAGCCTCAATGAAAAGCTCCGTAAACAACCTAATGGCTCACCACAATGCTTAGGCTGCACCATCTTTATATTAAGGGATATGTTGTAGCCACTTCATAGCTTTCTGAGCGAGCGAGCCAGACTCCACGATCTCTGAATATCACGTAGTTCTGTAGGCCGAGGTTCTAGGTCAGCCAGTGAGGCAACGGGTTTCTGCTCTTGCAAAGACTTCTGCGATTCCGGATATCCCTTGCCGGATTATGGAAGTGCAACTAAAGCTGATTATGGAAATGCCGGCCTTCATGATGTACTTTACATTGTGGGCTCTCAAGGAACCGATAAGTCGTGGTCAATTAATTAACTCGAAGTCAGGCCGACGAGCTGTAGGTCTATATTTCTGGCGAAGAAACCCAATGAAGTGCTCTCAAATACTGATGTCGAGCATATTCGTAGGCGCAGATCTATTATCGTATATACTTCAGTATTATCTAATCTACAAGAAGCGCACACGTAGCTCAATAAGAGAGGGCAGAGCAGCTATAGTTAGGCACTGTGGTTGCTGATGAAGCCATCCAGAAGATATCTAGGTACAGAATATGCGTATAGCTATGGGTGTATGTACGTATCCGGTCACTGTACTCTATATCATGCCATATAAAGTATATGGATATCCTGGAGGTCATTTGACCCTTCAAAACTATCAATGTAACCCAACTCGGTCACTGAAGGTGAATATAAGCCCAATTGTGAAAAAGTCGGTGTGATGCCAAGTTTCGACCTACTAGAAAAATTGCAACTACGAACGTAGGGTTCTTTTGATCGGACGGGTGGGAGGAGGGGAAGGGGGGTGAAGATCATGTTGGGAATCGAATTGTTGATGCTTGAGGGATCATGGGACCTTGGATTTTCTTGCCAACTTTGACTGATCTCATTATGGCTCTCGCTATTCCCTCGCCAGGTCTGTCGTTGATTCCGACCGATCAGGAGAACTCAGCCAGCCATTGAGGGGAATGAGCGGGCTCTCCGAGATTCTAGAGCTTCAACGTGTGGTTGATAGCAACTACAAGCGACCTGCACAGGTCGCGTGGTCCTTGGGCCAAAGTAAACGAACTCAAGTTCGCGCCACACGGACTGAACCGCGCGGGGCCGCCGAAACCCCTGGTATAGATGGTAATTTAACAGTGTATTGTATACGTTACATACCATCCAGTTGAAACTGGGGCGATACGTGACAGAACGTATCGGAGTAATGCGTGAGAACCTCGCGTATTTTAGCCGCAATATGCAAATCTCCAGGATCAAGTTTACTTTGATTTGCAATGTATCCAGGTAGCCCAGATCCAGCTGAGCTACAGGGCATCAGAGTCAAGTAGTATGAAGTAGCCGTAAGTTTAAATACCAGACTGTCCGCGTTGCTCTCATCTCCCTCATCACTTTCTCTTCTATTACCTCCAAGCTTGTGCCAGAAACCCAAAGGCACGCAGCAAAGCGATGGCTTCTGAACCAGTACAACCAGCCGATCCGGTTCTGGCACAGCCATGGGAAAAGAATTATAAAGTCGTGGAGGTTGATGACGTTTGTACAGTTAAGAAGCTGTATCTGAAGACCTCGCCACTTTCAATTTCATGGACGCATGGACTGTCTGAATCGACTGAGAGCTATTATCAGCTTGCAGCTATCAATACTTCCAAAGGTTTGTCTCAAAAAATCTATGGTTCCGTGTGGCGATGCTCATTTATTGTGGTACAGAGAATGGCAAATTCTACCTTTTTGTTGCCAATAGCAAGATCTCCGCGTTCGAGGAACTTAATACCACCAAGGAATCTGCCGATGTGATTACTTTTAAAGTCACCAAAGACTTCCGATATGGCCAGAAGGAAGAAATTTCCAAGGAAGAAAATCCCAAGGACAAGGGCAAGAACGTACCCGTGAACCGATTTCTGGTGTATCAACTGAACGACAGTAACCATGATAAGATCTTTCAGGTGAGGAGGAACGATCAACCCTTTTTTTGATAAATCACAGTTGACCTGATATCCGTTCCAGCGCCGTTTCGTTAAAGCATCATGGGAGAAGTGGCGGAACATGTTGAGCGGCTTTATGGAGGGAGTTCCGAGTGTGAAGGAGGGTTATGCATTCCTCGACAGCACGCTCGGTAAATACGTCGGTGACAAGCTGGAAAAGTTCAAGTAGCCTTTTCGCTAGGGGTTGGAAAGTAACCCGCATCGGTAAACAGGATATTGATCCAGCTAAGATATGAAGAAAGTAGTTGAGATGTGAATGAAGCAATAAGAAAATAGTCGAAAAGAGCTCCATTGTGTTAGGTTCTTCTTTCATAAAATATCATGAAACAAAGAAACAATACCTCCATCGCCTAGGATTCCCAACCCAGATACGGGTTCGATCAAATAACAAGCGGGTTCTCATTGCGAAATGAATATCGTAAGCCATGGTTATACGATCACTCGTGATAATTAGTATATTTTCCGCCCTAATTATCTAGTACCAAATTTACATGTACATTTCAATGAGCCGTTGGATATCCTTCACAAATTCGTATTAACCAGTAAAAAACGATAGATGAATGTTTGAAGTTCTATACTACCTTACATTCTCAAAGGGCTTTGTACACGGTGATCATGATTTCTTCGAGGCCAAGGACTTCCTCAAATGCAAGTATCCTTCGATGGCAGTATACGGACCTGGCTCAAAGGTCAGACCCGGCTCAACCTGGCCCACCGTCAAGGGCATATAGACTTTTTCGCCCTCATCTTCATAGGGCTGCAGCCATGCCCACTTCTCACCCTGCATGGTATGAAAGCGGACATTTGAACGAACGGGCTCGACCTCCTCCCACCGGTCGGTCTGTCGACTGTCTTTCTGGTATGACGGCACTCCTGTACTCATTATCACAGGCCCAACCCGGAAGAAGGCGGTCATGTTCTGGAAGGCATCCTGCCATACAAACTCAGGAATCTGGAGAGATTTTGGTGGTAGGATGCCACTGTGAACTGTTACCGCTGTGAAAGGGTCAATGACAGCCGCCACAACTTGTAGATTCCCGCTGTAAGCCCGCTTGTAATCGCTGGGGCTGACAGTCTTCGTGGCCTTGCCTCCAGGAGAATATCGATTCAGGGGGGAAACCCACGTCGGCGACAGGGACATAGGAGGCTGGGCAATGTCAATTGCTGAGCGGGGATCCTTCTTGCCGTTATGATCTTCAACATAGAACGTATGTAGCCGTGTGAGATCAAAGTAATTCCCAGATTTTCTGTCCTTCTTAAGTGGTTTGAAATAGCCAAGCATGCCATCAAACAGACGATTACGATCACCGATTTTGACTGGTAACTTATAAACCTCCTTCGATGAGAGCAATGTTTGCTCGCCCGGTATGTGGTTGGGGAAAAAAGAGGACTGATTCGCATAGGCATCGCCAGCGAGTTCGAGGGACCATCCCATGTTCACCAGAGCCAAAGGTCTCCCGATGATAGAATTGACAGTGCCTGCATACGCCTTTGGCGGTGCTGGATTGTTGCGGCTAGCTTCGTTGATCATCCGTATGAAGCCCTTCAGATAATCAGGATCTTGAAGCTGCTTGATCAGCTTTTGCAGCTGTTCCTCTGCTGGTCGCTTAGCAGGAGTGCTATGCTCTGGCGGCCCGAATGGCAGCCACTCGTCCGATGTCAGCGTGCCCTTGGGCCCGCCAACGCAGATCTCGCGATAGAAAGTACCATCTGGGAGGAAAATCTGTAGGCCTCTGTTGGGAAAATTCACTACCATCCACCCCCAGACGGGACTTTCATCCTCCCCCAGCACGCGGTATGCAGGGCCCTCAATAATATCGACGAAATGAGCGTTGATGCGCGCCATCTGATTAATATGGGGGGCAAGCTGCACAAACTCGCAGACGCCTGGCTTGTCTGGATGGGGCGTGTTGGCCACAGCCGTATTGTCCGCACGGGGCGGCGGCCGCAGGCCTTCGCTGATACACGGATATAGAGGCTCGGCATCGTAGGTCTAATTATGCGTCAGACATCATTGTCGCGATGAAAAAGCATCACGAGTGTGGCACCTGAGCAACATCTAGGAGCATGAACTCGGCATCCTATCGATAATAGCTGAAAGATAGATTTGGCGATCCGAAGCGACGCTGTGACACATGATTCGAACTCTTACTAGATTAGGAATTCTTCAGTAGTCCACCTGGGTAGGCGACGATCAAAGTTTATGGTATGATTTCCCGTCCAGCTGAGTTCAGATCCTAGATTACGGTTTAGATTCAAGAGAGCCAACTTAGGTGTCGACGAAAAGCCACTGGGCATTCGTACGGAAAATGCTGCAGAGAAATAAAGCGATTGATACCGCTAGAGGTACCAAATCAACAATTGAGGCTGGGTTATCTTCTGTAATATATTTGTGACAGAACGCGTATATACCATACCATTTGTAGAAACTAGAATATTCCTGCTAGCAGAGCTGGGCCGTGCTCTATCGCTCACAATCAGCACGTAAGCGACAGATCAGCTATTAACATTCAGAGGGTTCCGTGCAAGTATATGGCTGGGTAGATTCAGTACTTATACCCTCAGGGCATCCCGTCTACTCACGCCGCATTCACATCTCCCAAGAGACATCAGAGTCCATTCAAATTCAGAATCAATATCGACAACATGGTGAACATCGAAACTGGCGATTGGATTCTGTTTGAGCGGACCAAAGCTGTGAAACGCACTATCAATTGGAGCGAAAGTGGACCGACTTCTTCCGACTACTATTTCCAGCGCGCACGATGGGCGAAGCAGATCGGAGGATTTAAAGACGAACAGAATGGTCAGTTGGCCGTGTTGTGATTCCCCCCAATACTTTGTTGATCCTGATCTTTTTAAGAATGTAATCTTTTTATTGCGGCCGAATTCTATGAAAAGGAATATATAGATATGTGGCCAGGTCAGAATCTGTCTGAGTTCCCACACGATACCTGTCTTTTCCGCGTGGACGAGCGCTTTCATTACGGACAGGGAATGAATGAGGCCAACCGGTACATTGTCTCTCATCCCCAAAATCGAGTGGATATACACCAGGTATGCTCCAAAGTTTTCGCCAGAAATTTCAAGAACGAGTGCTATGCTGAATAAACAACAATGTCAGGGTCGGTTCCGCTCCAATAATGCTGCTGTCGCGCTACTAGCGGCAGGTAATCTGATGCCGGATGTCAAGGTCGGCGAGATCACCATTCAACTGGATGAAAAATTCTTTAACACCCTGGTGGATACGGGTGTTACGCTCATAGGTGACAAATTGAGAGTCTTTGAGAAGCCACAGCCGCCAAAAAATCAGGGAGAGTTTTTCAAGAAATTTGGAAGGGTCCGTGTCTCCCTCTCTATAGAAGGAGTGGAAGCTAATTCTCTTCTTTGCAGAACAAGCCCCTCTGGTATGTGGAACCAGCTACGTTCAGGAAGCCCATCGACGAGCCCGAGAAGACCAAGCCGGGCAACTAGAGCCCGGAAGCTATATGTTCAGTGGGCTCCCATAGTAATAAACATGTTGTGTCACCTCCACAATCGATTCCGGAAGGGCGTTTATAGGGATTGTATGATTCAGAAAAACATTCAGAAAATGATACTAGGATAATGTGTCATGAAGTACCCATTCCTAAATCTCCTTTTCGAAGAGCTTGCTCTCGCGCTTTTCTCAATCGCTACAATTCACACTCTCTCCAATGGAAAAGAAAATATCATTCTAGATCTAAGGGCGCTTTCAGAACTGGGCAACCTTTGACCGGTTGCATCTATTCATCGGTCTCCTTTGTACATGAGGCCATCATCCTTCTCTTTCCAGTCGGTAGATTTAACAACACGTTCGATCTGGAAAATGTCATGGGGATAGTACTCGGCCTTCACTTTGCGTAATGGATCATATTCACTGGCATAAAATACGTTCTAGAAGTCAGGTTGCTGGGAGATATCCTGAAAAGTAGTAAGTGGCTGGTGCAGGGGTGATCTTAGTTTACAACTGACCGGTGAGAATTGAAGCAGCCAGACAAGGCACATATATTTCCAGATGATTCCATCATAACATGCAGTACCACCGTCAGGTTTGTGTCCAGGTACGTTGCTCCCTACTGACTACCATCCTCGTATCAGTTTGATAATACCCTCCAGGAACCAGTCCGTGCAAGTCCTCTGTGGACCGTTATCAATGAGGTCGGACGCCTTGTCCGGGTGAACAACATATCACCGGGATTAGCCCTAACTTTACAGAATTACGGTATTGAGTGTCGACGTTTTTCGAGGAGCATAGTCTTTCTTCATGTACCTGTGCGGGCGACGGCCTAGCCATGCCCCTGGCACATCTGCAGTGCTTCTATTTATCAAAGGTGGCCGACTTCACTCTAATTTCATCGCCATTATATTTTTGCCCTTCCAAATGAGATGATGCGGACCCCCATGCCCATCTTCTTCTAGGTTATGTCAGTGGGGAAATAATAATGCACGAACAGTCTTATTTTTAAAAACTTTAGCAATCCGGATCAATGGTAGATTATACAATTTCAATATTTCCCATGACATGACAGTAAGCTTCATGCTCTACCGATTGATTGAAGAAGCCGTATGTCTCACATCTGCATTGTTATGACAATAAAACCGAGTTTCATTCATCTTAACGACGCTTCGGCAAGGGCTAGAAGACATCAAAATGCGGACATCGAATCTTGAGTTGATTGCTGCAAAATGGCATGCTCAACGCGAAATCTGATGATTCCCGCTTACATCGGGTACTTACGATCTTCGTTCCATCCCATGATATCTAAACGGTCTCTCGCAGAAGTTATGTTGTCGTATGGACACGGACAATGAGGGCAGACGGATTTCTTCCTAGCCTTTTCTCGAATGCGGCGAAGTGCCGTCCTCTTTTTATCGCTCTCTGTAATCATACGGTATAATTGAAAGCAGGATTGTGAAGGTGGTTGAAAAATTGAACGATAGTCAGGCACAGCCAAAAGTCTCAGGCACAAACGTCCGTATATGACAATTTCCACATTGTCACTCGGAATCTTCGATGCGATATGGCAGAAGACCCCAGGAGTATTTCTTGAAGATTTCCCTTGTAGAATTCAAATCTCATTCGTTCATGATGATCTTGGTCAGCCGGGGACTGCGTCGAGGCAAAACAATGACGAGGGCTTGGCAGGATTACATAATCCGGAAGCTGCACCAGCCCGAGCTCTCTGCGCTTCCATCAACCAGCTTACAGACCACCACATCACCCGCTATCTGCAGGACTCTATCGCCTTCTCTCATTGAGTAGCTGCATACATCGCTGATTTACATTCGAGACTCCGTGACCCTTCTTGATTCCACACCGACCTGGTCGCCTGATACCGTCAGAGATGGCGAACGAGGGCGAACGGCCAACCTCTGCCGACAAGGGCAAGGGCAAAGCTGACGATGTTCGCGACGGCAAGAAGCCCCAGAAGGACGAGAAGGCCCCTGCTGAAGACAAGAAGAAGGATGGAGAGCTCCCAGAAGGTAGGCCATGACGACTACATTGTGCCCCCGGGTTTCGGAGCACAGAGCATGTGGCCTCTGTTGCACTCCCTTGCTATTCGGATCAAATGCTAATGGTTCTCAAGATGAGCTTAGTGAAGAAGACCAACAACTCAAAGATGAGCTGGAGATGCTTGTTGAGCGGTTAAAGGTACAATGATTCCCACTCCCCAGCTGGATGCTCGCGATGACGTTCGTGCTAACACCTGCTCGTGATAGGAGCCGGATACCTCCCTTTACGGACCTGCTTTGGACGCCATCAAGAATTTCATCAAGACCTCAACATCGTCCATGACTGCCGTTCCCAAGCCTCTCAAATTCCTCCGACCGCATTATGATGAGCTTACAGAGCTGTACGAGAAGTGGGCAGCGGGTTCCGTCAAGGTATATTCGAGTGTTTTGAGTCACATTCACAGGCAGACAATGCTAACAGGCTCACTTGATTCTTCTAGGACTCGCTCGCCGATATGTTGTCTGTGCTTGGTATGACTTACGGTGATGAGGAGAAGCTGGAGACACTCAAGTACCGCCTGTTGGCCAAATCCGAGGATCTTGGCTCATGGGGCCACGAATATATCCGCCACTTGGCGCTGGAGATCGGGCAAGAATATCAAAACCGATTGAACGCCGAGAAGGAAACACAGGATTTACTGGACCTTGCACTTTCGCTGGTCCCGTACTTCCTGAGTCACAACGCCGAGGCCGATGCCGTCGATCTGATGAGCGAGATGGAGATTATCGAGGAGATCCCGCGATTTGTGGACGAGAACACATATGCCCGTGTCTGCTTATACATGGTCAGCATGGTCAACCTTCTCACCTATCCCGAGGACCAGCAGTTCCTCCGCACCGCCCACGAGATCTATGTTCGCTACAACAAACTCTCCCAAGCCATCGTACTCGCTATCCGACTCAACGACATCGACCTCATTAAGAGTGATATCAGCGCTACTGACGATAAGGCGCTTAAGAAGCAGATGGCATTCCTGGTCTCCCGGCAGCAGATCTGGCTTGACTTGCCTACCGAGGACGAGGATGACGAGGCTCTCAACGACTGTCTGAACAACACCTCTATCCCAAAGCACTTTAAATCCCTCGGGAAGGAGCTCAATATCTTGGATCCAAAAATGCCCGAAGACATTTACAAGACGCATCTCGAAAACAGTCGCGGTGCCGGTCTCACCAACCTCGATTCGGCACGACACAACTTGGCCAGTGCCTTCGTCAATTCGTTCGTCAACGCCGGTTTCGGCAACGATAAGATGATGCTTGTTGAGGGAGATAAGGGCCCGTGGGTTTGGAAGACCAAGGATGATGGTATGCTCTCGACGACTGCGTCCCTGGGTATGCTGCTGCACCGAGACATTGAGGATGGACTCGATAAGATCGATAAGTTCACCTATGCCCAGGAGGATCAGGTCAAAGCCGGTGCATTGCTTGCGATCGGTATCTTGAACTCCGGTGTTCGCCTCGATTCTGACCCTGCTCTTGCCCTACTGAGTGATCCCGACAACCTGGACGCTAAGAACGTACCAATGCGGGTCGCTTCCATCATGGGTCTTGGTCTCGCATATGCTGGTTCCAACAAGGAAGAGCTCTTGGATATTCTGCTACCAATTGTAGAAGACGCCTCATTGGACATGCAGCTTTCTGCCATGGCAGCAGTTTCATTGGGTCTTATCTTCGTTGGATCATCAAATCACCAGGTCAGCGAGGCTATCGCTACGACACTGATGGATGAGGAGCGTCAGAAGCAACTCAAGGACAAGTGGACTCGGTTTATGGCCTTGGGCCTGGCTCTGCTCTACTTTGGCCGTCAGGAGGAAGTCGATGTCATTCTAGACATCCTGAAGGCTGTTGACCACCCCATGGCCAAGCCCACTTCCGTCCTCGCCTCGGTTTGCGCCTGGGCCGGCACTGGCACCGTCCTCAAGCTCCAAGAGCTCTTGCACATTTGCAATGACATCATTGAAGAGAAGGAAGAGAACAAGGGCGACGAGCTCGTTCAGTCATACGCTGTCCTGGGTCTCTCCCTCATTGCCATGGGTGAGGACGTTGGCCAGGACATGATTCTTCGCCAGTTCGGCCACCTCATGCACTACGGCTCCAGCAATATTCGTCGGGCCGTCCCTCTCGCTATGGGTCTCATCAGCCCTAGCAACCCCCAGATGAAGGTCTACGATACCTTGTCTCGGTACAGCCACGACAATGACAACGACGTTGCCATCAACGCCATCTTTGCCATGGGTCTCTGCGGCGCTGGTACCAACAATGCCCGCTTGGCTCAGCTTCTGAGGCAATTGGCAAGCTACTACCATCGGGACCAGAACTCACTATTCATGGTGCGCATCGCCCAGGGTCTCCTCCACATGGGTAAGGGTACCATGACCCTCAACCCCTTCCACACCGACCGCCAGGTTCTCTCACGGGTATCGGCCGCCGGTTTGCTCACTGTTTTGGTGTCCTTGATTGATGCCAAGCAATTCATCCTGGCCGAGCACCACTACCTCCTCTACTTCCTCATCACCGCCATGTTCCCTCGATTCCTCGTCACCCTGGACGAAGACCTGCAGCCTGTCACCGTCAACGTGCGGGTGGGCCAGGCCGTTGACGTTGTTGGCCAAGCTGGTCGTCCCAAGACTATCACTGGCTGGCAGACCCAGAGCACACCAGTTCTCCTGTCATACGGCGAGAGAGCTGAGCTGGAGGATGAGCAGTATCTCCCTCTTAGCAGCACGCTTGAAGGCTTGGTTATCCTGCGCAAGGTAATTTGATGTCCTTTCCATTCTTTCTTGTGGCCATCAAACTAATGAGATCTATCAGAACCCCGACTGGGAAGCCCCGGAATAATCTGTATGCGATGTTTCCCGATCCATCTTCATCTCCCTCCCGCAGCGGGTCCCATATAGTGGTCGGGTCATTATCGAATCTAATGTATTCAGAACGACTGAGGAATAGCATGGAATCTTATCCCTCTTGCATTTGGTTTCATCGGTAAATCGGCCGGTTTGGACAGGTTGCGTCCTTTAGGAATGCTCGTGTAGTCTACAGTCTTTCGATCGTTGGGGGCTTATTGAGTCACATTTACATGAAAAGCAACGACTATCGGCTCATAATGCAACATCCATCTTCTAACCTGAATAACAAAGGCACGAGTCTCCTTTATCTTATCATCCTTAAATTGGTAGAATGAAGTTCAACCAGGGTCCTCAGGAAGTTATCCAAAAATTCGTCCCAGATAGGAAATAGGGCTTAGGGCTATGAGCTTATCACTTTTTTCCATCTCCGCATCTTTCTTGCATGTCCAAGCCCGACGCATTTTACTTGACAGTTCAAATCCAGAATTCAATACTTGATGATACTCGAAGATGAAACTCGACGCCAAGGCTCTTCGCTATCTCACTTCTGAGGACTTCAGAGTGCTTCAAGGGGTACTTATCAACCCCTCCACCCCGCGATGGCTCCCGACAACGGGTCTACGATGATCTGCTCGGCCAGCTAACCAGGACTTCTCTTTTTCAGGTGGAAGCCGGAAGTCGTAACCACGAAGTCGTTCCCACTCCCCTCATTTCTCAGCTGTCGGGCCTCCGCGGAGGCAGTGGCGTGCATCGGTCTATCTCGAATCTGGCCAAGACGAATCTGATCGCAAAAGTTAAGAATGCGAAATGTACGCTTTTTTCCGTTCACATCGCATTGGATCCGTATACCAGAAGCTAAAGTTTCCCATTCAATCTGCAGACGATGGCTATCGACTCACATACGGCGGTCTCGATTATTTGGCGCTGAATGCGCACCAGAAGCAAAAAGTCGTTTACTCGGTTGGCAACCAGATTGGTGTGGGCAAGGAATCAGATATCGTCGTGGTCGCACACAGCAGCGGGTCTCAGCGCATCCTTAAAATCCATCGTCTGGGCCGTATTTCCTTCCGAACTGTCAAGACCAACCGCGATTACCTCCGCCACCGAAGCTCGGCATCCTGGATGTACATGTCTCGATTAGCAGCCATGAAGGAATTCGCGTTCATGAAGGCACTCCGGGAAAACGGATTCTCGGTCCCCGAACCCATTGCTCAGAATAGGCACACCATTATCATGGAGCTGATCGACGCTTTCCCGCTCCGTCAGATTTCTAAGGTTGCCCATCCCGAAGCTCTATACTCGGAGTTGATGGAGATTATTCTGGAACTAGCGCGGTTCGGTCTTATCCATGGTGACTTCAACGAATTCAACATCTTGATCAAGGAGATCGTGGATCCCAGTGGGAAGGGAAAGGGAAAGGCTTCCGCAAATGCGGACGATGAAGATTCCGATGAGAACGTCCGGCTGGAACCGGTGATTATTGATTTCCCGCAGATGGTTTCTATTGATCATGTCAATGCCGAGATGTACTTTGATCGGGATGTCAACTGTATCAAGCGATACTTCCAAAGAAAGTTCCATTTCGTCAGTGACAACCCTGGTCCGTTCTTTGCCGATGCCAAGAAGAACTTTCTGAGGAACCCTGGCAAGAGACTGGACGTTGAGGTCGAGGCATCTGGCTTCTCCAGGAAGATGGCCCGCGAGCTGGAGACTTATATGAAGGAGGTTGGTGCCGATGGTGATGCCGGCGCTGCCCGTGATGACCTCGATGAGGATGAGGATGATGATGAAGAGGAGAGCTCGGGAGAGGAGGAGGAGGAAGATGATGATGAACAACCTGGACAGAGCAGCACGGAGGTGGATGAGAGCTCTCAGCGGCTAGAGAAGCTGCAGGTCTCCGAGTCATCAGGGCAATGAGTACGATTCCGAGCTTGTGCTCCAATGACCATTAATGATAATGACCACATGCAACGTTGCCCGTCCATACGGTTTCGCGGCTGTCATTGATTGTCGCTTTGATGTTCTTCTCTGGCTCTAGGTCCGAGTCTTACTCCGAGCTCCCTCTCAAAGCTCTCCTTGCCATATGGCTTGCTTCGCAGCGCCGCCATCATGTCTGTCCCAGGCCGAAAGTCTGTCTCGATCGGCTCTCCAGCCCCTCGCATATTAGCGAGCACGCTTTTTCGAAAGTGCCATAGTAGCAGGTCGTATGGTGGAATTCATGCGCAGCTTGCTAGCCAGTCCACCAATTGTACTGCGCAGCCCAATTGATTTCGCGTGCATCTGCCGTCTCTCTGGCGGACATCGTCACGAAATAGAATCTTCTCGTCCCGAATTTGAATAGCTATCCATTCGAGTAACCCACTGTTCTCTAGTCACCTATCGTAAGAGTGCCTATTAGGAGTGTGAGTGAAGATATAATCGTCCGCCGCACCGTGGCAGTTGAAAATCATGGACAAGAGATGGAAGTAAAGGTCTACCCAGACACGATTTGATCTTCTCTGTTTCGAAACATCTTTGGGAATGTCCTTTTAATCGTCATTTCAGATAGCCCAGGCAATATGTCTCGAATTATTTCCCAAGGCATGTCTGATATGATTGATGAACTTGAAACTCCCGTGTATAGAATCTCTTGGCAAGAAAGGGTACGGTCGGCGGGGCGGCCATTCGCGCAGTTTGGACATCCGCAAAAGATACTCCTCCAGTGCTCCGACACCGTCCACATCCACATCCACATCCTCACATCCACACAATGGTGCGCAGAGCAGTCGCAATCCCCAAGGCGGCGAAGAACGCCTTCGTGCCGTCTTCGCAACGGAAACAGGTCTTCCTGTACGTTCATTCCCATCCCGACCTGCCCCCCCCAAAGCCGCGCATCAAATTTCAGATCTCCGAGGGCCTCATGCCAGCATTGTCAAATTTGCGACTCCGCCATTCGTCTCTTAGCCCCAAATCCCCCCAATGCTAACACCTATAATCTACAGACCTGAGTTCGTCATCGCCCTCGTCCGAACACCCTTCCTCTCTCCCCGCTATGCCCAATTCCGCGTCCCCCTCAACTTCAACAAGCTCGATCTGCGCGACTATCTCCAGAACCTGTATGGCGTTGGCGTAGTCAGCGTCCGCAGCTACATTGAGCAACAGCCCATCACCCGGATGACGCGGGATGGACGTAACGTTGGTGCATGGCGGCGACCGCAGGCGCAGAAGCGGATGACCGTGGAACTGCGCGAGCCATTCGTCTACCCGGAGGAGCCCAAGGATCTCAGCCCGTACGTGTTTCATTCTTGTATCTCTTTTTTTGCTGTGTGCATGATCGGCATGGTGTCAACTTGCACACGCGGTCATGGGTATCGAGCTCAATTGCTAACCTGCTTTCTTTATCTCAAATAGATGGGAGAAGAGCTCCTGGGACGCCAGCGAAAAATGGCAGAAGAAGATGCAAAAGCAGATGCAGGATCGACCTCACAAGGCCGAGGAGCCTGATAGCGATCTGCGGAAGGCCTTCGAGGAGCAGGCTAAGGATATTAAGAAGAATCCCGCGGAGTGGCGGCCATCTTCAAAGGTGTTGGGCTGGGACTTTGCGCACAAGGAGTTCGCCAGGACAGGGAAGAGTTCCGCTGCGCCGAAGTGGATGGCAAAGTAGTCATTGGGGCCTTGGAGATTGGGGGTTTGGCTCTGTTCCATTTGAAAATGGGTGTTTCTGTATTTTTTCCATACGCTTTCATGGGGCACATCTTGTATTATATCATCTTGAGGTCGCATTCTATTGGTCTCAATATTTGAGCCCGTTATTTTGTTTTCTACCAGGCAATTTCGATCGTATTTCAGATTATGCAAACAATAGTTACGTTGTCGTATTTTTGCGTATCTGAACAGATAATTGAATGGATAGATATAGACATGAGAAAACCTGACAACATAGTAGCATCGCAAAGCCACAAAAATTAATTACAGTCAACGGTGGCTACAAAGGTCAACCACGCTATGCAAAAACGACCGGAAGTGAGAGGGGCTGGAAGAACGGTGACGGAAACAACAAGAGATCTGGGAGGCCCGGCATGGTGAACTTTGTCTCAAGGCCAAGGGGTCTACAGGCGACTTTCGACAAAATTCATCTGGTGCTGGCCAGGCCAATGCGCATCTGGCCAGATGTGGCGAAGAGCTTCCCAAATGTGTCTGCCAAAATATTAGACTTGGTCCGTAGCAGAGAAAAAGCAGGGAAATAACTTACTGGACATAGATGATCTCCAGGCCCTCGCTCACCTCCCGAGGGACATCCTTGACATCCTTTCGGTTGGGGTAGGGTAGCAGCACAGTCTTCACGCCTGCACGCAGAGCACCGATGAGCTTCTCCTTGATACCACCAACGGGCATCACGCGACCCCGCAGCGAGATCTCGCCAGTCATGGCAATCTGCGGTGGCACAGCCTTGTTGGTGAACAACGAGATGAGCGCAACGGTGTGAGCTAGACCGGCCGAAGGACCATCCTTGGGGATGGCACCAGACGGGCAGTGGACGTGCAGGCTACGGCTCTTCATGATATCCTCGTTGGGATCGTGAGTGAGACCCAATTCGAACGAGTGGGCCTTCACCCAGGTGAGAGCCACCTCCACGGATTCCTTAAGGACATCGCCGAGCTTACCGGTGAGCTGGACGCGCCCGTTACCAGGCATATCAGCCACCTCGATGAAAAGGATGCTGCCCTGGCCACCGCTGGAGTAGGCAACCAGGCCGGTGACCACACCAGGACGGCCGTGCTTCTCAGCAATCTCCTCCTCGAAACGCTCGATGCCTAGAATTTCCTCCAAATCTTCCAGGGTTACGGTCGGATTATACTCTCCCAGACGATCAGTGTCACCGGCATCAGCAAACTGAACAGCCTTGTGGCGGCAGATCGAGCCAAGCTCACGCTCCAGGTTACGCACACCCGACTCACGAGTGTACGACGTGATGGTCTTGTCAATGACCTCGTCGGACAAATTGATCTGATCATCGGACAAGCCATTGGCACGGACCTGCTTGGGAATCAGGTGGCGCTTAGCGATGTGCCGCTTCTCGACAGTAGTGTACCCTGAGAGCGAGATGGTCTCCATACGGTCGAGCAGAGGCGCCGGAATAGTATCCAACGAATTGGCAGTGGCGAGGAAGAGAACCTTGCTCAGATCGATGGGGATATTGATGTAGTGATCAGTAAAGGTGTGGTTCTGTTCGGGGTCCAAGACCTCAAGCATGGCTGCAGAAGGATCGCCCTGGAAGTTGGCGCCACCAATCTTGTCGATCTCGTCGAGCAAGAACACCGGATTGGCGACACCAACCTTCTTCAAGCCATTGACAATGAGACCGGGCATAGCAGCAACATAAGTCCTCCGGTGACCGCGAATCTCGGCTTCGTCACGAACACCACCAAGAGAGATCCGGTGGAACTTGCGGCCAAGCGACGCAGCGACAGACCTTGCCAAGCTGGTCTTGCCAGTCCCCGGGGGACCGACGAGGAGCAGGATGGGAGACTTGTCGGTCGTGCGCTTAGACTTCAAGATCTCCAGGCGAGCTTCAAGCGCGACCCGATCAGCCTCCGAGATCAAAGGAACCTCGTTCTCTAGGTCTCCGTGGGATGCCGCATCCAGGTCCTTGGTGAGCCCAGTGATTTGTCGCTCCACGTCCACGTTGGTGTTCTGCTTCAATCGAAGCACAGCGAGGTACTCCAACAGTCTCTTCTTGATCCGCTCCAGGCCGTAGTGATCTTCATCGAGCTGCTTGCGAGCCCTTTGAAGTGTCTCGGGGCCAAGCTGGTCTTCGGTGACTTTGGTCCATGGGATCTCAGCCAGGTTCTCCAAGTATGTACGGCAGACCCCGAATTCGGCGTTGGCCGGGTTCATCTTGCGCAGGCGCTTAAGTTCTTTGTCCGCAACCTTCTGAGCTTCTGGACTGAGCTGCGCATCCTTGAGCTTTTGAGCCAACTCATCAATCTCATTCGGTTCTTTCTCTTCACTGTCATTACCACGGCCGCCAGTCGGTCCAGGTGGCGTGAGACCTGACAATCCCTGCATCGCACGTCTTGCCAAAATCTCGCGCTCCCGTGGATCGATCTGACTAATATCAACATTCGAGTTAGGGGGAAAGGACGTTGTGGTAATAGATGTCACCTTCACGCTACTCTTAATATGCTGAGCTTGGCGAGTCAGTATCTCCACCACGCGCTCCAATCGCACCTTCACATCGAATGAGGCCAATATCCGCAACTTCTCTTCAAAACTTGCATCAGATACGTCGGCCATAAAGTCGGCGAGTTTTCCTGCCTGGCCTAATTCCGACTTGGAAATGTAAAGTTCAAACTTTCGTGCCACGAGTGGCGATAGGCGAGTAGAGGCGGCGGAGAGTAGTGAGGATAGACGCAGCAGGGTAAGAAGCTCACGAGAGAGCTGTCGCAATTGTTGGAATAATTCAGCGGCTTCAGGATCGCCGAGAATGGATGAGGCTGGTGGGATGATGAAGGGTCAGTAATCTGCCGGTTGGCTCATCAACATGTATACAGCTCAAAAAAGGAACCTACTGCTCTCATCATGGAGATACACCTCCGCCTCAAAGAATGGGCGATCTTTCAAGACCTTCTTCACAGTGAATCGCTGGGAGCCTTGGACCAGAAGGAATGGCTCGGCATATGCCCGGCGCTGAACCCCGATCACTTTGCCAACCGTACCGTAACGGAAAAGGTCATCCTTGCGTGCCTGGCCGGCGTCGATCGAATCGTAATCCTCCTTTCGATCATCTTCGGACTCTTCACCCTCTAGAAGTTGTTGTCCATCGCGGCTGAGAAATGGCGAAACCAAGGGAATACATCCGAAGGTGATCGAATTGCCGTCACGCTTCGAAGGTCGGTCCACCAGAGAAGACAACAGATTGGTGAGATCAGGACGGTTCGAGACCGGGATGCGTAGAGTAACACCAGGAAGTAAAACGGAGCCTTTGGCTAGAGGCACCAGAGGAAGCTTGGTGGCTCTACCACTGTTGGATCCCATCTTGAATAGCCCTCAGGAATCAAACGGTGGCGAAATACAGCGATAGGGCCTCACGAGCGGACAGAAAGACAGGAGAGCGGTGTGTGTGTGTGTGGGTGTGAGAGAGTGTGTGGTAGGTAGGCAAGCTGAACTATCACAGAAGAGTGATCCTGGGGGGGAAGAAGAATGGATGGGAGAGGAAAAGGGAAGAAGAGGAGATGTCCGAGGAAGAGTGGTGGTTCCAGAACCTACTGCCCGGCCGAGTTAGTGTGCTTGGGGGGAGTCCGGGGGAGGAAGGCGATAAGAGCGAGTCGCATGTCTCGTAGTCTCCACGTCCCGAAGCCGAGGTTAGTCTCCGCGTAGAAAGTACGTCAGACCTGCGGATCCACTGGGGAAAGGGTACAGTACCGTATGTACGGTCACTTGGACCACGTTTAGATTGGCTATGTATAGGAATATACGGTCATTGGATAGTATATTACAGTAGCATTATCTCTATCTCTATAGATCAGGCACAAAAAACGTATTATCCCCCTCACCCCGCATCTTAGAGTATCATGTTGGCATGTTGAAACGTCCGGCGTGATTCTCAGCGGGTGCGGCGTATCCCGTGATCGGTCCCTCCACGGAATTATACCCTTCTTCCGTCCCTCCGCAGTCTCGCCTCCATTCGCGCTTTCCTTGGCCAAACTCCTCGGCTTGCTTTCCCTTTCACGAGTCTTTGTTCTCCTGGCTGGCAAAATCCGCGTGATTCGTCAGATCATCACTTCTTTACATCCCTCTCTTGGCCCTCCTCCCATTTCCAAGATGGCTACCCCCACCCCCGCCACCAAGACTTCCTTCACCATTGGCACGCGCAAATCCAAGCTTGCACTGGAACAGACAGAGCTGGTGGCTGCCGCTCTCAAGAAGACACACCCTGACTATGAGTTCAGAATTTTCTCCAAGGAGACTGCAGGCGACCTCAACACGAAAATTGCGCTGCGCGATTTTACGAGCAAGAATTTATGGACTGAGGAGCTGGAGGAATTGATGATCGATGGACAAGTCGACTTTATTGTCCACTCTCTCAAAGGTGTGAGGACTTCTACTTTCTTTTAAATTGTTTTGACTGGTGTCGTTCAATGCGCTCATACTTTTCAATTGCAATAGACGTCCCCACCGTCCTCCCCGCCACTTGCACACTGGGCCCGATGATGCCCCGCGAAGACAGCAGAGATGTTCTCGTCGTGAAGCAAGGCCTGTCATACAAGAGCTTGTCGGAAATCCCCGCTGGCTCTGTCGTTGGAACCTCCTCCATCCGCCGAACCGCCCAGTTGGCCCGCAAATTCCCTCATCTCAAAGTTCTCGATGTTCGTGGCAATATCGGCACCCGTCTGGCCAAGCTGGATGCGGAAGACAGCCCTTACACCTGCATTATCCTCGCAGCCGCTGGTCTGTTGCGTCTAGACCTGGGAGATCGAATCACGCAGTACCTGGATTCGAAGAGCAGTGGAATGCTTTACGCCGTTGGACAAGGTGCTTTGGGTATCGAAATCCGGAAGGAGGATACCTTCCTGCAGGAGATGTTGAGCAAGATTGGCCACTCGGAAACCACCTACGCCTGTCTTGCCGAGCGCAGTCTGTTGCGAACCCTTGAGGGTGGCTGCAGTGCGCCATTGGGTGTCGAAACTGAGTGGGTGCAGACTGCGGAGGGATCCAAGAAGCTGCGGATGCGTTCTGTTGTTGTCAGCGTCGACGGTCAAAAATGCGCCCAGGTTGAAGTTGATGGCGATGTTGATTCCACCGAGAGCGCAGAGGCTTTCGGTGTCACGGTGGCCAAGGCTTTGGTGGGTGAGGGTGCGGGCGCAATTCTGGAGGAGATTCAGCGCAACAAGGTCGTCAAGGAGAATGTCTCTAGCTAAACCAAAATATTCTGATAGACTCAACCCATGTATTGCATACGGTCGATACCCTGCTGAAAATGAACAATTGATGAATCTCATGATTTGGCGTAACATTCCTTGAATCTGGTGGCATACGAAGCCCATAGAGAATTAGGCTATAGATCATACATTGGAGATTGTCACGCTACTCCGACAAGACCGTCTCTACCATGAAATCCATGAATGAATGAGGAGAATTACATTCGAAGCTCACATTTCGCCGAAGCTGTATAATATCAACCGCGATTCAACGTGTTGCCCGATCCCTTAGGGTTCGCTTCCACGTATTCATCCCACGCGCGGGCTTTCATAGTTTCTTCATCCGCCTTGTCCAGATCATCCTCATCAACCTCTGGCTTCATGCCAGATTGCTCGCCACCCTGGAGTACATTTCCTCTGCGGTGCTCTTCCTCCAGATACTCCTCAATCGTCATGGTTGGGAGATTATGACCTGACCGGAACACTCCTTGCTGTAGCTGGGTGCGACGATCTAGCAATGTGAAAGGCTGCATCGGCTTGCCTTTGCTGTTTAAGATCGGGCCACCTCTTCCCCTGCCCAAAAGTTGTGACAGAGACGGGTCCAAGCGGTCTGAGTAGTTTGCGCCTCCCAGGCTAGTTCGTTGTCTCGGGTCATCGGGGGTCATTTGTGTGGGTGTGGGAGCATTGCGCATGGTAGATAGCATTGATAGTTCTTGAATCAATAGGTCCAGGGCTTGGAAACTCTGATGTATATAGAGCTGCAGCTCTGCCAAGTAAAGCCGTCGGGTATCGTCATCGTCGCTTTGGAGTCGAGCTTCGTTGCGAGCAAGGTACTTCACATCGTGTCAGTCTGTAAGCCAACTACAGTGCAGGAACATATTGAACGGACTTCTAGTTTTTGCTTGAGTTCCTTCTCCTCCCTAAAGCGCCTGACTTTGATATCTCGCCGAGCTGCGGCATCGTTTAAGGGCGCGAGTGTGAAGGTCGATGAGTTGGCCATGTATTGTTCAAACAGCTTCTTGTCCCCAGCGGATAGTAGCTCATATTCGTCAAGTCGTGTGATAAATGTCTCATATTGTTCCAAGGCGCGTCGAAGGGTAGCTTCGCGATCAGCAGTAGGGCCTCGTTGCGTCAGTTCGGCAAGATGGTACTCCAACGTCATGTACCTAACAGGAGAGGATTAGCTCATTGTCCGGTATAATAACAGAATATCGGAAATCCCACTGGATATCTCCCGTTGATACATCGTCTAGCGACTCATTCGAACTAAATAGCGACAAGATGCTGACTTGTCGCTGACATTCGTGGAACTTGGCGATCGCCGCATTGACTGCGTCCCGGTAGCTTTCGGTGTTGGTATCCCCCCTTGATTCCAGCGCTGTCTTCGCATCCTTTGCGGATGCGAATAGAGACCTGAGACTTTGGGATTCCTCCATAGTGGTTGATGAAGCTTGACGAAGGGAGCAGGAAATAATCTCGGAGTGGCTCTTGTGTCCCCGCGATTCTGGCGGGAGTTTTGGCGAGGCGATAAGGCGCGATAAGTGGGGAGCTTCCTCTTTATCGCTAGGAAGTAAATGAACCGTAAGTGAGCTGGAACGGTGTCTTCATCTGGAGGACTCAGATAATTGATCACTATTTCATTTGAGAAGAATGATTTTGTCATTAAGCTGTCATCTGGTTTGACTCGGTAGTCACTCGATCAGTTTCCTCCAAAGGGGTATTGACTAGCAATTCAACAAACAGCTACACATCGTATTGCGTTGATATAAATATACATTCGTGCCCGTTCTTTCTCTTATACCTTCTCTCTTCAATCCGAGCGGTACTTCCTTCCTCATCTTGAATGCTACAGACCAGACAAAGATCTACTCTTTGCAACCATCTCAATTCGGATACCCTCTACTCATATACCCTCTACTCATATACCCTCTACTCAAGTCCCCACTACTCAAATCCCCTTTACTCGAATACCCTTCACTCAAATACCTTTCACTCAAATACCTTTCACTCAAATACTCTCCACCTAAGTACTAATTCTCAGATACTCCCTCGGAAAATATCATCCTGATCACATGTTTCGCCAAATGCTACAGAAACCAACCATGTCGCCTCGTCGGGTCTCCGAAGAGCCACCAGCCAGCTCCTCAGATGAGTCTGACATTGAGATTGAGAGCAAAATTACACAGAGTAGATACTCTCATCGACGACAGCTTCAAGAAGCACACTTTCAATCTCTGTAAGTTTTGAACAGGATCTGTTTATTTCACTTGCGTCTGACTAGCTAGCAGACTAGCGGAACACGCAAATCGAAACCATAGCGTCACTAAGACGTCTGAGAGACACGAAGGCCCAGACAGCCCACAAGAGCATCCTAATATCGCCCAGCTACTCAAACAACAAGAGATTGGTCGCGGGCATCTCAATCCTCGTGAATACCAAATCGAGCTATTCAGGCGAGCAAAGGCCGAGAACACAATCGCGGTCCTAGACACAGGTTTGGATCGCTCTCTTGCTAACCTAGGCCGGTGAAATTAACGAATTTGCTAGGATCGGGAAAAACCCTGATTGCAGTTCTTCTGCTGAAGCATATCCTACAGCAAGAGCTGATAGACCGTGCAGATGGCAAGGCGCCTCGGATTGCATTTTTCCTGGTATGTTTACTGAAAGCCTCTATATAATGGTCAACTACTGAGAAGAACTAGGCACACAGCGTGACCCTTGTGTTTCAGCAATCGGCCGTGCTACAAAATAATCTGGACCAGGCTGTGACTCATATTTTTGGTGCGATGGGCCCAGACCTTTGGGACGAAAAAATCTGGGATGACTACTTTACCAAAAGCATGGTAATCGTTTGCACAGGGGAGATTCTCAACCAATGCCTGCTCAATGGCTTCATCAAGATAAGCCAGATCAACATTTTGGTCTTCGATGAAGCCCACCACGCGAAGAAAGATCACCCTTATGCACGGTGAGCTTCTTAAGTATAACGTTGAACTCTGTTTAATTAGCTGACAATCAATAGCATCATACGGGAGTTTTATCTTCAAGCACCCGTGTCTAAACGCCCCAGAATCTTCGGGATGACGGCTTCCCCTGTCGATGGAAAGACCAGAATGACAGAAGCAGCAGCGTAAGACTTTTTGCCATCAGTGAAAGACCGAATGACACTAATAAATGTTCGTAGTCAGCTCGAGGTCCTCCTCGATAGTCGGATAGCGACCACCGCAAATATGGAGGCGCTTCGCCAGATCGTGAAACGACCCTATGAGGAGACGTGGACCTATTCGAAGCTGGATCCTCCTTTTGCAACGGAACTGTACACTCGACTGCAAGGGAGCTTTGGAAAGGCAAAATCACTTGAGCCTGTCTTCAGGTTTGCCTGGGCTGCCAGTTCAGAGCTGGGTGTATGGTGTGCGGATCAAGTGTGGATCCAAGCTCTGAGAGAGGATGTGATACCTCATCTCGAGCGTAACACTGGCAAACATCCGGAGTCAGACCCTTGTGGGACTGATCAGATTCGGCAAGACCTCATGAGTGCTAGAGAGGCTTGCGAGATGGTGAAGGATCACGAATTTCGAAATCCGCTTGATGGAGGCCAGCTCAGCTCGAAAGTTCGACTCCTGATCGCCAGATTAGCAATGCACTTTGATTCATCGGATGATAAAAAGTGCATTGTCTTTACTCAGCGACGCAATACAGCCAAGGTCTTGCTGCGCCTTTGCGAGGTAATGAAGATTCGAAATGTTCGCCCCGGGATCCTGGTCGGCGTTCGAAAGTCAGATATCACAGGGAATGTTACATTTCGTCACCACTTTGAGGTCAGGGGCCAGTTTCAAGATGGAAAAGTCAACTGTCTGTTTGCGACAGCGGTGGCGGAAGAAGGACTTGATATCCCTGATTGTAATTTCGTCGTGAGATTTGATCTCTACGATACGCTCATTCAGTACATTCAGAGCCGCGGACGTGCACGACATGCCGAATCGACATATGTAACCATGGTCGAAGATCAGAATGAGAGTCAAAAAAGAAAGGTGCAAGAAGTGTGTGAAGCAGAAGTTCTCATGAGATCCTTCTGCGAGGCACTCCCCAAGGACCGGCTGCTTTGTGGCAATGACTATGACCTCGACCTGAAAACAGTGTTGACAAAACAAAAGGGGCAGAGAACTTACAAAATCGAATCCACAGGAGCAACGCTGACATATGGGCATGCAATTGACGTTCTGGCCCGCTATGCAGCATCACTGCAGTATCGGGAGGAAGACTTTAATCAGAATCAGAATCAAACTCAAACTGATATAGGCCCTTACGTGAGTTACGTGATGCACTCCGAGGGAGAGAAGTTTAGCTGCGAGGTCACGCTTCCCGAGAAGTCCCTTGTTAGAGGTGTACTAGGCACCTCAGAATCAAGTAAAGCCATGGCCAAAGGGTCGGCGGCATTTGACACTTGCCTAATGCTCCGGAAGAGCAATCTTTTAGATGGCCATTTCAGGCCGATTTTCCATCGACGCTTGCCTGCCATGCGAAATGCCAGGCTGGCAATCGCGTCGAAGAAACAGGAAAAGTATGACCGGCGCTGCAAGCCTTCACACTGGAGCCATCAGATTGGAGCCATCCCGACAGAGCTCTACGCCATGTTAATCCGGTTCAAACCCCTAAAGCCGCTAACCCGAGAGCATGCTCCCCTGATACTCCTTACCCGTACAAAGCTCCCAAGCTTCCCTAGTTTCCCTATCTTCCTGGATGATGACATAGAGACCAGAATCCAAACACTGTGCGCCGGGAGCCCTCTGGCTGTCAGTTCTCAGCAGCTGGATCAATTAACAGATTTTACGGTCTCCGTCTTCCGTGACGTATTTCACAAGGTCTTTGAATCGAAGCCAGAGGTATTTCCGTATTGGCTAGCCCCAGCGCACTTGGACGCGGACATCGGAAGTCCTACTGAGTTGCCAAATACTTTGATTGACTGGGAAGTGGTAAACTTCGTGCAAGAGCATTGTGAGTGGAAGTGGTCAGAAGGCATGGATCCTAAAACTCTTCTCGATCGGTTCATGTATGACCCCTGGAGTGGAAAGTTTCGCTATTTCCCAATCAGAATTGTCCCCGATTTGCGTCCATTGGACGCTCCACCTTCATACGTGCCACGCCGCCGAGACATGAATATGCAGAACATCATGAACTATTCTTCAAGCTTGAACAAAAGGTCACGGCACCTCTTCTTGCGAAATTGCAACTGGGATCAGCCGGTCTTGCAAGCAGAGACGGTTTGCCTCCGCAGAAATTTCTTGGACAGAGCAAATGAGTCGGACAGATCTGAGAAATCCTTGTGTGTTCTATGCCCTGAAACGGTGATGCTCTCTGCGGTAGGTTATGCATCCATTCATGGCTAAACACATATAAGTTATATTGACTCTTGCTCTAGATACCGTTACCGACGGTGTCGTCATGCTTGGCCTTTCCTGCTATAATCAGCAAACTGGAGTCATATCTGATTGTCCTGGAAGGCTGTGAACATATAGGTCTTGATCTTAAGCTCGATTACGCCCTGGAAGCCTTTACTAAAAACTCCGACAACGCTGACAACGCTGAGGAGCATCGCGAGGAGCAGGTACATGTGCAACGAGGCATGGGCAAGAACTATGAGCGTCTGGAGTTTTTGGGCGATACTTTTCTCAAGATGGCCACATCAATTGCTCTGTACTGTGAGAGACCGGATGACAATGAGTACGACTATCATGTCTACCGAATGTGTCTCATCTGCAACAAGAACCTATTCGAAGCCGCAGTTGACATCAAGCTCTATGAATACATCCGGAGTCGTGGGTTTTCTCGGTATGTTGTGGTATATTTTCTTTCCTCGGAGTGGTTACTGACATGGATAATGGATCATAGTCATACATGGTTTCCTCCAGGCCTCCGTCTGCTTCAAGGTCGTAACTTTTCAAGGAAACTTCTGGCAGAAAGCACTCACGATCTTGCAAAAAAGACGATTGCAGATGTCTGTGAGGCCCTGATTGCCGCTGCACTTCTGTCCGGGGGCAAGGATCATCGTTTCGATATGGCCGTTAGTGCTGTAACCCGCTTCGTCAGAAATAAGACGGTCACAGTGAGCCACACAGCAACATCCTGGGCTGACTACTACCAGTCTTACAAAAAACCAAAATGGCAAGACAATGCGCCCAACGGGTACGAGTTGGACCTTGCACAGCAAATATTCAAGAAGCTTGGCTACCAGTTCAAGTATCCCGCATTGCTTCGGTCTGCATTCACACATTCATCTCTTCCACGTCGAATGGCCATTGTCCCGTGCTACCAACGTCTAGAGTTTCTAGGTGATGCACTTCTTGACATGGTATGTGTCGAGCGACTGTTTCGTCGTTTCCCCGACAAGGACCCCCAGTGGCTTACGGAGCACAAGGTGAGTGAAAACCGAGTTTTCGAAGAAATTGGCAGTTTCTGATATATGATTAAAAGATGGCGATTGTGTCTAACAAGTTTTTGGGTGCTCTCGTGGTGCATCTCGGACTCCATCGACATCTCCAGCATGCCGACGGTCCTATCCAGGGGCAAATCACTCGCTATGCGGAAGAAATGCAGAATGCAGAGGCTCAGAGCGGCGGTGGGATGGACTACTGGCTACATTGTACAGATGCTCCAAAGGTAGGTCTCCTCTACGATGGTTCGTTATCATGGTTGCCACGTAGCTGATGCTAAGGCAAATATAGTGCCTTCCCGATATGCTCGAAGCATATATTGCGGCTATCTTCGTGGACTCAGGGTTTGATTACACCGTGGTCGAGGAGTTCTTCGACACACATATCCATCCATACTTTGTCGATATGTCTTTGTATGACACATTCGCTAACAGGCAGCCAACAGTAAGACATTTTCCCTTCCCAAAGACTTATTATTGGTTAAAGACTGACCTGATTACAGACTTTCCTGATTCACCAGCTAGCGACCGTCTACGAATGCAAGAATTTCTGTTTGAAAATTGGCCAGATCCCTCATTCAGACTCAGATCAGCCAGAGATGCTCGCTGCCGTGATGGTACACGGGCATTGCATAGGAGACGCAGTTGGAACCTCAAGTCGGTATGCCAAGGTCAGAGCCAGTGAGAAGGCTATAGAGGCTATCAAGATGCTGTTACCCGTCGACTTTCGCCTCAAATATGGCTGTGACTGTCAATTGTCGGATACCAATACAGAGGAGACCAAGGTGAAGGCACAGACCCTTCTCGATCTACAGTCTGATCAAAAAGGGAGCAGGGTGACGGTGTCATAATGATCGCGAGACTGCTTGTTTGTTTGTCAACGTTGCAGACATTAGCTAATGCATTTCAACCTGTATGATTATAAGCTATGAGCACTTCGTACAATACACAGTATGAACCGATGAAATGGTAGCTCCGAGTAGAAGTCGACATGACTCCAGATGAGCGGAACGGCTCAGGAACCCGGCAGCCGTCACATGGTTGGGCGTGACACGCCTAACTTGATTTGGAAAGGCGCATCCCCTGAAGTACAACGAACAAACACCCGCGTATCTGGTGTCTCCATCGACCGACACTCTTATCTTCTTGCTAGACTGTGATTCTTTTCTCTAAGAAGTATTTTTTAATTTAGATCTATTGCTTTTTACCTTCCAAATCCCTCTCGGAGACTGTCGCCCCGCACTCCGCCCTTTCCGACACGACGCGAGCCCTTGTCAACATTTATTTCTCCCGCTCCGATCGCGCTCCTCCAGTTCGTCACTCATCAATGACCTCTACGAGCTTGTTGCAATAGAGTTGGAAATACCATGGAGGTTGCCACGCCGGGAGTGTTGAATGGCGTGTCCACGCCAGACGCGGCACCTGCGGTGGATTCTGGTGCGGTCATCCAGTACCTAACGGAAGTGCTCCAGGTGACACTGGGTGCTCTGAAGTCCGAGCTGGAGAGCGCCGGGAGCTTGCTCTCGGATGCTAGATATCATGAGACTGCGCAAAGATGTACGCGATTTGCCTCGGAGTCACAAGTTGCGCTCTACGTGCAGAAGGATATTTCGGTCGCAGAGGAAACAGATGGCGATGCTCAAGGCGCCGGTGAGCTTCCCAACCGATATGATTTGCCCGTTCGAGCTAACGATATGGATGAAGAGCCGATTGTACAGTATACCTACAACCTGTCCTCCGAGATCTCCTCCACCTCGACTACCGTCGCGTCGGTAGCCTTTATCAAACGTCCGGCTCCAATTGATCCTGCTCTCCCGATCGCCTCGCAGATCCAGGTCATGAATCTGCCCGGCCTCGCGTCTCTGAACAATGCCCAGACACAGCAGGGAAATTCCATGTCACCCTATCAGATCTTGCATCTGCTACTCCACCACGGACTGAGTCCTTACTTCGAAGCCTACACTCGTAATCAGGAAGCGGCCGCCGGCACGAAATCGAGAACGGATACCGAAGCGAAGACCGGTATCCCTGGGACAAAGAAGAAGTTTGCGGAACTGGAGCTGGGTCTGATGCACTTGCAGCAAAATGTGGAGATTCCTGCATTGAGCCTCCCGCTCCATGAGGTGGTGCAGGCCGCGCTTAAGGAAGCCGAGGCTAGGGGCATCAAACCGACCGTCGAACTGATTCCATCCGCCGTTCTGGATAGCAGTGCATTCACCAATAGTATTCAGAATACGGTGAATGGTTGGATTCGCTCCATTCAGACGATCACGAAGATGTCTCGAGACCCTGACAGCGAGTCGGCCTCCCCGGAGGTGAACTTCTGGTTGTCGATGGAGACTGCGCTGGAGGGGATCGAGAACCAGCTGGCAAGCGATGGGGTTCGGCTGACAATGGATATCCTTCGCCACGCCAAGCGATACCAGCCGACCCTAAGTTTCGTGGCCGATACTGGGCTGAAAGATGCCACCGAGTTGGTCCAGAAGTACAATCAGCTGATGCGTGATTTCCCGCTGGACGAGCTCCTATCTGCCACTTCCCTGCAGAAAGTGCAGGAGTCTCTGGGTCTGATCTTCAACCATCTCAATAAGAAGTTGAAGATCTGTCCGTATCCTATCAAGCGTGCCCTTTCTCTCGTGGAAGCTATCTCTGGTGACCTGGACAAGAAGATTCATGATCTGATTCAAGGTCGTGAGATTCTCCATCTGGAGTATCGCGAGTTTCGGTCTTTGATGAAGATCACGCAGGCAATTTGGCGTTCATGGGACGAGAACCTGAAGGAGTTCACTAATGTAGCCCGTGAGTCGACAAGACGCCGGAACGAAAAGTTTATCCCCATCAAGATCAATGCTCGACACGACATGACCCGTGAGCGGCTGAAGTACATTGATACATTCCGCGTCAACCACGAGCAGCTTCAAAAGACCATCATCAACGTTCTTGGACCAAAGAACTCTTCACCCACAGAGACCGGCGCTGGCGTTGACTCTGAGGAGACGGTCATCGTCGAGGAAATCGGTGACGTCGACGCCGTTGAGGAGGTTACTCACGCCTACGATGCTTTAAAGAACGTGGACGTACTGGATGTCTCACCGGAAGGATCACGCACCTGGGAACAGGCCGAAATTGGCTACAGTGAGCGTACCTCTCGTGTCGAAAACTCCATTATTGCCCGCCTGCGTGATCGCCTTGCTACCGCCAAGAATGCCAACGAAATGTTCCGTGTCTTCTCCAAGTTCAATGCTCTGCTTGTCCGTCCGAAGATCCGCGGTGCCATTGGCGAGTATCAGACTCAGCTGATCGACAACGTGAAGCGCGATATCTCCACCCTTCATGAGCGGTTCAAGCAGCAGTATGGTCATTCCGAGGCTCACGCCATGGCTCAATTGCGCGATCTTCCCCCTGTCTCCGGTGCCATCATTTGGGCCCGACAAATTGAGCGGCAACTCGACGGTTACATGCGCAAGGTGGAGAACGTCCTCGGCGAGGACTGGCATCTTCACTCCGAGGGCCAGAAGCTCCAAGCGGAGGGTAACCTGTTCCGCAAGAAGCTCGATACCCGTCCCGTCTTCGAATCTTGGCTCTATGATGTACAAAGACGGCATATTACTATCTCCGGGCGGCTGTTCAATATTGTACGCAATCGTGCTGCGGGAAACAAGTTGGAGCTTACGGTCAACTTCGACGCTCAAATCATTGCCTTGTTCAAGGAGGTGCGCAACCTCATCTGGCTGAACTTTCAGGTCCCCCATGCTGTTAGCAACATCTCGAAGGAAGCGAAGCGTGTATATCCATATGCCATCAGTCTGATGGAAAGTGTACGAACACTGCTCCAAACCTACCGTACAATTGCCTCAATGTCTGATGTCGCGATTCTTCTCAATGGTTACGTGAATGACTCTCAAGCCATGGTGAACAAGGGCATTCCATTAAGATGGGAGTCATTCGTTCACTCCTACGAGCTCCATGTTAAGCAGTCAGCTCTTGCAAATGGTGCCATCGATACTGCTATGCCTAATCGGACCGAGAGCAAGCACGTTCAATTTGTCCGTGAATTTGCTGGCTCCGCATCGGTCCTTCAATCCAAGACTGCGGTTCTGTCGTCCATCAATGAAAGTATTCAGAAATCCATCCATGAGCTCAAAACATGCCTTTACGATTCTGCGGCGTTCAAGCAACGCTTGGACGTTATCCAGGTTGCGGTGGATAAGCTCAACCTCGAGAACTACGTGAACCTCGGGTATTGGGTTTCGGAACTGAACGGCAAGATCGAGTCCATTCTCAATGAGAGGCTTCATCGTGCTATTCGCGAGTGGATCAACACCTTCCAACAATCTCGCAATGGACAGACTATCACCCCGCCATCAGTTGAACAGGACGCCGTGACTTACAACCTCTCCTTCCCCGAGCTGTTCCATGAGATTTCTATGAAGAACCAGGTTCTCCACCTCGATCCCCCTTTGCAGTTTGCTCGTGCAAGCTGGTTCTCACAGTTTGACTCCTGGTTGGGGGTTATCTGTAATCTCGAGAAGATCAAGGCTTCTCGGTACCAGATCTCCATCGATGTGCAGACTGTTCGTCAGTCGGAAGCTTGCTTTGCAGACCTCCCCCAGCGCTGCACCGAAGAGCTGAACCAGGTCTATGGTGTAGTTGAGAGCCGATTGAAGGACGTATCGGAATATGTTGACAAGTGGCTACAATTCCAGTCGCTTTGGGATTTGCAATCTGAGCAGGTTTATGATATCCTGGGTGATGATCTGTCTCAGTGGCTGCAACTCCTTCAGGAAATCCGCAAGAGCCGTGCTACTTTCGATACCTCCGAAGTCAGCCGTTCTTTCGGCAATATCCGTATCGACTACGAACAGGTTCAGACTAAGGTGAACGCCAAGTACGATCAGTGGCAACACGAAATTCTCCTGAAATTTGGAGCCAAGCTCGGTGGCCGTGTGAGAGAGGTTCACTCCGAGATTGCCTCTGCTCGTCGTGATCTTGAGGGTCAGACTTTGGAAGCCTCGTCTACCGCACATGCCGTCTCTTTCATCACCATTGTTCAGCAATGCAAGCGTAAGACTCGCGTTTGGGAACCAGAGGTGGACCTCTTCCGTCAGGGTCAAACTACGCTTTCTCGCCAGCGATATGCCTTCCCCAATGACTGGCTCCATGTTGAGAATGTTGATGGTGAATGGACTGCCTTGAATGAGCTGCTCGCCCGCAAGAGCAAAATCGTTCAGGATCAGACTGATGCTCTTCGTGCCAAAATTACTGCCGAGGACCGTGTCATTAGTGACAAGATTGCGGAAGTTATTGCGCAGTGGAATGACGAAAAGCCAGTTTCGGGTACCATTTCCCCGGATGAGGCATCTCGTACTCTGAGCTCCTTCCAGTCACGCCTCGAATCCCTCCAGTCTGAGTTTGAAATGGTCTCCAAGGCCAAGGAAGCTCTCGACCTTCCTACCAGCTCCGACTCTTCCCTCCCGGCAATCCTTGAAGAGGTTCAGGACTTTATGTCTGTTTGGGCGGCGCTGTCTACGATCTGGAAGAGCCTTAATGACCTGCGTGAGGGCCTGTGGACTAGTGTACAGCCCAGGAAACTCCGACAGGCTCTTGATGGCCTCATCAAGATGACCAAGGAGATGCCCAGCCGAATGAGACAGTATGCTGCGTTCGAACACATTCAAAATGTTTTGCGTCAGTTCCTGAAGGTCAACTCTCTCCTCTCGGATATGAAATCAGAAGCTGTTAAAGAACGTCATTGGCAGAAAATCTATAAGTCTCTAAAGCCTGGAAAGCGATTCTCCCTTGTCTCGCTTACCCTTGGTGATGTGTGGGACTTGCAGCTTGCTACTAGTGAGACTGTCATCCGCAGTATCATTGCGCAGGCCCAGGGTGAGATGGCATTGGAGGAGTTCCTGAAGTCCGTCCGCGAGACCTGGCAGAACTATTCTCTGGATCTGGTCAATTACCAGAACAAGTGCCGCCTCATTCGTGGATTCGACGATCTCTTTGCTAAGTGCAGCGAGAACTTAAACTCTCTTCAGGCCATGAGGCACTCCCCGTACTACAAGGAATTCGAGGAAGAGGCTACATCATGGGAAGACAAGTTGAACCGTGTTCATGTCTTATTCGATGTTTGGATTGATGTTCAAAGACAATGGGTCTACTTGGAGGGTGTCTTCACTGGCAACGCTGATATCAAGCACCTCCTTCCTCTCGAGTCAAGTCGCTTCCAGAACATCAACTCCGAATTCTTTGCGGTTATGAAGAAGGTCTACAAATCGCCATTTGTTCTGGATGTCCTCGGAATCAACGGTGTCCAGAAGTCTCTGGAACGACTGGCTGAGCTGCTTAACAAGATCCAGAAGGCGCTTGGTGAATACCTGGAACGAGAGCGTGTGTCATTCCCTCGCTTCTACTTTGTTGGTGACGAAGATCTACTGGAGATCATTGGTAATAGCAATGATATCTTCCGTGTGGCCAAGCACTTCAAAAAGATGTTCGCCGGTCTATCAGGTCTTGTGATGGATGATGACAACAACATTGTTGGCTTCACCTCTAAGGAGGGTGAGGAGGTCCGCCTCAAGCGTGAGGTCAACCTTGTCAAGACCCCTAGGATCAATGATTGGCTTTCCGCTTTGGAGAACAACATGAAGTTGACCCTAGCCGAGCTGCTTGGTGAAGCTGTCGAGCAATTCGAAACCCTTTATCAAGCCACCGAGGTGGATCGTACGGCTTTCAGTGATTTCCTGGCTAACTACCCGGCACAGATTGTCGTCTTGGCTAGTCAAGTCGTTTGGACCAATGCGGTCCAGAAGTCTCTGGAAGAGGGTGGTGTCAACCTTCAAGCGCTGTATGAGGCCGAGGTCAGAATCCTCGAACTTCTGGCCGCTACGGTTCTTGGTGAATTGGATGCCATCACTCGCAAGAAGTGCGAACACATGATCACTGAATTTGTGCACCAGCGTGATGCTATTTCCAAACTCATCCAGTTCAACGCCACTACTCCAACACACCATCTCTGGCTGCTGCAGATGCGCTATGTCTACCAGCCAGACGGTGACTTCCTTCAGCGCTTGCATGTGCACATGGCCAATGCCAAGCTGAACTACGGTTTCGAGTACTTGGGTGTGCCGGAGCGGCTAGTTCGCACTCCTCTTACCGATCGTTGTTTCCTCACCCTCACCCAAGCCCTCTGCCAACGGCTGGGTGGCTCCCCCTATGGACCTGCGGGTACCGGTAAGACCGAGTCTGTTAAGGCGCTTGGTCTTCAGCTCGGTCGGTTCACCCTTGTTTTTTGCTGTGACGATACATTCGATTTCCAGGCCATGGGCCGTATCTTCCTCGGTATCTGTCAGGTCGGTGCTTGGGGTTGCTTTGACGAGTTCAACCGTTTGGAAGAACGGATTTTGTCTGCCGTTTCTCAGCAAATTCAAAATATCCAAATTGGTCTGCGAAATGGCGAGAATGAGGAGAAGTCTCAAATTGAGCTTGTTGGACGTCGCTTGGCCGTCAATTCGAACACTGGTATCTTCATCACGATGAATCCTGGATACGCCGGTCGTTCAAACTTGCCCGATAACCTAAAGAAGTTGTTCCGCAGTGTTGCAATGTCAAAGCCTGACAAGGAGCTTATTGCAGAGGTAATGCTGTTCTCCCAGGGTTTCAAGCAAGCCAAGCCTCTTTCCAAGCAAACAGTGCCATTCTTCGACCACTGTGCTTCTCAACTGTCCAAGCAAGCACACTACGACTTTGGTCTTCGTGCTTTGAAGAGTGTTCTCGTTAGCTCTGGTGGTCTCAAGCGCACTCGTCTCGCCAATTCGGATCACGATTTGGGCCCTGATGAAATTATTGAACCCCAAATTATCGTCCAGAGTCTGCGAGAGACCATTGCACCTAAGCTCGTGCAAGAAGATGTTGACCGTATGCTCAATATTCAGCTAGAAGACTTCCCAGGAGTTGAATACGTGCCTGCCAACTACGAAAAGCTCACACAGGCCATTCGAGACATTGCCAAAGAGCAGCACTTTGTCGACAGTGAGATGTGGATCACCAAGGCCCTGCAACTATACCAGATTCTGAGCATCCACCACGGTGTCATGATGGTTGGTAAATCGGGATCTGGTAAATCTGCCGCTTGGAAGATTTTACTGCAGGCCATGCAACGCATTGAAGGTGTGGAAGGTGTTTCACACATCATTGACTCGAAGGTTATGTCTAAGGAAGCCCTCTATGGTAACCTCGACAGCACTACTCGCGAATGGACTGACGGTCTCTTCACTGGTATCCTGAGAAAGATCGTAGACAACCTTCGTGGAGAGGACAGCAAGCGTCACTGGATAGTATTTGACGGTGATGTCGACCCAGAGTGGGTTGAGAACTTGAACAGTGTTTTGGATGACAACAAGCTGCTCACACTGCCCAACGGTGAACGTCTCAACCTGCCTCCCAATGTGCGCGTCATGTTCGAGGTTGAGACTTTGAAGTATGCCACTTTGGCCACTGTCAGTCGTTGCGGTATGGTCTGGTTCAATGCCGATACCGTCACTCCTTCCATGATGATCAACAACTACGTGGAAGGCTTGAAGACCAAAACCTTCGAGGACCTGGATGACGACAGCGTCCCTGCTGGAACATCCGCCGCCAAAACCCAGGATACCCAGCAAATGCTTTCCACCGTTCTCAAGCAGCACCTCGAGACGGACGACCTGGTACTGAAAGCGCTTGAGGAAGCAAAGAAGTACAACCACATTATGGACTTCACCGATATCCGTGGCCTCAATACCATGTTCAGCTTGCTAAATAAGGCTTGCCGTAACGTCCTTGAGTACAATATCCAACATGTGGATTTCCCACTGGACTCGGAGCAAATCGAGTCCTATATCTCCAAGAAGCTTCTGCTCACCCTGGTCTGGTCTTTTACTGGTGACTGTCCACTTACTGACCGCAAGGCCTTCGGTCAGTACGTCGCTGGAATGACGACCATTGACCTTCCGCCAGATGGAGAATCGTCGCTCATTGACTACGATGTTACTCTTCCAAAGTCGGAATGGGCCAGCTGGCAGTCACAGGTTCCTACAATTGACATCAACACTCACTCGATCACGCAGACAGATGTCATCATCCCCACCGTGGACACTGTTCGTCACGAGGATGTTCTGTACTCCTGGCTTGCTGAGCACAAACCTCTCCTGCTGTGCGGTCCGCCTGGATCTGGTAAAACCATGACGCTATTTGCCGCGCTCAGAAAATTGCCAAACATGGAGGTCGTTGGCCTCAACTTCTCCAGCGCCACCACTCCCGATCTTCTTATCAAGACCTTCGAGCAGTACTGTGAATACAAGAAGACTCTCAACGGTGTCGTCATGTCTCCCAACCAGATTGGTCGCTGGCTGGTCATCTTCTGCGACGAGATCAACTTGCCCGCCCCTGATCGCTACGGCACTCAGCGAGCCATCTCCTTCCTGCGCCAGCTTGTGGAACAGAATGGCTTCTGGCGCACCTCCGACAAGACCTGGGTCAGCCTTGATCGTATTCAGTTTGTGGGTGCCTGTAACCCACCGACAGATGCAGGTCGTACACCGATGGGTGATCGATTCCTGCGCCATGCTCCTCTCATCATGGTTGACTACCCCGGTGAGATATCGCTCAACCAGATCTACGGTACCTTCAACTCTGCGGTTCTCAAGATCCTGCCCCTGCTCCGCGGATACTCTGAGGCCCTTACGAAGGCCATGGTCCAGTTTTACCTGGAATCACAAACTAGGTTCACGCCAAAGATCCAACCTCATTACGTCTACTCCCCTCGCGAGCTCACCCGTTGGGTTCGTGGTCTCTACGAGGCTATCAAGCCACTCGAGACTCTGTCAATTGAGGGTCTTGTGAGAATTTGGGCCCATGAAGCTCTGCGGTTGTTCCAGGATCGTTTGGTCGCCGAGGACGAGCGAGCTTGGACCGCAGATGCTGTTCGCCGCATTGCGTTGGAGCACTTCCCAACCATCGACCAAGAGGAGGCTTTGAAGGGCCCTATCCTGTTCTCCAACTGGTTGTCTAAGCACTACGTGCCTGTGGAACAGGAACGTCTTCGCGATTTCGTCAAGGCTCGTCTCAAGACATTCTGTGAGGAAGAGGTTGATGTTCCCTTGGTGCTGTTCAATGATGTCCTCGAACACGCGCTTCGCATTGACAGAGTATTCCGTCAGCCTCAAGGTCATCTCATTCTCATCGGTGTAAGCGGAAGTGGAAAGACAACACTTTCCCGCTTTGTTGCTTGGATGAACGGTCTGAAGGTCTTCCAGATCAAGGTACACGGAAAATATTCTTCTGAAGACTTCGATGATGATCTTCGCAGCGTTCTTCGTCGGGCTGGTTGCAAGGGCGAGAAGATTTGTTTCATTATGGATGAAGCCAACGTTCTTGACTCCGGTTTCCTGGAACGTATGAACACCTTGCTTGCCAACGCCGAGGTGCCTGGTCTCTTTGAGGGTGATGAATTCTCCTCGCTGATGACCGCCTGTAAAGAGGGTGCCCAGCGTCAAGGCCTTATTCTAGACTCTCAGGAGGAGCTTTACAAGTGGTTCACACAGCAAATCGTCAAGAACTTGCACGTCGTCTTTACAATGAACCCGCCCGAAGAGGGACTATCTTCTAAGGCGGCCACCAGTCCTGCTTTGTTCAATCGTTGTGTGCTCAATTGGATGGGCGACTGGTCTGATCAAGCCTTGTTCCAAGTCGGTTCTGAGCTCACTCAATCCGTCGACCTGGATAAGCCCAACTTTGTCTCTCCTGACAGTATCCCCGTCGCCTATCGTGAATTGTCTCTTCCCGCTTCGCACAGAGACACTGTTGTTAACTCTATGGTGTTCATCCACCACTCTTTGCACCGGTTCAACCAGCGCCTGCAGAAGCAGCAAGGCCGGTCTACTTTCCTCACTCCTCGCCATTACCTTGACTTTGTCGCTCAGTATGTCAAGCTGTTCAATGAGAAGCGCGAGGATCTCGAGGAGCAACAGCGTCACTTGAATGTCGGTCTCGAGAAACTCCGTGACACCGTCGACAAGGTTAGCGACTTGCGGGCTAGCTTGGCCCAGAAGAAAACACAACTGGAGAAGAAAGATACGGAAGCCAATGAGAAGTTGCAGCGCATGGTTGCTGATCAGCAGGAAGCGGAGCAGCGGAAGCAAGTTTCTTTGGAGGTGCAGCAAGCTTTGGAGAAGCAGGAGAAGGAAGTAGCAACGAGAAAGGAGGTCGTCTTGAACGATTTGGCTCGCGCTGAACCTGCAGTCTTGGAAGCTCAAAAGAGTGTCAGCAACATCAAGCGTCAACACCTGACTGAAGTCCGTTCTATGGGTAACCCACCAGCTAGCGTTCGGCTTGCCCTTGAAGCCGTGTGCACACTTCTTGGTCATAAGGTCGATAGCTGGAAGACGATCCAGGGTATCATTCGCCGGGAGGATTTTATTGCCAGCATCGTCAACTATGACAACGAACGTCACATGACGCGCAACCACCGTGTCAAGATGCAGAATGAGTTCCTTTCCAAGGAAGACTTCACCTACGAGCGAGTGAACCGTGCCAGTAAGGCATGCGGTCCCTTGGTTCAATGGGTTGAAGCCCAAGTCAACTACTCGGCCATCCTAGATCGTGTGGGACCCCTACGTGAGGAGGTCGACCAGCTTGAGGAGCAGGCTCTGCAGACGAAGGCTGAGGCACAAGCTATTGAGAACACCATTCAGAGCCTTGAGAGCAGTATCGCCACCTACAAGGCCGAGTATGCTGCCCTGATCAGCGAGACTCAGGCAATCAAGACAGAGATGTCCCGAGTCCAATTCAAGGTTGATCGCAGTGTCCGTCTGCTTGACAGTCTGGCCTCCGAGCGTGAGCGTTGGGAAGAGGGCAGCAAGTCCTTCGAGACTCAAATTAGTACTCTGGTTGGTGACGTACTTATCGCTGCTGCTTTCCTTGCCTATGCTGGTCTTTATGATCAGCAGTTCCGTAAGGCGATGATCGATGACTGGGTTCACCAGCTTGCTCAGTCTGGCATCAACTTCAAGCCCCACAATCCGATTACGGAATATCTTTCCAATGCCGACGAGCGCCTCACTTGGCAAGCAAACTCTCTCCCTGTCGACGACCTTTGCACAGAGAACGCCATTATCTTGAAGCGTTTCAACAGATATCCTCTCATCGTCGACCCATCTGGCCGTGTCACAGAATTCCTGCAGAAGGAGAGCAAGGATCGCAAGCTGACCGTCACAAGCTTCTTGGACGACTCATTCGTCAAGCAATTGGAGAGTGCGCTGCGTTTCGGAAACCCTATTCTCATTCAGGATGCAGAGCATTTGGACCCGATTCTCAACCACGTCCTCAACAAGGAGTACCAGAAGACTGGTGGCCGTGTTCTTATCCAGCTCGGCAAGCAAGAGATCGATTTCTCTCCATCATTCAAGCTGTTCCTTTCGACCAGAGATCCTTCTGCACAATTCCCACCGGACATTTGCAGCCGGACCACCTTTGTCAACTTCACGGTCACCCAGAGCAGTTTGCAGACACAGTCGCTGAACGATGTCCTCAAGTTCGAGCGACCCGACGTGGATGAGCGCCGCAACAACCTTGTCAAGATGCAAGGAGAATTTAAGGTCCACCTTCGACAGCTTGAGAAGCGCCTACTGCAGGCACTCAATGAGTCTCGTGGTAACATTCTTGATGACGACAATGTTATCGAGACCCTCGAGACTCTCAAGAAGGAGGCTGCTGAAATCTCGAAGAAGATGTCTGAGACAGAGGGTGTCATGTCTGAAGTGGACAGCATCACCCGCCAGTACAGCAGTATTGCCAGGGCATGCAGTGCTGTTTTCGCAGTACTGGAGCAGTTGCATCACATCAACCACTTCTACCAATTCTCTCTTCAGTACTTTGTCGATATTTTCAATGCCGTTCTCTACCAGAACAAGCGTCTTGCCCAGGAGAAGGATCATGCCGCTCGTGTGCAGATTATCATTCATGATCTGTTCATTACCACTTACCAGCGAACCTCGCTGGGTCTTGTCCAGAAGGACCGCATTACATTGGCAATCCTCCTTGCCCAGGCCACTCCTTTCCCAATGGATAGAGCCATTCTAGACCGCATTTTGGATGAGTCTGTTGAGGACACCGATCTGTCAACCACCTCTAACGCCCGCGAGGAGGTTTTGGGCAAGCTTCTTAATATCTCGCTCTTCAAGGAATTCATCCCCGAGGTCCCCCAAGAGCAGTGGGATCGCTTCTTCACCGAGGAAATCGCAGAGAACGCCGTTCCAGTCGTCTGGAAAGAGGATACCCCTAAGCTTGATCAGCTACTTCGATCCCTGTTACTTGTCAAGCTCTGCCGCATGGATCGCTTTGTTCCAAGCGCTGAGCGCTTCGTTGAGGCTGTCTTCGGTCGTGAACTCTACGAGGGTAGCAGCGATCTTAAGGACGTGGTTGACCAAGTCACAGCGACAACCCCGATTTCTCTCAGCTCCAGCCCAGGCTTCGACGCCAGTTACAAGGTCGATGCCCTGGTTGAACGCACGCATGCTACTTGCGCCAATATTGCCATGGGTTCGAATGAAGGTCTCGAGAGCGCTGACAAGGCGATCAGCAACGCAGCCGCAACTGGTAACTGGGTGCTTGTCAAGAACGTCCACCTGGCGCCTTCGTGGCTGCAGAGTCTGGAAAAGAGACTGGATTCTCTCAAGCCCCACAAGGAGTTCCGACTCTTCCTGTCCATGGAGTCCAGCCCCAAGATCCCAGTCAACCTTATCCGTGCCTCTCGCGTGTTGATGTACGAGCAGCCTGCAGGTGTTCGTGCCAATATGAAGGACTCCCTGTCTTCGTTGACCACTCGTGCCAGCAAGGCCCCCGTCGAAAAAGCCCGTGTCTACCTGCTTCTTTGCTTCCTCCACGCCGTGGTTCAAGAACGTCTTCGCTACGCACCAAACCTTGGATGGAAGGGCTTCTGGGAATTCAATGACAGCGACGTAAGTGTCCCGCTCGCATTTACCACTCTAGCCATCACAACATGCTAACAGATCTCGTACAGTACGAATGCTCCGCCCACATCATTGACCACTGGGTCAACACAGTGGCCCAAGGCCGTTCCAACGTTGCACCCCAGAAACTCCCTTGGGAGATGATCTGCACTCTGATCACAGAGATGTACGGTGGCAAGATTGACGATGCCGGCGACTTCCAGCAGCTAGACGGCCTGGTCAAGAACTTCCTCACGCCCGCTGCCTTCGAGGACGAGCACAAGCTTGTTTCGGGTGTTGAGAACGACGAACTCCTTACTCTGCCTTCCGGCACTAGCATCCGCGACTTCATCAGCTGGGTCAACAATCTCCCCGAGCGCGAGCCGCCTACCTACCTGGGTCTTCCGGCCAACGCAGAGAAGCTCCTGCTTGTTGGTCATGGTCGCAAGATGATTTCAGACTTGTCTCGTATCACTACGCTTCTGGATGAAGGCGAGCAGCTGATGGTTGACAACTAGTCTTTTCTTTTTTGTTGTTCATATTGCTATTTTGTCCTCGACTTGGCGTTGAGGTGAATCTCCTCTGGAATTGGGGTTGGTGAGAAGTTGATCTGTTTCATACCCCCAAGACCGCTGGCGGAATTGTCTTTCCTGTGTGTTTTTTCTTATTGTTTTTGGTGTACATCTCATCAGATCTGTGACTTTCTTTCTTTGTACAGCTTTTTGCTTCATCTCTCTACCAAAACTTCAAGTCTTGTCATTTCTGCACAATATTTCCTACAATCACGCATTCTGCCTTGTATTATTTACTCTCTTCAAAGTAGAGTTCGCTTTACAAACATCGAGTCTCAGTGTAACATAACGAGTGCATTTCTCATAACTTAGAGAGGAATATGGTTAATAGCATTAAGTATCCAGTATACAATCTGAAAGATATCTGGCATGTATCAGACATGTCTACAGTGACTGCCGAACACATCATGTAGAGTTACGTTAAAAACAAAACGCCAACGAGTGATGGTTCCTATGTACGAAGGAGGAGAGCATAACTCGCATCACCACATTTAGGAGATAAAGGTCGATTCTGAAAACAAGGTTCCCTCCTCCTCGATCTCGGTGTCGCCGACCTTGACCTTAATCTTCAGCTTCTCCTGGGGAGAGAACTGTGGGGTTTGGTTAGCATCAAAGCCAGGGGAGATTTGAAAAAAAAATGTGAGGTAGGATGGTGGGGGCTCGTACCTGGAAGATGTATGGGCGGGTACCAGCGACGCTGCCAGCAATGGTCTTGATGAAGCCAGGGACCTCACCCATCACGTCGACGCGATCCTGTCGCTTGCCAAGCGGGCCGTCTACCACGGCGGTGAAGTCCTGACCGTCGGCGGTCTTGCCGGTCCACTCCCACTTGATGGAGGTGGGCTCGGGCCAGTCGCTCTCCGGGTCTTGCACGGACGCAGTGTGGGTCACGGAGTTGGTGGCACCGGCGTAAACGATCTCTCCGTCCTTCAGGACACCGCCGACGTTGACCTTGGTCGAGCCGTACGAGGGGGGAGTGGTGAACTCCATCATGACAGCGGAGAAGGTGGGGGTCTGGAAGTTGATGAAGTTCCAGCGGGCAGCTTAATACATGCATTAGTACTGACTTTGTCGCAGAACAATTGTAGCTCCTACCAGCGTGGTGTGGCTTCATGCCCTGCAGAGCTCCGATGAACACTCCGCGGCCGGTGAGGTCGTAGGTCTTCTCCTTGGTGGTAAGGGTGCCCTCGACGGCACAGCGGGGCCAGAAACCGTGGTACATGGATCCCCAGGGGTTCTTGGGGTCGGTGCCAAAGTACGAGGTACCGTTCTTGCCGGCAACGAAGCCCGGCGCCTTGCGGGTAACTTTGACGTCGACAATGCTGTCAGCGTTGACGGTGGACTTGATGTGGTAGGCGTCGCCTTCCTCGTTCAAGGTGAGAGTCAGGTTATCAGCGCCGAAGGAGTGCATCTGCTCGTCGAACATGCAGTTGGAGAGCGCATCGGTGTGCCAGACATGGGGCTTGTCGCCCTTGAGGTTGAAGATCTTGGTGTTGAAGTGCGCGGTGGTGTGGATACCCCTATAGATCCGCAAGAGCCGTGAGGCACATGGTCAGTCATTTGGCACATGAAACCAGAAGATCGAGCGATCCGTTCAAAGCAGAACAAGAGTTATGCTCACGCAATGTTGCTGTAGATGACCTGGATCATGAACAGGTTTCCGTCGTCGGCCATGATGTAGAAGGTCTGAGTCTCGACATTGGTGTACTGGTACGCCTTCCAGCGCAAGTGGTCCTTGGTCAAGACAGTGTGAGGAGTCTCGCTGGCCTGCTGAGCAACCGACTGGATGGCCTCGGGGCCATAGATGGGCTCTTGCGTGCCGACGGCCGCAGAGAGACTGCCCGCCATGGATTTGGGTCAGTCACCAATCACCACCAGACAACATTATGGAGTGAGGAACATACGTCGATTTCAGCCAGTTCATGATGAAGTTATCGTAATTCGCAACCACAGAAAGGAAGTTCTGGAGGCGATTCAAGAAAATTAGAAAAAAAAAAAATAATAGGGAAAGGGGAGGTGAAGGGGAGAAGGGAGATCAACGCGGGGCGAGTCTAGTTCGGATACGAATGGCAAGCTCGGCGATCTGGTTTGAGACGAACCACGCAACGACCGGATCTGCACGGTCAAAAAAAGATTCGGGTGGTCTGATAAAGAAGTACCGATTGATGAAAGATCCTGGCTTGGAGCTTCGAGGCAGCTTCGAACGAAAGAACGAAAGAACAAAAGGACGATGACGTTCGGCGGTCCTCAGCTGTTTCGCTTGGCGCCCGAGCCAATCAGCGGCCGCGCCAGGAAAATCTGCCCGTCTCCAGCGCGCGGCTTCACTTTTGGTCCGCTTCGGTGATTCTGGTGATTCCTCGCTCTTGTGTCCTCCACCACAACTCACTCCCACATCCTTCACCATGGCCAGGAACGCTTTGCAAAAGGACCAATTCGTCAAGCTCATCGTCGGCGCTGGCCAGGCCAGTCCCAGCCCTCCTGTCGGTCCGGCACTGGGTAGCAAGGGTGTTAAGAGTATGGACTTTTGCAAGGTGAGCTTCGACTTCCTTTCTGAATGTCTCTCGAGTCCCAACTGACATCTCGAATCGTAGGAGTTCAATGCCCGCACTGCCCACATCAACGTCGGTGTCCCCATCCCCGCGCGCGTCACCGTCCGTCCCGACCGCTCCTTTTTCTTCGACCTCCGCACGCCGACAACCACCTACCTCCTCCTGAACGCGGCCAATGTCGAGCCTCGTAAGAACCGTCTGCGCGGAGCCATGAAACCCGGCCACGAGATCTGCGGTAAGATCTCGCTCAAGCACGTCTACGAAATTGCCAAGATCAAGCACAGCGAGACGCGGCTATCGGGATTGAGTCTGCAGGGATTGTGCAAGAGTGTCATGGCGCAAGCCAAGTCGATTGGCATCCAAGTCATTCCTTGAGAGGTTTTTACGCGATGGGCGCAGCGTTAAGTTTTCTTCCCTTTTCTTGTATCACTACGATCGCATTCAGCGCCGGTGGTTGCGAGTCGACCGGTCGCTGGCCACTTGTCAGTTGGGTATACCTTGGCAGAGACCAGAGACCGCTGCATTAGCCGGCTGATCTTTTGTGCGATATATTTCCCATCTCCGTTTTGAGGGTTTTCAAAAGGCGTTTATCCCGAGGAGAGGCGAGATTGGGGCGCCTCTTCTTACTTGTATCATACACACACACTTCACACACACTTCATACTCCAATACTGTACTTCAATGCTCCAATACTCTAGATCCGTCCCGATTCCAATTATCGCAACGCATGCTGTTTGAGCGGTGTGAACCTTACCGTTCCAAGAGAAGATTATATAAAGTCTGATTAGAAGGGGCGCATGACGGCACCGTTCTAGGTATTTCGATAGAGATTGGGGACCATTCTACATAAATCGTCATCTGAGCGAGCACATTTATGTACTGCCTTGGGGTCGATCCTTCTTGTAGTTTAATATGGAGACACACCTAGTACTCTCAACATTTGCCATAGTGCATTCCGTGTGGTTGACCATGACTTCAGAGGATACAACGATTCCAGGGATGAAAAATCAAGCGCTGAACCGATACCTACCGTATGCTAGAGTAGGTATGATGAGCAGAGGTAGTCGTAGTCTTTGTTCATAAGGATGTTTAGGTAGTATAATTACGGTTTAGGGCCCGCTCGACATGATCATTACATCGTCCCGTCGCAGTTTCATGTGCACCCACGAGAGACGAGATGTACGAATGACAAAAGAGAGGATACATAGCCTTTCTATTTGGAATCCAGCTAGCTTGGCGAGTATGGGCCAAGAAGATAGGCAACACGGGGGCGATCAAACGGCCTTGGCAAGTATGAAGATGGCCATGGGAGGGCTGGTCCAGACGAGATGTTTCGAGATGGGCGGGTAACGTGGTTTAACTAGGCTACAGGTCTATCTTTATTTAGAAAATAATGTCCCTGGAGCACAGCATGAGAGGGACTCGGAAGATCCCCGTGGAGAAGAAGCGCCCACTGCGGACTGTATGGTCCGTGGGCGTGAGAGGGGGGGCAGCCACGCTTATGCTGTCCCACTATCCACCACGCCTCTCTGCCAGTCGACATGTTCATGATATGGGGTATAAAAAGGCTAAACATGTGTACAGAGTAGCGGCAGAGTATGTCGCACAAAGCCCCTCGCCTCCCCTCTCCATCGGCCTTCTCCGGGTGGGAGGCCAATCAGGATGGGAGGAGTAAGAGCAGCCAAACAGGGTGTCGCACAGCTGCAAGCAGGGAACATCAGGGCCTAGCCGGGTTGGGCAAAATTCCAGACGTCCGGAAGAATTCATCGTAATTTGATCAGAGGGGGATCCCTGGCCAGTGCATGGGCCGAGAGATTGGCACGTTAGCAAGGTGAGCACATGCCACCACGAGCGTCGTGAGTGGTGGCAGCCGCCATAAGCGATCATTAACTCTGGATCGGGTTACTTGGAAAGCTCGGCGTATACTCGAGTACTGCAGTAGTGCTGTCCGGTAGTCCGATGCCTTCAGAGTCGACAAGGTCCGTCACTGCTGATGCATGTACGGAGTACCATCATCATAATCATAATTAAATAACCATCGTCGAATCTGTACGTTCACGCAGACCCGGGAAGTCGGCACGAGGGCCTAGTGTGACCTTCACGAGGGGTCATCGACATCGACATCATAGGCCACGCCCTCCGAGCTTGTTCTCAGCTCCGCAGACTTCCGATTTGACTCATTTTGTAGGAGAGGAAGTGTCGGACAAGATGCAGAAGAGTGTCGTTAATGATCCAAGTAAAAAACATCTTCATGACTAGGATATAGACCGGAGCATAGAGAAAGACCCATTGGATGATGGATGATGATGGTTGAGGGGGGAACCAGCTTCGTGACGCTTTCTTACCCCCACTCCGTTGGCCTCAACCCTCAGGCCTGGGCGCTTCTACTACGACGAACCAACCTTTCCGGTACTTCCAACCCTCCAAATCCTCCTCCCCTCTCCTCTCTCCTCCTCACCTCCCCTTTCCTCCTCGTCTCGTATATTCTTCCTCCTTCACTTTCTCCCCGTGGTCTCTTCCTCACATCTTCCCCCCACCCCGCTTCGTCCCGTTGCAGTCGCACGGGCTTATCGCACGGATTCGGCGCCGAAAAGTCTAAGGGAAAAGATTTGCCTCACCCACGTAATCGACAACCGGCTTCTTTTCGCCCCGGGATCGCCATCCATTTCTAGCCTTGGTCCCTTCAACGGTCAATCGTGAAGAACCGAAACAAAAAACACCTAACGCATCACGTTCTTCCAACCCTTTGCGTGATACTTTACTTCCGCTCTGTGAGGGGCATGCGTCCCACCTGAGTTCCCGAGTTGGTCGTCGATGAGTATGACGTCTGAAACCGCCGAGTGCTCGACCCCAACCGCCAACTCCATGGAGTCAGGTATGTCTTGGCTAACTCGACCTCTCGGTGCGATTGGCATCTCTGGCATTTCAGTATTCTGACTCCGCATGTTTGAATTGTCTTCCCTCCAGGTTTCCAATCTCCCGTCCAGATGCCTGCCCAGCCGTCGGCGGCCGGTGATGCCGACGCCAAGTCGAAGTCGCAGCCTGGCCAGGTGCGCTTTTCCTCCGTCACGCAGGAGATCGAACCCTCCCACGCGATGCTGTCGCCTGTCTCGGAGGTTCCCCAGCAGCTCGATCCGCCCAAACAGGCCCCCGATGAGGAGGAATTGCGGTCGCTTGCCATGAGCTTGCAAAGATCGCAGCTTCAAGAATCTCGTCTCCGCAACTTTTCATTCGAGCCAATGTCTCTTCCTTCTTCCAGAGTATGTCTCTATGTTGTTCTTCCTTTAATATTCCTTCTTTGTTACCAGTCGAGCCACTACTGTGGAGCTTGCAGGGGCACCCTATGGACAATGGGAGGTTGAGAAAGCCTTGCCCAACGGGCTTCTCCTGGAAGTCCGCCGAGCTGGTGGTAATTTGTACTTCTCTCATCATCCCGATACTAACTACTACTTCCTTCTCTCTAGGTTGGGTCTCGAGAATCGAGTGACCGTAGCGCCCATGGCACCGGTTCTTTCGTGGCTTCCCCTCACGCATCTCCCCCCGTTTCTGCAGTACAGTCCCCTCCCCTGACTCCGGCCGTCACCACCTCCCGTGAGGGCCGAGCTGGCGACAGCGTGGCTGCCCTGAATGCCGTGGGCCGAGCCACTGGGCAACATCCAGCAATCACACCCGAAACGTCTCCTCCGGTCACTTCTGGTGACAAAAACGGGCCCCCGCGAAGTGCCCCAACTTCTCGGCCCGCTTCCAGCGACTATCTTCCCATCAACCAGAGCGGAACCTCCGAACCTCCATCCCAGATCAACACGGCGGTCCCGAGACACCGTGCACAGTTCTTTACGGGTGCCGATCCGAGCTCTCAGGAAGAGAGTCCACCAACGACCCCGAGAGACTCCCACACGCCACCGGGCGCCATCACTCCCGTGGGTGAGCCCAACGACCCATATGCCCGCAGCAAGCGGCCTCCACAGTCCAAGAACCTTGCTCAGCTCGACGCACGGTTCATCTTTGGGAGTCGGGATTCGAAGCGGTCATTTCGTCCTGGTAACCCCCCACGGTCGGCGAGTGCCAGCGATCTGGGAAAATCCAGTGACAAGCGTAATAACAAGAAGGAATCCAGCGATAAGCATGGCCACGGCCATCACCATCATGGCTCCATGTCTGAACTTAAGCGGTTCTTCAAGATGGGCCACCGTAGTAAGCGACCCGAGTCACCCACGTCGGCTTCCAAGCGGTCCAGCCGCACTTCAGGAAAGAGCACACCTTTTCAGATGGCACCCGACAATGTGCCGTTCGCCGATGATCACGGTTTGAACTCGAAGTACGGCAAGATGGGACGTGTGCTTGGTTCCGGCGCTGGTGGGTCGGTCCGACTTCTTAAGCGGAATAGCGACGGTGTGACTTTTGCGGTCAAGCAGTTCCGAGACCGACACAACTGGGAAACCTTGAAGGAGTACTCGAAGAAGGTCACGGCTGAATTCTGTATCGGATCTACCCTGCACCACGGCAATATTATCGAGACTCTGGATATTATTCAGGAAGGAAGCCACTGGTATGAGGTCATGGAATACGCACCATTCGACCTCTTCGCCATTGTCATGACGGGCAAGATGACCAAGGAGGAGATTGCCTGTTCATTCAAGCAAATCCTCAGCGGTGTGGCTTACCTCCACGGCATGGGTCTAGCTCACCGGGATCTGAAGTTAGATAACGTGGTGGTCAACGATCGCGGTATCATGAAGCTGATCGACTTTGGAAGCGCGGTCGTCTTCCGCTATCCATTTGAGAACGATATCGTGCCTGCGTCAGGTATGTATTGTCTTGTCATTTTCAATTACAGCCGGAGTCAGTACTAATCATCAGTAATCAGGCATTGTTGGTTCCGACCCATACCTCGCTCCCGAGGTATATGACGAGAAGAAATATGACCCCCGTCCCACAGATGTTTGGTCGCTGGCGATCATCTTCTGTTGTATGACCCTGCGCCGCTTCCCGTGGAAGCAGCCTCGCACTACGGACAACTCCTACCGTCTCTTTGTGGCCCCCCCGACCCCTGGTACTCCGGTTCCCGATGTCGATCCTCGGCGTCAACCCAAAGCCAAGTCTACCCCCGATCTGCCTTCGGAAGCGCATGAACACAAACACTCTGAGGCGCCTAACAAGCCCTCTGCATTGGTACCTCCCCCAGCTGGCCCGGAACAAAACGGGACGAAGCCGCCCGATTCTCCTACCAAGGAAAGCGACCGGCCTGGTGAGACTGCACAGAAGCAGGTCAGCCAGACCAGCGTTAACAACAAGCCGACGCGCACCACCAGCAAGGAGGCCCCGCCTCTACCCCCGAATGCTCAGCCGCCGGCTCAGCGGCAGGAGGTCATTAAGGGCCCTTGGCGACTTCTCCGCATCTTGCCGCGGGAAAGTCGGTACATCATTGGCCGCATGTTGAAGGTCAACCCGAACGAGCGAGCAACCCTAGATGAGGTCCTGGCTGATGAATGGGTTCGCAATATCCTGACCTGCCGACAGGAGGACTCAGGCGAGGTCATCAATGCCCCCAACCACACACACGTTCTCGAACCACCTTCGCACAGCCCCGCCGTGGCCAGTAAGGGTGCCAAGGCTAAATGATTTCCTCCTTAATCCATCTCCTTTTCGTGTATCATTTGACTCGACATGTGCATAATTCCCTCCCAGGCCCGGATCGTGGCTCTCACCTTGGGTCACCTTTGCCCTTTCCCTTCAACCTCTCCATCTTCTCAATCCCGCGGCGCCCTTTCGATTTCTTCAAGATGATTGCACTTCGCTACGACATAATCTCATTTTGGCTCCTCCTTTTGTTTGAGTCGGCCTCTGTCAGATGAATGATCAGCTTGATTGGTGTTGGTATACTTGTCCATGACAACTACCAACCCGGTTCACCTTGGAAGTGGGTTGTGTAGAACGTGCTTCTTCTGGAGTTATGGAGAGACCCGGGTCCGCTGGCAACCTAACAGCCAAGTTCCCCTTGGTCCAGGTATCCCGCGCTAGATATCTCCTGCTGGATCGTCTTTGAAATGTTTAGCAGGAGGTTTCGTTTCTCATTCATGCACTGAACATTCTTCGTTTTGTGTCCCTGCGGGTGGACTGGTGCTTCTTTTCTGTGGGTATTCTCAGGTGTATGTTGAAACCCTCGGGACAGTAGATACTTTCTAAATATTCAGAATATAACCTTCTTTCAATAAAATCATAAGCATGGTACTCCTTTCCCCCCATCTTGTCGTCGCAGCTCGGGCTAAGGTTGTTCGGGATCGACCTGACGTAAGACCCCCGAATCGGCGATGTCGGCTAGCTTGGCCGCGGAGCAAAACCTTCGAACTCCATCGGATTGCGGAGCTCGATTCGCTCTGTCCCAGCCGGTTTGTATTGCGCTTGAAAGAGTTGTTTTTGCAAGCTGCTTTTGTCAATCATCCGGATTCATTGGCCGAAATAGCATGGTCTTGCCCTAGACACTTCTTCGACAATTGCACTGTTTCCCGCTCGTCATGACACAGCAAGCTGACGGGGAGCCATTGGTCTCCTCCCTTTGGACGAGGTCCCTCCTGGTATGGCGAACAGCAACCTTACAAACTGTCTTCAGCCTAGACCTCGAACTAATTGCTTCTCATTATACAGTCCGGTGCCGTTGCCGGTTTGACCGTTGACTGCTCCCTCTACCCCCTCGACACTATTAAAACCCGACTCCAAAAAGCACGCGACACCACCGCACCCCAAGCCCCCCGCCTCTCCCTGCGCCAAACGATCCGCGGTATCTACGCAGGTCTCCCCTCCGTTCTCTTCGGCTCCGCACCCTCCGCCGCATCCTTCTTCATCGTCTACGACGGCGTCAAGCGCTCACTTCTCCCGCCGTCCGCTTCCTCCTCCGAACCCCCCTCCCGCGCCCATGTCTTCTTTACACACTCCCTCGCTTCCTCTCTCGGTGAGATCTCTGCCTGCGCCGTACGTGTACCAACGGAGGTAATCAAGCAGCGAGCTCAGGCCGGTCTCTTCGGGGGCTCCAGTTTGCTTGCGCTCAAGGATATCTTATCCCTCCGCCACGCCGTGCCGGAGACACAGACCGGTTCGGGCACTGCTGTCCCGGTCAAGCGCGGTTATGGCCAGGTCATTCGTGAACTCTACCGCGGTGCTGGTATCACGATCGCCCGCGAGATCCCCTTCACCGTCCTCCAATTCACCATGTGGGAGTCGATGAAAGCCACCTACACCCAACGGTACCTCCGGCGCGAGGAGGGCGCTTCGACGAAAGCGTCGCAAATCCCGGCTACCACGAGTGCCATGTTCGGTAGCGTAGCCGGTGCGATTGCGGCCGGTCTGACGACCCCGCTGGACGTGATCAAGACGCGGGTTATGCTGGCGCGTCGTGGAGACGGCGGTGTAGATGCTCCTGTCCGAGTCAAGGAGATTGTGCGAGGAATTGCGAATGAGGGTCTTGGTGCATTCTGGCGCGGAATTGGGCCGCGGGTTGCGTGGATTGGAATTGGCGGAGCAGTGTTTTTGGGAAGTTACCAGTGGGCGTCGAATACGCTTGAGGGGGCGAAGAAGGAGGAGGACGAATGAGGAAGAAAGCTAATGATGTTAGAGCTGTGATTGTATATTATAATGTGATTGTACTTTTGTTTCTATAGTTTTGCGACATACTAGATAGAGGGGGATATGGGGGCACATCGAGTCGGGAATGCCATGTATAGAGATGTCCTCCAATTGTTGTGTAGAAACCTGCGGGTTATTCTTCTGGGGTCTTCAGCATCCAACTGAGTTCTCGTACTTGCTCTGCAGTGAGCAATTCCTCCATTTTATCTTTGCGTAGAAAGTCGAGACCCGCAAAATCGAATCCCGGGACGACCACCTGAAAGAATCAGTAAGGTATATACGGACCGGACATACATACCAAGAGATATACGAATCCATGGAGATGTAGATATCCACAGAATGACGAACATACTTCACTGATCAACAACCCCTCCGAATCCCCCGGAGTGGAAATATCCGGCAACAAATAACTCGCCTTATACTTCCCCGCGCCAACTACCCACTGCAAGTGCTCCCCACGCGCCACGTCGGGTCCGACCACAAAGCTCTCCAGTCGTACCTTTTCCTCCTCACGCTCGGATTTTTCCAAGCCCGCGTGGCTGCAGGAAGCCTCATCTGCGTGGATGATCACGTACCGCCCGCGTCCCCGGTGCCAGGTATGGATGGTCCGGGCCCGATCACGGTGGAACATGCCTAGCGGGGCGTTGGGAGTGAGCAAGTAGAAGATGGTAGAACTTGCTGCGGGGAGGGAGGGATCGTGATCTTGAGGTTGCGTTTCTGTCTTGTCCACGGGAGGGGGAGGGGGAGGGCGATCGGTTTCGGCGAAGTAGCCGCCTTCGGGATGGGGCTGGAGGTTGAGGGTTTGGATGAGCGTGTTGACAGTTGATGAGTTCTGGGAAGCTTGATGGTGATGAGGGTCGTATATTGGCTTGATTTGAGAGACTGGAATATCCATAGCGAGTCGAATCATGTAATCGTAAGTGGTACAGATTGGTCGTTGATGGTAGCTCGGGGATATACATGGATACAACCCTGCCTTTATGGACACCAAAACAGATTACGTCGAATCGACTTCAAGGTGACCAGAGATGAAAATGACATCAGTCTAGAGCAGTGAGTATCCGTATAACATAATAAAGTACTCGAGTCATATCAAACACTATATACATCATGGAAAAAAGGAACACGAATCGGGGTTACGGACGAAGCCCGACCCCAGAAAATGCGCTTTGGCGTCGCGATCCAAATGCCCCTGGCGGCTCTCTCTCTCTTTCTCTCTCCCCTCTCCCAAACTTCCCCTCACTGACCGATCCTTCTTCCCCCTTCTCCTATCGTTGAACGCCGATACCCCTTCTCGCCAGAAATCGTCATCTCATCGTTACTCTCACCATCGTTGCGCCAATTTCCTCGCGGACTGTGGGTTCAGACTTGTGACGTCGCTCTCCCCACCAAACGTGTGATCGGCCCTCAATAGGCAGATAAGCTCCGCATCTCCTCCGCAATTCCCTTTTCCACGCTTCAACTGCATGTATGGCACGGAAACTAAGCCACCAGAGGGTCACGTACGGTAAGCTGAACACCTTTTTCAACAATTGCAATCTCAACCGGTGATCGCCTACGGAATGCTGACATTAAATCCTGCCCAGTGCTCCCTCTGCCTGATGCCCCCGGTGGGCACCGGCTGGGGGTCAATGGCCTGACCGTCGACCGTCAGAACTCCATCCTGTAAGCAGCGCCCCGGTCACCCCTGTCCCCAGAGAGCCTTGCACCAAGGAAATGTCATCGCATTCCATTGGTGCCTCGATCCCGTACAACTCGGGTTTCTCCCGGGCAGCCGCTGTCCACGTGGGTTACACAGCTTTCTAATGTGATGCACTGTTTCTTCCCGATAGGTACTCCGCTGGTCGTGACGGTGTCATTTGCTCGTGGGACCTCGACTGCTCCCTCAGTACTCTTCACGCCTCGAATCCGTATTCATCGTCCAATCACAAGCCGGGTCCGACTCGCTTCAAAACCCAGGTCCAGGCTCATAGTCACTGGATCAATGATATCGTCTTAACACAGGATAATACGGCCGTCGTCTCGGCCTCGTCGGATACCACCGTCCGGCTATGGCGGCCACACTCCGAGTTGAAGGACGTCCCTGAACGTATCGGAAAACATAGCGATTATGTCAAGGCGCTCGCGACTCCTGGTGGCCAGGCTAGCTGGGTTGCGTCGGGCGGCCTGGACCATAAACTCTACCTGTGGGATCTGAATGGCGGTGGTGAGATTTTGAGCATCGATGCTGGTGGAGACGACACGACCGAGAAAGGGTCTGTCTATGCCTTGGGCGCGGTGAATTCCGTGCTCGCGAGCGGCGGTCCCGAGAACGTGGTCCGAGTGTGGGATCCCAAGTCTGGGAAACTCGTTACCAAGTTCGTTGGTCATACGGATAATGTTCGGGATATCCTGGTCAACGAAGCCGGTGATACGATCATTACCGCTTCGTCAGACCAGACGATCAAGGTCTGGTCGCTCACCGCGGGTCGCTGCATGAATACTCTCACCATGCATAATGATAGCGTTTGGTCTCTGTACTCGGACGAACCGGACCTGTCCGTCTTCTACTCTAGTGATCGCTCCGGTTTGGTTGCCAAGACTGATACGCGTGGTTCTGCGGACGTCGAGCAAGGCACCTGTGTTGCGGCGTTACAGGAACATGAGGGTGTCGTCAAGGTGGTGGCAGCCGGTGATTTCATCTGGACAGCTACACCCAAGTCGAGCATCAACCGCTGGAGAAATGTTGATACTACACTTGAGATTGAAGCGCCTCCAGACCCGGCACGGACGATTGATTCGACCGCAGCTGCACCGGAGAAGCCGACTGACGAAATACCCAAAATGATCCCGTTCAATGCGGCGCTGCAGTTATCAGCTACCTCAGAGCTGCTGCGCCCTGCTTCCCCTTCCAGTGGTCACTCTGGAGAGACGGGACTGGAGAATGAAGTTGGCCTAACGATTCCAGTGCATTCGTTGCCCGAAGAAACCATCGAGGGCCAGCATGGTCTGATTAAATGCTTGATGCTTAACGATCGCAAACGGACTCTCACGCAAGACACGGCAGGAGAAGTGGTGTTGTGGGACCTGCTCAAGGTTAGAACTCGGCCGATCTATAGACCTCTTTCTTCAGTACTCGAATGATTTATGACTAACTATGATTTTAGTGTGTTCCTGTTCAAACATTCGGCAAGCGTCATATGGATGACGTGGCTACTGAAATCAATACTACCGAGAGCATATCCCATTGGTGCACGATTGACATTCGGACAGGCAGACTGTCTGTGATTCTCGAACCTAACCGCTGCTTTGATGCCGAAGTTTATGCGGATGAGGCCGATCTCCCTGCATCTGCCCTGTCACAATTCCGGGAGGACCAGCGAAGTATGTGAAATCAAAATTCTTGTTGTTAAAGTTCTATGTATTAACAATTCGTCCAGTTAACCTTGGAAAATGGATCCTACGCTGGCTATTTGCCCCACTGGTGGACGAAGAGATTCGCCGTGATAACGAATATCGCGAGACCGCCATCGCCAAAGCAGAGGACCTCGCCAAACTCAATCCTTTTAGCACGTCCGCTCCCGGTGACGATGTTCCTCGTAGCATTAGTATTCCCATCCACAACGACGCTTCTTCGACCACTTTGCGTCCTGGGATGGACTTTCCCGGAAGCCCCGCGACTCCAGGGTTTGGCATTAATATTGGCACGCCCGCGTCTGCTACATACCTGAGCACGTCTATGCAGAGTAATGCTCCCTTCCCATCCTTCGATGTCGAGACTCCAGATGCTCTGCCTTCCATCCATCCACAAAACGACGGAGGACCCTCGTCCTTTTCGGATAGATTCGATTACTTCTCCTCGCGGCAGCCACAGATTGAGAGTGACAAACCTCCAATGTCACCGTCTGAGGTCGCTTCCAACTCTGGACTTCCCCAGTCTCCAGCCGAACCCGACAAGGAGGAGCGTAAGAAGGGATCATTCTTCGGAAAGAAGTTGAACTTCCCAAAGAAGCTCGGGCGCACTTCCACCGATACCAAGCCTCAAATTCTGGAGGAGAAGCCTGAAGAGTCCGAGATTTCGTCTGTCAAAGAAGAGAAGGTTTACGAGGCTAACATCAGCGGAGTTATCGATCGCATCCATGATGATTATGAGGAGTTCCTGTCTAACAATCCCGGTCAAGACTTGGTGACGGCAATCACCCCCAGTTCAGATAACGAGACCCCTCGGTTGGATATTCCCCCACGGACCGTGGTGATTATTCAGGAGGAGACTGGTGATACTGCAGTGGCCTCGGATCTGTACCGAGGTAGTGTGGGGCTCATTGGACAAGACATCGAACGGTTAGAGAAGGCTATACCTCACTGGCTGGGGGAGTTGCTATTGAAGGTAAGTTGTGGGATCCTTCTACAAATTTGCGTGTGAACTTGCTAACTCTTTCCCAAGAATCAAATTCCTTTCAAGGAGCAGGTGAAGATAGCTTTCGTCTTGAAACCGTTTGACGATTCCTTGCCACCAGTGGTAAAGCCCGAATTGTGAGTTGCCAAACAAGTCGCATCTGAGAATTGACTCCTCGAAAGCTAATGCCCTTGACCTTTAGACCGAGCGCCACTACTGGCCCCGCCAATGGTGTCAACAATAGCTCCCGGCTCAATGCCAATCGTATGCTCCGAACGAAGAAGGTCCTTGCCTACGTGGCCGAGCGCATTGATCCGCCGAACCCCGATGAGCCCGAGGCTAACCAAATGCCACCCGAGGAGTACCTTGAGCTGTATTGCCAGAAGATGGTAGGATTGTTTCGATCGGCTTTGTGAGCTCACGTGCTAACATTCCTGTCCTAGCTCTGCCCGCCCAACATGACCTTGGCTACCATCCGTACGCATCTTTGGCGTACATCAGGAGACATGATTCTACACTACAAGGCCAACGGCAAAAAGCAGATCTGCCCCCCGCGGTCCTTGATGAGCATGGATGAAACCCCTCTCACTACAGGCGAAGCCAATGTCCCTAACGGTGACAGCACTGCACCGGCGGCTGGAAGTATTCATTCAATGACCAATTCGGGGTCTGTTGCCGGCTCCGTCGCCGCCTAGGGACAATGACTTCAAACAGTATCCCTGAAAATGTGTTTCCATAAGTGGTTTTCATCTTTTTTTCTCCTTTGGTTTATCTGCGGCTCACGTAGCTTGGTCTCATCTGCAAGCGACGATCTGGGTAGGTATTTTCTCTAATTTAGTACGCGAAGCATACGCCCTTGGTACATATGGAGATTCTCTCTGGTTTCCCCTTGTATTTGCTTGATATGCTCTATTCCCATGTGCTCTTCGCTCTGAACTTTGTGTTGCTCTTGGTATCAGCGCTTGTTAGGCATGGGTGTGTCCATCCTGTGGGTGCAGCGCGTACCTTTTGTACGTAGACTCGAGATACCTCTTGCATAAATGTGATTTTTACTTGCTTTCCAGATGATGATGATGTGAGACAACAGCTTTTGCAACTCGTAGATTGAATACCGAATCCAGTATTAGCAGGTATTCAGGCTGATTCAAAGAACTTCGGGCCCCAAGCACCAGGTGCTCGCAAATCACGCGCCGAAGGGAATGCTTCAATGTCTACCTTTGGAAAGACCAGACGTTTGGCCCACTTTTCAAGGCGCCCAACGCAGCCTGAACTCTAGCCTCAGCTTTGCTGCAGTGTCCGGCCTGTTTCCCAATCTTACGTGTTGCGGTGTACATATGTCGCCTTACCGTCCCCGTCCCCTCATAAGTCCCCTCACCAGTTCCGCCGCCCCCTCACCACTCCCCAACTTCCTTTGTTATCAGTGTTCAACATGGCCGAAGACACTACAACCTCCGATGGAACAGACTATGCCTTCGATCTCGGTGTATTCGAACGACGGGTTACTACCAAAAGCCCCGAGGCGCAAATTTGGTTCAACCGCGGTCTGATCTGGGCGTATGCCTTTAATCACCACGAATCCGCCGCCTGCTTCGAGCGGGCTATCGCCCACGATGAGTCTTTCGCGATGGCCTACTGGGGTCTAGCATGGACACTTGGTCCAAACTATAACCAGCCATGGGAGTTCTTCGGCGCCGATCTCAAGCAAGTAGTGCAGCGCACGTATCAGGCTTCCCGCAAGGCGCTGGCGTTCGCCACTGGCGGAACCCCACTAGAACAGGCGCTCATCAAGGCGATCCAGGCCCGCTATCAGAGCGATGAACCCGCACCGATGGAGCAGTACAAAATTCAAGATAGAGCCTATGCCGCGGAGATGGAAGCTGTCTATCGCCAATTCGGAGATGATTTGGACGCGGCCACTCTCTACGCCGATTCCCTTATCACTCTCACACCATGGAAACTATGGAATCTGGTTACTGGAAAGCCCAACCCGGGAACGCGCACTCTTGATGCCAAACAGGTGTTGGAGACGGCACTAAAACATCCAGATGGAAAGCGGCACCCTGGCCTACTACACATTTACATCCATCTGATCGAAATGTCGCCTACTCCAGAGCTCGGTTTGGTGCCTTCCGACTACTTGCGTGATCTCGTTCCCGACTCGGGTCACATGTGCCACATGCCCTCGCATCTAGATATTCTTGTCGGAGACTATCGAGCCGCCATCCGAAGTAACCAGCGCGCTGCGATCGCAGACGAGAAGTTCATAGTGCACCATGGTTTCTTCAACTTCTACACAGTATACCGTATGCATGTCTATCACACGCTCATCTACGCAGCGATGTTCGCCGGACAAAAAGCCGTCGCACTCGACGCCGTCGATCGCATGGAAAACTCCCTACCGAGAGAGCTGTTGAAATCAATGGCCGACTATGCCGAAGTCTTTGTCTCCGTCCGATGGCACGTCATGGTCCGATTCGGAATGTGGAAGGAAATCATCGACTCCACCCTCCCCGATGACCCTGAATTGTACTGCGTCACGACCGCGATAGCACACTACGCCAAGGGCGTCGCGTATGCTGCAACCGGCCATATTCCCGAGGCAGAGACCCAGAGAGATTTATATCGAGAAGCCGCAACCCGCGTACCAGATACTCGCCTCGACTGGCCAAACAAATGCGTCTCAATCCTGGGTATCGCCTCCGCCATGCTGGATGGCGAAATCGAATACCGCCGTGGCAACTACACGGAAGCCTTTGAGCATCTACGTCGCTCTGTCGATCTAGATGATGGCCTGGACTATAGCGAGCCCTGGAGCTGGATGCAGCCAGCGCGTCATGCCCTAGCTGCCCTGCTGTTAGAGCAGAATCATGTAGAGGAAGCGGCAGCAGTCTACCGCGCGGATCTGGGCCTTGATGACTCTGTAATTCGTGCGCGTCAGCATCCGAATAACGTTTGGGCTTTGCAGGGTTATCACGAGTGTCTTGTCAGGCTGGGACGAGAGGATGAGGCGAGGGTTATCAGACCGCAGCTGGCGACTGCTGTTGCTTTGGCTGACGTACCTGTTACCTCGTCTTGTTTCTGCCGAACTGATACTGAGAAGGCGCCGAAATTGCCGGGTACCTGTTCCAAGGGCGGATGCAATCTTTGACAGAGGGCTATCTTGTTCGGGAGGTTCTGGAAAAGACAATTCCTTGTTTTAAAACAAAATGTAATCCCGCTGAATATCCATTCTACGACATTTCTGATCTCTATGGTACGGGATATCTTTTAGCATAGCTGAGAATTTGATTATCCTCTGGCATTCTGATGTTTTCCAAGAACTCAGTGATGACTTCCACAGGTTGGTGTTGGTGTTTGACGTAAATGGTATTGAGATGGGACAGCTAAGCATGAATCTCTTTTGTATGTATTCAATTCTGCCCAAGATATATTTCTCAATTGTAGTTCAACCAGTAGAGTAATTTGTATTTATCTTAGGTTACAAATTTCAAAGATCCATCCAGAGAGAAATGCTCGGCGTTTGGTCACCGACTACCAAACGCCGATGTCACCCAAAAGCCGGCTGCCGTCCGAACGCCGAGCCTGGAACGCCGAAAAGAACTCTTCTTAACCATCGCTCGTCACGACTACTACTGACTACAGTATACAGTAACGGGAGCAAGAGCGATAACCAGCTGCTATTTCTGCATAGCAAAGAAATTCACTGGCCGCATATAGTTCTTGCAGGAGGTGACAACATACCCCGCCCTTCGGTTTTGCCAATCGACAACGTGGGATTCGGTGGACCCCAGTCCCGATTAAACATCAAGATTGTACAAAGAGGAAATTCGGAGCCCACTGCAGATCATAGGATCACGTCTCGAAGATTTAGTGGCGTCTCCAATATCCGGGGCCTGCCCGCATTAGTGACCATGCCCCGAGCTTTAAAGCCGCCAGTAAAAGCTGCGTGCCTTGCCTGGTAAGAATGCTGCTTCCACCAAAATGTTCATTTTCTGACGAAAGCCAGTCGCTCGTCAAAGACTCGTTGCGATGGTGAAAGGCCATGTAGAAGTGTAAGTCTTAGAAACCTTCACCCATGAAGAATGACGAATCTAACAACATGGCGTATATCAGTGTTTAAGCAGAGGCCGAGAATGCCATTATCAACCAAGTCGCCGCGGTGGGCCTCGAAGAGGCATCCGATATGCAGAGCTCCAGCAGCATCATCTTTCTGCGGAGGATCAGGGCGCACACAATCCATCGTCACCCTCGGAGATTGACGAAAGCTTCGGTAAGGTCTAATAGAGAAGCACAGAATTTAAGGAAATGTGTTTCTAACAATAAGTAGAGCCTTTACTTGACAATATGCTTGGTCTTGTGACCCCACTTGCTGGCGTTCATAATCTTGATGTCTCTCCTGATGCCCTTTCTGATACCAGTGGGGCACGGCAACTCTGGGGTCAGCTCACGCCTTGTGCGGATGACCAGTTTTTGTCGGCATCGATTCCAGAGGCAGAGCCTTCGGCTGTACGATCATACCGGTCTGAAGAAGACATGTACGATGAGAAATTTCAAAAAACCTTTGATCTACAAACCAGACTGCTAATGAAGTTCAAATAGCGCCAACGCATACTATATCTACATACATCCATACCTTCCCTTGCTGCCGCCGTCGATAATACCGCAACGGGAAGATCAGCCTACTCTCAGTCGACCATCAAGAGAGACCAACGAAGCCAAAAAGACCGACTTGCCTTTCTGGCCACAGTCCTCCTTGAGTCTTGCATTGTCCGCCCTGCTTGTGCTAATACCACCTTCTCAAGGTCCATTCTCGATGACAGAGGCAAGCATAGTTCTGAGACGGACATATGCGCAGCTCTTTGCCCAAGCTGCATTGGCAAGCGTTGAAAAGGAGATTGATGAGATAGGGCCTACAGTGCATTTGAACGCACCTGGGGCTTGTCTGTCTCAAGGACACAGCCCGTTACATTCACAGGTGCCTCTTCAGCTTGAGCCTATTCTGGCGCTCGTCGTGCTTGCAATTTATGAGTATTGTCAGCGTGGTAACGTGTCGAGGATGCGGGGTCGTATCAATCAGGCTGTCACCACGGCCATGGATATCTCTCTTCATCAACTTGGCTCCACAACTGCAGAAGCATCCGAGGCACAGCGACGTGCATGGTGGATAACCGTTAGTTTTTTGTGCCCAACTTTTGATCCAGATTCTAACAAGTCCTCAGATGTTTGTGGCTTACCTTTCCTCAAATCTCCATCTGGCGGTATGGATGCAGTCCTATTTCATCTCATATCATCAACTAATAGTGGGTCTCTAGCCACCAGTTGTTACAGCAGACGATCCTCGTATAACGACAGCTTATCCCAGTCTCGGGGTACACTTGGAGGTAACTAAAGAACGTTCCTTGCTATTGAGCTAAAATTATACTCATTGAAGACAGCCCTGGGCTCTTTTGATCAAAGCCCAGCAAACGCTCTACGCATCTAACCAAATGGTTCAACGAATCGAGCGCATTACCAATGACACGCCTCCCCCCAGCCTCGGGGCGCAGATCAAAAGTTTGGATGCCGTGATTACCACTTTAATGACAAAATCCGATCAATACCTTCGATATACTTTTGATGAGGACGGGGAAGGTCTCATAGCCGAGAACATGTGGAGGATCAGCAGAATTGTGATCTACACGTAAGTTGGTCCCTTCTCTACAACGTAATGGATTAATTCACCAACTCACTACGAACAAGTGCTCGCGCCCGCTTGCATCGGTTCCGTGCCTTCATGGACTTTCCATTATTTTTGGACAGATACTGTCACCTCGCCTCGATCAACACCAACTACCCCAGCTCAACACCCGTGCCCTCTCCAACCTGGGTAACGGATCGAAATTCCTTTTTTCCTTTCACCGAACAAGAATCCTCCAACGTCTGTCTTAAGACCGCTCTTGTCGTCGCGACAGCTTTCCGAAACTTACCATACCCGAATCCCTACGGTACTCAACATCGTGAACGGTCCCCAATGACTTCAAGATCCATGATTTCATCCGTGGGACTTATCCGAAAATCCCCTCATACCATCCCTTACTTTGCATGTTGTGCCATGCAGAGTTGTTATTCTCTATTGATGATTCTTCACAAGATTCGCGCGTGTTTGGCTACGGATCGTCTGGCGAGCTGTTACCATTTACTGAATAAACCCGAAACGGCAACGGAGATTTCCGATGCCGAAAGGCTGATTGAAGAACTGCGGCATGGAGTGGAGTTTTTGGGGATGTCTTTGAAATCGGATATTATGTTCGAGGGGGTCGGGGGTATGGGCCGCGAGATTGAACATGCCTATTTAGCAGCCTTTCCAGAATGCTCCGAGTTCTGAAAGGCCTTTCTTTCTCCATCATTCCAGACCGGACGATGCGATTAAACCTATCGAACCGTATGTCGAGGGAAACTCAATCTTCTATTGCAAGAGAGCGATAAGCTTTGCAGATGCCATTTTCCACAATTTGAGTATGCGCCGTTGCAAGATAAAACGCCACTTCTGCACAAGTATCAACCTGCAAGTACTACTGCAAGCCAATATTTGTGGCCCCAACCCCATGTTCCCACACTCCTCCAATAAGACTAGCAGGAGTTGGTCTCGGTGCATATCCTCAATCGACGTGAGATTTGAACCAACCGTCGCTTAATTTCCAAAAAGGGCATTTAGCCGAGAGCAGGAGCCCGGGGATGTGGGGATTTCCCCGGAGGCGAAACGAAACGGAACGGATGGAGGAGATGAGCAAGACAAGGCGTAGACGATCCGACACCGATGCAACTCGCTGATCCAGGCTATCTCCATGCAAATACCATCATGTTCTATCAGTGGGAACAGCATCCCAACCAGGATAGGCGACATCGCCCTCGCACCCGCAACGGATGCTTGACCTGCCGGTAAGTGGAGTCCTCCCTCCAGGGTACTTATCGGGCCGCTAAGTATCGCTAGGAGGCGTAAAGTGCGTTGCGATGAAAAGCGGCCGGACTGTGGACATTGCAGTCGCCTCCGATTGGACTGCTCGTGGCAGGAAGATTCTGGGCTCAGGTTGGGTGTGAGAACGAAGAGAATACGACAGCGACTTCAGCAAAAACCACAGTCTCAGCAACAACCTGCGCAGCCCGAGCCCGCCACGGCAAATGCAGAAACCTCCGGTCTATCGGCTTCCGATGAGGCGCTTCAAGCGCCAGATGCTCTCGTCGATGATGATTTCAGCTTCAATCGCATGTTTAGCTATGCAAGTTTCATGTGGGATGACTCTTCTCCAACTGATTTGTCTCCGGGCTGGGATACCTTCGACCTGACATCCTCACAAGAGTTGGTCCCCTGGTCTGATGCTTCTCTCTCTATTCCAACATCCATTCCTAGCACCTGCACAAATCCCATGGCCAATACCGAAGCTCTCTTGGACCGCCAGGGCAGGTTCAGTAGTATAACCTCACCAACCATCGCGATCGGGTGGAGCGAGACGCAGTTGGCCGAGTACTTTGCACGATCGGCAGCCCCGCCCATTCTAGCTACCGTTGAGACCAGTGCTCGCTGGTTCTGGATGCGAAAACAACTGACTTCGATGACCTCGACCTCGCGAATGGTCAAATTCGGAGTCATTGCGTTCGTTGCCTTGGAACTCGAGTCTGCCGGCACCTTGGAGCCATCAACATACACTCAATACTACCGTACTGCGAAAGAACGATTAGAGGAATGCTTGAAGGATATCAGTCGCGACCGCAAAATCATTTCATCCCAGTTGAGGCATATCCTAGCAGTTCTCTTTCTATTGTCATACGTCGACCTCCTCACAAAAGACGTGTCTAAAGCACACGCAAATTTGCGAGAAGGGTTCCATGCCTTGGAGATGGTGGAGATTGATTCACTGAGCGTGACCGGTAGGTGCCAAGCTCTCCAATATTTGTGGCATCACTGACACATTTGAACCTCTTCAGAGAGACGACTCCTATCGTGGCTACGTCTTCTCGATGCAAGGGCCGTCAGTGCAGGCGGCGAAGGCTTGTTTCTTACAGAAGGGGATAGTGCCGTCAACACAGATCTACAATCTCCCGACAGCTCTATTGCCGAGGTTGACTCTGGGCTAGATGACGCGGAAGCAGCATTGGAAGAATTCATCATGCGACCAGCTTTCCTGTTCTTCCAGAAAGTCCAGCTCTTCATGGGCCGAATATCTAAGATCGACCCTTGGCATCGACGGCGAGGTACCGTCGAAGACGAAACGGAGGTAATGGCTATTTCGACCACGATCACTCGAGACATCAAATCTCTGTGGCAGCAGCGGCCGCCGCTGATGGACCATGCAGTGGCGGGCAAATTAGCGACCTTGTTATCCCCGTCTTTGGCGGAGACAATCACTCGCACCATGCGGGTATATCACGCCAACTACTATGCCAGCTTCATTCATCTACATCGTGTAGCATATAAGAGTAAGTTTCACCCAGTCATGATCCTAATTACTCTGGTGGCTTACATGTCTTCTAGATCTCCCACGCACCGCAGATGTTATGTATGCTATGAACGAGATCCGCCAGGTCACCAAAATGATATTGGAGAGTCCGTGGATATCATCGCCCCAGGAGATTCCAGCAATCGGTACCCCAAATGCCTCTACGACAACGTTGCCCTCGCTGCCCGTAAACATGCTCTGGCCTTTACTGATGCTCGGTGTCGAAGTCGAAGAACCAGAAGAACGCACTTGGGTCATATCCTGCATTAAGGGCATGGAGAATGTAGCATCAAATGCCGGCATCACGGCAGACGTTCTCCAGGAAGTCATCCGGCGACAAGATGAGACTAGGCAGCGAGTGGATATTAGGAAAGTGATGCACGAAACTTTTGATCGTGCATTTGCTATCGTGTAACAAAAATTCTCATCTATGTAATGGTAGTATGCAGTCTATGAAATATCATGATCTCGTTTCAAAGTCCCTTCTCAAAATGGTCCGTCATCTTCACTTGCTTCACCACCCACGCCCGCTTCTCCTCATCCAGGAATTTCGGATAGGGTCGACGGCAGCATGAGCTCTCTTCGGGGTAGCCCAAATATTTCGCAACTACCCATTTAGTGCCATTGATTCCTGCTTTTCCGAATCCCCACTCGGCAACTGCAATTTGAAGCTGCAGCTTCTCGGCCTTTGCTGTCTCTCCAGCATGATATAGGTTGAAGAGCTCCACGAGAGTCTACAATCGTTCAGTTAGTCTTCTTTCGCCGTCTCATTCTGAACCACCGTAACAACTGACCTTTGGATACAGGTTCGCCAGGCCCGTGACTGATCCGGCACCGCCCACGCTGAGGCAGGGAACCAACCAGTCACTTTGACCAGCCAGCGCAACAAGCTTAGCGTTTCCATCCATCGCCCGACCAAACTTGGCCGAGGTGCGAGCGACCGATGCAATAGTACCGCACGTCAACTTGACCGCAGCGATATTGGGGTGATCACCCAGAGTCTCCAGCATCTCCGAGTTGACATTTAGACCGGCAGCGACACCGGGGAAATTGTAAATAACGACGGGAATGGGAGATGCGCTGGCAACCTCCTGGAAGAACTCGGTGATGGCAGCCGAGTCAAGGGCAAAATGGAAGTAAGAAGGCACCAGAACTAGCACATAATCTGCGCCAGCCTCGGCTGCCAGCTTAGTATCTTCAATAATGGCCTGCGTACATCCTCCGAATGTACCACAAGTGATGGGCAGGTCAGGCCGACCGAGCTTCTGCGCAGTCGACCGAGTCAGACGCACTAGGCGTGATTTCTCCTCGGGAGTTAACGTAGCAGCCTCGCCGTTGGTACCTGCGATAACGATACCGTGGAGACCACTCCTCACGAGGAATTCAAGATGTCGTTCTTGGAGTTCCCAGTCGATAGACTGAGTGGCGTCGGACTTGAACCATGTCAAGCATGGAACGTGAATGCCAGGCGGATAAGCGTGCTGAATTGAACCCATTTTGACCGAGGTAAAAGTAAAGGTGATCTGAATTTTTTGGGATGAAGTGACCCGGCTTTGAGGTCATATTAAATGGTATTCTGGTGCTGGTTGATACGACTTGCGATCTCGCGTCGGTGTTTCTGTAAGCGGAAAGCAGCCGAGCACGTCTTTGCCGGTGGATGGAAGCAGCCCACCAGGCGTCCCAGCTTCCGGCGCAGCTGTGGGGTTCCTGATGAAGATCATCTCATAGGAGGTTTTAATGATTAATTAACCCATCTTAGATCTTGTTCTATCCATAATAACTTTCACTAATGGGCTCGGAATCTTCATCATTTATCTTCCTTCCCCGTTAGGGTTCAGCCTCAAGGTGTAGCAATTGAGATGGTTGGGGTACTTGTGCTTTGCATTCCAACGACCATTACAGCGCTCCATTAACTATCCATATGGACCAAAGTAAAATCACAGGTAAGGTGGTTGTTTGTATGCCGAGCTTTCAGTCTATCGCTTCTTAGTTGTTCTCAACGGTGCTTAAGTTGTTGTCGTGTAGACTCGCTTTAGAGTACCGCAACTCATCGGCCTCCACTAAGTCTGTGAATCTCGGGCGTGTTGTACTTGTATTACTACTCAATTCGGGTCAGTAAGAACTTTAACTTCGAGGAACATTATTGTGACCAACGTTTTTGGTTGTATCCGATCATAGGCACGGAGCTGCCCGAAAGCCGATTTGCTTATAAAGAGGGATGTAATGACTAGTTAAGTATCATTAATTGTCTTACTTGACTCGGTCTGATATCCAACCTTAATATTTCATAATGAAATCGAATACTTGCATTGCTGATTCGGCAGTGTCCAAGTCTTGGTTTCAGCAACCGTTGTCAAGGTAGAAAATATATTGTCTGTATCAACTACCGGAAGCCCTTGATTACGTGCATAATTAAGGAACTTTACAGTTAAACAACCAATTTGGAATCAAGCCCAGTACACATGACGTTGATCATATCTAGATATTGTCGCCAATAGACCAAGATCTATCAGCCGAAATTATCATTGGCCTGTTGAACCAACCCCGGCTCGGAATAATAGATCTACCGAGTCCCGATATCTCTCATGGTCAACTCTCCAAGACACGATTGACTTCATGGCTGGGAAGAAAGCTATATCAGTCTCGCAATTTGCCGAGCACTTTCGTCGTGCTTGGCTGGGGACACAAGAGAAGTTTCATTCTGGTCGGAGCCTCGATCGAAATGATTTCAGTCGTCTGCCGCGCAGGCTCGGTAAGATAAAAGACCTGGGCCCAAGTAGTCTCCATCAGTGGAACCCGATATTGACTGATAGCCGCAGGCCTTGCCATCAGCGGTGGTGCTGACTCGATGGCCCTTGCATTCCTATGCCGCCAACTAGAACGCACTGCCTTAGCTGGGTCGATCTCAGTCACTGCGTTCGTGGTTGATCATCGTGCTCGGGCAGAAAGCAGCCAAGAAGCACGGACTGTGGTTGGCTGGCTCACTGCAATGGGTACGTGTATCACACTCAACATCCACTGCTTTCTCGGCCACTCTAAAGGATCTTAGAGACATATCAAGTCATGTACTGATCTAATCATAGGTATCAAAACAAAGATTCTGGAGCTGGACTGGGCTCGCTTCGCAAAGCAAGACCGTTTAGGCCTGGAGAAAGAAAACTCGCCTCTGCCATCGGCGTTTGAAACACACGCCCGTCATTTGCGATTTCGAGCCCTTGGTACGGCTTGCCGTGAGAGGGGTATCAACGCCTTGCTCATGGGTCATCACCAAGATGACACAGTAGAGACAACTATCTGGCGACTCAGCTCGGGAGGAAGAGGCGCTGGCCTTGCCGGAATCCCTGAAGTTGCTCGAATCCCAGAATGTCATGGCCTTTTCGGGGTCTCCGAGAGCGGTTCCACCATCCAATTGGCTAAGCACGGCAGACATGGTCGGGAAGCATTCCATGTCCAAATCGACGACAAGAACAAAGGCAGTATCATATTCAATCCAACTATGACCCAGAAAGACTCCAGTAAACACCAATCCGTGAGACTTTCATCGCCTGATATAACAAACAAATCCGCCTTGCCAGGTGTCTCCGTCGCAACCGGCGGGATTCACATCTGTCGCCCACTCCTTTCATTTCCCAAAACCAGCTTATTGGAGACCTGCCACCAGAACAAAATACCCTACGTTTCTGATCCAACAAATTTCGACCCGACTCTGACCCCGCGCAATGCGATCCGCAGCATGCTCGCCTCCGACTCTTTACCAAGGGCATTGCGAGCACCGTCTATCCTCTCCTTGATACGCTCAAGTCAAGCCTTCCTTCACACATCGACCGAGTTTTCAAACAAGCTCCTTGCATCAAAATGTCGTATTCTCGACCTGAATTTACAAGCGGGTACAATGGTTCTTCAGATTCGGGATCTCCCTTCATTCTTAGATCCTCTGAAGTCTCAATTATCCCCGTCTCGCCTCTTCCAAATTCAAGCTCTCACTCTCCGGCGCATTACTGGAATCATCTCGCCTTTCCATGGAAATCATTTCCCAGTGCGCAGTTACGAGCCATTCGTCTCGCGTGTATTTACCTCTCAAGAAGAAGGCCACGATGGTAATGCATCTGAATCATCGAACTCATCACCAGCTTCTCGGCAGAATTTCACTCTGGGGGGCGTCCTGCTTCAACCCCTCACCGTGAAAGATACCCGGGGCCAGGTCCCTGGTGGCAACAACATTTGGCTATTGTCTCGTCAGCCATTCTTCAAGAACAAAGGCACCGTCTCTCGGCTCGATATTCAAATCCCGAATGGCAAGCACTCGACAGAATTTAAATCGCCTACGGGTCATACTCCGTGGACATTATGGGATGACAGATACTGGTTCCGATTTAAAGTAATATCTGCCGAGAAAAAGCAAGGGAACCGGTCCAGCAAGACTCGCAATATGACCCTCGTCATCCGTCCACTCCAACAGCCCGATCTTTCCAAGATCCGCATCGACCCTTCACTGCTCCCAGAGATGAAACGCAGCAAGAAAAGATTTTCTGCAATGATCCATATTTTCTTAAAGGATCGTCTTTCCGAAAACGCACCCGGTTCCGCACGTTTTACGCTTCCAGCGCTAGCCGTGGAAAAGCCAGGTGCATCGCCACAGCCAGCAATCAAGGAGGCTGAGCAACTCATAGCTCTACCGACTCTTGATTTCCCGTTGGATGCATTGTCCAAGAAAAGAGGACCCAATGCGATAGAATTTACTTACGGGGAAGAGAAATGGAGAGTGACATGGGAATGGATGTACAAAATGGTTGACACCGAGGCAATTCGCCTTATGGGCGGGCCCGGCAAAGTTGAAGCTGAATCGGCTAGTGTACACGACGATGAGGTATGAACCAGAATTAAAAGAGAAAGGAAAGCCCTGCAAACATACTCTCCGGTGCTATGCATGATCCGAACCCATCTGTGCATGAGGGTTAGGGGGTGATAGGTGACAACAAATAAGAATAACAGTATTATGCCGATCAATACACAATAGGAACCCGACCTTGAGATGCCAGGAGAAAATAAAGGAGAGAATAGATGTGGTATCACAGAAAAAAAAAAGAAGATCGACGTGTGTGTCGAGATAAGTGGGGTAGGAAAAATGAAACCAACGAGTGTAGTGAGATGCTCGGGTTCGGAGCAAGGCTGCAGATCAATTAGAAAGTAGAAATCATTGTTCACTGGCTCGTAGCAATGCAACAGCAGCTGATTGGGCTCTGAGACCTCCAACTTCCCGTTTGAGCCGGAAGTTCTCTTTCTTGAGGCGGCTGATTTCCTCCAGTGCATTCGCCAGTTGAGACTTCATAGCTTCCTCTGCACTGCCGCTTCGGACATCCTTAGCGATCTTGCTGAGCTCCGAGTTGAACCGATCGTAGAGTGCTTCGTTCTCAGCACTAGCCTCTCGGTATAGCTCGTCAAGCTTCCTCACACGCTTTTCGCTCACGATCAGAGAAGACTCCAAGTCTTTCTCAAGAGCAGATGTGCGGCCATTGTATTCGCCAGACATGGTGTCAAATCGCTCCTCAAGACTCTTTAGGCGGCTTTCGAGGGACATTGCAGCTCCCAAAGATTGGCTTGCATCCGAAGAGGGCATGCTTGGCTCCATATGGGGTTTGTTATGCGCAGCAAGTCCGAGATTGTTCAGTTCATCACCAAGAGCCCTCAAGTCGTCCCGGAACCCGAATTGGCTGGTAGCTTGGTTATTCTTTTCGGTTCGAACACGCTCGCGAAGCTAATCCAACCCGTCAGTCAATTTTGTACATGAAGTTTGGAATAATATATATCACAAACCTTCTGAGGACTTTGCATCCGCAGCCTCTGCGGCTTTTGAGATGAGGACGAGGACTGTGGTCGCTTGATTTCGGGACCATTCACGGGAGCGCGCTCCCGAAGGCCCGGGGTCCGCTGCGGAATGCTAGTCGCGCGGGATCGCCGCTCCGTTTCCTGGCTTGTAAAGTCGAGAATGTGGTTCTTGGACTTGATCGACCTCTCAGTCAAAGGCACTCTGGGATCGATGTTTTCCTTCCTGCTTGGGGTAGAAGGGCGAGTTGGTGATGTCTGCCGAATCGGCGATCCCAGACGAGTAGGCGAGGTTCCCTTGGCGGGCGAAGTAGGTCTAGAGGGTGACACTAGGTAGCTGCTCTGGGGCCGAGATTGGCTTGTTGGCGTGGTTATCTCGGCTCGCGGTCGGCTTGATGGGGTCACTGGGCGCAAGCAGGGGGTGGCTGAGATGTGCGATGCATCCGAAGAGGCTGTATCAGGGCGAAGATCAGACAAGGAACTCCTTCGCTTTCTCCGAATTTTAACCACGCCATCATGAGATATTCCTCGGATGGAGGACAAGGATGGCGGCTGCCCATGTCCAGTGCCTGGCCTAGAAATTTGCTCCTCGGACGCAAATCCATAAGGACGATCACGAGAAGTAGGCCGAAGGAATCCTAGGCGAGCATCCACATCTGTGGATTTGGAGCGAAGCAAGGAACCCCTGGGTGTGTTAGGCTCCGAATCGCCTGGACTCTGTCTCTTGCTCAAAGTTCGCAGGATCGATGCAACTTTGCTCTCCCCTTCGGCCTTCGAGGTCTCTTTGTGTAGACTAAACCCGAAGCGCTTCCGGAATGAAGAACTATTTGAGCTCACGGAACCTGTATTGGCGTGCGAAGTCTTGGTCTGGTCGCAGCTGAGTGTTCCCTCCACCGAAGCTCCGCCAGGAATAAAGTCTTCGAAGAGATTGTCAAAGTCATCGACTAGGCGATCCAAAAGGGACACGTGCTGCACAGGATCTCCCTCTTCTGTAATGACCTCGGCAAATGCCACGGTCAGAGCGCCACGATCCCCGTCATTTCCTGAAGCGTCTAGCAGCTCAGCAAGAAGACGAATAATTGCAGCCAGCGCCCGGCGGTTCTGTGGGCTGATTTCTACCAGAAACTTTCGGAAATTCTCCTCGAAATGTCGCGGAAACATGGTATCAAACTGGTTCTGAAGCAGCTTGAGTGCTGAGGGGTCCAATACCGGCCCCATGCTCGCTTTCCAGGCATTCTTCATGAACGTTTCGAAGGCAACAAAAAGCGTGTCAACGGGCACCTCCGCGGCTGCTTGTAACTTGCTGGGGTCTTCCAGCAGGATATTGTAAAGCTCATTTACAGGTGCACGGTCAGCATGGTCTCTAGCGCGAAGCATTCGCCCAAGAATATTACCGCTGCGGGATTGCAGAGAAAGCACGTAGGCGGCAAAGGTTTGCTCTAGTGATCCCAGTTGGCCATCCGGCCCATGAGCGCCCGATGCTCCAACCACCGAGATCTTGCTCCCACTATCTTCTTTTCCCTTCTCCTTCTCCTTTTCTTTTTCCTTGTCCTTCTCCTTTCCGGGGAAAGTAGAAGGAAGGGTATTGGATCTGGAAAGAGTAGCCCTAGGTGGAGGCATCTTTGGGAATTCACCCAGCAGAGTCGCTGAATTTGGGTGCTTGATGGTCGGGACACTCTCACGGCTACCTCCCAGAAGGTTCGATATGAGCTTCGTGGCAGAAGGAGGTCGGAAGCTGCGTGAGGACTTGACCTGTGTGATCAAGCCACCCGTGATATACCGGAGGATTTCGAAGTTTGAATGGACCAATGGCTTCATCAACTTTGGATTTCGGGTGCTGTTCAAAGGCGAAAGCAGAGATTGCACTATGGGGAACATCGTCAGTAGCTCAATCTAGAGTTGGTTATTTGTCACACTTACAGCGTTTGGAAAGGGTCGGAACGAATGTCTCTGCAGATACAATATCCGTGGACGGAGAGCCGATGACAGAATCAATTTCCAGCCTGAATTGGTCGCCATTGGATGGGGTTATTGACACCACAACATCAAGATTAGATCCATTCAAGATCTCAGTACATCTGGCTTTTGGAGTGTCAAAGACTAGCCGGATTGACGACGCCTGAGCCTGGTTGAGCGCGAAGCTCTGTCCCTCTTCGCAGACACACGCTAGGATGCCCGTCGTGTTTGGGGCTGCGGGAGGGCTGCGCAAGGTCCATTTGCCACCCTCACGTTCTTGTTCAGAGAAACGCCCTTCGATTAGCGCCTTCGTGATTTCTTCGATCAGTCGGCTGGCCTTGGCTTCATACATGGCTGTTAGTTCCAGAGCCAGAATATCATCGCCCTCGTCCACCGGAACGGAGCCCAGTGGGAGAGTGGCGGGTACAATGAAGAGAATCCGACCGCAAGCAGACTGCGTACAGCGGATTGCATGAAGTTCGAACACTTGAACGACCTTGAGCTCTGCCGGGGGTATGGACATAGTAGCATCGCCGGTTGAGGACGCCGCATTATCAATTTCGGCTAACAATCCACGCGCAGTAGTCCGACTTTCGGAGGGCTTGACGAGAAGAACCAAACAATTCTTGTAGAGCAGCATGATTCCGGCTGGCGATCCAGAAGCCTTAGCGTCCAGCTGGTACGGAGGTGGGATCTCATTGACATCCACTGCGGTAATCAGACGACCCTCGGGGAAGGTTGTCGCCGGCCATCCATCAACAAGTTCCCTCAAACGCCGTAGACTTTGTGCATGGCCAGACGGAGAAGCGTTGTCCAGCGCACAGATATCTTTCACAACATCTCGAGCTTTTAGTAAAGGGCGGACGGCAGGGTGGACTAGCGGCAGATTGCTTGTCATGGTGTCAATCAAAAGGCTGTACCGAGGAAGCCGTTGGACAGGTTCCATCAGCAACGATCGGAGTCTCTGCTCCCCAGTCTCGTAGACTCGCCGAGAAAAGCTTGAAGTTTTGTCTTTCATGAAAGAGTTCAGCGTTTGCGTGAACCCAGTATGCGCTCGCATGTAATTCGCATAAGGTAGTGAGAACTGGGGTAGCCAGTCCAGCAATGCTCTAGCAAACACGGTTGCGCCAATAGCATCCCTAGCCTCCTTCGATGAGCCGCGATGTGAGCCGGATGTGGGTAGTTCGGTGTCTTGACTGATATCTTCGAGGGCATCTCTCTCCGTTTCCTCAAGTACGTGTCGGATTACATCGAGAAACCCCAGATTGACGTCCAGGATCTCATTCAAACAGGGTGGAAAGAGGGCTTCTAACGCCTTCTCATCCGGGCTAGCGCTCGCGGGTCCTTTGCGTTGCGCCTTTTGCTGAAATTCATCTGCCACCTCGTGAACCAAGGAGTACACTTTTGCAACATATCGCTCCTCGGTATCCACAAACTCACACATTGTCAATCGAAGGGCCTCTTTCTGGTTGCGTGTAAAGATCCTCGACTTGCTAACATTGGTTGGCTGTGAAGGTGCTCGCTTGAGTCGTGATGTGGGCAAAAACATCGGATCCCCCAAGGCCTGGATGAGAGGTGTATACGGGCCATATTGAATCGTTTGTGTAGCTTCAACCTCCGAGCCAGCGCTATCCCGCCGCGGAGGGAATTGAATGCCTCCCGCCGGGAGCACCACATCCATATCAATCCAAGGGACTCTACGTTCCTGATAAGCACTCCGAATGTCGCGCACGATATCTGAAGAGTCCTCGACTTTGACCATGCGATTAGCCAATTCTGCAGCATGCATTTCATCAAATAGCTTTGGAGTCTTCTCGCGCAGACCCGTCCGAGCGGGGTCCGTCAGCCGCTTCCTCAGCGGGTCTGACAGCTCAGCAAAATACTTCAACATGCTGACCGCAAGCGCCCGGGCCACCGGGTCACCTTGTTTCTCGCGTGGTAGATGGTTGACTGCAGCATATAGCGGTGCGGCGGGTGAAATGGTGATTCGTGAATAGGTTTGGAAACCGGCAGGTGTAAAGATGTGCGCTTGAATGCGCGAGCTGCTCACAGTGGCATTGGCTGTCGCAACGGGGCCATAGAAGACTAGGATAGAGGAGAGGTAGGGATCGACGGTATGGTAAAGACTGAGATATTCTAACGGCAGGTCCGACATCGTGGTGCCCGCAGGCGCAGTTGCGTTGACCGCCATGGTGGGAGGGGCCTGTAGCAGTTGCCTGGTGCGAGTGAGTGAATTAAAGTTGAGCAAAACGTGGTCGCGATCGTTAGTGATCTACTGAGGACCGAAATTGAGAAGGAGCGACGCAGTCAGAAGGGAATGCGCAATCGCGCGCAGTCGGGAGTGAGCAAAGCGAAGGTCAGATCGAGGTCGGAGGGGAAGGTGTAATCATCGTCCGGACGAAGGGCGGTCGCAACACTCGAGACTCCCCTCCATATAACCCTTCAAGATCAATAAGATCAGGCGCAGGTGGAGGGACCACACAATGAGCTGCAGGTGTATGGAGGGTTGAGCCACGGAGGAGGAGGGGGGAAGGCAAAGAGAGTGATTGTTTTGGGGGCGGGGGGAGAAGAAGTAGTAGTAGTAGTAGTAGTAGTAGTAATGAAGGGAGATACGCGCGATAGCGCGCGATAACTGGGAGGAGTTTAATAATAACGAGGGGAAAGTCGATGACCGGGGCCTAAGGACTAGTTAGACTAGTTTAGCGCCCTCCGGAGGCTCCTCACACCTCCAGCTAGGGCCGCGATCGTCTTGTTTATGTTTGTCGGGCCAACGCGGGCCAACACGACCGTTGCTGGTCCCAACCGGCTGCAAGGTCGATCTGACAAGTCACATCGGCCCCAGGGATTCAATCGTGAATCATACATTGGCAGTGTAGTGACGATTGTCTTAGAAACAGTGGAAGGGGCATGCAATTTAAGGAACTATCTGATCGATCGGTAGGGGTCCAGAACGCACGCTGAACGGGATCCAGTACCTAGGATCGACACCGAGATATTCAGAGACGACCGCCACGGAGTTCGTGCGATCTCGGGTTGCTATTTAAGCATAAATTGAAAGTCGATATGGTTTCAAGTGGCTAGACATGGGAAACAAAGCAATTATACTCCCCATCCATGGATGAGAAACGGTCGTAGATTTGACCGTCTTGGGGCTGGTCCGTCCCAAAGCAGACGAATGTAAACAAACCACCACCGAGACTGACTCGTGAAGCTGACTCGACGAACCTGGAACGCCATTGTTTCAAGTGATGAAGCCTTGATAATCGCCAATAGCGTTTATATCTTTATAAAAATTAGATGGGGCTATTGTGCTGCAGGTCATTAACCTAGTCATGTACGTACAGTACATGAGTACCTGGTTCGTTAGTTGGTCTCGACTTGATGGGCAATTGTGGACATCTAGCCAAATACCGGAAGAAACAAGCATCACCGCAAAATTACCCGTGGATCGTGGTAGTTGATGGCCATAAATACCAGGCAACCCGTATGAGGATGTCCCGACCCCTGACGAAGGCGGTGAGCAGGCGGGGAAGACGCTAACCCCAAAAAGGCAAGCAGCAGCCCATGGAGAGACCAGCTGTTTGTTCGCCGAGTCAACGGTGACACCAACAGAGCGCATCTCCCGCTCGAGATGCTCGATTCCACCATGTCTGAACCTCTGCCTATTGCTATCGACCCGGTGGCCCTGGTGACGACAGAATGTATCACCGTCACCTCGTCCATGCGGAAACATGCCCGCTGGGCGCACTCCTCCGTCTCCGCCATCTTGGGCGGTAATGGGGGGTCCCGGGTCTATGAAAGAGAGACTTCGGCGCCGCCCAGTCCGCGGAAGAGCAGCCAGTCGTCGAGACTCGGTGAGGAAGACCATGCCTTGGCCAATCGATGGGGCCTGCGAGGCAAGAAAGGCAAGAGCATGCAAGACAACCCGTTGATATCAGCCTTCACCCGCCTGCGGAGTGATCTCAAGGGCTGCAAAGATATCCGAACGTTCGATACTCCAGCCCTCCTGCACCCATTCTTACAGGTCATCCGCTCCTCCTCGACCTCCGCCGCGATCACATCCCTCGCATTGGTTGCCATCACCAAGTTCTTTTCGTACAACATCATCAACCGAGACTCCCCCCGTCTGCCAATGGCCATGCAGCTCCTCTCGGCTGCAATTACACACTGTCGATTCGAAGCGAGCGATTCTTCGGCGGATGAGATCGTGCTACTACGAATCTTGAAGTTGATGGAGGGCATGTTGTCTCGGCCGGAAGGAGAGCTCCTGGGCGATGAGAGTGTCTGCGAGATGATGGAGACGGGGCTGAGCATGTGCTGTCAAGGCCGTTTGTCAGAAGTGCTGCGGAGGTCGGCAGAAATGGCCATGGTCAAAATGTGCCAAGTCATTTTTATGCGGCTGTCACATCTTGATCAAGAGGTACCCCCGGGTCCCGACCCGTTCGCAGATGAGCGTGTAAAGAAGGTTGAATCGAATTTGAAGATGGATCCGTCTGTGAACGGCGACACCGTGACATCCCAGCATCAGTCAGCAATGAGTTCGGACACGGCAGCCCCAGAGCGAGACAGCACCAGCCGGGAGGGTTCACCCGAACAACCAGGTATCGGGGCTACGGCTGCGGCCACTGCACCACCCACTTTGCAAGACGACAGTGACAGCGAGATCCGGCCTTACTCTCTGCCCTCAATTCGAGAGCTTTTTCGCGTGTTAATTGATCTTCTTGATCCTCACAACCGTCAACATACCGATACGATGAGAGTGATGGCCTTGCGCATCATTGATGTTGCTTTGGAAGTGGCCGGTCCATCTATTGCTCGACATCCCAGCTTGGCTGCTTTAGCTAAGGATGATCTCTGCCGCTATCTATTTCAATTGGTCCGCTCGGAGCAGCTGGCTATTCTCACCGGTTCTTTGAGAGTCGCAGGCACATTGCTGTCGACGTGCCGGTCTGTATTGAAGCTGCAGCAAGAACTTTACCTCTCTTATCTGGTAGCTTGCCTTCATCCCCGCGTGGAGATCCCCCGGGAGGCAGGCATCGACCCTTCGCTTTACGAAGGGGTACCACAGGCACCAAAGCTAGTTAAGCAGCCGTCCTCCCAGACCAATAGTGGCCGGTCCACTCCAGTCCCTGTGAAGGATCGTCAAAAACTCGGTCTTGAAGGAGGTTCTCGGAAACCTGAAGCTCGGGAGGCGATGGTCGAAAGCATAGGAGTTCTGTCACGAATCCCTAGCTTCATGGTCGAACTCTTCGTCAATTATGACTGTGAAGTTGATCGGGCCGACTTGTGTGAAGACATGATTGGGCTGCTGTCTCGCAATGCCTTCCCAGATTCCGCAACATGGAGTACAACGAATGTGCCCCCGCTATGTCTCGATGCTCTCCTTGGTTATGTTCAGTTTCTTTATGATCGTATGAACGACGAACCGGTACAAGGGAATTATCCTCCTCTGGAAAGCCTTCGACGTCAACGGAAAACGAAGAAGCTTATCATTAAAGGAGCTCAGATGTTCAACGAGGAGCCCAAGGCAGGAATTGCTTACCTCACAAACCACGGGATTATCGAAGACGCCAAAAACCCCGTGCTGGTTGCCCGCTTCCTCAAGGGAACGGGACGCCTGTCAAAGAAGGTGCTTGGTGATTTTATTTCCAAACGAGACAACGAAGAGTTGCTGGGCGCGTTTGTCGATCTCCTCGATTTCTCGGGGAGAAACGTGGTTGAAGCGCTTCGAGAGCTGCTTAGCTCGTTCCGCTTGCCCGGCGAGTCGCCCTTGATTGAACGAATCGTGACTACTTTCTCGGAGCATTATATGGAGAAAGCCCAACCCGATGGTATTGCGGACAAAGACGCACTCTATATCTTGACCTATGCAATCATCATGCTGAACACTGAACTCTACAACCCCAATGTCAAGTCGCAAAACCGCATGTCTTTCCCAGCGTTTGCCAGAAATCTTCGTGGGGTCAACGGGGGCAGTGACTTTGCAGAGGAATTCCTTCAGGAAATTTACGACTCCATCAAGGAGAATGAAATCATTCTGCCGGATGAGCATGAGAATAAACACGCGTTCGACTATGCTTGGAAGGAGCTTCTCCTGAAGTCGTCTACCGCCGGTGAGATGGTGGTGGGCGAGACCAACGTATACGACGCAGAGATGTTTGAAGCAACCTGGAGACCGGTTGTAGCTACCCTCTCATACGTTTTCATGTCTGCCTCTGACGATGCCGTCTACTCCCGCGTCGTCAATGGATTTGACCAGTGTGCTCAAATCGCTGCCCGATATGGTCTGACAGAGTCATTTGATCGGATTGTCTCTTCCCTGGCCTCGATTAGCACTTTGGCGACGACTAAACCTCCCAGCACTGCGCTCAACACGGAAGTGCAAGCAGGGAAGAAGAGCGTGATGGTTAGTGAGTTGGCTGTGAAGTTCGGAAGAGACTTCAGAGCACAACTGGCTACAGTGGTACTGTTCCGAGTTCTGGCGGGTAATGAGTCCACGCCTAAGCAAGGTTGGGAGCACATTATCCGCATTCTCAGCAACCTCTTTATAAATTCTCTAATCCCGCCATTCGACTCCACGTTGACTGCTGAGCTGAATATCTCCCCGATTCCCTTGCAGCCCCCGTCACAGGTTGTCGACCGAGATGGAAGGGGTAACGATTCTGGCTTGCTGTCTGCTTTTACTTCATATCTGTCAAGTTATGCAGCCGATGATCCTCCAGAGCCATCAGACGAAGAGCTTGACAACACTCTTTGTACGGTGGATTGCGTCACTGCATGCTCTATTCCCGACATCTTGACCAACATCAAGTAAGTAACTTCCAGCCTTTATGGGGAGCCCGGTTGCTGACAACTGCCAAGATCTCTACCATTATCGTCCCTGGAGTCGCTTGTACAGGCCCTCTTGTCCCAGCTCCCCGAAGAAAATGCACCCGCCGTGATTGTGGTGAAGCCCGAACGCCCGAGTCCCGTCTCAAGACCTTCGAGTAGAGCTGACCCCAATCAGCCAAAGTATGATCCGTCTATGATCTTCCTTTTGGAGCTGGCGACCGTGCTCACTCTTCGTGATGACAAAACCCTCGGGAGCCTCGGTGAATCATTGGCAACTACCCTCCAGACCTTGACTCGCGATGCTAAGAACCTTCACCCACTGACCGTATCGCGCATCGTGTCCTACCTGTTTAACCTGCTCAGACTAAGTCATGTATGTATCTGCCAAAGAATTGATAGGATTCTCTTTGTCAAACTAACAAACTCTCAGGATCAGCATTTCTTGCGCGTACCAGTTGTCCTTCACGCGATCTCTGGCTATGATCAAGATGTCTTGGAGACCGTCGCCGTGCCGACAGTGAAGGGTCTGTCACGATGCATTTCCCACACTGGTCGCCTCAGAAACGAGATCACTATCTCGCCGGACTTCTGGTCCATCTTACAACGGCTGCACCAACATGAAGAAGCCGCTCCCCTGGTGTTCGAATTGCTCGAGAGTATTGTCCACTCTATGCCCGACATTATCACAGCCGACAACTACGAATCGGCCGTTGCTCTGGCAAATGACTTTGTCAGTGCAGGCCACGTCGGTTCTGTCGATGAGCGTCAAAGGGATGCTCATGCTCGACGAAACAAGGGTGTCAAACAACCCAAGCCAAGGTACGGTTCCTCCTTTATCTCGTACCCTCGTCACCCAATCTAACTCACCGGTAGCGAAAATCAAATCGTTTCCCGCGGCATCAAAGCCATTGGTTTGATATATCACCTCACTGGGCGGGTTCCTGCGCTTATCAAGCAGTCCCACCTTGAAGAGCGTGAAGGTCAGTTTCCCCCGACATTCATACTTCGAACCAATTCTGACCTTTTACCGTCTAGCCTGGTCTGCCTATTGGTCTCCCATTTTCGAATCCCTTCGTGGCCAATGCACCAACCCATGTCGTGATATTCGCCACCATGCCATTTCAACTCTGCAACGAGCTCTCCTGTCTGCTGAACTGATTTCTGGTGACGATAAGGAGTGGGCCACTATCTTCGATGAGGTTCTCTTCCCTCTCATTCTGCGCCTCCTTAAGCCAGAAGTCTACCACTCCGACCCCTATGGCATGGGTGAGACTCGAGTGCAGGCGGCGACATTGGTCTGCAAAATCTTCCTGCGCTTCCTCGATCAACTTCCCAACCGGGAGGGTATGCTCCCTCTCTGGCTCCAAATCCTGGATATACTTGACCGCATGATGAACAGCGGCCAGAGTGATAGTCTGGAGGAGGCCATTCCCGAAAGCTTGAAGAATATCCTGCTTGTCATGGCTGATGGTAGATATCTGGTACCTCCATCGCAGGACCCTAGCAAGGAGGAGATGTGGATGGAGACTCGCAAGCGCCTGGAGCGATTCCTGCCGGGCCTTTTCCAGGAAATTTTCCCCGATGCGGCCAAGGAACCCGAAAAGGTCCAAGCAGTATCAGCCGCTCCGTCGCCGTCCCAACCGGCCAGTGAGGCTGTTAAGAGTGAAGAAATCGTGCCGTTACCTCAAGATGCTGGCGTTGATACCACGGAAGGCACTCCAGCTGGCTCTGCTTCCGAGCAAGTTGCCTCATAATAGGCAAAACGAATTTTCGGTTTTCCGTATGAATCGTGGTGTTACGGTTCTGATACTATCCTCTTTTCAACCCATTTTGTGCATCCATATATAGATAGCGGTGGGACGATGATCCCTTTTTGCAAAATGCCCCCCTTTACCTGTGATTTCATTTATTGTTTCTAATCTTCCTGTGTAGATAGCGCGCGTGTGGTGGATTTTTACTTTTACTAGGCTCAAGTTCATAATCAATGGGAGCATGATTCTGAGACTTAAAAGGATCACGGAGAAATTTAAAACACAAAGAACAACTTAGATGTGCTGACAAAGCTGGAGTTATCGATGACAACGACAAGTGAACCACTTTCAAGTTCCCCATCCTATGCTCCTCCTCCTGGCGGGTATCCTGCTGGTGGGACATTCCCTCCTCCAAGTCCCCTTCTTCCTCGTCCTCGTCCTCCTCGCCCTAGGTAAGACGCAAATTGGGAGACTGTTGGAAATGAGAACAGATTCTCGTATGTGGTATAGATCTTTCTTTTCAATATCGTTACGTCAATAATTGGTTTATCATAGATTGGTAGCTTCAAGGCTCCATTATGGTTATTGGTAATGAGAGCTGGAATACATAAGCTTCACTCTAAATTCTATTATGTACTGTACTGCATACTGGCGGGCAGGAGTCTGAGTAAGAGTGTTCTGCGACCTCTGTGGTTCACGGGCCGGAATAAGAACGGGTGGGACGCCTTTCGTCGTTGTGACCACCTAGTCTGAGGCTACGATTTAATAAACTAACATAACCTGGCCTCCGTCGCGACACCCCACAAATTAGGTCCGGCTATCAAGCTACAGGAGTAGTAGTCAGGTTTAGCCTATGGCATGCAATTTACAATTCAGGTCGCAACCCCACCGCCCGGGTGGGAAAGAGCAATTTTCCAACCTTGGAACCTCGGACATTCAATCAACGGATCTTCATCCCATGAAACCTCAGAAAAAAAACAGAGTAGGTAGATTTCGCTAAGAATATCTTGTCAGGCGAAATCCAGATTATGATATGTAGCAAACTGGTGTGCGTACGGCGTACGCACTCTATGCGTTGTCTCATAACTACAGCCAGGGGTCTGGCACACTAGTCAAACGGAGTCGTAAGCATTGTGACAATGAATTATTCGAATACACATTGTCGCTATATCATTGGATCAAGCCTCTTATGCATCCTCAAGGGTTTGGTCTCCACAGCGGAGGCCCGCCGGAGTGCCCTCCGGACCTTAAATGCCCAGTGAGCATTGCGAAGTGGACAAGCCGTAGTGTACACACAGCACAAGCCAATGTGGTGTCAATCAGGTGCAGCTGCACATTCCTCAACCTGGCTTTCTACTGTATGATTTGGAATATTTCCTCGGCCGCTCTCGGGGGTGGCCCTGTTTCAGTCATGCAATGAATGTCTCGTTATAGATCGATGACAGAAAGTCCACACGGTCCATCCTCAAAGGTGATTACGATATAGGTCCGAAAATTTGAACTACTGTCACAATTGTACGGACGAGAATTCAAACGACGGAGGGTCATTTTCACGCGCCTAGCCCCCGGTAACCTATGTTGCCTCACAGGCAAGGATAAGGATTACGAACAACATCCATTGAACGCAAAAAAACCGAGCAAGTCGAGCTCTAAGTGGTTTTCAAAGAGACATTTGTGTTACTCCGGAGTCTATCAACCTTTCTTGTGTTCTCATCACGTAGAAGAAGTCTGTGGCGTTGATATGGTCCACTACTACTGGAGAAATCCGCTTCAAATGTTTGCTCGTCGGCTATTTGTTCTTCTACATTCGTGATATTATCTCTAGTAGCAGCGCTATGTTGAAGCGGGACGTTCAAAAACTTGGATAGGCATCTTCCAGAAGCCCTGGAACCTGAGCGACCTCAGTTCCCGGTATCTTAGTTAAATGCTTTGCCCCGATTCATTCCTGTTCTGGACAGTTCGAAGGATAGCATCCTAGCCTAGCACGGCTTACACGCGCTGCTTGAAGTGTAGATAATATGCATGTTTGATCTTCGGTGTCTGCAACGAGGCCTTCCGGTTCTTCTCAAGTCAACGAATGCATGTGTACCTTGGGAAAATTCTAAGTATGATTGGACGGATGATGTTCCTGGTCTAACGCCATGGATTCGGGTTACAGTGCATTAGTGTGTAATCAAGCCTTCCAAGGCCATCTATGCGTCGACCCTTATCCAATTGTCACACTTCACTTTTAAGTCAATCGAATTTGGTGCCGCTACGGATATTCCCGTACGTAACCTTCCCCGCTTCGTTGTGTTCCAAGATTCCAAATTTGAGGAGATAAGTATCTAGCTAATTACAGCATAGCTTATGGGGCATTGAAAGCTTAATTAGGAAATACATATAGCGACTAATAACGCGGAGTTAAAGACTTTAGCACTATATGCGCAGGATGAGGACTCTCTCTCTCCTTATTTATCGTACTACGGACGACATCTAAAGTAATCGTCTGCAAAGTCAAAGGCAAGGATGGACCGAGTGGGGACTAGTGGGATATCGTGGATCACGCTCTTATCTTACTTGATGTCTTATATAAAGTACTCAGATAGATCATTCTGGCCCCTAAGTATATCTAATGGATCAGATTCTTAATAGGGAAGGGAGCGCGGGAAATTGCCATGATGCGCAACAATGCGCAATAATCTGCTATAATATACGACAATGCTGGGTAGCAAATGGGAAATCTACCCAAAACACCTCTTCGCCTTGAAATTCCTTTAGCTCGGCGTTGTGTTTTCTCCGTTCGACTTCTAATACGCGTAAGCCCGGCCTTAGCTTCAAAAATCAGTGACCGGATTTTGCCACAAGTTATAAATAATTTAATCTGCTTATATAGTACCTCTTGAATCGCCCTTAGCTTTCTAAGGAATATTGGAAAGGATATTACTATCTTTGAAGGAATGCCACAGTATGCTGAGCTTAATGCGGCAGTAACGTCTATCGTTGACCGTGATGACTCGTTCAAAGCGAAGATCCAGTATCTTGCGAGAGACGAGTAGCACTGGTTAGTGAAGCCATATTATTTGCACTTCAATTACGAGTCTGATGTTCCTCCAACAAACACATCCACCGTTGATCGAATTGTTCACATCCGTAATGCTCGGAATTTGCAGATTCCGTCGAGAGAGATGTTCCTTCAGAAGGGATTTACTCAGCTACACCTTGATTGCTCTTTGACACCTGAGGAGTATTGCGACGATAGGAAAGTAGAGGAAGTCTTATACCCGAAATACAAATCAGCTGCCCGGCATTTGTTCCTAAATGCTGCGCGAATTGAAGTCTTAGAGCACGCAGTGAGCAAAAGTTTGAAGATTCAACACTTCGGAATACTGACCTACGGGAACAAGGTTCGCAAACGTCACCCTCTCTGGCTATCTAAGAGCTTAGAACGACACGAGCTTAACACAAATCAACCGAGCGATTACGTGCACATTGGTACGTGCTGATGATCTTTAATATAAAATTTTTACATTTAGACTTCATCTACGTGTATACTGGGCCTATTTTTGAATTCATATGCTCAAATATGACGGCCTCCTCGGCTGCGAAGTGCAGCATTCAGCATTTTAACATTTCCCCCAAGAGTTATTCAAGATTCGTGGTAGTAAAGTACATCTGCCTTGACTCCCAGAAATAATGCACCGCAAAGCTTACTCTCCATCTCATCAGCCTCTGGAAGCCAATAAGAGGACCAGTATACGATTTTCCTCTGCCGGTTTGCGACCGCAGTACCGTGGACTATGAATCCCAGGCCACTGCAATGGACATTGTTACTAGTAACTACCTTAACGAAAATACTCGCATATACTGTGACGGTAGTCCCAAATGGTACTATTGGCATGGGTTGCAGGCCGACGAGGTAATCGCCTTCGTACAGGCAGATTCCTAAGAAGAGAACCGAGCAGGTATGACAAATTTTACCCTATCGCCTAGAGATTCATTTCCCCGGATTCGGAGACTGAAACTTATTGAATCAGGAGTTCCCCATACAGCGTTCTACGACGCTCGCAATACTAATGAGACACAATTGCGGGAGAGTATTGAAGCTAGAGTGTTTGTTTACTTTGACTGAATGTAGTTCTCAAACGCCTTGACCACAATATGTGCATGTGCATTGTAGCGATGTACAATGAATGTACCATTCAAACCTCTTTATATGTACTATGAATAAAACCTATCGCCTAGACTTTCCAATCCGTTCTTTACTACGGAACCAGTCTCCGTACCTCATCATGACATCAGCGTGAAATGGTTGGAATGCACCAACAGTCTCTTCTCAACTGCTGAGATGGCAGGCACAGAGAGGGAAATGGGAAACAAAGCGAACAAAGAGACAATTTAAGAGCCAAAATGGTGCATCAGGTGGGGGATCTAACAAGCAATACCCGAGGCTTAGACTGAGAAAGCGTAGACATAAGGCCCCTGGAATTATACATGTTATTGCTTTCCAACCTTGGAAGGTTACATGTTGTTTTGCATTTGAGACGGCACAATTCACCGACCACTCGATCGCGTATTCTCAGATATCTTCGACCTATCAAGATCTATTTCTTTTTCTTAACAACGAGCCATATGGTTGGCCCGATGTTTCCCCATCTTTCCGTCCACGCTCCATCGGTCTAAAGGGCACGCTCCAGTCGGAGACTAAAGAGCGATCAATAAATGTGCAGGCCGTGCCCTTGGGAAAGAAAATGTTCCTCCTCGAATACTTCTGCATGTTGGAATTCTGCATGTTGGAAAGAAGAATTACGGAGATTGCAATAGGGTTATTATTAGACTAATTTGTACTACAATTAATTACAATTCAGAAGAGGAACAGAACTGGAGAACTGCAAATCACCAGTATGAAAAGAAGAAATACAATCCTGAATTGGTACTCTATACAAGAAAGATGCCTTAGCGGGGCAGGTATCGCAAGCGATGAGACTGCTAGTGGAAAGTGAGCAACGAAGTAATGAACATTCATTATCGAGCATGACGCTCGAGTCGGCACAAGAGCAGACAAACTCCTTGGGACGCAAGAAATAAAAAGTGGCGCACAACACCAATGGATAAAAAGGAAATGGGAGTGACATCCGTTGCAATGGTACTTATACGAGAGAAGAAAGAAAGGAATTCTAGTGACAGGGGTCGATGATGGCAATTGAAAGGATTCAGCGTCCAGACTGGTAGTTGTGGTTTCCCATGGCCCAGTTTCGAAACCCCCATTTGGGTCTCTTATTCGTCCATATCGTCGTCTAGGTCGATGGCATCCGGGTTGGCGGGTGCAGCAGGTTGTTCTTGGCCTGCAGGGGGAGGCCGATTGCCCCCCTCCGGTCCAGTGCTGGCGGCAACGAAGCCCACTGGGGCACGAGCCTCGCGCTCCAATGCAGCCATGGCATCGGCACGCTCGGCAGCCTCGCCCTCGCCCTCGCCCTGTAGACCATCCTGGAGGCGCTGCTGACTGCGGGCGATAGCCTGCGAGGCGATGAAATTGACGTCGGTGCTGGAGATAGGTCAGTGACTTAAGTTAGAAACAAGGTGGGGTCAATGGATAGATCATACTTGTATTGAGCCTGGACACTTCTCTTGATGCGGAGCATCTCCTTGAACGTGTCTTCGTTTCCATGTTGCACTTCGAACGCCTCCCACTTCTGCCAGAAGGGCGCATTGGTCCGAGGATCGCAGAATTGGGATGCATGTCCATAGATCGCACGCGCCCGGTCAATCTCACCCAGCCGGCGTTCCATCTCAGCAAACTTGAGGCACATCTCCTTGGCCTCTTGGTCTGGCAGAGCCGCGATAGCCCGCTCATAGATCGGTCTCGTAGAGGTAAGTCCGAAGTTGGAGGCTGACTTGGTGATGTAGAACTCGAACATCTCGAATCGGTCCTCGTCAGAAACCTCGCGAGTCGCACGTTCATAGATGCGCATCGCATGTCGGGCAAGGCCTCGCTCTTCTTCCAAATTGCCATACATCAAGTACAGCGGCTTGGCGAATTTTGGCGGACATCCATCCAGAGCTTGCTCAAAGAGATCTCGAAGTCTTTCAATACCAATCTTGCGGTCCACGGCCTTGGTCAAGTATAGATTCCAAAGCTCAAAGGCCACCGGATAGCTGAAGAGATCCAAGCCACGCTCGTACACCTTGAAAGAATCTTCGAAGTAACTGTTTTCTTCCAAGAGGTTTGCGTAGTTGACAACGGTCTGGGGTGTCGCGATACGCAGTTCGAAAATCCGCTCGTAGACTTTCCTGGTCTCTTCCAGCGAGGACACACTCTCGACGAGATCAACATAGAAACTCCACAGCTTCCAACTCTTGTGCACTCTTTGTTGCGGGGATAAGCTTTCATCGAAATAGTCCACGGTAGACTTCTTAGGTGCCTGTGTCGCCTTTGCCATGATATCAACGGCCCGGTCAAAGTTCTCCGAGCGAAGTTCCATTTCCGCCCATTCACACCAGGTCTCGGCAAGCTCAGCGACAGATTTGAAGGGGACCTTTACAGCCTTATCGAAAATGACTCTCGCGGTCTCTAGATCGCCACCATCCTCATAAAGTTTGGCATAGTTGACCCACAACTCGGAGAACTTTCCATGTGCTTTCTTGGGGTTGATTGCCGCAATGGCAGCTGTGTAGGTGTTGACAGCTTCCCCCTTATTGTCACCCCACAAGGCCACCCTCTTCTCCCATTCAATGACATTGTGCGGGTTTTGTCGTAACAGAACGTCATTGACCAGGAACGGCCGTCGGTCCATCAATTGTTCAAATCGCAGCATGCGAAGGTCCAGATCAAAGTCAGCCTCTTCATCAAGCTTGCCCTTCTCTGAACGGACAGCTGCGGCCTCCATCAGATTGCCGATTATGGACTCCTCAAACTCAACATACGAGTCAAAGATGAGCGTGAAATCCCGTACGGTCATGACGGTAGTAATTCCTTCTTCAAACACATCTCGTGCTTTCTCAAAGCTACCCTTTGTGATCCAATACGTAGCAAGGCCAGCCCAAAGTTTTCCTCGCTGGTCCGCGAATCGCTCGATTCCGCTGCGGAGAATGGCATCGACGTCGATTCCCACTTGAGGGCCGGTCTCAATCTTCTTGGCCTTGGAGACCAAGAGGTCGACCATTTCGGTCCAGAGCTGGAAAGTGCTCTTGCCATTCTTAGATTGGAATCGCTGGTTGTCCAAGATTTCCATAAACACTTTTACAGCCTCTGTGTATTGGCCCATCTCGACCAGGATTTCAATGTACTCTTCCGCATTCTCCGGATGAATCTGCATGTACCGAGCCCAGATCTTTACAGCAGTTGGTCCTGAAGCAGATCGCGCGAAGCCCTTGAAAAGTCTCCAGATTCGGTTGTGTTGGGTGACCGGAAGTGCACGAAGGGCACGATCAAATGTTCGCCGGGTCTGTGTCACCAAGGGTTGAAGGAGCAAAAACGACAAGTACATCTCCCAGATGCGAGGCATCTTGTTCAAGAGGACTAAAGCTCGTTCGAAAAGAGCATTGACCTTGACGTACTCGGCGCGGTAGACAGTGGGATTCCTGCCCTTTAGATGCTTCATTCGGAATTCCAAGTACTACAGTGAATGCAAGTCAGTTCAATCATCCTCCTTATTCACATTGAAAGGAAAAGATTGCCTCACCATTTTCCATAGCTTATATGACCGCGGCAACTTTCGACAGGCGCGCTCCATAACCTGAAACCCAAGAAAGAATGTTAGATACAGTTTGGAGACTGCAAGACAAAGGGAGGGGTGCCGACGTACAAAGGCTTGTTCGTAAAGAGTGCCATTTTGCTGCTTGAACTCGATATAGGCAAGCCATGGCTTGACACTACCAGCATCGCGCAGCAGGTCTTGTTCGTAAACCGTATCCTGATCGGTCTGCCAAAGATCTCAGTTAGCATCACAGTCTAGCGGTATTTCCAGTAGGTACATACAATCAGGTAGAAGTCCGGCCGGGACGCAGATGTTCGATCCATCTGTGCGTGCTGCCGGTGTGATCTCGGGGGCAAAAGCGTCCCTGGCATTGCGCCACTCCGTTGAGCGGGATCCGATCACACAAAGCAAAAGGCCAGCATGGGAGGAAGGCGGGGGCGAAGGAAGCGAGTCGGCGCGTGTGTTTGAAAGTTGAAACTGCGGCAATCGTCGTATGCTAGTCACGTGGTAGGAACCGCATCGAGTGGGCGGTGGAGCTTTAGTTATCGGCGCGGCGTCATATCAATGTGGCTGCTTCCTCGCTGATCGCCAACATCGGGAATTCCAAGCTGTCATCATGTCGGGTGCAGTAGTGCGTATTCTTGTTACCTTTTTCTAGCTCTGTGATTAACCCGATACGACTATTAGGGCCGAGAACCAGTCTTCCCGACTCGCCAGTCGCTGGGGTTGATGAAGAGCAAGCTGAAGGGGGCAGAGACGGGCCATAGCTTGCTTAAGCGCAAGAGTGAAGCTTTGACAAAGTATGTAAATGGTCCTAATTGATCTTCAACCTCAGCTTATATTGTTTGTCCTTCTCTAGGCGTTTCCGAGGTATGACTATACACTATCACTCCGTCCTCCGCATTCCCCCCACACCCCGCGGAGGCTAATTCCAGCGGGCAGAAATTACAAGACGTATCGATGAGGCCAAACGAAAGATGGGCCGGGTGATGCAGATTGCTGCCTTCTCGCTTGCCGAAGTCAGCTATGCAGTTGGTGGAGATATTGGATACCAGGTTCAGGAGTCGGCCAAGCAGGCTCGATTCCGTGTCCGAGCCAAGCAAGAGAACGTCTCCGGAGTGTTCCTACCGCAATTCGAGAGCTACACCCAGGAGGGCGTTAATGACTTTGCCTTGACTGGTCTTGGCAAGGGAGGACAGCAAATCCAGCGATGCCGAGAGACATACGCGCGGGCCGTGGAGACATTGGTGGAGCTGGCCAGTCTACAGGTATGGGAGCTGAGAGGCTGAGTTGCAAGCCCTAGCTAACAAAATTAGACTGCATTCTTGATTCTCGATGAGGTTATCAAGGTCGTCAACCGAAGAGGTAAGCAGGAAATCCTAAAACAGTTGTTTGGTACAGTACAGTACACCTACTAACATATCATCAAAATAGTAAACGCGATGTAAGTCATCCAAATGATGACATTCTTGTCCAAAACTAACAAGTTATAGCGAGCACGTCATCATTCCTCGTACCGAAAACACTATCAAATGTTTGTACTCTCTTTCTGCTTGAGGATTGCCTGTTAGAAACTCACAAGTAATACAGACATCAACTCCGAGCTCGACGAACTTGATCGAGAGGAGTTCTACCGCCTCAAGAAGGTCTCCGGCAAGAAGCAGCGAGACACTGCTGCCGCTGATGCCGAGATTCTTGCAGCCCGGAAAAAGGCAGAGGCAGAGGAAGCAGCGGTTGCCGTTATTGCTACGGAGCCCGAGGCTGCTCCCGAAGCTGCCGATGTCCTAGGCGAGCAGGAGGATACTGATGTCATTTTCTAGGTGCTTTATCTCTCGTTTTGTTTTACCTCGGACTACTAGTTCCCTTGCATTTTCTTGTTCACTGTATCATGTTACTCTCAACCTTCAATATGTGACTTGCAAGCCTTGTTTACCTAGTCGGCTTATCTCCCGGAAATACCATTTGACCTACTCCGTTCCCTGGGTATATACTCTGAGGTAGCCACAGCAAAATCGAACCCCATGGTATTGAAAGGTACATAGTAGTAAACATTGACTGAAGTCTCCATTTGACCCTCCAAGACGCCGGAAGAAAGATAGAAACGAATAAAATAATAATAACATGGACATTTTCGTCAATGTGCCTATCGTGGCAGCAACTACTGTCTCTGGTATGTGACGCGAATGGGCTTGTTCTGGTCGCCCATAGGCATACCTGAAGTAGCCTCCTTGGCACTGATAGCACCGGCCTCGGTCTCGTACTCGACGAAGGCAATACCCTTGCGGCCGGGCACCAATCTGACTTCCTGGAAGCCTTCGAAACGGCCAAAGACTTCGGAAAGACCCTCCTGGCTGGCATCGTCTGGCAGATCGCGCAAGAACAGAATCTTGTTGGGAGGCAAGTACTCGTCCGGCACAACTGCAGCTGCGGCAGCAGTGGTAGGTTTGAGGCCGGCACCCTTGGTCGTCTTGGCTGGGCGGGCGCTGTCCGCCGGAGCGGCGGGACGCTTGAGTTTCTTCTGAGCCTCGAGGGCTTCGTGGGCTTGTTTACGCTCTGTGGAAACAAGGCAGTATAGTTAGCAAGGTTAAATTCCCGGGAATATATCCTGCGTCAAAGTTTAAAAAGGGAGAAAGAGTCTGCCACGCACCTTTCTCAGCTAGACGCCTCCGTTTGTGAGATTCCAGCTCGTCGTTACCACCCTCACGTAGGACTGTCGCGTCACTCTTAGTCTTTGCATAGTCCAAGACCATGGGCTTGTCGAAGAGCTCGAAGCCATTCACGTCCTCAATGGCGCGGGTCGCGGCTTCAACGTTGTCGAAGACAACGAATGCCTGCCCCTTGGCCTTGAGATTCTTTTTGGCGACAATCTCAACCACATTCCCAAACTCAGAGAAAATTTCCTCCAAGGCGACTTTGAGTTGTTCAATCTTAATGCGCTCCTCTAGATTCCGAACCTATTCTCAGTGCAATGAATATGTCAGTCTGTGGGTTGCGCGCGGATTGGAGATCGTGGTAGGAACGAGGCCCTGTCCAGGAGGACGTACGTAGACGCTGTGAGGACAGGTTAGCGGTCAAGTGAGGGAGCACCAGAGAATTATATGACTAACGTGGAGTTTGGGGGGACACTCCCCGTGGATTGACCCGTGGCTGCCATGATCGTGATTGTTGGAGCTCTGGAGGATGAGTGAGGTCGAGGTCTGATTCCAGTTCGACGGAGATGAATGTATTTCGGGGGGGGGTCGTAATTCAGGGTCATATAGCTAAAACTGGTTGCCTCTCACATGAACCAGCATCATTGGTCTAGTGGTAGAATTCGTCGTTGCCATCGACGAGGCCCGTGTTCGATTCACGGATGATGCACATTTCTTTTTTTGATTTCACATTTTGCGCCGGTCAGTCAGCACATCGATATTCCTTGAGTATTATTCCTACTTATCGTTCGCGTGCTTTTTTTTTTCATGCTAATCTCATAAATTCAAAAATAATCTCTCATTGTATTGCTGTTATCCTTTCTAGAGCCCTAGCTCGTCGGAACCAAAACAGTCCGGAGTGTCTCTACTTTCTCCTTCAATTGCTTCGGCTGCGCGGACCAGTCCTCATACTTGACTATCTCCGACTCGGCCACCACATACAGATAATCCGCTGCGCTTGCTCGAACCTAGAAATAGATCAGATTAGTGAGACTGATCTAGAAACGGGACTGATCTAGAAACGGTTCAACGCAAACATACCCTCGGAAATGGATGTAGCAATAACCCAGTCATCTTCTTCAAGACATCACTGCGTAAGGAGTCTAGCCTCGACAAGGCTGCATAAACCTTCACGGCAGACTCCAGGCGCTGGATATTGGATGAACGGAAATGGGCTTTCTGCACCAAGACAAACACCCTCCGAAAGACAGGGTCCGAGTCGCCTTGGTTGGGGACTACAAAACTATCAATAAAGAACGACAGAAGGTCAAGAATGGGGATCGCATAACGATCATCTGGAAGATTGGCACTGAGAGCGGCAGACAGATCCTGCAAGATGTCGACCAGGACCGCCTGACGCTGACTGGGTTCTCGCACGGTGAGGAATTGAATAAGAGCTGAACGGATTGATCGAATCAGGCCTTCAGCACCTGCAGATGACGAGGTAGCCAGGCCCTGGAGCAGCGGTTCGCGCAGCCACTCGATGGAGTATAGAGTCAGGATTTGGTCAAAGTACCCTTGTGAGGATATATGACTGAAATGCTCGTATTTACTACTTTCTATTAGCCATGTGTAACCAGGGGGGAAGAGATGGATGTTATTACCGCTGCAACGGAGGGAAGTCGATAGAGATAGTCTCCCAGTAATGTTGCAAGCAAAGCCAAGCTTGCAACCGAACCTTGTCAAGTTTCTCGCATGCCAGGCGACACAGGCATCCAAGCAAGCTACGCACTATAGGCGAGCTTGATGGCAATGGTGAATCTCTCTTCAAGAGAATACCTGCTGCCTGCACTGCTTCAACGCGGATGAGAGATCCGATATCACCTCGTCTATCCGTGGTATAATCGTTTAGGAAATCCAACACATTATTTGCAATCTTATCCACGGTGGCTAAAGTGTCCGTCAGCAAAATCTGTCCGATGTTATGTCAAGTGTGGAAAAGCGTACATGTCTCTGGCAAAATTCTCGTTGACAAACACCTCACAGCAGCCACTCGTTTCTCAATGAGTTCTTCTTTTGCTGTACAGCAAAGCAACTCTGTGAGGATACTTTCCTGTAGGTTTGCACGCCCTTCAAGATTCTTGTATACCGCCCCGAGAGCGAGAATCTGACCACGGCCATTGGGTAGCTTTGACGAGGAACGCAGATGAGAAAACCAGGCCTGTACAGTTTCTTCTTGTTTCGAAGGTGGTAGGAGCGGGAAAAGTGTGGATAGGGCGGTGGATGAGCTTTCAATGGATATGTCATCACTTCGAGAGACGCAAAGTGAAAGAATGTGGAGTATTCGGTCGAGCAACGCTTCGGAAGGAGGGGACAGTCCAACAGATCTGGTAGAGCGAGAGAGCGACGAGATTAAACAAGCAGATGCCTCGGAGGTCAACTCAGGACGAGAATTTTGCGAAGTCAAGTCTCTTTCTGTTGGACTCGATGGCGATTCAAAGATATCCCACAGCCTGGCGACCTGGGATAACACCTCCTTTGCCTCCACTGCCTCTCGCATATCTGGCGATGTTTCCCATTCTTGAGTGTAAGCATCTACCGTGGCAGCGATTGACAAGAAACATCCATGTCGGGACTCGACGTCGCTTCGAGGTATACGCGGGAGCCTGCGAAACAATCTTTCCAATACCGCTTTAATGGTCTTGAACTTCTGCTGCGTGCTCAGAACACCAATAGCGCGCGCAGCCTGTCGCCTGGACTCAGCATCTGGAGAGCCAATGCCCCGCCATTGCATCAGAACTTCTATCAACGGGCCCCAGTACATTGGGTCCAAGGACGCAGTAGCCTTGGCCACATCAATCATTGCACGGGACCGCCGCGAAACCGCGTGATAGTCCACAATTTGAACGAGAGGGATTCCCTCAGTGATCATGTTCGGATGACGACCGATTAACTCTTGCAGGGCAGCAGAGGCACCACGGCGAATATTTCCCGAGGGATCAACGCAGGCTGAGCAGACAAGTTCAACTGCAAGCTTCTGCAAGACATCTACCTCTGTAATCCCAGTGATTGAGGGAATGGTCTGGCGTTGCAAGGCCTGCAGTTCTGCCGTTGCATATTTTCGAGAAAGTGCCCAAATGCCGAAACAGGCAGCGTCACGAACGCCCGTTCCCACAGAGCTACCAGTCGATGATCTTTGCTCAAAGTCAAGGCCCGAGACAAGTGATTGGAGAATTTCAGGCAATTGCTGGGTCGGAGGTGCACGACGGAACAGCAAATGAGAGAGTGTGAGCATTAGACCCTGCCACCGCTGGGCATCAACACCGCTTAGGTTACGCTTGAGCAGCTGAATCCCAGCAATTCGTGCTTCGAATGGCGTTATCAAGGCACCATCATCTCTTTCAAAAAGTATGTTCTCTCCCAATGACCCTATAACTGCTTCGATAATTTCTGCACCCATCTCCGGGTCAAGCTTCAAGGTGATGACACTGAGTGCTTTGCTTGCAGCGAAGCGCACCGGAGTGTCTTTATCTGCCAGTGCAACCAGGAAATGATCAATTGCCTCTTCGAGGATGCTAGACAACTGGTCATCCGTAATACAGTTGTCTTCTCTCTCGCTCAGAGACAAAGCCATAACTGTTATGTTGCGAAGAATTTTAACGACGGTTTTCCTAGCCAAGGCAGAGGATTGGATCGTTGCAGAGACCTCCGAGTTTCCCTGCACAATTTCCAAAGTCTTATCGAACACGGTTTTCAGCAAGGGCGCAAAATCCTCGACGTGGCCGGATCCCGCTAAACGAGCAATGAAAGAGAGAATTCCAATACATGAGTAGACGGAAGGTCCGTCTACACTCTGTGGAGGATTAATAGTAGCAAAAGCCCAGCTCGACAGGCCCGTTAAGAGGCCGAGGGCTTGCATGTCTCCACGCAAGACGAGCCGTGCTAGAAGCGCAGTAGCTGCCTCGCGCTCCTTGCCAGAAGCGTTGATATAATGAAGTGCCAGCGAGAGCAGGGATCGTGCAACTGTGGGAGTGTGAGAGAGAATCTCACCCAGCTGTTTCAAGTTATCATTCGGAACGGGGATGTCATCAGATGACAACGAGGCTAGGTCAAAGGGCGCCAGAAGAAGATGTGACAGCCAGACCAGCATCACATAACGCTCTTCCCACTGCATTTGCTGTGTCTCGGGTCCCGCAAGATCCTCGGTAGAGGATGTGTGGCCTAATGCATCCCATTCGATGAAGGCTCGCAACATGGAATCCAGGTACTTCGGCTCATTATTCAAAAAACGACTGATGACCTTGACGCCACGGACTTTGCAGAAAGTGTATAGGAGTCTGCAAATAGCTCTTGGTATGGGATAAAGAGCAACTTTGGAGGAAGACTTTGTGGGCTGAGTGTCATACTGCCCGTGATACTTCACTAGATACGCCAGGAAAGCATCCACTAATGTCGGAAGCAGCTTCTGCAGATGCGGATCCAGAAGCTGAGGCCATTCTTGAAATGGTTCAAGCTGTCAAAATCCCGTTAGCTACAAGACTCCGAGTTGATCAGATAGGTCTGGGTATATGTGCGGCCTTACGAGGGCGACGAGCTTCTCTGTCTTGGATACTTGTGCCCACTTGCGTGGGGTGCGGAGAGGGGTTCCAGGTTCAGACCTCCAGAGCAGCGCTGGCAGCTTGGCAGAGAACTCCGTTACCAGGTCACTTGAAGCCCGCTGGAGCTTCAAGTCGCGATCTTCGGCTGCATCCATCGCACAATCCCTGGATGTGGATGTATCTATCTCCTGGATCGTGAGTCGGGAAAAGCGTCAACAGCGGGTCTGTCATGTGACCTGCATCAAGATACTGTATTGATCGAAAATGTGCTTTCATCTCTGGGCACTATTTTGGTAGGAATTTTTTGACAAGAACAAATAGATGAACAAGACCTGGTGTATTTGATGACTGGTTTAATACTGTGCCGATTTTTTTTCCTGAGGACCCGCGCACATACTCCCGAGATATATTTTACGTTGATTCTACCCTCAACCATTGAGCAGTTAACCAATCCTAGCGGAAAGAGCTTGTTCATACCATTGTCTTTCGCTATTTCGTTGTTCAAGACACCCATTAAATAAAGGGAGTTCAAGTATTTTCCAATCAAACAGCAAATTTACTTCCTCTCGATTCCCTAGTGCCGACATGAAGACCAACACCATGATAATAGACAACATGCAAATAAGTGTCATACAACTTTCTTGCCACGCTTACCTATCAGAAGACCATGCAAGCAGTAAATGCAAACCTAGGCAGTCCTATTTAGACATGCCGAGTCAAATGAAGAAATCAGATTAAGTGAGCACGCCGAAAAGACACGACAAGATCTTATTCCCAGATATCAAACATAACAACTGAAGGATACAGCGACCTTCCAACAGTAGACAACCAAGCAATAATTCACAAATCCTCGTCATCCGTAGAGTCCCCCTGTCGTCGCCTCTGAGCAACCCCATCCTTGTTGGGATATTGATCAGCAAGCCGTGCCATAGTCCGCCTTATATGAATGACGGCAATTGCCAGCGCAAGCGAATTCCAGACATCTTGATCGTCCTCTGACATGTCAAACTGACCCATGTACTTGGCATGATAATTAGAATTTTCCTCCACCCAGGTGGCAGATCCCGGATCCGTATCCACAGAGAGGATAGTGACGATGGGACCACACAGACAGAACGCAACCAAAGTCGGCCAGTAAGGATCTTTAGTACCATTGTACATGTCTTGGTGTTTCTTGGCAAGACGCTCAAGCCTGGCAATTACTCTCTGAACCACCTGTAGAGTACTTTCTTTTTGTCCCTGGACGACAATCTTGTAAACGGCCGTGGTCTTGCACTTCTTCTTCAGGCCGGCGTCGGTCATGGCCCAGCGCAAGTACCTCCGAATAGCCCTTTTCACAACGTCTTGTGGACGTACCGTCAACAATCTGCAATCTCGTACACGGCCGGGTACCTTGAGAATCTCGTGCAAGGCTGTAATAGCGTAGAAATTCGATCCCTTTTGTACCGCAAAGGGAAAATTGCTTTCGTCGATTTCTTCGTCTCCAGTTGGAAAAAGAGATTCCGGAAGCGTCGCAAAGTCCTTCTTCCAATCCGATGGCAGCACTGGATAACAGCCACGGGTGGCGAGATCAAGATATAGACTCTTCTCTTCGTTGCCCATCTTCGTATCCTCGGGTACCTTGACAGCCTGCGCCATGCGCTTTGCTTTCTCTCTGCTCAGAATGAAAACGACATCGTCGCGCTCCGCTCTTTCAATAACGCCCGGCGCATCAAAATCGTATTCATCAACATCGCTGTTCGGACCATCGACATAATTCTGGTCTTCGTCGTCCGAATCTCGAGCCCGCTTCCTCTTCGTTCGTCTCTTCGACGCGCGCTCGGAATTCGGGAAATCGACGGGGAAGAGCATCGGGGGTGGAAATAGTGCTTGGGGCTTAGGGTATGACTCGGGCTCGGAATATTCGTCTTCGCTCCGGGTGGGAGAGGAGTCTAAGGGCGTGGCAGAGTGGAGTTCGCTGTCGCTTTCGTCGGGGATTGCAACTTCGTGACGGGATGTATAGTTCTCGTTTTTTATTCGCTTCGCTTCGGGAAATTCCGTTTCGCCTTTATTTGCCGTGCTGCCAAACCAGGCTGGACATCCAGTCGTATCTCGCGGCGAATAATCGTCATGTGGAGTAGCTGGAGGTGGAAGGGGGGGATCTGTTGACATCACCCATATTTTTCGTGATATCCCATTCGGACTGGGTAGGTCGTCGTTCAGAGCCTTGCGCTTGTGGTCCATTGATCAAAGACTAGATAGAAGAGCAAAGAATAGGGAGCAAAAGTTCAGGCACAAGGCGATATGGCGAGAGAGTGTGTCTAGACAGTATCTGCCAGACGGTGCGCAAAATGCTGATGAGGGCGAGAAGGTCGAGCTCAGCCTCGAGGAAGTTGGCGGCAAGTTGGAATCAGATTGCGCTCAAAAGAGAGTGTGGTGTATGGAGTTGAAAAGAAAAGCATTGACAGTGAACGTGAACGTGATTGACCTGGGGTGTGCTTATAGACGAAAGAAGTGACTATGGAAACAGAGAAGGTTGAATGAACAAAGAAGCCCGTCAGTTACATGGTGGAAGCAATGAGAAGAATGAACCTTGATCTTGAGACTCGACAGTTTTCGAGCCAACCTCGAGTCCAATTCATCGAAACTCGAGAGGATGGAAGCGTGGGCCTGAAGGATGGCCGGAATTTGTGATTGGGCGAGGGGGTGAAAGAAAGGGTTGGATGGCGGAAACAAAGAAACAGGAGAAGCCTAAAATAGCTTCTGGGAATATGGTATGGGAAGGCTGGACAAAAAAATGAGATAAAATTCATGAAAGAAGCAGTGACTCTTCGTGGATCAACTTACTGCCTAGATTTGGTTTTCGTTTTGCAAAGCTCATGGAACAAAGATGTATACTTCACCATAATACAATTATTTGCTCTGAATACGTGACTTTTTCTGGATATACGACCACAAGTCCCACAATTTAACATAAAAAGAACAGGATGTATTAGTTCGTATTTGCATCTCTTGCTCACAGAGCTATGGGAATCAGATACTCATCCAACAACATGAGGGCAGAACCATTCAAGAGGAGCGCAGCCCCAGACCCGGCAACACATGCGCTGGCATCCTTGGACGAAAGAAAACAGGAGAAAATAACGAAGAAACGAAGAGAAATAGTAGATGAAGTTACGCCAATCCTCAGACCCACTCATGCAACGACATCGTCATCATCATCTCGACTTTTTTGGGTTGAAAGTGCACCACATGCCTATTCGTTCATGCCACTCGTAACCAGCCATTTAGTGGATTCATCTCGGTGACTGACAGTTGCTCGAGAGTCATCCAAGTCACCACCCCGGACCTCCTCCTTGGTGACAAACCCAGCATGGCGCAGAACAGTCGTGGATCCGGCGCTGGGAACGAAGAAATTAACGAGAACATGATTCGCCGGATAGGGATAGAGAGATAAATCAAGAAACAAAAGAACAAGCAATTTAGATAAACAGATGATAAACACAGCAACAGAAAAAGAACAGCGTTGCTCCATTACTCATATCATTCAGCAAACGAAGCATGCTTAATGCTTAAGGGTAACGGTTAGAGTCGGCGTCTACGCCGATCGCTAAACCAAACACAACTGCGATGGGTAACAACTGCGATGGGTATGTAGAGCAGGGCGATTCGAAGAGAAATAGAGTTATTCAGCGCGGAATTACGAAGTGGATTACCTCGCACGCGGCAGTGTGGATCCGGACGTGACGCTGTCAGGTCCCGTCGAATCGACTCATTGCCGAGTGGATGAACAGGTGCTCGGGCGGAAAGATAACATGGCGGTTTTCAACAACACACGCAATCAAGCAAAGTCGGCGGTGTAGGAAAAGCCGCGGAACTCTTCCTGCATAGCCTGTGACAGCACGGACTGCACGGGTGTCAGGACGGGAGTCACGCTGGTGAACTCCTGGTCGAAGTTGCTGGTGTCCGTGGGGCTGCTGATGGTAGGGATGAAGGGAGGAGGAACCCGCTTGTGATAGATATCATCCCAGTTAACGTTCCGGAAGAAGGCGTGCGACATGACCTCTTGAGCATCAGTGGGGCCGGAGCCCAGACGCAGCTCGGGCTCACGGGTCAGCAACTTCTGCAGGATTGAGACGGAATCACGAGGCATGTGAATGGGGTAGAGGGGCTCATCTGCGAGAATGGCATCGTAGATTTCGTCCTCGTCTTCACCACGGAAGGGAGACTGTTGCAGGAGCATCTGGTAGATGAGGACACCAAATGCCCACCAATCCACAGCGCGACCATACTTCTTGTCCAGCAAAATCTGGGGCGTCTATGTTAGCATCTTGATTGCAGAATGATTTGTGGGTAACTACGAACCTCGGGAGCCATGAACTCAGGAGTACCACAGAAGGTACTAGTGGTGCAGCCGTACCACATGTTCTCCTTGCAAAGACCGTAATCACCAATCTTGATGTGGCCATCAAGGGTGAGCAAAATGTTGTCCAGCTTCAAATCACGGTAAATGACGCCATTCTCGTGGAAGTACTTGAGAGCCAGGCAGACCTCCGCAGCATAGAACCTAATTACGGAGAGTCAATATATCGTGCAGTAACGGAAATTTGACCGGGAAACACATACTGTGCCCGCTTCAATCCGAATTGACCACGCTGAATGTGAAGCATCAGATCACCACCACTGATATACTCCATAACAAAGTATACACGAGTCTCCGTTTGGAAACAAGCGTGCAGATTCAAGAGGAAAGGGTGTCGCTCCTTATTGGCAATCAAGAAGACACGCTTCTCAGATTTGGTGCTCTCCACCTCGTCGTTCTCGATGATGAACTCTTTCTTCAGCACCTTAATGGCATACAACTTCCGAGTGCTCTTTGTTTCAGCCAGCATGACCTTTCCGAAGTTACCCTTACCAAGCACGGCAAGGAAGTTAAAATGATCCAATCCAATACGAGCCTTGGACTGGACGACGGGTGATTCTGGCTCCTTGTGCGGCGGGGCTATCTGAGGTGGCATAGCCTGCACCTGTTGCTGGGGCGGGGGCATGGGGTAGGGAGCGGGCCCACTGGGCTTCTGAATCTGCTGAACCGGAGGCGGTTGCTGGAAGTTAACATAGGAGCCTGGGTCATAGTGGGCATGTGATGGAGGTTGTTGTGGCTGCACTGGAGGGCGAGCCGCTTCCGCTAAATCATCGACTCAGTCAAAAAATTTGTATCAAATGATAGGCGACGAGGAGACATACTTGGGGGTTGCACAGGGGTTCGTCCTGTCGCAACGGTCGCCGCAGCCTGTGCAGTAGACGCAGCGGGGGGCGTTTTCGGTGACAACGGTTGACGACCGGTTTGGATAGCAGCTATTGGTGACTGTGGAGTCATATAAGAGTTAGTCGCAGCGCTTACCGCTTCGGCTGAGGGCAGTCTAGGAAGCGCCCCGTAGGGGCCGTTGGTGGGTTTGTGGGGGTAGGAAAGGGCGGTATTGTCAGGAGGGGGTTGCGGCGGACCGCCTGGTCGAAGGGTACGACCGCTGAGACCAGAACTGACAGATGTAGATTTGTTGTGATGCTTTGCGCGAATCTGAGCGTCTATGATCTGGTTTGCGGCTTCCATCGACATGCCACAGAAATCAGGCACAAGATGTGTGCATTGAGCGTGGCAAGTAAGCGCACATTCTACGAAGCACAGATAAGAAATTAGTATGGGGTTTTGGATAACGGCGTTGGAAACAAGAATCATTAGCTTACCGGTACAACGCTTGGCATTCTTGCGTCCAAACGGCAGCAAGTAACCGCAGTGACAACACCAATTGGCAGAAAGGTTGGAGAAGCCTTCGAAACGATGGGGAATCCGATGGTTGATCTTTTCCTCGTCGGGATCGGTCTCGTAGTTTGCTTTGCTGATACACTTGGTAACAACCTTCGGGTAGCATTTACGATGGCAAGTATACTTGCAGTCTGCGCATTGCATACCCGCGGCGTACTTGAGGAAATCTCCACACAGCGCACAGCGCATGATGTTGTAGAACTGCTGGGTGACGAACTTGTGACCCTGCTTTTCGTGGACCTCTTCCTTCTTCTGCCGAACAGCACCCTGTCGATTGAGACCAATGTCGAATGGACGACGATCCTTCAGTTGCTTGGCTATATCAAGAATTAGCAAATCATTCAAGGGTTTCAAGTTTGCACTATCAATATCATACCGAAGCTCATCTGGAGTTGGATACGACCAAATGGCTCTAAAGCAAACCATGAATCAATCATCACTGTCGGAGGCGCATTCGGGTTGTCGCCATGTGGATTACCACCAGGAGGCGCCATTGTACCGAAGTTGGCACCACCCGGTCCACCATGTGAGGAGCCCTGAGATCCTGGGTGGTGATCAGATCGGGGAGTGCCCGACCCATCCATTTTGTCCGCCGAAACCCATCCGGAGGCATTTAGCTCAGTCTCGATCTTCTTGCGACGCATCTCCTCTGCGATATCGGAGATGCGCACCCAGAGCATGCCAATAGGTGTTGGGCGGTCTCCAGACTTGTCGTAAACAGTCAGTTCGATCTCATTTGCCTTATCAATATCAATAGAGAAAGATTCATCCAGCCATTTATCGTTTCGAGTAGCCTTTGTCCTGGCTTTGATTGCATCTTCCACCTTGACAATAACGAAAGTCTCGGGACCGCGGGAGAATCGTGAGCTGGTAGCATGGTCGACATCTTTGACGGCATGAATTCGCATCGTGAGAAGACCGGTCAAGGGCTTGCGCATGTTGGGGCTGCTAAGCGACTCATCTATACCAAGGGAAGCATAAAATTTGTTAGATCGGAGATCAGACCACGGCGAGAATTGATCCCTCTGACGCACCGTCTGCAGCATCGGAAGATTCGATGTCAACGTGAAGATCCTCATATCGCTTCAAGGCCTGCTTCAGCAACTGAATCTTCTGGTTACTTTCAACGCGACGGCCTTCGGCATCGGCGCGGCTCTTCCGATCACCCTCATCTTGGTACAGCCGGACCATCTTCTCGATACCCGCCTTGTATTGTTTCTCCACGCTCAGCTTGAATTCTAGTTGAGACAGCATGAGCTGAATCTTCGGGCCGAGATAGGGAGTGTCATATTTGATAAGATCTGAGACACATCATTTTCCAGTCAGCATTCCAATGTCGTCGGAGAGTTTCCCGCGAGCAGAAATTCCATAGCAAGACAGGGGAGGGGTAATGAGCGCACCGAGCTTTGTGTAATTTGGCCGCGCCTTGGGAATCGGAGCGTAGGGCCGGGGGTCAGAAAACGGGGCTCCCGCAGGCATCGACCCCGCGCCGCCCTGAGGATAAAGCGCATGGCCTTCACCACCCACGTAACCCGGAGAATCTTTTGGGGGAAGCGGTGGCCCTCCAGCTTGCTGGTGACGAGAGTCATGAGGGGAGCCGCCGCCTTCCCGCTCCATTTGACGAAGCTGCAGCTCTCGCATCTTCTCCTCGAGGTAGGCGATGTTCTTACGGCCATCGCGGATATTGGCATCGACCCGCTGTTGCACTAGGACATTGTCGGTGGACTGTCGCATGTTACTGGCGGCGGCGATGAGGGCCTTCTCCCGCTCGATCTTGCGGTAGACCGAGGCAATCAGCTCGTCGCCGTCCATGATGGGCGGAGGAGGGGGGGGGGGAGCCGAGCAAACAAATCCAAAGCGAAGGAAATGAAGAAATCTGGCTGAGAGGAAACTGCAAACCGTTAATTTGGGGTGTGGATGCGTGGATGTGTGGGTGTGTGGGGGGAAAGAGAAGGAGGTGGTTAGGGAGGTGGAGGAGATGGTCGATGGAGAGGGTTGGAACTTGGGTTGGAAGGGTGTCGCGGGGCTCGTTGTTGACACGGAGGGGGGAAACGGTAAGGATAATGCCACTTCGGAAAATGTACGAGTAAGACCAGCGCCCGATCACCCTAAACGATAATGGAATAATTCGGAATTATTTATTAGGAAGCGAGGTAATAAATCAAGTTAATTGGGTAATGCTTAGACAGTCAAATACTCTCTGGTTCTGGGGTTGAGGAAAAGGACTACAATAATGGAGCCCGTGACGACTTCCAGGCCCCGTCGCGATCCCAACAACCAGACAATGCACTTGTGGCGAGCCTTGGAGGACATCAACGGAGTATACTGAGAAAAGTACTACGAAGTACAGACGGCAACCAAAGTACCCGAGTACACGTGAGGCTATGCTGCCCGTTTACCCAAACCAGCATTCCGTCTGCTTCCTCCGTTTCTACTGCGAGAGACGAACCCAAAAAATTCACTGCTCTCGTTGCCCTTCTCCGATTGCTTCGCCTCAAAAAGTACAACCTAGCCGACCCAGCAGCTTTACACAGACCCAATGAAGCCAGGAAGTTCTCTAAGACAAAATCCACTCTATCAGTTCTCTGACTTACAATTGTAGATCCATTGCTCATCGATGACATCGGTCTCGTGCCTCAGGTGTCGGCCTGTCTCGGCGTTCCTGGAGGAGCCTATCAAGGTTGCAGAATTGTATTGACGGGATAACGAGGATCGGACAGAATTACGATAACTACGATAGTATGATTGGGCATTCTACTCCGGTCAAGACCTGGTCACCGCTGCCCCTCCCAAATTGATAGGTGTGCGACCGTGCTCGGCTCTGTTCTCCTTACTGCGTACATGGAGATCCATGAAGGGCTGAGTAGCGTGGCTATGTACAGTGTGCTCTTGTCTCTGCTCAGCTACGTCGCACACATTCTTCGACTACAATGGGTTTGCCACCTGGATGCCATCTTGGGTTATATGCTCATGGCGGATATCGGGTAAAATAGTGGGAAGGAGACGGATTTAAGGTTAGCCAGAACAGGGTCCAAAGTGGCGCCATCGTAACAACACTAATAATAGTCACTGGCACACAAAACAGGTAGTTAGTTCTGCCTTCAGAGCAAAGAATCACATAGAACTTCAAATTAGATGTAACCCTAAACGAGCTTGGCTAGACCCATTGTCGCCATTAAGAGACAAGCTTTAGACAGCCCAAACCTTGTGACGAGTCTTAAGCCCCTCCACTCTATAGAACCCGAGAAGTACATATATGCACGAGCACCTAACATGCCACTTAAGCCCGATAGAGAACAAAGGCTCAAGCCCTCCAAATCGGTCCAGATGCTCATGCACACAGCACGTACATTCCCAGCCCTAGCGCTGATAAGATCTCATCTCCAGTCAGCCGGACCCCGATCTGGGGCCCAGTCCAAATCAAAGGGGGTGTTGTACCCGTACGAGTTTACAGCACGTTCCGCCAACCGCCCATCTCCACAAAACTCTTACTCGGATCGCTTAGAAATTTTCGGCAAAAGAAGCCAACTAGTCGCCATCACTCCGTACAAGCCAATACAGATCGGATGTAGTACCATAGTCCCCACATTCTGGGCGAGTATTCCGGTAAAGAAGGGCGCGACTGCACCCCCACTGCTGCCAAGAGCACTAATGAAGCTGAGACTCGTGATGTGCATGTTCCGCGGGAGCAGCTGTGTGAACACGGCCGTAGCACTCGGGTACACGGGGCCTAGCAGTAGACCCAGGATTGCGACCGACACGGCCTCCCCGACCACATTCGGGATTAACCAGGTCATCAATTGGAAGGCCACGGCGCCTGCCACCATGATCACGACCGCGATCTTGTGACCCAGTTTGGCGGCAGGGTAGCCCAACAGGAATCGGCCGACAGTAATGCCCGCCCAAAAGCCTGCGCTGACATATCCAACCCGGGAGGGGTCGCCATGCCGGTAACTGATGAGGAAAGAGACAACCCAGCCAGAGGTGGAGACTTCGGCGCCTTGGTAGGCAAAGATGAAAAGGGCTCCGAGCAAGGTCGTGCGGTTGCGAATGGCCATTTTAACCAGCCGTTTCCTCGTCAAGGGCTCACTGTGGGCCGCCGGACGTGATGCCGTTGGCTGTAGAAACTCGGCAGGAGGATCATTCTCAAAGTCCAAGAATGCCCACCAGGAAAAGCCAAGATTGATCAGAGAAATAGCCAACGAGACGGTATAGAACAGCGACCAGCGGATCCCACTTGACACCATTGCAGTTGCGAACAATGGTGCTACCGTAGCTCCAAGACCATAAGAGCCATGAGAGCAGCTCAAAGCCGTAATGGAATTCGGCAAGTTGGCACAGTATACATTGCCCAGGGCCAAGCTGAGTGCCATGCCGAACCCAAGCAAAAAGAAACATGCTACGACGACGGGAAACGGCGGTTGGAAGATGATGATCACATAGCTGCCTACCAGGAGCGACATGGCGAACGCATAGCTTTTGGACCGGCCCAGCTTGCTCTCGATGGCATGTGTAACTGGTGCTGCAGAGATGAAGCCCAATGCATTAGTAACGAAGATTAGCGAGACCACTGCGTATCCGATGCCGTAGTGTTTCTCAATATACGGAATCAGCGCACCGGGGGCACTGTCGTTCATGCCATTGCCGAAATAGACCAGACAGCAACTCAACAGTCGCCATTTGGTCTTCCACGACGTGACCGTGCGATCTGCAGCCCATTCCGTGACATCATTCGCGGGTGGAGTTGACAGGCGATTTTCCAATAGGCTGGGTGTAGGCGGGGGCGTTGAGAGACCACTTGTGGTGGGTTTCATGGGCTTGGGAGCCACTTTTGAGGTCTGTTGGAGCCGGATCTCATTTAATTCGTGAGTTGATGGACGAGCATCCTGTTTATAATTTTGCGCTGCGGCGGGCGGGCTCGAGATTTGAGAAGAGCTGTTGAAGTCGATAAAAGCTCCCAGCCTTGAAGAGGCCATACTGGCAAATGGGCGGCTTGTAACGGCCTCTAAATGTCCTATCTGCGATCTGTAGAGACTTGGGCGGGTAGGATAAATGATTGAGAAACTTAAAATGAAAGGCTAGATGGAGAAATTGGGGAAGAAGGAAAGCCAGCTTAAAGAGGTCCGTTAGTAGGTATGGCCAAGGTCTCTAGTTGCATTTATAAGCGTCACATCTAATCGGTAGTTGACCGCGGGCGACTTCCGTAGGTGACCAAGATCTGGCACTAGCCATTGAGTAGTTGTAACCTAATCAAAACATTCAAGGCCTTTTTCTTCAGTGGTCCTCCTCAAGGAAAGGAAATCTTATGGTTAAGGTTAATTGATTGAGCGTTGATTGGATGGATATCGTGTTCAGGCGTCCTGCTAAGAGACTTTGTGCATATTTCCGTTTTCATCAAGTATTTCCTAGCATGAGCACGGCCATACTTCCTTTAAACACATCGATACTACTGATACTAATGAACCCATTGATAGGTACGGAGTAGGAATAGAATCTCTCACCGCCATGGCAGTTTGAGGATAGACTAGGGGGTGCCCCGCCGATAAGGAAAATTATTCTCCCACAATCATCAACAAGTTGACAATCCCACCTGCGCTTCAAAACGGTTTTTAAAGCTCAATTGCACTTTGACTACACTGAAATCTAGCACCTCACCCTCGAAATGGCTCCCCCTCGCCGAAAGGTCCTGGCTACGGCCGAAGGAACGATGTTTCCACCGGACGAGCTATCTAGCACCCAACAAATTGTCCGAGCAATCAAGGCCACCGGAAATAACATTTACCTGATTGAACAAGCCGACAAGACTCAAATGCTCGTCGAGTTGCCTGCCCGGTTCCGGTCAACCTTTTGGATCAAACGTGGATCATATGTTGTCATTGATACCCAGGCACAGGAGGAGCGGGATAATAAGATTGGCGGGGAGATCATCAACATTGTTCGTGATGAGAAAGCGTGGAGGAAAGCTTCTTTCTGGTAAGTTCAAAGTTGATCTAGATCTAATTCCATCAGTGGCTAATAGGCATACTTTTTGCAGGCCAAAGGAATTCGTCAAGCAGCCCGTGGCTGTTGCCGACTCCGACTCCGAGGAGGAAGAATCTCGAGTTGGAATGATGCCGTCGTCTGATGAATCCGATGCATGAAAAATCCGACTATTTACATATGAAGTGAACACCCTATTCGGTTTTCATTTAGCGCCCGCCTTCTTTCGCCCCCCAGCCCTGCTGAGCCTGCTGTCCACCTCGCCCAGCCCGTTGACGAGCACACCGAGCACTTGCAGGACGAGCGACAAGACCACTACCAGGGAACTAGCGCTGGTGCTGGGATAGACGTTCCACGCCCACTCCTGCAGGGCCCAAGCGATATAGATCAGAATTGGATGGAGGCCTACACGCCACAGGAGGAACGGGGTGGCCCATGCCAGATATGCAAAGAACTGGTAATGCAATGATCTGGCACACAGCAAGCCAATAGCTAGCGAGCTCAGCAATACGGTCATGATGAATGACCTCGAGAGTGCCACTCGTGGCTGGTGGCCCTGTATGCTGCCCAAAAGGAAGCGGACCACGTTCGTCCCGGATGGCTTCACCCATACAGTCGAGAAGATAGCCATCAATGAAATGTGCAAGGCTAGCAAACCCAAAGAGAATTCTCTCGAGAGAAAAGTTTCTTCACCCACAAATCGCCAGTTCACCGTCCATTTGAACATGAATTGCCGGGATAGTTCAAAGGCTTTGGAAAGGTAGCCTACTGGGTTTTCCTGGAGGAATGGGATTGCAAGCAATACCTGTAGTGATGTAAGTAGCTAGTCTGGAGAATCTCCTCGAGCCGGGTATATTTAAGCAACCCACCTGAATGAGGACAGCCATGGCACCAAGGACGATGCTTTGGACCAACCCCAAGCTCAACAGAGTGATAATCGCAATTCCTGGCACGAGCAGGACCAATGTCATTTTGACACCGACACCCAAAGACCAGATCGCAATACCGGCGGTCCATTTCTGTTTCATACACAAGTAAATAGCCACCCACATAGCGAACGCCGCAATACCATCATTGAACAAGCGTAGCATGAAGATGCTATGAAGCCGCTTAGATAGAACTAGTAGCGGATAAAGGTACGGAGGAACCTCAACCTGTCTATAACAGGCCATGACAACGATCAAGGTAGCAAGGTAAAGGCCTGCGAAGAGGATCTGCCCGAGGAGGATATCCCGTCCTCCATCGGTCAGGTTGTGGAGCAAGGTGTAGATGTAGACATGTGCGGCGGGGTAGACCAGAGGTCCGGTCGAGCCCTTGATCGCAGTATAGTCTCGTTTACCGGCTATATAGAGAGATACTTGCTGCATATAGGTGGACCAGTCAATCTCGGTGTCTGTGGTGGTATGTTAGTGACCTAGCTTCGTCTAATCTTGGGCCCGTACGCGCGCCGCGCAGACTCACAGGAGATCATCCAGATGACCAGCGCGCATAGAGCCGCATCGCCCAGGAAGAGCAAAGCCAGGATCCATGGCGTGTGCTTTGGGTGTGTTAGCGCGGTGCGTATGAATTTGATCCAAGGATTGGACATTGCGGCGCAAGTTGGGGTGCAGTTGGGGGGATGTTCAATGTGGCCCGAGGGTGAAAGCGGGTTTGATCTCCACGGGGTACTAGGCCGACAGCTCTCCTGGGGTCAAGCTTACGCGGTCATTCTACGGGTTTCAACAAACTCTAGTGTGGAATCGCAGGAACATCGAATATTTTGACATTGAGTCTAAGAGTAAATTCTGTTTGTACAATTTTTTTTATACATGTACAATATAGGCTTTTGAGCTTTAAGCTCAACACCTTCAACCCCGGCTATCCGAGGGCGATCTTACACAACCACAATATCCCAACCCAACCCCCCGCGGCCTTGCAGCCGATTCCATGGTATCATTAGACAGTAAAAGAAACATATGACGCAAAAGATGACAAGATGTAGAACAGCTCAGAAATAATGCGCAGAGCCGATTCCCGAGACACTACTGGTTTCCATCGGCGGCCTCGGTCTGAGAGGACTGCGTCCCACGCGCATTGCGGAATCCAAGCAATTCCCCAAGTACACCCTTCGGCTTTGGTACAGGGCACTCATGTCCGACTCGTGCCAGCTTCTCCGCTTCCTCCTCCATCTGGAAGAATGTAGACACTTCCTCGTCCAGGGCGCCGGGTGGTGTTGGATAGTCGGGACGAGCGGACTCAGACTCCAGCTCGACATCCTTCCGCCGACGCCGCCGGATACGCGGTACTTGTTGCCCGTCGGCTGTGATTGTCATCTCCGAATCGGCAAAGGTGCGTCGCGGGGCTGGGCAGGGGAAGAGGTGTGGCATGCCGACCACGACGAGCGACGCGAGGAGGGTGCCGGCGAAAAGGGTGCTCGTTGATCGAGACTTGGGATGGAGATGTGGCGGCATTGGAAAAGATGTGACCCGTTTAAGGAAGAGACGAGGTTGCGAGCGAATGAACGTGGCCAACTGCTTGGACTTTTTTTTCGGCTCAGGCCATCGGAGGGCCTCGGGGGGGATGGACTGTTCGGCTGGCCCAGGGCGTGATGAAGGGCGTAGGACTCGACAGGAAGGTCAATTAGGTCAAGATCAACCAAATACTTCCAATTCGATGACCTGACAACGTCGAAACAGTGATTGCGGGGCGGACGAGGGACTCAATGGAAGGACGACGAGAGTTGCGAAGGCTCTGGTGGACATCCGATCTTATCTGCCGCCCGCGTGATTGGCCGCTCGTCGCGCAGAGTCAGAAACGGACCTTCTTGACCCGATCGTTCGTCCTCGTCTCTTACGTCGGCGCGACAATGAGTCTGCATTTTTCGCGGGAAGGAGACTGATCTTATTCTGGATAATTTGATTTCTGTTTCCCACGAGGGGAAACCCTCTCAAATTCCTCGCACTCCTCATCTCCTCCTCTTTATCTGACACCTCTTCCTCACCTCCCCTCCCTCCTACTCAACAAGATGAGCGACCTAGACCGGTACGACGCGTTTGCCGCTTCCGTAACTACACAACCTATTCTAACTGCTGCTTCTCACACAGAGCGATCGAGCAGCTGCGGGCCTGCCGCCTGATCCCCGAATCCCAGGTCCGCGAGCTGTGCTACAAAGCGCGCGAGCTCTTAATCGAAGAGGGCAACGTCGTCTCCGTCGATGCGCCGGTCACCATCTGCGGCGACATCCATGGCCAATTCCACGATCTAATGGAATTGTTTCGCGTGGGTGGTGACGTTCCCGACACTAATTACCTATTCATGGGCGACTTTGTCGACCGCGGGTTCTATTCGCTCGAGTCCTTCCTCCTCCTCCTCTGCCTCAAAGTGCGCTATCCCGATCGTATCACCCTTATTCGCGGAAACCATGAGTCGCGTCAGATCACTACCGTATACGGTTTCTACGATGAGTGTATTCGCAAGTACGGCAGTGCCAACGTCTGGCGATACTGTTGCGAAGTGTTCGACTACCTGGCGCTTGGCGCTATCGTCCTCGGCGCTAGCTCTGAACTGGAGCCCACCTCATCGGGTGCCGGTGATATGACACAGTCTACGATGCCCGTTGATGACGGCGAGCTGGAGACGGAGGTGTTAAATTCGCGCGGAGAAGTCACAATGAGTACATACCGCCCGCGACAGCGCTCCTCCTCAGATGCATCCACAGACTCGCGGAATATCTCACCCCCACGCGATATATCTGCCGCGCCAGGCCAGACGGCGGCTCCAACTCGCACCGGCGCTCCCGGAACGGGCGCCAGTGGAGACGGTAACGGCAGTGCGACGACCAGTCGTACGGGTGCCGTGCTCTGTGTCCACGGCGGCTTGTCACCCCTGATCGACTCTGTTGATAAGATCCGGCTGATCGATCGGAAACAAGAAGTGCCCCATGAAGGTGCCATGTGTGATCTTCTCTGGTCAGACCCCGACGAGATCGAGGGATGGGGATTGAGCCCTCGTGGTGCCGGGTTCTTGTTTGGTGGGGACATCGTCAAGCAGTTCAATCATCTCAATGGCCTATCTCTTGTGGCACGTGCCCACCAGCTTGTCATGGAGGGATACAAGGAGATGTTCGACGGTGGTATTGTCACGGTGTGGTCTGCACCGAACTACTGTTATCGCTGTGGTAATGTGGCCGCCATCCTGGAGCTGGGCGAAGATGCCAGTAATGGGGGCACCGTTGCTCGCAGCAACGGAGAATACGGACGAAGCAACGGCGTTGTGGGCGCGAATGGTGCCGCCAACACTGTTGTCAGTCCTGGGAGGAGATACCGCGTTTTCGAGGCCGCAGCGCAGGATACTAGGGGTATGCCTGCCAAGAAGCCCGTGGCTGATTACTTCCTGGTGAGATTGATCAATTCGCAGAATAAGAAACTCGAGCTAATTTTTTTTTCACAGTGATACCAATATCTGCATTCTCTTGCCCCTCGTATATACGGTTCTCACCAGCTTTTCGATTCCTTTAGCATCTTGTGCCTTGGTGTTTTATGTCTTTGTTGCAACCTTAATGATCATTCATGACGGATACTTGACTCTTAGAAATTCAGAGTATTTCTTTTCTACTTGGCCTGTTTTCTGTGAACTTGGTTCTATCGACACGTAAGTCATATAAACCTCACCAACGCGACAAAAGAATATCACCCCCCGAGATGTACCTTAACCACGACGACAAGCCTCCCAATTTCTGGTATCATAGAAAAGAAAATAAATCACCAACAGTAGTACAATACAACCACACAAGTGAACAGGGAAAAAAAATGAAACATCCCGGTACTCGAATGAAGCTTAAAAACCAGTGTATATCAAAAGCCAAAAAAAAATTTCAGGAAAGAGATCATAGCTCACTTCCATGGCTCGTCGTAGCCGGACGGGGCATTCTCCGGCACGGGTCTGATATTAGGCATTCCCACTGTGACCGGTGGTTGACGACCCGAAACCGACGAAGAACTCGGTTGCTGAGCCATTGCCATGGCATACGCATGATTACCCTCATACTGCAAGGCAGGCGTGGGCGCCGAAATTTCAGGACTCCAGGGTCCAGACCAATTCTCCACACCGATTGCGTTGTGCGACCACCAATCCTGGCTTTCCTCGACAAGGTGCTCTGTACCATCGAATTCAGAGACGGTAGGGTTTGTGCGGTGGGTGGTATTCTGCGGTCCTAGGAGGGGCCCTGAGGCGTCGTACCAGCCGGGCTGGTTTTGAGGGACGGTTGATGGGCCTGCAGAGGCGAGATTCGGTATCTGGTAAAGAGGCCGGAGGTATGTTGGTTCTGGTGGCGGGAATTCTGAACGCTGGGCTAGGGCGCTCGGTATGCCGCGTGCTGCTGGCATTGCTGACATAGCGGCGGGAAGGGTGGCAGCTGGATTCATTGATGGGGCTACCATGCTGATGGGAGGGTTGGTTGGGATGGTCTCCGTGGGGGCCGCGAGCGGAACCTGGTTGTTGAATGGGGATGTTGAGTATCGGCTCGGACTGGTCACCGATGATTGGAGATTGCCGTGGGTCAAGTGAGAATCATCGGATGTAGAGGGCGAAGCTACTTGGTCCCATGATCCCCACGAGCCCCATTTAATATGAGTTCGCTCAAAGATAGTGGTTGCCTCTGGCGGCAGCTCGACCTGCCACTTGCTGGCTGATATGTCAAGGATGCGCAACGTACGACGGGCGCATAGCCATCCCTCGGCCATTTCTTCGAGGTTCCGTAGACCATGAATAATATCTCGTTGGGCATTCTTCTCCGGCAGGTTGAGAAGATGAATGGTGCAGGCCGTGTGAGCAATGTAAACGACAATGTTGACAATTTGTTTCAATCCGTATGTGCGTTTATACATTCTCATCAACTTTGAGATGGCCGAGGCAGCCTGGGTGCAGATTTTGCGTGGTGAAACGTGGGATGGAAGGGGAGTATTGGTGCGGGTATATTTCAAGAAGGGTCGATAGAGATGGATGAGAAGAAGTTGGTTGAACATGCTGTCATATCGTTAGGAATACTGGCAAAAGATATCTACCTCCAATGTGGGTTCACTTACTGCATGACAAGAACTTGAGGCAATTGACCTTCTTTCGGATCCAGTTCCTTTGGAAGCTCTTTTCTCCAGGCCTCAAGTCGAGTGTGGACATCACTCAGTCTCTTCAGCTCCAATTGCTTCTGGTGAGTCTTCTCCAGCTCAGCAGGATGGTAAAAGAACACTAGCAGATCACTGCTGATTTCACACAGTTTCGAGATCTGAAACGCTACTGTCCTTGTCCTAGATGGTTGTGTGTGATCATGACCCACGCCGACATCCGTATAGGGAGACCAAATTTCGGTCTCTTCCCTTGGTAGCACCTCAAATTTGGAGACATTCGTGTTGGAGGAGGATAGTTGAGGCTGCCGACCAAGGTAATTAGACCAACACCTGTCAATTGTTAGGGACTGATATGTGATAAAGGGGCCTTCGGGAGTACCTACTTGTCGACGAGGTGGCAGCCCCAGAAGGTGATTCGTCGAGCATCAACTTCTTCCTCACTGAGGGCGTGTGAGCCCATATTCTTCGCGTCAACATTCAATCCCAGATCGAAAGCCATACGGAAGCTCAGACCACTATAGACCCAGCCTTTGCCCTCTCGGCCACATCCAGCCTCACGGACAGACATAAGGGCAAAGGCTTGGACGGTGCAAAGCTTGGCATTCTCATGCTCATCATTTTCCAAGATCAAGCGCTTCGCTTCTTTGAAGAAATGATTTCCCGCCGTATTTAAGTTCAGCGGGTCTGCGAATGCGCCTCTCCAAGAGCTGAAGTGACAACCAAGTGCTAGCATGGCGTTGACCAGTAGCGCTGAGCAGTATGGGCTAGAGACGCCCCTAATGTAATCCCGGTAGAACAAGTCTTTAGCGAGAAGGGTGAAGAATGGATAGTGCCATGTGAAGTACATGGTTAGTAGATGGCTTATCAAGGAGTCATCTTCCGTAACCCGAGTCCATCGTCGGACCGGCTCTGTATTAATGAGAGCAGGTGGTTCGTTTGTCGACACAGACTCGTGTATTTCCGAGCCTGGCGGAAGGAAGATGAGATTGGACGTGCCGCCGATGAACTTGCGCGAACCATCCAGTACGAGTTCGCTCATTTTACCTGATAGCTCAGATTCGAACTGATCGACCCTGGCAGATTGATCCTCGTCTGACTCTCTGGCGGTATCCGCTGTTACGGCAGCAAGTAGGCCGTTCTCTCGAGCAATGACGGATTTGGCAACGTCTTCCAGATCATCGCAGGAGCGAATCTGGCGGACCAAATCGAAAGCATCGTCTTCTTCATAATTCAGTAATGCTTGAATTAAGGTTTGTAGTGTTGTGTGTCGAGTGCGAAGCGAATCCGCATCTTTCTTGTATACTCCTTTACGTCGATGGTCGGAGTTTGGGTCATACACACCTGAAAGAAACGGTTAATCGTGGCTTGAATCAAAAAAAAGTTCATCAAGATATACAGACATGGTGTATGATAGACTGAAGAACATGCTGCACAGCTGGGCAGATTGCCATCACACTAGTGAGACTTATTAAAAACTCCGCTCACATTCAGGCTTCCTAACGTGGCAAAGGGGGGAGGGCTTACCTTGGACTTTCTCCGACGACAAGCTATGCAAGCAGTACTCACACAGCGCCGTTTGGGCGTGCCTCGCTCTGCAGACATGAGATTCGACTCCTGCGATAGGTGGGATTCGGAATATCGTTGATGGTGCTTTCTCCGCGGACGATCGCTCCACGTCTTTAGCCTCGTGTCAACCGGTCAATGGTCCAGATTTTAGAGACCTTGAGACATAGTCTGTCCATTATTCAAATCCCGGAGATAAGTCAAGATAGGCAGGGGTTTTCACGACCAGGAAGGATATTGATGGGAGGAGGAGTCGATAGTGATAAGTGGCCACACGCGATAGTTGATTACGAGATATAGAAGGCGTTAGTTCCTCCCGGCGAGACGAGCTCCGAGCTAATCGGTCATGCTGTGGAAGCGACCAAATCCGTTCTCCCTGACGCCAACCTCGAGAGCTCCAGCTGTCCGTGCTGCAAGTCTATACACGCCGCAAGCAGCAAAAAGTGGGTAGGAAATTCAGAACCCCGCGGGACACCCCACACGGGAGGCGGGGAGAGCTTTTGGGGGGATGCGATGGCACCGAATTTCTCAAGAATGCCGAGTGATAGCGATGACAATATACCAGAGATGATTGGATCCAGCAGGCAGACTGCAGATGGGGGTTTATCGCCGGCTTCTGTCTGGCTGCTTTCTACTGAAACTCATCGAACGGAGTTGACGGCTGATAGCTGACTCAGCGATTAACTAAGTTAAAACCTAGCTCACGTGTGACTATCACATGATGGCTTAGTATACGGTTAAGAAATCTGGGCCAGTGTAGTTAATGACTATAAAGTAGCAACGAGAGTAAATACTCTATTCAGAGTATAGTTTGCAGCAGAAAAGCCAAGGCAGATCATCTCCGTGTAGTTTAAAACATTGTCCGGCGCCCTAATGACTCATCTTCCTACAGATTGGCAAAGGGGCTTGAGAGAGATACAGTATGTGCCCCACCGACTGGATTCACCCGCAGTAAGCGTCGCCCGCAACACATCGAGTTTCACCGCCAAACGCGCATGTTGTTATTGTGGTTTGGAAAGAAAGCAGGTAACGAAAGATTCAGGCCCAACGATGTTCTCACATTACCAGCCACAAAGCAAAAGCAATACTGTACTCCAATAATAGGGGAACACAATAAGTCATACGGATAATATCATTGTTACTGGGCGAGACTGCTACCACCCCTAGATTTCCCGCGCGCACCCCTTTGGGCTTTAGATTCCTGCCTAGCATAACATTACATAGTATGCTATCTGGTAGCCACCACCCTCTTCCCTGCACAATACTATATTCTGGAGCTTGATGGGAAGTCCAGAATCTCGACCAAGCATCAAAATTATCTTATCGGTCAAACATTGAAAGATAGATTAGTTGGTTAATTACCTTCTTAGATCGAGAGATATTATGTGGGCTATCCGAATAGATACATACTTGTACTCCCTCTGACCGACCGCCAGGCAGAGATTTAAGGGCCCCGGGACGCGCGAGAAATCTACAAAGGGGTGGCAGCAGCCTTACCCTTATTATTGTGTGTTATACACCGCAAAGTGTGTTGTTCGCTTAGGCTGCTCCACAGGCCACGTCGGTCATTCTTCGTCTGGACATTTTGAGACTTCTGCAGCCACCCGCGACCCGACTGGTTCATGCGATCGCCGCAAGGCCGGCGACTCCCGAAATGTGTTTTGATGGTCGTGTTCCAAGGGGCTCAGTTCGGATTGGAATTTCATAACAATTGCGAGAAGAATTGCATGACTATGTTTATTTACTTGCTTGTGTGAATCCCCCTTATATCAGCTCTACTATTCTGATTTCCCGTTAATTGTTTTGTCACCAATGAGCGTGGCGGTGTATGGCAATCTGGTCAATCTGCAGGCACCACACTACAGTACTGTAAACCCAACCTTAAACGGCCCACCCGGCGGAGTCTGGCGGATCCCCAGCACGCGGACTAGGAGGGGTCTTGGTAAGATAATTTGTGTAATAGGATTCATCCGGTGGATTAAAGATTGCCGAGACGATCTGAGCGACCACTTCTAAAAACGTACTAGATATACATACACAAATAATATTTCATTTTACAGAGTAGGGCTCTCTTCAAATTCCAAGACCAGAAAGAGAGATCGTATTAGACATGTCATAAGACGAACGTGACCCGTTCCAAAGTCAAGTATGGAAACGAGATACCACATAAAAAAGAATCCAATCCACGGCCCTTACAATATTAATGTACTTCATACTTACTCCGTACTAACCTGCAGTAGATTATGCACTCCGTACTTTCGCGAGGGAAAAAAAAAAGGAGAAAAACGGATCCATCAGGGCATTCGACGGCTCCACCGGCCGAACATTCTACCCCGACGGAACAAAACAGAAGAGATGACAGAAACGGCACGAATACCACCTTAAAACTGGCGCTAGACCTAGATAAGGCAGACCGATCCATCCTTCTCTCTGTATTTAACTAGTACGGAGGTCCTTTACAGACAAAGGGACTTGTTACGGCCCAAGCCGGGGATAACTATCGAAGGAGGAAGGACGAATTAATAATGAAGATACCACAATTTACCCCCAATGATACCGGAGGCCGGAACCCGGCATGTTATTGTCGTCCGCCTAAGAGACGCAGGGCCCCAGGCCCAATCCCACAGAATCCCACAATGTCAGCCACCAAGGAGTCCCCATAATTACCGTCACACGCGTACCTGCCCAATACAGTACATCCTTGCCATCCTTACGGAGCACTTCCGTCCTGCTCTTATCATCCGTCACCCGCTGAGATCACCACTTTCTTATCTTTCCCTCCCTTCCCACTCGCCCTGCTTCAACCTTCCCTTTTCTCCTCACTACTTCTTCGAGTCCTTCTATCGGTTTTCTCTCGCCATATATACTCCCAATCCTTTCATACACCCCAACACCATCACATACCTCGCCCACCTACTTGGACGCACACTCCTCCTTCCTCCCACCAACACCAGTCCACTCACTTCGGCTACTGGTGTATCTCCCGACATCTACGCCGGGAGACACCCACAAGAATCATTCCTCCTACCCATGTATCTCGCCCAGACGCTCGATCAGAGTGCCTCCTCCGGCCACGGCTACGCAGCAAAATACTAGACTGGCATGATACGTTAAGATGATGGTCCCGAGAGCCTTTCTCTTTACTTCTGCGCCACCACAGAAAGCGATGCAGCCTTATGGCCTGAAAGACCACCCTTTATCCTTCGGCTCCGATCACCTCGACCGTCCTCCAACTCAACATGTGGAGATGACCTATTCGGCCATGACCACTCCTGTGGTCATCCCACCAAAACGTGGCTCACGTACCCCGATGCATCGAGAAGCGCGGTCCCGTACCCCTTCCAAACCGTCGGCCTCGTCTCGCAGATCCTCCTCGTCTTCTTCTAATGATCGTCCTTTACCACCGTCGGTTGCCTCCATGTTGGATGCAACGGCGATCCCTGTGCCACGCCGGTCGTGGTCCACTCGGAGGCCCCGCAAACTCCCGCGAGGGAACCATGTGGAAGAGTTCAGCCGCATCATGCAGGAAGGACTGAAGTCCAAGGAAGATTACCTGATGGGAGGTACGGGCAACTCACCCTTGGATATTCTGTTGAGCCCACCGGACGAAGAGAACGAGAAGTATTCAACCGGCCCCGAGTCGGAGATGGAATCCCCGTTCTCTGTGCGCTCGGTATCAAGCGACTCGATGCCATCTTTGGAGCCCGATCTGGGCTCTCCTCTGAGTTCACCTCAACCGCCCACCCCCGGCAGTCACAAGAGTTCGTCCGAGAGACGGCCGTTGCGATATTCACCTGCCGAAGACTGCGCTCTTGATCACCCTCTACTCGAAACAGATATGGATGATTGTGAGATTGTCATATTGGAGAGTCATCATGAACCGATTATGAATGATACAGTCTCGTTAAAGCACACTGCATCCTCGCGATCATTCCCAAGTTTAAGATCATCCTTCAAGTCGAACCTCACAGCCTCCCTCCGAGCCATCAAATCTGCCGCTCAGTCGGTTTCAACCTTTACCACTCCTTCTGTCCAACCGGAAGACTTCCTCACACGGTCTTTGTTCACCATCACTCCTGAAATGACCGATGACCGCCGTCCAGCGCCAATGCAAGAGCCCCCATCTCCAGCTCTGCGACGGTACTTAAATCCCACCCCCATCTCTCCTGCCGAGATGTGCGTCTATCACGATCACCCTCACGATAGATCCGACCCAAACAGTACCTGTGCTGTCTCGATTCAAATGCAAACCTACCGCCGCTCCCGAGGCCGGGGTAACCGGCGCAGCCACTTCCACGTTGTTGCACCCAAGAACCGCGATCAATATCATACGTTCGATCCGGAGGTACCACCAATGTCACGTCAGCGTGAACCTCGCGAGAACTGCGATTTCCTCCGTATGGTCGTTCTCGAGATGAACATGCGTCGTAGTGGCAAGCTCCGTGAGGATATTCCCACACGGGCGCGCATCATGCTCCCTCCTCGTAAGAGTAATCCCTATCGTTTGACTGGGGACTACGAGTATGGTGATGATAACGACGCCGTGCCGGCCCGGTGGGTAGGCATCTTGGCTTGAACCGTCACCCCTTCAGATAACAATTACAACCCTTGGAGAAGCCCAAGGCTGCGCCGGGCGCAGCCGCTCTCTGTACATGCACTTGACATTTTTCCCTCTTTCTTGCACCAGCGCGGCGTTGGATCCGGATACAAGTGTTAGCCGACACCATTTCCTTTCTCATTTCTTGTGACATACCCTTTTTTCGAAATCTTTGACGGCCTTGAGCCTTGCTATTTTCTATAAACCCCTAAATATTTCTAAAATCACAAAAACATCCAAAATCTCTCGGTTCTTTTTTTGCCTCATTGGCCTGGTAACGGTAATACTGTGTTCGCTCTCGAGCCGCCCTAGTGCTGCATCGTGATATCATCCCCCGCAGCCCCTCGGTCAGCCTTAATTTCCGCATGAGCAATTCGCCTGCCCCCGTCATTGGGTTCTATTATTCTCCGTGGCGTTTTTAAACCAGTAGGCGCCGTGTTAGTGTGATAAGTGAATATGATATGGCTCGATCAAGGCATTCTGGTATTCTAGTAATGGAATTGGTAGGGATTTCCTACGGATGACGATGTCGTTTTGCAACTAAAACATGAGCCGCTCTGGATCGTTCTGGTCTCTCCTTTTTGTCTCATTTTCCTTAATGACGTGTGTGTGAGTCTGTGGTGTTGTGTCATATTGGTACGTAGGGTGATGACCTAGTTCTTGCGTTCTTCTGGGACGGAGGATCAGTCCTCTGCGCTATCGGAGGTATTATCCTGACACGATGAAGGCTTACAAACAAAATCTAGAAATCTAAATTCAGATACGAAATACCAACGTAGAGAAACTTCAGTTTCCCCTCATTTAAGAGGTCTCTCCAGAGAGTTCTCAGACATCTTGTGGAACAGCCACGCATCGTGTCTCAGTTGATACTATGGGACGCTTAGGTGAGATTCTCACTGGAAGAGGTCAGGTATATGTCTACTTCAACTACTTAATGGCGACTTAGAGTCCTTAAGTGTATCACGTGGTCATTTACTTGATCTAAGTAGGTGTCTGATCGATGATTGAACAATTCCTTCGGCTTGTATTCTTCCACTTATTGGAAATGAGACACACCACTCTAACACAAAGTCTAGTAATGTTTGGCGGGCTGCTGGCATGTCATCGCGGTACCTGGAATCCTGTAGGTTCAGAGTTAGCAGCAGGGCCAAAACAAAAGTTATCAGTATGAGGAAAACCTACGCTCTTCATCCAACAAGGTTCCATGCTTCCAACTCTCTTCTATCCAGTCCAAACCTACAAGACGAGGAATCTTCTTCCGTGTACCAGCAGCCACAGTCTTTCTCAACGAGCTAATCTCCGCCGAGGTAATCTTCTCCGTATTGACAATGACATGAGTGACACTAGAACTCTTCAACGAAGTAACGGTACTGGCTCCTCCAAACTGTGCCGTATTGCGTGCAAGAGTCAGACGTATATCTTCCGTCTTAGGGATTGATGAATCTGAATCACTGCATCCCTCGCCGTTGACAGGGTTGCTCGAAGGGAAGAAAAATGTGAGACCGCGGAAGAGCCAACCACACGGTGCGGTATAGCCTGAGTTGATCTTGTCTTGAACATGAGTCTCGATCTTGTGGATTGAGTGAGGATCAAGAGGTCTGTGTGTTTGTTTTTGTTCCTCTGTTTCCTGCATTTGGTCAAGGATCTGCCGCGAGGGAGTTAGCAGATATCAAGGATAGGGTAGAGCTCTGAATGAGACATACTTCTTTTAGTTCATCAATCGTCGTGTCGCGAGCATAGCTGTCCATGAATCGGTCGACATTCAGCTTAATGTCTTCGTCCTGATCTTCCAAGGTAAAAAACATGTGTCTGTAGTAGTTCGTCAACATTAGACGCGTTCCATGGAGTTCTGAAGAACCATCAAGGATTACCTTGGCTCGAAAGGTAACAGTAGGTCTGGCAGGCCGGCATCTTTTTCATTTTGTTTGACGCAGTCAATCAGCCAGGATGCGCGAACAATGTTAGTCTGCCCGCTCTTCTGTACCGATGCTACTTTGACAGTTCCTGTATAGGATTAGTATGGTCTCGTTTTCAGATCTGGTATCGATCGGCGACACTTACTGCGATCAGCGATACAAATAGTGTCTTGGACGGCAGTATTTGTCTGATAGATCTTGCCACCGTTGGCCTTGACAAGTTGTTCAAGCTCGGCTTTTGTCTTCTTCTCCGGAACGGTCGATTCTGTCATGATAACTATATCGACCCTGTTAGCAGATGAACCCGTCCACGAGAGGGCACGGCAGACGAACAGAAGTTGAGATGATCAAATATATGACCTGAAGGTCCAAAGTATTGCGCATTTTCTTTCTCATCATATCCCGCAATATTCAGAGGTTTCTTCACAACTCTCTTCGGACGCTTCTGCTTGCGGGAATTGTCTACCGAAAACTCCTTTTCACGGTGTTCCTGTTCGGCGTTCGACTTGAGGTCCAAAAATTCCTGAATTGACAAGGCACTCTTCCAATTCTTGTCTTTACGCAATTTCTTGAAGCGTGGGAAGCGGAGTGTCAATCCCATGCGAAACTGATCACTCACAGATACGGAGGCTGCCTTGACACAAAGCACGATCGAGTCTGACGGTTTGATCCACATGTCAGGTCTTTCATACTGGGCATCTCCGCCCGCAAGTTCGATGAGGTTAGTAGGGGGCTTCTTGGGGTCCCATTCATTCCACTTGCCATCTGTATGGTGACGCACTTCCTGATAGTCGGCGGCAGTAAAGCCGCCGCCAACTTTACAGAATGACCAGCACTTCATTGGGTCTGCGCCCTGTGAAGCATTCTGGTCGTCGACGCGAAGACCGCACAAAAAGCTTGATAGGTTACCTCCTCGATGACCGGAGCCATAGTATCCGCCGATGACCACTAGGTCGAGGGATTCACCGAACTCGGTCATGTATTCTGGCTTGACTTTCATCCAGTCATCGTGACGCTCGTTCAACCGGTAAGGCGAGCGAGGGTTCTTCAATACTAGACCCTCCGAGGCCTCGGCCACAACTGTTCGCAGACATTTCTCGATATCTGCTACAGTTGTAGCTTCGTGGTATTCCAGGATCTCAAAACGGCGATGAACGGGGATGACCACTTTCTCCAGGGCATTGCGACGGTCACGAAGGGTGTACCTGGTCAGATCGGCCCCGTTGAGATAGAGAATGTCAAAAACACGAAATAAAGGCCTCGGACCATCGGAGAAGGGATTGCGCTGTTCTGCCAGAGCGGCCGTCTTCAATGTACCAAATGGAACAGGGGCGTCTTGCTTTGGATCCCATGTCACCATCTCTCCATCAAGAATGAGGCTCTGCACACCATCCGCAAAGGCGTTTTTGAGATGTCTTGTCAAGGCTCCTTTCTCGTCATATATTCCACATCCATAGAGATATGTGTATTCCTTGGCTTTTCGAGACCAGAAACGGAACCTGCGACCGCCTGGGATTGATTCGTCAGGGGCCATGTGAAGCTGCATGCGCTCTCCGTCCATCTTCTCCTCAATCCAGAAGACGGGGTCTTCCTCTGTTGGTCGCATTCGCGAAATCATCTTCTCGAACGAATGCATCTGGAATTGTGCCAACTGAGGCTGGAAACACTGCATCAGTCCGATACCACGATCCTCTGCCTCAAGTCGGATGTTCGGGTCGTGTAGCTCCCAACAGACCCGGCGCAAGCTACTGGAGATACTGTATAGGTTCTCGGCATCTGGGTGCCAGACGTTGAAGAGCGTACGCTCCGTAGCACCAACCTTCATTTGACGAAGAATGATTCGAATGAGCCATGTCAATTCATCCGGGTTCATGCGCCGGTAGAACTCTGCCAAAATAGGCACCTGCTGGTCCTCCTTGGACGCAGCCGAGAGATCGTCCAATTTTTTGTTGACTTCTTCAATCGTCATATCGCCCGGCTCGGTTCGCATCGGTCGCTTCGAAATGACATCGTAGCAGCGTCCAGCAAAATCCCCCGCCATTCGCGCTGCAGATACCCCAGGGAGCTTCCAATTCAGCAGGTTGGAAGCATCCTCCGATTCCTTGTTGATTTTCATGATTTTGACGAGCATCTTTCCAATCACCTTCTCCTTCATGCCGTACATGGGTCGGTCCCTATCCTTGTCTGGTAGAATCAACCGGAAAGCAGGGTAAATGTCGTCCCCCACTTGCTTGCGCCATCGCGAAATGAAACGAGCGATGATATCGCGTCGGAGCTCATACGGATTTAAGCTTTCTGCACCCTTTCCATGTGGTCCAGCTTTCCGTCTGGCTAGGCCAGAAGCCTTTGGCTTTTTTTTGATTCCACTCAGAGGGTCAAAAAGGTTCAGATACAGATCATGGAATGGGAGTGTTGGGGCGCTGTTATGAGGCCGATTCGGATACCTGTTGTTTTGAGCGATTAGTAGAGCTTAGCTAAGAGTGTCAACTATGCAAGTACTTCTCATCAAAGTCCTCCTCCTCAACCTGGGTATGCTCTGGTACAATGTCATCAGAATCCATGATGTACATAGATGTAAATAGTTGAAGAGAGATGAAGGTTCCCCGGATGATTTTAGGCAGCTCCGCGATAAGATAACAAGCGCGGCACAGACGTATGTGACATCACCCTATCTGTGCAACGTAACCTACAGACTGGCTTTAATCTATATCGCCTTTGCGTTACAGGCACGGAAATTCGAAGAGGATAGGAATGAACCAAGAACTATTGTACATTTACATTTGATAATGGGGTATTTCGAGATATTCTTCCGACAAAAAAAGCAAAGTTATTTCTCAGCACCCGTCCGCGTTGCCAATGCGGCTCTGCTCCCCTTCTGGCAGAAGATCAGCCAAGCGAGTCAGGATGGAGATATATCTCTTTGACTGACCCCACGCACTCAGACCAGAGAGAATCTCACAACCAACTCGAAGAATTCTCTCGGGGCCCTCGGACGCGCATATATCTCCCACGCCTGTCACATTACCCCTCATAGAGTGGCCGTCACGAACGAAGAGCTGCACTAGCTCATCGTCACACGGTCGATCTAAATGGATAAATCTTGGCTCCTGCAGGGGCTCATTGCGAGATGCTTGAGTGTGTGGACTTGGGTCCGGGGGCTCGTGAGCGTGACAGGACCCATAGGCCCAAAGCGTTAGAATTGCAAGGAATGCAGCAATCGGTTCATGAAATGCATTCGTGGAATACCTTTTGACGTGCCAGAGGGCCACTCCAGCATGGATAATCGACAGCCGAGCTTTATATTGATCATGTTTGATCCAGCGCCAGATGTACTGCCATTCAATAGCTTGGTTTCTTTTGCTCCATCGTAGCTTGTCCGTCACGAGAGACGTCGCGAGCCAGCGAATCTCCCGGAAGGGTGCCAGTAACACGAGACGCGCAGCATGGAGATGCAGAACTGTAGGGTGTTCCAGCCCGGCAGCTTTCGCTATGGTGCTATTTGCGGTCCAGTGGAGGATGTCTAAGCAATCGCAGGCGCTGTTGCGCCACTTGGAATATGATGGGATTCCAGGGAGCCAAACGGACCCCGTGGGGATTGCAGTCTCCCGAGCCTGCTTTTTCGCGGTTGGATTCCAGAATGATAGAGGTCGACGGAAGTAATCACCCACTTCCCACATTCGATGATACAGGGCGTGAATGAGAAGGATGTGACTGAATTCGCCAATGCCGGAGACAAGTCTCTTCTCGATGTACAGGATATGCACAGAGTCATAGAGTGATTCGTTCACTGTTGCTGTTGGTAATTGACCTAGATCAATGGTAGAGCTTGGAGGGAAAATACCGCTAGATTGATCCCAGAGCTGCTTCCAATCCTCCATCGACTTCAACTGCCAAAGTTTCTCATGGGCGGGCAACGCGGCTTGTCCGTCATCCAAGGATAAGAGCGGTCGCTCGTCGAGATAATAAGCAAGCGTGCAATCCACGAGCTTGAAGCCAATGATCAGCATAATTCCAATCCTAATATTTTCCAAGCTTAGCTTACCCAAACACAGTAGCCGGTTCGTTTCCGAGTTTCATCATCAATCCATTTCTGCCACAAAACTTCTCCCGAGATCCTGTTCGACTCCTTCAATGGTTTCGAGGCAGCCAGCAGCTTCTTATCTTCCACGAGGCTCACAAGTTCTCTGAAAGCGCTCAAGGCGGATAGCTTATCTTTTTCGAGGCCGCTGTGAAACAGTCCAATGCAGTTGAGGAGTAAAGCTTGGAGTAAGTCTAGGGGAAGAGGTCCAGCATGACGCTTTTCTTTCTGGAAGCTGTCAGTTGCAATGTTCAATAGAAGTTTGTCGATGGTAAGGGGAAACAAAGTCACCTCAACGTGAATGGCCCGTCGGAGCATCTCGTGAAAGGCGGCTGTGGATTGATCGGCATCATGAATACTGGAGCTGTGACACCCAATTGCTATGATAGCCAGTGCCAAGATCCAGTGGCACTGATTCACATTAAACGTGGGAATATGAAAGATGGGATACACAGCCTGGAATTTGTCAAAATAGCAGGCAAGGTATCGGGTGCATGCTTCTGGTCTTGGGAAGTTCTCTGTCTCGAACATCTCAAAGAACGGATTGTCATTTCGGCAGAGTGAAAGGAAATTGTGATAGATTTCGCCGTGAGTCGTGGCTTCGATGGGTCGAATAGAATGCAGCACTTCTCCTGAAATATTTTCCATCTGAACTTCTTGCACACCAGGAAAGCCCAATCGACGAGGGCTATTCTCGCGAAATGTTTGCCCAGTAGTAGTTGGTAAGTCTGTTGCAGGTCTAGACCAGGGAGTTCGATTTTTCCTGTATCTGGGAAGCCTGGCACCACCACCATCGACATAGAAATCTGCTGAGCGCTTTCCAGAATCAACCGATTCGGCGTGCGGTGATGACTCGTTGCCGACATGAGAGTATCGCCGAGGACTTCCCATATCGGTTCCAAGCGAAAGAGGTTCGGAAGGAGTATGAGTATTATTCTCAGGGACCGAGGAGCTTATGTTGTCAGCGTTGATGACTGAAGGCTGCCATGCGAATCGCGCCGCGGAGCTCTCGGGGAAGGCGCCTGGGGTGAATTGCTGTGGAGCCCTCGAGGTCTGAGGTTGGTCGCTTGATGGGCCGGCGAAGAACTCGTTTGGTAGCCAATTGATCGTAGATATCATTGACTGATCAAATATTGAGGGGTCAAACCCCAATCCCATCTCCGAGTGTCCTGTTATGTCTATGTCCATGTCAACTCCCGGGCCAGTCATACCAGCATCAACCTCCCTCAATCCGGGTACGATGTTGGTTGTGGTGCCCCTAGGAAGCATTCCAGGAGTTTGAAGCTCGCCATATCCTGGATCGTACTCTCCGCTAGAATACACGCCCGGTGGTAAGGTAGTGGCGTCGGCAGCGGTGTTGTCAGATCGCGTATAGAATTGAGAATTGGAAGGGCCTGCCACAGAACCCTGCCCATCTGATGATTTTTCCCCCAAGGTATGGACTGCGGGGCTTGGAAATGGGTGTATTGATGTCTTGGGTGATGCCGGAGTATCGCTCATTCCATTGATCGAGAATTGCCCGAGTTGGTGGGGGGGGATATCATTGTTCATATGGGGAGGAGCCGCAGTATTCCCACTCCGTCGAGGCGACGAGATTTGAGGCGACTGGGTGTCTACTTCCAGCATCTCCAGAGTTGACGGCCCTTTCAAGCTTCCATTGCGGAGTCTTGCTTTAGACCGTCTTTCCGTCGGATATTGGCATTCAAGCGAGCGAGTATCGCAGCGCCCGCACGGCATGCCCCCACTACATCGAACTCGGGCTGTTGCACAGCTAAAACAAGCCCTAAAAGTCTTGACGGTGATGCGATGCGGGCGGTCTCTACCTCCCTCACCCCCCGGGGTATGGTGACTCAACTCATGCCGATGGAGGGTGTCGCTATATCCAATGTTGCCCCGTGTCAGCATATGTTATATTTGACGACCGCTCGGCGCAGGAAACTAAACAGCCACCTACGTTCTGGAAAAATGACGACCACACTGCCCGCATTCGAACGGTTTCTCCTTTGTGTGACTGCGCAAATGGCGCTTTAAATGTTCCGGACGTCGAAAAGTGCTGCTACAGACCGCACATTGAACTTGGCCAGCGCTTGCACCCTGTTCCCGTTGGTCTCCACTGGCATGATGGTTTGGGCGTTGCTCGCGATCCACCGAGCCTCTTGTGGGGGAAGTTACGTCGGCTGTGAGATCGCCCGCATCCGCATGGTCAGTCTCAGTCTCCGAGAGCATAACGGCTCCAAGGGTTGCATCCAGACAAGATGCGGCATTTCCGAGGCGACGAGGAGTTGATGCGATGCACACAAAGGAGGGGAAAAGCCGAGGGGGGTGGGAGGTTTCTAGGGGGGTTCCAAGACTATAAATTGGCAAAATGTAGAATGTCCAATGCCAATTGGAGAGAGGGGAAGATCGGGGATAAAATGGCCAGGGGCCCCTCATCCACTTTGGCTCGTTGCGGAGAAGCAGAGAAGCGATTGGCTCGTTGAAGACATTCCAACGGGCCGAGTCGGTTAAATTTGACGGGTGAGAATCTGGGGAAGAAGCATACAATAAGAATGAATAACTATATTGATTACGGTATCTTTTTTCATGATTTCATTATACCAGTCCACCACTGAATGCTTCGATCAATGACTGATACACTAACTACCTAGCTACCTAGTCCTACGATACCTGGACAGTTGAGATGCATAGGTCGACCCGACCAAGATCGCTTCCAACGTTAGTCCTTGAGCAATGGAGCAAGTGTCTTATACTTGTCCCTATTTGACTCGAATCGCCACGGGTCATCTTCCAAGCAATTTCTCTTCGGATTAGCCCAGTAGATCATGACTAGTTATAGCTCGGTCCCTGCTTCGGGCGAGCAGCTGAAGCTGAAAACTGTGCCGTGCACGGTCGGCCTCGAAAGTGGGCCTCTGGGCCTTTCGGTCAGCGTCATCTTGACCTTTCTCAGGCTCACCAGCTGCAGTGCAACCCAGAGAGTTCACTCTCCCACCCGGTCCACTTTGTTTTTTTCACCTCCCTCTATTCCCGTCTTGCTCTCGCTGGATCGGACGACGGGGAAATGAACGGCGAGATCGCCGCCGCCAACCCGCGGTTGGCTTCCCCGGCCTCCCGAAATAATTCCGCGTTGCTGGGTGCCACTATCGCCTTCTCCAACTCTTCCAAACCGTCGCCCCATGTGGCCTCATCACCCTCTGCCGCAGCCAGAGCCGCAGTAGCCAGCACTCTGAATCGGTATGCCGAACGTCGCCACGAAATGGACTCTGAGAATGGGCCCGAGGTGGGCTCCGTAAAGGACAAGATTGGGCTGTTCACGGCCAACAACACCCTTTCTCCGCCGCGGGCCGTGTCAAGGGGACGAACTCCGCCGCCATCCGTGTCGCCAGGGCAAATCGCAGCGCGGCTCGCCGTCGAGAGATCTCCCTCGAGGGTACAGGAAGCAACGGCCGCCGTCGCTGCAGCCAAAATCAGTGCTGCGCGCAGCGCAAGCAGAATGCAATCTCAAGCAACCGAAGAACGACGAGAGCTACCCTCGCCCATCCCCATTCGACCCAGTCACACCGCACAAGAAAATCCCGTGGATACTATGCTTCAAGATGATCTGGCTATTAAGGAATCCGAATTGGAAACTAAACCCTACCAAAAACCTCCGTCTCTCCCACCACGCGCAGCAAGTGTCCGCGTCCCAGCGACCAGCCCCCATCCCTCCGTCAGCTCTCGAATGGCCACAATTTCCCTCGATGACAACAAGCCGAGACTCCCACCGCGGTCTACGCCCTCGAGGGCGTCCATGCGAAACCCGGTCCTCACCGGCACCCCGCTCCTACGCCCTTCCACACCTAGCATGGCTTCGTTATCAGGTCTATCTTACAATAGCAGCTCCAGCGCGACGAACGAGCAGGCTGCCATGGACGAGGAAGCCCTGTCCAACGCGATTGTTGCATCTTCTCTAGCATCCGCACGAGCATCTCCTGCGACGAAGCTACCCCCAACACCTCCTTCCCGGCGACGAGCACGATCTCGATCTATATTACAATTCGCACATTCCCCGAAGAGCGATCTATCACGGACGCCCAGTCCACCCAAGGGCATGCCGATGACGCTACGCGGCATGCCGAAGGCCGAGGAATCCGAAGCCCACCGCCGCCACAGGGTGAACCTGCTCCACAAACACCCCCACAAGCATCACGAAGGGGATCGCAAGCGATGGAAGCGTGAAGTCACGGAGAAAGAGCGCAAGCGTTACGAGGGTGTGTGGGCATCCAACAAGGGGCTCTTGATTTCTTCTGACCGAGGGAAGCCTGGGCGTGGGCCGAATGGGTCTGAGAAAGGGCCGCCCGCATCGGAAATGGTGTTGAACCTGGTGGTGCGAGAGATCTGGTCCCGCAGCCGACTTCCACCCACGCAGTTGGCACAGGTGTGGGATCTGGTGGATAGCCAGCGGATCGGTCTTCTGACGAAGGAAGAATTCGTCGTTGGAATGTGGTTGATCGATCAGCAGCTGAAAGGTCACAAACTGCCCGTCAAGGTGCCCGACAACGTGTGGGACAGTGTGCGGTATGTGACGGGCATTAAGCTTTCGTCCGTTGGGTCCAAGGGCTGAAGAACGACCGAGTTCTTGAAGAGTATGGGTATGATACCTCCACTAGAATTTGGATAAGTACATATTCCTTGATCACACACGGATCAATGTGGTGTGTACGATGTGCTCGATTATGCAGAGTACCTTTTGACACGGAAGCCGTGATGTCGGATCGTCTGCTTAAGTTACTACAATAGATGATAGAGAACCCTAATGTGCAGGTCCGCAGTGGGGCTCTCGAGATGAGCTGATGAATCTGACGAACCTGTTGAACGCAGGTTGGTTATCTTTAGATTTAATTCTCCGTAATTCTGTTCATATCATATCCGGGTTGGAGTGATACAGGATATATTGAAGCTTCCACCTACGTCCTGCACTTCCACATTGGGATATAGTTCGGCCCAACGGAGCTCCATAGTTCTGCAACTTGGACCATAGATGGTTAGAGAAATACTAAGAACTCATTAGTAGTCAGTAGTAGCAACTAGCATGTAAGTCGTCATCCCTTGATCCCTTCACCGAGGGGTCCACTCGTTCAAAGGTGCCCGACAATCCACAAAGATACGGCGCCAATCGTCTGTTTTGATCGATCTGCATAACCAGTGAAGATCCAAAGTCAGGTGACGCATGAAAAGCCTCGGTATCAGAGGTTTGTGTATATACTCGTACGATGTAAAAACCCAGACATCCTTGAATCCTTGAGGCTAGGCATTTTTTTTCAAGAACTCGCCCCCGGACTCGGCGCAACGGGCCCGCCACGTGACCAGAGCATGCCGACCCTGAGAGACGCCGGGAAGAAAAGAGAAAAGAAGTCCCAATAGCATAAGACATGCCAGACCGAAGTTGATAGATTCCTCGAATCCGTCATGTCCGTCATGTCCGTCATGTCCGTCATGTCCATTTCTATCCCTACCGACACACGACACCTGAAAAGGATACTCGTAGTGACAAATTAGAGGTGTCCGCCGTGCCGTGAAGCAAATCCCGAATCTCCACGGTTCGGGATTTGGATCGCGAACGATCGAGCAATCAGCGCACCGCTTCTATATCAGGGCTCTTCTTCACTTTCTCCCACTCGGGATTCTTCTGTGTCATCCGGGCTCAAACCAACGAACAAGCTATCAAAGAAACAAGGCGCCACCTTTCCATCACCCGCTGCAAACCAAAAGACAAAAAGACGAAAGAAGCCAGTCCAGAGATCCCGCCAAAGAGGGCCTGGCGGGGGAGTTAGCGGAGTATCGCCCCATGCCCTTCCGGCAGTGTGATTCGCCATGGTCGACGCTTTTCAGAACGATTGCGGGCTTGTCTCGACGGCGCCCCGGCCGGTTCGCAAGAAATTCGCTAAACCGCCCGTCAAAGTAGCTTGTTTGCCTTGGTAACGTCTCAATGCCTCCTCGTTGGCCATCGCTGGAGCCCAGTCGAGGATTGGTGCTAACTGTCATTCCCTAGTCGCGCCTCCAGAACACGCTGTGGCGGACAGGAACCTTGTTCCAATGTATGTGCTTTACATTTCTTTTCATTCCCCCCCCCCCCGGCTTATTCCCTCCTTTCCTGGGGGGGCGTTAATTCTTCACGGTCGAGCCACGGTGCGAATCGATGTACCTAACTAACCCATCTTTTAGTGTGTCGCCAAAGGTCGAAAATGTTCATACCTACCCAGCAAACGGGGTGGGCCACGCAAGAAGAAGCAAAAGGGTTCACCCTCTCCAGAAGAAGACTTACCGCACGAAGATGCACGATATACCGTGGACCCCGCTACGGAATTCGATGAGCGTACGCATGACTTACCTAGCAGTAGTGCGCGTGGCCAGGTTACTAACGATGCCACAGCCCCGGGGATGTTTAGTCAAATCGACGTGCTATCTATGCCGGGTGCTGGATTGCGACACCTGGATTACCCACAGCTGGGCTCTCTATTCCAGGGCTTTTATGGTGGAGATGAAAGTCCGTCTCATGTTCATATGGGGGCTATGCCGTCCCCCTTGAGTACATCGTCATGCCTGGTGAGAACCTACGGGAGTGAACCGGAAATGTAAGCCCCATACTGCTCCGTCTCACATGATCGCCATTCCTATATGTGAATTCTAACACATACCCACAAGTTTGAACGCCTATTATGATTTCATCCATCCTTATTTCCCCATCTTACCGCCTCGGGCATCACCCCAGTTCCAGGACCGACCATTACATTGTCCTGTCTCCCCGGCACCATCATCAGAGCCTCTCATGATGTATCGGCCCCGCTCGCCGCTCAGCCTGGCGATATCAGCAATTCTGGCCCTAGTCCCACATCCCGATAATCCGGAACCATCTTCACCCGCATCCGTTCTCCAGCGAAGGGCGTACGCCCATACATTTGCGCAACTAGCGAATTCCATCATCGAGACCGAGTGTGATCTGGAACTATCCTCCACGGATCCCGGTCAAGCATTATCAAGTGCGCGACCTTCAGTAAATCGAGAGAGACTTCATCCTATGGCTCCTGAGGATCTCGAGACTCTACTAGCCTTGCTCATTCTTTCGGTATATGAGTATTCTCAGAGAGGAAATCTTCTCAAGATGAGATACCGGGCCGGTCAAGCATTGGCTCTTGCTTTGGACAAGTCTCTTCATTCCTGCATGGACAACGATGAATTTTCTGAAGCTCGGCGAAGAGCTTGGTGGATGACGGTTAGTTGCCTTGCCCCTGTCTTCTTTCTTCGTTGCTAATTCCCAAATAGTATTATTGCGTCATTCAAGGCTCCATTGTGAGCACCACTGTGAGTCCAATATCCGAGGGTTGGGTATACTCTTCTTCAAGGGCAACTTCTAATTTAGGGACAGCCCCCGACGATAGTCATCAATGACCCCCAATTTACGACACCATACCCACGTTTTGAATCCGATGCCGAGGTTTGTTCACCACCTGACCTATATGCCTGATTATCAATCAGCCCGCTAACTGCCATACAGGGCTGGTCCATCTTGATCCAGGCACAACAAGTCTTGGTGTCCGCTACCCAATTCATCTCCGATCTTAACAAGAGTCTCACGTCACAAACGGGATTTCATTATATTTTTGAACGGATGCAGCAACTCGATTCCTGGACAAACTCTGTCATTGCACAGGCAGATATGCTTCCAATGGTTTCCCACGAGCCAGACTTTGGCGATCGCCGTGAAACAATCACTGCTCAGAGTATACGGCGAATTTCCCGGATTAAGTTGTGCAGGTATGCATCTCATTCGATTTCCTTCTGATGGCTAAGAACAATGGCTGAAGTCTTCACCAGTGCACAAATCAAAACCCATAGATTCCGAGCCTTCTCCGACATACCCATTTTCATCAAACGACACTGCGACTTGACAGCTGCAAACCCAGGTAACGCCTCAATAGACCTACCCACGAAGCCCGCTGTCCAGGCATCAGGCTTGAATAACGTCTCCTGCCCATGCAGCAATCTCGACCACTTCCAACGCGCCCCGTCAACTGAATACATGACGCCCTCCGACTCCTCAACGTCATCTGACATCCACCCCTACATCCCCCAATACCCCTTCGCATCCGGATTTCCATACAACCCCCAACAATCAGCAAAGATCTGTCTACGATCTGCACTCACTATCTCCCGCATGTTTGAGACACTGCCCTATCCCCAACCCCTATCCGAGGGCGGGCAGCAGCAACAGCATCGATCAGGGCAGCCCCTGCCTCGAACGATGCCTTCTTTCGCGTGCTGTCTCATGCAAAGCAGTTATGCAATGTTCATGATATTCTACAAGGCCCGCGTGGCGAAGCAACTCTCGCCGGACGTGGAGAGTGAGCTCGTGAGTGATTCAACAGAACAACTCGTAGAAGAGCTAAGGCGAGGATTGGAGCGAATTATCCTGGCCGTGTCAAATTATTCGTTTGCTTTTGAGGCGTTGGATGGGATGCGAGGTCAGTATATCAAATCCTGTTCTTGTCTTGACCTTTTAATATCACTATTATACTAACTAGTCATCTCACAGACGAGATTCAAGGTGCATATCAAACGGCGTTCCCTTCTGCATCCGTTTAACGAATTCCGCTTTCTCTGAATTGTTGTATTTTTCTTGCGAAGAACTTCTCTCCTCTCTCTCACACCACATTACCCTACGCATGACTTTTGAGAAAGATTTCTGCTGTACACGTGACTTCTCTTGTTCCATGATTCACTTTTATGATACATACCCCTAGCTTGAGACAATCATAATAATCACACAATATACAAATTGTCAAATTTCCAAATTAGCTACCTGCACAGAAGCCAAAAAAACATAAGATTGACTGTAGGGGAATAAAGCAGAGGGAATTGTATATCTCCTCTAAGATGCCGCTAAATTTGGGAAAACGCCGGACCGAAATAAAAAGTCGCTATATCCATGATTCCATCCAGAAAGGTAGCAAAGAATTTCTATGTACGCCATGCTAAAGCTTCGACCGGATACCCTCGAGCCGGAACTTGACATCCTTCAAGACCTTACTTGTTGGCTTCCAGTCATCGAACTGGCGAAGTAGTTCCATAGTTTCTTCGTTCAGTTCGCGCTTGACGTATTCCTCCTCGAGGAGACCGCGCATGGCGAAGGGCAGGATATATGGGTTCGGGGAAATGGCAGGACTGGATCTTTTGATGCTCAACTTAGCATCCGGGACGGAAGATGTTTCTAGAGCGAATTGGATAGCCATGCTAGCCATAGTGATTAGTATTGGTATTGCCACATTTATAGGGTGCGAGTGCTGGTGGACACATACTAGTAAACGGCCTCATCGTCGTACAGGCGGGAATGTCCTTCGCCTGTGTACAGACTGCCGGCTAATGGGCTGCTGAGTTCACGGATCAGGCCATGATCTGGAATGCCGAGGTTGCGTAATTTAAGAGCAAAGCCAACAAGATGGGAGAGGCTGTTAAGAGATGTTAGTAACAGGATGACCGTGATGTTAGGTATCGTGCTTACAAGCTTGGAGCGTGCACCCTCCCATCTACAAACACGGAGCGGTAGATGTATGGATGAACTACTGTAGAGAATAAAGATGACTGCCATCCATGATTAGTCGAGACTTCAGCGACTTGAAAACCCGGTAAACATACCTCTAAGGAGACGAGCTGATCGTCGATACTCCCAATATAAGAAATGCGAACGCCGAAATCAAGAGCGCGCTTCAGCGCAGTCTCGTATTCCTTGGAGACCTTACTGAAAGGTAATTCGAAATCGAACAGCTCTCCAGCAGATCCGCTGATCCACCGGGAACGATAAGAAGAAAACGGACCCATGTTCACCCCGGCCATGGCACAGACTCCCACACGGGAAGCATTAACACAACCAAAGGAAATCAGCTTCGCAACCAGCATTATAGAGACCGGTACGCCTTGACTGTGACACGCCACCAGGATGAAGTCTGCCTTGCGAATTTCTTCCATCCAGTTTAGAAGTAGCTTCCACAACAAGTCGACTCTCTCTGCAATGCGACCTTCGCCTTCCAGCGCGATCTTTCCTATATCACAGGTATAGCCATGATTTTTGGTGTACTTCCGAATGGCCTCGGCCGCCATGTTCGAGAATCGGATAGAGGTACCAGTGGGCTGTCCAAGCACACTCCGTATCAACGGAGCAGGAAAGTACCCATGGACACCGATGGCCAAGGCTCGCTTGATGCGGGGTGGTTCTTTAATTCGGGCCACATGATTATGCTCTGGGCCTTTGGTGTAATGCAGTAACCTGCCGAGACTCTGCAATAACGACGGTGACTCTTCCATTGCAAAGGTGTCTTCGAATTTGGGCAGTACTTGGTTCGGTAGAATTTTCTGTAATTGTTTGGATGCAGCATCAGTTGGTTTTGGCTCCACTGGTGGCGTAGGAGTCGGAGGAGCCTCGACAACGGCGGACAGGCTCCCGCGGGTATCTTTGGATGGTTTAACTTTCAGGCTTCCCTTCTTGGTAATATGGATATTAGTTTCGGCGGTTGGTTCTAGTGACGTTTGCTGTGTTGGTGTATCCGTCGTCACTGTCGCTTCCACTGCTTCAACCTCTTGAGGTTTGCCAGGCGTAGCATCCTTGGAAGGATCTTTGGACCAGAAGGACCATCCCGAGGACTTCGTCGTTCCAGAGATAGTTGTTTGTGAAGTAGGCGGTACGTCCTCCGATTCTTCTGAATGATCCTTTGGTGCCATGTTCGAGTCTTGATCCTTTGATGTAAAAGTATCTCCTTGTGGAAGCTGGGTTGGCTCTGTTGCGAACTGTTCCTCTTGCTTATTTGATGGACCCGACCCGTACCAGGCCTGTAACCACGACCTTTTTTGAGCCGTTGAAGTCGTTTCAATTGTCTCTCCACCCTGAGCTACTGTCTCCTGCTGCGCGGGATCTTGTTGTGCTTGTTCTCCGCTGGTATCGGCGGCGATTGAATGGGGCTCAGCCTGCCTGGGAGGTCCGTTCTCAGTAGATCTCTCTGCCTCTCCTGCAAATCCTGGGCCGGTTGTATTGTCCTTTTCTGCGGGTCCAGACTTATATATCCATGAAAACCATCCACTGGGCTGCTCGACGGGCGCTTGGGTCCCTTGTAGAGTATTCGGCTCGATTCCAACGTTCTCAACGTTCGGTTGTTGCTCTTCCGCTGATTTCTCCAGAGGTTTCAAAGCACTCGTTTCCAGTATGTCTTTATCTGCTGTTGGTTCTGAAGCTGTGGGCGTCTCAAGGGTATCCAAAGCTGTTGTAGAAGCTGTACCATCTGATGCAATATTAAGTCGAGTGGTAGTTACGTCCGCAGGGAGCGATCTGGTCGATCCGCTGGCTTTCTTGGTCAGCTGAATCGATGGATGGCGGTTTTGTCGGGGTGCGTCGAGAAGAGAGGTCGATGAATTCACGACCATTGAAGCTACGTTTTGCGCGACGGATATGCTCTCACGGGCAACCTCGGTAACTGGAGCTGCCTTGGACGTACGCGAGATAGCCGACCATGATCCGGGATACCAGCTCTATGGAGAAAAAGATAAACTGATTAGCTATATGACTTAGATGATTCAGCTTGCTGATGAGGTCTGACATACCGAACGGGTTTGTGTCTGGGAGTCTGAGCGGTCTCGGCCAGCATTGTTCGGGGACGCGGGGGACGGTGAGTCCACGCCAGAGGGGCTGGCTTTCACTCTCTTCCGAGATCCCTTGGCGATCATGGAGGCGGTGGTAGTATCATCAGGAAGTCTGTATCGCTCCAGAGAAGGATCACAAATCTTCAAGCCAGATCTTGTTGGGAAGCTACTACAAAGCGCCACGAACCGGGGGTCCTGATAATCACGCACGTCACATGTTGGCCTAAGGTTGTTGGCCAGGCTGGGTGCCTAGTTGATGGCCTGGATCCTCAGGCTAAAATTAATCCCCGATGGCTGGAAGGCGGTGAGCGATAAGTTCGACTTTTTTTTTTCTCTCCAGCTGCCGCAGAGGTGAAAGTATACATCCCCCGACGTTCTTTTTTCCCTATTTGTTTCCAGGGTAGTCAGGTCTTTGATAAGACCGCCCGTGTTTCAAAATGGCGATTCAGAAGAAGGTGAGTTCTAAGGGTGTTTTTCTTGGTGGCTCTCTGTACTAATTGGCTCCTAGCACGGAAAAGGTCGTTTGGATAAATGGTATCGCCTGGCCAAGGAGAAGGGCTACCGTGCTCGTGCTGCGTTCAAATTGATCCAGTTGAATAAGAAGTATGGATTCCTTGAGAAGAGCAAGGTCTTGATCGATCTTTGTGCGGCACCAGGTGTAAGTGTCTCCCTGTCTACCCGATTGATTGGAGGCGTTTTCATATCTAACAATTACCATAGTCGTGGTGTCAAGTGGCTGCGGAATGCATGCCTGCACAGAGTATCATTATCGGTGTCGATCTTGCTCCCATCAAACCTATTCCTCGAGTCATCTCTTTCCAAAGCGACATCACCACCGAGAAGTGTCGTGCTACGATTCGAGGACATCTGAAACACTGGAAGGCAGACACCGTTCTTCACGACGGTGCGCCCAACGTTGGTACTGCTTGGGTTCAGGATGCTTTCTCTCAGGCAGAGCTTGTGTTGCAGTCGTTGAAGCTGGCTACGGAGTTCCTGTGCGAGGGCGGAAACTTTGTCACCAAGGTCTTCCGCTCCAAGGATTACAACCCTTTGCTGTGGGTCTTCAAACAGCTGTTCCAGTCGGTTGAAGCGACCAAGCCTCCTTCGTCGCGTAACGTTTCCGCCGAAATTTTCGTCGTCTGCCGTGGCTTCAAGGCACCCAAGCACATCGATCCGAAATTCCTTGACGCCAAGCACGTCTTCGCCGAATTGCAAGATGCGACTCCCAATCACGAAGCCAAGGTTTTCAACCCAGAGAAGAAGAAGCGAAAGCGTGAGGGTTACGAGGAGGGAGATTACACTCAGCACAAGGAGATTCCGGTCACCGAGTTCATCAACACCACCGACCCCATTGCGATCTTGGGTGGCTACAACAAACTAAGCTTCGAGCAGCCAATAGGAGGAGATCTTGCCATGTCTACATTAAATAGGCTTGAGGAAACTACGGAGGAAATCCGAACTTGCTGTGAGGATCTCAAAATTCTCGGTAAGAAGGAGTTCCGCAACTTGCTTCGATGGCGTCTGAAGGTACGAGAGAAGTTTGGCCTCAGCGTCAAGAAGAAGCAGCAGGAGGATGGCGAGGGGGAGGAAGTGGCTGAGGTCGCCCCGATGGACGAGGAGCTGGCGATCCAGGAAGCGCTCATGCGTATGCGCGAGAAGGAGACCGCTCGCAGCAAGAAAGAGCGACGCAAGGAGAACGAGAAGAAGCGCAAAGAGATCGTCCGGCTACAGATGCACATGACCACGCCGATGGATATCGGTATGGAGCAAATTGGACCCGGCGGAGAAGACTCTACCTTCTCTCTTAAACGTGTGGACCGACTGGGTGCCAGAGATGCTGTGGTTAATGCCCGCAATGTGCCCGTTGAAAGCGACGATGAAGATGATTCCGAATCGGATGAGGATAGTGACGATGACGGTGACCGTCTAGAACGTGAGCTCGATGGCATGTACGAAATGTACCAAGAGCGCATGGAAGATCGGGACTCGAAATTGCGTGCCAAGAAGGCTCGCAAGGATTACGAGGCTGACGAATGGGAGGGATTCTCTGGGGACAATAAGAGCGACGACGAGGAAGAGGAAGAGGAGGATGAAGAAGAAGACGAGTCCGATGCTGAGCTCTCCGGGGATGCTGTGCCCAAGTCCGGCAGCCTCTCGAACCACGCTTCTATGTTCTTCGATCAGGATCTCTTCCAAGGGATAGGAGAGGAGGAAGAAGACGAAGAAGAGGAAGAGAGCGAGGAGGACGAGGAGGAAGAAGATGAGGAGGACGAGGATGAGGGTAGCGAGATCGAAGAGGAAGACACTCCTGCCCCTCCCTCCAAGTCCAAGGCCAAGAAGGAGTCCAAGAAGGAGCCAAAGCAAAAGCAAGAATCCGAATGGATTGACTCCGACGAGGAGATCGAGGAGCCCCAGGATCCGCGCAAGGCCAATGGCCAGCTGGGTAAGTCCCTCCCCTGCCCCCCTTTAGAATTGCATGTACTCTCGTTTCTAACATCCACTTTGCAGACATCGATATCATCACAGCCGAAGCTATGGCCCTTGCGCAAGCGATGGCTTCCGGCGAGAAAAAGTCCCAGGACGTGGTCGACGATGGCTGGCACCGCTATTCGTTCCGCGACGTCGACGGTTTGCCAGAGTGGTTCCTCGATGACGAGGGCAAGCACAGCAGGATCCAACGACCCATTACCAAGGCCGCAGCGGCTGCTATCAAGGAGAAGCTGCGCGCTATTAATGCCCGTCCTATCAAGAAGGTCATGGAGGCCAAGGGCCGTAAGAAGTTCAAGGCCGCTCAGAAGCTGGAGAAGCTGCGCAAGAAGTCTGCCCTGCTGGCAGATGACGAGGCACTGAGTGAGCGTGACAAGGCACAGGCCATTTCTAAGCTGATGGGCAAGGCCACCAAGAAGAAGCCTAAGCAGCAAGTCAAGCTTGTCGTGGCAAAGGGTGCCAACCGTGGTATCTCTGGCCGTCCTCGCGGCGTGAAGGGCAAGTACAAGATTGTGGATGCGCGTATGAAGAAGGATATTCGGGCGGAAAAGCGACTGGCCAAGAAGAAGTCGTGATCTTAATTTGTTCATAGTGTATAGATTAGACCAAAATTTTGGATGATACCCGAGTGCATAGGGGTTGAAGTACAGCAATGTATTGGGAAAATGCAAGCAAGCGCCTGTTTAGAGATGTAGACTGTAGTATCGGACCTAAGGCATAGTAGGCACGAGCTGAATACTCGTGTCGATCAAGGCTCTGCCCTGTCAACGCACCGCCCATACAAGGTTTCCCCAGGCTCACCTGCGGAAGCACCAGTACCGAGCGAGGGCCCGCCGGGTCTCCCAACCGTGTCTATCGCCCGCCGAAGACACCATTGAACTCTGTCTGAAGATTGCTGTGAACGTACTCGTACTCTCAATTACCTGCTTAGGAGAGGCGCTGATGTTACCGCACAAGTTGGCCCTTATAGTAATGCACTATATGCTGCTCACTCGTAAGGCCACGTCGAGATTGCACGGCTGCTGTTGGAGAAAGGTTGGACGAAGTCGCTGATGGTGACATGCTAGCCTCAATTTGACGGAGAGATCGCCTACACATCCACGCAAGTCCGAGCATCTATTTCACAGACCCGTATGTTAAAGTGTTAAAATAAAGTACTGCGCCTAGTGTGCCTAGTGCCCGAGTGTAATTTAGTCGAGATTCACTACTGTAAGGGCAGCGTTAGTACACATGGTGGTGGTAGCCTCGAGTACCGAGGCCGATACCGGATTAACTCTCCCGCGCAACTACTTTACACGCCAAGACGAGCCGTGACCCGCGGCGGTGGTTTCCCCGAGTGGCGCTGCTTATCGATTGCCCTCTCGAGTCGATCCAACTCTTCGCTTTTCTTCTATCACTACTCGACACTTCTCGCGCGTTATTAGGGGCTTTTCTTTATTTATACACGGGCCTTCCCCACCCCTCATGTTCTTCGCGTGCATGCATTAGTCTTTTCCAGCATTCTTTACTTGTCCATACCCGTCCATTTCTATCCGCATTTTTACCCCCCCACAACCCCGATGGGCTTTTTCGACCACCTCCAAAAAGGAGGGGCTTTTTCGCTACAGGCGAAGAAGACTCAAGTCCGCAAGGTCGTTCAAACGAAACCAGCTGCCCCGACAAGACCCCCCGCACAAACCCCCGATTCAAGATCACCTCGAGACCAGTCCTCGTCAGAACGGAGCCGCAAGACGCACGCGCTCAAAGCCCGATCGGTTTCGAGTGATGTCGACGCCCGCCTCTCCAAGCGGCTGACAACCCCCAGTCGCACACGGAAGCGACCGACCCCCGAGACGCGGCTTTCTAGCGACGACGACGATGTCAGTGACAGTGATACTTCCTTCGAGATGCGCAAGCGCGCGCGCACAAGCGCCAGCGCGGAGCCTGATCCGGAGCGGCGCATTCGTTCAGTGAAGGCATTTTCAGACGAAGGACGCCGGCCTTTCAAAATGGTTCATGCTGCCGACATCACATCTGGCCAGAAGGCGGGCAAATTCAAGCCGGCATTTGGCGCCGCGAGCAAGCCGAAGGAGATTCTTCTCCAGTATCCCAGTGCTTCACAAAAAGAAAGGTACGCGTACTAGGTGATTAGGTCGATAATGAAGAGACTGACCGTCCTGACTGCTCGAGCAGATTCGACTCCGTGGTACCCAAAGACAACGACGATTTTCGGCCCATCGACGATATTGTCCAAGTGATCGAGACCGTGGTCGACAATTACATCCCGAGCGAAGAGGCAGAAGAATTTCTTGACGAGACAACTGGTATCAGGCGGAGGCTGCGCCGGGCGTTGGCCGTGACTTCGGAGACACAATTCCGTGAGGCTGTGGATGATTATAACAAGGCGGTCGAGCGGTTGAGGCTTGGTGGAAGCCTAGCGAAGACTTTGGATGCCACTCAGCGTATTAGTCTACCTTGGGTAGAGCGAATTCTCAACCAGACCTATGCTCGCACGGTATCCCCTCGAGTCGAGTCTTTGCGGCAATATGAGAATGGCACGGATAACGTCTATGGTGAACTTCTCCCTCGATTCATCAGCAACATCTTCAAAGAGACGAAGTTGAAGTCGGGCCAAGTGTTCGTCGACCTTGGTTCCGGTGTTGGCAACGTTGTCCTGCAGGCAGCACTTGAAATCGGCTGTGAGAGTTGGGGTTGTGAGATGATGGCCAATGCATGTGATTTAGCAGAGTTGCAACAGGCCGAGTTCAAGGCTCGTTGCCGACTTTGGGGGATCGCACCTGGCAAGACACATCTTGTCCGAGGTGATTTCCTCGAGCAGGAGAGCATCATCAATGTCTTGAAGCGGGCCGACGTGGTGCTGATCAACAACCAGGCATTCACACCTCAGCTCAACAATGAGCTGATCAACCATTTCCTCGATATGAAGGAGGGATGCAAGATCGTCTCGCTAAAGTCTTTTGTTCCTGCCGGTCACAAGATTCAGTCTCGCAATCTCAACTCTCCTATCAACCTCCTGAAAGTCCAGCAAAAGAACTATTGGTCTAACAGCGTCAGCTGGACCGACGTTGGAGGCACATACTTTATTGCCACAAAGGATAGCTCACGCTTGAAGGCTTTCATGGACGACTCCCCTTGAATGACGAGGCAACACTCGATGTGCTCGTCTCTTAGACTCACGAGTTTGGACACCTGAACACTTGTTTATATGTGCTTTAGCTCCGTCCTGTACATTATCTTCTTCTTTTTTCTCTTGGATATATACCTTGGTTCATTGCATGATGCCAGTTCAAGTTGTACAAAGATGTTCTTAGAGTCTATATTATGATAGTAGACAGATCTTCCTCAATTATTCTGATTCAATATACATCTATTCGCAGCAATCTAGGGTATTGGAAAGAAAGGATTTGAGACAAATCTGGTTCGTGCCCGGCGGCTGGCCGAGCTTAGGAAAATTTGGATGCATCGTTCATGGCGTCGGCTTCTTGGCCCATCCTGGTCATCCACCGGTCCACAAGTTCTTTGTTCTCTCGCTGAAGCTCGTTTGACCTCTTCTCAGCCATATTGAATTCGAGATTGAGCGATGCCAACTCGGCTTGGAAATCCTGTAAGATCCGAATTAAGCATGTGTCGTTCTCCACCTGACGTAGAGGCAGATAGTCTTGCCCCGACTATACCATAAGATCAAATCACTTACTTCCAATAGCTTCGTTTTCTCTCGCAGCTCCTCGTCCCTATCTTTCAGACGTTTGCCAAGAATGTCTTTCTCGCTTTCCAGTGTTTGAAGGCGTCGGCCATCTCGGTGGCTTTTCTTACGCAGTTTGTCAAGTTCTATGTTCAGCCGGTTCAACTGGTCTTGCAAATCAGTGCGAGACCGTTGCGCCTCGGACAAATCTGCTCGAGTGGTCTTCAGTAGCTCTGCCAGAGAGGGACCCGGCTCTGATGAAGGCTGTCTCTTCGGCACCGTCCCAGGTGCGGACGAAATAGGTTGTGGAGATTCACCGTGAGCGACCGATGACCTCCTCCCAGCTGCAGGGGTGGTGCCGAAATCTATGGGAGTTGCCAGCTGGGCAGAGCGATCTGCGAGGCGGGTATCTATAGTTGTACGCGATATGTCAGTAACATCAACGGCGAGATGGGTACCTTCCCGCCAGGCACGAACAGGCATCGTAGAGCTCAACGTTGGCCTTTTCCCTTTGATCTCGGACTGCCAACGCAGCCAGATACTCCTCTCTCCAATGGGGCATCGACCCGAGAGGCGAGGGGAGAGGCGATCGATGGATAAGGCCCCTAAGGAATGTTGTAGGGGTACGATGATGTCGAAGCTTCGACTATCTCGTTATCAACACCGCCCACCGCCCACCGCCCACCGCCCCCCTCTCCACCGCCCGAGGATCATGCATCATTAGATCCCGCTGCAACCCAACTCCCGACTCCAACTCTCCTCGCAGCTGCCTTTGCCCCTTTCACTTTCCTTCTGCAGGCGCTTCTTACAGCTCAAGTATCTATCTACGGACCGTTTCTTGGTAATCGCTCTCCATTCTATCCGGAGTCCCTGAATACAGACCGCTGCTATGGCGTCACGGAAGAAGGTTCTCCTCAAGGTACGATCTCCGCAGCAGCTCCGCGTGACCCCCAACTGCTCATCCAAGGTCGGCCCCGAGCTCACACATTATTTTCCCTATAGGTGATCATCCTTGGTGATAGCGGTGTTGGCAAAACAAGCTTGATGAACCAATATGTGCGTGCTCTCCCGACTCCCCAAAGCCGCCGTTGGCGCCGAGCCACCCTCAGCCCCATGCGCAGCAACACAGCTAATATAGCAATCCCCGTTGTGTTTAGGTCAACAAGAAATTCAGTGGAAGCTACAAGGCAACTATTGGTGCCGACTTCCTCACCAAGGAGGTCCTTGTCGATGATCGGCTGGTGACGATGCAGGTATGGGTCTTCGAGGCGGCCCCCAAAGCCAGCTTTGTTGGAGCTTAACATTAACTCCTTTTGTACAGATCTGGGATACTGCCGGTCAGGAACGATTCCAGTCCTTGGGTGTTGCATTCTACCGAGGTGCCGACTGCTGTGTGTTGGTCTACGACGTGAATAACTCAAAGAGTTTCGAGGCCCTGGACAGCTGGCGGGATGAGTTTTTGATTCAGGCTAGCCCGCGTGATCCTGAGAGTTTCCCATTTGTGAGTACAGCAAGTGCTCGGTCTCTTCCCAACGGGCAATTCACCGTCGTCATGAGACCCGCAGGGCCGCAGGGGAGCGTCCAATGCTAATAGCTCGAAAACAGGTGGTCATTGGCAACAAGATTGATGTGGAGGAGAATAAGCGCATGATTTCTTCGAAACGGGCCATGACGTTCTGCCAGTCCAAGGGCAATATTCCGTACTTTGAGACCAGCGCCAAGGAGGCTCTTAACGTGGAGCAGGCATTCGAGGGTAAGCCTTGGAAAGATCGTGTATGCGATCATTTTACAGTGACCTGTGACTGACTTGATGTGTCCCCTAGTTATCGCCCGCAGTGCCCTCGCCCAGGAAGAGGCCGAGGAGTTCAGTGGTGAATTCAGTGACCCGATCAACATCCATCTGGACAATGAGCGCGATGGTTGTGCCTGTTAATACCCTTACCTATACTCCCATGACATTTTGAGCGACTATTCCTCTGGTTTTCTCCTGTCTGCTTTTTTTCCCCTTTCCCCCACATACTCTGCTTGGTGGTTTTCCTTTCTTGTTGGGTGTTTTTGCCTGTAGAGAAGGCCCTTGATTTCTGGCTTATTGGATTTGTATTCCTGTAGATGTTTTCAGTAAGATTTTGATTTGTTGACTAGGGCAGCCAGCAATTTCAGATTTCGTTCTTTTCTAAGTAAATACTGTTGTTGTAACTTGTCTCGGGGTAGTGCAGTTTCACATATATCAGGGCGCAAACAGGTGTTGTGCCAGAACATGAACCTTATGTTCATGACCGACTCCCAACTCCTGTCTACTTTTTAAAGGTGAACCCGAAACTAGACTAAGAGAGAATGTAACCTGCCGAGGGCAACCTCGAGCCCGCGTGATGAATCCACTCCGGTCACGGACTCCGCGACGATCGGGCAAGGGTCGTCCCCGCCCCGATGAAGGACGGCCATATCTTATCGCCGATTCTCGTCCGAACAGTGCTTGGCAAATCATCCCTCCTGGCTCATCCTCTTCCTGCCGGGCAGGGAGTTGTCTTTTAACGACTTCCAGAGGATTCGTGCCTCTAGCACCTCGCGCCATATCACCGTGCTGCAGATGTCCGCGATTCGAAATTTTACCACGATCTGGCGACCCCGGGACCACTGTGCCGCGATCTGACCAACTCGCACCGCGTTCCTCACTTGGCCCTCGTGCCTCCCGATAGATAATTCTAGCCTGCGAATATGGCGACGTCGACAGATGGACCCGAACCGAGGGTGCTTGGGGTGGCCAGGCGAACCTTCGGCATGGCCTTGCTACTGCTCGTGGTGGTGCTGTGGACAGCGTCAAATTTCCTGGGAAGCGTACGTCCGCAATTTCCTCCCCCCCCCCCTTTGGTGCCGACGAGGCGCCCATCATACTTTGCAGTGGAGGCATAATATTCTGACATTTGAACAATGAACAGACCATTTTCGCCGATAAAACCTATCCCAAGCCCTTCTTCGTGACCTACGTCAATACTTCGCTTTTTACTCTCCCGCTCTTCAGTACGCTTATCACTCGGACATGGGGATTATGGCGTAGTAAGAAGTTGTCTCAGATCCACTCATTCCGGAGCTGGTTGCGACACCTGGACTCGGAGGATCCCAAGTATGAAGAGCAGAGTATGTTGCGCTCTGAGTCGTTTGACGATGATACTGGGCGCGATCACGAAATCCACAGATCGCAGTATTCGCGGTCGAAATGGGATGATGAAAATGCAAGGTTGGGGCTGCGAGCGACGGCTAAGCTAAGCTTGGAGTTTTGCCTCTTATGGGTATGATTTACTGCTATTCTGGAAAATGACATGTCGCTAACTTCGTGTATTTAGTTTGTTGTATGTCCACGGGTACCGTTGATTCGAAGGTTGAGATGAACTAACCTTGGTGTGAATAGGCAAACTATTTCGCCATGGCATGTCTCCAATTCACGACGGTTGGAAGCACTACGATTCTGACTTCTACCAGTGGTAAGGCTTTATAAATACCCTGGAGTCAGCAACTGTTGTATCTTACAGTGCTAATGAACATTTAGGCGTTTGGACACTCGTCTTTGGCGCGATGATCGGAGTGGAGAGATTCACTCTGCGCAAATTCCTTGGAGTTGTCGCTTCGCTGATAGGAATCATCCTCATCTCACGCGTTGATCTGTCGAAACCAGACGCAGGCGATGCCACGTCCGCCGATAACGGGGGAAGCTCTTTCCCCCACAAAACTCCAACCGAGATCGCCATCGGTGATGCCATGGCTGCATTCAGCTCAGTTTTGTACGGTGTGTACACGATTGTGATGAAGAAACAAGTCGGGGACGAGTCACGAGTGAACATGCCACTGTTCTTTGGATTGGTTGGCTTCTTCAACCTTGTTCTCTTGTGGCCGGGATTTTTCATTCTGCACTGGACTGGGGTGGAAACATTTGCACTACCAGATACGCAACGGGTGTGGACTATTATTCTGGTACGGCAGCTTCTCATTGAACCTCTCGCGATCGGTTTCGTGACTTTTATTCTTCCATCCTTATGATTGTATAACTAATCCCACTCATTCTAGGTCAACTCGCTCTCGTCGTTCATTTCTGACATTGCATGGGCTTATGCAATGCTCCTCACTACACCCCTCGTAGTAACCGTCGGTCTCAGCCTGACCATCCCACTGTCCTTGGTTGGACAGATGTTCCTGCAATCCCAGTACGCATCTCCAGTATACTGGCTAGGTGCTGCGATAGTCTTCTTGTCATTCATGGTCGTCAACCACGAAAGCAAACCCCAAGAAGAAGCCGGTATTTCCGGAGAAACGAGTAGACCATCGTCGGGGGAGTATGATACCATTCCCCGTGAAGAAGAAATGCGATAGATTCTGCGAGGCAGATTTGTCATAACGAGGAGTTTCCTTTTCTTGCGCACAATTCTCGGTTTCTCAAGATGGCGTTGTTTGATATCATTGTTTGCATTTCGGTTTTGTTCAATTGTGCCTTGCATGACTCGTAGTCTCTTTCCTATCCTGACGCAAGCGATAATGATTGTCGACGCGTGCATATTAAATGTACCTTTCTATCTAGAATGTTAGAATATCCAACAATACATCGCAAGCTCCGCCTTGATACTTATCACCATGGGGTTGGGTGTCGTTGAGCACAGCACACCATCGAGCACAACGAAGTATTCTAAACCCTGCACCGACCAATCGTTCGAGAGGCGGGCGCAGAAGCGCCAACCTGTCCAACGACAATGAAGCGAACAGCCTCAAATCACCTGCGACTTGAACGAGCTAATGCACTCTTGTAATCTGGGCTTGACGTGTCAGCATTTTATGGGCCTAGGCTCGCTAGGCTGATTATGAGGCTCTCCCCTGTCAGTATGCCTATGTCACGACTGTTTAAATGAGGGGGCAGGACGAGCAGTTGACTTGGTGTTTGCAATCAACAATTTTCTGTTCGGTTTTATTCGAGTCGTTCTTCAAGTCTTCTCTTAGAATTGTCATGATGGTCGGATTATACGAGTTTAGGTCGAGATATGAGGCCGTCAAGGCTGTTGAGACGGACAAGGATAAGATTATTGAGGTTTGAACTTGGTCACCGTCACAAAATATAGAATAATGATCCACTGATTGAAGATGATTGTAATCCTCTCTAGGACTTGATGGATGAGGTCAAGCGTCTGCAAGAAGCTCTCGATTACGAGAAAGAAGAAATGGACAACCAGAGAACGCTTGTTCAAGCCATCAAGTCGAATGCCAAGATGTATCAATCCGAGGTAGCGGAGATGAAACGCATCCAAGTAAGGGATCAATTAATATTTACTTTCATTCTGATTTATTGATCGCCGACTTGATTCATTCGCAGGCGAAACTCAGTTTTGTATCGGTACTCGTGGATGGTGATGGTATGAACGTGAGTTTAGAGTCTTTCGCTTCTTCTCAGTGACCTATATATCCAGTCGCAGATTATTGAATTGACCATAGTTCAACGATGAATTTATCCAAGATGGACAAAAAGGAGGACGCTCAGCTGCCCGACTTCTGATTCAAAAAGTTGAACAATACATCCAAGACCTCCATCGCAATGAAAGCTCGAGTGTTCAGTATCGGATTCGTGTCTACGCGAATGTCCGCGGACTGGCGAAGACGTACCGTGATACCAATATTATATCCGAAGAAGCCATGTTGGCCTCCTTCATTCAGGGATTCAATAAGGAAGATGTGCGGTGTGATTTCGTGGATGCAGGCGATGGAAAGGAATGTTCCGATGTCAAGATTCGAGGTACATCAAATCTACCTTCTGATCCTCGAGGCAGGAAGCGAATTAGAAAGATCTCAAATGCTGACTCGATTCGCATAGCCCAATTCGAGCAAGACATCATCGACGTACACTGTCTCCACATTCTATTCTGTGCATCAGCCGACAACGGCTACGCCCGGGTCTTAGGACCATATCGCAACACGAAGGACCAGATCACTCTAGTCGAAGGACCGCCCTTCGCACGAGAGATCAAAGAACTCACATCTTCATTCTCAACAACCTCCTTCCCCGAAGTCTTCCGTGCACAGAAACTAAGTAGGCATTTCTCAACTAATAGTACACAAGCTACACTAACGAACCACAGCCACAGCCACAGGCCCAGACACTCCCATCTCGAACTATGCTTCAATCGTACGAGCCTGTACCTCCCGTCCTCAAGACAACAATTCTCCCTGCTCCTCCCCCTTTCCCTCTCCCACAACGCCGTCCGGCCCAAACACAAAATACAAGTCTAAACTAGCCGTGTGCAGAAACGCCCAGGGTCACCGGGTAGACAGCCCAATCCACTTCTCGACGCGAGCAAACATAGAGGCTCTCAAACAGCAAAAATTCTGCAACCAGTATCATATCCTGGGCTCTTGTTCATATGGCGAGGGATGTACGCATAAGCATGGTCAAAGGTTGGTGGATCAGGATGTCATTGATCTGAAGTATATTGCGAGGTTTAGTGCTTGTAGTCGAGGGTTGGAGTGTGAGGATGAGACCTGTACGAGTGGACATCGGTGTATACAGAGGAGTTGTCCTGGGGCGGCGTCTGGGTGTAAATTTGGGCCAGAGATGCATGGGGTTGATACGAAGATTGTGACTGTTATTTGAGTGAGTGTATTAGGAGATGGATTAGGGTAGTGAGTTCGTACGGGGGATTGGCCAGACTGATTTTCTGTTGTTTCCACTGTTCATAAGAGGTCATGGGAGAATGGCAGGACTTTGAAGTTACATCTCGTTCAGCAAAGCGTCCCTCCTATGTAGTGGAAGATCGTCCGAAAGATGAAAATAGCTTGAGAATCCATTATGGACAGGGTAAGACTATATAGAACCAAAGTACTGTTTCTGAATTCAATGATCTGAATTGCCACTGACAAAAGATTTATTATTCCCTGGCAAAAGTCAAGACATATACTGAATATCAAATCAAGCGCTCATGCCGCGGCCCCGATCCATTAAAGTAATCAGACATTCTGTTCAAGATATTTTCAAGAAGGCTCGTACAAAAGAGACTGGAGAAAGAAGGGAGAAATCTTGCTCTTGAACGGGCAAAATGGTTAGAAAGGATCAAACGCCTGCACGCTCCTTGAAGAACTCCGGCTTTTCACCTACCGGTGCGCAGATCATGGAGAAAACATTGGGTATATACGAAATGGGATGTAGAAAGGAAATATGTAACGAAAGAGGTCGGATAGGGAGGAAGGGGGGAGCAGGGATGAAAAGAGGTGGGAAGAAAGAGGAGCAAAAGATGGCCATGGGAAGGGCATGACACCAGTCATGGTGGTTTTGGGACAAGTATGCGGAATATGATATGACAAGAGAAACACTAGGTCTTCCACGGTGGCCCGATTACACGGCAGACGGCCCAGCCTCGAGCTTCTTGCGAGCAACAATAATACTCTTCAGGGATCCCAGCCATCGCGCAAGGGACTCTTCATCCGGAGCACAGAGCCGATACGTTTTCTCCTCGGCAATGATCTGCATGCAAAGCGTCTTGGACCGGGACATGGGGTCCACCTCCGCCGCATCAATCACCTGGGACATGGAGATGATCTTGATGGCCGAATATTCCTGGTCATCCTTGTAGAAAGCCAGACTCTTTGGTCGCAAGACGACCCATAGCCGTTTCCACTGACGCACCGTACCCTTGATACGGAGTCCCTGCAGATAGCCTTGGCAAACTACTCGCTCCGGGTCCCGTAGGAGAGCCAGGTCGGACTGACGGCTCGTATCTCGCGGCAGAGACATGGGTTTGTCCTCCGGTGCCGAGAGAGACAGGGTGTGAATTGAGGGCATTGACCGGAGGCGGCTGTTTCGGGTCGGAGGGCTCCCATTGTCCGAGAGCTCCGAGTAGGAGGTGATCTCGTTGCCCGAGTAATCCTGCGTGTAAGGGGGTTTGCGGGCGCGGCCGCTTGTAAACAATCGATGGCCGAGTTCGGGGGAGCTAGCCCGACCTGCTCCAGCGCTTGCGCCCTCGAAATCGGAATGTTCGGTGGTATCCTCGACCAATTGTTTCTGGATAGCAGGTGGCTCTCGTTTCCGGGATAGAGCGAGAAAGGCGGCCTCGTCTTCGTCTGCGGGGGTTTCGCCGCGAATGCGGTTAATCCAGTCTTCGGCATCGCGCTCCGACAGGGCTTCGAAGCGGTAATTTTTGGAAGGGGTAAAGATGCCAAAGACATGCTTGCGATTGGAGCGTGGGGATTTGACGGGAGCGACAGCCGTGACTTCGGAGAGGGAGATAGAGACGCGGAGACGGGTGGTTTCCTCGTCTTTGTAGACAGACAACAGATTCGGGCGGAGGACGAGGTAGGCGGGTTTCCACGAGGCTCGGAAGACGTGCTTGTGCTTCACGCGCCGGGAGACCCGACCGGTCTTGAGGACGCGATCGAATTCGAAGCTACCATTCTCGTTGACGGGGGAGAAAGTGTCGACATTGATTTGGCCGTTGCGGGAGGGGGGCGGGCGGAGACGAGAGAGTACATCAGGGACTGGGATAGCGGAGGTTTTGGAGCTCTGCCCCTCCGCAGCCAAGGGACGAGTGAGGACTTGACTCATGACGGTGATGAGAGCCTCATGTATCTGGAGAGGTGGGGAGAAAAAGAATTGAAGCAGCGGTAGGTCCTTGTTTCGAGATCACGGTGCAAAGGAAAAGGGGGGGGGGAGGGAACCTCGCAGTGGTGCGGCCATGCAAGTTGGACGATCGTTTCCCATTGACCCAGTGTCAAACCCCGGGCCCCCTGTGAATTGTGGTGCAGTTTGGGGTCTTCTGTTTTGGAGTTGTTAGTTGAGGGAGGATACTATCGTGAGGACGTTGATCATGAGGTTAGAAGGTCTGATGTCAAAGCTAGCGGGGGCACGAGTCATTTCTGGCACTCCCGCAAATTATTTCCAGGGCGAGCATGACCCAGTCATTTTTCTCTTTCGGGTAGAAAGTATATATATATATATATATAGATACTCTTAGGGGAGGCGCATCGGAAGTACGAGCAAGAAGCACCAGTGAATTTGTGATGACGAAAAGGTCAGGTGATAACCCATACGGTATAACTCATGTGGGTGCCCGTTGGGATCCTGTTTAAGTTGTAGATATCGCGTCGACTATATACACATCTTGCTCACTTAAAATGTGACTGCCTGCCAGGCTACTTTCCTTTTCCTTTCCAGTAAACGGACACACGAACAGGGTCCAGACCGGGCCCTTCAGGCCACATCGCCCGTACGGAAAAAGTGGAGTCGTCAAATTGGCAGGCCCCTCTCTTCCTGTTCCGGAATAATACTTTGCTCGGCGGTAACGATCGAAGACGGAAGAATCAGACAGCGAGAGAGATAATGTGTATGTCGTCAATGAAAAAAATCTTAGTACTTGGGCCAAGTTATCTCCGGAGCCACACGGCAGCCGTGTGACTTCTATCAGGATTCTCTACGATCGACCTTGCTTTCGAAGGAATTACCTCGCCAATCAGATCCCTTTCAACATCTAAGCTAGCTCCAGGCGTAACGGGCCCTTGGACCCTCGATCGCCATGCACTAGTTCCAGAACGACGGTCGGGAGATAACCACGAGTCCGACTTGCTCACCTAGGAGGCTAACCGGTAAATCTCTTGGATATATTATGGCTACGGGATGAATACGTTTGACCATAGTCTACTGGCACTGCCACCACTACTGTAATATGGGGATGTCCCGATAGCATTCGACTAATAGATCGGATCGACTGGAAATCTTATTAACGCGTGAATGGAAATGGAGACATGCGAGAGAGACAAGCATCGAGAAGCACCCAGCCAAGACTTTCTAGGGGGTGTACCAGTAATTCAACCCACTTCCTATGTACACAAAATCCTGGGAGGGAAAATATGGAACGATAGTTTGTCGCTGCTCCGTAGTGGTGCATTGACCCCGGTACCACAACGCTACGCAGGGGCGTGGGCCGGTAGACCTGGGCCGAATTGGAATATAGCAGGACACTGCTCCGTGTAGTAGGAATCAGGAGATATCGAGAGTCAGAGAGATCATACTATCTCAGTAAAACTTGAACTGACGAGTCCGACTATTGTAGAACTCTCTGTAGAGTACGGAGTACAGCGACGATCATTGCTGGTACTCCATGCATGTGGTAATTGACCCTGATGCGATAACCAAAGATACGGAGAAATAAAAAAAAACCCGACGGAAATAAATTACGCCAAGTTACTACTCATTACCTGGCGGTACGCCTCAGTGGCGGATCACCCAGGGGCAATGGGAGTGGCAGAGGGCAGAGAATTTTTATGAATTAGGCAAATGGCAGCCGGCCAGGGACGAGATTACCGCAAGGTTCCATGAAAAGTAACGAAATTAACGGTGCGGGTGTGACACGGTAGTACGGCGTAAAAATCCACAAAGGCAGGAGACGAGAAGAATAAAAAACCACGACGTGAAACGACTAAAACGACCGAAAAGAACGAGAACCGACACGCTTGCGCCTCCCTGGTCTTGGCACCACTTCCAACCCATCCCCATCCCCGACCTGCCCCTACTCGACTCTATTCTCCTACTCACCCCCCTCCTCCTACTCATTCCCCTCTCCCCATTCCATCTCCATCCATTCATGTCCTCAACCTCGCCTCTGTGGACCTCGTTGTGCACCACGGCTGTCTGCGTTGCTCCCGACGCCCTTCCCATCTGCCATCTCGGCCTCTGAGAAGGAAAGTTGGGGGAGGAAAGGAGGCATTCCTCCGGCCACTCGTTTTTTTGGGTCTTTGAGATCTCGATCACCCCAAGTCCCGTATTGTCTAGGCTCCACCGTCCGAGGTTGGTGATCTCGTCGAGACCTTCTTCGCTCGTCGTGATCGACTGCGACTTGACAATCCCCGTTTCAAACCCACAACTTGTCTCTTCCGTCGTCCCCTGATCTCGGCGCTGGGACATTCGACCACGATTTTTGGCCCTATTGCTCCGGGTCCGTTGATTTGACCATCGCGGGGTCTTCGACGCATACCACTCCCCAATCGCACTCATGAGCTTCATTCAACGCATCACGAAACGGCTGCCCAGCGCGCCGAGCCTTCCTATCGACGATGCCCCCCGCGAGAAGGGCCGCAATCCCTCGCGGTTCGCCTTCTTCCGCAGGCGCATTCGATTGAAGGGCAACTCGTCGATTTCTATACCCCTGGGATTTGTTTTACTATTTCCATGCCTTGTAATCGTCTTCATCCTACTTTTATTCGTCCGACATCCTTCGTCTCCCGGGGGTATCCTAATTCCAGCGGGCACTCCGCCCTCTATCCGGTTCGTGTGGCCCCCTACTGATTTGTAGAGAAACAAACTGGAAAACAAAGTACGAGTTACTGACTATGGCATGTCGTGGTCTACAGAAAAATTAGCGAAAAATATGACAAAGTCTTCGCGACGGGTTGTCTCCCCATAGACCAGGCCCGTATCGACAAGGAACCTCGCGCCAATGCCGCCTTTGTCGTTCTGGCGCGGAACAAGGAGTTGGACGGTGTGATCCAGTCGCTCAAGTCGATTGAGCGTCACTTCAACCGCTGGTACCACTACCCTTACGTTTTCCTGAACGATGGTGACTTCGACGAGGAGTTCATGGCCACCGTCAAGAATTACACTAGCGCTCCCGTGGAATTCGGCAAGATTGACAACACCATGTGGGGTTTCCCAGATTGGGTTGACCACGAGGTCGCCAAGGAAGGCATCCGGAAACAAGGTGACGCTGCTATCATGTACGGTGGTATGGAGAGTTATCACCACATGTGCCGGTTCTACTCTGGGTACGTGACTTGTTTTCCGGCAAAGATGTCGCCAACCGGCCAATTTTACTGACTCAACATCAATAGACACTTCTACAAGCACCCCCTCCTGATGAAGTACGAGTGGTACTGGCGCTTGGAGCCGGAGATCAAGTACTTCTGTGATATCACCTAGTAAGCAGCACCCCTGCTATGCCAGGCGACTCGGTTGCTAATTTTGAATGTGCAGTGATCCTTTCATCAAGATGGCAGAGGCAAACAAGACCTACGGCTTTACTATTGCAGTCAAGGAGCTTCGCGAGACCGTTCCCAACATTTTCCGCTACGCAGCGGCCTACAAGCGCAAGAACAACCTCAAGTCCAAGGGTTTGTGGGAGATGTTCTTGGAGCGCCCCGCAGAGGAGGAGAACCCGGCCGAACCCGAGAAGAAGCAGGAGAAGCTTCCCGACGAAATCCTCCTGACCGAACCTGGTGACAAGAACCTTGACGACATTGACCCCGAGGCCATGGAAGGCGAGAGCTACAACATGTGCCATTTCTGGAGTAACTTTGAGATTGCGCGCTTGGATTGGTTCCGCAGCAAGGCTTACGAGGATTTCTTTAACATGATGGACCGTAGCGGAGGGTTCTGGAATGAACGAGTGAGTTGATCATGATTCCCAGGCAGCCTTTTGTGGCCTCAAAACTAACTTTCTCCGTTTAGTGGGGTGACGCTCCTATCCATTCCCTTGCCGCCGGTGCTTTGCTCTCTCCCAGTGACATCCATTACTTCCGTGACTTTGGATACCGGCATACTACCATCCAACATTGTCCGGCTAACGCCCCCGCTCGGCAATTGCCTCGCGAGCCGTACCTCGAAAAGACCACCGACGATGAGAAGAAGCGGATTGAAGAAGACGAGTACTGGGCCACTCCAGACCCGGTCAAGGAGAACGGTGTTGGCTGCCGTTGCCGCTGCGACACCGACATTGTGGATGTCGAGGGCAAGCAAGGTAGCTGTCTTGCCGAGTGGGTCGAAGTGGCTGGTGGCTGGGCCTCCCCATAAAAGCCATTTTCTCCACATACGAGGCCCCGCCGTTCTCCTTGCATCGTTTCTCTTTCCCTGCTTCTCCATGCCTTTTGCTTTTCAGCCTTGAGCATCACCTGGGATTTGTCTTGCCCGGGCGGAGTTTTCTTGCTGAAATTCGCATGTTACGTTGAGGTTCCATTTTCAGGCGGCGTTCAATGGATCTGACGGCTTGTTTTTTTATTTGGAAGATGGCGTGACCATTTTCTCCATCATCCATGTTGACATATTCATCTAGCGTGCTGTCCGCGTCATTGGGGTTGTCTGTGTTGTGTGTTTCATTGTTTTCCTCCGCTTTCTTTCTATATGGTCGACGAAGGGAGGCTCTTGTCAGATGCGTCTCGAGGCCGTCGACAACTCAGGATTTTCGATCGATTGTTGTGGACGGGTATAAATACTATCCCGGGATCACCGGAACCCCGTCATTTGTTCTTGCCTCTCTGGTCTGCTCCAAATGGTGCCCTTGAACACTTTTGAGTGGCCTGAAGACGAGCGCCTCACTGCAATGGACACAGCAGCCCAATCTCAAGTGACTGCCCACACCTATGAGGTGTATGAGAGGAAATGGGATTGTCGGGGGAGAACGGTATCACATCCCGTCGTCTCGTGGTTTCCTGTCTTGTTGGTTTGTTTTCTGTTTTTCCAATTTTCTTACCCTTTTTATCTGTCACTACTACCACCCATCTTGCTTCCCGTTTCTTCCCACAACTTCCCTAGTACTCGCCCCCGTGGTTCTCTTTTGCCTCCAGCATGCATTCACGAGATGTACATACGTTGTTCTTCTATCCCCTCTAAACCGTCCTTTTGAGCTCATGGCACATAGCCATGGGCCTGTATCCCCCCCTACCACCCTCGCATTGCCTGCAAACGTCGCAAATACCAGATTCGAGCATGGCTGTCTATAGAGTATGGAATAATCACCCGGTGAATTACGCGAAGAATGAGATCAGTATAATGCGTTCTTGCTCGTTTGTTGCCTTCTAGAGAGTACTAAGAGTCCGTTCAAGGTTTACCGAGGATGGATCATCATAGATCTTGGTGATGGATCCACTAAGGAGCACTTGAGCAACCACGATGATCACTCAACCTCGTCCCACTCATCGTAGCTGTATCAACTGTTTAATACCACTTGCCATCCCGTGCCTCCACGTCGTGACTCTAGCACTTCGTCATAGTGTTGTTCGTCCAGGCTGCTCGGCAATCTACCGAGATACCCCGATCGTGTTAGTTTACGATGACGGAAAGCACGCGTCTAACGTAGTAAGATTCATAGAGAAAGTCTTAATGAGAAGTGATTGCCCTAAAAATCAAGAAATTATCCGAACGAAGATCCCGGCTATTTGACCTCGTCAGGATCAACCCAATGACCAAGGCAGTACCGGCAGATTCTCGGCAAAACCCCCCCCCTCGCTAGCATGGCGACCATGGCAAACCGTGAATACAAGAACTCTCTGTCTCCATTTCGAATACTACAGTTGCTTTTCCTACTAAATCCCCGCAGCGTGGGAGGAAAAGGTAACATCCACGAGGGGAAGGTGAAGAGGGGTTTTAAGGAGGGGGAAAAGTGTTATGTAGGTGCCGATCAATAAACTCCCAAGCTTGCCCCCTCTCCATCGGCCATTAGATATCTTCCCGCATTACCAGCCCTATGATCGTTCCGTTATTTTTCATGCTGGGTCTGGCTGCGGCCTTTAATAATCCCCCCGGCGTGGATATCTGGTGTGGGAAGGCCTACCGTGCTACGTACGTGATCGCAAATCGCAAGTCAAAAGGGGGTGAAACCTAGCTAATTGATTATGCAGAAATGTGTCCTTTGAACCTGGGGGTTGGCTGGAGCAGCCAGACCGGTCTGCCGTGCCGCTTCTAGATTTACGTGTTCGGCCGCGTATGAGCTTGTATACCCCTGGTGATGACCAGGGGTCGTTCATTGTTGACGCGGACATCTCCTATATTCGTGGAGAGCCCCTCGAGGGACCGGGAGGCGAGCATGACACTCAAAGTCTCGAGGTGGAGATTCTCGTTGATGAGACACAATTGAAATTGCAGCACACTTTCAAGGTGAATTCAACGTCAAATGAGTTGGGTTTCCCTCTTGAGAGTCTTGCGCCGCGCTTTCAGCCCTACGGCGTGACCCTCAAAGCCACACGGCCGAATGGTGAGCGGGTATACACCGCGACCACGGAGATATACCGTCTCCCAGATCGCACCGACGGAGGCAGTGTTACAAAGGTCGACAGTCTCTATGGCGGAATACTAGTCCAGAACAAGACCTCCCGCTCTCCCACATGGAGTCCCCTCTTACCATACTCATTCTACGTGAGCTGGGACGGCTGGCTCCAGAAGTCCCTCGACAACGTCCAGAACTTCAAAGACCAGGGATACAACATCATCCACATCGTCCCCAATGCCGGCCTAATCAACCAAGCCTTCAATTTCACCGAGCTAAACCAGTTCCTGGATAAATGTGACCAGATTGGGTTATGGGTGATGTACGATATGCGCTGGACGTATCAGAATCTCACCTCCGTGAGAGACCAGGTAAACATGCTCAAGACACGAAAGAGTATGCTACTCTGGTATACCGGCGACGAACCCGACGGTCAAGGCGATCCATTAAACGCCACGAGAATCACCTATGATCTTATCAAATCTCTAGATCCATGGCACCCAGTCTCGCTCTGTTTAAACTGCTACAATTTCTACTTTGAAGAATACTCCTCCGGCGCCGATATCATCTTATCGGACGTATACCCGATCGCGGTCAACACCAGCTGGTCCGTCGTCTACGATACGGCCTGCAACACGACCTACGGCTGCTGTGGCTGCGACGATTGCGAGGGCACACTAGACGATATCTCCGTTCGCCTCGACCTCTTTGCCGAGTACCAGTCTTGGATCGGATCTGCTCCTAAACCCCTCTGGGGCGTGCCCATGGCCTTTGGAAACGAGTCATTTTGGACGAGATATCCCACCGCCGACGAAGAAGTGACCATGACCATGCTCAGCGTGAATCATAATGCAAAGGGGATCGTGATGTGGGATTATCCGACGAGCACGGAACTTGCGCAGGTGACCAGTGAATTGAGTCGGGTTCTTGCTAGTGAGGAAGTTGCGAGGTTTTTGTTAGGCGCGCCCACGGTCGCGTTGCAGGTGACTGGCCATGGGAAGATGGACGTTGCGGGCTGGAGGATTGGATCGAAGATGCTCGTTAGTATTTTGTCATTGCAGGCGTCTGCTTGGACGTCGAGGGTTATGATTGCGTTGCCAGATGGTGCTCGGGGAGTGAATCAGGTACTCTGGGGAGCGGGGGCGTGGAGGGTTGTAGGGGGGCAATTGGTGAAGACGGGGGGACAGGGATTGGAAACTGATTTGATGATGGTTGAGTTTGAGGGGGGGCATTAGATGTGATTGATTTTGAATGTAGACAGATCCTCAGTTCATGGATAGGGCTCTTTATGCCTCGATCCAAGTCCAATTATGTCGTGGGCGTCGGCCGTTGATCTCTTCGAGTACGGTATACTTTCACCAGACAACAGTGCCGCGGACCATGGCTCGGTGCCTCGAAACTACTGTAATATCCGGTCCACCAGTCGGCGATGACAATTAAACTCAACTTAGCATATCGTGCCGTTTTCGTGCTTTATCTCCCGGGTTGCGATAAGTGATACCGCGGCTTCATTCGCTACAGATTGCGAACGCAATCACCCCGGCGCGTGCTCAATTGCCCCATTGAACCCATGTTCAGGGTTACTTCGATCACGTATATCAGAGACGCATCTCTCCCCTGACTCTTTCCAAAATCCCCCAAAAAATCTATGCTTCTGATTTTTACCCCGTATCCCTGAAATCCAATCTTCTTAAAAGCAACAAGTCCCACGCACTCTCAAGAGATGATGACGACTGTAAGCACCGTGACAACGACTATCATTCTCGAGGCGGAGAAACCACAATCTGTTCCGCTCGAGACGGTGAAATACACCGATCTCCTAGAGAAAGATGCCCTTGAAACCTCTAAGCTTCTTCGATCCTGCCAAAGCCCAGGGGTCTTCTACCTGGACATATCCGGCTGCAATGCTTATTTCAACGGCGACGCCTACCTCGAAAATATTCAGTTCTTGTCCCAACAGCAAGAAGAATACTTTTCTCTACCGTTCCACGCTAAAATGAAAGATTATCTCAACTTCCCTGCCGAGAAGGGATACCAGTACTCCCAAGACATCGAGACATTCGACATACCCTACAGTTCCTTTCAAGAGGATGATATACCGTCTCCGCTGGATGCTCTGTCGATCTATTTCATGGTGGCACATACACATGCGATTGCAATCAATCTAATTCGCAGTCTATCACCGTTCATCGGCAACGAAGACGTCCGGAAATATATTACCTCCATGCACGATGAAAGCGATATATCGCGCTCCGGAATGAAATTAGAGAATCTCATGGCTGCGGAAAAGGAAAAGTCGGGGTATATGCATGCCTCGGGGAGTACTGACGGAGGATCCCTTTCACTACGTTTTTGCGACGAGGCGATGATCGAGTATCTGGACGTGGAGACTGGGGATTGGGCATATATTGAGCCTCGTAGGGATTGTCTGGTTGTCCATGTGGGGGATTTGTTATGTGCTGCTAGTAAAGGCCAGTTCCGGGGGCCGCTGCATCGTGTGGGACACCCGTTGGTTGGCGCTGAAGATCGCCGGTGTATGACGTATCATCTATGGCCTACGGATGGCTTGGGATGGCGTGGTAGATAGGATTGATTTGGACAGACGTAGCATTTCAGTAGACATGAGGAAATAATGCAACAATAATTGAAAGGGGCTCAATTTTCTATGAAATGAATCAGCGACCGGAACGAGCGTAGAGATCTTGAAGAACGTGTATATCGCGTGGGGGAAAAAAAGGAGAAAGAAAGATGTATCTGAGAACGACAAAAGAAAATGGGTCTCAGGCTCCAAGGCAGCCCGGAAGTATAACATTAAAGGAGTAAGGGAAAGAACAACAAAAGGCTGGCCATGATTCATCAAATCGGGGGCAAAATGTGTTATAAGATCAAAAGTACGAAGACCAAAGCGAAATAATCAAAGTTCTGTCAACTCCACAACCTAAACTCCTCCCACCGTATCAAACCATACGATGACAGTTGCGCAGATGTTGCGTAAGAGTATCTGCACGGTTACACACCTTGGGGCAGCCTGGAACTGAGCAGGGATGAGCCCGGGGAGTCCAATGCATATTCCGAAGGTGACGAATGAGGGAAGATTCACGGTTGAATGTACCAGGATAATGGCAGCCGTCCCACCTGCAGTGTAAGATGGGGACGGGGGCGTTGGTATGGACATTGGCATTGGCATTGGCGTGCGGGCCGCTGGAGCCGCTAGTTAGCTTTGGTCATAGGAACGAAGTACGGACAACTAGACGGGAGTTGTCGAAGCATAATACCTAATTACATGGTGGTTGTCTATGGCTAGGGTATACTGAAGGTTTCGAGGTGGCTCATCCGCCTCGGCATAAGCCTGATGTCTACTTCCCTCGTGGTTGGTGATGGGGAAGCCCGGGTTGTGAGATACCCGAGGACGGCGTAGGACGTCGGTCTGAGTATCAAGGAGCTGTGATAGAAGCTTTCAGGGTTAGGCAAAGAGGGTCAAAGTGCTTGTGGGAAGTTCAAGCATACACTGCTAACGGGGCGGTGGACTACACTTGGGGGCACGCTGGACGATGGCATGGCACCACTCAAATCCTTGCCCTGGATGTGTACTGCCCAGGGGTCCGGTACATTTGCTACGCCTCCCTCACCGGGTTGTGCGTAAGCGCTCAAGCTTGGAACTGCCTCGTCGACCGTAGAGAAGACTGGTTGACGTCCCGTGGCAAAAGATACACTCCACCCGGCATTTGGGGCCTGGACTGGAGTCACTAGGCCCGGTGTAGGACGGAGAGAAGAACCGTCTGGATAGTAGCCAAAAGTACGTTCAAGTCGGCGGTTCCCGTCCCATGCGCTGGGATGATCAATGGGCCACGCCATGGTAGGCCGACGGCTGTCAGGGCCAAGCAGAATGATTAAGAGAAGAAGATGAGGGCCAAAGTAGTTTGTGATCTGGTGACTCTGGCATGGGGAGAGAGGGTTCTTTTATAACAAAACGCTACATACATGGCGCTCAGGTGCTATTGCAATAAGATAGACACGATGCGATATAAAGAAAAAGAAAAGATAAAATGACAAAAAGACGGTACAAATGTGCCGAACGGACGGGGAAGCAGATCCGAAGATCTCATTCCTTGAAAAATTAACATTGTACGTGTTGACGGGGGCTTCCAGAAGAGAGCAAAAGTCCAATCGACTCCAACCACGTACCGACACCGACCACAGCTTTGCGGTATTTCTCTTTCTCGCACCCGTTAGATTGGTTCCGGGGTGGGACAAAAGGCTGTGTACTTATGGCGCCCACGACTGCTCAGATTCGTCGCCTTCTCGACGAATTCGCTTCGAAAATCGCCCTTGGCTGATCAAAAGTACTGCGGCCCTCGCGGAACAAGGTGTCAAAAGTACATATGCACACCCAGGGAGAGGATAGCGGGCTTCCTACGGGGGGCCTTTCCCATTTTCTCAGCCCATGTATCGCACTCTTGGGGCGATGCAAGTTTTCCCGATCTAGTCCGTAGCCAGCTCGTCCTCGATCGACCTGTCAGATTTGTTTCTGACAGCCTTCGTGACGAACCCGACCGATCTGCTCCTGCACCCATAAGTACTGACGCTGACTTTGGCACTGCCAACGGTCTGCCGCGGTAAGTGCATGGCGTTTCCGATTTGATGAGCAGAGCAACGAAAGACCATAAAAGCATATTTGACTTTTCAGGGATCTTTCCCGCTCGTTCCGATTTTTACTTTGCTTTGTCCTTCCTTGATACGCATTAAAGTATCCCGGGGACCTGGTGCTTGTATCCCTCGACCCGTTCCCATAGTTCGGCAGCCATCCCGCTGCGATCCCATAGCTAAACGCGAAGTCTAGAAAATCAAATATTATAGAATTAAGTGGCCCAACCCATGTAATTGGGTCTTTATATTCGAGACAACTTGAGCTACCCAGATGACGGGTAAGGCGGGTTCGTATATCACGAAGCCCGAAGATCGTTGGATGAAGGAGCGCCATCGAAGGCTCAAGGCTGAAGAGTGTATACCGAATACATGGGACCAGCATCAAAATGGGTGCTTAAGTATTACCGAGTAGCTACCCAAATTGCTTCCAGTCAAAACCCTAGTCGAATGAGTTCCCCTCCCTGCTAATGTCTCGGGTAACACTCACTGATAAAACAGGGACGGGACGACCACCCCGCCTTGAAGGCCCACGTTCAGATACTTGATTGAGGCAGACCCGGGGTAGATATGGCAGGCTATAAGCTGTCATGGGTATAGCGCTTCCGCACAGTTGTCTCTGTGTGCCGGCAAGCCCTTCCTGCCCTTTCTCACGATGCTATATTTAGTTCGTGTGCCTAAGTAACCGAATTCTACTCTTCCTGGCTTGACCTCTGATCGCCAGACCATCCCGATTTCTTGTTTTTTTTGACGATAGCTCTGCCGTCACGATCTTTGATCCCGAAATCAGAGACCTCACTCCATACGGTGCTACATCGGACGGTCAGCAATGGATTCTCAACAACAAGATTTAAAGGGGTGATACAGACTCAAATTGTGTCTTGTGGAATGGAGCTCTTTTGACCATGTCGATCCAGCTTATAACAATCTCACTCTGCAAAGTGGCAAGGCTGAACTAGGCACGAACTCGAGTCAAGTTTGGCAATACTTCTACATGAATGCGTTTGATGTGGACCCCGAAGCGCTCACGTACCTCATATCTGCTTCGAAGCATGTGCACTCCAATTTCCTTATTGGCAAAGGTGTGAACTTCTGTTGTCAGCACGAGACTCGCATGCATAAGAAGTACCTACACCATGAAATCAAGGGGTCCAAAGAGATCTTTCTTGGACAACTCTGCTCATGAAAATCTTGAAGGAGGTCCCGATCTCGAAACTCGTAAGTATAGCGCCGACAGGGTGGTGGAACTCGATACAAAGACGCAAAATGCTATTTTTATCGCCAGTTTCCGGGCCACAAGAGACATCTCAGTCGGATCGTAGGAAAACTCACAATTCCTCCCAAATGCATTCATCAGCTGGGGATATAACGGTGCCATTTCCGATCACAAGCCAGATGGAGCGAATATCTTCAGTTCCAAAGTTGACTCGGGTCGACCCGGTTCAGGGTCGGAGAATTATCGTGCCTTCGGCTTTGAATGACATGCTTTTTCTTACGAGGAGACAGCTTTGGCGGCCTTTGAGGATTTAAATGGCACTTTGTGCTATGTGAGCTGGAATGGGGACACAGAAATAAAAGGTTGGAGATTCTCTGAAGAGACTGCCAGCGGCAAGAGAATGCTCTTGGTGAATGCGACCAGAAATGGCTTCGCGGCCAGCTTTCACAGCAAAAGAAACTTGCCTTGGTAGTCGCTGAAGCGTACAATAGCCGCGGTGGTAAGTTGGTGTCCTCCCCAGCCATTGAAGCTCTGAAGTACAAGGCTCGGCTAGCTTATCCCTAGTGTGACCTGACCTGTGTCATGATCTTCACGTTCGGCTAGCTTCTAGAAGCCATGGAATGACAAAATGATTCAGTCTCATATTTGGGGTAAATTTGCAGGAACCTTAGTTCACCAGGCAGCATCCATTAGGGAAAGAATTTCCAATATCACAGATCTTATTTTGAGATTGCTCCGACCGATAATTTACGTATAGAAAAACTCATTCACAAGATAGCCGACCCTGGAAGTCGGTACACTTTTGAATCGTCACACATCAGTCGCGGCGTTTGCCAATATATTCCTATAAGAACCCGACAACTGTTATCACGATATTGTCATCATCGGTCAGAGATTGATTTCGATGCATTTACGTAATTGAAAATGGAGTTTTACTCTGTAGTTAGACAGTGAATCCAATGTTTACCACGAACTGGATCCGATCAGGGTCTTCAGGGTCCTCCTCTCGAGGGCTCCTCCCCCCCCACAGAGACCCATTTTTGAGTCTGCCTATTTTGCGAAAAGTGTCCGGACTAAATGCCCAAAATTGGTCCCCACGAGGTCCTCACCAAGCTGGCTAATTTAATCTAGGTCAATAACCCGTTTCAAAGCCAAAGGTGACCTATCATCTTTGACTCGGTATAGATCCAAAAAGACCCTTTTTGGGTTCCTTGGCTCCATTTGCTTGCCCTGATTCGAGTACCCGAAACCGATCCGTGAAACAATACGAAACAGCTCGCACCAATATAGTTTTTTATAATCGACGACCGGTTCGACTGATAGTACACAAAGCTTTAGCGTCACCGAAATTTACCCCATTGGCTTTGTGTAAATATCTCCAAATATATAAAAGACTAGATGTAGCACCCTCGCGAAATCAATTCTTCGCTCCAGCCCAAAAGAAATATCCCCTTGATACTTCACTTTCCTCCCAAATATTTAATATGAATCTCCGTCTACTGACCCTTGCCCTCGCGGGCCTCGTGGCTGCGAGCCCAATGGATCTTGAGGCTCGCCAATGTATGTCCAAAACAATCGTGATACTTGCTGCACTACCCCATCAAAATCTGCCAGCATTGTGTCTAACTTCCCATGTTCAGCGTCTACTGGAGATGAGGTCCGCACCGGCTCTTGCAAGCCGATTACTTTCATCTTCGCGCGTGCCTCAACCGAGCCGGGTCTGCTGGTGTGTTCTCTGTGTGCTCAATCATCCGTTGAATCTATGCTAAATTATTTTAAAGGGTATCTCTACTGGCCCCGCTGTCTGTAATGACTTGAAGGCCGCCAAAGCAAACCAGGTGGCCTGCCAGGGTGTCGGACCTGCCTACACGGCCGACCTGGCTTCGAACGCTTTGGCCGCAAACACCTCCCCAGCTGCCATCGAAGAAGCCGTCGGTTTGTTTGAAGAAGCGGTGCGCAAGTGCCCGGATACTCAAATCGTTGCTGGAGGTTATAGTCAAGGCACTGCTGTCATGGATGGTTCCATTTCCAAGCTTCCTGATAATATCAAGGAGAAGATCAAGGGTGTTGTCCTGTTTGGTTACACCCGCAATGCTCAGGAGAAAGGTCAGATCGCCAACTTCCCCAAGGACAAGGTCAAGATCTACTGTGCTGTGGGAGATATGGTCTGCGACGGCACTTTGATTGTGACTGCTGCGCACTTTTCCTACGTCGCAAACACGGGCGATGCCACACAGTTCCTGCTGTCGAAGCTGAGCTCGTCGTAAGTATGACCAAGGTGTATTATTCTTCCTTGCGAGCTGGCCTGGAAATTGCGACCACTTCAAATGTCTCTTGAATGGCGCTGGAGGTTCTTGAAATCGGATCTTACTGAGTATTGATATATGCTACACTCCGCTATATGTATGGTTTTTCCTGCCATTATTTCTATGATTTATGTTGATATTTAAACCGAATATGATCGCTGTCGCTGCTGATGTCTCCTGTTCATTTTGGGTCTCAACAAGGGGGTAATGCTATCAGTAATGATCATGAGTATCGCCGTAGACGCTTATCAACTCGCTAACATATCCATAATTTGCTCCATATTAACCGGGGGCATAACCTGAAAGCTTTGGCGACCATTCAATTCCATAGTTACAGTAACAGGTATTTGACAAGTCCCATTCCAATGTGAGGCCTGATAGCAAAATGACCCTCACAGTAAACATCTCCGCCATGAACTCCGGATTCTCAAGCTTCTCTCGCGATGGGAAGAAAACTATCTATCGAGCATGGGGCACTAATTCCACCCAAGGCGATGAGTCCCTGCTCGGTCTTCGCGTGTTGAAACTAGAGACTCGGAAGATCTCAGTTTTGATAATGGAGTCGGAAAATCTGCCATTCTTCTCGCTAAATAAAAGTCGTATCGTTTTTACTCGTAAGACGGGCGCGACTGACTACGATATTTGCACGATGAGACCAGAAGGGCACGATTATCAAGGTACTGCCCGACAAGCAATGGGGCGAACGATACCCACGCAATGTGGACCCATGATGGGCGTATCATATACTCCCCTAGCATGTTCGATTTCCAATATGAGTGTGCCTTGTCTGATCAGACTTTCTAGCCTTATGCACAAATTGTCATTATGGATGTGGATGGGTCTAAGAAACGGGTGCTCGCCGAATCGATCTGGGCAGGACTCTACGCCTCCGTCCGTCCCGAACTCGGCGCTGTAGAACAGCCCTAATTGAATGGCGTGTCGCGGACCTAAGCTGGAGAACTAGAGTGCGGGGTATTGGACAGCTGACGAAAGACTGGAGTGGCTTTCTTGTATACATGAATTGAATGAATTCTATATCTAGGCTTAAATCAAGCCATCCAATAGACGGCTTATCAACCACGCAAGGCGGATCTGTCATGCAAACTACTGCAGGTACGAGAATGAGTACATTGCTGCTAAGAAAATTTGCAAGGGAAATTATCAATCATTGGGACAGTCATTATACGTTTCCAGGCTAAGTATGTAGACCAAGATTCTCAGACTCTAAACCGACCGTGATTGTGCCGCTGACATGGACTGGAAGATTAACCCGAGCACCGCAAAACTTAAGTTGATCGAATATGCCAAAGGCCCCAAAAAATGTGCCAGATCTTGCCACTGAATGCATGTGCAATGCAGGGTTGCCCGAGACACGAACCTGGCAGGTGGAGACGCGCTATCGCGATGCCCGGCGCTCGGCAGGGATGGAAGACGGAAGACCCCGATTCCGGCCTGCGCAACATGGTAAAACTTGCTTTTCTCCATGAAGATGGGGCTGTCTTTGCCTTCTCAATAAGGTCATATCGTAATATACACCCTAGCATCCCCTCCCGAACGCGCTAGATCCCAACACGCGAGCTGGGCGATCAGGACATTCTCCGACGCGAGTCACTTTCGAATCGGCCCCACTGCTGATCGTGTTTTACGGGGTTTAAAGCTCCTTCATTCCTTCTAGAGCCGGGATCTCACAATCCGTAACTTAGATCGTTGTTCTTCTGTTGAAAAGGATAGTTTACTCGGTACCTCGTCTTTCAACGACTGATTGTCAAAAAGTCAATAATTTACGCAATAGAGGGAGGCTGGGGATGCTGGGCGGACAGCTCTGGTGCACGACGCAAACAATTGGGGATCCATTCATGCAATAAAGACCCGTGGGACTAGTTGACTGGCTTCAGCCTAAGCCTAGCCCCTCTCGAGTGCCAATGAGATCCGTAAACCCGGGATTCCCTGCTTTGTCGCGTCGTGCCTAGCGCGTGGGAGAAGATCCTGTGGCTTATCTGATCGTGATTCAGCCTGGCCCCAGCGGAGCCTTATTACGTCGAGCTGAAAACTCTTTTTGCGGGTAAGACGCGTTCTGCAGCGCGTTGTTGTTGGTCCTAGCTTTTAATGAGTTCGGTCGACGAGAAAATCATGGTCATTGATGTAGGTCAAGATGGGAAATGTTTGAGCCGTTTCAAGCGTGGAAGTACAGGGCAACGGGAGATAAGATCCGACATGGCAAGCAATATATGAGTGATTCGCAGCAATGAAATGAACCCTTCATAGACTGGTCGAGGGGGCTACCGCAGGCATGGCCATGGATCGACTGCCCTAGCGTCGGATGTTGCTGGAAAGCCAGTGGCATGAGAAGGCCGATTCGATTGCATTCAATTTTAGTGGAATTGTTGGTTCGACGCGCCTTGCGTCCACCCCCGGCTGATGAGGTAAGCACGGCTGGGCGCGTGGTCACGTGCAGCGTGACTTAGCCCGTCGCGCTAAAAGATTCACGTCCACCAACTACTTAACCGATTCTTCTCCCACCTCCAGCTGTCGCGCTTTCCTCATTCCCCTCCAAGCTTTTTTGCCCTTTCCCTGCTTTGTGGTGCTCGTGTTGTATCTCAATTGTTCTTTAGTGATCACATACCCTTCAACACATCTTCCAATGGCCACTCAAGTCACCCCTTCGAAGCAGGTACGTGATGTCACCACTGTCACTCTCGTAATAGACGCGTCTTGAGCATCACCTTTGACTAACGCGCGTGCTTTTCCTAGACTGCTTCCTCCTTTGAGAACCTCAAGATGAGCGACTCCCCCGTTAAGAAGCTCGACTTCCAGTCCGTCGGCAAGGAGAACGCGCCCGCGTCTCTCAAGCCCGTCGACGCGACCGCCACCAAGCCCGTCGAGAAGGCCCTCGAGGTTTCCAAAATTGCTGCTGCGATCAAGGAGGCTGAGGCCAACGAGCCCCTCCTCCAAGAGAACCCCCACCGTTTCGTCCTCTTCCCCATCAAGTACCACGAGGTTAGTCACGTCGCTGACGCGTCTACGCGTAAAGTGGTTTGGACGTGCCGGACTCGAACCTGCCACGCCAAACCACGGTCATCTCACCAACAAATTTGCTGATCATTACTCTCTCTTCTTGACAGATCTGGCAAATGTACAAGAAGGCCGAGGCCTCTTTCTGGACCGCCGAAGAGATTGATCTGTCCAAGGATCTGCACGACTGGCACAACCGTCTGAACGATGACGAGCGCTACTTCGTCTCCCACGTTCTGGCCTTCTTCGCCGCTTCCGACGGCATTGTCAACGAGAACCTGTTGGAGCGTTTCAGCGGTGAGGTTCAGGTTCCCGAGGCCCGCTGCTTCTACGGTTTCCAGATCATGATGGAGAACATTCACTCCGAGACCTACTCTCTCCTCATTGATACCTACATCAAGGAGCCCAAGCAGCGCACCTACCTCTTCGATGCCATTGACACCAGTATGTACAATCCTGTGGTTCCATTCCATCCCAAGACTGGCCTGCTAACCCCGTCTTTAGTCCCCTGCATCAAGCGCAAGGCCGAGTGGGCCATGAAGTGGATCTCCGACCGCGAGTCCACCTTTGCTCAGCGCCTGGTTGCCTTTGCCGCCGTTGAGGGTATCTTCTTCTCTGGCTCCTTCGCCTCTATCTTCTGGCTTAAGAAGCGCGGCCTCATGCCCGGTCTGACCTTCTCTAACGAGCTGATCTCCCGTGACGAGGGTTTGCACACCGACTTTGCCTGCCTGCTCTTCTCCCACCTGAACAACCGCCCCAGCAAGCAGGTTGTCGAAGATGTCATTGTCGAGGCTGTCGGCATCGAGCAGGAGTTCCTGACTGATGCTCTGCCCTGCGCTCTGCTTGGCATGAACTCCAAGCTGATGTGCCAGTACATTGAGTTTGTGGCTGACCGTCTTCTGGTTGCTCTCGGCAACAAGAAGTACTACAACGCCACCAACCCCTTCGACTTCATGGAGTCCATCTCCCTGGCTGGCAAGACCAACTTCTTCGAGAAGCGTGTCGGCGACTACCAGAAGGCCGGTGTCATGGCCTCTGCCAAGAAGGAAAACAGCGCCTCCGAGGGCGAGCAGACCCCCAAGAACAATGGCCTCAGCTTCGACGAGGACTTCTAGACTTTTTCCCTTTTCCACTAATATCCCCCCCCCCCCCCCCTCCTTTCCTCACCTCTCCGCTTCTCTTGTTTTATACCCTCCAGTTGTGGGGGTTCCCTCACGCTGTGTCTCCACATGATATCACGCTGTTTTTCTGTTTGTCTTATTTGCTTTTCCGAAGGCCACGCATGGATTAGGCGTTCTATTCTTTTTACTTTTTGATTTGTCCTAGACTTCTGACCACACTGTCTGATATGGGATGGATGGCGGATATGTGTATTTAACGTTTTGAATCACTTGCTCATTGTGTATCTTCTTGTTGTCCATGTGTCGGAGAGTATGCTTTACAACCCTACTATAACGTAGCCAGCCCTATGCAAGCCAGTCACTCGAGGCTCAATTGGTAGTCTTCCGCACGCCCACCTATACACTCCGCTCAAATAGTCACGACCTGACTCGAAACCACCCGTCCTAACATCTACACATTGCCCAGTCGGTCGAACCCGTAACATGTCATTGTTTTCTATGAATGAAGCCACCTCGTTCTATCGAACCTTCGCGTCACCCCCCTTCCCAATGGAACGAAACCTATCGCTTTCCTTTCCCACCCTTCTTCTTCCCCTTCCCACTCTGACCCTGCTGGCCCTGGCCCTGACCCTGCCCCTTCCCATTCACACCAGACGCAGACGCACCAGAAACACCCTCCTCGACCGGCGGCGCATCAACCATCTCCACATCACCCCCAGCGCCACCAGCCCCCGACAACCCCAGACTCGCGACGTCCGCACCAGCCGCCAACTTGCCCAAACTCGTAATCAACCGGCTAACCTCGGCGATCTTGTTCGTCTGGTACTGCAGGACGATGCCCGTGGTGGGATTGTAGGTTTTGAGGGTGAGAGCGGCGATGGGGCCGGTAGCTTGGGGTTGTGTTGAGGCGGGTTGGGTGTCTGGGGAGGTTGTAGCGGCCTTTTTGGCTTGTGATTTTGAGCGTTTGGCGCGGGCGCCGGGGGTTTCGGTGGGGAAGTGGTATTTTGTTGTTATCCGGGTCTGACGAGGGGGAGGGGTGTTAGCTTATCGTTTTTCGAGGGAAAGGAGGGAGCGAGGGATGCTGGGGTTTGGAGTGGTGTTTGCTTTGGCAGTGTGGGGG